TATACGACATTGCTCAAAGTGGTTATTGTGGGATTATTACTCGTTCACTGCGACTGCGCGGGGTTTATAAATACTTAATTTCACTTTTTCTTGCTTTGCAATATCGTTTAAGTACGTTTAATAAACGTAAAGTGTCCGTTTTCAGTCACTGCATTTACTGCAACCTAAAACCGGTCAATTTTTCAACAAATGGAGTGAATTAAGGACATTTAAAATTTTCTTGACATCATGCAATAGTCCACACGGTGCCCGAATCACCACGTGCATACATCATATGCGTTGATAATTAAAGACACTTAAATGCATGGCGCGTGTCTGTGAATTATAGCGTAATAAAAAACAACCCAGTTTCCGACCATTGTCTGACGGTTTACGATACCGTTGTCATCACCACTTGACCACCAGCGCTTGATGTCAGGGCTATATTTATTTATTTTATGTCAATCCTCTTTTAGGATCATAATGGAAAACATTCTACCGAGGATTCGAAACGTCAACTTGAACTTTGCGAGACCATTGCTTTCAACACTAGACCACTAAGATATCTTGTGATGCGCAGGTTCGTTTTTAATGTTGCCGAAATCCTTCTTTCGAGCCGCGACGAAAACATTTTTACCCATGCAAGATTCGAACCACCAATTTGCCAGTTGCGAGACCTTTGTCGTTACCGCGTGACTATTCCCTTTCTCGATAATGATGATAGCTTTCATCTTACTTAAATCTTTTCTTTCAAGATGCTAATAAAAAGCATTCAGTCCAACTCCAGCATTCAAACAAATCTCCCAAAGAGACACGAAGATTCTCCCACAAACCCAACAAAAAAGCAGGTACCGAAAATCGGTAAGGATCCAAGAGTCGACAGCTTAGTGTATATGACATTGCTCAATGCGGTTATTGTGGAATAATTGCTCGTTTACTGCGACTGCGCAAGGTTTCCTAACACTGAATTTGGCTGTTTTTCGTTCTGCAATAGCGTTTTAGTAGGTTTTATAAACGTAAAGTGTCCTTTTCACTCACTGCATTTACTGCAACCTAAAACCGGTCAATTTCTTCAAGTAATGAAGTGAATTGAAGACATCTAAAATTTTCTTGACATCATGCAATAGTCCACACAGTGCACGAATGACCACGTGCATACATCATATGCGTAGAGAACTAAAGACAGTACACTTACATGCACGACGCATGTCTGTAAGTTGCAATTAGCATAATAAAAAAAGGCCCAGATAACGTTTCGAACCATGGTCATCTAGATTGCGAGAACGTTGTCTTCACCACTAGTCCACCAGCGCTTGACGTTCAAGGCTACGTTTATCTCAATCCTTTTTTTGGGTGAATAATGAAAATCATTCTTTGGAGACTTTGAAATTAATAGAGGAAATATGAATTTCTCAATTTCAAACTTTTAGAGTAGCGTTAAAGTGCCCTTTTTCACCATTGTTCTTACCACTAAACTATAAGCGCTTGCTAAACGCAGCGTGCTTGACTGCAATCACTGCATCAGTGGAAGGCTTAGTATATATGACATTGCCTAATGTGGTGATTGTGGGATCATTACTCGCTCACTGCGACTGCGCGAGAAATGAAGTGAATGAAGGACATTTTAACCAAACTCTTTCAGTTTGCAAGATTATTGTCTTAAGCACCAGACCATCAGCGCTTGATGTTAAAATTGGAAACCATGCGTTGACTGCGCGCACGTCAATAGTTTTCCCACTTCACACTTTAAATAACGCAAACTCGTTTTCTTTCATAAAATTAGCAGATATACTTCTACTCAAAAACGAGCAATTCATGCAGTGATACTTCATATCTCAACATTCGTTATCATAAACTTAAAGGGTATTTTGCATTTCTTTGTAAGTACGTACACGCACATAAATTTTAAAATCATTTCATTTTAAAACATACTAATAAAATATAGTTGGATTTCTGTTGATGATTTCGTGCGTTTTTTTCTGATTAAGATTCATTTGATAAAAACTAAAAACGAGGCGGTGCAAATCAACAATAAGTGCAAGAACTGTACATATTTAAATATTAGAAGTAATCAAAACACATTTCGATACAATTAACTATGCAGTCGAGTTGGAGGAGCCTTGTGGTCAGAATGAGAAATAATTCTTTTTAAGGTCAGAATGAAAAATAATTCTTCCCGGATCCGAGCCTTCGGCTTAACACTCGTGAATCCTTCGCTGTGACCACTACACCACGAGATTTGTTTGCAACACCAACGCTAATTCAAGTTCTTGCTAATGCATTGGCGTCTGTCAAACACCCGCCAGTTTCTTATCTCTTCCAAAACAACTATTCGGGGTTTACTAGCTGAAAAATAGTCTGAAAAAGGTATGACAGGTGTGTTTTCACTCGAAGAATTAAGAACAGCGTTTACTGTAGCAGTTATATTATTGATCGGAATTCGGAAGGAGAGCAAAAAGAAGGCAATGCAGTTCATCCATTCATATGAGGGCTTGGTGGAACTAATGGTTACGGTGCAATTGTTTTGCATTTTTAATGTCTCAAGCCTATTTCACTGCTCTCCTTGATCTCCTTCATGCTTCCAAGTCTATCACTGATGCCTTACAGCGTATCATATGTAGTTAGCCCGTACAACAAGTCCTGCAGCCAGCGATAAAGATTATCAATTTTATAGACCTCACGACTGGCGTTTACGGGAAACGCGAAACCGATCCCTAACTTTCTGTTTTATCTACGCTGTCTTAATGTTGCAGCAATTTCGTTAATCTTCTCTTCGACTTAAGGTGGCTCCCTGCAATTTTTTAAAATACTGAAAACTTGTGGTTTTGATTTAAAATTTTAGCACGAGATTTCTTGATAAGGAAAAGAAATTTCCCAGATATATTAACCAACATTCTAACAGTCAGAAATTGCCCATAAGCATGACGTCATCACCGTTGTTATGGTAACAATGGCGATTCAATATGGCCGACATTTTACATATTCACGCATTTTACTCAAAAACAAGTTCGGTTACCCCAATTTTTTATTTTATAAAAAGTTTTCTTACAAAAAAATGGAAAATATGAACCAGTTAAAAAAAAATTCTATAGAGCCAAAATTATTAAAAATTAAAAAACGTGATTTTTCGTTATAGAAATTTTTTGGCTCTATAGAATTTTTTTAAACTTGCTCAAATTTCCCATTTTTTTGTAAGAAAACTTTTTATAAAATAAAAAATTGGGGTAACCGAACTTGTTTTCGAGTAAAATGCGTGAATATGTAAAATGTCGGCCATATTGAATCGCCATTGTTACCATAACAACGGTGATGACGTCATGCTTATGGGCAATTTCTGACTGTTAGAATGTTGGTTAATATATCTGGGAAATTTCTTTTCCTTACCAAGAAATCTCGTGCTAAAATATTAAATCAAAACCACAAGTTTTCAATATTCTTAAAACTGTAGGGAGCCACCTTAAGAGAATTAAATGAAATAATAAGAATTCACTGGAAAAGACAAAACATTGTAGAACTTCGATCCTATACAACTTATGAAATCGTACGCGAGGGCCTTGACCACTGGGCCATCAGTACTGGTGGCGAAAGTCAAGACGTTTTTATTTCACCTGATCCTTTCTTTAGAGACTTTGAAATGAAATCTCTGAAATGAAATAGAGGATATACGAATTTCTGAGTTTCAAAGTTTTGGAATAGCGTTAAAATGCCCTTTTTCACCATTGTTTTTACCACAAGACTATAAGCGCTTGCTAAACGCAGCGTGTTTGACTGCATCAGTGGAAGGCTTAGTATATATAACATTGCCTAATGTGGTGATTGTGGGATTATTCAGTACTCGCTCACTGCGGCTGCGCAAGAGATGAAGTGAATGAAGGACATTTAAAATTTTATTGATTTCATGGAACATGGTGTGCACAAATGAGTGAAATGACCACATGTACGTTGCATTTTGGAAATTTCCAATTAACATAATGAAAAGAGGTTTTCCTAGGATTTGAACCGAACTCTCTCAGTTTGCGAGACCATTGTCTTAACCCGACCATCAGCGCTTGATGTTAAGGGCTACATTTATTTATTCAAATTCTGTTTAAGTCCTAATGAAAAAATTCATCGGACCACCGATTTAAAAGTTGCGAGGCCATTGTCTTCACCGCTAGACTAACAGATCTGGAAATTTAGAACCTTTTTTTTATAATAAATCTTTTCATTTTCCTCAGGCAGGATTCGAGTCATCAACTTGTCAGTTACGAGGCCACTGTCGTCACCCCTAGCCTAACCTTCAGCTTTAGACATGCGAGAAAATAAAAACCCGGCCGAGGAGTGAGATCCTAAAAGTATCTTTAATCAGAGACCGATTCTCAGCGCAAGCTTATACAGACGTTTTTGTTTGTACCGTGGTTTGTATGATTATTCTATGATTGTGGAAAAATTGGAAACCATGCGTTGACTGCGCAAGCCTGTCAATAGATTTGCACACGCCCGTAAGTTGTTTGCACACTTCATACTTTAAACAAAGTAAGATATAAACATGAACTCGTTTAAAGTATACTTATAAAATGAACGATTGGATAGATACATCGGGCTGGATTCAGCAGAGAATTTGGTGTGTTTTTCTGGCTTAAGATTAATTTTATAACAACTTAAGAAACGCGGCAGTGGAAATCTACCTTTAAACACTTTTTACAGCATAAATAAATTATAAGTCAACTTCCCTTGCGAACCATCTATGCAGGTGGTCTCTCTGAAAGAGATACAAGGGCAATGACTGTACCTATTTAAATATTAAAAGCAATCCAAACTCATTACGATACCACGAAGTATGCAATTTTTTTAACCAAAATTGCTCAAATCTAGTTAGACTGCCCCCTCCTGGTCTAAATGTGGTAATTATTAAAATCAGGCGGTACTGTCTATGTGCATCACCACCAGATCTGGTAAGAAAATTTACCAGATCTGGCACACTGGGTTTAAACCTGGAATGGATACCAGTATGATAATCGCCCACAATTATCTGACACCAATTCATTGCCTGTCAACTTTTTTGGAAACATCACCATTGCATTTATCTAAATTTCTACATTTCTAAAGTACTATTTCTAAATTTTTATACCATTCAGCCAGTGTCAGACACGTTTTCAAACGCAAAACACATGGTAAAATTGCTTATTTGTAAAATTGGTCTACACAAAAAAATCGTTTATTAAACAAATATTCCATATCGTATGCTGACATAGCAATTTACGGCCACTAAAATATGCTTTATAGAATTGCCACTAATTCTTGATTGATTGAATAAATTAGTTATATATGAAAAAACAGCGAACAATCTGAACAAAAAATACAATTGACTCTGCATGAAAAATGAATCCGTCTTCATAAGTCTCTACCATCCAGGTTTAGAAAGGTGGACGAATGATATTAGAATGAGGAAAAGAAAGCCAGGCGTCTTGCAATAAATCTCTCGGGACAATGGAAAGTTAATCAATCGATAGATATTTTCTATTTTCAACCTGAAGTGAGACAAAAACATGGAAACGATTGAGTATAAGGGATATGCTGTAATTTTGGTGATGGGGTGATGGATAGATTGGCAAGTTTAGGGATATGCTGTAACTTTGGTGATGGATAGATTGGCGAGTTTTGGTGTGTATGCTGTAATTTTGGTGATGGATAGATTGGCAAGTTTAGGGATATGCTGTAATTTTGGTGATGGATAGATTGGCAAGTTTAGGGATATGCTGTAACTTTGGTGATGGATACATTGGCAAGTTTAGGGATATGCTGTAATTTTGGTGATGGGTAGATTGGCGAGTTTAAGGATATGCTGTGGTTTCGGTGATGGAAAAGACCCAAGTTTAGGGATATGATGTGACTTCGGTGATGGATAAGAGACAAGTTAAGAAATATGCTGTGATTTTGGTGAGAGATGGAGGAAAGTTTGGAGAATTACTGTGGTTTTGTATTATAGTGAAAGGATGAGGCAAGTTTAGGGACATATGCTATGAATTTGGTGGAGGGGACTGGTCTTTAAATTACTACCTAAGAATTTCAAACGTCGGTAAACTGAGGGCCTTGGCTTCACTTTTCCCCACCCCATATCTCTTCCTCCCTGAGGATCTTTTCAGTTTACTTATAGTTTCCTGCATCAGACCTTTTTATTTGTTCGGCTCATATCATTCGCCTATACTCTACTATTTGAACACAAGTGAATAAAAATAATGAAAGCACAACGTACTTTTATTACATCATCTCAAACTCATCTACACGTTGCTTGGTATTTCCCATTCTTATCTGTCTTAGAGTCTTGTACTTATCTCGGCCAGCGCGCACGTTTTCTCCATGAAGAATGTCTATTCTGGTGAGTTTCGAGTCATCTCTGGTACCCTGAAGCTCGCTTGAAAGCATCTGCAAAAACAAAAACATATATAGACTATTCTTTCGCAAGCTATTGGCTGCTGTGTGAAGTGTAAACTGCCCCGTTTATGTACAGACAGGGGTAAAAAAGGCTCTGTTTTTTATCTCTTCAGCAAAACTGAAGTAGGTGCATGCATGCGATGCTAGTTTAATGGAAATTACCGTAAGGTGGTTTTTTGAGCCATTAAACACAAGCTCTCACATGATGGACTAAACTTCTCTCTGCCTAATGTGTTTCTCTTGGTTTACAGTAAAAGTTAAACAAGAACTTACAGTGCACTTCTGTTGAATGATTTTGTTTGCAATGCTTGTGTAAGAGAACTATGCGTTAGTAAAACACTAACCTTCAGTTGGGCTTGCACATCGATATTCTTTGACACTTCAGTTGTACGGTCCAACTCGGTCTGTTGTTCAGCTTCTGAGGTCGCCTCCAGCTCGCGACTGTCAATCTCTCCTTCCGCTTCAGTCGCGTACAGGACATTGTGAGGCACCTCAGCAAGTTTCTTGAGATTCTCCTCCTCTTTGAGTTTTGTCTCTGCAAGCTAACGACAGCGAGCATTGATTTACACTAGAGTTGTGCAGTTTTAAATCCACACTATGAAAATTTGCTATACCCATACCATTCTTGTATGTTTGCATGGTGACAATCGATAAGTAATTTAGCTTGTAGGGTTAACGGACCGAAAGCTTTGCAGTATTAAATACTTACGTGGTGTACCTACAAGCTAAATTACTTATACCCATACTGTTTCCATACGAAATCCATAGCGTGGAAATGGCAATTAGTATGGATATTATAAATTCCATACTTTTTCCAACTAGAATCGGTACCATTTACATAAAATGGATTTGAAAAAAAAACAGTGTCTCTCAAAAACCACGACCATGCAGCCAACAATGTAAAAAGGTAAAGTCAGTCGTAAGTGTCGTGAACATGTCAAGGTGGCTGATGTGATAGAATTTTTCTGTGTATGAAGTCAAGAATGACTGATGTGAAAAATTTACATCTGGACTACATGTATTTCTCATCCGTGACTTGTTCACGACAATAACGACCAAATAGAAACCTCGCTTAAGGCCTGTTTACACTTGCGAATTTTTCTGCGATTTTGTGTGATTTTCTTCTTTTGATAGATGTGAACGAGTGACAAGTTACAAATGCTCTGATGTGCAAGAGCAACTATTTGAAAATCCGTAACTAAGTGCCTCGTTCGTATCCATCAAAAGGAGAAAATCGCACATAAAATTGCCGCAAAAATTGCAAGTGTAAACGGGCGTTTAAGGTGGTGAACTGAGATTCGGGCAGGCAAGAGAAAACAAACAGGAAGAAACTAACCTCGTCTTGTAGTCTTTGAGCCTCTTTTGCCTGTTCCTCTGCCTCTTTTTGAACACGCAGAACTTCTTCACTGACTTTACTGAATTCATTTTTCTGAGAAACAATGAAAAAACGACATGAGCAAAAACTCCTCCATTTTGAATAGTTTGCGAGAAAACTTACAAGCACAACGAGGAATTTCGTTATGGACCAATCAGAAAATTTGTTTATATTTCCAGGTAACCAATCAGAATGCAAAAATTACGCCCACTTCCGGTGAAAAGGTACATTATTTACCGGTTTACACGAAGTATTGAAAATTTACGCATTGTGATTGGCTTAGCCAGAAAGATGTAAACAAATTTGCAAATTAGTTAAAAATGAAATTCTTTGTTCCTTACAAGCTCTTCTTTTTCTTGTGTTTCTGACTGAAGCAACATTTCCATGCGGACTTTCTCCTCTTCTACTTCCTTGCGTTTCTCCTCCAATCTCTTCGCCTCTTCCTCAGCTTCCATGCGCTTCCTCTCCAGTTCTTCTGCGGCTGCCGCAGACTTGGCCAGTGCTTTGGGTGGAAGAAAACACAATGAAGTTTGACGAAGAAACTTTTACAAATGCACATGCAATATAATTTTTTGTAAAAATTCATTTTTGAGTTTGGGGTGGGGAAGGGCCAGAGGTTGGTAGGGGACAGGGATGAGTAGGGGACAGGGGTAAGTGGAGGGGTAGTGTAAGTGGAGGGGTAGGGTGAGTGGGGGGTGAAGGGTGAGTGGAGGACACATGAGTGCAGGAGGGGGTGAGTGGAGGACAAAGGTGAGTGGGGGAAGGATGAGTGGAGGGAAGGGTGAGTGGAGGACAGAGGTGAGTGGGGGTAGGGTAGGTTCTGGTGCACAAGGTTGTGCACCTACATAAGTCAACAAGGGTCCAGTTGTTACTATTACTTGTCAAAGGCAGATTTTCAAATTTTACTCTAGGGGCTTGCTGAATAAACCACTGCTTTACTCCTAACACTCACCATCTTGTGCCTTTTTGGCATCTTCTTCGAACTTCGCTAGACGATCTTCAAGAATTTTCTTCTCCTGCTCAGCTGCTTCACGCTCTTGTTTCACCCTCAAGATGGTTTGCCTAAAAAAGCAATCCAATCAATTCTATAAGTTTGCTTTCCTGTCATCATTGTACTTGTGTTTTGTAAACATTGTATGTGGTAAATATTGTGTGACAACTGAAGCTTTTAATCCTGTTATAAATCAGAAATAATAATAATAATAAAAAACTAAACAAAGTATAATCTATGAAGTACATCAGTAATTTAGCTGGAGCTTTTTTAAACAGAAATGAAAGTCATGGAAACATTTTAGCAATAACTTGTGCATACCTTTCCATTTGTTTATTGTGCTTTTCTTCTCTAGCTTGGGCCTTCATCTGCTGAACCTCAATGGTGTCAGGTTTTCTTCGTCTCATGTACAGTTCATGGTTTCCCATGCATAATGCTAAGATACGTTTGTTGGTGCGAAGTCTTGGTGCATAGAATACAAAGTCCTAAAAAGTTCCAATAATGTTGTTTGATGTCCTCAGGTTTGTTTACAATATGGCTGGGCATTGACTTTAAGTTAAAAAGATACAAAAGCCTATTTCGATAAGTTGTATGCAATGATAAGTTGTATGCAATTATCTTTCTGATGAGTGCAAAAGAGGGCCAATGCCACATCTTTATTCATATTGTTCAGAAAGGAATTTGCAATGTCACGTTTGTACATGTGTTCATACATTCACATATGCCAGGGTAAGAATTGTATACAACAAATTGCAAACTGTAAATGGGCCTTAACTCGTTTACATTGTACATAGCTGACCGATAACATAAAAGTTTGATCAATTGTACTTACAGGTGCTTTCTTGTCAATTGGTTTAATGACAAATTTCTTATCATTGAAAGAAATATTCCTGATGTCACTCCATGGAAATCCTATCTTTGGAGTAAGTCTGAAAAGTATTAATGAAATTAACTTGTACAATAACTAGAGATCTAATTCTTTATCAACACAATTTAAGACATTGTTTAAGACAAAACAATCAACGTCTTAAATGACATATGAAAGCATCAGCAGTTTTTATTGCATAACATGAACATGCATACGTACTTGTCCTCTTTTTCATACACATTCAATCCAAGAGCATCTACGCCAAGCCACAGATCGGTTCCTTTCTTGTTCTTGATTTCAAAATAACTAACCCCATACATTTCTAAATCCTGTGCAATTTTCAGGTACTCAGTCATTGCATCCTCTCTGCAAAACAATTCAACACAAATGGCATTAAACAATTTGAAATTTGAAAATATCAAGCAACAAGGCACATCATGATGCTGTTTGAGTTCAAATTTAACTCATTAGCTTCCAATGCTGATGTGCAGCCTATGTATTTTACTATCTGTCAGTGTCTGTTGTTCATTAGCCCACTAGCTTGCAATGAACCCAAATGTGGCCTACTTTATTATTTTACTCTGCCTAATGGCAGATGATTTTACTCATCAGTGGAAGAGTAACTGTCAGTTGAAAAGTTACACAAAGTTTGTGTTAGCCTGAATTACTTTCATAACAAGTAAAAAGTGGGATTAATGAAAAACTATACAAAAGAATCAGAATACATACTTGGTCACATCCTTGTGTTCCTTCCACCATTTCACAATCCTTTCCTCCCACTCCTCCTTCGACATTTTATGTTGAGCATACACACTATTATAACACAACATTTGAAACACATTGAAAAACCTTTAAACTACCACTTTTACAACAAATCATTTAGAATCTGATCCCCACACTATGGCTAGGTGAATAAGATTTATGCAGAAGAACTTTTCCTGTTTTCATATCTCTAAGCCCTTGGCTTACCGGTGAGGAAGAAGCCGATCACTCGCAAGGAATCCAGGTGTGTAAGATACATCTACATTGTCACCATATTTAGCTTGGCACTAAAAGTTATAAGCAATACACTCCTTTCAATTTCAGCCAGATTATATGTTGCGGTGAGAGAATCGCATAAATCTAGTACTGTAGATCATTAAAAAAATTCAGAGGCTGAAGGTCTGGTCAAGATGTTTTCATTGCCAGGCTTACATTTTCAGGAATATTTTATTCTACTACCTCAATGTTGACCTAAATTTCTTCTGGGCAACAAAAATATCTTGACCAGACTTTCAGGAACTGAAATTTTCCAATGATCTGCTAGATTTATGACCTTCATGCCAGTTAAATTCTTATAAAAATCACTACTCACAGCATAAGATGCAAGCAATACAGCAGTCTCAGGGGGACAATACACATCATCAGTCAGGATTGCATCTTTCACTTGCAAAAAGAACAGACGCTACAAAATAAAATTCAAACCTATTGTTACAACTGAAGATAATTGACACATACATAATTGATACTAGGAGAATTTACCAAAACAATCCTGATATAGATAGCTCCATACCTGTGTCACTTCCTGAATAAGCTCTTCGCTCACATCTTCCGGGAAGAATTTGGAGCGAAACTTGAATTGAAATGGCGTTTCTTTCTTGATGTCTTGTGCTAAAACCTATTAAGATAATACGGCTAATTCAATTAAAGTCTTCATTTCAAAACCTTAAACTTTTTTGAACTCTGTATTGCCTTTGGTGGCTTTATACACAGAATCTTTAAAATTATAGGTCTAGACATTTAGAGTTTATTAGGTAGATTTAGACTGAGTAAGGGAATGTCAAAGACAATGTGGAGACAGCAAATAAATGTTGTGGTTAATCCATGATGTAAAAGCCATTTATTCACAATTTTTCTGTTGCCTTTGACGCTCTTCTCCTAAATCTAAACCTGCCTAACGTCTTAGACAGCCTTAATGGAATTAGCTGTATACAAATACAATATCCAAAAATACTATTGACTAATTAACTGGCAGTATTCTTTCTCCAAAAGTAAAATTATTTGGCATTAGAAAGAGTAGAACACCAAAGTATAGGGCATACCTAGGTGTACCACAAGCTACATGGTTTTACAACATACACTAATGGAAGTCTTGTTTAATACTACTATTAAAAAATTCATACTTAAAAAATAATGTGTGGAAATTCCACGCACCAATGTAGATTTTCAATATAAACTTAAGAGCAATGCCTGGAGGCAGTTATATTGGCTTCAATGGAAGTCAATATGTAAATTTCTGGCTGTAACTAGCATTGTGCTATATATACTGTGGCACAAGTCTAACGTACCACTGGGAACATTTGCAGGTTCATTGTTTAACCAAGGGTTGTTAACAACAGGCTAATATTAACCTAGGGTCAAATTTCAACAAACGTTGTGCTTCAAGTTTGTCTAAATGGTCATTCAATTTGAGGAAATAAAAACACAAATAAACCCAGAAAAGATTCCTGGAAAATTTACTTGATCTGATAAAGCTGGTGACGGATTTTATAGATGTGTCTATTCCTTCGATAAGCTGGGGTTAAGGTCAACTACTATATGAAAAAACATGCACAACATGCTGTAATCAGTCTCGTATTTGTACTAATAAACTAGGCATAAGCCCAGATATGCCTACTTTTGTGCTTCATTCTGTTTATTGCTTGATGATTTTGTTTGTCAGCAGTGTTTCCCATTATATGAGCATATAATAACCATGTGTGTGTACTTTGGAATTTTATACTGTCTAACAAAAGGGCCACATGTTTAGATTTAATCACTACAAATACACCCTCACAAATATTGCATCTCAAATTCCTTCAAAGCCCAATTAGTATTTATAAGTAGGAATCCCTGACCTAGCTATGCATCCCTGACAAAATGATTACCAAGAATACATATTACTTGCATGGGTGAAAACGAAATCTTAAAAATGAATCCAAATTGGCATGCAAGTCACATCTATATTTAGGTTGGCAAGAAAATTAGGCACCAACTATGGGAAAATGAAATATTCTCTTAGGCATTTCGAAAACAAATATGCCAGATTTGACGTCCTCAAGAGCATGTGGACAGTGTAGTTTGCATAAAGCAAACGCTTTGTGCTGCAATTTGAATATGGATATGATCCCTGATAAATAATTGCAAAGCTTTCAAAATAGCAAATTGTTCTTCTGCAAAAGAGCAGTTGCTGCTGATATACAATCATAGGAATTTGCTATGAATTAGGCAAAAAAAAGCACTTTGACTAGGTTTAATCAAGATGGGTGATTACATTTGAACCAACCATATGTCAAGTGTATTTAGTGTAGGAAGTTACCAGAATGTTTATATTATCATGTCATATTGTGTGATCACATTGTAATATATCACTTGATTTTTTTATAATTATTATTATTACAGCCATAAAAATAGGTAAATATTTAATGGTTTTTGCACACATATTTTGAATTTCTACTTATCCAAAGTTACCTGATTGTGCAATAGGTGGATTTACATAAGTACCTTCAAACCACAACACCTTGAACCAAATTTAATATAATTTTGGAAGCATATTGCCAGCTTAATAATGAAATTGGACTGAGGAGTTGTTGCTTAAAACCACAGCTGTTTACTGATTTTTCCTTTCAATCTTAAAACAACGAATTACAAGGCCACTTATCACATTTAATTCCCACAATCATATCTTTGCTTTCGTGAATTTATAGGAAATATGCCGGCGACACGAGCTCAGGTTTCAAAAAAACACGTTGCTTTGACAAACGTTTCAAGACTGGGCGGTCGGTCACAGCGACCTGAAATTCGCTACAGCAACGAAATAAATTCCGCTAATCCTTAAATAGTCGTTCATTGAATGCTTGGTGGGTTTTCCCACACTGCCATAAATAATAATGGTTCATTAAATTCGAATTTATATTTTAAATAAAATACAAACGACACAATGCATATATGCTTTGGGATAATTTTAGAATCGAATTTTTGTTAGATTTTGTAGCTAAATCGATATATAAACGAGGAGAGATGTAGAAAAACAAATACAAACTCTACAGTTACAGTATATTTGGGCTATTCCTTCACACAGCGAGGACATGTCCAATAGCAATTAATGCTTTCTATGTAAATGAATATATTTTATATAATATGCAATTGTACAATACCTTTTTATTCAATTTTAGCCAGGTAACGAGACCTTTTGTATCGGTGTATTGAAGGCCGAAAAACCAAATTTCGCGAAGGCCAATGGTTTTGACAACCTAAATATTTCGAAAGGTATCATGTATTTAGCGAAGCGGTGCCATGTCCTGTGGGAAGTGGTCGAACCGAACTTCATACTAGGAAGCCATTCTCGTGGTCGACTAGCGTACTATACAAGGCCAATTAATGTTTTTCCATTAACAAACCTGGTCGAAAAGTTGTTTCCCAGTTGTACTAGGCTGTATCGCGAACTCCAACTCCGCGTCCATGGTGGTAACTCGTACATTTACCTGTCGGAAACAGACAAAAACATTTCTCATTCGATGTCGAACACTTGGCCATTTTGATGCACGCTCGTCCGGTGCAATTGTGGTTATAACTTCGCGATGTTTTGAATTCGAGCGTACATTAAAGGCTAATCTAATCACTTTTACGTATTAGAAGTTAATAAGGCGAGCAGCAAATATATAATATGCTGCAGAAACTTACCGATTTCGGCATCTTGGCGGCCACTTGGTTCTAATCCAACAATTCGAGGTTTATATTACTACATGAAACAAGTCAAATAAAACACATATCAGTGACAGGTTTAGATCTAGATAGCGAGTCTTTTAACAACGACGGACCTATGCGAATTTCTGTGATAATTCCTCCTAAATGAAGTAATATATGAACGGTTTAAAAACACTGTGATCCACCTCGCCTTCCTGTAACCGAATTAAGTAGCGTCAAAGCGCTTCCCCGACGAATTTCTAAACGTTTTCACAGCGACGCAACAATAGACCTTTGTTTTAACGATAGCGAGGACAATAAGTTTCGCTTCTACGGTAGTTCGACAATATTTTGTGTACAAAATAAGCAGCAATACCTGAAAAATGTCGTATATTTCCAACACGTCTGCCAAGTAAATCGAAATCGTGAGGCAACCGCGAGAAGGGCGTGGTACTGGAACTAGATACGCTCGATTGAGCCCCTTCAAAATACCGCCGTCGACCCCGAGTTTCCTTCGCCCCGAGGGTGATTTTAATCCGAGGGGAATTTATTCGCCTTTGAATTTTGAAAGCGAGCACTTATTCCTGTTTTTGCGCGTTCAAATAAAAATCAACTAAAATATATGATTTTTTCCTACAAATTTCAAATGACTTTGTCGAAATTAATTTCCTGTTATATAGCATCGTGTTGTCATGGTTAGGTTTACAGTTTTCTAGAAAGAATAATTTACATTACCTTGATAAAGAATACATTTAACTCCAGTGTATGGCAGTTCTGCAAAGACGCATCCCACACATGCAAGTCATGCATCAAATCAAACTACTTCGCTTTATAAATGCGATTTCATCGTGACTCAACAAAAGTAATTCACTTTCCGATTTGCTCATAGCCTTAATATATCGTTGATGTTATAGCCGTTGTGCCGCCGTCTTCGTTACGTCATCTCTAACGATATTTCTAGACATGAGACACTTGTGCGTGATGACACTCCGCTGTCGCGGAAATTTGATGTCTACACGCGCTTGTAATCCTCGGAGAATTTTAGCAATTTCATACGTGTCTCTCCAAAATCGTTTGAACGCCACATTTTTATAAAATAAGGTCATGCGCGTTGGCGCTCCCCTCTTTGAAAACAAAAGAGGCTTTTAGTTTAATGTACAGACGTTGCTAGTGACATGTGTTACTATGGAAAGAAACCTAAACTAACTAATTTTATTCAAACTGGATAGTCTATCAGTTCTAAACTGCTCTTCCTAGAGGTCTAATAAGAATCATCTCTTATTGATCCAGTGTTACTACAGGAGGAAACCTAAACTAAACAACTTTATTTATACAGGATAGCTCTATCAGTTCTAAACTGTCCCTCCTAGAGCTCCAGTAAGGATCATCTCTTATTGATCCAGTGTTACTACAGGAGGAAACCTAAACTAAACTAACTTTATTTATACTGGATAGCTGTATCAGTTCTAAACTGTTCTTCCTTGGGGTCCAGTAAGAATCATCTCTTATTGATCCAGTGTTACTGCAGAAGGAAACCTAAACTAAACTAACTTTATTTATACTGGATAGCTGTATCAGTTCTAAACTGTTCTTCCTAGGGGTCCAGTAACGATCATCCCTTATTGATCCAGTGTTACCGTAGAAGGAAACCTGAACTAGACTAACATTACGTTACTTCCGGAGGAAAGCTAATCGAAACTACGGCTTTATTCATATACCGGAGAAAAATTCCCATTGTTTTGACTGAAGTCTGAGGCGAAAATATCCTATTGGAGAAACGGCTGTGTGCGAGTGCCACCAACCGCTGCGGGGAAAGGTTAATAGTAAACCTTCACGCAATGACTGCGTGGGCGACATCCGTTGAGGCGGGGATACAAAACAAAGTATTCATGCTCGCTCCAGGGGGTGGATTGGTGTGTTCAATTATCTCAATAGGACTTGAAGTACTTTGATGCATGACTTGCATCTGTGGGAATTGGAAAAGTCTTCTCAGAAGGATTATATAATGCAGTCAAATATACTCTATATCGATTGAACGTATTGTTTTCACAGCGAGTAGCAGGGTCTATTTACGGCGGTTACAGAGGCCAGAGGAAGCAAAAGAGGTTCAATTATCACGAATTGACAGCAAAGTTAGTTAACACTATTAAAAAGGGTATCATGTTATTCACCCCTGCAGACAGTCAAGCTGATATTCCATATTTGATCCAGGGTGAGGTTTCCTGATTTTCCTGACTTTAATGATCAGGAAAATCTTCATTGGCCTAAAAGGTACCCTTTGTTGATTTGAAATCAGAACTTTTCTTTCGAACGTGCGATGTGACACCTGTAGGACTTTAATGGAGCGAATGACTGAATAAGTTTTAACTTTCCGATCGGCTGAAAAGGTAACAGGGCAAAAAAAGCAAAACAATTTGAGACAAATAAACGGTTTCTTTCCCTTTACAACAAACACCCGTTGTTCTGTGGTAAATAAAGACCTTAAGTTTAGCGTTTACGACAAACTTCCAACTGTAAACTGTAAAATCATTTCAAATTTTAAACAAATGCGAGATTTCTGAAGCCGGGAAAAATTGGCGCATTATGTTCAAACATAGATTAATTTCTCAGACAAATTGTGGAAAAAACTTTAACTAACCGTTTTGGTTAGTTAAATGTCTCTAATTGCACCATTCCCTATTTTAGTCGAGGGTACTTTTTCGGGACACCAGAATGCAGTACAACAGTTCACAATAACATGAAGAAACAAAAGTTCGTTGAACAGAATGAGACGTTTTTCTATCTTCTCGAACTCCATCAGACTCACACGCAATCAAATTCCACCATGCGCTTCGGCTATGACATGTAACCACAGTTAATAGAATATACATGGTTTGGAGACCACGTAAAACTACAATACAACTCATTAACTATGTCGAGGTAGATTTATGCGAAAAATTGTTCTTTTCTCATCACATGTCTGTTGTATTTTGCACAGATAAACCAATAGCAATCTTATAATTAACAAATTTTTCAAGTAAAGGTTGAGCTTAGCAAGACGAATGCCATTGGTAAATTTTGCTAAAATACAATAGACACGTAGCGAGAAAGGAACTATTTTTTGTATAAACCTGGACAACAACATAGTTAATGAGTTGTATTGTACTTTTATTTAGTCTCCAAACCATGTATATTCTATCAACTGTGGTGTAACCCAGTTTCCACTTGGTTGCAAATGTTGTGAAGCTGGCTGATGTTAAATAGTGATGTTCATGTCTGACTGCGACCAAGCCAACCTCGTACTATCGTACCACAGGTTTTCGAAAACCCGAGGTACGAGTTTGAAACCAAGCCTAATTTGAATACACATCTGGACTATTTCACATCACTGAAATTGACATACTCACAACAAATACAACAAAAATAAAAACAGCTATATATTTGGTCATGCCAAACAGGCATTTTGAAGTCTATGTAAATCTCACGTCGGAATGAGCGACTCAAAGACCCTTTGTCAAAAATGAAAATGGAAAATGCCAGTAATTTAGTCGTTGTCTTTGAAGCCTACAAGAATCACTTTCATTCGTGCCAATTATATAGTTTTCATTAAAGTGGGTTTCCTCGTTGTTGCTAGGCAACGATTCGTCATGCGAGGGAGTCAGCGTAGGTGGCGCTATTTTTAGCGCAGGTATATAAAGCCAAGAGATCAAAATTTTGGGGTTATTTACAGTGATGATTACTGTTCAGCTGCGTATGTTTAGGCGATTATATTCGCGGAAATATAATGTTGTTCTACAGGCTACACTAACCTAACTATACAGTACAGATACAGGAACCACTGGGTATTTTTGTAAAATGCAGATGCACAACTGCAATCAATCCAATTTGCATTATTTCTGTGTTTTGACTAGATATAGCAATCATCACTGGAAAGATTAGCACTGACGACGGCTACAAGCGAGTCGTCGAAACGAGATTGAATAAAACAACATCAAGTATTTCAATCTGTTTTTACAGAGTGTGACATTTATACAACACACCGTGTTACACTCTATATAGACTATACCTTTCACCACAGAATTGTAATACAGGTATTTTGTGACTCAAACATCAAATGTGGTATAAGTATAACAACTGCCTAAAATAGACAAAACACTTCTCGACGTTTCGACCAGAGGGAATTCGTCAGGAGAGATAGTATGGTAGTCTTACTAACTCTTCTGACGAAGGCCCTCAGGTCAAAATGTCGAGAAGTGTTTTGTCTATTTTAGGCAGTTGTTATACCACATTTGATGGCTAAGTACTTTGAATGGACCATAATATTTTGTCTGGTGATGCCAAGAGACTAGAGAATTTTAAAATGGCGTCGTGGACCGACATATAGCAGGCTTTCTGGTTTGAAAGTATTTCTGATCGTCATAATAGATCAATCTGCTCACAACGTCATATTTTCAATACGATTTTAAACTTATTTATATTCTATTTCCACCTTTGAAGCAAGGTATGTCTCGAGGTATGGCCGCGTACACGCAATACGCGGAAAACCTGGGAACGAAGATAAATCGACCCCAATCAACACCAATTATCAACACACCTGTTTCCAGCCTCTATTATATTTCCGCGCGATGTAAGTAAAAGCTCTGGGTAAAAGAGAATCTTATCTGGTTCATTTCGACACCAAATAATGAATGTTATTTTGAACACTTTTTCTCCTCCACAAAGCTCCGACTAAACAGTTTTTAACGTGTCAGCGATGAACTATGGATAAACAAACGTTAAAAACCCATCAAAGGCCCACGCGTTGGACGGGGCTCGCCAACGCGACGCTATATTTTTACGAACTTTTCAGTTTTCAAAAGCAACTAAGTTTGACTATGTTCTGATATTCTTGATAATCACGGAACGATAATAAATTTCGACTTGTCTGGTACCCATGCACAGCTCTCAAAGTTTCTCATCAGAATTGAATATCAAAAAATTCGCATCGCGTTGGTGCATGAATCGGGTCCAGACATCATAATTAGAAAATCAAAAGCGATTATAGACGATTACAGAACTCCAAAATTAAACGTGCTTCGAAACAACGAATCGTTAAATTGTAATCTAGAATTTTATTAACTTTTAAACGAAAATAACTTTACAGTAAGCAGATGACAAATAAAACTGACCAGTCCGAATTGCTTAGTATATTCATAACTATGGTCGTAGGCAAGACTACAGACTTATTGCTTCGTACACGTGTTGTCTACCACGCTAAGGCCGGAGAAATGGCAAACGCCGTTACAAAAGATTAGGTTTTTACTTAAATAAAACATAAGTATTCCATCGTATACTGTGTAATCCTAAGGTAACCGTTGACAAAATTTCTATCGTCAGTATCGACGTTCAAAGCATGGAGCTTAGGAAAATTCTACCGGTCTAATGTGTATAGTCTAAAAGTCAATATTTCTACCGTAGTTTGAACTGGTCTTCGAGATGAATGTCTTTTAGTTTAGTGTACAAATACAGCAGCAAGAAGGATGGCTGGTAAGATAGCGTGGAGACCAAGATGGCTTGCAGAACTTGTTGTTTTCGCTTTGCTTGGTGCAATGGTGCCATTAACGCTCTTCAAGGTCGGCTTGACGCTGTGTGTTGCTGCTGTTGGCTCAGGACTTGGCACGGTCGTTGTTCCCAATACGATTCCGAGGTGGAAAGCCAACAAGATAACAACAAGGACTGAAGCTTTGCTTGCCATTCTTACGACTTGATTTCGAGATTCTTTCTTCAGAGTTCTTCTGCAGCGGGTCACTTCTCAATGCTGTTTCAACTTCTGTATGCTCGACGCTCAATCTTCGCCAGTATTTATACACATCGGACCACCGGTTCGTCCAATAGAAACAAGAGAATAATATCTGCATAATAGCGCTTAGCAAAGTTTAGCAATACAATTGAAATCGCTCGGGATTCTGCATATTGGACAATACCATTGTTCTTTAAAAGTGATTTGTTTCAGAAATTCTCGTTTGGGCCTGTTTTCAATCATAACAACTCATTACCCTTTGTCAAGTTTTCCTTGACGGGCGTCACACGGGCATTTTTCCTTGTTGAAAAGCTGGCATGACTAGCTTTTGAACAAGGCTCCTTGTCAAAAAAAACTTGTCAATCTTCAGTTTGCCTACACACGAGCAAATAAAACTTGACAAGAAGAGCTTGCCCGTCTGGAAGCGGGGCTGTATTGTAGAGCTGCTTTCCACTGTCGTGTTTTTTGTACGTATACGTATATATACGTACGCAAGTTTAAAAAAATATATAAATGATACTTATAAACTTTCCCGTACAAGCAGACGAGTATACCTAAGACCACATGTAAATAGACCTGTCTGAGCGAGAAACTTGTCTTAAACTCGAATTTAGATAGGGCAGTTTCTCAAAAAGCCAACACAGTGAGTGAAAGACGGAACTACAGTATATAGGGTAGGGAAAGTTAACAAATGATTATCGTGGTGCCGGATTACGACAACTTTTAACACTGTCTGACAGGTCTAAATTTATCCAACCCTATTTGCATTCTGATGGCTTTAAAGCCCCGTACAGACGGGCAAGTTTTCCTTGTCAAGTTTTATTTGCTCGTGTGTACGCGAAAAAATTGACAAGTTTTCCTTGACAAGGAGCCTTGTTCAAAAGCTAGTCATGCCAGCTTTTCAAGTAGGAAACTGCCAAGGAAATCTCCAAGCCAATTGAGCGATTTTGGGAAGTTTTATCATTCTGTTTGGTTTGAGATTCGGCCGTATACTCATTTTATCATATTGTCGTATAAATATACTCTACATGCATATATATTATCGTAAACTTGTCAAGGAAAATTTGTGAAGGAAAACTTGATCGCCATACACACGAGCAAGTGAACTGGTCGTCTGGTCCAGAAAACTTGTCAAGGAAACTTAACATCCAGTCATGCAACATCCCTGTTTAAGGAGCTGTTTACATGAGCCCGGTTACCCAAGATTCAACGAAGCGTGGATGATTTTGAGGCATTGAAATGAGCAGATAACATGATCCTGCAGTCGTATAATCACCACAACAATAGCATGTGCTTGTTTGGTGTCATAGAGACTTATTTCAATACCTCAAAGTCCTCTCACGCTTCGTTGAATCTCGGGTGACCGGCTTACGTAAACAGCCCCTTGAGATAAGTTCCCATGACCGTTTCCAAAACGTCGCATTTTTCATTCAAAACAATAAATAATCAGTTGGAATTTGTGCATGATTGTTTTTTTGCTATCAGCGCGCGTCGACTGACATGGAAAACAACATGCAGCTCCGATATTTAAATTTTCATCAGCAAATGACAGGTAATATTGGGCATGAGTTTATTATTGCCTGATGGACTAGATATGCATATGAAGCAAAATTGTTGTTGAATTGCAATGAAAAGCTAGCTAATATGGTTATAACCATGTAAAACAATCGATTTCTTTGTTAGAAACACAGAGATCAAAGGGCCACATACATGCAATGTTTGTTTTATATTCATTTAGCAATATTTGGCAACCCAGAACGAAAGTTATGACCAAATGATGGTATGAAAGAAAAACGTATTTTTGAGAACAAGATTTGAAGCAAAGTTTTCATGGCTATGCAAGTGTTTAGTATTTTTTCTTCCCGCTGTCGGCAATACATCAGAAAAGCACTTAAGTGGCGTGTGCGTTGAAACGGTATATACCTTTTTCCGCGGCAGAGAGCAAACTTGTTGAACAAATATCTTTCGAAATGTTTTTGTGCGACTCCCCATAAATTTATGTTGTTTTAGGAGTTGCATTCCAACAATTATTACGCAATGAAATTATTTATTTTGTCAGGACGTGTTGGTGCAAATGCATTGCACGTCTTAGACTTAGGGTTCCTGTTAATTATATTTTCAGGGTTCAATGATCATTGGATGGAGCCTCGTATATCGCAGGTTTTAAACAGTTCGTTGGACATTTCGATGAACCCAGAATAGCAAGAAACAGGCATATATTTCACCCTGATATTTGATACCAGTTATTTTAAAACGTGCGACTAACGACGTAATTTCTGTTAGTAACAACAGGAACCCTGATATTGAAAATATAAACAGGCCCTGACCTTAAAAAGCCAACGTCAAAACCATTATGACAACACAGCCAACAATACATTCGAAATATACCATTTAATTTTTCTTATTCAATTTACTGCATTAGTTCCTAGATTTCCTATAAAAGTTGCTAACTGTTTCTTTAAGTTAAGTTAATGTTTAAAATCTCAATGTTTTCAAGTGCACACGCCTAATCTTGTCTTCACACCTCTGCCTTGTCAACGAAAGCAGCACGACATCTCAAGGCATCTTCATCACCGGGATTTTGCTCACAGATTTCGGCTACAAGAAGAAAGTAAACGCGGCGACGATAAACCATGGTAGACTTGCTTTGAAGCTTGTAGCAGTCCCTGTCGGAGTAGTTCTATTCGTTTTTGTTGTCGGAACAACGGAGCTTGACGGCTGATTCATTGATGCAGTAACATTGGTTTTGGCTTGGTTCGTCGGAGCTTGTGTTTGTGAAACCACCGCATCTGAAGCCGTCGCCTGTACAACCACCGTGTACGTTGACTTTAGCTTTGGAGTTAATGTCGCTTGTGTCGCGACAGATACGTTGGTAGAGTTTTGAGTTGCTGACGACTCGACGATAATAGCAGCGAGGAACAGGAAAACTACGACGTAAAGTTGCGTATTCATGATTATATTGCTTTGCCCTTCTAAGAGTTCCCCACGATATCTCCGCCTCCAAGGTTGCGTCAAGTGAACGAAGGCCTCCCAAATATTCCAATATATGTGTGTTCGTCAGGCTTTGGACCAATCAGAAACATGTTGTGCAATCCGCTGATCGTTGATTGGTTCGTTGCATAAATACTGACTTCCGGTTTACCGTGAAAGTCTGTCTGTCGGTTCTTGTCGGTAGTTTAGTTTAGGCATATCTTGATCGTGCACCCGCATGACTGCAGGGGATGTATGGGGATAACCCCCCACACAAGGTCCTTCCAGAATGTTCAACCGAGATTTCATATCTCCCCTTGTTTTTATGTAATATAATACAGATGAGTAACGATTGTAACTCATTGAGTGGGAGACCTTATTTTCACTTGAATAAAAGAGCTTGATTTTTGTTTTTTTCACGTTAAATCTTCCCATTAACTGACTTGAAAGAAATCTATCAGAAGGGGCATTAAAATTATCAGAGAAATCAGAATTTCTATCCGTGAAAACATGAAATAAACAGTTAAAAAAATCACGCTTAACATCTGTGTTCAAAAAGCCCACTCGTACATATATTTTTTGAGTGGGCTTTTCAGTGAGTGCAGATGTTTAACGTGAATTTTTGTAAGCTGTTTATTTCATCGGACAAATTTTTCGAACAACAACAAAATCAAGCGTGGTTTTTTTCCGGTTAAACCATTTGCCATTTTACCAAAGCCAAAAGTAATTCAAGGCAGGTTTTCACAGCCTCGCACCAAAAATTGCAAGTGTAAACGGCGTAAACGGGCCTTTATAGGCTTTTATTTGGGGGACTATGAAAGCTAGAACGACATATCTCAGTGAAAATACTCAAACAAAATGCGTTTAAACATTATTTGTTCGAACTCTTGGCAGGCTCTAAATTGCTGTTCAACTCGCATAATACAACGATAATAAAACCACAGTGGGCTATCAAATAGACGTAGCCATATAATTCTGACAAAATTTACAGGAAATAAAATCGTAGTCAAATAATTTTGTCATCACAAGATTAGGCATGGTTGCTGCTTATAATAACAAAGTGGAATTTCGTTTTAGACCAATCAGCATATTTGTTTACATTTCAGTAAGCCAATCAGAATGCGTAAATCTTAATTACTCCCGGTAAAAAGTTACATCATTTGCCATTTTACATGAAGTAGAAAAAATTTAGGAATTCTGATTGGCTCTGCCTGAAAAATGTAAACAAATATGCGGATTTGTTCAAAACGAAATTCCTCCTTGCTGCTGGTAATGACAAGAACATAATTACCTCTCAATTTTTTTCTCACTAAATTGTATTCTAGAAGTATTAGTGCTGTCTCGGTAATAATTCCGTGTTCAGTAAATCCTAAATAAACGAATTTAATCCTATAGATTAGGTTAGGATTAGAGTTTGATTAGGATTGACACTAATCAACCGTAAACCTAATCTAAAACCTGATTCGTCTATTCAGGATTTATTGGACTGGACATGGAATTACTACCGGTGTCTCATTAGTGCACTTTCAGATCAGTGCTCTGACAACCTATGGATAATATAAGCTCTATGATGTATCACAATCTGGGCAGCAAAAATCCATGCCAAAATACGGATTATAAAACTGATATTGTTGTTCACCTTATAATGATATCATCTTCTCAGTTGTGTTTCCCCAACGTCATGGGGTCACATCCTCGGATATCATGCCCCTCCATACCACCACTGTAGATATCCTTGTACAACTCGTCAAGGGCGATCTCTGGGTCTGTCTTAGACTTTTCAACTGCCTCTTCGATCTCCGTCTTCACCTCTTGATCAATTGCCTAAAAAATGGACATTGGAATAGCCACATTTTTCTCCATTGCCTACTCATTTCCCAGCAATCATAATTTGATAAAATCAAGACCCTATAAGTTGCTAAATTAGAAAACTAGGGACTAATCTCATTCCCTTTATTTCCACTTCTCTAAGTCTGCGATCCTTTGTAATCGAGAATTTGTGGCCGAACTCATATGCATGTCACCGACAGTCAGCGATGTATTGCTGAGGAAAAAATTCATTCAAAATAACAAAACACTTCATTCTTCAGTGATCATAGACAACAGCCATCAATCACTTTTGGTGATTAATGGAAATCAGTCGTTAGCTAGCTCACCTTAATATCATCGGCGGTAGCAAGATCTGCTTCGAGAAGTTTCTCTTTTAATCCAGCGATTGGATCCTGGGTTTTTCTTACAGTCTGAATCTCGTCTCTTGAACGGTAGCTAAAAGGTTTTTTTGGAAAATTCGTATATGAAACTGCTACTTCTCAGCGAACAAAATGAACTTTATACTGTTCTTCCTAGAGGTTCTGTAAGGATCATCATCTCTTATTGATCCAGTGTTACTATAGGAGGAAACCTAAACTAATCTAACTTTATTTACACTGGATAGCTCTATCAGTTCTAAACTGTTCTTCCTAGAGGTCCACTAAGGATCATCTCTTATTGATCCAGTGTTACTACATGCAGGAGAAAACCTAAACTAAACTAACTTTATTTATACTGGATAGCTTTATTAGCGCTGAGTAATAATACTTGCATATAAGTGAACTCACCTCACGCCTGGATCACTCATACTGTGTCCGTAGTAACGATATGTGACACACTCCATTAGAAGTGGACCCTATAACAGCGGGTAGCCACACGTTAATAACATCACCACGTCTCCTTACAAGCCATGAACAAAGAACTCACCTTGCCAGATCTGGTATAATCTGCGGCAAACTTGGTCGCCTCCCTTACAGCAAGTATGTCCATACCGTCAACCTGACAGAAGTTAGTTAAGTTAAAGACAATGAACTGTAAAAAAACTTGGCCGCCATCTTCGAAGTCTAATTTTAAGGTATAGTTTTTCAACGTTTGAGACAGACGTAGAGCGTAATTATCTAGGAATGTCTAGAACTATGTAAAATGCAATAATTTGTTAATTTTTATCAAATTTGAACAAGAAACAGAGTAAAAAAGTATGGCGCTGAACTATAGGAGTTGGCGTCTTATTACAGTTCACTGGTTAAAGATATAGTAATTTGTTAGTAATAGTATAAAGGCACTGTCAAATTTCTATAGTTTTCAACTAACCTGTATCCCAGGAACGAAATCTCCACGGGTGTAGAAGTCAGTGACTGCTGAGGCGCGGTTAGCGGCCGTTCCCATGCCGTACTGGTTATTCTCGCAAATGAATACGCACGGAAGGTCCCACAGTTTCGCCATGTTGAATGTTTCGAAAAGCTGTGACAATAAATACATAAGACACATTCACAGGCATGTTCCATACTCACTTTCTCCTCCCTTCCCCAACTAAATCCATATTTTGTTTTGTCAGAAATCCTTTAGGAAAGAGATTTTTACCTGTCCTTGATTGGCTGCACCATCTCCGTATAGAGTGAGACAAATCTTTCCATTGTTTCTATACTTGTGAGCGAAGGCCACACCAGCACCAAGAGGAACCTGATAGGATAACGGATAGTAAGAGAGAGGGGTTTACAAGGGATGTGCATGGACACTTTTCATCCTTATTTACCCCGAAGTCGTACCTGTGCACCAACAATGCCATTACCACCGTAAAACTCATGTCCATACATATGCATAGATCCTCCTTTACCCTTGGTTGTACCGCTCACACGACCTTGAAAGGGAAGATCATCGGTTAAATTTCATATTAAGAATCTGAGTTTATTAACAACCTATAATCCCAACATTAATCCTAACACCTGACTGTCCTAACACTCCAAACCGGTATATTCGGCCATCTCTATCTCATTTTATTATTACCAAGGTCGAGTACACAATATTCCGGTATATATTCGACATTCACTGATTTTTTTATTACCAAGTTAAAGTACACCATATACCGGTATACTCGACCGTATACCAGTAAATTTTCATTACCAGGTATATATATATATATATATATATATATATATATATATATATATATATATATATATATATATATATATCCGGTATAATAAATTTTTGTTACCGAGGTGGAATATGACTCATATGATATGACTCAGGTGTATGAACTAATCTTGTAACCGCGGTTCCCGGCTTGTAACCGGCTACTTTTCAAGCTTGCCCGGAGAAGCAATAAAACAGGTTTCGTTTTATACATATTATGCATACCAGTTAATTCAGCGAGGACCTCCAATGCGGATTTCCCTCTCATGTAAGTCCAACCATGACATCTGTACGCCGTGATAACGCTGTCATCCTTGTCTATGGCATGTTCCATACCAACGGCACATGCTTCCTATGAAGAAGAGAAGTACAACTTTATGGCTTTTCAGTTTTCATAGCAATTTCATTGTGCATTTTCGCATACATGCGGCAAGAACGCGCAGGTTTTTCCCGGTTGATGAAAACACGTGCAACTGAACAGTGAACAATGTTGTGCTGCACCTCACGAACACAAGAGGGTAGGGTCGCAGCTCCTCGCAAGAATGATTTTCCGTTGGCTGAACTTTATAATACATTTCTGTTTCAACCAATAGCATAGCTTCGTTCTTTAGAAAGCATAGAAAAGCACTATCCAATTGGACGAAAGCTTCCGAGCACTGCGACATGACCCACACAAGATGAAGCAACTTGGCAGACCTCAACAAATTCCTGCAACTTGATACCAAGTTCGTAGGTTGCAGAACAAACATTGTTCAGTCTTCTTTTTCGTCAACTGGCAACGAAATAAACGCGTGTAGTTTAGGGTCTGAAATGAAACGGTCAGCGGTTCAAGATATAATTCCAGCGATATATCTTTAGGATTCAGAGATTTTCCGGCATGTAAATTTTAGCCAGTTGCTTGACAACATTTGATGGGAAAATATGAATAAATTACAACATTATATTTACTGGTTGTTTAGGAAAGATTTAATTTATCAGCAACTGTAACACAAAGCGTTAAATAAATTATAATACACATTTTTTGCCCGACATGAATGTTATTCATAACAACACTGGATCAATAAGAGATGATCCTCACTGAACCTCTAGAAAGAACAGTTTAGAACTGATAGAGCTATCCAGTATAAATAAAGTTAGTTTAGTTTAGGTTTCCTCCTGTAGTAAATAACACTGGATCAATAAGAGATGATCCTTACAGCACCTTACTTAGAAGAAGAGGGAATATAACAGGGGCCGGTTGTTCAAAAGCCGGTTAACGCTAACCCAGGGTTAAAAATGCCTAACCCAGAGTTAAATTTTAAACCTTGGTTAATTTGCGTTGCACAAAGCTCGGTTAGCGTTAACCCTGGGTTAAAATTGATAAAAAAATTAACCCTGCTAGCTAGGTGGGTTAACTTTTTAATCCTGGGTTAACGTCGATTCAAAATGGATGAATAAGGAGCTGAAACACGTAAACACGTATAATTTGTTATGAATTAAACACTTTTGAAAGGTTTTACGAATAATTTCGACAGCAAAGAATTATTTGAGTTTGACTTCGTTCGGTTTCAGCTGATACATTGATTTATTTATCTTCGCTTCAATGCAACACACGATAAATAAATACAACCGTAGAAATTGAAACATCGTAATCAAAATATTTGTTTCGGATGCCAAAATCCGATTCTTTTGATTAGCAGCAAGTGGTAAGGCTACGTTTGTTCCTGAATTTTGAATAATCAAAGAATGCCTGAAATTTTAAAATAGATCATAGATTGTTTTAAATTTTGCTTAATTTTATTTCACATCGACATTGTTTATCATACAAAATGGCCTTTCATTTCGATACTTTCCAAAATTCCATGCACGGAAATCGCTGTTCAAAACAACGTCCCTGCGATCCTGCCCTCGCGGCATATAATCTTTCGACTGACATGCAATAGTTTTGACGCTTTTTTATTGACCAATCGAAAACGTTCTTATATCCAATTTAGTCTTCAAAATACATTTAATCTTAGGTTAAATATTTTAACCCTGGGTTAACTAACCCTACCGCTAACCCTGCTTTGAACAACACAGTTTTAACCCAGGTTTAGCTAACCTAGGGTTAAGGATTTTAACCCAGGTTTAGCACTAACCCAGGGTTAAATTTAACCTGCTTTTGAACAACCGGCCCCAGGTGTATATGTTAAAGTATAGGTCTCTACCTTCCTGGTATTTAATAGTTTACAATAGTATTATATTCCAGTGCGAAAAGTATAAAATAAATGTTTTCCTTTAAGACGTGGACAAACAAATGTAATCCGATCAACCGCAAAAACAAACAAAGCGGAATTATAAAACAGTCGGTGACAATTCATATCATCTTTAAGCAAATGCCACGTCACCCAAATGAAACTCTGAAACTCAGTTTGTCTGGACAGTTCATCCTGTGTTTGCACAGCGCAAAAATCTATGATTTGCAAAGACTTCATTGTCGTGGATCGCGCATGAAGGAGAAGAATTGTGGACTATTCAGTCTAGTTTACTGCTATAATGGTCGCTTGAAATTCGCTTCCTTGTATAAGCAAAGTTTGCTGTGGTTTAAGATAGCTTTAAGATAGCCTTAAGATAGCGCATCCTTGTTTAAGCGAAGTTAACTGTGGTTTAAGATGGCACATCCTTGTTTAAGAAAAGTTAACTGTGGTTTAAGATGGCACATCCTTGTTTAAGAAAAGTTAACTGTGGTTTAAGATAGCTTTAAGATAGCGCATCCTTGTTTAAGCATAGCCTAACCGTGGTTTAATATGTTAAGTGTGCTTTGCCTTTAAGATGGCACACACAATATGGAGGCAGGGGGTGAAGAAGATAGACAGCGCGGATATTCCCTTTAAAAAAATGGTGGATACTAATCATCATGCATGAGAAAGACTGATTTGTACAACCGCTTATGAAAACAAATTTAAAAGGAGAGCTTTGAATATCAGGCCGAAGCTAATGTTAAGACTTAAGTCTTTTGCATTCAACTCGGCCATCAAAAGTTCGACGTCTTGAAGTGTTATGAATACGCGGCAGCAGGTAGCAAAAGCTCATAAGATGCTAGATGCTTCATTGTCATTGTATCTCAAACACGTTTATGTGCTAATTGTGTTCGTACGTAGCTGATTCATCATTCATGCAGCTTTTGTTGATGAAGAACAATGTGGACACTTGACAACATTCACGATAGTTTGATGCCATAAGCATCAAATGTGGTATAACACCTGCCTAAAATAGACAAAACACTTCTCGACGTTTTTGACCTCAGGGCCTTCGTCAGGAGAGTTATATAGTTGTTATACCACATTGGATGCTAAGTTGTTTGAAGACGCTGCCACGCTGCTTCCTGGTTATATTGGAACTTATCTAATGCCATAAGCGTTTGCGGTTTGACACATGCTGTGGCTGTGCTCTCTGCCGAACAGAATAAAAATTTATTGCACTTCGAATACATGCAAATCCGACAACTGTTTACGCTACCTCGCTGCATTTTCAAAGTCGGTAAAGTTTAACTATGAGAACATCAACATGGGGCCGTCAAAAATGAAATATTAGGAAGCTTCAGCAGTGACAACGAGTACGACTACACGTTTCGTCAGATGGCGTAAGCAAAAGCACCAAGTTTGGCGCGAAAATGACGAATCTTGTACCTATAGTCGTACTCGTAGTCACTGCTAAAGCTATTGCATATCGAAAGACGAGTACACCTTTCTTTTGCCTCAGCGAAACATTGTTTTTTTTTGCGCAAGTAGCAAGTAACAGAGCGTAGGACACCCGCTATTTTGAAAGTCATTACAATCTTCTGCCCTGATAAGTGACGTGACAAATTGATTTATCACTTGTGGATTAGGAAAATTAAAACTCTGCATGTAAGATAAGAGTGTTATATATAATATACGTGCCTGTCCGCGTACCGTCTTAATTGCTGATCGCTCGGTGAGGGAAACGGGGGGGGGGGGGAGAAGGGGTGAAGGTACAACCAGAATGAACCCAACATAGAAACATTCTATATATAAAATATTTATAAAAAAACTTTGCACATAATGAAATGAAACGTTCGTATTTCAGCTGCTGAAGAGTTTATTTGAATTTACGCTTATATATTCGTGTGGCCATTATTGAAAATTAAGATATTGTATTCGCTATTTAATTTTGAAAAGTTGCTGAAAGAATATAAGAATAAGTTTTTACTAAATATACTTTGTTGCCAAGGAAATGATGTAAATTTTCCCTTTTTTTATTGATACACGAATGAGCAATGCAAATAAAAGCTAGAGTGAAAGAAAAAATCGCTGGTCGCTTAATTGGTAGTTTGAAAATTTCGCTTTAGTGAATTCAGCGTTGTTTCCGCAACCCTGATAATTCACTGCATGCACTACGATATTAGTCATTCAAAAAAATGTTAAACATAAATATTCCTGATACGTGAGCTATATTATCTTCACACCACCAGCTGTCATGTCAGTTCGAGCAAAGGCTTCAACTTAGGTAAACAATTACATTGCATAACGCTTGGCAAGCCAAGCTAGCCAGCTTGCTTAGCTAATATTGACCAGAAATGTTTCGAGAAAAAAACACTCGGAATAGCCAGTCGGCCAAGCTCGTCGTGAAAAATCCCAAGAAAACGAATGGAAGGAATTTCGGGGCTAACTACACAGCTTAGGATGCCACGCAGAATCCTGTGCATTAATGATCTTGAGGCAGAAGTCGTTATCTTGAAATAAATATTAATGCCCACGATTGAGAAAATTCTGCGTGGAAAAGCCATAACAAATATATAGAAATAGCGTAGAACTTTTGATGGAAGCTCGCAAAAGAGCATCAATTGCATGTCGTTCGTCTGAAGATGCTGACGAAGTGTACAGTTTCAGTCCAGCACCGTTTTTTTTGTCAACATTTACCACTTGATTGCCAAAGAACTGACCGCGAAGCAAAGACGCGCCACTAGTTCGCGCGATTCAAAACGTCGGCTTTTAACATAATAAATTCTGAGCCATCGTCATCGAGAGAAATATAGTAGTTTTTAAGCGTATTTTGTTGACAAGCTAAACAGCTAGCGCGTGGCTATTGTATATATACGGGGGTTGAAAATATGTACATGCAAAAGCACAATATATACACATTGACACAACGGTGTGAATAAAATTAAACGGCTAAAAACTACATTACATAACTTACAACGAGTTTTGATATGCTTGGAATATTAACGGCAGCTTATTGAGATATTTGGAACAGCGTTAAAGAAAAGTTTACATTATTTATCCCTATACTTAGATGCTCTACACAAAGGCATGAGAAGCTGTTTAAAATAAGCGTTGTTAAACATCTGTCCTTTCGCGTCTTCTTGGCATCTGAGTATGAATATAATATGCAAAGCCCTTAAATAAAATTGAACTATGAACGTATGGTATAAGTCTAAATTTTGTGCATTAACGCACGGCACACGATATGCACACAAAATGTTTACAAAACAGGTTTCCAAGAGGTCCAGCGGATAAGAAAGTAGGATTGTACGAGGTATTTGTCCCTTTAACAAAAACAGGCCACTGAGGCAGATGGTCTTCCAAGTCGTTGCCACTGCCGCTTCTAAGCCAACCATGAAGCACAGTAAACGCACGTATTTTTATCAATAGTTCTACGTAAAAATGGACATTAAAAGTTCGAGCTGTTGATGTTCTTCAGGGATGTAAGGCGATAGGAAGCAATACCATAGCCACTACCCCTCCTTGCGCCAAACGAACACCAGTGTTATTCCCTTTCGGCGAGGTTCCTTTAGCAGCAGTTGACATAATGGTGCTGTTCACAGACATAGTAGCGGATGGAGCAACTGATTGGCAAGTAGGTTGATTTGCCAAAAGGACGACGAGCAGAATGAAGGCGATTTTTGCGGCCATTATAGGTTTAATAGCTTCAACGGAACAGAGCAACACTCCTTTGAGAGCACAAAAGACTGCTTTGGAGACTTGGATAAACTACTCGTGTCTGAGCGACCTCGCCGAAGGACAAACCCGTCTTGATCACTGAGCTGACCAATCAAATGCGTCCGATTTGCAACGAAATATCGTCGGCAGCCAATCGCATTGCGCATCCATACAGGTAGTTTACGTAATGCCTGCTCGGCGATCGGGATGAAATTATCCGGGTCCGGGTATAGCTTCTGTATGCCGAACTTACTCGGCAGTACTTTACTGAGCCTTATATATATAGTATATATCTGGAGTAGTAACTTCGTTGTTTCATTTTTAAGGACCGTTTTTACAAACACAATTTCGCAACCAAAAATCTTTATAAATTACTTAACGCATCCAATTGAACCGTGTGATAGGATATTTAAAGGCACGGATATTGCCGCGGCCTCCCCAGGCATAATTCAGAGGCTGCTAGCCAGGATACCAGACTTTTGTATTACGAGAAAATTCGCTGACACAGCCGAGAATCACTGAAGCGCGAGGTCGTACATGGAATAATTCTATTCTAGTGCAACGATTTTACTGATGGAAGATATACGAAGATTCCATTGGTACGATTTCATAAATAGCTACGGCCTTGTTACGTTTCTATGAAGGACATTCCTATGTTAAGCAGAAGTGTATGTCACGTAGCTACGTGTTTTCGTTGATATCTTGTATTCATTTGCGTGATAAACTATGCCCCCAAATTTATCTGCAGAGCAGTTATCGAATGCAGAATTGTTTAAAAAAATCTTCAAGAAAGTTGGTTGGAGTATTTTGGAGAGACGTCCGACCAGATGAATTAGATGTGAAGTTCAGTAATATAATAATGCGAAGCCTCACTAAAAGCCCACACACACTAGACGTAATTCGCCAACGCGCTGCGAATTACCAGTTCTTTAAAGCGAATAAGGAAGGAAATTTTGAGAGACATACATTATACACCACAGAAATGTCAAAATATTAAAAAATTATCAAAATTTTTAATAACATGATCAAGATTATTATAACATGATCGAACTTGGTTGCTTTTGAAAACTTAAAACTTAAACTGAAAAAATCGCGTCGCGTTGGCGGATCATTCACGACCGCTGTGCGTCGGCTTTCAAGAGTACAATTGAAAAAAAATCCTGTCATGTGTTTGCATGACAATGCATGACAATAAGAGCCCCTTTAATAGGCCTTTCTCATAATGACGTCAAACGTGGAAAACCTGACGTTACAAGAAGTTTGATTGGCTCCGCTACACAAACGAGCCAATCAAACGTTAGATGTGTACCTAACGTCAAACTTTTCGCGTTTGACGTTATTTTGAGAAATTTCTATTCGGTTGGCTTTCACGAAGCATTCCTAATTAACGCCAACACGTCGTTCGCTTTTACATGATCCATGCGTGAAGGTAGCTATATTAAATGCATTACCTGTCCAGAATACAGGTGACAAAAGCCACGGATGACCCTTGCTTTGTACAACCTGTCAGCAGCGTTTTCCATTCTCCTGATCATTGTCATCTGCTTGTAGTAGACCAGGCCATCCTCCCGTGTCAGGGTTGCCTTGACTGGAGGTCCACTATCCAGTCTGTGGAGTTTACATTCCTGAAGATGAATAAAACATAATAATTCATTGTGTGGAATTATACACACTTCAAATTCAAGCCAGGAACAGCTGATGTAAAAATGAGTGAACTATAGGTCCTCTGACAGGAATCGAACCTACGCTTTTGCGATGCCGGTGCAATGCTCTTGCCATTGGCATTGCCTATAGTTGACTCATTTTTCCATCAACTGTTTCTGGTTGATTGAATTTGAAGTGTGTATAATTCCACTCGAAATTAAGATCCTTTAAACCTCTAGAATTTACCTGCATCGAGTGAAGTGCCAAAAATCATTATAACTAATTCATTGTGTGTTTCATGTTCTATTGAGCATGAAATTTAATACTTGCTCAGCCATTGAATAATTGAACAGTATACACACAGACACACAGAGAAGTGTAATTACATGAACTAATCTAATCAGGGTAGTAGATAGAAGCTTAATTGGGGAGGTGTATAGTCATGTATATCAGTGGCGTAGTCAGAAAATTGTAATTGGGAGGCCCTAATCAATGAAGATGTGAACTCACCTCAATATCAAACTCAGCCTGTGTTGCTAATCCTCGAAGAACCAGAGAATTCTTCTAAAAAGAAATCATTAAAAGCACTGCAATGAAAATATTATCAAGACAAGGTAATACTATAATATTTTCAAAAGAGTTCCAGTTTATTAATAGCTCAGTAGTTAATACATAAAAACCTGATTAGTCATCATGCAGGCTGTTATTTAATAAAATTTTTATATCAGTTCAAGACAGGAACTAAACTAACAATTTTACTATATGCAACTTTGAATTTCTTATTTATATTATACACTTAATGTATGCTCCCGAGGGAAATAGTGAGTTTTGTTTTCCCAAGGGTCTGAATGTTGAAACATTGAGACTCGAGGGAAAACAACACCCACTATTTGTCTATTTCCCGAGGTGTAGCGAACATTAAGTGTTTTGTTATATAGGAAGAAAAACATACATGTTACACAACAATTTCATTTCCAAAAAATTTGTCATGACAATATGCGGGCAACAATTTTTCACTTGTTTCCATGGTAGGAAACATTGCATTTATTTAAAGTCATGTGACTACGAATGAACCAATCACATTTAAAGTACACAGCACTTACATAACAATCCTTATTATTTATACAGCCCAGCACAATTCCCGTGCTTGTGGAATTTTACTTGTGTAGACAGTATCATTTCTTGCATATTTAGCTTGAAATGATATCAAATTTTTGAAGACACCCTGTACACAATGATTATACATGAGGTATATAATTGTTGAAATCCATAACACAGCTCTTGTCCACTAGATATAAAGACTGGGGTATCTGATATGAAATGTCAAAACAATGTGACATTGGTATTGTTTTATATGCCAGCCAGAGATATGAAACAAATTCTTGGTACAATTCACAGCAAACTAGTTGTTTCACTTGTTTTAAAATAGCGACTAAAACCAGACTTAGTTGAATGGGAAATCTGATGGTATCACTTCCATAAGAATCCATAGCACCTGCTTAAATTATGTCTTGTACCAGTGTACAGATTTTGGTAATTTCATCAACACACAAGAAGGTCACGAAACATATGAACGCTATTTTGTTTAATACAAAGCTGTTACATACATTATTTTGTTACAACTAGGTATTTGAACCGGTAATAAATTGTACGTGGAATTGTATATTTCTCTATGAAAACTACACACAGAAGCAATTAAACTATGACAATTTTTGGAAATGTCAACGAAGATTAATTATTAAATGAACACTGCTGTAAATGTGTAAAATGAGCCTGACATTTCCATGCAGATACCTATGACTCATATAGATGGTTGCACAATAAATATTCATGCTTTATCTGTACTTTACGCATGAAACAGCACTTACCAACAACTGCCGAGATGACTTTCCACACGCAGAAGCAAGTGTACGCAACATTTCGCACAATTAAACTCCAAAAATTTGAAAAGTTTTGCGGAAAACACTTTCGTTTCTTTCGTTTATTTTGAAGCCGAGCAGTTAGTTCCCAGTTCTCCAAAATCACTCAGAGACGAACGACACAGCACACCCAAGTCAGAAGATTGATAACAAAATCCAAAATCCAATGTCTGCAGACAGTTTTATAAATATAAAAATACTGCTCTGAAACAACTGAATAAAAAATGTTTTCCAAGTGACATCATTAGATTCAGTAGCTGTATCCGAACACGCCGATAAAAAAACCGGAGAAAAGGGGCATGTATCTATTTATCCAAAACATTCAACATCTTAACCAAAAAGGATGGCTATTAGCTTATATTCTAAAAAGGTCTTGATTTCGAGTAGAATTATACACACTTCAAATTGAACCCAGTAACTGTTGATGGAAAATTTATCAACATTTCGGTTTTCCGTCAGGAATCGAACCTACGCTTTGGCGATGCCGGTGCAGTGCTCTTGCCAACTGAGCTACAGAGGTAGCCGACAAGACCAAGCGTGGTTAATGTGTATAATGATGGTAATGCCGGGGATATGTGAGGATAAATCAATTATGATTTCTTGCACTTCATTCGATGCAGGTAAATTTTAGAGTTTAAATTTATCACGAAATTAAGATCCCGTAGTCAGTTTATTAAAATTGCCAAATTGTAATCAAAGTAATCAAATTTGAAACAATTTACGAAAATATTTGTGCATTTAGACTCAGTCTTTTAATCGAAATGGAATTTACAGTGTTAAGAAAGAAGTGCTCTATTAATAAAATACGTCAATTAATAGTAATTAGCCAATTGATTGCAATTCTAATCGTACAAAATTATATTCTACTGTAACAAATTCTACCATTTCCATTCATTCCAAAAAAACCCCGAAAACAACAAAAGGTTTGCTTAAATCTTTTTAAAAGTAGTTAGAAAATCAAGGAAAATAAGTTGTTTTTGCCTAAAAACTAAGGCTAAAGCCTTTTGGCATTTTTGCGCGCACGCGCTGGAAGTGTTCAGTGATTTCCCCAGTTCCTTTGTGAAAATTTTATCGAATTTGTCCAAAAAAAACACTAAAAAATTCACACGGCTGATTTTGAGTTTGGTTTTTATTCAGTGCTATACACTTTACAAAATAAAACCGGGTGAAAAGGTGAATTCCCCGGGGAAAAAATTATCGCTTGACCGTACGCCCGAAAAACATTGCATTTCGTCTAGAAATTTTGCTGAAAATAATCCAAAATTGTGTTGAAATTTGTCTTAGGTTTTCCCATGTTGAGTTAAAAAAAATAATAAACCGAAAAAAAGCAAGGACAGAAAGCTTAAAGCGACTGAAACTTTTTCGACCCCGTTCGAGAAACAACTGACTTGAACCCGCTTCTTTGCCTTGAAATTGAAGAAAAAAACGGCTAACTAACTAGCCACTACCATATTAAGTGTTTAACTAACGATGAAAAGCGAAAATCGCCCAACCCAATTTTCTCAATGAATAGGTTTCCTAATTTTTCCTTATACAAAGGAAATTCGTCACCCGAGCGATGTTTTTCAAAAATAATTGCAGTTTCTCATCACTTTTCAGCCAAAATACGACTTAGATTGATGTTATTTAAACTTAAAATTCGTTAAACTATAAAGAAATTTCGATCATTTTAATGATTTTATCCCCCTGGCCTCCTTACTGTCACAGAAATACTTATTTAACAAAATACGTTTGACCCGAATAAAACAAATAAAAAGATAAAAAGTCCAGCTACATCCTTCTACTGATTATTCTTGTCTTTATTTTTAAAAAAATGTACAGCCAACAAAATTACATTCATGCTCATTATGATTAATCTTAATGAAGCTATATTACATAATACCAAATGACAATGCTTTATGCTTGCATATATATTAAGTTGAAAGAGTTTACAAATCAATATTTTTAAGTATAGCACCAATATACAAATATATTTTCCCTTGAGCATAATAATATAGAACACCTTAGATGTGGTAATGCATGCAAACCTCAAACTTTGATATCTCATTTTGCCTACTGACATTATTTTCTTACCAGGGGTGCTGGAAACAATTTAGGGCTATAGGGGCTTGAACTTTCCAAAAAAGACATTTTTGCTTACTCAGACATTACCTTTGAATCAAATATATGTAATGTACCTTTCTGAGAATAATAAGCATTATTGGAAAATACATTGATCAAAATTTAATGTATAATATTGTTATATGGTAATTCCAGCACTTCTGCTTTGGTACCTGTCTACATGTATGCTAGAGATTTATATTATGCACTGCATATTAATTATACTGTAGGTACCATCAAGCTGACATGAAACGAAATATTGATGAAATGATTTCAGAATTATCATTTATTGTACCTGTTTAAATGCAAAAGAACTTTTGTAATAAAATACTATGGGACAGAGTAAACACATAAAGAAATTACTCAAATTAGTGTGTGTATATATACCACTTTAGTATTGTCCTGAATTAACGCAATAGCACCTGACTTGCTTGAGAATGATGGATGGTATGACTCGACCTAGCTGGTGTGTCTTCTGGCTTTTTGATAAACCAACCGGCTGCAGTGCATGAATACATGACTGAAAAACAAGCAAACACAAACTCAATTGCCCCAAGGAACATAATCACCGCAGACAACCCCAATCCTTTCCGGCCGTGAAGCGTCATCTCTATTAAAAGGTTGTTCTCTTCATCAAGTTCAATGACCACGATATCACTGTATCCCGTTCGTTCCTTCTCAATTTCAGCTTTTCGTTTGTCAGATACACAGTGTTCGTAATAGTAGGTTCTCATGTACACAGCAACATATCTTCTTGAGTAGAAATCATCAACAGGATTGGCATTACTATTCAATTCATCATAAAAGTCGGACATTGATGTACCATAGGAGATGCAGATCATAATGGACAGGAGAGCACAGAATATTGATGCCCATGAATACCATGTTATCTGCGAAGAAAAAAATTGAATGCTATTGTTTAAGTTTAATTAACACATTTAGAACAACTGGCCTTGAAAAACTAACCTGGGTTAATCAAAATGAAGAGGCTTATGGTAACATGCATACTACAAACATCTAAAATGACCTGGGTAATCAGGTGCCAGTTGTTCAAAGCTAGGTAAGCGCTAACCCTGAGTTAAATTTTAATCCAGTGTTTTAGTTTATGTGTTTCCGAAGCACTGTTTGTTTTGAAACTTGAGAAAATATGACTTCTATCAGTCCATACAATATTTATGAAAAAAAGATATTCAACTTTGTAAACAAGCGACATAAAAATCAATGTAAAGATTTGCTTTAACCTAACAATTAAGCTAACCGACTTTTGAACAACCGGCCCCAGGATAATGATAAGTTATAAGGGTGAACTTTGAAAGTTGAAAGTTGAAAAAACTTACCATTTGTTGTCCAGAAACTGAGCAACTATACAAGCCAATGCCTGCTGTGGCTACGACCTGAAGAATAATTCAAATAAAGACCTTTCATCGTTGCTATTGAGAATTAGTATAAACTGACTAATAGGCTATCACTTTTCCTGCGTTCTGATTGGCTACGCTACTAGTAGGCTATTAGTGATAGCCTACTAGTAGCAAAATTCAAAACAATGGCGGAAAATTCGCGTTTCGCCGAAGTATCTGAAGATTTTTTGGACGACTTGTTGGACAATTCCGTACCAGAAAAAACAAAAAAAGCAACAAAATACGGGTAAGAATTTTTAAGGGTAAGAAAATACATAAAAATAACGTATACTCAATTGAATTTTTATATTTAAACTGAATTTTAAAACATTTTACGCGAACAACAATTAAAATATTTTCTTCCCTTTAATATACGAAATAAATTTCAGTTTCAATATTTTTGTATTGTGTTTCCTAGTTGTAAATTAATGTTATAGTTTATACTAAAACAATTAGACAACTCGGCCTCGTTGTCTATGAGCAAATAGTCAACTCGGCTTCGCCTCGTTGACTATTCGCTCATAGACAACTCCGCCTCGTTGTCTAATTGTTAAATAGAAATACCGACGAAAAACTAATATACTGTAATATTAAACAAAGGTAGTGCCTCACAAATATAACACATTTTATTATTCAACTCTGAGAAGTGCGTTGTTCGAAATTTAAAGAAATAAAAAAAGGTTTAATTAACAATCTATAAGGTCCTTGTCAATAATTTCAACTCGTTGTAAAACGGAATCCGGCGGTTAAATTTTATATTGCGCATTGAAATCATTCAGGTTTAATATATTTCCAAAACAAAATACGAGTGTGACTCGCAAACGCAGTTCTAATAATGATCGACCACAAAATTAAACTGTTAACTAAACCAAAACAGCTTGAAACGTAAGACTAAACCACAGAGCTATTAAACGGGCGAGAGTCCTCGCCTCAAAGAAATCATAATCACCGTGTATAAAGAAAACATACATCAAAATATTTGGATGTTGTTAATACTTACAATGATCCCAACCCAAATGCCTAGACCGGCTGTTGAAGTCCAGTGACAAAGCAATGTCGTACACACTATCCCAAAGACGAAAAAGAGGATTCCTATCATGATTTGCAGGCCAGCAATAAGCCGGACAAGACCCTTGCCACTACCATAAAGTGTAGCCATTTTTTACAAATACAAGTTAAAGTATTTTCGGCAAAAGAACGCTGAGATAATTACATTCCATTCCCATATATGGACGTTTACCGGCTAATGCACCCCGGAGATAATTACCCGCTTAAACTTCGGAAACGTTCGCAAATATATCGCTTACTGATCGGCAATCCCGCAGTCCTTGTTCAGTAAAATCCTAAATTTAATTCGACCATGGTCAAATGTACCGGAAAACACTGTTTTAAAAAGTGCAACATCAAACGGTTTGGTTTGAACAAAAAATTTATCGGTTTATAACCACCTTAATGAAATCCAGTCCGAATAAATCAATGCTCTCCCCAGTCCCTGTGCGGTCAAATTCAAAATGGCGGCGGCCAGGAGGCGTTGGTGAAATCTAAAATCCAGTAAAATCATTCCACTGAGGTAAAATCAAATATGGTGAAATTCGAGATAGCGACGTGCAAATTCGAGACATGCGACTGATGAAATAAGTTTCACATTAGCTGCAAAGTCAACAGAGAAGTTTGGTGTGGAAGGAGTTGCAGTTTCATGCTGAATTTAATGGTATTTTCGAATATGAAGCGCGGGGGGCTTTGAAATGAAGGACTGGATTACAGAGGGTGAATTAGGGTTACGATTGGTTACGATGTGGGTAAGTCATTAAGTGAGACTTGTGAGCTTTGTAACTAATACTTTGTAGAACAAAAATTGGAAATTACATGATTTATTGGAAACTTTTTCGTTTTAGGTTTAACTTAACAGCCAGTTATCAAGACAAACGTGAAGATGAAAGAGATATTTTTACTAGTCACTGTATTGAACGTAACGTAAGTTGTTTGTCTAAACGAGGATGGCTTATGGGCAGATTTCCACTGCCGTGTTTTTAAGTTGTTATAAAATTATTCTTAAGCCAGAATTCAAACTTCACTCCATATGGGCTTGTTTTCTGATAGAAGTTTTTCTCTTATTGTTTACCGGAAAGCGAGTTCATGTTATCTTATTTTGTTTAAAGTATCAGAATTGGACAAATCACTTGACGAGCGTTCGCAAATAAGTGACGGGCGTTCGCAAATCTATTATTTGGGGGTGTATCATGTCGCAGGGATGCCCCCTCTCCCCTCCCCTCCCCGTAGATTAGTGCTGGACATTATAGATTTTATGGGCTTGATACAACCAGCCCCTGATGCTTAAGACAATAATCTCGCAAACTGAGAGAGTTTGGTTCAAATGTCCTTCATTCACTTCATTTCTCGCGCAGTCGCAGTGAGCGAGTAATGATCCCATAATCACCACATTAGGCAATGTCATATATACTTAGCCTTCCACTGATGCAGTCAAACACGCTGCGTTTAGCAAGCGCTTATAGTCTTGTGGTAAAAACAATGGTGAAAAAGGGCACTTTAACGCTACTCTAAAACTTTGAAATTGAGAAATTAAGATTTCCTCTATCAATTTCAAAGTCTGCAAAGAAATGATTAGAAAACAAAGAAACTTTCGTCTTTCACCACCGTGAAATAAAAAAACTTTCGTTTTTCAGCAGCGGTGGGCGAGTTGATTAGGACAGTGCTTAGTTCATAGACGGTGGTTCAAGCCCTTCCAGTGTCAAAAAAGTTGCAAATTCTTATCTAATTTCAAAGTCTCGAAAGAAAAGATTAAATTAAATAAAAAACATTTACCTTTCACCACCAGCAACGGTGGCCGAGTGGGTTAGGTTAGTGTCCGTAGACATTGGTGGCTCAAGCCCTTGCAGTGTCAAGAAAATCAGCTGCAAATTCTTATTTAATATCAAAGTCTTCAAAGAAAGGATTAAATGAAATAAAAAACTTTCGCTATCCACCACCAGCAGCGGTGGCCGAGTAAGTTAGGGCAGTGGTTAGTCCATAAGCGGTGGTGGTTCAAGCCTTTCCAGTGTAAAAAATAAGTTGAAAATTCTTATTTAATTTCAAAGTCTTGAAAGGACAAGGGCTTGAACACAGCCGCTTAAGGATTAACCACTGTCCTAAGCCACTCGGCCACCGCTGCTGGTGGTGAAGATGAAAGTTTCTTATTTCATTTACTCATTTCCTTGGAGACTTTAAATTAAACAAGACGCCTGTTCTGGCGTTAACTCCGGCGCACGTGCCAGTCTTTAATATAGAGCTTCTGAACATAAACAATACAGTTCATATTCGCATTTAGATGCCTTGCGAACCTAAATGTTCGATCGCGAAATTCAGAAGCACATCGTACTTTAAAAAGTATAGAGGTTCAATTATCATTACCACCCGAAAGAATAGATTTAGGTAAGATAAAAAAAACGAACCTGTGAATCATAAGGTCTCTTTTGGTCTAGTGTTGAAGGCAATGGTCTCGCAACATTCAAGTCGGTATTTCGAATCCTCGGAAGAATGATTTTCATTATTCACCCAAAAAAAGGATTGAGATAAACGTAGCCTTAAACGTCAAGCGCTGGTGGTCTAGTGGTGAAGACAACGTTCTCGCAATCTAGATGACCATGGTTCGAAACGTTATCTGGCCTTTTTTTAGTATGCTAATTGCAACTTACAGACATGCGTCGTGCATGTAAGTGTACTGTCTTTAATTCTCTACGCATATGATGTATGCACGTGGTCATTCGTGCACTGTGTGGACTATTGCATGATGTCAAGAAAATTTTAAATGTCCTTAATTCACTCCATTTGTTGAAAAATTGACCGGTTTTAGGTTGCAGTAAATGCAGTGAGTGAAAACGGACACTTTGCGTTTATTAAACGTACTTAAACGATATTGCAAAGCGAGAAAAAGTGAAATTAAGTATTTATAAACCCCGCGCAGTCGCAGTGAACGAGTAATAATCCCACAATAACCACATTGAGCAATGTCGTATATACTAAGCCGACAACTCTTGAACTCATACACCACAGGCACACACCGACTATCGTTATCTAATCTTTTGGCAGGATTCTGTGGAAGAACTTTTGTTCTGGCATGTGTTTAGAGGATAATGATAGTTCGAATCCTATTATAACCGTTTTTCATTAAGAACTTCGTGAAAAGAATAAAGTAAATTAAATAACCATCGCCCTTCAGCACAAGATCGTGTAGTCTAGTGGTGAAGACAATGGTCTCTCAAGTGGTAAATCGATGGTTCGAATCCTACCATAACGGTTTTTCATTATGAACTTCGTGAAAAGGATAAAGTAAATTAAATAACCATCGCCTTTCAGCAAAAGATCTTGTAGTCTAGTGGTCATGATGTTAGTCTCATGTGTCGGCTGTCGAAGGTACGAATCTCGTTTTAGATGAAAATTTTAGTTATTAATGTTACATGGTAAGGTTATGGAGAATAAGTTGGTGTAGGCTTCCAACAATCACCAGTTAGCCTTGTGGTAAAGTCGTGGACTATCAAGTACAAGATCGTGGTATCAAGAACAGTATGGTATATTCCTCATGGCGGTGGAAAGAAAATGGAAAAAAAAAATGGTAGGAATGTTGCTCGGGGGAGGTTTGTATTCGACAAATCTTTGCAAATCAAAGTTAATCTTTAGGGAAATCAGGGGATAGATAGGGTGAATGAGGGGTATATGAGTACAAAAAGACTTAGTAATTGGGCGGCCTCGGCTCCCGGGGCAGGGGGAGGGTATAGGTGAGAAAACAGTATATAAAATGTTTAAGTCTTTTTGTACTCATTTAAACCTCTTTACCCCTATTTATCCTCCTATTTACTCCTATCTATCCCTACTTTTACCTATCCTCATATATCCCTAACTACCCCCTAACACAATTAAATGTTTGAAGAAAGCTTGCTTTGAAAGTCAGGAAAGCCGGGGGAAAGAGAACCCCCCTCAGTCTACTCCTCGCCCAAGGCGAGGGCATATTCGCCCTCTCGCTCTACTCCTCTCACACTCACAAATTCTCACTTTGTTACCTTTTTCTTTTTCGGTTTCTCCAGGGCTTGAACCATCGACTGTATACTTGGCAGATCATCGTCTTCACCACTACACCACCAGTTCTTGTGGTGAAAGCCTAGAGTTTTTTATTTTACTTAATCCTTTTTGGAAGGATCTTTGATGAAATAGAAGAAAAAATCATTCCCATGTGGGACTCGAACCATCGCCATCAAACTCGGAGAGCACTGCCTTTTCAAGTAGACCGCACGATCTTGCGATGAAACGCTGTATTTTTTTATATTACTGAATACCTTATGGGTATAGGATCTCAAATGAATAACAATTCACTTTATTATGTCTTTAACGTTCATGATTTATTTTCTCGTCGAAAACGCACACAATATTAGCCATTTGTGTTGTCGCTAAAGTAAATTACAGTTGTGCAGTTCTCTAAAACACTACCTTCCCAATTGCCATAAGTTAGTTATATGCGTCCCAGATGAAGCTAATGGTTACGGTGCGATTTTTTTGTATTTTTAATGAAGTGAAGTCAAGTAAAGTACCAAAGTTAACAATGCATTTTAAAAGAAAAAAGTACAAGAATTAAGAATAGCCGAATTCATATTAGGGCGGGAAACTCATCTTAGACGGGAAAGTTTATAGTAAAAACCCGTCTGAATATGAATTGGCATATGGATAAGTTTATACGTATGATGGGTCGGGTAATGCGTAATCATTACGATAATAATTGTGTTTATTTTTCGTAGTCTTGTTCCGTCCTTGACCGTGCTGATATTTCTCAAACTAGTCTGATTTACTGATCCTTCTAAATGCGAATTTAAGACGAGTTTCTCTTCCAGACGGGATTCCCGTCTAACTTACCCGTCTCTTAATTTAGTCAGGAAAGTTGGACGGAAAAATTCGGACGAGAAACCCGTCTGTGGGGTTCACATCAGACGAGTTTCCCGTCTTCGATGAGTTTCCGTCTTTGATGAGTTTCCCGGCTAAATGTATATAACTCGTATAGTCATGAGACAACAAGAAAAATTAAAAGAAGTTCAGTTCAAAAGCGCAATTTTCGCAGTTAACCGCGCTAACAAACAAACAGACAGCAATATTACAGCAACGATTCATAATTATTCATTTAGAAGTTCTTCGAAGAAACGATTAAGTGAAATAGAGAACAATAGCTTATCGACAAACAATGTGGTCGTCAAGCAGTTGTTAAGACGTTCTTTACTGCAAAGGTTCAAATATTACATTAGCGTATTTTATATTCGACGAACCGGCTGGACGAACCGGCGAGGAACAGTCTTGAAATAAATATTTAATATCCGTTTAACTGGATATTTGCTTATTTGCAATTTCAGATGAAATGTTTGTTGCCTCATGAGTATATACGAGTTATATACATTTAGCCGAATTCATATACACGGGAAACTCATCAAAGACGGGAAACTCATCAAAGACGGGAAACTAGTCTGATGTGAACCCCACAGACGGGTTTCTCGTCCTAATTTTTCCGTCCAACTTTCCCGTCTAAATTAAGAGACGGGTAAGTTAGACGGGAATCCCGTCTGGAAGAAAAACTCGTCTTAAATTCGCATCAGTTAGACGGATCAGTAAATCAGAATAGATTAGAAATATCATCACAATCGAGGACGGAACAAGGCTACGGAAAATAAACACAATTGTTATCGTAATGGTTACGTATTACCCAAACCATGCATCACACGCGTATAAATTTTCCATATTCCAATTCACATTCAGACGGGTTTTTACGGCTATTAACTTTCCAGTCTCAGTAAGATTAGTATTCGGCTATTCTTAATTCTTGTACTCTACTTCGACTTCACTAGTTCACTTCATTAAAAATACAAAACAATCGCACCGTAAGCATTAGCTTCACTTGGGCCACATATAACTAACTTATAGAAGATAGTGCTTCAAGTCACTGCATTCCTGTATGTGATATGTTACAAGCTACGAATACGATAGTAAAGCCTGTAAAGATACAGTGCGTGAGATTTGAGAAAATAAATGATAAACATTAAAATGAATTCATTTAAATTGTTATTTCATTTGAGATCCTATCAAAAGGTATTTACGTTTCGTCACAGATCCTTCTAAAAAAGGATTAAGTAAAATAAAAAACTCTAGGCTTACACCACAAGAACTGGTGGTGTAGTGGTGAAGACGATGATCTGCCAAGTATACCGTCGATGGTTCAAGCCCTGGAGAAACCGAAAAAGGTAAAAAGTGAGAATTTGTGAGTGTGAGACGAGTAGAGCGAGAGGGCAAATATGCCCTCGCCTTGGGCGAGGAGTAGACTGAGGGGGGTTCTCTTTCCCCCGGCTTTCCTGACTTTCAAAGCAAGCTTTCTTCAAACATTTAATTGTGCTAGGGGGTAGTTAGGGATATATGAGGATAGGTAAAAGTAGGGATAGATAGGAGTAAATAGGAGGATAAATAGGGGTAAAGAGGTTTAAATTAGTACAAAAAGACTTAAACATTTTATATACTGTTTTCTCACCTATACCCTCCCCCTGCCCCGGGAGCCGAGGCCGCCCGCCCAATTACTAAGTCTTTTTGTACTCATATACCCCTCATTCACCCTATCTATCCCCTGATTTCCCTAAAGATTAACTTTGATTTGCAAAGATTTGTCGAGTACAAACCTCCCCCGAGCAACATACCTACCAGTTTTTTTTGCTTTTTCTCTCCCACGGCCATAACGTACCATACCGTTCTTGATACCACGATCTTGTACTTGATAGTCCACGACTTTACCACAAGGCTAACTGGTGATTGTTGGAAGCCTACACCAATTTATTCTCCATAACCTTACCACGTTTTATTAATAACTAAAATTTTCATCCAAAACGAGATTCGAACCTTTGACTCTCAACACATGAGACTAATATCTTGACCACAACACTAGAAGATCTTGTGCTGAATTGCGATGGTTATTTAATTTACTTCATCCTTTTCAGGAAGTTCATAATGAAAAACGGTTATGGTAAGATTCGAACCATCGATTTACCACTTGGGACACAATTGTCTTCGCCACAACACTACACGATCTTGTGCTGAACGGCTGAGGTTATTTAATTTACTTGATCCTTTTCCCGAAGTCAATATTTTGAAAAACGGTTAAGGTAGGATTCGAAGTATCGATTTACCACTTGGGAGACCATTGTCTTCTCCACAACACTGCAAGATCTAGCGCGGAATTGCTATGGTTATTTAATTTACTTTATCCTTTTCGCGAAGCACATTATGAAAAACAGAAGTACTGGGTTCGAACCATCGACTTAACACTATGGTGGCGTTATAATCAAACCTGGCAATAAGCAAGGTTGAGAAGAACCTTTCTTCGAAATCCGAAGGCTTAGTATATAAGACATTGCTCAATGTGGTGATTGTGGGATTAATATTCGTTCACTGCGACTGCGCAGTGTTTCTGTATACTAAATTTGATTTTTTATCGTTTTCAAATAGCGTTAAAGTATTTTAATAACCGTAAAGTGTCCTTTTTCACTCTCTGCATATACTATAAGCTTAAGTGGTTGGTTCAGTTAGGAAATGAAGTGATCAAAGAGCATTTAGAATTTTATTGATTTATTAAACGTTTTTTATACCCTGAACAGGATTTAACCACTACCTCTGAACTTACCAGTCACTTGTCTTAAAACAGAGGTAGCCCAAGACAAAATACTTCTTCGTCAAAAAATATCTCGGAGAATTTTAAAAAAGTGAAAAAAGGGAGTCTAAAACGTAAACAACCTTACAGCATGTCTGTGTCTTAAGTTAGAGCACTATCTTTCCATGCCTAAGTTAGTTATATGCGGCGCAAGTGAAGCTAATAGTTACGGTGCGATTGTTTTGTATTTTTAATGAAGCGAAGTCAAAGTAAAGTACAAGAATTAACAATGCATTTCAAAATAGGTTTAAAAGAATAAAGTACAAGAATTAAGAATGTATATTTCAATGTGTATAACACGTATACACTGTTAATTTTGCGGTGTCATATTGACACCAAAAAAGGTGTCAAATAAAAAGGTACAGAATAACACCATATCGGGTGCTAAATTGACACCGCGAATTAAGGTGTCAAATTAGCACGATCTTTGGTGCTAGTTTGACGCCTACTTTTGGTGTTAATCTAACACCTGAAGTTTGTGTGGATTAGTTTTTGCACTTTTAGCGCTAGCAATGGAGCGACTAAATAGCATAAGCTATAATCATACGAAGTAGACCAAATTCGATTAAAAAATATTTATTTCTTCATATGCTCTGACTGGAAAATCTACGTAGCTACAAGAATGTTTAAAATTTTACGGTACTTAAAGTCCTTCAAAAGTTTTTGTCCTAAGGCTTCCCGACGAGAGCAGTTTCCAAAAATGCACACACATTTGCCTCACCAGCAATGTACTCCATGTTTAGTAGATAAAATGAAGTTGAGTCTGTTCTTTGATAAGTTAACATTTGCCCCTCCACCGCAATCATGAAAGTTTGAACATCTGAAAGGTCTTCTGAACGAATTAGCCTTGGGTCCTGATCTATGGAATCAACAACGTATAATAAATAACAAATATTTTTAAAGAGGACTTTAAAAGTGTCTAAAAAACAAAATCAGCCCACAGAGTTTTGTCACACTTAGGGTTAGGGGTAGGGTATTATGTCGAACAAAGAAATTTGACAGTCAATTATCTGTTTGGATTGTTTGTTAACAAGAATTATGGCAAAGTGTTGAAATAGAGCACTTGACATCAATCCAACAGGTATCTTCTATCAACATGAATGCTGTAAACTAAAAGCAAACTTACCTCTGTAATGAGCTGTAGTGCAGGATATTCTTCTAAAATTGTTTCAATCTATGGCCTTGTTATGGTCCATGAACCCTGTATCAGAATGAATTGAATTATCATGTTTAACAATCAGATCCATTTAATAAAGGGTATATACGTATAATAGAGGTGTTATACTGTATTTTTTGATAGCATGCCTACAACCAGATTCAATTTCCTACTCCCAACTATTCAACTATACTGACACCCTAGTTCAGGAACATTTTAAAATCAGGATTAGGATTTTCAGGAATATTTTCAAAATACAAACCACACAAAATACAAAATCTAAGATGAAAAGGGTCGACAGAAACCAAGTTTGGCAAACACAGATAATCATAAAGATTACAACAACAAGGTTATCACTTACTGTTCCACAACCACAATTGAGTCAGCAAGGAAGGGATATTTCTAAATTATCATAGATGAAATATTTTGTTTTTCTTCCATGGTTGGATACATTAATTGTATACACTTTCATTGTTGACAGTAAATATCCCTTCATACCCTTGTCATATCATTAGAATTACAGTTTCCCCTTAATTTGCCACATTTGAGGCCTTCATTCAATCTTGGTGAAAACTTAAAATAGACAAGAATTATAATTAATCATAGGTATTGTAGATTTATTTATAGTTGATAAATGTATCAGTCCACAATTCAACCTCACTATAGAACACAATCAATGGCTGGGCAATTGAATGACTGACAGTATTTGTAAGAATACAAGTTGAATTCAATTTTTTCAGCAGGCTATTAGATAGTACTTTCAGGTAACCTGTAGGAGATTTTATGTCTCAATAATGTTATCAAAAGACATATTACATAGGCACATATATTCCATGAAACAAAAAACGTTCTCTAACATCAAATGTATCAAATAGGGCACAAATTGTCAACTGCTAATATAGGATAAAATATCGTTAAATTACATCAATATAACTATATAAGAGCCTAGCGCAGATGCTTCATAAAATCACGGTAAAATAAACATGAATAGATACCTATTATTGCAATGATATTTTCTTTGACCCAGATTGCTAAAGAGATCATCGCAGTATTAAAAGTAGAATTCATTTGGCTTCTCTACAATAATAAATAACACACATTTGTTTGTTTGGCGATTTGGCCGTTTGAGCGAACGTGGTACTCGATCAAATTCAATTCAATTCAACTTACCAAGATATTTCTGAGATAATATCATAGCCAATTGTCTTGATATTTCCTTATGTGAGTCCGTTGGTGTTCAGCATATTTAGAAGTACCAAAATAGTTAAGAAAATACGCTGAAAACGTCTTCAACACTGCAGTATGAAATACGATTCAAAAGAGTTTTCAAACGACGCGCTCAAAATTTGCATACAGGCGCTGATCACGTGTTATATTTTGTTCCTTATATGGACATACATATCAGGCGATTGCGAAATAAATACTTTGTAGCAATCAATACATAAGCAGTCCGAAAATATAGCACGGAATAACATAGTTTGATGAAATGAAAAGGACAATGCATCACTATCGATGTACCATTTGTCTAGTATTCGTCTCTATTGGGTTTTTTCGTATCATAGGAACAAGCCGAATTTCCATGTCGTCAGATCACTCAGATGAATAGTTGTGCGAAAACGCACAGGAATTTCTTGTTCTAAAACATTGATTCGAAAATACAGATTTATTTTCCAATAACTTAAATAACCGCTCTTTCCCTATCCATTCTGTCTGAAGATGACTTTGTAATAAAGTCGAAAATTCTCTATTGCTATTTAGTGTTATTTTGACACCCCATACTTTAACTCTCAATCTGGCGTTATTTTAGCACTTTCCGTCTGCGAAATAGGTGCTATTTCAGCACCTTGCAAAGGTGCTGAAATTATAAGGTGTCATATTGGCACTTTTAGCGTAATGTCAGATTTGGTGGTGTTAAATTAGCACCGAAATTGGTGTCAAAATAGCACTTTCTATTTAACACCACCACAATGTGTTGATTTGGCACCTACGCTGGTGCTATTTTAGCACCTCAAAATTAACAGTGTAGTCATGAGGCAAGAAGCAAACACCTTGTACTCTCGTAGATTGCATCCGAAATCGCACTGAAATATCCAGTTAAACAGACATTGACTATCTAATTCAAAAACTTTGTTGTATAAAGAGACGAACCGTCGAATATGAAATACGCTAAGAAAAAAGAAGTTCTGTTCAAAAGCGCAATTTCCGCAGTTAACCGCGGTAACAAACAAACAAACAGCAGAACAATAGCTTATCGACAAACGATGTGGTCGTCAAGCAGTTGTTAAGACGTTGAACTCTTCAGTCCAAAGGTTCAAATGTTAGATTAGCGTATTTTATATTCGAGGAATCGGCCAACGACCAGCTGGTATTTCGACTAGGGCGCTTTCCTTCACGGTAAAAACGGCCAGACCGGTCCTGTTGTATTTCGGTACAGACAGATTACTGGTATTTTAGAGTGTTTCAAGAGCTCTGCATTCAAGTATATCGTTATTTATATCTGCCTAGCACAAGACATTTAGACTCGTCTTAGACGAGAAACTCATCGAAGACGGGAATCTCGTCTGATGTGAATAACAGACGGGTTTCTCGTCCGAATTTTCCTGTCTAACTTTCCCGTCACAGGTACGTATGGACGGGAATCCCGTCTGGAAAAGCAACTCGTCTTAAATTCCCATGCATTTAAAGGATAAATGGCAGATGAGTTTGTAAACTATCAGCATGGTCAAGGACGGAACAGGGCTAAAGGAAACTAAACAAAATTCAATATTATCGTATAATAGCCCCGTTTACACTACACTGAATTTACCGGCACGGCACGGCACGGCTAAAATGGGCACCCGTACCCAATTTTATTAGTGTTCAGGCTACCAAAACAAAGGCCGAGTACAGATGAAATGGGTACGGGTGCCCATTTTAGCCGTGCCGTGCCAATAAATTGAGTGTAGTGTAAACGGGGCTAATGATTACTCATTACCCGACCCATCATACGTATAAATTTATCCATATCCCAATTCATATTCGTACGGGTTTTTACTATCAACACTATCAACTTTCCCGTCTAAGATGAGTTTCCCGCCCTAATATGAATTCGGCTATTCTTAATTCTTGTATTTTTTTATTTTCTTTTAAAATGCATTGTTAATTTTTGTACTTTCCTTTGACTAAACTTCATTAAAAATACAAAAAAATCGCACCGTAACCATTAGCTTCATTTGGGACGCATATACCTCTCTCTTTGTACTCATATACCTCTCATTCACCCTATCTATCTCCTGATTTCTCTAAAGATTAACATTGATTTGCAAAGATTAATCGAGTACAAACCTCCTCCGAGCAACAAACCTAACATTTTCTTTTTTTTTCTTTTTCTTTCCACCGCCATGTGGAACGTACCATACTGTTCTTGATACCACGATCTTGTACTTGACAGTCCTCTACTTTACCACAAGGCTAACTGGTGATTGTTGGAAGCCTACACCAATTTAAACATCACTTCACCATATGCGATACCATTGCAATCACAACAACGCCAACAGATCATTTGGAAAAGGCAACGCTAATTCATTTTTCTTAATGCATTCTCGTCTGTCGAACACCCAACCGTTTCGTATCCCTTCCAAAAATTCAACTTAATATCTCTGAAATAAGTATGACAAGTATGCCGCCGTTGAAAAAATGAAGCACCGTTTTTAGTACAAAAAATGTCACCGAACCAAACCAACTTTCGATACAATAATTTCAGTGGCGTCGGGTCTTCCGCACGATCAGCAGATAAGAGGTAAACGCAGTAGTTTTGCAAGTGGTCAAGCGATCGTTTTAGCCTTATCAACGTACGTATACTTTTCCATCGAAATTATTATCTTATTATAAACTATTTAAGAAAAGAGAAGGTAGAATTGTTGTTATATACTTTGGCGATTTTCATATGCTACTGTATTTTGCTCAATTAATCGATATTATCATGTGATATCATTTGCAATGAAAATTTTTAATCGAAGCGACCCAACTTCGAACCATATAGACCAGGAGCTCTTGTGTTCAACGGCTTTGTTACCTATTTTACTTTATCCGAAGGTCATTCGTTGTATAAAACACAAAGTTCGTTTCTCGTAGACGCCAATCTTAAGGTCTCTAATGCATATAACTTGTACAGTTGAGCTCTTGAACGGCTGGAATGATATGGGTATATAAACATGCCGTACAGGATGTGTCATGGGCGTCATAGTCTCTCCCCATCAAACTCAAAGACTGACTCTCCAGTACTCTTTTCACACGTGGTTTTCAAAGGGGGGGGGATTCTGCTAGCAACAGATCGAGTGGGAGGAGCCTTGCCGGTTCTAAAATCGCTGCCAAGCTTCAATTGTCGACTTTTAGAAACGCATTTCGCCAGGGGGGAATTTGCTTAGGAATAGACTATCAGCAGAAACAGGTCCCCCTGGATACGGAAGGCAAAAGTCTATTCCTATAAAACGCCCCCGTGGCGAAATGCGTGTCAAAACCTCGGCAACTGATGTTTGACGGGGATTTTAGCAACGCCAAGTCCTACTACCCCGAGCTGCTCTCCTAAACGCAAGTCTTTTTGAACTCATATACCTTTCATCAACTCTACCTATCCTTAAAATTAATCTTAGCGCATTTACCTATCCTAAAATTTTTAAGACCATGGCCCTCGCCACTAGACTGGTAGATCTTTTGTTGAACCGCTTTTTTTATCTGTTTTACTTCAGCTCCTTTCTCGAAGGTCATAATGAAAAAAATTTTGCTCCACTAAACCCCGAAGATGAGAATGGTTATTTCTTTTATTATACCCTTGTCTTGGATCAGGATGAAAAATGCTTTTGGACGGTTTCGAACCATCAATTTACCATTAACAAGACCATTGCTTTTACCACTACACCAGTATATTTCGTGTTCAAAGGCTGTAGTTATTTGTCTTACTGTATCCTTTTCTCAAAGGGCATAATGAAAAACATTGCCATACGTTCACGGATTCGAACCATCGAACAGACATCAACATGCTACAACATTGTCTCACCACTAGGCTACAAGTCCTTGTGTTAAAGCTTTCCATTCGTTCTTTTTTGCTTGTTTCCTTTAAGTCAGAATGAAAAATATTTCTTCCCGGATTCGAACCATCGACTTACCACTCAATTAACCACCGCCGTGACCACTAGACCACGAGATCTTGTTTCTAACGATTCTCGTCTGTCGAACACCCATGGGTTTTTTAATTTAACCTAATACTTTTGGAAGAATTTTAAACGAAATAGTAAATCATCGAGAAAAATAAAAACTTCGCCGGGATTCAAATCTGCAACTTACCAGCTGAAAGGCCATGACCTTAACCACTAGGCCACCCGAGCTGGCGGCGAAAATGAACTATTTTTGTTCCTAAGCCTTTCTTCGAAGAATAATTAAATGAAATAACAATTCGGTGGGAAAATCGAGCCTTTGCCGGGATTCGAACCTACAGCTTATCAAATCGTAGATCATGACCCTCACCACTAGGCCAGCAGAGCTTGTGGAGAACGAGAGTAGCTTTTATTCGACTCAATATTCTCCTCGAAAATATTTAAAAAAAGGAATTCTTTGTGGCTGCCGGGAACAGAACCTTCACTTCACCATTCGAAGGGTTCTGGCTTTAGTCACTAGGCCACCAGATCGTGCGCTCATACTCAATTCCATTTATTTTTCTTTATTTATTTATTCATTGCCTCGTGTCAAAGCCGCACAACACTTGCGATATTATGTTCGATTTTCTTCTATTGACAGATATGAACGAGTGAATTAGTTACGAATGTTTTGCTGTATAAAGCTCTTATTTAAACATCAGTAACTGTCAGACAGCCTTAGATACACAATACACCAGTCATATGCCCCAATAAATGTAGCAAATCCTTATATATTTCGTTTTGCATTACAAAATGTTCTAGTCATACTAGGAACGTGTGGTTTCACCAGACAAGTAACCAGTGGCGTAGCCAGCCTGACGATTTTGTCCCGCTATGTAAATTTCGAGTTATTATAATTATTCATGCCTTAAAAAAATCTATTGTTTTCACAGTCAGTGAACACCAAAATATTAGCATAGCGGGACAAATCGTCCGGCTGGCTACGCTACTGCAAGTTACTCATCCATTGAAAACTTACATGCAAACCACCACTGAATATATACATACAAATTTTGGCATTAAATTCGCTCCTAAATACCATTTTAATCATCGTCTCGTTATAAGCCCGCGCTCCAGTAATATTTTGCGCTCTTCGCGAATTTCAATGTCCTGCGCATTTGCGCATCAATGAAGGATTAAGTGATCACACGCTATTCCAAATAAACGCGCAAATATAGAACCCTTTTTTCTATTTTTCTACCTACCAGAAAAATTCAAATTCTAAACTTCCCACAATTTTAAGCTACTTCTGAAAATGCATACTGTGAAATTTACTTCGCCGGTCGGGCGAAATGTGATTTTGATAATAACATAAAATAACATATCTATATATATATAATGTTGTCACCTATAAATACTCGTTTCATAGAAAAATACATAACTACGGGGGGGTTGGGGTTGTATAAATATTGCAATATGGGGGGATTTTGGAGCTGGTCTGGGCCGCTAGAATGCAGAACCGCTTAGTCTCTTTTTCATAAAGCCCATACAACCGAATGAGTTCTGATCAGGGAGATCGGTATCTGAGTAATCCTCTAGTCTCGTGACAATCACCTGCCATCTCGCATTGAAATTTAGTAGTTCATCGTGGAGCGCAGTTTTCGAGTCCTCGTCAGCAACGTTCTCGATGTCTTCGCTCACGGAGTTGATGCGATCGACGAGAGCTTGGTTTTTTGGAAAGTCCGCGATCTTATCCTGTTGGAAGGTAAAGAGGAATTACTACAACACCGGCAAGATCTATGATTTTCATGCCACATTTGCATCAATGAAAGAATATATCAGACTATTCCCTCAATAACTTCTTCCACAGACAAAAGCCCGACTGTCGTATTCTCACCTCTAAACTTTTAACCAGCCCTGCAACATCTTGTTGAAGATTTTCCCGCTCTTTTTTCATCCTAACTTTCTTCTCCTTTGCCGTTTCTCCGTTTTCCATGTCGTTGGACATGTTACCTCGCAGACGCTGCGCCTTCGTTTCATGCTCGTCAAGTTCCGCGTTCGTTTCGTCGATGTACGTATTCACCCGACTCTTCGCATCCTTCAGGTCTGCAAGTTTATACTGGATATTCCGCAGCTGAAACACAAAACGTTGATTTTGTTTGGTAACTTGTTAATGTGAACATATACTCTATTATATCCTCGTTCCCAGGTTTTTCGCGTACTACGGTACGCGGTTCTCTTTTACTGAAAACTCTAAGGCCTGTTTTCCACTTCAACCGTATCGTAACATAACGTAGCGTATTTCTTTGTTTCCGAAGTATTCGACCAGGACAAATTAGTGAGCTTAAGCAAGTGACGTCTTTGACAACACGTACGTTGACCGGAAGTAAAGTTTTTGTTTTTAACCAATCACAATCCTTGACCCAGTCTTTTCACGTTGCTCATGCCGTTTGTGTTGTCAAAAACGTCACTTGCTTAAGCTCACTATTACTTTAAAACAATGAGATACGCTACATTTCGATACGATACGGTTGAAGCGGAAAACGGCCTTAAAACAAACTCATGCGAATAATATATTGTTTGTATCGCTGTGAATGCATCAGGCGCCTTACCAATTCTATCCGTGCTATAATTTCCTTCGCCATATTGTTCCATCTTCTGTCCAACTGAGAAAGATCTTTATCTATGGTTCTCGACGCAGCCGCTTCATCGTTCAAAAACTTCATCAAGGCCATTCCTTTGATGTGAGTGTTGGATAATACTACTCCATATTCCTCAAGTTCGGATTGAAGTTTCTAAAGAAAGAACGTGAAATTGCTTACATCGTGTTTTATGCATGTCATGCTTTTAAATAGATTGCAAACTATGCTTTTATATAGGTTACAAACTATGCTTTTAAATAGATAGAAGTTCGCATAAAGGTAAATCTGTGCGGTAAATCTGTATATATTACTTCGTCGTACCTTAAGGTCTGTAATCTGTTTCTTCATCCCTTCTTCATCAGCCCAATTTATTTTCCCGTTAATTTCCGAAAGTTTTACTTCGTTCGGGTCCAACCATTTCACCAACGTTTCTTCCTCTTGTTTCACGAGTCTCCATTCCTTTACGACTCTTTGTAAATCCAGAGAATAATCATCAGACCATTGTTTCAAGACTCGCCATCTCTTCTCCAAATTTCGCACGTCCGTTTTGTAGTTCGTCTCGAGCTCGGTCACCCTGTCCGCCGCGTTTGACATCTTCTCCATATTTCGATGAGATAACTCTTCTTGGAATTCCTAGAAAATGGGAATGGAAACAGAATTCAGCATTTCCAAGAACAATTGTGCTGTACCAGAACTGCAAAAGTGCAAATTATGGTGGACTTCAATTGAATCAAAGTTCTGATCGTTTTTCTACAACAGAAAGGCAGACGTAGTTTAATTCTTTGCTTCTAAGAATTTCTAAGAATTGCAATATGATTGAATTTTATCCTATCCGCTGGCCAAGGACACGAGCCCCTTGTACAAGGCCATCGGAACAAAAGTCCGTTGGGCAAAAGCCCCTGATACGAAGGCGAATGACACAATCATTTCACCTTGTGTTCTTTGAGTTCTTTTTGGAATCCGGGCAGATCTTCAATTTCCAAATAAGATGAGGACATTCTATTCTCGCTCACGGCAATCCACGTTTTCCGTTCATCAACTTGCGTTCTGAACATCACTAAATAGTCGTCTAGCAACCTGCTAAAACAATATCCCGTCAAAATATAAAAAGAAGACTGATGAATGGCTGTTGTGCTCGATTTGGAAAAACAGTGCAGTCATCATGGACACAAACGTATTATCATACGATCCAATTCTGTCAGACCCAACCAACTCACTTGTGATGGATGTTTTGTAGTCCATTCACTTACAATGTATAGGCGGCAAATCAACTCAATCTAATGCAATACTGCTTTAATCAAACACAGGCTATATTCCATGCATCAAAAGTGAATGGATCGGGGGGGGGGGAGAATTGGATGGTGCGAGGAGACCTAAATGCAGTTTAACTTCTAAAATTTTCTGGATAAACTTAGTTGCTTCTGTGAGAGCATAACTGATCAAGCTGTCATCTGTGATTTCCTGGTTTTAGTATGTACATTGCGAGATCAGCTAAACAGTGTATTTTGTAAATTTTCACTCCAACCTACCGGTTGAACTCGGCACGCGACTTTGCAGTCATTTTGGCCGCATATTCTTTCAACTGTTTGATTTTATCCTCCACGCTGGATTTGTCCTCTTCCTTGAGGATGAGAATACCAAACGTCGTTATTTTCTTCGCTATCTCCAGGGTCACCTGTGCCTTTTGTTCCAAGTCGACAGCGCTTTCGGTAATGTTCTGCAAATGAAAATAGTGCAAAAATTTGAGCTACGCGATATCCCCTCGCGGTGAATTAAATTGAATTGAAACAATTGAAAAGCAATATGTACTAGACTAGTCTGGCTAGTATTAATACTGTAAGTAACACTTCTAGTATTTCAAATGAACAAACCTTCGCACTGTCCATTTGCTCTGTGGCTGTATCAAAGTCTCCTGACAACTTCAATTCTTTCAATGTTGTTTCCATCTCTTCAAAAGCGTGAATCGAAGAAGACAAAATGCCTTGTAGACCTTCGACCAGCTGCGTGTACAATCTGAAACGAAATAGGAACGTCGTGATCGAAATAATCAGGCAACACCTGCACCAATACGTGATGATCCTTACTAGATCTCTAGGAAGAACAGTTTAGAACTGATAGAGCTATCGAGTATAAATAAAGTTAGTTTAGTTTAGGCTTCCTTCTGTAGTAACACTGGATCAATAAGAGATTATCCTTACTGGACCTCTAGGAAGAACAGTTTAGAACTGATAGAGCTATCGAGTATAAATAAAGTTAGTTTAGTTTAGGTTTCCTCCTGTAGTAACACTTAATCAATAAGAGATGATCCTTACTGGACGTCTAGGAAGAACAGTTTAGAACTGATAGAGCTATCCAGTATAAATAAAGTTAATTTAGTTTAGGTTTCTTCTTGTAGTAACACTGGATCAATAAGAGATTATCCTTACTGGACTTCTAGGAAGTACAGTTTAGAACTGATAGAACTATCCAGTACATGTAGGACTAAGGCTTCTTACTTAGAATTCGTATCCTGTATTCTTCTTTGCAGATCATTTCTTGATTTAGCAATCGCCTGAATTTCTCCCTGATATTCGTGTCCTTGTTCTTCACTCAACATGGCTTCCGCCACCAATCTCTCGTTCAACTCCAGTGTGTTGAGAAAACCTTGCTCTCCTTTGATGATCTCCCGTCTCAACTCCTGAAGAAATACAACCATTCAAAGGTAAGGGGTAACCTGAAGATTCGTGGGAAAGACAACTTGCTTCAAGGTCACCGGCACAAGAAGTTGCACTGGTTATCACTTCAACAATTGTTATGAACTTATGTTGATAAGTTCTTGCAAGTTGAAAGGCAGAAGTTTCAAGTCTGTTTTTTGCAGAAGTACAGGAAGTTCGCGTGGAATATGTGGTGGAAACATCAGCTTCCGATAGAAACAGGTCCTCATTTGTTTCCAACCATGAAAATAAACATGGCGTCATGATATCCTCAGTTTCGCGGGCTTGCGTGTTGAGGTATTAAAATATAATTTAACTCTCGGTTGTAGATAGGATCAGGGTCAGTTTCAGACTTGTGTTAGGGCACTTTTCAATGCGAAACCAAAGATATTCAGTCGAATAAAAATGACGTCATGCCATTATGGCGAATGGAAACGAGTGACGACGAGGAACATCTTACCTGTAGTTTGGAATACTCGTCATACACGGCGTTTATTTCAACAGCATCGCGATCAATCTCGTTCAACTTCCTTTCACAATATTTTAACCACTTCTTTACGTCATCCTTGTGTTGCCCATGGAAACTGATTACACCCTTGGTCAGTCTAAGATCATATAGAGACAGTCATTCATCATTATAAAAGGCGATTCTAGCAATTTTAACTTTCTCACGGCAAGGTCTATGTGACTTTGTTGCAGTGAAGAAAGGAAATCGCTGTTTTGGTCGCGTCAAATGCAATTCAAACAACGAATAATCAGACGATAAACCGTATCTTAACTTAATAATCTATTTTTTAATTGCATTTGATGCGACCAAAATTTGATGTATAAACTAAATCTTAAATAAACAGTAGATTTTCAGTAATCACAACACACTGAGTCTTTGCTGTGAATTAGTTGAACTCGCGTTATGAATTCTTTAAATTTGCTCTTGGATACACAACTGACCTCTAATGACGTCATTAATATTAAATTGTATGTAGATACGTGATAACTGGACTCCTAACTGGAAATTACCAAAGAAATTAGAGCAATCATAATCTTGAACACAATACCATGCATTGTCCTCAAAGCGGTAATCCTTATCGTTGTAATTTACTATCAAAGATGTCTATAGTTAGGGCAAAACGCCGCTTCTATAAAAACCTTGATATATAACCTACATTTGTGTGCATAGCTTTAGCCAAAGTATTATGCCCTTATTCTCATCGTTAGATAACTTTTTCCAGCTGAAAATTCGCTTGTAAACAATATATTTTAGTTTATATATTTCATGCACAAAGCGTGTCTTCAAGGTGACACTTATCATGAAAATGAAACAAACATTAGCATAGCCTTTAGGCTCGAATACTCTGCAGGCAACTGCCCAGACGGGAGTATCTTTGCCATTACTTCGCCTGGGGTATATTAGACTAGCTATAGAGCCTCTAAAACTCTCCCTTACCTATTTTTGGTGTCAGAAAATTGCTTTTCTACTGCAGTCATACGCGGTTCGAGTTCAACAGTCTTAATCTTCAACGTGCCTTCAAAACCATCGGTCGAAAGATAACCTTTGTCTTCCATTTCAATAATCTGCCGTTTCGACTCCTCGAATTCAGTCAGATGCTTTTGTAGGAAGCCTTCGGACTTCTAAACGAGCCATAAACACGACATCATATAACAACAACACTACAGCGAGCAGAGGAAGTCTGCATTTCGTATTCAAGGAATCTATTTAAGCAGTCTCTCGCAAACAAAAAATGGGAAGTCAAGTGTGGAGAATGTATGCAAAAACTGTCACGAGACGGGGTAGGTATAAGTCAATTACCATAAGTGGGGCATGAATTAAATTGAAAATCAACGACTGATGTAAACTGACTTCCTTTGAAGGGCAGAGATAAAAAAGCACTTTCTTTGTTGTACTAAAATTGCATTAAATCCATGTACAACTTTGCTGTTCCGAATTAAAAAAAATGCAAATAATGTTCAAGCGATTTTTTCTTAGCTATAGTAGAAATTTTAGGCATTTTCTATCAGCCATTGACCCTCTGGGTTGGTTGTACGAAAACTGGATAGTGCCGTCCATCGGATAATGAACTTTTCAATCACTATCATATTGTTCGTTATTCGATATATAAAACCTGGATTAAACTTAATATTTCTAAATTGAGGTTCATCTTTGACGTCTGTTAAAATAGTTTTATTGCTTTTCGGGCATTTTTTCCAACAGTTGAGAAAATCACTGTCCGGTGGATCGCGCTATCCAGCATTCGTATGTACAGTAAGCAGCCAGAGTCTGATGTTGTCTTCTTCATCCAGGAAAATGCCCAAAATGAAATCTATAATTTACCCTTATGACTTACATATCTACACTTGGCATTACATGCAATAGACCATTTACAGTTGCTGAATTTTTCACAAATAATCACAGTTGGGTCTTAGAAGTATATTTAATTTTGCTCGATTTTTCATGAAATTTGAACCCTCTAATATTAATCTTCACTACGGCGTGGATAGAAAAGGCGATTTTCATATTGTTATTAAGAACAATAGTACTTCTAATTGTGTAGCTCACAAAGTGAGTATTACTTTTATACACCCTGTATACAGGTGTAATTTGTACAACGGGACATAATGAATGAACTCTCCTCAATTTTTCCTACCCACCTTGATCAGATCAACCTGGTCTCGCACGGCTGCTGCCTCAGATCCAACTGATTTCAGCTTCTTCAAGTCCTCCAGGACACGATCCACCATAAGCTCTGAAGTATTCAGTTTCTCCGTGAAGAACGCAAGAGTTTGATTACGCACGCTGTGAACACGAAACGATGGATTATCAGGTGAAGCACACTATTTTCATCATACATAAACGTGAATTAAAATAATGAAAATGAACTCGGGCCGATTCTACAGAGTCTGGATATCTTTGTCTACCAAATTCATCATTTTCCAACTGTTGTAAAAATCTATGAAAGCGATAAAACTACAGGAATGAAGCCAAAAGAGACTCTTATTTGAAAAAACTAAGGCTTAATCTTGGATTTGCCTTATAAGAAGCAATTCAAGGGTGACTTTAAAAAACACAGGTCGATAAACGCTATCCAGATTTTGTATAATCGGCCGGGCTAGTCCCAGGTCGTTCGTCCGCCACTGAAGTAAGTCAGTTAAAATGAAGTCATAACTATTAGTGTTACTGAGTCACACGAGAAGAAAGGAACCTCTTCCATATTCACACAACAGCCGTGTAAGGCACACGCAGTTTATCTATCGCGGCAAAATATCCCCTAGGGATCCTCGCCGTCCACACACGTACTCACCACCTCCGCGTGTCCTCGCAACATGCAGACGTCTCGTGTGGACTCGCAAGCTGGCGGTACAGCCAAATAAAGCTGTAATGTGGATAACATAACATGAAGTAATTGATATTTCCCCCTGATAACTGACATGCCAGAACTCTTTCACTGACGAGTAACTTCATCCGACCACAGAAAGTGGTAAAAGTGAATTGTAAGTAAAAGATTGAGAACTGGGAGAGTTTTGGTCTAAAATATCTCAGTCGCTGACGTTTGTCCAAAAACTGCTTCAACATACGTTAAGTCTGGTTTCCATTTCATCGTAATTGTCGTTAAAGGCAGAAAGGGTCATTTTCACCGATGAAAAATAGTCTGGATTTAAATTTGTCATTACTTCTGTATTCAAATCGGTCATTATTGACTGCATATTGAAATATTCTTTCACATCAACCACCTTGACATGTTCACGACAATTACTGCACGATTGAATGGAAACCAGGCATAAAATTCCATGCGTTCTGTGATGAAAATATGACGGACACCATGATGAACTTCAAATACGAACAAAGATCGCGATGAACGAAAAAATGAATGATGTTTGAGTTGATGAATGATCGCACAATTCAAACCGGTGGCCCTCGAGACTTGAATATACAGAATGCGAACTTTGGAAACATGAAAAAGTACAAAACCAGTGGCACTTACTGAACTTTCTGTGATTCTGTGTACCGTCTTAAGTCATCAATTTGCTCCGAAAGTCTTGTGATGGTTTCTGAAATTTCGGCGTTCTGAACGGCGTCCGAATCTTTTTCGTTCAAGATGTCCTGGGCACGCGATGTGATTTCCTTCAGCTGTGGTACGCAGTAATCTTCTATTCCTCGCGAGATCTCCTATGAAGACACACACACAACAATTCAGTTTTTAAAACAAAACATTGTATTGCCGTATTTTTCTACGGAAATCATGCATTGAATCATTTAGCTTCATATCATCAACTTGTCAGCTTGTTTGTTTTGTGTAAACTAAAAACAACATTTGTTTCTACAGCCGAGAAAGGTCAACAGATCCATTATTCAAAAATGTTAAAGTAATCATTCTTTCACGATCTTTAAGTCTTCCGAACTAGATAGTAGTCAGTAGTAGTCAGTTTGTAATCTACTGTTTTAAGTCAGTCTTTGCCAGAGAGTGTTTGGCGTTCCAACTTGAATAAGGGCGGGAAAAAATTAAAGTTTAAAATCTGAAGTTTAAATACTAGAGTGACATTAAAAGCTGTAGTTATCAATTAAGAGTAGTCATATTCCAAAAGGCCATATTATTTCAAATTTTCTCAAACAAGAACTATTTTCAACTTTCATTCTGCAGGAGAACTACAGTTTCCTTACATTAGCAGTCTCCGGTAGTGTCTTCAGAGCATTGAAATCCAAGTTATTCTTCAGATGCAATTTTTCCCGGGCATTCGCGATCCATTTTTCGACTTCCTCCACCTTTCGTTTCCACTGAAGTAAAGGATCTGACGACTGCCAAGAGAAGAGGATTGTTGGTCAAGAAAAGAGTCAGAAATTTAGGATTATTTTAGGTTAAGTGTCTCAACTACTTACCGTCATGTCGATATGACTGAAGGGGATCCCAAATCTAAACGTAACATTAGAATATATTATCATGTTAGCATGTTAAGAAGAAAAGGTTGTAACAAGCAAATTAAACTAAATAAAATTTAGCTATCCTTCTGTACTGGACCTTTACAAAGAACGGTTTAGAATTGATAGAACTATCCAGTATAAATAAGGTTAATTTAGTTCAGGTTTCCTCCTGTAGTAACACTGGATCAATAAGAGATGATCCTTACTAGACCTGTAGGAAGAACAGTTTAGAACTGACAGAGCTATCCAGCATAAATAAAGTTAGTTTAGTTTAGGTTTCCTCCTGTAGTAACACTGAATCAATAAGAGATGATCCTTACTGGATCTCTAGGAAGAACACGTCATATGAATAATTAATGATATGTTAATACTTACAATTTACAGAATTCATCGGCTTTGCTGAGCATTTTATTCCATATATTCTTAAACTTCTCAATATCATTTTCGATTTCGGTGTATTTATTCTTCAATACCAAGTGATTCGTGACGATGTATCTTCCAAGATTGAACACATCTGTTATGCTCTCTTCATTTTGGCTTTTCTCCGTCGCGAATTTCTACGAAGGCATTAAAAATATATCATTCAATGCAACTTGGTAATTTTAATCCGACTTCCCTAGTTCGTATGATGGAGGCCTTTAGAGGTACAGTTGTGCCTTGAAACGTATCCACCGTAAAGCGAAATAAACGTAATTTTCTTTATCAAATCAAATTCGATCAAAATGGATTGCAGAACATCTTCAGATGATCTGTGTCGTACTACCTTAGGTGACATTTTTGAAATATCGTTCTTATGCTTTGCCAAACGTAGAAACAACATTGCAAACATCACAGTTGATATTCGTGACCACTCATACTATCTATGCATCCAAACATAACGACAGGTATCCAGACTTTAAACACAAGCACGACACAAGTGGAATTTAAATTTACCACACAAATATTGCCTCAACCTTATTGGTCGAATCGTTAAGGGCAAAACATCACATCTGACTGGCAGAGTCAGGGCAACGATGATGCTTTGTCACAATGAACCCGGAGCCTCATTGGTCAAATCTCGATTTAAATGGCTGTGGAACCGGGCGGGTTAATTGGAGTGGAGTTTTTAAATAGTTTTAGGAGGTCGTCATAGATGAATGGACAGCGAGCAAAGAAAGACCAAGTCTTTTAAACCAAGCTAAAATACTTATAGTCGCGAAACGGAATGGAGAGAACATTTCTACACATGAAGTTCCACAGTTTTGCTGAGAAATATATTGTTCAATGCATTTTTCAAAGCGAATATGGACGACATTGGAAACGCGATGAAACATTCCTACTGTGATCGCCTCAATGAGTATTCAAGAGCCACGTGTACCACTCCACGTGCTGATATTGTTCTACGACTATGCTCGACTCAGCAGGAGAGCCAACAAGGCAATTAAACAATCAATATTATAACGATAGATTATGTGTGTCTGTTCGCAACGGTGCCGAATATCAAGACCAGTTTGAAGGGATAAATACACAAGTTTTGCTGGAAGTGTAACGGTTTTTGAGGCAGTTTGCGAAGCATATATGACGTCAGCCATCATTCCAGAACGAGGCAGGGTTAACGAAGGAAGTTGATTGTTTACTGTATTTGTTTACCTGAGTTTATGGAGTGGCAAATGCGATATAAGCACTCAAACATTTAAGTTAATCCCAGCCAATATACTGTGAAAATATTTCGAGTGGAAGTCAAGTTCGTACGTAAACAAAGGTTTTGTTTACATTCTAAACTTCGTATGCCTTTTTAAAATACGATGCGCTGTCGAATATTTAGGTTCGCTACGCTTTCCAATGAAGATGAACCAGTGTTTATGTTGAAAATAATTCGAAACATGTGAAATTTGAGCAATTTTATCCCGTGCAAAACAGACTCGAGGTTGACTTTTTTCGACAAATAAAAGTGCGAAATGCAAGCGGGGATAATAAGTGAATCCAATTTCAGGCAAGGTCGTCAGAATGGATACACTGAGTAAAATACAAAGTTCAACAGCTTTGTGTGTGCATGTGAAATGGATTAAAACCAACCACATCTTGTAAAATTATTAAAAGTGCTTCCCTTTTTCATAACCATATTATACCCAATAACCTTTGAATGCGGTAGTGCGTCTTTTGTTCATTCTGTACAGTACATTCTGGGGCCTTGAGTTTGACAAGTTTGAGCTCCCAATAGACCTTTCTTATAATGACGTCAAACGCGGAAAGTCCGATGTTACACGAAATTTGATTGGCTCCACAAAACTATCGAGCCAATCAAACTTCGTGTAACATTAGACTTAACATCAGACGTCATTATGGAAAAGGTCTATTGTTACGCCACTGAAATCAGTGAAATGTCTCTTACCTTCAGAAATATTCTCTGTTTCTCCTGTTCCTCCAGATCTTCTGATAACGAGGAACAGCAGTCCAGTTTATGATCGGTCATTTCGAGCCATTGCGACAACACTCCAGCCTTTTCTTGCCAGTCATCGTATTCTCGTAGTTTGTTCACATGCTCGTTTAAACTAAAGAAAATAATCAAGCGTCATGTTAACTGACGCTAAACCAAATTTCTCAATTTTAATTCTTTCAAATACCAGACCATTATCTGTTCATGACTACGGGACAAATTGAATTTCATTTTCCTAAAACAAACTATTTTGCATTTTGTGTGACAAACTATACATATCGTATTTTGCTTATTTGTTCTATTTATCAGTTTGTTTGAGGTAATCTTTCGTTGTTTTCACTGTTTTTCTCGTAATATGACTAACCTTCGTTCGGTGTCAAAAGCATTCTCCTGTAGCTCGTCCCATTTCGTTTTCAATTTTCTCAAATCTTCACCCAGTCGTGATCTATCATCCTTGCTCAGTCTCAGGGTCTCTGCCTCAGCGAGAAGATGCTGTCCTTTGTCCAGAACTTTAGATATTGTTGCCTCGTATGTAGTCAGCAACTGAATCAGTTCCTACACGTGCAGAATATATATTAAAGCATTTATTAACTGTGGCATCTTTGTGGCTGTTCTTGCTAGTGGTCCAGTAAAGATAAGCTCTTATTACAGGAGGAAACCTAAACTAAACTAACTTTATTTATAACGGATAGCTCTATCAGTTCTAAACTGTTCTTCCTAGAGATCCAGTAAGGATCATCTCTTATTGATCCAGTGTTACTACAGGAGGAAACCTAAACTAAACTAACTTTATCTATACTGGATAGCTCTATCAGTTCTAAACTATTCCTCCTATAATCTCTTATTGATCCAGTGCTACTACAGAAGGAAACCTGAACTAAGTAAACTGTTAACAAAACAACAAAACAACTAATCTCAAAAATGAGTTTATCTCTTTATCGTATGAAATCCAACATCCAACATGAAATCCTGTAAATCCGAGTAATCCGACAAAGATAAATCCTTGCACTTATTGTCGGCTTGTCTGACAAGTTTGGTAAATGCAATTTGTTGTTGATCTTGGATAAGGATTTATATATTGATCTACCTCAATTTCTCCATGCTGTCTTTCAACAAGGATGATATATTCTCCTGGTCGTGCAAGCTTTTGCACTTTATCATCAGCGTCCACGCACCATTTGAGAGAGGAATCGTAGTCGACATACCAATCCACGACCTCCTGGCAATTTCCACCTTCGGAACTGGACAATTAACAAGACAACCGTTTTAATTTGCGAGCAGACTCTATGTCGAATATGGGGCATCGGATTCTGACAGCTTAGTAGCTTTTTATACCTTCATTTTCGTAGAGAAGTTGTCAAGCCGGTTGTATGAAAGCCGGATAGCGCTATCCACCGGATAGTGGGGTTTCACTTGTTTTAAAATCGCCCGTTGTTGGGTATAACTTTGATTAAATTAAGGTATTGCTAAATTGACGATTCTTTTTAATAATATTTCGTCTTAAAGGTTCAATTTTTTCAAGCATTTTTAAAAGAACGGTTGAAATAATCACTAGCCAGTGGATATAATGTGTCAGTGACAAAACTATCCGTCAGCGTCTCGAAATAACCCACTATAGCATGCGATGCACTCAGATGTACCTATTTTATGATTTTATTAGCTACGTCTTAAAAAAGGTCTTCGATTCTACTCGAAAATTACGATCAGATAACAAGGACAAGGACTACATAGTTCGCACTAGTTCCTGACAATCGGGAATCAATTGTATTGTAGGCTATTTATTGTATTGTAACTTCCGACAGACCGAATGCATTTTGGGCACTATAGCGAGTAGTGACCTCAAGTGATCGAACGGAATCGGCGATTGTCAGGAAAAGTGTTATAACAACGCTTCAGTTGAAAGGATTTGTAGTTAAAACTATCAGCCACTGCAGTCTACAATGTGCCTAAATGCACTTTATTTTACTATATTATTTTTTGTTTCCTAGAGGTCGTCTTCCGCCAGGTGTCACAATACTTATTATGTTGGCAATATACCAAGATGATTAGGAATCCCAAAAGTAAGAATACATTTGAATCTGTTTTGACCCTCTGTCTAAACTGACAGATAACGAGTTCGGGTTTCGATAATAAGGATAGACAATCAACCTAATCCTCGACCCTCGATCTAGTACCCTCGATCCTCGACTAAAAAATGCTTCACAATGATTCTGAGACACATACATGTAAGTCTCTCTACAAGCGCCGTCGACATACCTGTCAATTCCAAACAATTCATCAAATGCGTCCATATCAGCGCTTTCCACTTGTCTTTCCTCGACCTTCATCACAGCCTCGTCAACCGCCACACGAGGAAGTTTCAGGCAGAGTTTTCTTGCCCTGACACAAAATATATCAGCTGTAAGAACTGGCGGAAACACTCCTCCTTCTACTGTTTTACAGCACTAATATTTCTCGCGCAAACAACTTTGATAATATCAACGAATTTACATATTCCTGTATATGGATCTTAGACTTGTTCGCCTCGATTTAGCCATAAAATTCAATTCGATTTCAGCAAGGAGAAATAAAAACAAACCAAGTCTTGTTGAGATGCAATATGTAAATCCGTCTGTATTATGAGTGCGGTCTAGTCACTGTGGTCTACCCAATACACGGTCTGTTTCTCTTATCTACAAATTCAGACTTACAATTGAAGGCTTTTCCAACGCTGTTCATAGGAAACCACTTTCTTCTCAACTGTGTCTCGTGTTTCAGGATTAAGCGCTGGATCTTTAGACAGCTGTCGGCCAAGTGAACAATGACGTTCATAGTCCGGTTGAAGGCTGTTTATGTCCGATGCAACGGCCTGGAAAATAGACGAATAAATATTAAAAACACTAGAAGGAAGTGGTGATCCTTGCTGGCGGCTCCTGTGGGACTGTCCACATCGCTGTTTACAACTAATAAAGCTTATCTATCAAATATTATACAGTTAGATTAGTTTGGTCGTTTCCTTGCATTAAAATAATCCTCAGACATAGTGAACAAGGTGAATAATAAATCTCAGCGAATCACTTTCATGGCAGAGATTCGGAATAGATATTGTACGGCTTACGTTTTGTAAGTCGCATCGCGCCATACCTTCAGAGCGTTATATACACATCAAAAGTCAAAAGTTCCAAAAAACGGTCATGAATTCAAATACACGAACAAGCAGCAGACGATATGTCAATGAAATATTACTACAGGTTAATTACATAACCACGGGGTGTCTACCAAAAAAATACTCCGGTTCAAAACAGACCTCTTGTTTTGACCGTCCGCCGCTATGTCATCTGTGGGAATTTGATGAAGTGGATGACGGAATAATTATAACTTCCTGATCGTCCAATTAACATATAAACACGGCGAGATAAAGCAGAATTTATAAAAAATTGAGCGGTTTGTTTTTCTTTAAGAGCAAAATCCTGTTCTCTCTGTAGTGAGTTGTAGCATTCCTACCGTAACCAGACGCACTTTGCAATTTGATATCCTGGGAATTTCTGTTCGTTTTAAAAGTCTATATGATAGTTCCCCAAAGATATAGCTACGCACGTTCGTAACAAAAGCTCCGAGTGTCTGATTCAATAGAAGATACTTTTGTGGTAAGAAACCCTGTAGTTTTAGTAATTGAATCTATATGTAGGTATGCATGCCATGAATCAGAAAAGGTCAAGAGGATTTGACCCTACCGCAGCGTTTAAGAACCGGATGAGTGGTAGAAAAATAGGCTTTCATTTTTCTCATTGAGGACTTGAATTTTGTAACCTTTTTTGTATTTATTTTTACATATAAATCTCCTTTGTTTTGAGTGCTTCAGTGACGAGTGATCCTTACTGCACCTCTAAGAAAATATTTTAGTTTCGTTTATTTTAGGTTTCCTGTAGTAACACTGGATCAATAAGAGATGATCCTTACTGGACCTCTAGTAAGAACAGTTTAGAACTGATAGAACTATCCAGTATAAATAAAGTTAGTTTAGTTTAGGTTTCCTCCTGTAGTAACACTGGATCAATATGAGATGATCCTTACTGGACCTCTAGAATGAACAGTTTAGAACTGATAGAGCTATCCAGTATAAATAAAGTTAGTTTAGTTTAGGTTTCCTCCTGTAGTAACACTGGATCAATAAGAGATTATCCTTACTGGAGCTCTAGGAAGAACAGTTTAGAACTGATACAGTTATCCAGTATAAATAAAGTTAGTTTAGTTTAGGTTTCCTCCTGTAGTAACATTGGATCAATAAGAGATGATCCTTACTGGACCTCTAGGAAGAACAGTTTAGAACTGATAGAACTATCCAGTATAAATAAAGTTAGTTTAGTTTAGGTTTCCTCCTGTAGTAACACTGGATCAATAAGAGATGATCCTCACTGGACCTCTAGGAAGAACAGTTTAGAACTGATAGGGCTATCCAGTATAAATAAAGTTAGTTTAGTTTAGGTTTCCTCCTGTAGTAACACTGGATCAATATGATTATATGAAACAATATCCTCAGCCTATCCACAAGACATCGCCTACCTCCAACTGTTTCCTGTGTTCTATAACCTCGTCATCGTTGGAGTTTTCAAGGAAACTAATCTTCTGCCATTCCGTCTCAATGTTCGTCAGCTGTCTTTCAATTCGTTTTCCTTTCTTATTCCAGTCCGACAGTTTCTTACCGTGAGCACTTTCAACGTCGGCAACCATCGACTCGTAACTAAATATCGTGATAACTTCATAAGACTTTGTGGTATATAATTTTGCGAGCTAGGGCAGTGACTCAAAGGGCAGTGACTCAAAGGGCAGTGACTCAAAGGGCAGTGACTCAAAGGGCAGTGACTATTGTGTAAATGGTTTAAACAACCGTAATTTTTTTCTGAGCTTTCATAATAATAGCTCTTCCCAATAATACAATGTCTATTCTCACCGCTAGCTTGGGTTGAGTGATCTAAATTTTTTTAGAGAGGAATTAAACTGATGAATGCCAGGCTACGCTGATTGATACGCGAGGCCCCTTCAAATGCCTTCCCTCTCAGACAAGGACTTGTCTCATGTCCGCTTGCCTCACTTTGGGTCAGGTGAATTGGTTGAAGAGGACAAGATATAAGCATGCAACCACCAAGATATAACTATGATACAACCATTGAACCACTTACTTCGACTGTGCAGTTTCGATAGCTAGTTTTAGGTCGCTAAAATCTTTCTGCAACGTTTGAGTTTCATTCAAGAACTTCTCGCTTTCTGCTTTCTTGTCCGAGTTCTTGGCAAGTTCCTGACTGCTTGCTTCAAGCTCGTTGATTTTGATTTCGTACTGAGATAGCATCTCAATCATTATCTATAATACAGATATTAAAACAATATACAGTAAAAATCTATTCAAAAAGTATCTCAAGAAGCATATAAAGGTGAACTTCTGGAAAGATATGCATCGTGTAATGCAATGTTTCTTTTTCTGTTTCACCCAGTGAACTGTAATGAAACTTCAAACGCTAACTCCTATAGTTCAGCGTAATGCTTGATTGAGGCAAAATCGAGGCAAAAAGCTGAGTTTTTGACTCTGTATCTCGTTCAATTTTTATAAAAATTAGCAAATGATTGTTTTTTACATAGTTCTAGATATTCCTATATAATTACTTTATACGTCTGTCTCAAACGTTCAAAAACTCAAAATAACTACCTTCAAAGATGGCCGCCAAGTTTGCGTCCCAGGTGTTATTACAGTTCACTAATTTTATTTCGATGGAAGTTTTTTCCTCTTGCATACCTGTAATTCTTTTCTTCGCTCAGACAGTTCATCATAATCTTCCCCATCCCGAACACGCTCAATATCATCGAGTTTCCCCCGAGTCTCTTTGCACCAAGCTTTAGTTTCTTGCAAATCTTGGTGCCATTTTTTAGCAAGCTCGTCGTGTTCTTTCGCCAAAGACAATTCCCGATCCTCCAGCCTGTTATGAAAGAAATCATGCAAGAAATCGTGCATTAGAATTTTGAGGTAACGTGAGTATTCCTAAATCAAACTTACTTAGACGTAAGAGAGTCAAGATTTGTGTTGATATCCTGCCATCTTTTCTTCAAAGATAACAATTCATCTTCGACTTTTTCTTTCGCTTCTGACTCGACTGAAGGCTCCCTGATCACGTCTTCTCCACATTTTATCGTAGAGTTGAATTCTGGTTGATAATTTACCACTCTTTCCGAGAGATCCTGAGAAATACAATAGAACATATTTGTAGTACTAATAATACTGGATAGCTCTTTAGAAGTGCAGCAAGGATTATCTCTAAGATCTCTTATTGATTCAGTGTTACTACAGAAGGAAACCTAAACTAAACTAACTTGATTTATACTGGATAGCTCTATCAGTTCTAAACTGTTCTTCCTAGAGATCCAGTAAAGTTCATCTCTTATTGATCCAGTGTTACTACAGGAGGAAACCTAAACTAAACTAACTTTATTTATACTGGATAGCTCTATCAGTTCAAAACTGTTCTTCTTAGAGGTCCAGTAAGGATCATCCCTTGTTGATGTAATCTTACTACAGACAAAATCCTAGAGAATATCACCATCAAAATCCTTACATCAACATCCTCCAGTCTATCCCTGACATCATTAAGGGATTGTTGATCGTCATCATCAAAATAAAACGTTTCTTCCAAAGTGTCCATCCATTTCATCGTCTTGGAAGAAGATTTTTCCCATTTATCTAAGAATTCATTCGCTCGTGCTTCTCTTAACTCGTCGAGTTTTGCGTTCAAACTGAAAAATTAAAGAAAAAACAACGATAAACATCTGAAATACGAAGCAAACCTCCCGCGAGAGCCGGAGCAAGTCAGAGTAAGTGAGAGTCAGAGCCTCCAGAACAAAAATTGATAGTCAATGTGTGTGGAGTCAGTAATAGTTTACCTTTGTTTTCGATCTTCTACACTTTTTTGGCTGTTTCTAAACGCCGTCTCCATGATTTTCATTTCGTCTCGAATTGTTACCTTCTCTTCTTCAAAGATAGACTTGTCTTTACACAGAGTCTCTCCATGTTCAAGAATGGCTGTCAGCTCCCACTCGATGGATCCGAGTTCCTTTTCTATTCCCTGGAGGTGGAGGAAGTGTGGGAAAGACAGGCGTTTAAGGCGATGTTAAACTATGCAATTTTCCTTGCAACTTGCTATGCGATTATAATTTTAAGAGATGTTATAATTTTAAAGCTAGAGTGTTCGAAATGCCAAGAAAACGTTAGCAGATCGTAAGAAATGTTCGTATTTGACAACTTTAGATGCTTCAGGCGCATAATTGCATTGCAAGTTGCAAGGAAAGTTGCATAGTTTAACAACGCCTTTATGTACTGCTAAATCGTTTACAAACAAACGGTATATAAAATATGAAATATGCATGTGTCTGGACGCAATAAAGGCGAATCTATTAAGTGAATTTTAGGTGAAATTCATAAATGAAATTGAAAAGTGTGCACTCTAAACGGTAGTTTCATATTAGCCGAATTCATATTAGTTAGAGACAGGAAACTCGTCTTATACGGGAAACTCATCGAACTCCTCTGATGTGAATCCGGTCACAGACGGGTTTCTCGTCCGAATTTTCCCGTCTAACCTTAATTCCCGTCAAAACAGACGCATAAGTTGGACGGGAATCCCGTCTGGACGAGAAACTCGTCTCAAATTCGCATTTAGACGGATAAATGAGACAAGTTTCTGAAATATCAACACGCGGTCAAGGACGGAATTAAGAGAAAATAAAACAAAATTATTATCATAATCATTACGATACTCTTTTTAGCATTATGCGACCGCATGAAATACCGTGCAATTCAACCTACGCAGTGTTACAGATTGTTCCCACTTATACAAAGCAGACCATCATTCTTACTTTAAGATATTCTTTTTCTGATTGAATTTCTTCCATGTTATTTCCAACTGGCTTCCATTGCGCTGTTCGTTTCTCCATTGTCTTCACGCGGACATCAACAGAAGTTTTTCTTTCGTTCCAATCGATGAGACATTTCTCCTGATGTTGTTGCAGTTTTAGCAGTTGACTTTTCATTCTACAAAATGGTTGTAGACTCGGTAAATATTAGTCCAAGAGATGAGAGAGATCCAGTAAGGATCTTGTGTTATTACAGGAGGAAACCTAAACTAAACAAACTTTATTTATACTGGATAGCTCTATGAGTTCTAAACTGTTCTTCCTGGAGGTCCAATAGATCATTTCTTATTGATCCAATGTTACTACAGGAGGAAACCTAAACTAAACTAAATTTATTTGTACTGGACAGTTCTATCAGTTCTAAACTGTTCATCCTAGAGGTCCAGTAAGGATCATCTCTTATTGATCCATGCAGTGTCACTACAGGAGGAAACCTAAACTAAACTAACTTTATTCATACTGGATAGCTCTATCAGTTCTAAACTGTTCTTCCCAGAGGCCCAGTAAGGATCATCTCTTATTGATCAAGTGCTACTGCAGAAGGAAACCTAAACTAAACTAACTTTATTTATATAAAGTTCCTGTAGTTCTTCATATAGTTCCAGTAAAGATCATCTCTTAGTAACCTCGCGTTATTACAGGTTTACGGGTTTAATTGTAATTGATTCCAGGTTACCACATGAGTTTATAATCAGCAACTAAACTGTGAATAGCACAGGAATGCACTGAGTAAACGCTTACTTTTCCCTCTGTGATTTCAACAGCTCAGCTACGTTAGTATGGCTTTCTCTTAACGACAAAACATCCTGAGTAACTCTCTCACGAACTTCCTCTGACACTTGCGGATCTGTGCTTAAATCTTCCCCAGATTTTAGAACGTTGAAAAGAGCTGGTTCGGTTTCCTTGAACTCCTTGGATAATTTCTAAATACGGAGAAATCATAGTTAAGTCTGAGATTATACCTCTAACACTGGCGAATATCTATTAAGTGGATGTACTGTATCATCTAGAAGTAAGATTAATTCAGGTGAATCTTGGCCGGGGTATTCACATTACCAGTTAATAGGTAAAAGGATAGAAAGTAATAATTCTGTTCCACTTAAAGGCTAGTTCCCACTCAAGAAAGTTCTCCTTTAGATCGGACAGGACAGGAAAGTTTCCTTTGTATAAACGCCGCCTGAGAACTCACCGACAAAGGAAATTTTCCTGTCCGTTCTGATCCAAAGGAGATTTTTTCTGAGTGGAAACTAGCCTTAAGCAATGTGCACAAGAGGGCCGTTTTCGATGGTTTTCAAAATCGTTTTTATCCAGTTTATCGCTTTGACGCCCTGTCCACACGATCAAAGGAAAAATATACTTAATATGTTAAATAAGCTTCAACTTCTATTGTAAATTGACGGTGTTTGAAACCGTTTTGGTGTGAAAACAAATGTGAAAACGCTCGAAAACGATACCGTGTGCAAATAGTCTCCGAATTTTAGTTAATAATGAAGGAATTCAGTTTAGAATATTATGTTTTTAGGATGGAGCTTGGAGGCTGTGTGTCGCAGCCAAAGCTAACCTGAAGCTCGTTGAACTGCGCTTGCACATTTGAAATATTTCCTCCGATCGCGTCGAACTCTTTCGCGTCATCATCGACTCCGTCGAGCCATTCGTGAAGGGGTTGTGACGAACTTTTCCATTTCTCCAATTTCGATGTCTGGATATCCTCGAGCTCACGAATCTTTCCTTCCAACCTGGGAAAGATGAAAAGCGAAAGTTTAAGACAACGTGGTTTTCAGTTTACCTCGTTACCGGCGTAGTTCAAACGGGACCATGCATAGCCCAGGGTGATCAGGGTCCGTTTTGAGTGAACTATGCGAAGTATGGTGAATGGTCATAAAGAATTGCAACTCACCAGATAAGTCTACACTACTTGATCATATTTAACATAGAAAATAAACATTACTATTTCAACTGTGGTTAAACGTGTCCATGCACTCACATCAATGGTACCGCCAGTGAGTTGATTGACATTATAATATCTCTCCGTGCCTTGTGTTACAGTACACCGGAGATTTTGAAGCATAGAAATTGTGCAACTATGATAAAATTGCATATGTATCCAACTACGTATTCATGCAATTCAAAACAGTTTCCTGAGCATGAAAACTATTTCCTTACATTCTCCATTCCGTAGATTTCCAACGTTTTTTCAGTGTTTGCTTATTTACTTGGTAAGAAAACAAATCCAGTGTCTTACCCAGTTTCTTCCAGACGATTTATCCACGGGAGTGTTGATAGGCTAATGCCTTTGATATTTGGATAATGTTTTCAATAATGGAATACTGTTTCTCGTAATAGGTTAAAGTTTCCAATAATTGGATAAAGTTTCCAATAATGCCCTAATGTCTGTAATAATTGGCTAGTGTTGCAACTGTGGGTCAATGTCTCTAATCAACGGGCTAATGTCAGTAATCATTAGCTAATGTCTCTATTAATAGCCTATTGTCTCTAATAATAGACTAATGTCGCAAAACCATACCTGCGTTGATATTCCACAGACAGTCTTTCTTGTTTGTTCTGCCGTTCCTTAGTCACATCAGCTTCCTTCTTAATGCGAGTCTTCTCCTTGTTGGCGATGTTAGGATCAGCGGAAATTTCGGCGCAAAATGACGACACTTCTTCCACTTGGGAACGGTTCACTTCAATTTCTTGTTCCACGGCCTGAAGGAAGATCAAAGAAAATCAATAGTGCTTCCACAATTGGAAACATAGCTCAAATCATATTCTACCTTGAGGTCTGCACATTGCTTCTTAGCACCGTCGACGTCCAATGCCAAGCTCTCAAAACCTTTAAGATCGTTTTCCGTCTTGAGTTGCTGATTATTCAGGCTCTTTAATTCTTCCTGCCATTTTTGAAGCTGATCTTTCTGAGAGCTGTCTAGGGTCACCATTTGTTTTTGTACCCTACAAATCCCGGAAGAATGGGTTTAAATATGGATAAGGATTTAGGATAACTATGGATCATATTACCATGGATCTTACCGGTCGCTATGCGAGGTAATGTTGTCGTTCAACTCCTGCCATTTCCTATCCAAAGCGTCACCTTCGTCCTTAATATTTTCTTTAAATGAAGTAGAGAGATGGTCATCTTGAAGTATTGTGTTTTTGAGCTGAGAGACATTGCCGTAATCAACTTGATGATCGAGGAGTTCTTGGGATAATGTCTAAAAGAAACGAAGTCATTACTAAAAATTTCTGTCTTCTCTTGTTAGTTGTAAGCGCTTCTATAGTTGGCTAATATTTGCTGCTCTGGAAACGGAAGAGACACTCCAGTAAGGTTCATTGCCTAGCTCATCGCCCGTAGCGAAACCTATCGTTATATATGACGGTGATTATATAACTACTAAGAATTACAAATGAAGTTACTTACCTCCAACTTTTCGTGTTTTTCCAGAACGACATCATATCCTTCGCCATGTTGAAGGTTGTCAAATCTACCTTTGGCTTCGACGATCCATTCTTTGAAAGGATCTGTCTGTTTCTTCCATGCTTCCAGCGTTGCTTTCTCTCTCTGCGCCAGCTCCATCAGCGCTTCGGTGATGCTAAAAAACACGAGCAAAGAATGAATTTATGGCAAATCTGATCATAGTTAATTAGCTCTACTTTTGTAATTAGCTCTAATTAGCTCTACGTCAGCTCCATCAGCGCTTCAGTGATGCTGGAATAGACGAGGAATTAGAACTTGGGGAATTTACTAAGAATGTAACTTATCTAACAAATATCCAATAAATGAGGAAAGAAAACAACGAAAAAAAATATGAAAGGATTTGCTGCTATCTCTGCGTACGTTTGAATATTTACACATCTGCGTACATGAGTATTTACACACGACTTCATTGCTTTTGGTACTAATACAAAATTACAAATATCCGAGACTGACTGGAAATTAAACTAACGTTACCCAGGAGTATCGTAAAAATAAGCATTACCCAAGACTAACTTAGAGCAAATTTGAAAACAAACATTATCCATGACCAACATTGAATTGCACAAGAGAATGAATTTTTGGCGAATCTACGTCTATAATATTCTACAGTATGCTACCGGACGCATTATGGTTTTACGGAAGAATCACCTTAGGTAATTGAGATTCGCATTATTCTGTGTGTTGTTCCATTTCTCTTGAAGTCTGTTCATCTCTGCCTTGATGTTATTTTTCTCCGTCTCAGAAACATTCTCATCGTCGGTCAGTTTACTAACAATCGTGACGATCCTGGCCAGTGCCTCCTCGTGACGCACCATATCCTCCTTGATTCTCTGAAGGCGACATTGAAGTAAACGTTAATCGTGAATTAAGATAACAAACGTAGCATAGACGATGAATCAAGATGCTCACCTGCAAGTCCAAGTGTCTTTCTTTCAGGTTCTCTGTTTCACCAGAGCTATTTTGTATTTCATCCAATTTGACGTTGGTATCGTCCAACCATGCACTGAATGGTTCGACATTCTTCCTCCAAACATCCAGCGTCTCCTGTTCCTTTTTGGCCAGCTCAATCAACTTGATGTCAGCCCTGATTCATTTACATAAAAACATACACCACAATCTGTTTATCAATCGTATAAATAATATAGTATTACCCATATCATTACATACAATTCTACACTGGCTAATTCTATTCTTGAAAGCTCTATTAGTTCTAAAATGTTCTAAGGATCATCTCTTATTGACCCAGTGTTACTACAGGAGGAAACCTAAACTAAACTAACTTTATTTATTCTGGATAGCTTTATCAGTTCTAACATGTTTTCAGGTTGCTATGTTCCTACCATTTATTGTTATCCTGAATCTTAAGATGTAATTTCTTCCATCGATCCTGCAAGATCTCCAGTTCTTCTTTAATATGTACTTTCTCTTCATCTCTCACAGCCGAGTCTGACAACAACTTTCTTCCCAACTTTTCGATTTCTTCAACAACCGGCTTACGACCTTCGATTTCACGTTCAAGTGTCTTAAAAAGAGAGAACTTGATTAAGTAAATTCAGAGGCAGGGGTTGCTCCAGATATACAAGCGCTTCTCCTCCTTACTTTGCATCGAACACGGTAATCTTTAATCGTATTTACTCCAACATTCTCATCCACTTCATATGCGCCGTCATCTTCAACTTTGGACAGCCATTTATTGAACGGTTCAATATTTCTCCGCCATTCATGAAGCAGATGTTGTTCTTGCTCACCAAGAAATGCACCGCGTATCCGCAAACTGTGGAGGCAATTCAGAAATTGAATATGATATCACTAAACAACAGTTCTAGACTGTTCTCTCTAGAACCCAGTATTACTACTGGAGGAAAGCTAAACCGAACTAACTTTATTTATATTGGATAGCTCTATCAGTTCTAAACTGCTCTTCCTAGAGGTCCAGTAAGGATAATCTCTTATTGATCCAGTGTTACTACAGGAGGAAACCTAAACTAAACTTTATTTATACTGGATAGCTCTATCAGTTCTAAACTGTTCTTCCTGGAGGTCCAGTAAGGATCATCTCTTATTGATCCAGTGTTACTACAGGAGGAAACCTAAACTAAACTAACTTTATCCCAACAATACAAATACCTTTCTGATCTACCAACGAGTGCTTCATTGACTACAACCCATCTGCTAGAAAGACTGTTCGCCAGTTTTTCGACAGTTTTTGCCTCACTGTCTTCGATTAGAGCGTCATCATTCACGGTCTGTGCGATAGAAATTACTTCATTGAATTCCGGCTCTTTGTTCGTGACTTGTGATATCAACACTTGGGTTTCTTCTTGTTGTTTCTGCACGAGCAACGCATTATCCCCGATGTCTTTCAAAGACTTGATGATATTGTCCGTATTACTCAACCACTTTGAAAATGGTTCGTATTTCTCTTCCCACCGACTTAGCAGCTCCTTTTTATGCTTCTCTTCAAGTATCTCGAGTTGCTCTTCAAGACTACAAAGAAAGAATAAGGTTTTACCGTGCACTATCACAAAAAAAATATCGTAGATGTACCAAGCTGTTGGTCTGCTTGATAAATCCACAGGAACATCTAATTAACTGAATACAGCTACATATATGATTAATATAACATTGGGTTGTTTATGCTTTACGATACTGGAGACAAGGGGCCTGTTTACATGAGCCCGGTTACCCGAGATGCACCGAAGCGAGACATGATTTTGAGGTATTGGAATAAGTCTTTATGAGCCAAAACAAGCACATGCTATTGTCGGCACGACTACACGACTGCCAGGGTCGTGTTATATACTCATTTCAATGCCTCAAAGTCATCTCACGTTTCATTGAATCTCGGTTAGGCGGATTCATGTAAACAGCCCCTAGGAGAGTTTTAAATTGAGATGACGGGATGTCGGTCTGGCCTTAAAAAGGAGCGACTGGTTGCCGGTTCGGCTTCTGGAAGAAGTGATATTTAGCTAATATATTTATGATGACCTTCTGTGATGATTATGTCATTATATTGAACGATATAACCTGTGGAAATGAAAAAGATTAGTGAATACCACCAGATCATTACAATCGGAGTCTTGTACCCGAAGCCAACTTACGCTTTATTTCGGGTTTTTAGTTGAGCTAACACTAAGTCCCAACGCTCATTTAACGCATCGGTTGAGCCAGCAATGCTGGCTTTCTCGGCGCCGGAGATGCACGGGTCATTTCGGAGATCGTCGCTACGTCTCGTGAACTCGTTAATACGATCCTGACATGTTATGCAATGTTCGAGTATTTCCTAGAAAATAACGACAAGAAGATTATATTGAGTTAGCGAGGAGTTCAGGCGACAATCAAATTCCTCTTTAAGTTCGATCGTATTGAGCTTTGCATAATAGTCCATTCATACATGAAAATTTCCATTTTCTTTTCCCCAGTTAATCCTAAGTATCCTACTTTCACCCAATTCAATGCCATTCCTATTCAATCCCGTTCAATCCCAATCCTATTCAACCCCATTCAATTCCGTCCAATCCCAATGAATACCCTAAATCATTTATTGTTCGTTTCATAAGAGAGGCGGGGCTCACATTCACAAACGCCAAATGCCTTTCTGACTATCAACTTGTCAGATATCACCTGATATTTTCTTCCTGGAAAGCAACTATTTTAGAACCTGTATTGTCTTTTTCTGGTTCCTGACAGTGGCCATATCAGCTCCAACTACCGTTCTCTCGGTAATAACTTCTTCAGCATGTTTCAACGTCTTGTTTATTTCATCCAACTCTTTCTCTCGTTCCGCTAATTTGCTCTTTTGTTCTTTCTGGAAGGACTTCACCTTTTCTTTTAGTCTTCAAGAGAGGTGTTGTTTTAGACAGTGGACATCATTAGAGTGGGACAATATCATAGATAAGAGGGAATATTTAGGATAGCGTTATTAGACAGAGGGTCATTATGAGAGATTGGGGTGGTGTTAGGGATAAAGAACGTCATTAGAGATGATAGGTTATTGGAGAGGGAGAGAGGTTACTAGAGTATCGAGGTGGTCACTAGTTTTCTTCCGTTTTTCTTGGTTCCACAACCGATAGTGGGCCAATGTATCGGATTGATCCTGCCGTACCAAAAGTGAGAGAACAGTACCTGTCAACTTGATGTTGAGCTCTATCTGAGAGACTGTCCGCTTTACTTTGAAGATTTTTCAGATCTTTTTGCAACTTTGCCCTCTCTTCCTCAGGTACAGATGGATGTTGTAAGACTTGCAGCTCAACATCAGCGATCTCAGTCAATGTTTCCTTCTGGGTATCAATATCAACTACCAGATCCTAAAACATAGAAGGAAGAAACATATTCATAATCGAACATTGAATTGATCATCTCAACCCGTGTGTACACAATACAAAATATGAACCTCAGAGCTCTGGCATAAGGAGAGCACATTTCATAAAAAACATTTCCAGCGCCCAAATCAAAGTGTTTAACCATCTACGTGTCTTCAAAGCCCACAACTCTACTGCTATTCGACATGCCTTACCTTGATTGGAGCAACTTTATTATTTTTAGATAAGCGAAATAGCAGTTTCTTAAACATTTTAGAAATTTACACAACACCAATGGTCTGGTGCTGTCGAAAATGATCGAAAGTCGGTGAAATAAAAACAACCTCTGATATTATCGGAAGCCCATGAAATAATAAAAAACTCTGATAACAACATTGGTTTTATGTGCGGTCACGAATGCAGTGTTTAAAAATCTACCCTCGTTACCCTATTGGTTAGTTCAACAGCGCTTAAATAAACATTAGATGCGATAAATAAGTGCATTTTTAAGTAGCCAATCGGAAATTATTATGTAAAGTGCTTTGATTATAAAGAATTGTAAACATTTGTACAAATAGTCCACTAATAAAAAACTGCTCAGATGGACATGACTGACGATGAACAGTACGAATATTCCATTCTAGAATGACGGTTGTTGTTAATTGAACGCACGAGTGATGGTTTAAGCGGAAAGCACTTTCCAAGCACGTGGCATAACGTTACAAACCACAGGGGTCAAGTACAAAGACTGAGGCTCTTTAACTGTGCCAAGTCAACCATGACATCTAAAGTTGATTTGAAAATCTCAAGTATGGAGATTGAGGTAAACGATATCTTCAGCTTGCCGACTTTGCAATGCACATTTTTAAGAATCTCGCCTTGTTTTATTTCAGGCAAGAGGACTAATAAACAGTTAAGCTTAACTTTAATCTTTATTTTATGCATGAAAACGGACAGCACTGGTATGTACTTTTCCACTGAAGACAAAATCGTGTGGCGATAAGACTGATTCCCTGTTTACATGATGTAATGACAGGATTGCTATTGGAAGGGGTCAATTTTTTAGATTTTAAAAGCCTGAGAGACCTAAATAAATAAATACACAATGATGCTGTGACCAGCGAGAGTGTAAACAAGGTTAGACTAAGATACTAAAGATCTACTACCCAAGTTCCCAACCAACAGAGAGCATTTTGAACTAAGCTTTTTTAACATTTCAAAAACAATAATAGCACTTGCCACTATTTCGTTCTTATATCTGCTGGCAGCATCATGATCCAGAGAATCAGGCTGTGGTAGTTTCGACAACATATCCTCCTTCTCCGAAAGCCATTCTTCTATGGGCACAACTTTGTCATCCCACTTTGCAATTCGTCTCTGGCGCTCGTTAAGCAAAGTCGTAAGTTTCATCAATAAACTGAAAAAAAAGAGATCATAAATTCAGACATGTTTCGAAAGATTCACTAGATTCACTGGATTCATTCGAGGAAATGCGTGCTGTGAAAAAAAAGCACGTTTAAACAATACATCGTTTTTCAATACATTAAAAAACATCATATTCTGTAAAGTTCCACGCACCTTTCAGATTTCGCCTGGACTTTTTCATTCAAATTTCTCCATTTGTTTTTAATGCTTTTCATCTGCATCGAGGCGACATCAGCGACCTGATCGTGTATCAATGGATCATCGGAGAGTTCTTGATTCAGCAATGACATGCTCTCGATGTGCGTCTGGTAGGCAGATACCTCAGATGCTAGAGTCTAAAATAGATAAAGGAAACGATGTCAGATTCTATTCTGTCTAATGCCAGACAACCTTACTCATCAGGAAAGGGTAATGATGGTTAATGGGCAGAAAAAACACTGATTCCAACACTGAAGCCAGTTGTTTGTTGACTCGTACTGGTTTGTAGAGGAGTACTGCCAATCAATGTCAGTATATCTGAGGGAGTTGGTCCAATATGTTACAGGCAACTTGTTTAAACCTTTCTATCCAGTGATCCAGTTCATAGTGGCAAATTTCAGCTCAAAACAATAATGATCACTGTATTTACCCGAAATTTTTTTCTAAATACATGTTATGGATATAGTATAGATGCTAGTTTGAAATAATACGGGAGTTTATAATATTTTATTGCTAACCTCTGTAGTTTCCTGCTGCTGGTACAAACCATTCAAATCTTCTGGACTTTCTTGCAACAACTGTAGTCTCTGTTCCCGAGAGTTTATCCATTCCTCTATCGGTTTAGAGACTCCTTTCCATTCCTCCAGTTTCGCATCTTCATACTTCTTCTCTAAATCCTTTTGTGTTTCCCCAAACCTGCAGTCGGGCAAAAACACACTTCAGCGCATGCATACAAAAAGCTCACTCAGGCTCATTGAGTTTGACATCAAAATTGTTTTGTCACTGAACAATAGACCTTTCTTATAATGACGTCAAACGCAGAAGGTGTGATGTTACACGAAGTTTGATTAGCTCGATAGTTTTCTGGAGCAAATCAAATTTCACGTAACATCATACTTTCCGCGTTTGACGTCATTATAAGAAAGGTCTATTCAATAGTCTTTTCTTCATTAATCCAAAGATTTAAGGTAAAACACTGAAAATATTATATTAATTTAACACGATGGATTCGAGAGGTATTTTACTAACTGTATTTTCCTCGTTTGACATGTCTCTACGACCAAATTGTGTCGAACATTCAACTCTTCGGCTTCTTTTTCGACCTCAATCCTTTCTTCTTTTGATAAACATGGCTCCTGTTTGAGTTCTTCGACTGTCGTTTCCAGCTGCAAAAATTTGGGCTGAACGGATATGGCGTCGGTCAACAACGTCTAAAATACAACGACAATGAGAAATGAACTTTGTATTCAACATGACTCTCCATAGCATTAAACTTTAAGGCAAGAGGGTGAGATAAATTTCGCCATTCTTTCCCAAACAGGTTTGTATAGCTGAATGTTTATGTGCGTGTGCTTTTTTTCCAACACCGCAATAAGAATATACATGTTTTTTAAAATACCTCAATTTTTTCACGTTGCTTTCGTGTGTTTTCAAGATCTGTCTCGACGACGTCACACGAAGATAAAACGCCATCTGCTTGATCCAACCAATCTGACAACGGCTGACACGATTCTCGCCAAATCAACAGTTTGCCATCTCGCTCTTGTTCACAATTCCGTATGCTTTGGTTTAGGCTGGAAGTAAAGGAACATTGAAGTTTAGTTTAGGTTTCCTTCTGTAGTAACACTGGATCAATAAGAGATGATGCTTACTGGACCTCTAGGAAGAACAGTTTAGAACTGATAGAGCTATCCAGTATAAATAAAGTTAGTTTAGTTTAGTACCTCCTGTAGTAACACTGGATCAATAAAATTTTACCTTCTTTGGAAGGCATCTCCAACGGGTTAAAAGAACGTTAAACATCACAAACTCTACCTTTTCGCTTTCTCTTCAATTGCCGTCTCAAGTTTATCCCATTTCTCTTTCAGATTTGTACAGTCTTCTTGTATTTTACCCTTCTGACTTAAAGAAATCACAGAGTTTTGTTGTACTTTGTAAGCAAAACTTACAACGTTGCTGAGCTCGCCTTCCGTCTGTTGCATTTCCAAGGAAACCGCCTAGCAAGAGAAGATATCATGGAAAACTTAGGAGAACGTAAAGTGGGTCGAGTAGAAGCTTTATCAAATGCCACTGGTGTATTGCTGTGGTGTTAATGAAGCAAATTCTCTATATACCTCTATTTCAGCTCTTGTCTTCTTCAGACTATCCATATCTAATCCATGGCTATCCTCACCAACGGTATTTATAACAACATTGATCCAATCCCTCAAAGGATTTACCTGGTTTCTCCACTCTACTGTTATACGAGCTGCCTCAATGTCCAGCTCTGTTTCTCTCGCTGTAATCCTGAGAAGATGTAGAATAGCAAACATCAAATATCAATGGCTAAGCACAGTTCATCCTTCTTACATGAATTTCATTACCTTCCAATTCGTTTGTCGATTTTTGTGACCAGTTCGTCCCAATTGTTTTGGATTTTCAACAGCTGTTGTTCTATCAATTTACGGTCTTCTTCAAGCAACGATGGATGTTCCAATAATTGATCTCCCAGTTGAGCGACGGCTTTCAGTTCGTTCTTCTCTGTGTCCATTTCTTTCACCAGTTCCTAAACATCAAAATTTTAGGTTTGTTGGATAGCCAGTGAATGAAGCAGGTCACAAGGAAGAGACGAGGTAATAAACAAACAAGCAAAAAAAGTAAGTAAGAATAATAAGAAAGCAAATAAACATACAAACAAGTAAACAATTCAATAAACAAACAAACAAGTAAACAATCCAATATACAATCAAACAACCAAACAACCAAACAAACAACCACCCAACCAACCAAACAAACAAACAAACAAACAAGGAAACGATCCAATCAACAAACATGTAAACTAACAAGCAAACAAACAAGTGATGAGAAAATAAAGCCTGACCTCTGTAACAGCTTTCTGTTCTCGTACTTCATCTAAATCGTTAGATAGATCATCAAGTGATTGCAGTTTCAAATCCTGCTGACTTAACCACCTTTGAATGTTGTTAGAAGCAGACTTCCACTCTGCCAGTTTTCCCAGTCTGAACTGTTCAAGTTCGCTCTCTTTATCAGATAATCTAGAGAATGTGTTTAAGTTAAAGTTTGTTAAGGATTAACGGTTTCGGTTAAATTTAACCTATTCTAGTTAGTTCTCTTTCCAGGAACATACCGTCTTGCTCGCCATTTCATCTTTTCCTCCAGGTTTTCAATGTTATTCCTAAGTTTTCCAATGTCTTGTTTAATCTTTCTGTTATCTTCAGTCGTCATAGCTGGATCGCTAAATACATCTTCACTGAATTGGATGATGTTATTTAATTCCTTCTTTTGCTCGAGTTCCAACTCTTTCAGCATGTCCTGAGGAAGTCGAAAATGCAGTTAGGGCAAAGATACACCACATTTTGATAGTTTTTTGTTGCATGTTAGGGATCAGCGATGATCTTACAGGATAGGTCTTAGAGATAAGGGATAATCTTGCAGGATATGACTTACAGATCAGGGATAATCTTACAGGATATGACTTACAGATCAGGGATGATCGTACACGATATGCTTTACAAGACCAGGGATAATCTTACAGGATATGTCTTAGACAATAGCGATGCTCACATAATACCCATACCTCAATTTCAGATTTCTTGAATCTGACTGTCTCAAGGTCTGTAGCAATGCCTTCCCGTTGTTTGAATGCATTTTCCTGTTCTTGCAACATGCCTTGTAATGCTTCCAGTTTCGCATTCCACTCCTTCAACCTCGCCTGGCGCTGTTTGTCCAAAGCCTTTTCCTTTTCCTCTAAACTGCGATAACAAAACATCGAAGATGAGGTTAAAAATGATGGATTTAAGGGATGTATTTCATAGCGAAGCCAGGCCTCAAAATTCCTTATGTGATGAAGACGAGTATTATCAGAAAATCAGTAAATAAAGTCGAGAAGGTAAACCAAATTTGCTCCTTGGATAACCACAAATGCATTCCGATCGCATTTCATATCAGAGTTCGTAAACAAAAGGCACAAAAAGATCAAAATATGATGTAAACATAGAATTGTTTGACCTTTAATATAATATGAACTCGCTTTTCAATGCAAATGTAAATTTAATAGCGTCAACTTGTTTTGAAATCAGCCATGCCTAAGGTCACAACAACGGTGGAGATTTAACCGCGTTTTATACGATCCGTTAAACTGCCTCTCACTCAACACGAATGCATAAATACCGCGAATTTTTTCCTCCCAGCAGCATCGAGAATCGTCTTCCACAGTAAAAAAGCATCATAAACATCGGTTGGCTGGTTCATATGTAAAACCTTTCGCAGAAATTTTATTATACTGCGAAAAAGTGAACATATAAAACCAGCACATCGTTTTCTTTCGTTTACAACAAAACAAACAAGCCTTTCTCTTTCGATGTATATTCAATTAAGACATAAATTGAAGCCTGGTTTTAGCTTGTCACATTAAGACAAAACACTGTAAAAAGGGCCTTTGGTGGTGTCCCAAAAGCTCCAAAGTATTGAAGCACCTATTGTTCGACACTCAGTTAAACTCCGTTTTAGGGTAAAGAGTGTAATAAATGATCATATTATCTCTATTATGTTTACGCACTGAAGGGGGTTTCTGCATTAATTTGTGGCTGAGGTCTTCAAATTTACAATACATACAGTAGACAATTCAACAAGGCCTAGTTCATACGTCGCATTTTGGTCGCGTGGAATGCAGTTCAAACAATAGATAATGAAGATGGTAAACTTTATTCAGCCTCATTATCATCTCATCATCCTTTGTTTGAATTGCATTCGACGCGACCAGAATGTGAGGTGTGAACTAGGCCTAAACTCTGGCGGTTTTTTGGGACCAATTTGAGAGCTGTATATGTATATCGGTTACACGAGATTTGAGGAAGCGTTGAATGATTTTGAGGTATTGAAATGAATCTTTATGAAACCAAACAAGCACATGCTATTGTTGGGATGACTACACCACTGCCATGTTCTACAGGGTGTCCCAAAAAAACCGAAAACTATTGAAATCACTCATTGTTAAAATTTGAATGCCGTGTTCACGAATTTCAACCCGTGGGGATTTCATGCAACTTATAAAATGCTAAATGCTTTGTGTTGCTAGAGAAAGGGGACATGGCGAAGGTCATGGTCCTTGAGATGCACATTTGAATAATGTTATCCATATTTGTAAATTGTAAATATTGTTTTAAATATCATTTTTGCGAACAAGCAAATTTGACTGCATCATATGTATGCATAAAAATCCTTATGGCAACCCCGATTTATACACTTGTGGGCCAACAGAGTGCTTAGGCATTCAAACTCTAACAATGGCATTGTTATGGGTGATTTCAATAGTTTTCGTTTTTTTTGGGACACCCTGTATACTCATTTCAATGCCTCAAAATCATTTCACGCTTCGTTTAATCTCGGCTAGGGATGACATCATGCAAACAGCCTTTATGTAGAAAAACTCCTGGAATTTGCATTACAATTCTTCTTATTTTGTATTTCATTAAATGTAGGCAAGTTTAGTGATAAAGGACTGTTAAAACCAGCCTTAATTAGTCACTAAAATACTTCGCCCCGAAATTTGGAATTCATCAAGATTCTATCAACAAGTGACAACTAAAATTGGTTATTATTTTACCTGCTATGCCACTGTCCTGGCAACAAAACCGTACCTACCTCGACAGACGCCAGTTAACTTTCTCGTTCAATCGCTCCCACTCGTTCTTAATCGTTACAATACTCTGTTCAATATTCTTTTTCTGCTCTTGGGACACAGATGGATGAGCACCAGTCTCTTCGCCGAACACGGCCACATTTGTGACGCGTTTCTTTTGTAATTCCAGTTCTTTCTGCAAAGCCTTGGACGAGCAAAAAATCATCATTTAGGAACAATCTCGCAAGGCTAATTGAGTACTGGGCATATTTGCAAGCAAATGTTAGTAACGCTGCATAAATGTTTATCATACTGAAGCACAGAATTTACGTACCAAGTATTCTTCATTTTGTCTTTTGAGATTGTTTACATTCGACTCGAGATCCTCAAATGAGTCTAATTTCTGTTCGCTCTTGACAAACCATTCCTGCAACGGGGCTAGTGTTTTATTCCATTCCTGAAGTTTCAGCGAGCCTTGTTCCTTGTACTCTGCTTCTTTCTCCGTGAGTCTGAAAGATGAGAAATGGAAGTTTCCATAATAAAATCTTTCCTTACATGTCTATTCTTTTAAGCTCCAGTTACTGATTCCTTTTCTCCTTCAGGTGTCTTCATCTCCTCTCAAAAGCTCCTTCCTTCTTCCTACTTTCCACTCGAACGCCGATTCTTTCAATTCTCCCCTCTCATTCCTTCTTGTGGCTCCTTGACAACCCTCTGTCATCTCTCTCTCTCCTACCCTCATCCTTTCTTTTACTCATCATCCTCATCCATATCCCCCTCTTACCCTCCTTCTTCCTTTGGCCATCTTTCTCATCCTCCCTCCTTCCCCTTCCTTCTTTGAAAATCTCTCATCCTTCGTCCTCCCATCCACCCCTCTCATTCTCCTCTCCCCCTGTCTACCCTTTAACCTTTCCTCTCTGACCATCCCTCTCCTCCTCCTCTTTCCCTCCCCCTCTGTCCATTTATCCCATTCTTCCAACTGTATTCATCTCCTTTTAATCAGCCCAATCACTTAGTACTACCTAAACGTTGATTCAATATAAATATCTGCAGATGATGCCAGCTGGTAAAGACTATTATCACGTCTACCACATCAATGGCCACTGCAATTCAATATAGCACTGAGTACTAAAGAAACACCGTTGTAATTCTGAATGTTTCTGGCGTGGTCAGTGCAGAGAAAAGTCTCAACCGTGTTTATTTATTCACCTCTTAATTTTCCAATTTATTTTCTCGCTCATATTTTCCCAGTTTTCTCGCAGTGTCTCGATATCCTCCTGGATTTGATGACGATCCTCAGGTGAAAGTGTTGAATGCGTCTTCAGATCATCACCAAAACGTACAACACTCGCCAACTGCTTCTTTTCCTGAAGCTCCATATCTTTAGCAAGATCCTATCAAAACAAAACACAATGTCATCCACGTCTAAACGCCTTGGTGTAAACGTCAAAAGGCAAGCTCTATAATCGATAAAAACAGAATACCAGGCTATCGTTTTCACTTAGGTTTTGGATAGTTTTAGGCCTTGGTAAATGTCTAAAGCTTGGCCAATTTAAACTAAGATACAGCAATTTAAATTATGTTCATTTGTTATATACAAAGCTTTCTGCCCGTTAACTACAGTAGTTTGATGGCTACTTAAGTTTTTTTTTTATTTAAGTCCAATTCTATTCTCGTTCTAAAAAACGACCCATTTAATTCTGAAAAAGATTCACCATAACCCCGTAGCATTTGCTAAACGTTTTCCAAGCAGCGGAAGCGTAGTCATGATGTAATGCAAGACCGGGTTGCACTTCCTGGAATGAAACAGTTGTGTTTTCAACAACAAACCTCCATCTCTCGTCTCTGCTTTGCTACGATTTCCAAACCAGCATCGGCTCCGTCCACTTCATCACCTTGAAATTTATCATTTTCTGCAGCCAACAAAGCCTCAATGATGGCGAGCTTATTTCTCCATTCAGCCAGTTTACTGTCTTTTTCATCTTGAAGTGCTTTCTCGCTTGCGTTCACGCTAAGAAAACAAGACAAGGAGTAAGACCAGAGTTTTTTACCATACACATGAACCAGGTGCAGTTTCGATCACTGATAAGTCACTGCTTGTTTTCAATGACAGGACAAAACAGAAAGGATAGTTTCTTGTGTATAAAAACAATTGATTTCAGTTGAAACTCGAAAAAAAAGAAACTGTCCCGTCTGTTCTGTGCTGAAGATACTTTTTCTGATTGGAAACATGCCAAGAATGTTCGACAATTTGTCAATACCGCTTTAACTTCTCTTCAATTTTCTGTTCCACGGCTTTAAAGGAATTTTCCAGCAACGTAATATCTTGTTGTATCGTCTTGCGTTCATCCTCCGACATCGAGGCGTGTTTCTGCGTGTTCTTTCCCATTTCCACGATTGTCTCGAGCTGTTTCTCTTTCAGATGAAGTTCCTGGAGATGAGTCTTGATGGGGGAAAGAAAATTTATCAACAATGGTTCAAGAGAAGGCTTGTGGCAACAAGTGCGTCGAAGGATGTTGTTGTCCAGTGCTATTTCAAAACTAACTTTGTTTGCCGGATAGCTCTATCAGTCTTAAACTGTTCTTCCTAGAGATCCAGTAAGGATCATCTCTTATTGATCCAGTGTTACTACGGGAGGAAACCTAAAGTAAACTAACTTTATTTATACTGGATAGCTCTATCAGTTCTAAAACTGTTCTTCCTAGAGGTCCAGTAAGTTTCATCTCCTATTGATCCAGTGTTACTACAGGAGGAAACCTAAACTAAACTAACTTTATTTGCACTCAATCGCTTTATAAAAAATGAAGAACAAAAAAGCAATAATATGTTCATAGAACTAACCTCTAACATAACCTTTTGTCTTCGTATAGATTCAGGATCGGAAGCGTGATCTCCTTGAGCAGCAATTTTCTTCTCTTGTTTTGCCAGCCAATCTTGAAGCTCCGAGACAGCACCTTTCCAGTTCGACAACAGTACAGATCGTTCTTCACTCAACGCCATTTCCCTCGAGGATAGCCTGAATGGAAATAGTTTGTTATTGATATAAAAAATACATCGCCTACTCTAGTCAGTCTACATAATCAACTCTTGTTGTCAGATACGAGCTTGGGTTTACAAGATGTTATTCTTCGGAATATGTTTTCTTCTTGCATTCCCGTGGGAATTTACCTTTTAACTTTCTTGTGCATTCTTTCTTCCAAGTTCTGCCACTGGTTCTTCAAACTGCTCATATGCATTCGTACTTTAGTTCTGTCCTCTTCTCGGAGAGCAGCGTGTTTCTGTACTTCATCACCGAGGCGGATTGCATTCTGCAACTCAACCTGCTGCTTTTGAATTGTCTGCACGTCCATCTATGAAGGTAGGATAGATGAGTTGAGAAAACTCCAAGATTGGTAAAAACAGTTTAATGAAATTTTTCACAAAACAATACGCTTGTTTTGAAACAAAACGCTACTGTGTTTGTTCACAAAAGACATTCTTGTCAGAAATCTGGGCTCATCAGGGTTCTTTGGAGCTGATTGGTTTGGTGACATATGATAGATCATTTCTAAGATTTCCAGCATTCTTTAAAGTAGTCACCCTTTCAAGTCAAGCATTCTTTCTACCCTGGTGAAGCAAGCAGGTAAACCTACAATGTAACGAACCTGCGTGGTTTGTTTATATTTTCTCACTGCTTCCAGATCGTTTGATTCAAAAACATCATCGACCTCCCACTTTGTTCCTTGATCACTGAACAGCTGCTCCAGTGGAGCGCTCTTTGTTTGCCATTCTTCCATCTTCGCTATCCGTTCTTCGTGGTAACTGCCTTCCTGTTTGCTGACCCTAAATACAAAGTTCACCAACTTAGTTTTGTAGTTAATGTCTTGCAACAAGAACAATTCATTTCAATTCAATTCAAAACTAAACGTTCAATACGTCAACTCTCTTGTTGAATTATCGTATGAAACATAGACAAATTAAAATGATTACTTTGTGTGCGTTTCACGGATCAATTCCTCGAGGTTTCGCCAGTTATTCTTTATGCTGTTCAACTCTTGTTGCAACTTTTTCTTATCATCTTCGGATAGCGAATCTCGTTCACTCAGTCTTTGATACACACTGTCTAAATTTTCCAAAGAGTTTCGCCTTGCATTCAAGGCCTCGTCTAATGCCTGAAATGTGTAAAATCTATGGTAAATAGAGTTGTTTCTGGCTAGGCTTTTGAAAAAGCTAAACACTTTACCTCAACGTCTTCTCTTTGTTTTGCTACGGCATCGTGATCATTTTTCATCAGACCAAGAGATCTGATCTTCTGTTCATGTTTTGAAATCCATTCTTTGACAGGACTCGAGACATCTTTCCATTCTTTCATATCGCCCACTCTTTGTTCCAACAGTTTTCTCTCAACATCATTCAGCCTAAGTAAAAAATTTGTCACTACAGAAGCTGTTCATGCTATTAGCATGCACGGTCAATTTTGTCGACCTTCGACAAATGTACCTAAAGCATTAGCATTCACTAGGAACTTTGCTTGTACTCATTCAGGCGGGCAGCTCCCTACCCCCCTGGATATTCTAACTTGGAATGAATTGTTGAGACCTTAGCTTGCAGTCATACATCATTATTATTATCATCACCGGGAGTAAACACTACTGCCGACCTCTCGTTTAAGTGGAAAATCGGCGGTCACAATCGGCTTAGTTAGAGCGCTTTTACAATAAACAGCACGTACTTTTTCAATCTTTCATTCATTGCTTCCTCTAGTTCTTTCCAGCTTGTTTTCACAAAGATTACTTCATTTCCAATATTCGAACGATCCTCGTCCAACATTGATGGATGGGTTTGGAGTTCCTCTCCGAGACGCAGTAAAATGCGAAATTCCTTCTGCTGGACGTGAAGCTCGTCCATCGATCCCTAAAGCACGATTTGGATTTGGATTGTTAGCATGCTCACAACTGGGATTCGGTGACTGAATTATATTCATAGAATGATTGATGAATAATCAACAATTACTTATAGACATTTATTGTATTTCCTATGCCGTTAGTTAGCTAACCTTAACAATCGTTAATTCCTCTCTCACAGCATCCAGATTTTGGTTAAAATCACCAGAATCACGAAGTTTGTTGTTTCTCGCCTCAATCCAATTTACGATTACTTCATATTTTGTCTGCCATTCTTTGAGACGACGATCACGTTCCTTTCCTAAATCATCTTCTCTGTTTGTAATCCTGAAATATTAGGGGTTTTAAAAAGGATTTATCGGGTGAATACGAGATGATCCTTGCTGCACCTCTGAAGAGAACAGCTTAGAAAGGTTTCCTCCTGCAGTAACACTGGATCAATAAAAAATTATCCTTATATTGGACCTCTAGAAAGAACAGTTTAAAACTGATGGAGCTATCCAGTATAAATAAAGTTAGTTTAGTTTAGGTTTCCTCCTGTAGTAACACTGGATCAATAAGGGATGATCCTTACTGCCAGGACATCTAGGGAGAACAGTTTAGAACCGATGGAGCTATAACAAATATTTCACTTCGGCGTACCGTTTTACCGCAGTTTCCATTTTTTCTTCTAAAGTTTTCCAATTTGTTTTGATTTTGTTCATTTCCTGTTGTCGTTTTCTCTTATCTTCAGCAGACAACGTTTGATTGTGCTGCATTTCCTCGTGAAGTTTAATGATTGAGTTCAAACGACTTTCATTTGCAAGCATTTCGTTGAAGAGAACCTGAAAGGGACACAAGTTTGGAACTACTAAGTTTGGCTTAGATCTCCTCCTAAAGTAACACTGAAAATGATGAATTGAAAAGGCAATGGTAAAATTAAACCTCTTGGAAACGTGTATTACAACTACTAGATCAGATACCTCGTTTTCTGCACGTTTTTTTCTTACAACATCCAAGCCAGCACCAGGGGAGAGCGAATGAGAATCGAACTTGTTATTTTCTTCAACCAGCCATTGTTCAACCGGCATCGTCCTCTTTTTCCATTCATCTATCTTGGCATTTCTCTCGTCATCCAGCAAGCATCTTCTCTGGTTGAGTCTGGAAATACAGGGGGAAATAATATAGATATTCGACGTATGGTGCCATGAAAACAAAACTATAATTGAAAAGATACAAAATACTGGATAGAAATAAAAGACTCTGCATTTTGTAAACATTCAAGAAACAAGCTTCACGATTATTCATCTCATTTTCCAGAATAAGATGAATTATGGTGGAGCATTTCCCAAGCTCTTGTTTACCTTTTAACGTTGGCTTGCGTTTTCTCTGTGAGATTTGTCAATCTTTTTTGAAGTGTTTGTGTGTCATCTTCTACCATGGTTCTATCCTCGTCTGATAATGAGAAACTTTGAAGAATCTCTTCACTCAAACGTAAAATTATGTTGAGTTGTTTTTCTTTTTGTTCAATCGTCTCAAGAAGAGTCTAGGGAAAAAAGATGTTTACATAAAAATAACGCCAGATCATACTCTGTCATAAAGGTTAAGCCATGCTATTGTTACGTAAAAATGATATGGTAATGCAGTATAGAATATCGTGATGGTATGTGGTATGGTATATGCAATGGTAATTCGTATGGTACATGGTATGGTATATGGCATGGTATGGTATGGTGTAAGGTATGGTATAAAGTATGGTATAAAGTATGGTATAAAGTATGGTATAAGATATGGTATGGTACAAAGCATTGCACATGGTATGCCATGAAATATAGTATATGATATGGTACAATATATGATATGGTGTATCGCAATGGTACTATGTAGTAATAGTATAAATTTCAAAAATATTAAACTACCTGTAGCCGATTTATTTCCACAGATAATTGTTCATAATTTTCCGGAATCTCCTGATAATCCGCACATTTTGTCTCCTCTTTCTTCAACCAATCTTGTAAAGGAATAGCCTTATTCTTCCACTCCTTGATCATAGCGGCCCGCTCACCATCCAATTCCGTTTCTTTGTTAACAAGCCTGACAAGAATTAGAAATACGAGACGAATTAGACAAAGAAAAATACGAATAAAACTTCAGCCAAATCCTGGACAACCTGAGCAGGTATGTATAGAACACCCACCTTTTTCTTCTCCACTCTAAATTGTCATGTAGTGTATCCCATTCCCTTTTAATGCTCAATTTATCTTGCTGAGTTTGTCTGCGATCTTCATCAGATAACAGCTTCATGCTGAGAACTTCATCAGCCAAACCCATAGTTTCATCTAAACTCTGCTTGTTTGCTTTTACAGCTTCGACGAGGTTCTAAACGAAGATTAATCGCATGTAATCCAGACGCTTGGTTTTAAAGGTAAGATTAACTGCAACGATTATCCTTAAAACCTTCAAACACGATGTTAAAACCTCACCTCAAGTTCGACCTTTTGTTGTTTGACTGTCGAAGGTTTTGTTCCAACTTGACCGTGACTTTCAAGCTCGTTTTTTTTGCTTTTGAGCCATTCCTTAAACTCAGATCCTTTTGTTTTCCATTCAGACATTTTATTTGAGTCCTCTTTCTGTAATTCTGCTTCTTTTTTCGATAACCTGCAGAGATTGATAAAGATAGACATCATTGAACGTCTGTTTGTAGCCAAAAGATCTTGTCGTGATAAACGGTACCGTTTAACAACTTTTACCAAATCGATTCTCTTATCGATTATCTATTGTTTACCTGTCAATACGTCCTTCAAGACCATATTTAAGTGCACTCCATCGGTTGATCATGTCATGCGCTTGAGTCTCGATCTGTTTTGCCTTATCGTCTTCTATCAACGGATCCTTTTGAATTTCTTTCGAGAAATCGTCAGCATCACGGAACTGTTTACCATAATTGTCCACCCTTGACTTGAGAACCTGCGTAAGAGAACATCACACACTTTGTTGATCAAATGATTCTGGGATACTCTATCCAGTTGTACATCTTAGAACCAATGGAATTGCCAAGTTCAAGACTTACGCCGGTATTCAAAAAGCTCACTCTAACATCTCCTACTCCATGAGTTTGAGTGTCAGTGAGCTTTTAGAATACAGGCGTTAGACTATGTGCGGTAGCGTTTTCGAGCGTTTTCATTTTCGTTTTCATACCAAAACGGTTTCAAACACCGCCAATTTACAATAGAAGTTGAAGCTAATTTAACATATTAAGCATATTTTCCCTTGGGTCGCGTGGACAGGGCGTCACAGCGATAAACTAAATGAAAACGATTTTTAAAACGCTCGAAAACGATGCTCGTGTGCCCATAGCTTTTGTTCAATAGAGGAATTGTCCATTACCTTCGTTTCACCCAGTTGTCTTTGTACTGTAAAGATATCGCTGGCAATCTCCTTGAGTGATTTTGCCTCTAAAGCTTTTGTGGTCAGCCACTTCTGCAACGGTTCACATTTAGTTTTCCATTCCGTCAGCCGTTCGCTCTGATGTCTCGCTTCCAGTTCATCAACCTTCGTTTCCAGTCTGTCAAGAATCCAGAATTAGTTCATCGCGGGTGGTTCAGGGATCGTGGGGGGCGCTCGGAGGGGATACTCATGAACGGAAGAGGTCAACCAAGCCAGAGTCCATCTTCTCCAATTTCGTGTGCAAAGCATGTGCGCGTGCGTAGATGATCTCGGAGATAGAGCTCAGAACCTGTGTATATCAGTGCTGAAGAGCTTGCTGAGAAAAGTTACCCCTGTAAATCCTCCAGTTAGCTCCTCCCCCCCGGTAAACACACCGGAAATAGAATAGCTCCAGGGGGGTGCATGGAGGATTTACAGTAAGAAGCATAATCATCACAGAAGGTCATCGGAGACATAAAATTACAGCGAACATCTCGATTACTACATACAGTGATGCATTAGTGATATCGTAAGGATGTAATGTAGACTATTACTTACGCATTGTGATGGTTGTTAATTTGCTGTACAATACCATCCCATCTGTCATTCAGAGATTTTGTCTTCTGTTGAACTTTGCTTCGTTCTTCTTCGTTGATGCACGGATCCGTTCGGAGATTCTCGCCGAACTCCGTGAAGCCGTAGATGTGACGTTGGAACTCAAGCGACTCATCCAGGATTACCTTTGGTGAAATTATTTAAGATTAATTCACTTTGTCAGTTCTAAACTGTTCTTCCTAGAGGTCCAGTAAGGATCATCTCTTATTGATCCAGTGTTACTACAGGAGGGAACCTAAACTAAACTAACTTTATATACACTGGATAGCTCTATCAGTTCAAATCTGTTCTTCTAGAGGTCCAGTAAGGATCATCTCTTATTGATCCAGTGTTACTACAGGAGGGAACCTGAACTAAACTGACTTTATTTATACTGGATAGCTCTATCAGTTCTAAACTGTTCTTCCTAGAAGTCCAAACAAAACAACAAACCTGAAAATCGTCTTTCTGAGCGTTAACGGTCTTCAAATCGGAGCCAATAGCACCACGTTCAGCCAGCCGCAGCTGTGTTTTATCCAACCATTCAGAAATCTGTACAGCATTTTCTCGCCACTTCTGAAGCTTATCCTGCTGTTGAGATCCCAATTTTGTTATCGTCTCATCGAGCCTGAAAAACAAATGCAGCAATGAAAACACAAGAAGAAACAGATTCCAAAAGAGCCAGTTTTTTAAACGGCTTTGCATCTCACCTTTGAATTCTCCAGTTGATCTTTTCACCCAAAGCTTCCCAGCGATTTTTCAGTTGATTTAAATCTTGTTGAAGCTTATTGTTATCCTCTTCGGAAAGCGACGAGTCGGCGAGTATTTCGTCTCCCAGACGAAGCACAGCGGCCATCTTCTTCTCTTCTTGTCTCATTTCTTTCATTAAAACCTAAATGTCAAAGCAATGAAGCAACAATAAGAATTATACTCTGAACCTGCTCTTTATAAAGCAGAATCATCGCTCTAAAGAATGGTCAACCTGTAGTTAGGAGTTTCGTTTCATCATACATAGTTAAGAGATGGTATTGAGAGATGCTTCTTTACCTCAACTCGTGGTTTTTGCTTCATAGCAGCCTCGAGGTTAGGAGCAATCCCACCCATTGCTTGAAATTTCTTTTCCTCTTTTGTCAACCATGATTCAATCGAGGTGGCTTGGTTGGAAAACTCTTCCAATTTACCCTGAAGGTTCTCTTCAAGATGTTTCTCCATGTCTGCCAACCTATGGAGATAATAAACAAGAATATCAACCTCTCAGCCAATATTTTAAGATGCTGGAAATGTTTATTGCAAATTCAACCTCTGTAGTCTGTTGTTAACAGTATTGCTGAGGCTTTCCCATCGTTCAACCAGGTTTCCAATATCCTTTCTCAACTTGTTTTTCTCGGCCTCAGGTGTGTTGACATTCTGCAGTAGTTCTTGTCCGTTCGCCAGAAGATATTCCACCTTCTCATGGGTCATGACCATTTCTTTCGAGATTTCCTAAAGAAAAAAATTAAATTGATCTCAATTAAGGCCATAGAGGGAAGGTATGGCTTTCACCTAGTCACCTTTCACCAACAGTTTTCCACAGCCTAGGAATTAAAACAATCAAGGCTTTCGTCAAACAACAAGCATCACACATGCATCACACATGATTATTACCTCTTGCTCAGTCATCTGTTTTTGCACAGTGGATAAGGTTTTTCCTATGTTGAAATTTCCTTCCACCTTTGGTGTCATTGTCTCATACCAAAGGTCAACTTCTTTATACTTCTCTCGCCATTCTTTCACCTTCCCGAGTTGGTCTTCAGATGCTTTCGACATTATCGCATGAATGCTGTATACCCAAGAGAAATTGATTAATCATGATCGCTAATAGATCTTCTTGGTTTGATTATATTACAACACCACAGCACCGCGATAATCATAACCCACACAAAATAGTATTATAATACCCAGCACATCAGTTGCATTAACTCCACTTCAACATAACCAACAGCTACATTACAATCATTATCACAAAAATCATCACCACAATAATTGCCCGCATCATCAAAATCATCATCAATAATGATATCAGTAATCATCACAATCATTATCATCCTCGCATGGATCATCCAAATCATCATCACAATCATTATTAACTCATCACAATTATATCCATCATCAATCACCATTATCATCACAATAATAATTATTATCATAATAAATATTAACTTCATCACAATTACAATCATCATCAATCACTATTATTATTATTAATTCAAATCATCATTATAATCGCAATAATTACTATATCAATCATTATCACAGTCATCATCATACTCATCAATATTATTATCATCATCACATTGATCATCACAATCATCATTCAAATAACCAAATAATAAACACACAAAAGTAATCCAAAAGTAACCTTTTCGCTTCTCCATCCATGACGTCAATAACACTGTTCCAGGTCGTGTGCAAGAGTTCAACATCTTCTTTAACCTGAACTTTCTCCGCAGCGGGGCAAGTATCGTGAGTCATCACTTCCTCAGCACATTCCACAGCATTCTGATACTCGGGTTTTATGGTATCCACCACCTTTATACACTCCTGTAGGAACATGTAAGGACAGAATAAGGAGAATACCTCGAGGATGTGAAACATGTGAGAAGAAAGAATGAGAGCTTTCACAGCAAATTCCCTGAATGAAAATTGAAGATCGAGGCTCACCTGAAAAGCCCTGTTTCTTTCGCCGATAATAGGAAGCGTTGGCAGCTTTGCAATTGTTCCTTTTACTTTGGTCATTTGCTTCAGCAGGAGTTCAAATCTTCTTATCCATTCTTCCACTTTATGCTTTTCTTCAAGTTCGCTTTCATCTCGTATCGCGGTCAGTCGAGTCTTCAAGTCTGCGGATTTTGCTATCAGTGATCGCCATTCGTTTTTCATTTCAGTCAGTTGTTTCTCAATCTTCAGTTTCTGTTCCTTAGACAAAGTCTTCTCAGCCATCATAATCTCACCGCATTCCACAATCGACTGAGGTGTGGTATCATTCTTTATGGTTTCATGCAGTTTCTATACAAAAAAGATAATGCTTCTCAACTGTACTCTAGTCATTAGGAAACGTTAACTAAACAAACTCATTTTTTATACTGTTCTAAACTGTTCTTCGTAGAGGTCCAGTAAGGATCATCTCTTATTGATCCAGTGTTACTACAGGAGGAAACCTAAACTAAACTAACTTTATTTATGCTGGATAGCTCTATCAGTTCTAAACTGTTCTTCGTAGAGGTCCAGTAAGGATCATCTCTTATTGATCTAGTGTTACTACAGGAGGAAACCTAAACTAAACTAACTTTATTTATGCTGGATAGCTCTATCAGTTCTAAACTGTTCTTCGTAGAGGTCCAGTAAGGATCATCTCTTATTGATCTAGTGTTACTACAGGAGGAAACCTAAACTAACTGACTTTAGGATTTCTCTATCAGCTATAACTGCTAAACCTCAGTGAGGTGAGATTCATTTTTACTAAAATGCTTCAATACCTCGCATTCCTCCAAGTTCCCATAGATGTTCTTAACATCACGACCACCACTCTGTGTTTCTAAAGCATCCAATTGATCCTCCATTCTGTCGAGCCAATCACACATCGCCTCAGCCTCTTTGCGCCATTTACCCATTTGATCAGACTGCGTACGCCTCAAAGTCTCTATACTCTTGTTATACCTACACAACACATAAATAAAAAAAGCGTTAGATACAAATGGTCCTTCTTGAAGTCTCAGTGACTTCGCCCATTAATCATGATAAACCAAACTACAGCAACATCCAACTAAAAAGAAGAAATGTACAAAACTACCTGTCAATATCTTGCCCAGCTCTTTCTTTCAGAATTTGTAATTCCTTTTCCAATTCAATCAACTGTTGTTTTATTTTAGCTTGATTTTCGGCCGAGAGTTCATTGCCTTTCATTAAACCTCTACCAAACTCAAAGGTTTCTCCTGCGACTGAATTAGTGTTGATCGCATCACGTAAATCCTAAAGATTGAAATGCAAAAAAGTTTTGGATACAGTGTGGCTCGTTTGTACACTTCACCTTGCGATTTTAGTTTGCGATTGCAGTTTTCATCTTTCGATAGATGCGAATGAGTGGATTAGTTACAGATGTTTAACTAAGGGCACTTATACACCGCAGTATTCATAACTATTCTCTCTTTTGCATGCATCAAAAGACGAAAATCGCACTGTAATGAGAGTCGACAGAATGGCAGTCAACTGTTTATACATCAACCTTAGCACAGGTTTTATAATCGCATCAAAACATACCTTCAGAGCTTGTGCTTGTTTTACAAGTTCGTTTATGTCTTCTTCCGATTTCATTGCTTCAATGTTTTCAAACTTTTCGTCCATTTTATCCATCCAATCAAGAAATATTTCAGTCTGTTTCCGCCACTGCTTCATCAGTTGCCCATCTTTCTCTCGAAAAAATGCGACCCTTTAAAAGGAAGATTCATTTTATGTCAAATGGATTCACTAGAACTGGTGTAATCAAAGAATTCATCAAACTTTTAAACCTTTTTTGCTGTTTTCCCGTCCTATCCATTAGATCTGACCATCGGGAATCCAGCGCCTTCAAATCGCTGCGTATTTCCTCGGCTTCAAGTAGCTGAACACTGGGATCATTCGTGGCTTTTGTTCCACTTTTATTCAGGGTTTCCACTTGCGATTTAACCGCTTGGAATTCTCCCTCGTAGTTCTAGGGATGAAAGCGACGTTATGTATACTACTTTCACAAAAGCCTTTAGGTTTCTAGTAAACCTCCGGCTCAAAATGTCATGAACTTAGTTTTACTGTTTAAATGTTCATTCAGGAGTTATTTTGGGCGAAAAGAGGCAAAAATATACCATTGGTACTTTAGCGGCTTCAAATGTCTTCCACTGCGATGATTTACTGACTGTGCTAACAAAATGACAATCCACCACGATTATATTCCTACCTGCCATCGCTGGACATCAATGCGATTTTGAAATGTATCCTCAATCTCTGACAGATGATTTGCAACCGTCTGCATATTATCTGATGTCTGAGACAAGTCGTCTTTGAATTTAAGGAACGGCTCACTTGGCATGTCTGGGATTGAAGACTAAACAGAAGGAAATGTCATCATCAAAATTTGATAATTTGTTAAAAAATTACTGGGCACAACAGTCTACTATAGTCTATCTAGCTCAAGTGCAGGTTGTACGAAAACTGGATAGCGCTATCCACCGGATAGTGATTTTTTAACCGTTGTAAAAATGTTGAAAAGTAGTAAAAAAACTACAGCATTGGAGCTGACTATTATTTAAAAGGACCCCCAATTTAAGAATGCTAAGGTTTAAGCCAAGTTATACCGAATAAAGGGGAGTTTTTGAGTGGTTGAAAATAACACAATTTTGTGGATAGTGCTATCTGGCTTTCATACACAGGTCCCAGCACTGATCAATTTAGTTGTTTTACATTAATCTATGGCAACTTATAGTGCTATATACTTTTTATCTGAACAACTGCTGCTTGTGACTAATACTACCTAAACTAGTCTGATTCCAAAGAAAGTTGAAAGGCAGAAGTCCAGAACTCGTGCCCAGTACCTCGACAGTTGAAGACGCCGAAGAGACCAATTCTTCTTCCACGACTTTCCTTCTCTTAGCACGCTTTACGGGCTCGTATTCACGAAGAGCTTCGTATAAACTGGACACGTACATCATAACCAACTTCTTGTCTGGATTTGCTTGATCAACATCTGGAGGTGTGTGAAAACGATATGAAAATCTTTGTAAAACACTGAAGATGAAGCTCTCATTCGAGTGAAAACACCGTCATAGAATTGTCACGACGAGATTGAGGTTTCCCACGCGAAGGGTTTGAGAGTAAGCTTTTAGAGACTGGGTGTTTATGTTAAACCATAAACTATGTTATGTTAAATGTCAGAAACGATTAATTTAAAAATCCAAAGAATCCTACGATACCTGAAGGTTCCAATAGCTTCTGTACTTGAAGATTTTCTTCAGCAACGGTGAAAGCATGATCAAGTCTTCCCTCGTTACTCATTTTCTCAATCGCTTCCAGTTTTATAAGATCATTTCTTAACGCAAAACAAACAACTTATTTTCCGGTTAACACCAATAAATAACTGCTTCAAATTGATCAAAAAGTTTTTCTTATATAGACGTCCTGCGTGGTTTGTTGCATGCACGAAATGGTGGCCACCCTGTGGTTATATCCGAGCAGAAAAATAAGGACAATTCTCTTTACCTGTGAACATGGATCAGTAAGTTAAACGCTCTGCCGTCTCTCCAGCTTTTAGACAGATCTTTCACTTGAATCACGTCATCATACCTGAAGAGAATATTCATAGTCTATTTAGGCAAATATAGCCTAAACCTCTTTCTTTTGGAATCATTGTGATTGGTCTCATAGCACGTCTTGTCACCGCTTACTATGATAAAGTAGTAATGCTGGTGCCTGAACCTTCAGTACAAAGGTCTTACCCTTCTGTGGCATTCTGAACCCAACGTAGCAGTCGGTCCTCCACATCTGCTTCGGTTTGTGGCTTAGATTTCTTTCTTGTAACAGCAGTATTTGCAGTGGCCTGTTTTGGCTGTTCCACCTCAACATCATCCTCTTGCAATGCACCATGAACCTTGAAAAATAACAAACCATTAAAAACGTTTAGAGAAGACACTTGGGAACTGATAGAACTTAGTTTAGGTTCCTCCTGTAGTGACACTGGATCAATAAGAGATGATCCTTACTGGAACTCTAGGAAGAACAGTTTAGAACTGATAGAGCTATCCAGTATAAATAAAGTTAGTATAGCTTAGGTTTCCTCCTGTAGTAACACTGGATCAATAAGAGATGATCCTTACTGGATCTCTAGGAAGAACAGTTTAGAACTGATAGAGCTATCCAGTATAAAAAAGTCAGTTTAGTTTAGGTTTCTCGGCGTACACTGGATCAATAAGAGATGATCCTTACTGGATCTCTAGGAAGAACAGTTTAGAACTGATAGAGCTATCCAGTATAAAAAAGTTAGTTTAGTTTAGGTTTCCTCCTGTAGTTACACTGGATCAATAAGAGATGATCCTTACTGGACCTCTAGGAAGAACAGTTTAGAACTGATAGAGCTTTCCAGTATAAATAAAGTTAGTTTAGTTTAGGTTTTCTCCTGTAGTAACAATGGATCAATAAGAGATGATCCATACTGGACCTCTAGGAAGAACAGTTTAGAACTGATAGAGCTTTCCAGTATAAATAAAGATAGTTTAGTTTAGGTTTCCTCCTGTAGTGACACTGGATCAATAAGAGATGATCCTTACTGGAACTCTAGGAAGAACAGTTTAGAACTGATAGAGCTTCCCAGTATAAATAAAGTTAGTTTAGTTTGAATATTACCTGATAATGTAAAATAATTGACCAAACAAGACCCAACGTTGATTTATGAACACCGTCCGCGATAGCTTGACCGCTGATACCAATGAGTTTTATCTATGACAAGTAAAATATTGAGGAAGATCAATCAATCTGAAGATGAAACACAAAGACGTCCTATTGCATGGAAAAACTCCTTGATCACTTACATTATCTTTTTCCAAAGCTTTCAATCCGATCTCAATATTGCTGACGTGATGAACACGCAATTTCCCTTTTTCACGAGGCTAAAAAACAACGACAAGTTTTTATGAAAGAGATGATTGTAATTCCGAAGGATATCCCATTGTCCTTTCGACCTGAAAACTGAAGCTGCATATTCACATACCGTAGAAACAATCGCTTTCAAAAGAGATCAGTCATGTAAATAAGATAGATAAATATATGGCACTCGCTCCTCCTCTCCCGACTAAGTGTCTAGTTTCGTCCCTGCCTAAGGGCTTTCGTCAAACTGACTCTCATGAAAAAGACCCCTAGGCTCAGGACGAGACGTCGAAAATCATCTCTGTCTATTAAAATAGTTGTACAATCCGCTACTTTACCAATCGTTCGTGTCTGAGTATTTCCAAAAGTGTGAGTAGTGCGTGGCCATTTCGTAGATCTTGAAACAGGTCTGCGATCTTTGCTTTTGGCTGGGCCTTGAAAGGGATTACAAAACCTCATCAAGTTACACAAAAGCCATTGGTATTGCAAGAATGCAAGCTATTCTAGGGTATTTCACTGTCCTTGTGTAAGGACCTTTTTACACTGTCAAAGGTAATGTTATCTCAGTTGGAATTTCTAATAGAAAATTCCTATGAGGAAACTAGAAATGTGTTTAAATGAAACTAGAAATGTGGATGTTGAGTTATTTCACCCTGCACGATGTTTGATACTGATCCTTGAATTGATTCCATGTCTAGAATCCATGCACGTAATCCTTAATCTAATCCTTCAGGGTTAATAGTTGGGTGAGAGTTATGGTCAGGTTTAGGATTAAAGTTAGGATTATATTTGTGGATTCTGGGCATGAAATCACTATCCCAATTTTAGTACATTTATGATTTACCGAAGAAAAAAGTTTAAATGTGATGACAAAAGTTTTGCAAAGCAGGGTCATGATCTATGGTGTGATTAGTGGCAGGTGTCATTACCTTCCATAATTTTGAATTGATCCATTTTGTAAAAGATCGTATATGAGCTTCCTCTCTCTCGTCTGCAAAGAAAAACCAACGTTTTTCAACAGATTTGTCCTCGTTGTTTTCAGGAGATTTGAGAATGCGCGTTTTCTTAACATTCCTCTTCAAGTCACGATGATTCGGAAGAGGGGACGCGGAAAATCACACCTCCCCCAACGGACAAAAAGCTTCTCCCCCCTGACACAAACAAAGCGGGAACGCCTTTTCCCTCTTAATTCATGAACGCGGAATTATCGAGCTATCTTCGCATTAGGACGGATTTAAACTATTTGCGCAATGCACTAATTTTTGCAATAATTGAAGGGATTATCTCTGTCTTCAGTGAGCAAACATTTTCTCCACTGGACTGTCAAAAGCCGCAAAACTTAATTGTCTGATATATGACCACTGCATCGATTTCTTAGTTGGCTGGTCAAGGAATTCGAAGAATGCTTCCAACGATCAAAACCGGAGATTTTAACTAGATTGCCGGACATCATAACGAATGAACTAATTGAGATATTTACCTATTATTAAGTTTAATTCAAACACGGCAACACTTTACGTTGTGTTCGAGGAATTTACGTAGGAATAGATGTTTTTACTCAACAAGGTCAAGGCTCTCTACATAGGGAATTTTTGTTATAGGCAAAGCTGAAAGCTGGTTAGGTCACGAAACTAGGCAGAGTAAACTTACGTTAAACTTGAGGACGGGAACGTCAAAGACGACGTGAAAGTGGCGAAAAAACGGCATGGCGTGTCCATATTTGGGCGAATCACGCTATTTATTCGCCATTTTTACGTTGTCTCACTTTGACGTTCATGTTCTCAAACCAAATCTGCGCGGTAGTATGTTTCCTTGGACACAAATGAAATGCTATATAATCACAATGGGTGAAAAGATCTTAGGGCGAGTTTCATCACGACAATTTATACAGAACGATACACGTTTTACGGGATATATATTCCGACATTTAGGGTTCATTACCAAGCTTTTTGCTACTATATATAATACAGCGACAGGGAATCGCTGCAGGAGGATTTTTGACTGAAATATTGTGATTATGGTTATAAAAGAAATGACGGAGTTATCTTTCCAAAGAGTGGTCATGAAGTATGATTGTCTTTGTTTTGGAAAGTGAAATTGAGCGCCATGCATACTCACAATAAGTTTCGTCTTAGTTAGTCAAAATACGTCAACATGGGGGTGGAAGAATCGACTGGACTCAGTTTTGAAATATTAAGGGGGCGACCGGGGCGTCGTTCGAAAACAGTTGCCTGTGACTTAAGAAAGGTGCTGAGGAGAATTCTGGAGAAAGTCTTCCAGTGACATGATTTGATATTGGAGGAAATCGATTTATAACCTAACTTTTTATTAAAAGTTATCTAAATGGCTAGACACAGTTAGATCGTTGTCTAGCCATCAACAGGCATGCAGCACTCTCCACTGTTAAATATCCAAAGTAGGCCAAATCTACGTGCATTGTCGGCATTAGGAGACGTTTTTTTCAAACCACTTAATGACATCTAGGATTGTTCTGGTCAATGTTAGACAAAAAATATTGGCGCATCGGGGGTGCCACCTTAAATGATAGGTTATCAAGAGAAACTTGACGAATAGTTTAACTAACAAACAACAAATGGTGGCATTATAGACATCAAAAGGCCCAGGCTATGGGTCCAATTCGGTGAATTATCAGGTAATAATTTAACGGTCAGGTATAGTTTTGTTAAACCATTATGAAATTGAAAACTACTTTTTCACTTTGATATTTAAAGATTGATATGGTCAGTGTCAGATAGAAAATACAGGCACATGGGGGTGGCAAAACAAGGGAGACTATGAGAGTTTAGATGGCATCTAACAGCCATTTCTCCTCCAAGACGAAATCTAAAATCGTCAGGCGTTAGACGGATAGGGTATATAGGTTAGAGTTTACAGCAGGTTAGTCGGATTTGTGATTGAAATGCGAGGCCAAGATTTTGGATATGGTCTCGGTAGAAACATTCAAATGTAGAACAGGTTTCTGTCAATGTCATGCACAGACAGTCGTTTGTCTACGAATACTTTCTTTAACGCGGGCACTTAAAAAGCACTTCAATTCGCTGCCCACGATAACACAAGCCTTCCCGCACGAAATCAATATAAGAAAGAATTTGAACCGGAGCTTTCAAACAACGACGCCGCGTGAACTCACAACTTTTTCAGACAAACTTTTCTAGACGCGAGCTATCTATGGTTCATTCATTCAAACATTTATTCATTAGAATATAAAACGAGTTTTTCTTTAAAGGAATCAAGAGCCATTGGTGTGTATGGAACGTGTCACACTATATACATGCAGCTAGATGATGTACAGTAGAGAACTATAGCAATAGAGAACGTGTTTTATATTAATTTTAACTTTCTTGCCTTTTGTATATAAAAAGATACTTTAGTATAATGTATGTATATATCGACTCTTATAGTTATAAGGAAATCAATATTTGTTGTTGAGGATCCGAGCTTTTCTCTATGGCTACACAAACGTGTAATCTTTTGAAGTAGTCTGCAAAACTATTTTAACAGTAACAGAATTAAAGCTATTATACATTATCGTAAGTTTAAATTCAATATCGGAATTATGCTCAGTAAACTCTGAAGTTGTTTCAGATGCTTGGCCCGGGAATGTCTAAGCCGTTTGAGTCTACAGCGACTTATTAAATGAATGGTTTTATCGACTCGAAATACGATAAATTAATAAAATTCAAAGCCGCCTGCATGAATAAAATTCGTCGAAAGGGAAGAATATATTTGAAAATGAAAGTTTTAGGAGTATATAAAGCACTTAGCATAAATGTAATTAAAAAATACCTATTTATTTCTAATTGAAATTAAGGTCAAATTGCGGCATACGTATGTACGAAATCACTGCCACCTTTCATATGAATATAGCAACTTTTAAATGAAGTGTATTGTCTTAGACTTAGCTAGGATACGCTGCTTTGAATGCCAATGTGACGCGTCAAGACAATATTGTGAGAACGTTGTATACATCGAACTCAAATAGGAATGCATCAACTATGTAAACAATGAATACTTAATTCGAACTCGTTCTTATTACGTTGTCAGGTTGTACTATGACGAGAAAATTTAGGCGATTAAGCTTCTTAAACGGCACTAAATACACGGACGTTGAAGAATGCCGTGATATTGTGTTCATACCTTGTCTGCATGGCCGTGTCGAAGCGCTTTTGTTAAAATACCCATTTAGAGTAACCCAAGCAAACTCTACTAGGCAGCCCACATTTTGAGAAGCCTCTTGAGTCAAGACACGCTACTATATCGCCTTAGTTTCGAGCGATTTCGGGCAAATTTAAATACAGGTGCAATCGTGAAATGGTAACAATGAATATACCAATGGAAATGATCTTATCACGAAAATGCCATATATATTTCATCGTGAGCTCGTACAATGAACGTTATACTACAAAAAACCGTAATATTTAATAGATATAAACATACCCGCTCTTTTCTGAATGGTCCTGGTGATCTCCGGCGATTCCATAGTTTCTTCAGTGGTCAACTTTTCCAAATTTCGTACGGTATTTCTGGCCTCACGGCTGGGTACATCTTTATCCTCGCGAATTCATGTTGTCCTCGGCAGCGCGCGATACGCTTCAGCAGATAACTATGTTTTCATATGCAAAACGAATTTGCATATATCCAATATGCCATGTTGCTTGTTAAGTGGGAAAAAGGAAGACGTGTATACGAGCGTAATTCGCAGGTCATCGGGTCATTTGGCGCCACGAAATATTCAAACAATACCTGCAATTAATGTGGTTGCAATCTTTGCTCCGTGGCTTGAGGTAAATCGCCACAAATAGGCGATAAAACTATTCGCGGGCCGTTATCGTCAGCAAACAAACTCGATTTTAGTATAATTTTTACTATAAGCGAGTGAGAATGTCCTTTCACCTAAAGAGTATAGCCAGGATAATGCAGAATCGTTGTGCTTTTTTACTATTTTGTACGTAAGCGCACGCAGTTCAAAGTTAGAGACCTTTTGAAGTTTTCATAACGATGGCTAACCTTAGAAAAAGCGTACTATACATTTCCCTCAGAACGAAACTTATATTGCATCGATCGTTTATTTTACATATTGACATAGCCACAGGTTTGAACATCAATGCGTACTTAATTGGCGCTTGAAAACAACCGTAAACCACTACAAAATCTCAGGACCGAAACCTTTCAAAACTTAACTCGAGGTAGAAAGACCTTGGATCTAAAATACTGTGAGGGATTTGGAGCGGTATGTTTAACGAAATTTGGATAGGCTAGATTAAAAAGTTAAATTGAATCAACTGTTTGGAAAGTCGTGCTGGCATGCGATTTTTAAACGCTTGCTAGCTCTTGGCGCCCTACCGTTGCAGTTATATAACTGCCCTGCATGTTAATGAAAAGCTTTTTCGCAGAACCAGAGCATGGCTGTGCATTTTAAAGGTAGGTTACAGTCGCTTTTGCGCATGTACGAGCTTTGTTTACATTTTTTGTTTTGGTCTTAATCCATTTCATTTGCACAACATGAAGTATCTAAGAAACTAAATTAAAATGGAGGATGCATCAGGAGTGGAGCTTTATAAAACGATTCAAAAATTGTCTTTTAAAAGGCAAGGGAATTCAATCTTTTGAAAAACTACCACTCGAGGATATATCGTGGATCACCTCGGCATTTTTGCGCGTGATCGTTTGTAATGAAACATTCAAAAGAAGCGCATAAAACCTATCGGTGTTTTTGTCGCATCCTTTGGTTTTAGAAAGAGCGAAATTTCTACCGTTTACAAACTAAATCTTGGGTAATTTTTTCCAAACACATGCATCGAAGGAGATGGGAGAGCAGCAGTGACCAGATGGTAAGTTTGTAGAGATTTTGTTTTAATTTGAAACAGAAAAACTGCATATAAAAGATGTAATGTTTACTATGATTGTTGGATTATTAAATTTGGATGAAGGATGATAGTGAGCTCATTTCAAGTTAAATTAGAAGTTTATATAATACATCTGCCTGACCTTCATACTACATTGTTATTGCAGGATTCAAAATTATACTCTAATTAAAACCTGTGAGATGAGCAAGACAATCATGTTGCAAGGGAGGGGCTATAGATAGAATTTGGTGAAGATGACAAATAATGAATTCCCAGGTGGAACTATCAACCATACCAGAAGGTGTTCCAGTGTAGCAAATGTGGCTGTTGCAATCCTAAAACATTCTGGAGTCTGGACCTTTACCATGTGTTTGTTACAGATAGTTAGATCTCCTCACTAAAGGGAGGTTGTCTTAGATATTTTAAAAGAAGAAACTTGGGTAATTGGCACCTGTTACTTATATGTATTTCAATGTGCAATGCTTAAAACATATATTACACCCTCCCTTGCTTGCTACCACTGTAAATTTTAATGAAAATCCTCAGCATGTTAATGGGATTAAGTCTAAAGTCTTATGGTAGTGTTTTACTTCATAAGGAGTAAGCCATTAAATTCATATATCAGATATTAAAATATAGATGTATTGAAACACAACAAATAGTGCATTGATTTTTCTACTGTCTTAATTGTTTATTTTTGATACACTAAAAATTAAAGCTTGATGGTACTATATGTCTGGGTAACTCTGAAGCAACATTATTTTATCTGCTAATACAATTTGGATAGTTCAGTTTAGGATTGTAAAATTTACTTTCTCTTTTAAGTGGAGTACCTTTCAGAGCTTATAAGTTCCGCCTACTCAGAGTCATAGTTTCTAAATGATACACACTTGCATGTCTGTAGTCCACTTGACTGATAGGTTTTATCAGTTTTAATTAAAGGTGGAAGGACTTCAGGATATGTTTGCTGTGAATTTTGCTTTTGTTGTAACTTGTAAAACCAATCTTTCTATTAATTGTTCCCAACTATAGCCCTTAAAAACTGGACCTAAAGAAGAATTATAATTATTAGTCTCATTCCAATATATAATTAAGAAATATAATAAACATATAGTATTATTGTTGAAAAATAATAATTTCACATATAGTCACTTTGATTTATTTTCCACTATATAAATTTGAAATTTTACAATGCATGTTACCTTTATTATAAAAATATGGAAGATACTCAACAATGCAGCTTAATACAAGCAGTGAATATCAGTCATTTACCAAGAGATTTTTTTAGATTAGTTTATGGTGAGTGGTGATCCCATATATGGTTGTTATATAAGCTGATTTCTTGCAGATGTATTAGATAAAAGTTAATACGCAGTTAAAAACCATCAATCCACAAGTACTGTACCTTCACGTTTAGTTCCATCAAGGAAGATACATACGTCTTTACTCTTCATGACTTATTGGAACTGTTCCGTACATTCAGACTAGCCTGCGAAGCATTATTATTAGGAAGTTTTTTGTGCGCCGGAAATACTTGTGAAAACTTGATCCCACGCGTGCCAACAATAACACCGATACTTGCCACCAATTACTCGCTCTTCCCAGTAACAAATTACAAATAGTTTTAAACTCGAGTCGAAATGCGCGCCAGTAATAAATATCAAGGATAAAGGATTCGTTCCCCAGACATGTTGCACTTCAATCTTTATTTATGCTTCATTTTAAAACATTTGTTCGAAGCCATATTCACGAAAATACACTTCAGACGCATCTATTTGAGATATGAAATTGATTCAATGACTGTATCGCTTCTTTTGATGAGAATATTAATAAGCGTTGGGAACAATAAAATTTTTCACTCCCGTGTGTCGGCCATCTTGCCCGAATTGTGAGCACTAAATATTGCGCAATGTTTTGAAATTGCAAGAATCAAAACAAAGTGTGAGCACACTTCGCACGTGCGCAGAAGCGACTGTAACCTACCTTTAAATTGAAACGAAACGGTAGTGATTTAGGACTGCGTTTATTTGATGGCTGCATGGTAAAATGTTCGTTATCTTACAACGTATATGTATGCATGTTATCTGAACACAGTACTTTCAGTTCTTTTCCAAAAGGACAGAAAAAAATCGGAACATACTGTACTTACATGTAAGCGAGTTCAATATACTTAAGGGGGTTCCGCTGGTCGATGGCAGCGCAAAGCAGCTGTTCCAATCTACCTCAATTCGAAGTACTACTTACAACGCCCAGTTGGTGCCACTGGGAACTCTCCTCCGAGAAAATATGTTTTTTACGAAACCAATGGCTTTGGTTAAACCTTTTAAACACTATTTCGACTGAATTCGTCGAGTGTTGCAAGTTTCTCGATAATTCTATCATTTCTATGCATGCTTTGGTTCACTTCACGAAGAGCTGAACAGCGCTAGACACGATAGTGGTATTTAGACTATGACTATGTGTGCATACGGCAACGTTTTCGAGCGTTTCCACATTTGTTTTCATACCGAAACGGTTTCAAACACCGTCAATTTACAATAGAAGTTGAAGCTAATTTAACATATTGAGCATATGTTCCCGGCTTGGATCGTGCATGTGGACAGGGCGTCTTAACAACGACGCAAGTGTGCACATAGCCTTAATAAATGCTTTTTTTAAGATGCTATATATGGATACATCAATCACCAATGAATATACTGTGGGAATACTCAAGCCGGCAAACACGAGACAAGGTTATCGCAAGTTTTTATTTCTAAGATACGATAAAGAGAGTGAAATATGCATCGTGGTGATTAATGTGAATTGTTTGTATATAAAAAATACCGAAATGTGGGCATTTGACGTACTTTTCACACTCGCACGATTAATGTGTTTTGAACCGCTCATGCACCTTTTCCACATCTCAGAAGTTAAACGGCCAAGCTTATGGTGGAAGATATTACTACAATCCTGAGAATGGGCAATCACTGTTGTTTTGAAAGGATGACAGAATGTTCTTCCGAGGTAAGAGAGTTACATGTTTGATCAAAAACATAATTCTTTACGATTTGATTCTTTACGAGTCAAATGTTTCAACATGCCACACTGAGTCAGGCAGGAATGGTTATCTTTCGAGGAACCTTTTTGTCTGCAACTATAGTGAAGTTTTCTTGTTTAAAATCTTATACTTTTCTCCCGCAAAAGAGCATGTTAACATCGAAAAGAATTATAACTTTGATGACAGAGCAAAAAACTCGTCAAACGTATAAGCCACTCATATCTAAATTGATGTCACATAAAAAACATTTCAATTTTTTAATTGATTCAAATTCGCATAAAATTATTGTTCGTAAGATTGACATCCCCGCCATTTTTTTCACATTATGGCGAATAGCGCTGTCCAGCCTTCTTCGTATACAGCAGGCTCATCATTCTTGGCCGGCGGTGAACTGATTAAAACTTCAGCACACATCGTCCTCAACATCTCCCCCTTAGTTTCAAAAGAGGTTTCGACACAAGGGACATGTAGAATTGTTGCTCGTGCTAAACCAGCGATATAAACAGGCCGAGTGAAATTTTTTCTTGCACGTTTTGCAAGAAAGTCTGGGCAGCGAATAGTTGGAGCCGTGGATGACGGAGAAGCATATCATGCAATCGTCCAAACCCTCGAATTTCTTATCCACGTTTCGTTTCCATAATAAAAGACCATCGAGTATCGTACCATTCTGAAAAGCACGTTAAACGGATCAAGATCAGGAGATGATCCTTGCCGGACAACCGACAGTTTAAAATGGACGGTTCTAACTACACAAGGTAAATTTTGGTATCCACTAATCCCATGTTCAGTAAATCCTAAATACCCGAATTTAATCCTTGAGATTAAGTTAGGATCGGATTAGAATTAGGATTAACGTTAACATAACCAACTATAAACTTAATGTAAAACCTAATCCTAACCTTAACCCTAATCTAATCTCATGCACTAAATTTATGTATCACGTTTTAGTTTTGAAAGCGGAAACTATTGAATAAGTTGTATTCTTGTATTCCTTGCAGAAGAGAAAAAACTCTCGGCTCTGGCTACTTTTGTCTCGAAGATGCTGGTTCTTTTGTTTCAATTAAAACTTTATCTAAAGCTAGAATCGTCCACATAGTTACACAGAAAGAATATTTATAGTACCTTATGATCTTATTCAACCCCGTACTTCGGTTGCTTTTAAAGTTCGGAGTGAATCTCGTATGAAAAGTAAAACAAGGCTTCACTTACCTGATGCATTAGAAAAGTAGTCAGCTGCATCACCCACAATCTCCATTGATTCAGTTTCACGCCAACTCTCTTGCCGCTGGTCACATTGATCAAGCCCAGTGGATAACTGGATGATAAGCCAACGATGAGTTCGATTGATATATCTTCAATCTTGTAGTAAGCGATGACCTCACGAGTGCTGGATCTTGTCACAATCTCCATATTCTCGTACGTTGTTGTCGATTTTTGAATAATCTGCATTTCCTTGTCGCATAGCAACGGCGAAATATATGATGTCGTGTACCTTGCAAGTGAAGAATGTTATTAATTTTACTTACTAAAAGAGGAAACCTAAACTAAGCTAACTTTATTTATACTGGATAGCTCTATCAGTTCTAAACTGTTCTTCCTAGAGGTCCAGTAAGAATCATCTCCTATTGATCCAGTGTTACTACAGGAGGAAACCTAACCCAAACTAACTTTATTTATACTGGATAGCTCTATCAGTTCTAAGCTGTTCTTCCTAGAGGTCCAGTAAGGATCATCTCTTATTGATCCAGTGTTACTACAGGAGGAAACCTAAACTAAACTAACTTTATTCATACTGGATAGCTCTATCAGTTCTAAACTGTTCTTCCTAGAGGTCAAGTAAGGATCATCTCTTATTGATCCAGTGTTACTACAGGAGGAAACCTAAACTAAACTAACTTTATTCATACTGGATAGCTCTATCAGTTCTAAACTGTTCTTCCTAGAGTTCCAGTAAAGATCATCTCTTATTGATCCAGTGTTACTACAGGAGGAAACCTAAACTAACTTTATTTATACTGGATAGCTCTATCAGTTCTAAACTGTTCTTCCTAGAGATCCAGTAAGGATCATCTCTTATTGATCCAGTGTTACTACAGGAGGAAACCTAAACTAAAAGAAACTTACTTTTCAACAACTAGAGCATTTTTCTTCTCTAAATTATTCCACCAGAGCCTAACAAGAGCTGGCAATGTTCTCAGAAGATCATGATAAGTCTCAAACGCCAAATTATGAACAAACTCTTCCGCTAACAAACATTTCTCTTCCAAACTCGAGTCCCCTGCGAACCGCTCGCTCGGTTTTTTGGGCAACATTCTGAAAACGATTCCCAGCAGTTCACTCAAGAGTTTCTCGCGCCTCAAGTAATTAGCATATTCGGCGCGTAGCTCCTCGTTCGAGTTGGCAAAGTGCGCAAGAAGGAGTTTCCAGGCCAGAAGGTACGTACGAGTGGTGTGCGATGCCTCGCTGTCTTCTTCCAAACCGAGACTCTCTCCAAAAGGAACTTCGGCTTCAGACAAGATTAAGGTTATCTTGGCTTGGTTTCTTGAGATTAACTCGATCAGTTTAGGCGGCGGGGATCTATGCGCAAGAAAGAAGATATGGTAAAGGTTCCCATGCAATATACAACATGATTTTGTGAAATATGTTTCAAACCAACCTGCAAGGATCATCGTGAGTTTCTTCTGTGCTTGATTCGCCCTCGTTTTCCTCGGGAGGTCCAAGCGAAGGAATGACCCTATACAATACAGGAAGTTTATGGTGGGTTCATTCAGCTATTACCTAAATCCTAATCTAGGAAGAAAATTATGAAATTCAGCACCACAGTCTGCTTATATGGTATACTGGTTATATCATATATGTATATAGAATATGGTATACAGGTTATATGGTATACAGGTTATATGGTATACAGGTTATATCATATATGTATATAGAATATGGTATACAGGTTATATAGTATACAGGTTATATAGTACACAGGTTATATGGTATACAGGTTATATCATATATGGTATTCAGAATATGGTATACAAGTTATATGGTATACAAGTTATATGATATACAAGTTATATGGTAAACAGGTTATATGGTATACAGGTTATATCATATATAGTATACAGAATATGGAACATAGGTTATATGGTATACAGATTATATTATATGGTATACAGGTTATATGGTATACACAGTAGCGTAGCCAGCCTGTCGATTTGTCCCGCTATGCTAATATTTTAGTGTTCACTGACTGTGAAAACAATATATTTCTAAAGACATGAATAATTATAATAACTCGAAATTTACATAGCGGGACAAAATCGTCAGGCTAGCTACGCCACTGGGTATACAGGTTATATCATATATGGTATATAGGTTATATGGTATACATCCAATTTTGTGTATTGTGACACACAATGGCCAATACAGCAATATGGCCAAAAATATTTCATACAGAAATGATATATTACCTCAGCAGGAGTCGATATGCCCCTAACTGGAAACAGCTGAAACTCGACTCCAAATAATGTGAAAATTTCCTAACAAAATGCACCTCCCAACTTTCCGCAGTTTTTGGGCTCGCATCAGTACTTGATGTTATGTATTCTTTAAGGTTTTCTGTGGTCAGGTAACAACAAGCGGATGAGATGGTCTCACTGAGCCGATGATGGCACACCGAGAGTTGTTGATCTCCGGAAATATCTGCCTCTGTAAGAAAAAACGCAGTAAATAAAAGTCGAGTTAAATCATTAAATGAGATCACTATAGTAATTTATCTGTGCAGTACATTCATTAATCTTTTTCGTACAGGTAAATATAGGGAGGTTTATGGCTAGTTCTCGTTCCAGTTACAACAGAGATCACTGACAGACATACAGGCCATGGGGGGTGTGGCATTATACTAGCTAATAGGAGAACATCTATATCTGATATTTTGACCAATCATTGTACCGTACCTGCAACCCGTGACCACAGGCGAAGGAGATTACCAGATGCTGAAACACTAAAGAACTCTCGCCATTCATCAGCAAGTTTCTGTAACACCGGTTGACCCGGGCATCAGACGACGAGACATTCACATCTTTTTCTACCTTTTTTTCTGCGGTTGTTTTAGGCAGAACCGTGCCAACTGCCTCAATCAGTCGACAAACGTGATTCGTCATCGCACCAACACGAATACTGACCGCGTCACTGTCTTGACAACTCTAATTAAAAGGATTTATACAAGTCTTCAATGTGGGAACATTACTCAGTACAGCTGAAAACAACATCTTTAATTTGGTATCATTTCAAAGTTTGGTTGCAAAATATTGTTAAATGCCAAAAATATAGTCCTCGGAAGTTTGCAAGTCGATTCGTCGAGCGTAATACAAAAATAGACAAAATTTACAAACTTTGCTGAACTTAATTTTTCACATTTTCCAATGTTAAGCGGTTAATCTATGGAAGTGTAATAAATCTAAAATACTCTTCCAAACTGTTGTGATAAATTTTGCATTTCCTTCGTCAAGAACTTTGTACATTGTACACTGGGGAATCATTATAGGAACTTCAAAACTGTACCTGTAGCCAATCCAACATGGAACAGAGTATCATATCCCACATTTCGCTTTCAAGATTCTCGGAATAGTTCACGACGGCCATCCTCATAATTCTCATAATAGCCAAATTCAGAGAAATCTTCGATACATCCTCATCATCCAAAGAGCAACTGAACAAGAGAAGATCTGTGATTTCCGATTGGCGAGATTTGACATCTTTGAGTACTTCAAGGAAAGTCATCTGACACTCCATTGTTGCTATCTCAGAATCCTGGGACAGATAAATCCATCTTTCTAACGCACTCGAAAGAATGCAAAGACAATACATCAGGCCTAAAGTGAATGAAAGGATGAACTAAGAACCGGTGCTGGTTATTCAAAGACTTATTTAAATACGTTTCTTCTAACTTATCTAGGGCCGGTTGAATAAAACTCTTTAACTACATTTTTCATAGTTAAATCCTAGGCCAAATCTGTCCCTACCTACAGTTAAAAGTTAACTAGTCTTTTATACAACTGACCCCTGGTATACGGAAAACGGCCAGTTAGTTGCTAAGTCAAAATTGATATTGATGTACTTATTCTTTATAATATTCTAGGTAATGATAGTGTAATAGGAATAGTATACTAATAGTTACACATAACTACAATTACCGTAGTATTTAATTATAGAAAGTGATTGAACGTAACTAACTCTTTATTGATTATTATGGTTCATTGTTAACTACAGTTATTTACATAGTTTTATTGAGATGCATGTTTGTTAGTCCACAATTAAGCAGATTACTCATGAAAAGTTTTATGGTGGAAGAGAAGTTAGCTTTTTATGATTTACTTCGTGCTTATATATCATCAAACCAGGCCCTTACCTGTCATATCACTTGAATCAATCTCCCTCAACATCTTGGAATAACATTCCACAGTAAGCTTCAAGTTGTAAATCGAAGTGTCTTCTTGGAGTAAACATTGCATTGTCTGTAATTGCTGTTCGCTGTGGTCACCTTTCTCGCACACCAAAAGATCAGATAAAATATCCGATAACTTTTTCTTTTTCAAACTAGCTGAGATTGATGCTTTCAAAGTAAGAGACCACACGCCACCTTCAGACTTTGACATTGCATGTAAACGCCTTAGGATAGCAGCACTGGATGCGTTTGTCAACGTATCGAGCAGTGGTTGAAGGTTCGTCTCCATGATGTCAAGTGGGGTCCGGAATGATGGACCGTCTTTTATGTAGAGTGTTTGCTTCAGGTGCTAAAGATTATCAAAAGTAGGATAGATTATAACACTTATGAGAAAATTTCACAACGTATGTAAAAAAATAACAGGTAAAAAAATTAAAAATATGTCAGAGAATTTGACATATAATATGTAAAAAAATTGAACATATGTAAAAATATTTAACATACATATGTAAGAGAACTTTGTAAGAAAATCACGATGTATAAGAAAATTTAACATTAATTGGTGGTAATAAAGACTTTAGGCGTGTATAAAAATTTAGTGCGAAAATATTTCGATCAACTTACTTCTCTTAACCAAAGCATTTCAATTAATATTCTCCACACATTTCCATCAGCTTCTTCGCATTCAGGAAAGCATTCTTTTTCAAAGCGTAGTTTAAAAACGCGGGACAGAAACAAGCAAAGCATTTGATGTGATGTGAGATGCTCTGAGCTGGTGGTACGTCTGGTGTGTGGAAACTCTGTGAAACTCACGATACCATCCAGGAATGGAATCACTGCCCAGGTAGACTGATGAAAATAATTAAAAAATCACATTTTGAATAAATACAGGACTAGTGAACTGTACTGGGGCTTCTCTAGCCTAAGTTAAAAGGGGTTCAATATAGGGTTGCAAATTTTTGGTATATCAGTTCAAATTTTGGGGAATTATGTAAGTAAAATTATTACGCAACTATATATTTCGGTGTTCTTGGGAGTTTTTGTCTTCACTAAAGCTCTAACAATCTACATGCAAGCTGCTAGCACTATCTCATTTTCAGGTTTTGTCGAATAATATTAACAGTTAATGGGTACACTGATCAACTGACAATGTACCTATGCACCTATGTACCCCCTATTCAACCTGTCAGACCCTAGATAATAATGCCAGAGTAATACCAAACCACTACAATGTTAATCCAGTCTTCGCTAACCTTGGCTAACGTGTCAGTTCTTAGTTCATCCCAGTCCGATTCTGACGGAGAAAGTTTCGCGACGATTCTCCCAAAATTCCCGTTATCACTTTCAGTCAACGACTCAATGATTTCCACAGCAGCGTCCGTGAAAACAGCGAACCTGCATGGAAAAAAAAGGTTCAGATCTGAACTGTTCTTCTTGGAGATCAAGCGAGAGATGTCTCTTACCAATTCAGCATTAATGAAAAGGGCAGACTGAGCAAGTTTGTATCGTTCACAAGCTCCAAAACTATCAATAAGTAAATTAGCTTGTAGGTACTGTACACTACGTAAAGGCTGGTTTCCACTCAGGAAAAATCTCCTTTGGATCGGAACGGACAGGAAAATTTCCTTTGTCGTTGAGTTCTCAGGCGGCGTTTATACAAAGGAAACTTTCCTGTCCTGTCCGATCCAAAGGAGAATTTTCCTGAGTGGAAACTAGCCTTAAGTATTTAATACTGCAAAGCTTTCGGTCCATTCTTCAGTGCAATTACTTGAAAACACATTTACACACGTCACTTAAATTTTAGTTATTTAGAAGAATATTATTTCTAAAACTATCGTCAAAAAGACATAAATCACGGACTCACTTTTCAAAGGTGATGGGAATATTGGAACAAAGAAAATCTTTGATTTGTTGAGCAGCTTGAGATATGACCATGTCCAACCAGGAGCTGTCGTTTATGGCAGTGTTGATTAATGAACCCAAACACTGGGAAACAAGACCTGTGATGTTTAGAAATTAAGGTTTATATAATAAGGTTTGAATAAGGGTTAGAAATGTAAATATATCCAAAATGGGAGCTCTGATTTTGGATCTGATAAATCTAAAACCGTTGCTGTCTGTTGCCGATTATGTTTCACCAGAAGGATGCGTCACGAAAGCAAAGATTTCACTCGACAGTGGAAGAGTATTTCTGGGTTTGAAAACATCATTGAGCAAACTAAATCCAAGGGCTTCTTTTAGGCAGGCAAAATGGTCAGACCGGTCATATTTTGAATTGAAATCGAGTATTTCATGAAGAATTTAGCGATTAAAGTACATTTCCCGTGTTAGGCAGATGTAAATAACGATATACTTGAATGCAGACTTCTTGACACACTCTAAAATACCAGTAATCTGTCTGTTCTGAAATCAAATAGGACCAGTGTGGCCGTTTTTACCGTATGGAGGAAAGCGCCCCTAGTTAACTGCCAGTCTGCGAAAATCACACTCACTTTGTTCTGATCCTTGAAGTTTTAATTGAACAATATCTGCCAGAACTTCGCCTAGAAACGCTTCATTCTTTACCTTAGAAACAAAAGAAAAAGATCAGTTGAATGAGCTTCCCTCGAGCCTATTCTGTGTGGAAAACATATTGTAGTTGACTGCATACCTGATTGGCCGTGATTTCGATGTTCTGGAAGTATTTTTCAACGAGTTTAACGACAGAAACGATATTTAACGACGCGGATTGGTTTTCTTGCGAAAGGACGAGGTGGAAAAGGTGGAATATTTCAGACATCGAATCCTCGCTGAAGAAAAACTCTATGAAATAAAACAAAATACAAGGAAAAGTAAGAAGATTAAGTTTTACTTGTTTCCATATAGCTAACTGCAAAACAAAATTGAATTGGATCTGACAAAGTTGGATTTTGTGAAGAGACCTTAAAAAAACGGTGTTACACAATGCAAATTGCAATGCAATTCTAATTTTGAGGGATGTTAATTTGTAAAGAGTGTTTGAAATGCTAAGAAAACGTTTGCAGATCGTAAGAAATGTTCGTATTTGACAACTTTAGATGCCTCAGGAGTAGAATTGCATTGCAAGTTGCAAAGAAAGTTGCATAGTGCAACACCGCCTTAAAAGAGTCAAGTACTTGTAGTATACGTTAACTACATACTACCTACCTAGTAAACCCGAATGTACAAAGCACAGTTCTAGTGTTCTCCAAAGGTATTCCTCGCCATTTTTGTCTTCTGTTTCTTCACAGGAGCGAATTAAGAAAGACTTCAACACTGCCACAAACTTAGTTCCAATGTGATTTCCATGCACGTATGACAGATACAGGTAATATTCCGCCTCAAATATCTAAACAACAATGACAAGGAAAAAGTTCCAATAATTTCGGAAGATTAATAAAACCCATAATAAATTGTACTTATGTAAATTTAAACGCTGCAGTACAAATTAATTAAGTTACCTCGTTAATAATGAGATACAGCAGGTTAGGTGACGAATTCATCTAAAAGAATGCGTTGAGTTACAGAAAGAAGATGCGTATGACTTCTAGAAGCTAACCGAAGTAATTTTCTAGAGATCATACATTTAGATGCATGGGGGACACTTGTGTTATTAACTACACTTCTGTACTTTCTAGAAATCAAGTAATATGCTATCACCCATTAATCTAGTTCTATCATGTAGGATGACACTAAGTTCTACTTGATGAAAATCTGCAATATAAAATCTAAAAATTGAGGTATAGTTTTCTTTTCAAACAAATTTCATAGCGTACACCATATAGGCTTGTGTACTTGAAGTATTCCTCCCACATGTCTTCAATAGTTCTGCTTACCTCGAAAACGCGTTCAAACAAACATTTCTGGTCGTGTTCTTCAACTTCAGTTAAAAGCATGAACAGCAACCGTACTGAACACGAAGTCCATTTTTCGCTCGCAATGCGATCAATTTTCTTCAGGAGAGGCAGCACCAACTCGTTAATACAACATATACTAAGGTTGGAGAGTTTAGAAGTGTCTGAAAAGACTGTTTCATCGAGATCTTCTTCCTTTGAAAATGACCGAAAGATCTTAAGAATGTCTTTTAGCAAAGATGTGGAGAAGAATTCTTTGAGCAGTTCAGTTACAAGTATGAGGTCAGCTTCGGAGTTTTGTGACCAAACTCTTTCGAGAGATTTACAAACGGTTTTGCTCACGGTGGCCAGCAGCCTCCCCCCGTAGAGTAGGTTGACATCAGAGGCCTTTGTAGGTCTTTTAGTTACGGTATTTGCCTTGTGGCGTTCATCGTCGTTGTTGTCTGGTTCTTGGAAACGAACTCTGGATGGTTGAGATTCTCGGAATGGTTGATTTGTTTTGAGACACGACAGCAGGTTAGCAATTGACTGGAATGTTGTAGCCGTGTCCTAGGTACAGTGAATAAGACGAAAAGAGACCGCTAAGTAAGGTATGGTATGGTATGGTAACATGGTATGGTATGGTATGGTAACATGGTATGGTAACATGGTATGGTATGGTATGGTATGGTATGGTATGGTATGGTATGGTATGGTATGGTATGGTATGGTATGGTATGGTGTGGTAACATGGTATGGTATGGTATGGTATGGTGTGGTAACATGGTATGGTATGGTATGGTACGGTATGGTACATGATATGGTATGGTTTATAAAAAGTTTATGGTATGGTTATATGTGTATGTTTTTGGGAAGAGTACGTGGTATTGTACAGTATAGTATACATGTATATGGCAAGTTTGTGGTATAAGTAAGTTGTTCAAAATCACCTTTTCAAGGCATTCAGTTTTATCGTGAATCAGTTTACCAAAACCTTGCCAGAATTGGTCTTGTATATCAGCCATCTCAGTTGTTCCTCGCAAGAACTCTGCCAAACGCTCGTAGAAGAACGAAGAAGATCCACGCATCTGTGTCTTAGGGTCGAGCGACATCTCAACAACATTCATCAGCTAAAAACAAAAGAAAAAATTTAGAAAACTGCATCATTATAAGATCTTTAAAAAGTGCACATTTGCGTGCGATGTAAAATGGATTTGAAATAACTTCGACTTGGTTTTATTCTGACGTAAAACCAGCCCGTGAACCTGTAGATTTTTGAACGTAGACTTGTCTTTAATCTGAGTGTAATGATAGCGAAGTTCCAAGTCAATCCATACCGTATTAATAACGTGAGTTTTGAGCTGTTCAACATCATCCTGATTGATCTCAACCTGCCATTTTCTTGATTCAAATGTCACAAAGTATTTGACGCAGTCCATGAAGGAGGACAACACTGCTTTGCTTTCAGAAATACTTTGTTGTGTTTTGTTCAGTTTGAAACCATCCAAAGTTTTCTCAAGCAACTTTTGTGCAAAACCAGACCTCGGGGAAACAACCTAGGAAGTTTGAAGCACTTTGAAAACTCAGGCTTTGGGTTTCTTAAAGTCAAACCATGGATTAAATTCAAACTTGAAGTCAAACAATTGAATTTAATTCAAACGTAAAGTCAAACCATAGATTAAATTCAAATTTAAACCATGGATTAAATTCAAACTTAAAGTCAAACCAGGGATTAAATTCAAACTTAAACTATGGATTAAATTCAAACTTAAAGTCAAACCATGGATTAGCTTTAAATCAATTTTTTTTTCATTTTTCCTACCTCCTCGGGTAAAGTACTTATAAACGGCAATACGCTGATCATGACGACATGAGCATTGCCATACGCAGCATTTGACAGAAACTGCCAAAACTTTGGTAAAACAGCTTTTTCCATATTCACATGCTTCCAGCAATCCTAGCAGAATAGATGTGAAAGCTAGTTTAATTTCAATTTCCAACTGTAAATGAGAAAACATTCCCCAAAGTCAGACTACAGTACCTTCATGTTACTGACAAGTTGCAATACAGCCTCCCACAGCGGACCAGAGACTACGGCATCTGCTTCATCTAAGGAGCCCAAAACGATGGGACATACAGAAGTTGAACACAACTCAAGAATGCTCGGTTGTTTCTGACAGTACGTGGATATCAGGGAAAAGAATGCTGCCTTGATCTAATAGCAAAGGAGGAATGGATAGTCAAACAATTAGCACCTGGAGTGATGTTTCATAATAATTATACAAAAGGTTGATTATTAATCCTATTAAGCATACCAGGAACCATTAGTGGCTTTGTTTAATGTTTAGTATTTCAGGTGTAAAGTGTCTTAATTTTAATATACATTACAATGTAGCTTTGGGAATGAGTAATGTAATTATAAACTGGCTTTGTTTAATGTTTAGTATTTCAGGTGTGAAGTGTCTTTCAATATACATTACAATGTAGCTTCGGGAATGAGTAATGTAATCATAAACTTCAAAACACGGATGAATATCAAATGTTCACACCTGAGGTGATTTGTGTCGGCCAAATTTCCAAAATTTCTTTTCGGATGTCAGTCTTGTGTGGTGATGAGCAATTTCATTTCTGACGTCTTCATCCACCATCTTGAGAAATTTTCCAAGAGCCTGCATTGATGATGCAATCACTCGAACATACTTGGCAGCTCTATCCTTTTCATCTACAACACTACATTAACACAACATTTGATTAGATCAAAGACACATTAGAAAATTTCCTGGAGAGTACACCCACCTGAACCTCTCTCTACCCTGTCCTTATTCACAGTAACACGTGTAGACACTAGAGATGACTAGTAAAGTCTATTCCATCAATCATGTGTCTTATCTACATCACTACATTAGACTACCTGGCCAGACCAACAATAATTTGAATGCTCTGGATAAACTAATATTCTGGCAAAGGTCTTTTGAAAAATATTTCCAGTTCCGTCAATCCCGGATTGATAGTGCACACTACAGTAACGACATGACTGTTACAGAAATAGCTTTGCTTGCTATGCAACTATGCATTTAGACTTACTCTGCATCACTCAATGTGTCTGCCGTTTGGTCCATGAGATTATCCACCAAATACTAAAGAGGTTTAAAACAAATATTTCAGAGCCACCACAGAAGAGGGGCTCAGAGATGCTAATTCTTAGTTGCCTACGATTTTTAATTGTAGGCAACAAATAGTTATCGACAACAAATAGTTATCGACAACAAAATGTTGATAACTGTGGAGGCTCTCAATAATGGTACAATACAAGTAATTGTTGAAAAATCACTATATTAGTGTATGAGTTGGGGAAGAAATTCCTTTTAAACCTCCCTCAACCCACCAGCCGGCCCATACACCAGTTGTAGCCAGACATGTCAGTATACCTCATTGATTTCTTTCTTGCAAAATCCCAGTACTTCAGCCTGCTTGCTGTCTGTGAAGGAAGCATTGAATGCATTCTGTGCAGCTGTTGCAACAGGTAGATAAGTATCGCACTGCGAACACAACCATACACCCATGACACTTTTCAAATGTGGTGCAAAGTTTCTGCCAACTCTCGTTGTCATTTGATTCATTGCATGTTGTGTGGCTTCTCTAACACGATAATCTATATCCTGCACAAACATAAAGTTCTTCATTTTTTGTTCATTTTTTGCATATAAAGTTCATCATTTGATATTGCATACAGTGGATCATTATCTAAGTGCACTTTAGTTTAGATTTACTTTATATAATCCTATAACAAACCCTCACTACAATAAGGTCATATATTCCTTACATATTCCCACAACTTACCAAAGCAAGCTTGTTATACAATCGTGGCCAATACTTCAACACACCTAACACTGCATTCATGTCACCTGTCTTACACAACTCTCCAAATTCTTGAACAGCCTAAAACAACATATTACAATTTTAGTTTCTACAATGAATAGATTGATCTAGTTTTAATACAAGAGAAAACTTAAACTAAACTAATTTTATTTATACTGGATAGATCTATCAGTTCTAAACTGTTCTTCCTAGAGGTCCAGTAAGGATCATCTCTTATTGATCCAGTGTTACTACAGGAGGAAACCTAAACTAAACTAACTTTATTTATACTGGAAAGCTCTATCAGTTCTAAACCGTTCTTCCTAGAGGTCCAGTAAGGATCATCTCTGATCTCTTATTGATCCAGTGTTACTAAACATGAAAGCCCTATCAGTTCTAAACTGTTTCTTCCCAAAGAGAAATCTATACATCCGTACCTTGAGTTTAGTGACTGCATCTCGTTTGCTTAATTTCTTCATTACAACAAGGAAGTCTGAATGAACTGAGGCTTCAGGATTGTCTGTAGTCGCAGGTACAAATTGTAACGAACTCCCATCTGGTGATGACCCAGCATCACCAAATCCCACAAACCCCATAAAACCATCACGAGATAACAGCTCTGCAGCACGACCACTGCTTGAAGGCTGAAAAGCATGGCATGGACCGAAGTGTTATTATATATTACCCGATATAGGAAACCAATGGCTTCATCTGGTGATGGGACTGATGGCCTTGTGCTGTGCAACTTTTAAGTTACCAAGGTAATCTCTAATTATCATCAACTGTAGAATAGGGAAAGAATGGCTAGGAATAAGCCTTTACCAGTGCCCTTCCTGTCTCAAAACGTCTCAACACTAACTGCTAGAAGTGTTCCTAGCGGCCATTGGTGTATTTGAGTAAATATATGGGGCTCAGACAGTCACGAAGTCATGTCAATGTCACCATTGCAAAATGTTCCTAAATGGTGTCCTTCTCCTAGGAAGCTCTGCCTCCTCATTCCAAGAACTGTCCCACGCTCCCCAGTGGTCTCTTATCCCCCCATTAGTGGTCAAGAGGGCACAGGACAAGACATAGATATTATCATATTACATCACAACAGTCAACAGAGCGAATTACAGTATGAAGTGAACACTCCATCCTATACCTTCGTATTTCCTTTAGTTCTTTGCTTTATCCTTCCACTCATTGTGTAATCTTTGCCTCCACTCAAATTTTCGCCATAAACCACAAAATTATTTAAGGAAAAACGACAAATTTACTCAATTCTTTCAAAATATATAAGAAGAAAACGCCGCCATCTTGGATTTCGCGACAATACGACTGGAAAGTGGGAACTAGAAACTTTAAATTGAAATTTGAAACTTTTACATAAAACTTTTACTTTGTAAAAATCATATTTTTGCCTACAACTTTTATAGTTTTTCTTTCAAACTGGTTCAGAACCGCATAACCTTATACTTATTCAACTTGCCACATTTTAATATTAGCGTTAAATGAAATATTTTCGATGATGTCATGTGAAAGTCTAAAATTAAACTGAAATGGGTACAATGACTACAATGGGTACATTTTGAACAACACTGGTTCAATGCTGTTACCTGATGGAAAATTGTAAATGCCAACTACCAAGGGTTTTTCCTATTCAAAATTACCGAGATTTTATAGCCTGTTTTCTACTCTTCTCTATCTCGTACTCATTTGGAAGACTAGCAAACCAAAGTGCTAATCTGACGGTACATGACATTTCGTGTATACTTGAAAATTCAAATCAAATTACATAAAATTACGCCATACACATGTGAAATGTTACCATAAATAATTTTTACTTCTATTTCCAATTCTATGTACAATAACTTAATTATGAACATCGTTAAATACGTAGGTGAACGTAATAGAAAGTTAAAAACGTCTTAGGGCAAAAAATTGTTAAGTCTTCAGTAACTAACAAAACGCCTCTCATAAAAGTATACTATACAATATCCGTTTTTAGTGATATATACTGATATCAAATGAATCTAAATTTCAATGATACATGCAATCAATCTCAAATAAACATAACGTCAATGTAGTAAAAAGGCCGAAGACTGGACTAAATTCGATCAAGTCTTAGGACTAGATGAAGCTTGAACAAGTCTTTGGACAGGATGAAGTTTGATCAAGTCTTAGGACTGGATGAAGTTTGATCAAGTCTTAGGACTAGATGAAGCTTGATCAAGTCTTAAGGGACAGGATGAAGTTTGATCAAGTCTTAGGACTGGATGAAGTTTGATAAAGTCTTAGGACTGGAGGGAATTTCTCAAGCCTCAGAACTAGATAAAGTTTGAACAAATTTTAGAACTCGCGAAATAATCAGTATTAGGACTAAATAAAATGTATCTTTCCAGTTGAAGTTTTTCACAAACTTTTTCCGTATAATTTAAGTGATAAATTCAACTACAGATTGATCAACTCCAGTGACCAAAATTTCCTGAAGCCAGTGCAGGCAGATGACCACCAATCCCAAACGTGGGTGACGTCAGCTTACTAAAATCGCTATGGTGATACCGTGCGGAGTCTGGTAACGAGGACGATGAGGTTGAGGGGATCCACAGGGAATTATGTGGATCGCGCGATGATCTTGAGAGGAAACCGAGTGGTGATGACTGAGTGTCGTAAAACGGATGAGATGATCCTGAAATGAACAAAAAATGATAATAAAAATTATGACTGATGCAGTTTAGAGCTCACATGGACCTGGCCCAATAGGAGGAGATTTCATTTATCTTTAAAGTCAGTTTAGTTAAGGTTTCCTCCTGTAGTAACACTGGATCAATAAGAGATGATCCTTACTGGGCCTCTAGGAAGAACAGTTTAGAACTGACAGAGATAGCCAGTATATAAGCAAAGTTAGTTTAGTTTAGGCTTACCCGCAGGTGAAAACTGTGGTCTCTTCATGAATGTGGAGGCGTAAGGATTAGTACGATGATTTCTCAATGAGAATCTTTCACAGGTAGTCGAGTGAAGACGGTGATGATGCGAGGCATGATTCGGATGTAGACCAGACGAACAGAGCCAGCTATCTGTAGGAGAGAGGGATAAACATTGTCAGAATATACACTGTACATGTGACGTTGACTAGACAAGAAAAAAAGTCACAGAAATTTTCCTAAGTTAGCTGAAAATTAAACAATGAAATAAAAGCTTTGTGTTGTAACTGTCCCAAGGCAAGTTGAAATTTTGAAAATTAGTAGACTTGCCATCTGTTTTTTACACACATTGCTCTTGAATGTGCTGAAGACATTGAAAGAATGATTTGGAATATGATCATAGAAACTGCATGGTAAAATACAAAATAGACTTGGAAGGTTTAATCTAGACACTTAACCTCCTAAAACGCCATCTTAGTGAGATTAGCAATGTCACTTGAGTGCTAAAAGGGAATTTTATGGAGCATATCGCATACAAACAATATGTTTTGTTTTGCCATACACACCACGCTCCGCGCCATATGTTTCGAGCATCATATCAAAAAACTAAACTTCCTTTGCTAATTTGGTTATCTCGCCAGACTGTAATATACATGATTATTTGAAGAATGAATGCTATTAATGAACGTAGCGGGATTAGAACTGGCAATGAAGTGTATGTTTGTTCAACTAATAAAAGAAATACGACTGTGTAAAATTACTCATTTATATTTCCCGCTTGTAAATTAAGTCTTAGATGAAACAATTTTCCTCCTAATTTGCCAGATGAAAGCCCGTGTTTTATTAACCGACAATATCCGTGTGTTGTGTTCCCTTGCTCCGACAAAGTCACCGACTACAATTAATTCAACGACTACAGTTATTATCTTTATTAAGAAGAGGATGATCTTCATTTCACTTGACGAATATACATCCTGAAAACTGCTTTTCCCAGAAGTCTAGCAAGGAGCATCTCTAAAATGTTGATCCAGTGTTACTACAGGAGGGGACCCAAACTAATTCTATCTATACTGGATAGCTCTATCTGAACTGTTCTTCCTAGAGGTTCAGTAAGGATCATCTCTTACTGATCCAGTGTTACTACAGGAGGAAACCTAAACTAAACTAACTTTATTTATGCTGGATAGCTCTATCAGTTCTAAACTGTTCTTCCTAGAGGTCCAGTAAGGATTATCTCTTAGTGATCCAGCGTTACTACAGGAGGAAACCTAAACTAAATTAACTTTATTTATACTGGATATCTCTATCAATTCTATAGAATATTTATAAACTGTTCTTCCTAGAGGTCATCTCTTATTGGAGGATCATCTCTTATTGATCAAGTGTTACTACAGGAGGGAAACTTATCTCAAAATCTAATATGTGAAAATGCCGGCTAATTACTTGCTGTCCGACATAAACTGTATCATTTGCGATTTAATTTAAACGGTTGTATACAGTGCATGTATATTAGAATAGGAAAATTAATATAGCAAGATTCATATTTAGATAAACAAACGTTCACTTTATTGTGAGATTTAATCAAGTCAGTGCAGTTTATCGTTCGGCTAATCATTTTAATTAGCCTTTGGCGCAAAATTAAATTAAGACGTGTTGTTTTATGAAGGCAGAATTTAACGAAATTCTTCAAGGAACATACGGTCGTTATAATGTAGGCCCAGCCCAATGTTATGGCAAATGTACGCTGTGCGATTTGTCGTATACGATTCGTACCCTGGCGTATGTGAACGTATGAACACAGTACAAACGTAACGCTTTAAATTCGACTCCTGAACAAAAATGAATGGCGATTGTGGGATAGACACTCTTTTGCATTCGTCAGAATGATTTAAATGTTTGTCTAAACAGGCCTTTATAAAGAAGCAGCTATATACATGCAACTATATATAAAGGACGGTTTTGAAAACATTTCTTTAAAATCCGAGCAACTTTATGATTTCATACCCGTAAAAATGCATAGGTCGCATAAGTAGAATACTATATATAGTCTTTTTAACCTGCAAGTTATTTAGATATTGAAAAAAAGGAATTTTGATGTTTGAAATAAGGTCCTTTCATCATTGCATGTGGTAGGTTTTGATCACCGCGCTATTTTTTTGGAAACCTGCGAGTTTTACTTGAATTTTGAAGCGATAACTTTAGCCTTATATATATATTTGCACTGTTTAATAGCTTTAGCTTTTACAATTCACAAAACAGCTTGTGGTGTGTTTATGCTCGTAATTGGCTTGAAAAGATAGTAGTCTTTGTGCTGTCAGTTTCGATAGCATTGAGTCATGATGTGATTCTTTGTGACAGATTGTGACGAGCAGGTCGCACACATGTCAACAGGTTTCCCCACGCGAAGAGCTGAGAGTCGTTATATTTGATTTGACAGTAAACAGCAAGCTTGCGCTAGCATGTAAATTGATTGAGATTTACGCGGCCATAACTTATGTATTGCGTGGAAATGGACTATAACTGAGCGCCATGCAAGACCAAGTAGTTTAGCTCTTTTGGATTTTAAGAAAACATCTCCGTTTAAAACAGAACTTGTCGTAGTGAAATGGTCAAATGCGATTTTTCAGGCCGTATGTTCGAGAACCAATATAGCTATAGCCTATAGCTTGTGAGAGATTCAACATCAGGTTATCTGCATGGTATGAATGTTAACGAACGGAGCGGCAAATGTTTTAACGTTTGGAAGTGGTTAGAAATTCCCATGACCATGCATGCGTGCGGGGGATTATCGTACTTAATCGCTAGAACATATGAATATTTGAAAACGACCCTGAGAGAGCGATAGAAACAGCAGGTCAACAGAGACGGCATGTGCTCTCTTCCGCTAGTGTCCTACCCGCTCATAGAAAAATAGCATTTTTGACAAAAGGATGGCGAGCATTACATACGCGTCACAAGACCATGGAATGCTATGCTACCCCCAAAGTTTTCATTTCGACTCCAGCGCAAGATTATCAAAGACGATATCGGTGTGGGAGACTTCGTTAAACACGCCGAACTATCGTCCAGTTCCCTCCAACCATGAAGATCTTATTGACTTATTGTACCACTGGTAAAATATTTACATTTTCCCGTTTAGTTAAAAGTACCAACTCTGAGACAATTTGTAACGTAGCTACTATATGTTGATCTATGGGAAGACAAACTATATCACCCGAATGAATAAACCCATCGCATATTCCGCTAAATTTTGAAATATTTTTTCGATATTCTTTTCCTTGAAAGACAACGAGAGTTTGCGCAAAGTTTGGTAGCAGAATATTCTGAATATAGAAAATATAGACCACTGCATTCAATAAAGAGAATTTTGACACACAAAATTGCTTCAATTTCTTTTGTACAAAAGCATACGAAATTTGCCAACTTTAATTGGCCATATTTTCCAATATTTTGCTACAAAAATCAACTAATTTTGTACGCCTGTTTGTTTGTGGAAACACCGCGTGAATTTATAGTTTTGTGGAGCTTTCGGTCCGTAAACCCGGACAAAATTACTATTATCGCCAGGCAAACATTCAAACAACTTAATATATTTCTCTACCAAAGTTTTTGGATTTGCTGCATTTGAGACGCTCTTTCAAGCTATGGTAAAATATACAAGATACTTAAGTGAAAATGCATGAGTCTAATGATGGCTCAGTGAAGTCAGGGTGAAGTAGAGAATGTTCGAGAGGAATATAAACGCTTCGTCGCTTGGTTTTGGAAACCCAATTTTGAGAGGCGTGCTTTTTTTACAACGATTCATTAAGTATTGCACATGGCAACTCGAAGTTTTTAATATATCTAAAGCCTGTATAGGCTCTCAAAGGCTTTTCTAATTAAGTGACCAATAGATAAGGCGGTTAATTTCGTGTTGCAGTAAATATAGCGAGGCGGCAATGTCTCATAAACGGTTTCCTATTTTTTAATGATTTGTGAACATAGCGGACAGCGCGTATATAGAGATCCTGGTTCAAAAAAGCGGCGCCTGGCGACACGGTATCGGCCGGAACCGACACCGCTACGGCGGCGTGGCTTTGATGCCGAAGGGTTTGTGTGTTTAGGTAAACAGCCGAGCAACACATACTTGTAAAATACTAGCCGTATTACTTGATAAATTAGAACCGCAGGGGAGATGTGATAGACGCGTAACTTTAAGCGTTATTCTTAAGTGGAACTATAAGTGTTGACGCGCCTTTCACGGCAAAACGTGAGGAGCGACAAGCTGCCTTTGAATTGTCTGAATTGCATGAAGATTATTAGATATCTAGTCATTTTAATGGGAAAATTGGAGCCGCGGGAGAGCTGGGAACCCCGTTGGACCTTCAATTATCCCTAAACGTTATTCGCTGTTAAATGTAACAAAGCATCGATCTATTTTTTCATGTGAAACCGTAACTTGAGGTAATCTCGAGTTGGATTTAGCTACAGATGCAGGACGCTTGGTATCTTGTTATTTTAATTGCTAAATTGAAACTGCGGGGCGCAAAAAAAGGCCGCTATAACTTCAATTAACTTTAAACGTTGTTCGCTAATAGGCCAGACCTTTACGGTATCAATATTTGGCCATGAATTAACCCGTGTATATTACAGAAATTTGAAAACAAAATATCAATATGCGGAGTAAATGATATATATAGAAATTTTCATATAAAACGTGTTTTGCCTCAACACAAAACATGTGTTCTCCGTTATTTACTTTCATACTAACTCTCCCAACAAGGGCATGTACTCAGGTCGAAACGTCGAGAAGTGTTTTTGTTTATTTTAAGGCAGTTGTTAAACCATATTTGATGCGAAGTTTTGTGTCCTGAAGGCGTGTCTTACTTAGTTTTACTCGATAGATTATATTGGTTTAAGAATTGCGTGGTTTATATGTATATACTCAAAATTAAGAGCTCGGTCAAATATCACCGCCTATAATTACTACTCAATAATTTTGTATAAGGAAACAGAATTGGCTTTTGCAAAAACTTACATGTTGGACATGAAGTCTGATTCTCAGGCATAGTTTCAGGTTCCTTGTGCTCGTGTCTAAAAAACGAGCAAAAATCGTGGGTTGTAATTCACAAAAGAACAACGATAACATGCATTAATCCTTCGTTCAGGCTCTGGGCAATGTATTGCACAGGAATCCTATCTTTCGGTTCCGAAATAGGATTATATACACAAGGGGAACACTTGAAAACGCAATAAACTATGTTTTATAATTCCTCATACCGTTCTTTCGCATCCAGAAATGCTTTAGCAAAAGGGTTAAATTTGATTTTTAACGACGTAATCTAAAGAGATTGAAAAGATACAGTTAGGCGTTGTCTGTAACTCATTTACAGTCATCTAGAGTTTAGAACTGATAGAGCTATCCAGTGTAAATAAAGCTAGTTTAGTTTAGGTTCCCTCCATGTATAGTAACGCTGAATCAATAAGAGACGATCCTTACTGGACCTCTAGGAAGAACAGTTTAGAACTGACGGAGCTATCCAGTATAAATAAAGTTAGTTTAGTTTATGTTTCCTCCTGTAGTAAAACTGAATCAATAAGCGATGATCCATACTGGACCTCTAGGAAAAACAGTTTAAAACTGAACTAAAAATTGTCTAAAGTTAGTTTAGTTTAGCTTTTCTTTTGTGGTAACACTGGATTAAAGGCACACTAAATTAAATTTCTACAAGCAAATGTGTATACACATAATTTTGTGTCGTAATAATCGGCGGTGAATTTTCAATTACGAACCTCCTCATTTTGATAAGCTGTGACTGCAACAAACTGAGTTTCACTGAACGAATGCGTCAAAACGGTTTGCTGTTCGTTAGAAGAGCCAACTTTTATCACATGAAGTCTTGGTTCGTATTTGTGAAGCGAGTTGAGCATAATCTAGAGAGGAAAACATAGCTTAGTGTAGTATATGATGTTATAAGCGTGTTGTATACAGAGTGATTAATGTTTATGAAATGTTTAACTTAGGAAAGTAAAAATAAACATCTTTGGAGATTAACGGCAAAATTGCACAAAAACGGAGACGTATATATCTCGTATAGAGTTTATTATGGGTTTCCTCCTGTAGTAACACTGGATCAATAATAAGCGATGATTCTTACTGGACCTCTAGGAAGAACAGTTTAGAACTGATAGAGCTATCCAGTATGAATAAAGTTAGTTTAGTTTAGGTTTCCTCCTGTAGTATAACACTGGATCAATAAGAGATGATCCTTACTGGGCCTCTAGGAAGAACTGCTTAGAACTGATAGAGCTATCCAGTATAAATAAAGTTAGTTTAGTTTAGGTTTCCTTCTGTAGTAACACTGGATCAATAAGAGATAATCCTTACTGGACCTCTAGGTAGAACAGTTTAGAACTGATAGAGCTAAAGTTGGTAAAATCCGAGGTATATAGATTTGACTATACATAGCTTTAAAAAGCCAAGTTTAGTTTCTCATTCAAGCTAATCTTATCTACATACACTTTGCCTGAACTTCGGCGTCTAATCTGGATAGGAACAAATATTTACAATTGGAAATTGCATGGGAAAACCAAATTCGTGAGGTGTTAAATTTTCTGTGTTTTTCTAAGATTAAACTCGGTAAATCATCGCACTATATTTGCCCGGGCCGTTTCAAGTTGTTTGGTTAAGCAAAGATCTTTCGAGATGGCAAACAAATTTCGCGAAGTAAATACGACTGTCAACATAATCGATTTTTCTAATAGATGAGATTAGCGGGAAGCCACCGGAAATTGTCAGCCATTAAGGTCCAACTTAACAAGCCTGTATCAATGCATGCCGCGATGAAGGCCGTCTATGAAACGTGGTGACTTTGCAATGCGGAAAACGGATTAAACTGAAATACAAAACAGTTTTTAAAAGGCTTTTCTTTGTGCTTGGATATTAAATTTGCCCTACAGCGATCGCTGCGTTTAACTTTGTATACTTGCTAGGAGATTAAGATCTCAACAACTATAGTCTATATTGATTTTGGAATACAATTTCGTCAGGCAATATACGGCCTACAAAACAGTTTTTAAAAGGCTTTTCTTTGTGCTTGGGTATTAAATTTGCCCTACAGCGATCTTTGCGTTAAACTTTATATACTTCCTAGAAGATTTAAATCTCAACAACTATAGGAGTATAGCCGATATTGATTTTGGAATACAAATCGTGAGGTAATATGCAAACTGTTTTTAAAACTGAGCTTTTTTCTTTGTGTTTGGATATTAAATTTGCCCCTACAGTGATCGCTGCTTACGCCTTTATATAATTCCTAGAAGATGAAAATCACAACGAGTCTATATATTGATATTAGAATACTAATTCGTCGGGCAATTTGCATGGTTTATTGAAGTACCTGCTGATGAAATGTCACGAAACGATTTCATTGTTTTTAATCTTTCAAGGTTTATGCATTTTTGTTTAACGAAAGATTGAAATCTTTCTGTGCAGTTTTTCATTCCAACGATGGTAAAGTTCAGTTTAGCGAGAACAGCTATTTACCGCGCCGTTTCAAAATCCGAAGAAAATATAGTTTGCTAATTAAGGTGGTGAAACTATAAACATTTCACTTCACAAGTCAGGGAATATATCACAAGTCGACGCCACTTTATCACCGAATTGAATCATAGCATGTTTGATCAGGTTTTGCAATTTCATAACACATCTTCTTGTACAAGCGAGATTCTTCGATAAACGGTGGCCAGACAAGGCTCGTAAGAAAATGCCGAATGAAAAACAACAATTCATCTGGGCAAATATAAAATCTTTTAAATATACAGGTGTATCATAGCCGGCGGAAAGAGCAGACAATGTAAGATTTCATTCGGAAGTAAAAACAGTTCTTACATTCTAAATGTGTTGAAATTATACATCAAAAACGAAATATTAAATAATATTTCTAGTACATGGGTCAGGATTCTTGTGGTTTTACGGTAGGACTGGTCAGATGTTCTGACGGGAGGATTTGATTCGTGGATTTCGAAAGTCTGCATGTCTAAAACTGCGAACCTGCCTTTAAAATAAATAAATTTTCTGACCACAGCTGGTGTCTTGGAATTTGTGGTGAATTTGGAGAAGACCTTATCTTAAGTGATTTTGCGCTCCTGTGTTCCAAAAGCTCTCTTACATTATAGCTGAATAAGATATCAAAATATCTCATGTAGGCTGTGACAGTAATTCCACCCTAGTAAGTCACATAGTTAGTCAATTAACTTATCATTCGTCAAGCAGTAGAGAAATTTCCATCTTAGCTTAAGGTCGTCTTAAATGCTGCTAAATCTATTCTATACCTTACTCGCTAAACATCCATGCAGTGAATGAGAGATCAGAAATAAGATCATATTTATTAGGCAAAGCTTTGTGAACTTGAGTTAAAATTTCTGCATTTTACCTAAAATCTTCGACTGAAGGACAGCTATTTATTTATCATGGATCAACAAGAATACGCTCTCTGTGTTAAACTCGACGAGTGGATGAGAATTTTTAGTGATAAGGCGTTAAAATCACTTAAAATAAAGGGCGAAAGGTTGTCTATTTAGATAACCACGTTGAATGTTAATAGTGTTGAAATCTTGACGAAGGTGTAAAAAATTTCTTGTGTCAAACATGAATGGTTGACCGCACAGGATGAGGTAGTTTAGTTGTAAAAAAAGATGATGCACGATAAAATTAAACGAAATATTTGAAAAGGATTAGTTGGAAACTGCTTGAGAAGCATTTTCGGTTTTGGATGACTTAGGATTGCAATGTTTTTCTTTAAAGAAAACGGGTTACCAGGATTTCATGACACCTCGGCGGAATGCCATGTCGCCGCGGTTTACGCTCTCAAGTCGGTCCTAATGAATATAGCAATGATAACAATAATGGCAAATGACAAGTACCTGCCCGTTTGTGTTCTGCTTGTTAGTGAGTTTTATCTTGGAGAACGAGATCGGTTGTCGCATCCAATGAGCTCCGAAATTGGGCGAGTCCGGATGGACGTAGATATTGCTGGGGTTCGACGGCTCTGCTTTCCCCCCAGGGATCCATTCCCCGTTCACGTATTTCCATCTCGTCTCCCCAACCGGGACGAAATCCAGCAAAAACGAGTACATCGAGTGAGGATCTAAGCCGCTCACCGAGATCTTGATCACCGGGAACATTCGCCTATAGAAAAACGATTATAAACATTGGTGTAAGGTTAAATACTGACTATATATAATTGCAGTAAGCTCGCTTTGGCAATAAGCCGCCCACCGAAACCTTGAAACTGAGCCGGCAACATTCGCCTATGGGAAAAGATTATACACATCGGTGCAAGTTTAAGTGCTGACTATAGTTTATATAGGTTCGTTTCGGAAGTGTGCATGCCTCTAGTTTGAATGCTGCAACTTTGAATGCAAGAATTGAAAAAACGTTTATATATTTTGCCGAGGGAAGAGTTCGATTTACTTTACGGTGATTTGAAATCCAATCCAAACTACGTATTTTTTGCACATTTATTAATATTTCGCGCGAGAATTGAAAGCGTTTTGAGAGTTTTACAAACCGATGGCTACGGTTAAATGCACCGGGTCGGCGGTACCAAGCAAGGAAACTTTCATTTCTCGATGCATGATACAAAATGATATGGCTAAGATCGACCATGCATGCAATGTAAACATCATATGCTAAATCATGGAGGAAATCTCTTCAAACGAAGGAGGTATATATACACATCACTCCTCTATTGACTAAGATATCGTATGCTAGCTTCAACTGCTTCGGAAGATAAGGTTGTTAACGTTCTTTGAAGAAGGGCGTTTCATGATAAATGCCTTGGGTCTAAACGAATCAGATCCGGGTTGTTTAGTTATAGTAACCAAAATAGGTTATATTCGATACGAAAACCAGGCTGCCACGCTTAAGAACATCTTCTTCACTTAAGTCAGACACAATCTGGCTACGGCTGTTTATTTTGTGTGTCTAACCGACTGCCTATATATGAACTGTGCAGTTAAAGTTTCCCCAAAAGTCAACAGTACAGACGATTTTAATCGCTGTAGACTGTGCATATGCATGCATACCATGATGCCGTGAATACAAATAAAATCGAAGAACTGCAATATCTGACCTACTTAACGGAACCCAACATAATTGATCATTCAACATTTCCTAAACGATAACCCGTGAAAATTATCGTCGATTTCAAACGCTCTGAAAAACGATAGCATTACTGGACATGCGATGCGATGATTTACAACGATATAGTCGCATAGTTAGCAAGATATTGCTTATTTTAAAACCAGACACTGGGATTGTCTGATGTTAGACACCGCGCGATTTATCTCAGCCAACTTAGACAAGTTTTCTGACCAGCAGACAATAATGTATATGATGTCGGCTCCGCGTTAAACACCAGCTGAGGTTATTTTGTCTACAATATTTCAAGATGTGCTCTGTTTATACCTAATCCTGAAAAGCTATTCATCGCTTATATGAATACACTATAAACATTGAAACTTTTCTGCAATTATCATGTTTATAATTAATGTCAAATTCGCTACGAAACAGCTCACAAATATCAATTTTAAAATATATACATGCTTTCCTTGCAAGCATTTGGTAAGGCCTTGGAAAGGAATAAGATTTACGATATTTAATACAATAAATCGTAAAATTATAAGGGCAAATTCGACGTTTACTTTCAAAAGGCACAAATGTATACCGACTCATTACCTTCCATTTTTCGTTACGATCATCTCATTAACCAACGAATGAAATTTTCTCCAAAGCTCTGCGTCTTGAAGGACGATCTCGAGTTTGACGTTATCGGACGAGGATCGCGGAGACGATAAGGGATTCATGTCTTTACATTTACTGCCAGCGCGATTTTCGTCCGGTCTACAAGGTGGTTCGTCTATTGTGTCCAGTATATGACTGACCGTGAAAGTTGTCGACTTCATCGGGATAAGATATTCCTCGGAACTTTTGTGCTAGCCTAGCAGGAGTGCTCTATATATACAAAGAGATATACAAGAAATCCGGGTTGATTCAACTAGATTTCAAAGCTATACAGTGTTTAGGTCTTATCTGTAATCATATCTTACCGATAAGCTATGAATTCCCGAGGGTGTATGAAGTTTCTTCAAAGTTGAAGCGGTAAATTGAAGTCGCTCCTCTTCTTTGAGGTAGTCGAAGTTCGTATAACTTTGGTTGTTTTCAGAAGTCTTTTGCGTTTAAGGAGTGGAGATGTTTCCCTCGATGGCGGTGAAGTTTTGATGATTTTTGAATGGTGTATTCACCGCGGGCTTTCCGATTCGCTTCTTCGTGACTAGATTCTTCCCTTGATAGGAATGACAGGATCGCTCGAAAGACAACCGTAAACTTTACTGCGGAATACGCTAGCTACACCAAGACGGAATACTTTCCACCTCTCGTCTGGATCCGACTGTCACCGGCCCTGCGGAGTTGTACCTTTGATGTTCAGAAAGTGCTAGGCGTATTTTCAACTTTACGACACAAACAAACTTGTCACGCGCGATTTAACTTGCGTACAAGGATAGAGAAGAAAATGCGTCGATATTTCCTCGCGAGAAGCGCGCTCTCTACAGCTGTCACTTGCCCGACTGACTGCTACGGCGCTTGTGACGGAGTGTTTATAACAAGTCGATAGCTTGTTGTGAGTTCTGCGTGTTTAATTGTTACACGCTGGAAACGTAAGCGACGATTGTTCCTGAACTAATTAAGTGCGAGCCTCGTCGCGCACACAACATACACAGACCGATGCCCGAGATGTAAGACTGTTATATTAGCTGTAATTACTCGTGATTGGCCGACGCAGCCAAGACCCTAATTAAGCCGACATGGTGGCAGCCGAACGCTGCCTTTGCAAAGCGCCCGTTTGGTTTTCCCCGCGTTGTAGCTTCGCAGGCCAACACGTCGTTCACGGCACGGAGAAGATAGCCGGAACACCCTTCACAACGCTACGGACCGCGTTCGGTAACTGCGAAAGCGCGCCGTGCGTTTGAACAGCCTGGCTTTATGAAATACGGTAATTTATCGTTTGTTTAATTTTCTATTTGTTTCTATTGACATACGCCGTATAGCGAATGTTTTTCAAAGTTGCACGGTTCATTTGCTACGGCCTCTTTCCCCCGCACCTTGCCAGGGTTTGAATTGATTTACAAATTAAAATGGTTGACCATGCAGTCTAACACAATCAATCGTGAGTTTGACAGTTTTTCAGACATACAGAGATACCAGCAATATCTATAAGTTCTAAAAAGACGTTCTTAAAGTTATTCGGACATTTTTCTATCGGAGAGCAATTTGCTTGCGTTTTTTTTACTGTGAAATGAACCGGGTCAGCAATGTTGTGCGAGGATAATAAATATATGAGATATGTTTGTTTTCCTTAAATACCTGCGTATAGCGACTAGCAATTTTTTACACATTCATATGCAGAAGAATATCTCATTCGTCTGTCAATATACAGTGGAACGGACGTTTCAAAAGGCTTATGGAAAATAATTTCAAGTTTGGCAATTTACTAACTGGTGTGAAGAAAGATATTTACAAATGGTACGCATTGTTCATAGTTGTCGGTGGATGTATTATATTTGACAGTCTCGTTCATCGCTGTCCGAGTTTGAGACAACGGTCACCCGCATAAACGAGCATGCATGTTTGTTTTGATGCTAAAAATGCACATCAATCGAGGACAAGAAAGGTCTTTGATTTTTCTCGTGGGCAAGGTGAATGTCACAATGAATTACCTCGGTTGGGCTAGATACCCAATATGAATGAAGTTAGTTTATATCTTCCGGTTTCTGTGGTAACATCAATAAGTGATGATTCTTACTGAACCGCTGAAAAGAACAGTTGAGAAGAAACGAGAGATTTCTAGTATTAAGTTAGTTTAGTTTAGGTTTCTTCCTGTAGTAAAACTGCATCAATAAGAGATGATCCTTACTGGACCTCTGGGAAGAACAGCGTAAAACTGATAGAGCTATGCAGTATAAATAAAGTTAGTTTAGTTTAGGTTTCCTCCTGTAGTAACACTGGATCAATAAGAGATGATCTTCACTGGGCCTCCAGGAAGAACTGTTTAGAACTGATAGAGCTATCCAGTATATAAATAAAGTTCGTTTAGTTCAGGTTTCCTCCTGTAGTAACACTGAATCAATAAGAGATGATCCCTGCAGGAGATCTAGGAAGAACAGTTTAGAACTGATTACTGATACCTTAGGTTTCCTGCTTTAGTAACAAACACTAAATCAAGAGATGATCTTACAGGACCCCTAGAAAGATCAATTAGAAGTGATAGAACCATAGCACGTACGTACGAATTCCTTGTTTTTTTTTCAAAGTTTACCAAAGGTTGCGACCTTGTTGTATTACACCCGACCGCTAAGAACTTAGTTAATCCGTGCGCAAATCCATTGGCAAACTCCATCGGCTATTTGAAGACCTTTAAAGGATTTTCTTGTGTACCAGCACGCTTAAAATTTGACGTGGTGCTAATCCCAAAATCAACCTCACTTTCAAACCCGTGGCTTAACCTTGAATATATGATTGAAAAGCGGTATCCATAAATAGCTAATGTAGGCTTAGACCGCTTTACGACAGTTTGAAAACTAAATAAATCTCCAAACAATCTATTGTCATTGTAGGGGAAAATTTAAAACAGGGAGCTTTAGCAGTGACTGCGAGAACGAGAATCGTTATCCTCGCTCGTTGTTTGCTTACACCATCTGACGAAACTTGTAGACGTCGAGCTTTTGAGTACGAGTTTGTTGATTCATTTCAAAGGCACGGCGACCAGGAGTTGCATGCGTCAGATGGCGTAAGCAAAAGCACCGAGTTCGGGCGCAAAATGACGAATCTTTTACTCGTAATCACGGCTAAAACTCTCTCTAATATGTGTATATAGCTCACGCAGAAATCCGGCAAGCCTGGTCAAAGGCATTAATGGTATATTATATGCAATACAACGATCATTTTTGCGGTTTAAACAGGCCAGTTATTGATGAGACCCCATCCTGGAAGGCAAACTTCTGGGGGGATACATATCCAGAAGAAAACAATGGCAAAACTTTGGAGACCCACAGCAAGGCCGTTGTTTCATGTAATGATTATTATATTTCCATGTCATGCATGTTATAAAACCATACAGTTCCTTACATGCAATGTCTTTCAAGTTAGTTTTGTTCAGTGAGGGGACATTAGTTCCTATGTTATCATATGGCGTTCAAAGCTCCGTACAAAAAGCCGTGGGAATAAGTGGCTTTTCATTAATGCCCAGACTCACAGCATTCAGAAAGCATTGGGCAAAAGCCAAAAGGGCTTTGAAAATCTGCCGAAATGGGGCTTGCTTTGAAGTGAGACAAACTGATTGTTCGCATCTATCTTACGAACCCACGCGCTAATGTGGGTTTCATGTACGAAATCGATTGTTGCACAGTTAATAAAGTCGATCTCACCGCGATCAAAGCGTGATGCTTATGCTCGACTTGCATTTCAAACAAAATTCCAGCAATGAGCTACATACGAGTCTAGAAATTCGCTATCCATAGAGAATAAAACGCACAAGATTCGACCCTTAAACTTGGCAAAATGAATAAGCCAACAAAGGTTTTCTGGAATAGATATATCAAGAAGCGGAGTCGGAGAGGGTTCATACACCGGTTGTGATAATAGGGAACTATAGTAATGACTAGGAGTACATTCCCCATTACCTCGTGTTGTTTGCTGACGCCATCGTGGAAAATTCGAGTAGTCGTCGGGCTTTTATCGAGTTTGTTGATAAATTTGAAGCGGAAAGCGACTTACGAGCTTCGTCAGATGGCGTGAACAAACAGCGCTGAGTTTGGTTCGAAAATGAAGAGTTTCGTAGTCGTTTTCATCGCTCAACTTCCTAAAAGCATGCACAAAGCTCGCTCTTCTTTACCCCAGCGGCCGCAACGCCGCCATTTTCGGCACGGCCTACGCGCAGCAAATCTCTTTTGAATGCGCTACAATTGAAAGAAACTAATTTCGCTCGATCGTTGTTTAGAAAACACTTTAATTTGTATTGTTTGACAGTGTTTAGAAGGCCATTGTGAGAACGCTACGCGGCATGTACACAATCTCATTACGCGCTGCACGGCGTAACATCAGAGGTCTCTAACCTATAGCTCATTAAAGCGATACATTAGCAGAGAATAGCTAAGAGAACATGGCCGGCGCTGTATTTATACGGAGCCTAATTTGCAGCCACAAACGCGTATAGTTAAGAAGCAATTCACATGTGGTGTATTAAGCCAGGATCAATGGGTATTTGTATGACCTATGCGCGATAATGATCAAGAAAGCCATTGATAAGGTTTGCAATAGGATTGTGGCGAATGCAAACGATGGATACAGTGTATACCTTGATACTTTGTCTCGCTTATCGCATGTCAGTTGAATAATTATTAATTTCATCTGATAAATATTTTGATTATATGAATTTAGTTGTATGGAACCATATATAGTCATTGAAATGTGAACTATAATATTTTCCAGTAAACATCATCTCTTATTGATCAATTGTGACTAAAGTATAAACTAGTTATATTTTCCATGGATAGATCTATCCGTTCCAGACAGTTTGTTCTAAGAGGTCCGGTAAGGATCATCTCTTATTGATCCAGTGTTACTACAGTAGGAAACCTAAACTAAACTAACTTTATTGATACTGGATATCTCTATCAATTCTAAACTGTTCTTCCTAGAGGTCCAGTAAGGATCACCACTTATTGATCCAGTGCTACTACTGGAGGAAACCTAAACTAACTAACTTTATTGATACTGGATATCTCTATCAATTCTAAACTGTTCTTCCTAGAGGTCCAGTAAGGATCACCACTTATTGATCCAGTGTTACTACTGGAGGAAACCTAAACTACACTAACTTTATTTATACTGGATAGCTCTATCAGTTCTAAACTGTTCTTCCTAGAGATCCAGTAAGGATCATCTCTTATTGATCCAGTGTTACTACTGGAGGAAACCTAAACTACACTAACTTTATTTATACTGGATAGCTCTATCAGTTCTAAACTGTTCTTCCTAGAGGTCAGATAAAACTGGAGGAAATAACTAACTAACTTTATTTATACTAGTCAGTCCTGTTACTACAGAAGGAAACCTAAACTAAAATCCTATATTTTTAAAAAAAGGGTCATCACACTATCACAAGGACGAACTACCTAATACGGTGTTTGGCAGTGTGACAACACGCCTTCTATATGAAGTTATGACGAACTGAAAATCACCAGGAACATGCACCTCAGGATGCTTGTCCGTAAAAAAAGCCTTTCAGCCCAAAAATCATAGCCATATGAAGATCGCATTATGACTCAAGGTTATAAATGAATGAAATCAGTCGTGTTTTTTTATGAGGAGTCATTTGACTTTGGCGACATCATCAAAAGGTTACATATATAGTAGACTGAAAATCCCCCCGTAAGTTTGGTGATCAAAAATTGGCTGGAGCTACTCCGCTCTGTAACTATGTACAGGACATGGCATTACATGACATGGACCGGGTCTTTCGTATACATCTGTACAGGATTAAAAGGTTAAACAAGGGTTCGACTGCTACACAAACAGTATCTATTTATAAGAGTGCAATATACGTATTTCTATAATATGCATGACGTTTCCTGCAAATATAACCATAGTTTATACTCGATGTAAAGGTGGTTGATGTGTTAGAATGTTCGTCAGTTCGTTCAGTCAACGAAGAAGAATTTGGGTTTAGAGAGCGAAGACAACTGCACGATCCGGACAGTTTCACATCGGCGAAAAAGCTTTTTTGGCGACAATTATAGCTATATTAACATCTATAGGTAGAAATTCGGTTTAGGCAGACACATAGGCCATAGGATTTGCATTTGGTGACGCGGAGTGGATAGATCTATTAGTGAATAAGAGAGATCTCTGAAAGGAAATTTAAGCAGTTTAACGGGAGAAATAGTTCAAAATGTTACTCGTATTCATAAATATGGACGGAATTTCCTATAGCCGAAACTGATTAGTTTATAACGAGGGCGCTAAGAGTTGTCACTGTATCAAGAACGCAGATATAGATCAATCTATTTTCATCGCCATCTCAAGATAACCTGATAAAAACTGAAGAGATTTAAAATTGCGTGTGTTGACCTCTAGGTATGAATGTGAAATCTAATTTCGCGTTAATGATAACGATGTTTCATGCGAATCACGAATTAAGGCGTTGGTTGTGTGAAATTTCGCATACGCTCACAGCAATTTCGGGGCGGTATTATTAACAGGTCGGAGCGAACAAGCGCGATTATTTAGCGGACAGACTTTGACAATGCTTGCTATTGAAATTCGGCTGCTACTAATTGCCGTCCCGTTGTTTAGCATAAGAATGGAGCGTGCTTTAAAACCCGTGCATCGCTCGCTGGCTTTCGCTCGCAAAAAACTCGCGTGGAAAACGGAAGGTGGACGAGGGAAGATGGTGTTGAATTCGAAGAGGCATCTGGCCGCCGAAGGGCTTTGTGTACTCCCTGAGAGGACGAGGCGAACGATTAGGAAATATGTTCGCAGCTTGACGCTAGAATAATACATCGGGGGCAGCAACTCAAAGCTGTGTTCAAAGAGGAACGACAAGTGATTATGAAATTTATTTTTAATTTGTTTTTTATCGGCATCAAACAGCGCCTCATTAACGAAATTATACAACACTTTATCTTCTCCGAGTAACCGAGACCGCTTCGGCGATGCTCGGAGTACCTCGAAAGCTTTCAAAAGCGGCCAAGCTCTGTCGCAAAGCCATACACGGTTCACAAGCGCCGAGGCTTGAGAGCATCTCGAGTTTTTATTACTTTTTCGAGCAGGCTTAAGACATATTAGCTGGTCATTTATTTCGCTTCCCAGGTGTTGCTTCATCAAAGGTCTTCGCGCCATACCGCTAAGCAAACATAACACGCTGGAACAAAACGATAGGCCTTAATCATCGTAATATGCGAAAGATCGCCTATTTGAGAAGGAGGTAAATTGGTGTATATGTTAAGGCCGCGTTTTGAGTGGGGAATTTGCATGTCTATATAAGACCTAAGACCTCGACGAGACCGCATTTCACCAGGAGTGTTTGCAAACATCGCTCCAGGTAGTCTAGTTCCGGAGTATAGATCTGTTACACTTGAGTATATAGAATATGGCTGGGGATAAAGGGATGATCTCATGGAAAGTTCTGAGATAATTATCGCACATATAGATATAAAGTTATCCGGTATAAATAAAATTAGTTTAGTTTTGGTTTCCTCCTGGATCATGCAATATACGAAATGATCGTTACTGGATCTCTAGGAAGAGCAGTTTAGAACTGATAGAGTTATTCAGTATAAATAAAGTTAGTTTAGTTCAGGTTTCCTCCTGTAGTAACACTGGATCAATAAGAGATGATCCTTACTGAACCTATAGGAAGAACAGTTTAGAACTGATAGAGCTATCCAGTATAAATAAAGTTAGTTTAGTTTAGGCCTCCTCCTGTAGTAACAATGTATCAATAAGAGATTATCCTTACTGGATCTCTAGGAAGAAGAGTTTAGAATTGATAGAACTATCCAGTAGAAATAAAGTTAGTTTAGATAAGGTCGACTTATAGAAGTCACTTGTCGGATGTTAAACAGTTTCTACACATACTAATTCCTACATTGTGCATTATTGATCACTTCTAAACACCTTAAACGCCTTTGTTTTTAAAATTTGAAACTGAACAAAATTTGTATAATGTTTCTTTCCCAACGCTAACAACTTGACTTTAACACCTCCTATGATTATATTATTCTTGTGCTTCAAAGCCAGTCCACAATTCATGAACGTTCAAACATATCGTCCATTCAAATTTAATTTTTGCGATAATGATAATCATATTCCTATTATATCGGTCATAATAATTTCACCTGTTCAATATGTGTCGTTCGTGTATGTATGCATATATACATATATAGGTTAAGAACAGCGCCAACTAATTGCTTTAACAAGTGTCGAGTTATTGAAAAATTTTCAATAAATGACCATGACTCATCAGTCTCATAACGCTTTATTATTCCCACTGACTCGAGCGTGGAAGATATAAAGAAATTATGTACGTATATGTTTGAGCCATTTTGCTCGTAGATTCGGTGAAAAAAACACGGCCATAAATTATCACTATAGGTTTAAATAGCAATTTCATATATGTGTGTGAATTTATAAATAGATTTATATTTGCTTATAAACTACATGGAAATGACTTCAACAGCCTTTTAAGGGCTTAATGGCTTGAGAAGAAAACTTTTTTTCAAAATCTTCTAGCTCTATAAAGTGTTGATGTTTTGGGTTGAAAATTTCTAGCGTTATGTTCGAAGCTGAAAAAAAGCATTTATTTTAAATGATTGTGCAGCCTTTCAAATTTAATTTCACGCAAAAACATTAATCAAAATATCGCAAATTGGATGAACGGCACAGTTAAATTTAAATTCACTCACTCGTTAGTAATTTTTTGCTCAAATGAAATGGGATTCGCAAGGTTACATATTATAAAACAATTATACCCTAGCCGATATGAGGATTTTCGTATATATTTGATGAAAACTCGCGCCGTATTATAGACCTGGGGTCGGTCGTATAAAACTGTTTAACTACGTTTTGCATAGTTGTAAATCCTATAGTTAACACAGAAATTTAACGACTTTGATTGGCCAATTCTGTTCTTAACTACAGGGGCCGGTTGTATCAAGCCCGTTTAGCTTAAACGGTGGTTAAGTTCAAAATAGAAAGCAAGTCTATCGTTTTATTCAACAAACAACTGAATGTTTTCAACCTTAATACAAAGATGTTTACAACTACATATTCGGTGCATAATATTCAAGTTCACTCATTCAAGAAAGATGTAAGAGTGTTATTTAATTTTGACTTATCCACCGTTTAAGCTAAACACGGGCTTGATACAACCGGCCCCTGTTCCATACTGTCAGAGTAACTATATCTGTGATCACAGTTGGTATTTTCAAGAAAGAAAATCTTAAGTTTTAAATAATTTGCTGAAAATATCCTAGGGAACTATATGGCCTATGACGCTGATTGGTATAAATATTCATAACTTAAAATTTTGTGATAAAAAATCCAAATTCGATCACAGAAACTTTGACAGTCAGTCAAAACTGAAATGAACTGAAACGAAGATTTTAGCTTATTAACATTAGGTTCGGCACATGAAAAGTTTGACGTGTCTGAAACTGGCCTTCGACATTGTCAAAGTGGATGTGATCACAGTTGGAGACTTGCTTTGGTAAAAAAAAATTATAACTAACTTTATGCCAACCTCATGCAGGGTAATATAACCCCACGTTGGTTATTGTTCTAGTTGCCTCGATCATTTTTAGCGAATCCTTTAAAAAAACGTGGAAATATTTTACCTTCTGATCACAGATTCTAACTTAAGCTATGCTTACAATACAATCTAAAGCCCGTGCTAGACTTGGCCTAGAGCTTATTTTTGACCCTAACTTTATAGCAGCGCTTTGTCAATTACTTCCGAACATGTCTGATAAGTGACAATTGTTTCCCATCAGGCAAGGCCTTGACGAAGGGCGTTGTTACATCGCGAAGATCTTCTTCAGAGCAAGATCTAGATATGAGCTGGTCTCAAGTATGAAACACAACTTTACACAATGTAAAAGTTGGCCTCCAATAAAAAAATCATGATCCCGGGGAACGAATCGGACAGGAGATTTTCCTTTGTCTGTGTGTGTTAGACCAGAACTAATTGGCTTAAACAATTAACGAAACTTTTTCGCCGGACTCTGTCTGAAGAAAGATATGGACACCGGGTTCAAAATCGGTCGTTGCAATACCGGTGAAAGTTCTGAAATATGATACTGAAATACTACAGCGTAGGCAAGGTCACCAAAAAGCCGTCGAAACTCGGCTCGTAAATCGCTCTCCCCCATGCGGAGAAGAAGTTAAAAATGACTGCTAACCGGTAGCGATGATCGTCGACCATTGTTGTTAATGCGTTCGGCACATGACAGGGTCGTGTTTCATGTGACACGAGGATGACTTTTTGACGTTAATTGGATAATGCTCGCCATACCATACCATACCCGGTTGGTTTCACAGCTCAAACGGCAGCGAGAGCAGCGAGATTCACTAAGATGCGAGTTCGAATCTCGCTAGAGATCTTTGCGGTCTCAGGATGAAACGAACTCGACTCTATAAGAGCTGTTTACATTATCCCGCTTAACTGAGATTAATCACGAAGCGTGAAATAACTTTGAGGTATTGAAACGAGTATACAACATGACCCTGGCGGTGATGTGGTCATCTCGACAACAGCATGTCTTAACATATTTCTCATAATGACTAATTTCAATACCTCAAGGTCACCTTAAGGTCCGTTTATACTTGCGATTTTTGCGCCGATTTTCTTCTTTTGATAGATGTGAATGAGTAATTAGTTACGAATGCTCTGATGTATAAGAGCTCTTATTTGAACATCAGTAACTAATACACTCGTTCACATCTATCAAAAGAAGAAAATCGCACATAAAATCGCGGCAGAAATTGCAAGTGTAAACGGGCCTTTACGCTTCGTTGAATCTCGGGTGATCGGGCTCACGTGCGAAAGCATGCAGCATTGATTGTGCGTGTTCACGATATTGGTGGCGTTCTCGCGTCGATTGTCATAAAAAGTGTCGGCTTCTGGCGAACACGTGTACGAAACAAATCTCTCCCACGAGCGTGCGTGGGCCGAGGCATGGACCAAAACTCGAAAACATCACAGAGTTAATTACCCTCGGAAAAAAAAGAACAAAGTTTGACCGAAACTTTTTTAACCATTTACCAGCCGGAGATTAGGTCCACACGTGGTTTGACGTAAAACTTTTTTATAAACACTTGAATGGTTAATTACTTTGCAAATAAATAAATCTTCGTACTGTTCGAGATAAATATATTTTTAACGCTTTCTCTCGGACACAATAAAGGTCAAATAAACTTGCCCCCGTTCACGCAGTCAGCGGTGTTCGCGGGTACTCGACAGAGTTCCCCCACCCCACGAGGTGAAAAATTTGTTTCCCAACGATGCGCGATCTCGATAATACAACTGAATGGTTACCTGGATCATCGTCATACTCAGTCGACATGAAGTACCGCCAAGCTTTCCAGGATGTCTTGCTCACGTGATTTGAGCGTGACCAGATCGTCGTTTAGTTTCCAGACTTTCACTTCTCCTCGGCTATTGCCAGAAGCCAGTAAATGCTTCCTGTGGCGGGAAAATGCTCGTATTAGGCTCCGTTTTTACACGGTACCGGAATCACTCGTCACAACATCGTTGTTTGCCGAACGTTATGAAAAGATGGTTAGTAGTAAATTCCTATCAATTAGATATATTTGGTATATTTATTCAGGTTTCAGATATTAAAAATGTTCACTGCCTCATATTGACAAAATTTGACATGTTCGATAGCAATCTGGTACCGTGTAAACGGAGTATTAAAAAAAATCAAACAATTCAACCATGCTTCTGTTTGAGACCAAAATCTCGAGAAAATTTCTGGAAATCAATGGGTCCTTAATCCAAATGCCAACTTAACACCCGATCCCTAAGATGAGTAAGATCCTGACCCCAAATCCGGGAGAGCAATTTGACTAGCCACCAAAAAAACACTTTACCTCGAGGGGTTGAATTCCGCAGTGTAAACAGAACTTCCTTTAGAGCAACCCTCCAAAGTCATCACAGGACTAATCCTGTTTGCCTAAGATGCAAGGTGCAAATATATAGTTGTTGTAGGCCTGACGGAATACGGTTTTTCTTCGGAGCATTTTCGGCTTACCTTAAGATCGTATAGCAAAACTTTGCCATTTCCACAAGCGATTGCAAAGACAGCAGGTCTTGTGTAAGACCAGCGTACTGAATAAAGATATCCACATGATGGCTCGATAGTCAGAGAGGGCATTAGCTGAGGAAAGAAACAGATTCTTGTGTCAGTTATGATTTAGTTTCTGATCTACAGTGTTACTACTAGGAGGAAACCTAAACTAAACTAACTTTATTTATACTGGATAGCTGTATCAGTTCGAAACTGTTCTTCCTAGAGGTCCAGTAAGGATCATCTCTTATTGATCCAGTGTTACTACAGAAGGAAACCTGAACTAAACTAACTTTATTTATACTGGATAGCTCTATCAGTTCTAAACTGTTCTTTCTAGAGGTCCAGTAAGGATCATCTCTTATTGATCCAGTGTTACTACAGGAGAGATTTATTATTTTGACAATACATTATCAAGGTTTCGTTTAAGACAACTTGTATTGTATTCTGTCCTTACCTGAAGCATGTTATAAAGTCTGATGGTATCAGCACCGGCTGCCAGGAAAAGATTTCTATGATGTGGCGAGCAACATAGAGAATGGATTGGGCTGAGGTAGGGATGAAAGGCGAACGTCACAGGCGAGTGAACAGGAACTGACTGTATATCTTCTGTTGAAAGAAATTCATGAGAATGATTAGGAAGACAAGGAAAGTGAGAGGCGCTCAAGGGATTGTGTGGGATAAATACATCGACAATGCGATTCAGTTGTATATATTGGGGAGGTCACGTTGGTGATAGATGAAGGGATAAAGAGGTCATAAGGGGATATTTGGTGGAAGGCATTACATTTGGAAAGTTGCTGGGTGGTCAAAGGGGGACAAAGGGGGACAAGGGGGGACGTTTCTAGTTCTACTATCGAGCCTACCTGAGGTCGCCGCTGTGGTTGCATTAGAGGAGCATTTAAAGACACCACCACCTTCAGAACCTGCTATGAATGTTGTCTTGTCTTCGTGAGAGAATGATAAACAGGTGACTACAACGAAAATTTCAACGTGGATTTAGTAATGGATTTAGTAGTCTATAAGGACGTTAATCCGCTTATCCAGGGATTACAGAACTTCCTCGCACTCTGAGGACATAACTCCGCCTTATACGCTATACATGTCATCATCTCTGTACTTTGTTTACTCAAAGTTCCTACCTCCAACCATACTGCCACCGCTGGCTTTACTAACTCTGAGACTGCGGGGAATACTGTCGGTTTGGATGACAAAACCGCTGAGTAACTTGAGATTCTTGCTGCTCTGACTTAGTCTCCAAACCAAGATTTTACCATCGCCACCAGCACTTATGATCTAAGAAAGTTGATCTTTTTATTATTTATTTATACTGGATAGCTCTATCAGTTCCAAACTGTTCTTCCTAGAGGTCCATTAAGGATCATCTCTTATTGATCCGGTGTTACTACAGGAGGAAACCTAAACTAAACTAACTTTATTTATACTGGATAGCTCTATCAGTTCTAAACTGTTCTTGTTTGAGTACTGTGCTAATGGGAAAATTATTACCTTATTCTTTTTATCCTTTGATGCCGGATCATTAAACCACATCACCTGGTATAGGGGATAAAGCAATATACGCAACTATATTACAGAGATATTCATCCTCATTCTTCTGCCGTTAATCTCATGGCGTACCTGTGAAATCGGGTCCTTGTGAGCATTTTCTCCAACACCAGAGGAGGCGATCAAAGGGTCGTCTTCCTTGCCGATGTCATAAACATACACAGCACCTAGAGTGAAATGAAACACAAGAGATGCAGCTTAGATAAACACGAGACAATCCTTGCTGTATTCATCGATGTTCCAAAACATCGGATCTTTGAGTGTCCAAAATACATTCATATCTTGGTGATAGGGGTCGGTTGTACCCGTGCAGTTCATTCGATAGTAGTTTCTTGAATTTCTGTAAATTGCCCTTAGTTTGGAAGAACTTAAAGTGAACCTCAGCATTCAGTAGAGATTACATCTTCTCGCTATTGACTCTTGGCTCTACTTTAATTCCTTTTCAAGCTATTTTGCGAGAAGTTGAAAAAATCGCTATCCAGTGGAGAGCGCTACCCAACCTTCGTACAATTCATCCCCGAAATGAGATAAGTAAGGAATTTACGGGATTTACCGTTAAAAGTCCCGACAACAATAAGAGATGGAGTGACAGGATGGAATGCAATACTCATAACACAATTCTACAAGGAAAACACAAGAGAAATCGTTGAACAGAACTTCGAAAATAAGTTAAGGTTTGAAATGCTGCAAACCGTACAGGGATATCGATGGCTAAGTCGGCTTTGTTTGCATTCAATGATCTTCTGTCGAGGTTCCAGGTGCATAGAAAAGACTATGGAATAGAAAGATATTTTTGAGTTTTGTTAATGCTGCAAATTTGCTGAATTAACGCAAATCAGGAAGCTAAAATGCGAGTTCAAATCATTTATGAGACAACAAATTTGTTGACCCAATCACTGGAAAAAACTACCGGTATATTATAATCTTAGGTAAAGGTATATATACCTTGTGTGTGCACCAGTCTTGATGGTCATATCGACCGTAGGACACAGCTAAAACAGCTCCAGTTGGGTTCCAGGACAGACATGTAACTTCAAGCTAAACGACAGGGAGTGAATATTGATGTACCTCCAGAGCAAAATTCTGGTGGGTGACAAAGGGGGGATATATTTTGGTACCAGTACTTATAAAAATAATGTATGCAATATAGACCAGTACCCAAGAGTGGTACTCATGCTGATCATGGCTAAGAGGTAATCAGCAAGATATAAACCAGGAATTCCTTAATTATTACTCACTTTTTCTTCCAAAGCAGCTTGTGTCAAGGTGTGAAGACATTGCACAGTGTTTGACGATTCCTCCCAGTCAACATCATAACCTGTTTTAAAGTTTTAATTTACTCATCAGAATGAAACTTAAAGTCGTGTGACTATAATAATTTTGACTGAACTGCAGGTTACTACATACCATCAAATGCATGGCTTCGTGAGTTTCCCTCTAGCTCAGCCATGACAGCAGGATATATTCTGAGAAGAAATTCCAGGAGCTCCTTTAAAAACAAAACAACATTAATTGAACTTTGGAATTACATTACAAATATGGTGAAAGCTTCATTTCATTCTGAATGTACCGGAGAGTCTTCCTGTTGAATCGTCATGGCCACTTTTTCATCTTCCTTCTCAGTTTGAACCTTGAGTTATATAACTTTATTAATCATTTTCACATAAATTTGTCTAATTTACTCTTTAAAATGTACTTTTTACAGCCATATAATTGCATATCATGCAACCTTCTTTGTATATTTAAAATTTGTACTTTAAAATTACTTGTCAGTTAGAGAGTCTATTTTAAAATTATTGCCAGTTAGAGAAACACTTGTTTTAAAATTGTTAACAGAACTATCAAGCAGATCCTCTCAAGCAGATTTCCATCATGAACTTACTCCATCCTCAGTACTGCAAGTTTATATAGATCGAGATAATTAGGTTAATAAATATAATAGACTTCCACTAACCATAGCATCAGTTTGGCTCAAAGCCTGTGTTTCAACTTCATTTGTGAGAATCTCACTGGTTTGACATGCACCATCCTGAACAGACCTGAGTGATTTGGAAATATAACAGATCTTTAAATTGTGTTTTTCACCTAACGGGCTACTAACAGACAGTCTGAGGCACATTGAAAGACAGGCTCATTGGAAAGGGAATGGAATGAGTGGTACATTTCATATGAAGATGTAATAATTTTGTTTAAAAGTAATAACAGTAGAAGACGGTAGCTTAAATTAATTACAGAAGAGGATTTTTTTGAGAGATCGTGATGGTCACTTGCATCAGTTGCATGGCGAGTCAGGCGAGGCATTTCATAATTTTTCGTACAGGCAAAATTTGAACATACCACAAAAACACACACACACAAACGGATACTCTAAGAACACCCTTCTGTGAACACACTGCAGCATTCAACTTGATGTAAATTGTAGTGTCAAAGCAAGGGCATATTTCAACAAACTTCAACAGTATAAAAAACACGTTTTTACCGTTTCGTTTTCCAAGAAGAGTCGAACGACACGGCTTCTTGTTCTTCGTCCTGAAACATTGCTGCTTCAATTTCATAAACTTCCCATTCTTTGCGAAAATTGTACAAAAGTATTGTAGAAAATGTGTTTTTTAAATGTCTCTTTGGAAACCAAAACAATAAGAAAACAATATGGCGGCGGAGCTCGAGCCCGCAATAAGTATGATTTTGAAAACATACTCTTTTACTTATCAGGAAAAAAGATTGCACAGTTTTTTCGCATTTTCTTTTACATTTCTACGCTGCTCTGAGGGGATTTTATTCACTACCTCAAAAGCATGCAATTTTAAAATATATTTGAATTATCAAGAATCTTTCAATTTTAATTCCTCGTTTAATACGTCATGTTACCCGAATAAATAAAATAGAGAAAACACAGAAATAGGTACGCCTTGCGTTTTTCAGAAATAGCAATAAACAATATGCAATTTAGTATTGTTTTCATACCTTCATAAAGCTTGTTTCGTTCCTAAATATGTTTCTATCACAGTTTAGAATTGACTGCAAAAGATAAAGCATCAACTGAGCTAGGAGAAAGTCCAAGCAGTCAGCAAAATTAAATGATATACTTTCGCTAAACAGTTTCCAGATTGGATTCTCTACATGATCCGATGATACAACTTGCAAGCGTATCATATTCTAGAAAAAAATTGGCAACAAAATAAACGGCAATAAAAACACTTAATTCACAATTCCATAATTGTATTCACAACAAGGAATTTCTACAAACATCACTACAAATTTGATGAACTTATTTTTTTTTATTATTACAATCATTCAACATTTCTTCGCGGTAAAAATTCGCGTCCATTTAAATAACACGTATTTATCTTAGCTTTCAAAGCCCTAGCCAATTAAATGTATTTTAAGCGCTAAAATTGTATATACTCTATCATAAGTCTAAAAATCTAAAAATTTCTCAGTATGCAAATGCATTCCAACCTTAATTGACTATGGCTAAGTTATTGTGATTAAATAGGATAGCTATAAATTCTGTCAATTCGAGAGACCTTTAATAGACGAACAGTTTTTTAGAAATATTTTCTTAGCAGAGACAGATTGCAGGGACAATATACCAACGTTTTGTTCCCTATTCGGAAGAAAAATAAGCAGGCTTTAAAATGTCTTCAAAATCTACAATTCGACATGATGAAAATTGCTCGTCTATTCTAGGATTTTATCACAGGTCATGAGTTAAGAATATGTTCATAAACTTGTCTCAACTGTCCACCATTTTATATAGAAGCAAGGAGAGTATATTTCTCAATTCTACAGACGGTTGGTAATGCTTTTCTGCATCTATATATTACCTAACGGTGCGTAAGGAGTGCGTCTGGTCTGGAATTAAAATTATTCATTATTCTAAGCTGAGCAGATCATCATCAAGAGGTAATAGATCATCATCATCAGTATTATGATTCTTCTCGTGATCATCATCCCGATAATCATCATCATCACTATCATCACTGAATAATGACCCTCCAGCACCAGCTTCAATTATATAGTCCGTTTCACCATCTTCCTCGTCTGTCTTGACCTAAAAAATACAGAATTCAAGAGTTACATCAGCTCCGCTATGATCAGCTGTGATATGTAACTCGATATAATATGTCTAGAGGCTCGTTCAAAATTTTTGCTGCGACTTTACGTGCAATTGTCCTCTTTTGATAGATGTGAACTAGTGGATAAGTAACGAATGCTCAAATAAGGACACATGAACATCAGAACAGCACATAAATATCGTTCTTTTGCATCTATCAAAAGACGAAGATTTTCGCGGGAAATTTTCGTAAAAATAGCCGCGTAAACGGCCGCTAATAATTACCTTTTTATAACGATAAGAGGCATTGTATGAACGTTTACAGCAAATATATTTACGATAATGCCACCTCAGCCATAAGGCAGCGCTTTGTCTGCAATAAAACAAAAATCAAAAATTTATGTTAAATATTTAGATCAGGGAGATGAGTAAGTTGGTACGTAGATGGATGCATGGGTGGGTTTTTCGGTGGGTAGGCAGGAAAGTAGGTAGTGTGAGTGGGTGAGTTGGTAGGTATATAGGTGGGTGGGTGAGTAGGCAGGTAAGTTGATAGACAGATAGGTGGGTGACTATGTGGGTAGCGTGATATGAGATAAGGTAAACTACCTTTTCTCAGGTTTCCAAACAAAAAATATGATGGCAGCAAGAAGACCAATGCCAGTCAATGTTCCAATAACCGCCGCTGCAGATTTCGCCATCGAACGAGAGACTTTTTTAGCACATCCGCTTCTACAAGAAACGATTTAATGAAATGAAATCCAAACTTTTCATACTGGATAGCTCTATCAGTTCTAAACTGTTCTTCCTAGAGGTCAAGTAAGGATCATCTCTTATTGATCCAGTGTTACTACAGGAAGAAACCTAAACTAAACTAACTTTATTTATACTGGATAGCTCTATCAGTTCTAAACTGTTTTTCATAGAGGTCCAGTAAGGGTCATCTCTTATTGATCCAGTGGTACTACAGGAGGAAACCTAAACTAAACTAACTCTATCTACAAATGCTATAGACACGGGTGAAGCTGGATTTCATTCCTATAACTACAATAATTTTGAATAAGGTAATATAATAACTGTCCAGTTAGTTACCCCAAGGCATCGCAGACATAATTTGTGTTCAATATTATCGACACATACGAATCGCCGACGTCGACTAATGTTGTTTCGTTGCCAGTCTAGAAAAGAAACAAGAGCGGTGAAAATACTCTTTTGCATGAACAAAACCGCGCCATGAATATCAAAGTTCACAACATTTTGTGTACTATCACTTACTGTGCATCGCATAAGGACTTCAAAACTATACACCTCCTTAGTTTTCTTTGAATCGCAAGAAACAAACAACTCGTAAGAATCATCTGAGAAAAATAGTCGGGGGTTTTAACTATATCCTCTGACTTGTATATAATCACTATATTAGTCTAATCTAATTCATTAACTAATATTAATATACACAGGTCAGTGGTCGGTTCCACCAATAAACACTAAAAAACTCATTCCAAATTGTAAAAATTGAATATAGCTCAGTTGCCAGTGATCACTACACCAGTGATCTCTAATATATAACTGGAACTTTGGTCCCCCGTTTACTCAGTTTCATTTCATCCAGTGTACAAAGAAATTCTTTGAGGTCTTGCAGTGATGCATTTGATGTGAAGATATATTTATACATCCATAAACATCCATAAACATCCATAAACATACTTAAACATACCTAACGCATAGACCGTGACCTTGTTTTGGAGCTTGCAATCTTTGCTGCCTGCATGTTTTTCAACTCTGAATGAAAACAAGATGTAGTTGTAGAAATTTTCTGATCTTTACTGATTTTCTGAATGTAGTAATTTAGGGGCTAAACTCGCCCACGTATACAAATTGATCATTCAATCTCCCATAAACGTACCCACCTACCTAATTCCTCACCTACCTGTTAAGCGACTCTCCTACCCACCCACTTACCAACCTTTCTACCCACTGGCATACACTCATCCACCTACCTATACAAGCCGACCACCCATCACCAAATTACCCACTTACACACATTAACCGACCCACCTACCCACCAACCTTCCTCCCTATCATCCTACACCCACCTACCAACACTCACCTGCCTACACTCACTTGGCTACACTCACCCACCTACCTACCAACATTCTTCCCTATCATCCTACACCCACCTACCAACACTCACCTGGCTACACTCACTTGGCTACACTCACCCACCTACCTACCAACCTTCCTCCCTATCGTCCTACACCACTTAGTTACCAACATTCACCTGCCTACACTCACCTGCCTACACTCACCCACCTACCTACCAACCTTCCTCCCTATCATCCTACACCCACCTACCAACACTCACCTGCCTACACTCACTTGGCTACACTCACCCACCTACCTACCAACCTTCCTCCCTATCGTACACCACTTAGTTACCAACATTCACCTGCCTACACTCACTTGGCTACACTCAATCCTCGAATCAATCTACTATTTAACGTACCCACCCACCTAATCACCCACCTGCTAACTGCTAACCGACCCGCGCAAGCACCCTCCCACCTACCCATCAAGGTCGGGGTCATTTTCATTCCCACCTGGGAAAAAAGTCTTTTTGAAAACTTACATTTTTTTCACGTGAGTTAAATCCAGTGTGCAGCCTGCGGTTTTGTCATCGTAAAATATCCAATCGTCCCCTTCCTGCTTCAATGGTTTACTGAAAAAAAGAGAAATGTTTAGACTATAACAAGCATTTTGATACGGAAAAAAGTAGTCCACTGTCATTAAACTGAGAACAAAAATGACTATTTATTCATGATGCATGGTAGTTTTATATTCGAGGGAAAACATGCGGAATTAGTGAGAAATACGGCTCCATTTTCTTGTTTCTATAAGCGTTGAACTTTAAAATTCCCAATAAATGATGTCCTTCACCTAAAGCAAGACAAAATACCTGTTTTCGGGGCATGCTTCCGCTGTCTTCCACAAAAAGACGAACTCGCAGTTTTCACCACTAGAGAAAAGAAACACGTACTATACATACTATTTCACTTAACGAAGGGCCTTAGATAAGTATTTTTGTCTATTTTATGCAGTTGTAAAACCAGAATTGATGCGAAGTTGTGACAAGCTGGCAAGCTGTTCCTCTTTAATGTTGAACGTACAATATACATTTTTTCTTATATCTAAAATTTTAAAAGCCTCTTAAAACAACTAGCTTATGGAAAATTTGAAACCGTTTTCACAGCATCAGATAACAACAAGAATCATGTGTATTTAAAATATAGAAGATCCTTTGTCATCCAAAAACCAAGGTTAGAGTAACTTCCTATGAACTGCCGATAGGAGATATTAAAAAAGCCTTTATGTGAAAGCTTAAACTTGTTGTGGTTATATCAAGTGGATAATCTCACCTTTTAAAATGCACCTCCGAATCACCATGTCTACACTTAAACTTGTGCACAACCGTTGGCTTTTTATTACCGCAGCTTTTGAGCGCCTCATTTCCGTAGTATCGAAGTTGTAAAGGATATTCTGTTTTAGCTACATGATAAAGTAATGTTTTTCCTTCGTATAGGTGACAAATGATTTGGGACGAGATGAAAATGGTTGAAAACTACAGCCGGGTAATCGACGAGTAACAGTTTAAAATCTCTGAGGATAAAATCTTAGAAGTGATGACGTTAGTTTAGTTTAGCTTTCCTTTTTAAAATAAAGAGCAGTTTAGAACTGATAGAGTTATCCAGTATAAATAAAGTTAGTTTAGTTTAGGTTTCCTTCTGTAGTAACACTGGATCAATAAGAGATGATCCTTACTGGACCTCTAGGAAGAACAGTTTAGAACTGATAAAGTTATCCAGTATAAATAAAGTTAGTTTAGTTTAGGTTTCCTTCTGTAGTAACACTGGATCAATAAAAGATGATTCTAAGGTTGGAAGAACCGTTTAGAACTGATAGAGCTATCCAGTACCAAGAATCTACCCACCATGATAAGTAAGATCATAATTCGTATCCACTGCTATCACTTCAGATTCTTTGTCCGATGAAACTCTTATTGCTGTCGCTCGGGAAGAGCAAATATCCTCTACAGGAAAAAGAAGCAAATATTAGATCATCGAGGGAAACAATGGCTCACATTACGGCTCATTTATATTTCATTAAAGTGGAAGTCATGTCCGTTTCGTTTAAATATTCACACAACACAACGTGTTTGAAAAAGTATAGAAGTTCACCATTTGTTTGCATACGGACTTCGCTTCCACTTTTACACAGAGTAAACAGGATACAGAGCTGGAACTGTGTGGCGAATAGTGATTAAATATGACTAATATATCTTTTAGTTACTCTGTCACGTTAAGGTTAAACGTCATCACCAACGGACAGATTGATTTACACTTTATGATTTACCTGTTTCCTTATTGCGCCTGACATGACCACAAGGACTGAGCCAGTAACTAGGAAAAAAATGGCACATAAATGTCAGGTATTGAAGCCGCTTTCCTTTGTACGGTAAAAACTGCAAGATCAGTACTGTAGTATTTCATCACAGACAGAATACTGGTATTTAAAGTGTTTCAAGAACTCTGCATTCACATATATCGTTATTTACATCTGCCTAGCACGTAAAATGCACTTTCACAGCTTAACGAAGTACTCTATTTCAATTCAAAATATGACTGGTTTGACCATTTTGGGCGGTTACAGGAAAACGCCGTATTTTTAAGTTATTCCTCTTCTTTATAAGACTCCAGTGTTGATCTCTACCACTGATCTCTACATATCAGGCATATTGTTATCATGAATTGTACAAAGGTTTGTTTCTTACTGATCGCTCTCGTCGCCTTTTGCATAAAAGTTTTCGCCGCGACTCAGACCAGCCAAGTTGAACGTTTTGTCTCCGTATCTGATCTCGCACGACAGCTCACGAGGTGGACAAACCTCTGGCGTTATCAAACTGAAATAATATGTCTGATAATTTGGGCTTTTATGTTCAACCTATACAGTATCGAAAAAAAATTAAGTTATTGAGTAGAGGATTATTGTCAACATGCACATAAACAAAAATTTTCGATAAATTTCTATATACGGAAAACACTATTTAACGGATAAGTTGGGACCACTCGATTCATTGGGTGGAAAGAATGAACGAGAATACTTCTCGGCGTTTCGACCGGCCTAAAAACCTTGTAAGAAGCCTTAAATTATTTGCTGGAAGTCACGAGATTCGCAGTCCGGGCTATGCATTTGATGAGTAGCTCAGTATGTTAAGAGCATTACAAATAAAAACTAGAGCGACTCAACAGCGAATCATGTCCTCTGATATCTTATCAATATGGTCTATAATGTGGTCTCATGTCCTTATTTTCAATAAAACGATGCCACCAACGTCACGTTACTCACGTATGTGTGAGCGAGAAAAACGTGCAAAGATCCTTAGTATGGGTTATCGATTATCCTTGATAACTGTATGTTCCATATTATTAGATTACAAGACAGTTCCACACAAATCCTATATTATGGAGAGCATTTAACTATAATTTCCACAAGATGGACTAGCTTACCTTTCCAATATACCGAGGATTATTTGACTCGCTATCTTTCCCGCAGTACAAAATAAGGACGACGTCTTTGCCGTAAGTTATTCGTACTTCGCCGTTCTTATAAACGATGTTGTCGCGTGAAAGAGCCGTTGGTTTTCCGTTTTTTGTTTTCAAACAAGCTTCGCCTGACGTGGCATCCTTGCCTTCTTCGTGGCAATCCTTCGCTGCGGTTCCACACACATGGAAATGGACTTCCCCTTCGGTAAACTAGGAGAACAAAAGGAATAGAAAGTTGGTTGTTATAATGCTCTTTTGAACGTATATGATTTACTGGATCGAAAAGGTCTTTAAATGAGTTTAGGTTTCCTCCTGTAGTAACACTGGATCAATAAGAGATGATCTTCACTAGGAAGAACAGTTTCGAACTGATAGAGCTATCCAGTATAAATAAAGTTAGTTTAGTTTAGGTTTCCTCCTGTAGTAACACTGGATCAAAAAGAGATGATCCTCACTGGACCTCTAGGAAGAACAGTTTAGAACTGATAGAGCTATCCAGTATAAATAAAGTTAGTTTAGTTTAGGTTTCCTCCTGTAGTAACACTGGATCAAAAAGAGATGATCCTAACTGGACCTCTAGGAAGAACAGTTTAGAACTGATAGAACTATTCAATATAAATAGAGCTAGTTTAGTTTACGTTTTAGTATGAACAATGAATCAATAAGAGTTGGAAGTCGAAAACTTTCCTGGTACCTAATCTATCCAGTAGATCTGATTACGCATTATAAGACAAGACTCACCTTAACATTTTTGCCTTTTTGCCCTAGTTTTTTTAAATCAAAGCAAAACGTATGCTCGGGATTGCTGTAGAAGCAGCTTAGGTTGCCCTCTGGTGGGTCGCCATCTGGTGGGTCGCAAACCAACGAAGTCCACCAGGATATTTGCACCGAGCATTCATCGGCGTATGTGATGATTAATTTCCTGACCTATAAGGCAAAAACACATCAAATCCTTAATCATCAAATTCTTAATCAAGTTTTCCAAAACGGTATCGTTAGAAATATCGTCCGCACACCTGTGCCATTTAAGAACAGTGAATCGACTGAGGCATAAGAATAATTGTCTTAGAGAACTGCACCGTACACATTAAGCTGGATAGCGATTTTTTACTCGCTTTAAAATTGCCTAAAGTTCGCTATGTCCTAGAGTAAACCTTGATACTCTTGAAGTGAAGTTTTTCTTTACTGATTGTTGACCCCATTTCCGTAGTTTTCTTGCATTTCAAATTTTTTTTACAATAGTTGGAAAAAAAACCCCAGAGGATAGCGCTATCCAGCCTTCGTACAGCCGTCATCTGCGATAAAAAAGCTAATATTTCTTTTTCAGTACATCCTGAATACACGAATTTAATCCGCTAGAGATTAGGTATTAGGGTTAGGATTAGCGTTAGGATTAACGCTATGATTGGGATTAGGGTTAGGATTAACGTTAGGATTAGAGTCAGGTTGCGGATTAGGATTAAGATTAGAGTCAGGATTAGGGTTAGGATTAGGGTTCAAGAAAACCGAGTAATATCACGATGATCTGAATCGGCGAGACAAAGTTATATTTACCGCAAGATCTTTCGGATCACAGTGAAAGTTTATAGTCGTGTTGCCACATTCTCCGTTCTCATAGATGAGCTGAGCTTTGACTTCATTCTGTTTATCGTTTGAAGATGAAAGAAACTTTGGTGGCGCACCCACTTGTCCAAAACTTTTGTCTTCTTTATTGTCACTCTAAGTTGCACAGACATACAATAGTGACTTGAACAATGAAATCCCTATAAATCTATACACATGAAGTTCCCTATAATCATCATACCGCTGTGCGACACACTGCAGCACTCGATTGCGAGGAGCATCTTGAATCACTGACCAACGAACGACACACGTTTATGAGGTAAAGTTTTCCATCCTTATCCAAAGACTTAAGAAAATTAATAAAGAAACTAGATCAGGATTCATATAAGGGGTTAGTTTAGTAAGCATTAATGAAATACAGAAGAACGGTTGATGCATAGACAGCAGCCCAAAAATAAGCGTTCGTTATCGATGTTAATCATTTACGCTTATTTTTGGGCTACCTATGGTTGATGGTTGATTCTTTCATAAACTAAGAGCTCATATCTTCATTGAGCAATATTGAATTAACAATGGAGCTGCTGTAATCCGAAAAAAGTAGTAAATATGAATACTTCGTAATTGGCATCGTCTCGGATCAAGGGTGTGAGATCGTAGAAGTTCTTCCCGTCTTGAGCAACGCAATCAATCTGAAAAAGTTGAGTGAGCAAGTCGGTACTTAAGTAAAACTCCAGGAAGAGTAGTTCAGAAGTGATAAAGCTATCCAGTATCAATAATGTTAGTTTAGTTTAGGTTTCCTCTCGTAAAAACACTGGATCAATAAGAGATGATTCTTACTGGACCTCTAGGAAGAACAGTTTAGAACTGATAGAACTATCCAGTAATAAGACTATTGTCATTCATCATATCTATTACTAAAACTGTGTATGGCTCACTTCACAGAATTTTACTCTCCCCTAGCGTTGATTAAAGCATCGATTATTTATTTCAAACAAACCTCAGCTTCGCAAGCCAAATTGGTTCTCCAAGTCACAAAATGTGTGCAATCTTTAACCCGCTCTAACTTTGGCTTTCCTTTGCCAGCCTTGGCATCGCAAATAAACGATATCAAAGTTTCGCTCGTCCTTTTGTCTGATTCACTGCAGGCGCTACCGTCCTTGTAATGAAGGTAGAGAAATCCTTGACGATAGACGAGTGTCGTGTTGACATTGCCTGCACTCGTCTTGCCACCTTTCTTGCAGATCCCGGAGTTCGCTGGGCAGCCTAATAAGTGAGGGGGGTGGGTGAGAGGGGCCTCTTTGGCCGTCAATGTATTATTATTCATGACTGATTAAGGAAAGTAGCTTTGATAGATAAAATGGCTGAAATGGTTGATGTAGTAGCAGCTTCAATATACACTTTGATCACATCCCTAGCACACGAGACTTTTCCCAGCCACAACATCCAACCAAGTCAAACCTTTAATATCCACATGTACCGAAGTTAACCACAGTCATCCACATGTACCGCAGTTAACCACAGTCATCCACATGTCCCACAGTTAACCACAGTCATCCAAATGTACACCAGTTGACACTCATCTAAATCACCGCCCGGATACCCACAAATTTCTCAGCCTGAAATATTCATCACAACACTTTTCCCCCAGCAATAACACCCATGACATTACACCCCTCACACCCATCCTGGGCACAACCTCAACACCCCTCTCCTAGCCTGCCCCCTCCCCCAGCAAAATCAACCATGACATTACACGTCATCCATCTAACGTCAATCCAGCTTTATAATAAAAGGCATATTTGAGGTAAAATAAACAAAGGTGAGGACCTTAAACACAATACCTTTTGCTCGGGCACAAATATTAATGAAGTATGTATCACCATTTTTTTCATCTACCACCGTGTAACTTTTAGTGTTCTTCAGTTGGCTTAGATCTATTGCTTTCCTTGTAGCTGGATGGATAGCGGTGCAGTTAGGATTGGAATAGTCTCCCAGGAGGCTTCGCACAGGACAAGCGGCGCGTGTTGTCCACGTGACGTGAAATGTACACTGATCTTTGTCGAATCCGTCGACAACTGGTCCAACCTAATGTATAAAGACTGGGTCGTAAGCAATCATCATTTGCAGAATGATACTTTAAATTTCATTTTAGATTTCTTTAATTTTTTAGATTGGAGATGTGCTAGCCTTCAGTACTTACCCCCACTCCCCCGGGTACAATATCATCACAGATAAACTGTATGGTAGTTTTTGGGGATTTCTGATTTGTACAGAAGCTTAATTTGTCGCCATTGCCATACGTCATTGTGAGTGATCCATCAGAAATTTTGAGTCGTTCTATCATTGTACCAAGACTTGTGATTTTCCTAATGGAGGAAGAACATGAAAACAATGGTAATTTTATACTGGATAACTTTATCAGTTCTAAACTGTTCTTCCTAGAGGTCCAGTAAGGATCATCTCTTATTGATCCAGTGTTACTACAGGAGGAAACCTAAACTAAACTAACTTTATTTATACTGGATAGCTCTATCAGTTCTAAACTGTTCTTCCCAGAGATCCAGTAAGGATCATCTCTTATTGATCCAGTGTTACTACAGGAGGAAACCTAAACTAAACTAACTTTATTTATACTGGATAGCTCTATCAGTTCTAAACTGTTCTTCCTAGAGGTCCAGTAAGGATCATCACTTATTGATCCAGTGTTACTACAGGAGGAAACTTAAACTAAACTAACTTTATTTATACTGGATAGCTCTATCAGTTCTAAACTGTTCTTCCCAGAGATCCAGTAAGGATCATCTCTTATTGATCCAGTGTTACTACAGGAGGAAACCTAAACTAAACTAACTTTATTTATACTGGATAGATCTATCAGTTCTAAACTATTCTTCCTAGAGGTCCAGTAAGGATCATCTCTTATTGATCCAGGGTTACTTCAGGAGGAAACCTAAACTAAACTAACTTTATTTATATTGAATAGTTCTATCAGTTTTAAAGGATCATCTCTTATTTATCAAGTTTCACAGTGTTCATGTTTTTTGATCTAGTTGATCTAGTGCTAAATTTAATCATGATCTTCTTCCTGACTATTGTAACCACTTCTGAGTTCATGCCTCCTAGGTTATATTGTAAACTAACCCATCTTTATCCTCTATTGCCCCTCGCGAACCTCTATTCGCGGGTCCAGAGATGTTCTTTAGACGTGTACACACAGAAAAATAGAACTCCCAAAACACGACTGGACTCTCTGGTTCGCCGTCTAAGGCATTTCGGGCATGCCAGTTCCAGGACTCCTTTGCTAAGACTGAGAGATCAAAGAGACCGTCTTCGGTCGTAATACTGCATTCCTCCCCAGTAACGGGTGGACAAACCAAGCTGCTCGCCCAGGACAAGTGATAGCCACCTTTGACTTTTGCTTTCTCCCTGAAGGAGAGCGTTTTGACGCTGGAATCGCAGGATATTTCATTGGTGACGTTAATACTCTTACTTGTGTATTCAAAAATTGCTTTGCCATCGTTAAATATCATGTTTGAAAACTTCAGACCTGTCGTCACCGTCCCTATAAAAGGAGCACGAAGCTATTACTTGGTTTGTTAAAACGAAGGATTACCGTGAATATTACCGGGGTTTAGGTTTGACCATCGCTACCATTGGGAAAACCCGAACCAATCAAATGTGATAAATATATCAGATTAACCAATCACGAGCGCAATAGGTTAACGAAAGGTGTAATGTTCGGTACTAACTGGTGACTCTCTTTAGTACAACCAGGGGGTGCACCTCCGATACCCCCTTTAGTACAACCAGGGGGTGCACCCCCGTTACCTCCTTTAGTACAACCAGGGGGTGCACCCCCAATACCCCCTTTAGTACAACCAGGGGGTGCACCTCCGATACCCCCTTTAGTACGACCAGGGGGTGCACCTCCGATACCCCCTTTAGTACAACCAGGGGGTGTACCCCTGATACCCCCTTTAGCACAACCAGGGGGTGCACCCCCGATACTCCCTTTAGTACAACCAGGAATGTACCCCCGATACCACGTTCAGTAAAGATAAGGGGTTCACCCCACATACATGCACCCTTCAGAACTGCCCTGTATTCACGGTCCCTACCATTAAGACACGAGGGATTGTCTTTCCCGCAACCGAGGTCTTTGGCTGGAGTTTCAACGCAAAATTTCACGATATATTGAACGCCCTTGTCAACCTCCTCCTTTTGCACTTGCCCTGCCAAGGACCTGAGGTCAAAATAAACACCGTTTGTTTCATCATACACACGACAATCCTTCCCTTGAAACGTCTTCACTGGACAAGCACTTGGAGTTCTCCAGTTAAACACGTACTCGCAATCTTTCATTTCCGCCATGTATACAGGAGAACCCTAGGGTGGAAGAGGGATATGTATGTATATCATAGGCACCACAAATTTGCGTTAGAATTTGTACGCGGGAAATTTTTCGGCGATTTGTCGATATAGTGTTATGATGCATGATTACATTTGCAGCCCAATTTGCGTGGTAATTTGACACGAGAGATTTTTTGCCAATTTGTCAACAAATTGTTGTATTATTAGCTGTGAGTTCATTTACATTTTCGCTATAAGCATTAAAAATGGTGGTGAACTCATTGCTAATACAAAAAGTGTAACAATTACTTAATAAGGCTGAACTCGTATGAAAAAGAAGAATTATCATACCGAAGTTAAACGAACGTAAAACGAAGTCGAAGCCTTGATAACCCTTTCACAAAAAAAACTTTGTTTTTATAAAAACAATTTTACAAAAAACCAATCAGAGTCGTGTACTTTTAGAGGTTAAACAAGACATAGTTTAGGCCAGTTTCAAGCCCAGGTCAAACGTCGCTCTTTTCATGCACCGAACCTAATTAAAGTCTTTATTTGAGCTCATTTGCATTATGTTAACGAACCTAATGTTAATGAACTAAAGTCTTTGTTTAAGTTCATTTGCATTTGTTTCAGCACATAAAAAGTTCGTCGCCCGAAACGGGTCTTAGAGTTTCATACAACTGGCAGCAGAAGTTTAAAGCAGATTCCTGGTACTCACATGAACGTTTGAACAAAAGAAGTTGATTCTCGTGCTACGATGATACTTCTGATGACATATATCACCCCCCTGATAGCGTAACGTGACGTCATTTATTGACGAAACGATGGGACGACTTTGCACCAAGCCCATGCTGTGAGAATGCTCGTGATTTCTATCCACTTGACACCCCCCTATCCCCGCTGAACCCTTGCACTTGGGATTCACACCCTCCGGGTAGTATCCACTGCAAACATTAATGTAATAGTCCAGGTGTGAGCGAGTGTCTTCTGCCATCCAATTGCCTAAAGACAGGAGACAACAATTAGCTACTTTTGCAGTCAGTGGGTAACTGGATAGTTTCCCAACCTCTGCTGTATTATTGATCCTGACCAGTGTTACTACACGAGGATACCTGAACTAAACTAACTTTATTTAGACTGGATAACTCTATCAGTTCTAAACTGTTCTTCCTAGAGGTCCAGTAAGGATCATCTCTTATTGATCCAGTGTTATTACAGGAGGAAACCTAAACTAAACTAACTTTATTTATACTGGATAGCTCTATCAGTTCTAAACTATTCTTCCTAGAGGTCCAGTAAAGACCATCGCTTATTGACTTACCATCCCTCAGAGTAAGTGGACTCAAGTTATAGCGCTGTTTCTTATCGTAAGCATCGCATTGAACATCCTTCGGCTCACAGACCAGCGACGTCCGAAACTCGATGACATATACATTTTCCTCTTGTTTGATAAACACTGGTTTGCCATCCACGATCTCTTCCGTGCAGACAAAGTTGATTTTCGTCGTATAGTAGCCTCCCCATGTTTTTGTACTTTTCCATTGCCCACCTCTATGAAAAAATAACAGGGGAAAAAAAGGAGTCTCGATTTGCTGAGGCATTTTGATTGGCTTAGCATGAAAAAAGTAAAAAATTCTCATACCACTACAACCCTCTCGTGCACCCTCACACTCCCCCGTGAACCCATCCTTGGACTAACCCTGTCCATCTATCCCGTACTAATTCCCCCATATTCCCTGTCATACACCGTTACACTCCCCCAGTCCACCCTTTCTTGTACTTACCCTAACTGTACCATTCCCCGCCTGCCCATTTCCCCCCACAATCATCCCCCTCATACACCGCCACACTCCCCAGTCAACCCATCCTTGTACTTACCCCAACTGTACCATTCCCCGCCTGCCCATTTCTCCCCCACAATCATCCCCCTCATACACCGCCACACTCCCCAGCCAACCCATCCTTGTACTTACCCTAACTGTACCATTCCCCGCCTGCCCATTTCTCCCCCACAATCATCCCCTCATACACCGCCACACTCCCCAGCCAACCCATCCTTGTACTTACCCTAACTGTACCATTCCCCGCCTGCCCATTTCTCCCCCACAATCATCCCCCTCATACACCGTCACACTCCCCAGTCAACCCATCCTTGCTTCTCTTCATTCCAGGCCCAACCAGGACCTGATCAAATGCCCTAAAATACGGGATGAAATCGACCAACAGACACGATAACAAACTTACGGATATATAAGGGTGATCACACCATCGCTATGCTCAACTTTGCTTCCAAAACGCCGGCCGATCGAGAACTCTTTTTCACCATCAATAAAACATGCAGTCGAGTCCTTCTTCTTGTTGCAAGTTATATTTTGGCAGATATCCAAACTTATCTTTCCTTTTAAAAGTGGTATTTCATACCCCTAGTAAACAAAATGATTTAGCAAGGAGTCATATAAAGCACACTACCAAAGATTGCATGTCTATTGAAATACATAGTCAATAGGCTAAACTAACTTTATTTATACTGGATAGCTCTATCAGTTCTAAACTGTTCTTCCTAGAGGTCCAGTAGGAGTCATCTCTTATTGATCCAGTGTTACTACAGGAGGAAACCTAAACTAAACTAACTTTATTTATACTGGATAGCTCTATCAGTTCTAAACTGTTCTTCCTAGAGGTCCAGTAGGAGTCATCTCTTATTGATCCAGTGTTACTACAGGAGGAAACCTAAACTAAACTAACTTTATTTATACTGGATAGCTCTATCAGTTCTAAACTGTTCTTCCTAGAGGTCCAGTAAGGATCATCTTTTATTGATCCAGTGTTACTACAGAAGGAAACCTAAACTAAACTAACTTTATTTATACTGGATAGCTCTATCAGTTCTAAACTGTTCTTCCTAGAGGTCCAGTAAGGATCGTCTCTTATTGATCCAGTGTTACTACAGAAGGAAACCTAAAAACTCATTTCTCTAAGTCATATTATGAGCCTGAAAAAAATCATTGTTTGAGTTAACGAAACCTTTCCATCTCCCTTGCTCAACACAGATAAACCAGTGTCCTTATCATTACAACCATATTCCACTTTTGGTTTGATTTTGCAAGCCTCCTTAGTTTTCCACGTGAATGAATAGATGTTGTTCTTCTCGTCACTATTCGACCACTCCGGTGATCCCGTCTGTAACGTTTAAATGTCAATGTTACTACAGGGGGAAACCTAAACTAAACTAACTTTATTTATACTGGATAACTCAATCAGTTCTAAACTGTTCTTTCTATAGAGGCCCAGTAAGGATCATCTCTTATTGGTCCAGTGTTACTACAGGAGCAAAACTAAACTAAACTAACTTTATTTGTACTGGATAGCTCTATCAGTTCTAAACTGTTCTTCCTAGAGGTCTAGTAAGGATCATCTCTTATTGATCCAGTGTTACTACAGGAGGAAACCTAAACTAAACTAATTTTATTTATACTGGATATCTCTATCAGTTCTAAACTGTTCTTCCTAGAGATCCAGTAAGGATCATCTCTTATTGATCCAGTGTTACCACCAGTGAGCTAATCGCACGTCTTTCTCACCTTTCCTTCTGGGTCACATATGAAGGTAATTATAGTTCTGTTTTTGTTATTCTGATACTGCAAAACCGGATTTCCTAAATTATCCAGAGTGAATGGACCAACGATCTCACCTGTAATTCATATTAAATCAATTACAGGATCTTCCAGTAACACGTCAAAATCAAATTATGCCACGAAAATGCAGGATGGTTCTTCATCTGGTGCTGTTATAACGCTAAGTTACTTAACTTGGGATTTTATGTGCGATTTTCTTCTTTTGATTGATGTGAACGAGTGAATAATTTACTGATGTTCAAATACGAGTTCTTATACACAGAGCACAGAATACCTATCAGAAGAATAACTCTATACTATTTTTTCGTAAGTGTGATTCGTCATGATTCGTCACTTAGCAAGTGCATTTTTTTGAGGCAGTCACCCCCCTGCCAAAATTTAGCAATATGGCGCGCGCGATATTGCTAAATTTTGGCAGGGGGGTGACCACCTTAATTTAATGCACTTGCTAAGTGACGAATCATGACGAATCACACTTTCGAAAAAAGTACAGGAGTTCTACTTCTGATAGGTATTCCGTGCACAGAGCATTCGTAACTTATTATTAAAATATTTCTCGCCCACTCACGACACACATAAATATACTAAAAATAGTACTTACGAGTGAACTCTAATAAATAACTGGAACGATACCTCCTTATTGTTTTCGTGAAGCCAAAATTCGCGGGACTTTACCTCCACACATGCGTGTCTGGACATAAAGTCCCCTAAATTTTTGGCTTGATAAAAATAATAAGAACGTATCGTTCCAGTTATTTATTAGATTTCACCGGTACTTACCCATATCAACACCAGGTTTATTTGGGGATACCATACAGGCAGAGCTTCTGACAGGGCAGCTCTTTGTGTCATTATTTCGATGTAAAACGCGACAAATGTTGATGAAATATGTTTTTCCATTTTTTTTCACTTTCCAGTTATCTTTTGTTCTGACCAGGGGGGAGAGATCGTATTCATTGCCATGCTTGTCTTTCAAAGCACATTCCATCGTCTGGTGGGAGAAAAATAGATTTCAAATACATGGAAAACTCCTGGTATTCCATGTCTACGTTAAACAGTAAAGGTAACTGATAAATTTATTTATACTGGATAGCTCTATCAGTTCTAAACTGTTCTTCCTAGGGGTCCAGTAAGGATCATCTCTTATTGATCCAGTGTTACTACAGGAGAAAACATAAACTAAACTAACTTTACTTATACTGGATAGCTCTATCAGTTCTGAACTGTTTTTTCTAGAGGTCCAGTAAGAATCATCTCTTATTGATCCAGTGTTACTACAGGAGGAAACCTAAACTAAACTAACTTTAGTTACACTGGATAGCTCTATCAGTTCTAAACTATTCTTCTCACCTTCAACGGACATGCGTGTTTCGTGTACCATACAAAATAATACACACAACTTTTTTCCTCAACGAACACAGGGGATCCAGTACCAGCGGATTCATCGCAGAAAAACGTGATGTAAGATTTACATTTATCCCCATTTTTGAAAACCATTTTCAAGACTCCGTCATAATAGAACAGATTATCCTGCCCACTTCCAATGGCGTGGACGTCACCCTTGCTCTTCTGACAGATTCCAGTAGTAGCTCTGTTACCGCAAAATTTATCAGCCAAAGTTTTACCACAAATCTGGATGAATAAATCAGATTCAACAGAGAAATATTACAGAGAAGGAGAAAACTGCGATTTTTGCCGCCATTTTATGTACGATTTTCTTCTTTTGAAAGATGCGAACGAGTGCATTAGTTCAAATAAGAGTTCTTGTACATCAGAGCATTCGTAACTAAGCACTCGTTCACATCTATCAAAAGAGGAAAATTGCACCAAAAATATCACCGAAATCGCTGGTATTTGCTCACGCCATCTGACGTGTTTACCTGTATATTATATGACGTATCACCGAGTGTTGCAGTGAAATAAGTCGTGTCAGAGCTTGGTCCTTTTCCCAAGGGAGAAAGATCGTAGACGTTGCCGGTGACAGAATCCTCCAGGAAACAGCCAACGCCATTGACCACTTGCAAACTACACGCTGCGGCTGTGTGTGAAGAAAGACACTCTCTTAAGGTCTGTTCACACGATCCAATTTTGTTGGATTCAATTCACTTCTGACGTATGGAATATAGTCGGTTATTGATGAAGCAGTAGTGCATTGGCTTTAGTGGATTAGCTGCCCATATACATTATAAGACAACAGACTATAAAACATCTATCAGAAGTGAATTGGATTGGATCATGTGAACAGACCTTTAGTCTTGAATTTGGATGCAAATATTAATGCGTAAAAAACAGTTACTTTTTACTGCGAAATACAAAACAAAAATATACACAGTTAGACCTTTCTCATAATGATTTCAAACGCAAAAAGTCAGATGTTACACAGGGTTTGATTGGCTCAGCGAAACCAACGAACCAATCAAAAGTTCGTGTAACATCAGAATTTTCGCGCTTGACGTCACTTGACAACTGTATAATTGTTGAAGCTGTTTCACAGCATTTGTAGCTTCAAATTGGCTTCAAATATGGCAACCAAGTTTATTAACATAGAGTTCACCGCAAGGACATGAAAGAGGGAATTTCGCTTTAGACCAATCAGCAAGTTTGTTTACATTTTTAGTAACCAATCAGAATGCATAAATTTTAACTACTTGCGATAAAAAGGTACATTATTTACCATGTTACATGAAGTATTAAAAATTTAGGCATTCTGATTGGCTTTGCCGAATAGTTTAAAACGAAATTCCACCTTGCTCATTCTTACCTGTATCCCAAGTGAAAATATAATCACATCCGTCCCATGACCTGGACTCTAACTCCGGTGGACTTTCCAAATCTTTGGTCTTACATCGGAACTTTATTTTCGTCGTAACAATTCTGTTGAAGCCCTCACAACTGGGACCAGTGTAGACCAAGGTCAAGCCCTCAGACTTCGATATGGTTGGGACAATCGAGCTGTTGTACATGCCAATTGCGCGTACCTTGCCGTCGTCCTTCACTTCACACGCCCCCGATTTCTGACATTCCGGGTGCCCCCCAACTGATCCGCAAACGTTGATATAATAGGTGTAGCCTTTGGCATTAGAGCGACTGTTTACGGCCAACCACGGCTTGGCTTTGTCCGTTTTTGTTAGAATTGATAAATCGTAAGTATTTCCGGAGATGACTGAACAGGCCCCGGGGTTTCGAGACGGGCACACGTGTCTTGTTCTCCACTGGAAAAAATAGTAACAGTGCTCTTCTCCGACAAACGTCGGTTCGCCCACGTCAACGGTCGGATCACATCGGAAAGTTATGATGGTCCTTCGGGGTAACTTCGTACTACAAACTTCGCCATCCTTGTACACCATGGTCAGATCGCCATCAGCATAACGAATGCTTGGATTTTTGGCGTTACCACAGCGATGGGATTTGGAGCCATCTAGTATTTGACAAACTGCTGTTCGATCGCCGTACGTGTCACTTCCTAAAAATAATTGATAGAGGAATACAAACTCTGTTCTAGTGCGCTTAAGCACCGCTTAACAACCCCCTTTCTCTTGAAGGTAAACACGTACTGGACACCTCGGGCGGGGGTTAATGGGCCGAAAGCTCTGAATATAACAAATACAGCTACGTGGTGTTTCTACAGATTGATGGGTCAACTTATTTATTCACAATGCAAAATTTTAGGACTATCGTTTCATTAACTGGATTACAATGGATCCAGTTTAAGGATATACCCTATATAGTTTTTTAGCTGCAGTCACATAGATCTGCCAGAATATATAATATAGCTACGTGGTGTTTCTACAGATTGATAGGTTATTGCAATGCAAAATTTTAGGACTATCATTTCTTTGAATGTCAGTTCATTTACTGGATTACAATATACCCAGTATATACCTATAGTATTTTAGCTGCAGTCACATTTGTCAGAAATCATCAAGGAAAAACTTACCACAGGGCTGACCATTGCTGCATACTTTAATCCTGAATTCTTCGTTATTATTACGACCTATGACTTTGTAGCTCAGTTGCTTCGTAGGTTTTTCCAACTTGGTAAGATCAAAGGTGACTTCATTGTTACTGAATTTGCAATTACTAGTGATAACGTCATTGTTTGGACAAGCGTGACCGGTTCTCCACAGTATGTCGTATTTGCATACAATTTTACCCGGACCTACATCGGTGATAAGAACTGGACCTGTTCCTCCCTGTATCAAGAAAGAAATAAATATCACACAAAACGAACTGTGGGGTCTAAGATTCACTATCTCATAAGCATTCATTGTGGACTACTCGGTTGTTACCTCGTCCTAGGCTCCTAGTGCATGAATCTTGCATGAATCCTTATCCAGTATCTACATATCTCTACCCTTGCTTTAATCCCTATCCAGTATCTCTATCCCTGCCTTAATCCTTATTTAATATCTACCTATTTCTGTCCCTGCTTTAATCTTCATTCAGTACCTCTATCCATACCTTAATCCTTATCCAGTATCTCTATCCATACCTTAATCCTTATCCAGTATCTCTATCCATACCTTAATCCTTATCCAGTATCTCTATATCCCTGCCTTAATCCTAACCCAATATCTACATATCTTTATTGCTGCTTTAATCTTCATCCAGTATCTCTATCCATACCTTAATCCTTATCCAGTATCTCTATTCCTTCCTTAATCCTTATCCAATATCTACATATCTCTATTGCTGCTTTAATCTTCATCCAGTATCTCTATCACTGCCTTAATCCTTATATACAGTGTCTCCCGGTCTATTGATACCTTAATCCTTATGAAAGCCACTGGGAGACCAAAGAAAGACCTGGGTGGGCTCCCCCCCCCCTGTTAGTTATAAAGTTAAAAAAGCCCTGGGTTATTCAAACACAAACCAGCAAAATTAGACTCTAACCAACACCTCATGGACTATAATTTTCTGCCTCTATAAAATGCTCACATCAGAAAACTTCCTTTGACACATGAAGGTAATCTCAGTTGAAACGCCGTTGGGACATTCTTTGGACTTTGGGTTGTATTTATAAACCAGATTGATTTTACCACCGACATCATAAATCAACTTTGATTTGTTTGTGATTTTTCCAATTGGTTTTTTGATATCAAGACGACAGGCTGGAAAAGATTTTCCAACGCCATCAGCACACCATTTCGCTTGAATTTTTGGATCATTTTTTATGTCTCGACAGACATTGATGAACATTGTGACGCCGTGTGTTTGATTCGAAACCTGATGTCCTCCTATGGAACAAAACAGACGACAAACTATGGAATGCGGCTTTATATGCACTACAAGATAACCTGCAGGGGTGTAGTGAAAGGGTGCAGGGGGAGGAACTTAATTATTAACTTACAAAGTAAACCAGGCAGAATTGTTATTCAATTTGCACCCCCCTCCCTCCCTCCTCACTCCCCTGTGCATCCATCCTGGAAATCAGGTTTTATCACAAATGATGTTACTATGTCTGACAAACCTTTCAATTTTATCAGCGGGGACAAATCTATCTTCTGTTTATTGTCATCAAAAACAACGCAGGGTATCTCTGGTATCGTGTCTATTTTTGAACACGCTTCCTTGGTGAAGAACTGGATGATGATAATACAGCTACTGTCATCAACAAGTTCTGGTGAACCCTGTTCAAACACACAGTAAAAAACTCTTCTAAAGCTCTTCTAATAAATGTGGCATAACAACTGCCTAAAAATGCTCCCCTAAAGGAGAGGCAGCACATTTGACACAACTGATTAGGTGATTTAGGTCTCTCCGTCGAAACATCAAGAAGTATTTCTTATACCACACTTCTAAGACATTGTTTCTGACATTAACTACTGCAGAAAACATTGTTGAAAGAGGAAAGTATTTTACAGTTGTTCCTATGGTAATATTGGATGCAAATTAGACTAATTTATTCACCAACAAATTGTAAAATAGGCATTTGATAGAGTAAAATACATGACAAAAAACCAAATGCACAAAACTGGTTCATACAAATGATTCACTCTAATGTCGAAAAACAAAACTTACCAATGTGTAGATACATTGGAAATTAATCTGGGTTTGGAGTGTGGTACATTTATCTGTCTTTTCACCCTTTTGACCAGTAAAAGTAATTGAGAAACCAGCAGCATATTGTGATGTCTTTATCTTATCTTTGGTTAAACTTGTACCATAGTTTATTGTTACAGACTCGGATTTTTTTTTGCAAACAGAAACATCTTTGCCACAGTTTTTGGCTGTTCCACAAATGTTAATGAAATAAGTTTCGTTCTTTCTGTTCCTTACCTCCCAGTCCCTGCAAGAAAGTTGCCATCAACCACAATGCAATCTATCTGGCCAGGTAATTATCATTTCATCATGGGCAAGGGTTATTGTAAGGGACACATACATTATATATGTGTGTATTTTAACAAAGTGTAAAACTGTGGGTTTATTACTGATATGTGCTGCTCTCAAATTATGCATTGCAGGGTATTCTATAGCTGTTCCTCATCTTTGTTCAAAACATTGTGTTTTACTAAATTTCATTCTCAATTTCCTTTTCCATCTCTCCAGGATATCACAGGCCTATTTTCACAATACAATAGTTGTATATGATTCTCTCCCTGGCATATGTGATCAATGTTGATTTTCAAATTTCAACTTTGCCACAATAGTGGATAACATTTTAAACAATTAGGCATCAGCACTCGTTTTCATCTGTTCAAATGACAATTATATACAACTAATCGTCCCGTGGTATAACCTATTAATGGGCCCTCTTTCGTAATTCGTTTATGTCACTATGAAAACTCTGATAAAAGGGTATTTTATTAATTCTCAAGTATGAATGATGTTTAAACGGAGTCCATATTAAGTATAACTAATCATCTTGTTTTACTTTAGCAATAAGCAACAACGCCATTGTATAATTATCATGTGACATTGTTGGAATTGTCATCGGACTCATTGATTCAAAAAGTTATTACTTACCACCCCGAAATTGTTACATTGAAGCTTGGCTTTGTTTTGCTGTTGTCCATGATAGGTATCTTGCATGTCGTTACCAATTCATTAGCCGTCTCAGCTTTATTTCGGCTGGAAATGAACAAAATTAAGAGGGAAATGTGCAGAAAAAAAGGCAATATGCCCACCATGTTTGTTTTGATAAATTACCTAAGATACCAGTTTACATATGATGCATGAAGTACTCCCATGGTTTCTTTTTGCTGACCTGTACACAGCGCTGGCGGCAAGATGGTGGACTTCGATGAAAAAAGTGGAGTCATCTGGAGTTCAACTGAATGGGGATGCTGGGGTCAAACTATCGAGGAAGTTTTTATAAAAGTTAACCTACCTGAAAATACCACGTCTAAACAAGTCGTGTGCAAAACTACAGCGCGATCGATCAAATGTGCAGTGGGAGGCCAAGTGGTTTTTGAGGTCCATACTTTCAATATGTGCGTTCAACCATGGTCCACTATAGAGCACATGACCCCAGTTTAAAAGTACACGTTGTTGTACTTTGCACATTTTATGATGTGTCTGAAATGTTGGGTCATCTGAAGGCAGTATATTTGATGTATTTTATAGGGACAAACCTTTGCCGCTGTACTTTGTGACGAAACTATATGGACGATAGGTGAGTGTTTTAGTTTCATAATTGAACACACGAAAAAGAAATACTTCAAGTTCTTGTTGAGTTCTACCGAAGTTCTGTACTCTGTTTTTAGAGGATAAGAAACTGCTCAACATTGTTTTGATAAAATCGCAACGAAAGGCGAGCGAGTGTTGGAAATCTCTGCTGGTCGACCAATATACAGTTGACCCTTTCACTTTCTCGGAAATGGAAAAGAAATTGACTCTAGAAAGGTTCCACAGCGAGGTTGGTAGCTTATACTAGCACTAGTTCACGGTTGCTCCTCCAACAAGGAAGATCTTAGCGAGGTAAACGTGTTCACGAATACTTTCGCTTCTTCTTTAGAACCCAGGATTTGATTTCAGTGGAGCAGAGATCAGCGGGAATTATCAGCAAGGTGGACCGAAGTTACCAAATCGCGACTAAAGCCATAAACGGAAGTCGTAAAGCCGTACGAACCACAGACGGAATTCATCAGGGTTAAGGGGAGAATTGGGGTTATAAACACGGTCAGGGGCGGACTTGCATTGCACAAGCTAAGGACCCAGCAAATATACAAGTGTCTTCATAATAGCTGTCAGCAATAACAATCGCTATATTGTAGAATGTATATTTTCATTATTAAAATATTTGCCAACCAAAAGCGTGTTCTATAATCTATCTTACATGCATGAAACTTTCTGTATCCCAAATACATGGGTATTTGCATTGTGAAGGGACGTTTTAGGTCCCCTTTCTACTTTCTACGTAGTGATACAAGTGTAAACGGCAATTTTTTAGTAATATTCTTTCCAACATATCTGGCTGTTACCAAGCATCTAAGAGCGCTAACTGGATACGTTGAAAGCAAATGCACTAATTTGGTTGGATACACTTGTATCTGGCAACAAGAAAACGAGGCCTTAGTAAGTGGATACCGCAAAGTATTTAACCTTTTTTCATATGCAAAGTTGCAGACAACACAAGTTTTTTAAGTATTCAAAATCAATTTTGTATGAAAGAGCATGAGATGATGTTATGTCGCTGGAAGTTTGATGACATTAGCACATGAAACAAAGTTCAAAATCACAAGTTATTTTAAGTATTCAAAACCAATTTTGTATGAAAAAGCATGGGATGTTATGTCCCAGAAAGTTTGATGATATTAGCACATGAAACAAAGTTCAAAATCACAAGTTATTTTAAATTATCTTTGCTTTTGGATAAAGTTTATTATTATCAAACCATGCACATTCTGCTAGGACGGACTTCACTGTCCCCATATTGTCGACCACCGTTGTGTTGATCAACTAACGCGCTAAAGACCACAGCAAGAAGGTGAGAATATCAAATGCATGCTGTGAAAACACTTTAAGTATCGAAAATGATTGATGGGATTGCTTAGAATTTCTCAGGCATATTAAAATGTTCAAAATAGCGCCAATTTTCACGATGAAAAAGGCTCAAGATGATTATCCACTTCGTTGAAAGACTGTCTTTGATCGGTGAAAAGCTCTTTCTTTTCAGAAGCAATGATTAGCCATTAGACGCTATTAATGTTAGTGATTTTTTGTCAGGTTTCTGGTTCGTCTCATAGCAACAGTTCTGCATTAGTGATCTGGTGCCAGTTGTTCAAAGCTAGGTAGCGTTTTAGTTTATTTGCCTCTGACCACTGTTCTTTTTAAAACTTTAGAAAATAAGACTTCTTTCGGTACAGAAAATGTTTATGAAAAAAGACATTCAACTTTGTAAACAAGCGATTAAAAAAATTTACGTAAATAATTGCTTTAACCCAGGGTTAAGCCAACCGGCCCTGGCTTTACCATAAACCAACGGTAATATGTTGGGAAAAACAGCGAAGTGTCGAGCATTTTCCAACGACTCGGTGGGATATGATTGTGTGAAAAGTGGGATATGATGTGGGATGAGTTCCAGTTGTTTTGATTCATCAATTGTATTGCTTCGTGCACGGGAAGAGTTTGCCAAATTATGATGCATGTGATGAGGCGATTATTTTGTTCATTAGGATTTCAGGCGCCCGTTTAAAAGGCCAAGAGTTTCTTTTTGAAAAGTACCGGGTAAAGATAGCACTTTTTAAAAACAAAGTCAAAGTAAGATCTTTTCCTGTTGTGACAACATCAACATGGAGAGATCAGTTAAAACAGGTTAAAAGTAATCCACTTAAGTTATCTTCAACCATAATAACCCTGCATTATCCACCAGCATTAACACTTTAAGTGGCCGTTTGAAGAAAGATGGCTTCTCCTTCTCGTACAAAGTCGCGTGAAAAATTCTTCCAAGTCAAACATGTGTTCCTCCTCGCTCACAGTCAGTTCAAAACTCTCGTTAGCGGCCGGTTCGTGATCGACCTGTTCGTTTACCACCTCCCTGAGCAACTCCACTAAAGCAGGCTTCCACTGACTGGCCTCCCCATCATCGCTGTTTAAAATATCCTTTGAATACTCTATGGAACTCTTCAAAGACTCCACGTACAAACTCAGTTTGTTCTTTTGAGAACCGAGAGCTTTCTGCTTGGCCTTCATAGAAGATTTAACCTGGGCTCCCATCTCGCATTTTCGTTGCTGAATCGTTTCAATCATGCTCTCAGCCGTCCGTGTTATTTCGCTTTGAACTTCAAAACCTTTCTCGTTAACACGATTTTCCATTTCTGAAATATTAACCAGGCTCGTTTCGGCTTCGTCCAGTCTTTCGATGCAACGTTCCAGAAGGTGTTTGAGATCTTCTGTTCGCGCGTCGCTTTTACCCGACGTTAAGTCGTCTTTTGTTGTATTTTTGATTTCGTCCGTGGGCATTTCTCTAAGCGCGTCCATTGCCAAAGGACAGGTTGTGTTGTGCTACAAATAAATGCTGATCGCGGGAATTTAAGGCCTTTGTTTTCATGGGGGTTGTTGAGGCGTGTAATTTCAAATGGCGAGCGACAGCGCGTCACGGTTGGACGTCCGTTGAACGTCATAAATCAGCTCACCAACAATGTTCCATAATAATAGTAATAATAATAACAATTTCTAGCCAACAGGAGTATTCACAGAGCTCTGCATGTGTGAAATTTATCCTCCTCGAGAGCTTATAACTTCTACAAATTTCTGTTGTTTTTTTAGGTGTCTTTGAAAGAAAACGCGAGTTTTGCCATTTAAAACACCACAGCTTAATCTTATAAAACACGCTTATAGTAAATATTCAGCGTTTTTTGTTAGATCGGCATCTCGCACACGTAAGATTTTTTTATTCACATAACAATCTAGAAAAGAAATGCTGAACCTTGTAGCAAAGCTGAGCTTCACCGTGGCATTACTATGCATTGAATAATTTTTGAACTATGGTCAATCTGCATTTATCATTTGGCTTTTGGTTTGCAAGTTGCTGACTTGGAAGTTGGAAAAAACAGAATTCACTCTCGAATGCTCTTTTGTCTATTTTGATACATGCGGTTTCCATGGACAATATTCAAGCAAAACATTTTATTTGTTTTTTAGAAGGTGAAACAGAAGTTACTAGTAAAAAGTCAAAAATTCCTTCACTTTATCATAGAAGATCACACACATAGCTCACATATTTGTATATACAACCATCTGTTCATCTTCATAATAGTTTTATCAAAACAGCACTTTGCACTGTTCTCCTCAAAGTCACGTTGATGAATTCTCGGCCAAATGTTCCTGTGGTGTTTTTCCACTTAAGAAGTGTTTTTGTTTCTGAAAGTCAAGAATAACTCATCAGCATATGAACACTTAGGGGAGGGAGGTTAGGGTCAGCTGTTGGATTGGAATAACTAGTTAGCAAATGAATACTCAGGTTAGGTAGAGGGGGGTGAAGGTCAATCTGTTAGGGTGGATTCTTCAGGAATAATTAGTTAGCAAATGAATTTAGAGAGGTGCTGATAAGGTTTAACGTTTTCCAAAAGATGAACTGGTTTGATCACTTACACTCTCCCATTTTAGGAAGAAAAAATAAGCGGCTGGAACAACAGCACACCACATGAGACCAAGGAAGACAGTTCTCGGACGAAACTTGAAGTGATCCTGAGTGGTTTCCCTCATTGACCCCCAACGCTCAATAGCGGAATCCCTCTATATTTAGAAGCAAACCTATTTAGAAGGTCAGGCTAAAGCTGTGATACAGTCCTAATTAACTGCTAGAGATAAGTTAGTCTGGTGTCCTTCAGTAATAAAAACTCAGCTTACCAACAATGTTCCATATTGCTCAGGTGGTATAAACTTTCCTTTGGCTTTTAACTCAGCTTTCTGCAATGCAACACATGAGACAATATATTGAAGACATATGTATTGTAATTTTGTACAAATTTACTGGGATTTCAATTTACCAATTTCAGTATTGTTCAAAAATGAAGATTTTAGGTCTTATTTTATAATTTACTTTTGACAACAGAGGGTACTGCCTCATTGGTGCAAATAAAAAGGAACAGTTGTTAATAATACTACCGTGCAAATTATACCAATATGGCAATATGAAGAAGTCCAAATATAGCTATTTTTAGACACGATTTTGAGGCTAACATAACTAAATATACGGCCAATTCTGGGTGTACAAGTACATTAAACATACATCAAACAAATAAACTACGTGATATAGCTAAAAACTTACTCGTTGCAATGTAATTTGCACAGGATCTGGTCCTTTCCCATTTTGCGGACCAGAAAATTCAGCCATTTTGTTTTGCCGCTGATCTCAAAAAATAGTCTGGATTTCTTAAAGCTACGCTCGCAATGCATTATGGAAGAGTGACCGCTGCCATAGTTGTATTGCCGGCGCAAAAACAACATGGCCGCCCAAGCAGCGTGAATTAAATATATAGAATATTTGGAGGGAAAAATGGCTTTCGATGGGAATAAAGCTGATGTATCCAGTGTCGATGGCAAGAGTTCGTCAGAAAGGCAAAGCAAAGACGCTGTAGTGTGTTATTGTGCGAAAAATATAACTCCAAGCATGTTAACTTGTTTAAAATGTCAAAAACTATTTCATTCAACATGTCTGAAAAATGGTAGGCCAAGTAACTTCAAAGGCGACGTATTCTTTGAGTTTACTTGTGCGAACTGCTCCAATGTGGGTAAGGAAGAATGCAAACGGAAGGCGATGAACTGGCTTCAGGTCGTTTACTTGTCGTTATACAATTTGATATGCCGTGGAAGCGGAAGAAAAGGGTATTTTCGATGGAGGGACGATTTGTGTCAATTTATCGAACAAAATTGGAATATTTTTCACGTGGACAAGAAGAAGACATCTTCATGGTGTAGTACGGTTGCAGGAACGCTCTCCACAAATTGTCCGAAGATTTTCAAAAGCGGGCAAAAGGAGTTCAAGGAGGGTGGATGGTGGACATTGCAGGAGGTGCTCCCCCCGTCTGAGAAACCGGAGGTCATGACGCCTGGTTTGAATCCGAGGCGGAGAAAGAAAGGTGGGAATACGCGGACGGGGGAGGTGAAGGCGAACATAAAAAAGCGGAGAGTGGAGAAGGCAAATGATGAAATTTTGGAGAATGGAATGTTGGAGAAAAATCACAAAGCGGGTAAACTTTCTGAAAATGTTAAAATTTCAGAGTCCGAGAAAGAGCGTGGGACACAAGGGAATCGAGTTAACAGTGTTTCCGAAAGTTCTGACATTACCGAGCAGATCAACACATTCTTGGAAAGTAATGGCGATATCTCGGAATTGGACATTGGCGATATTGGAGCGATGGACGAGATCTTGGATAGTTTTGAGAACACGAGCGATGAATCGTTGCTTTCCAGTTTTACTCAAGCGAATGAAAACGCCGAGGCAAAGTTTGCAGATGTAGAGAAAACGACAAATGGCGAGGAGGAAGAAGAGAGTGTGATAGTTCTTGATCCGAAAGAGTTGAACACCAACCAACCATCGACCTCTAAGATGGAGATAAACAGTGATAGTGAAGGTGATGACAGCGATGAGGAGGTTGCTAGTCAGGCGAAGAATCTTCGGACTATGGAACCACAGGAAGAAAGATTACTACTGGAGAAATTAAACAAGATTGACTCCTCGAATCCAACAGCTAGGCGTTTGCGGCGGAAACTTATCATTAACCATCGAAAACGGCAATGTGGGTTACCTGTGTTCGATCTGGATAAAGTGATGCGAACTTCCATAGAGAGTGTTTCACATTACGTTCTACGAGAAGGTAAATGCACTCCTGTATTAAAACCATCTTTCCAGAACCAAGAACAGGAGCTGGTTGTTACCAAACCTCGGAAGACATCGCCTGTCAAACATGAGAGGGTATTAGATCGTTTCATGATGCAACCAGTTTCGCAAAAACCTGTCAAACAGGTTAGCTTCTTGGGTCGTCTGATTGGCTGCAATCCCCGGTCGGTGAACCGGGCCATAACGAGCCCGTACACCTCGCGGATTTTGAAACCTTTCATCCGGCGCGATTTCGAAGCGACGCCGTTGAAACTGAAACTATTGCGGGAAATCTGCACGTGGTTTCGGAAACGGTTTCCGGACCACGAGCTCCCCCCGGTCGAATTTGGTTCCATAGACTATTGCTACGTACAGCCGCATCACATTCCGGGGGTGAACGCGTTGTGCCGTGAATTTTTCTGGCCCGGCATCGATCTATCGGAGTGCCTTCAGTATCCCGACTTCACTTGCGTTGTTCTTTACAAGAAACTCATCATCGGCTGTGCTTTTATGGTGCCCGATGTGAAATACAACGAAGCTTACATTTCATTCGTTCTCGTTCATCCCGATTGGAGACGTGCAGGCATTGGTTCCTTCATGATCTACCATCTCATTCAAACGTGTTTGGGTAAAGATGTGACTCTTCACGTGTCTGCAAACAATCCCGCCATGTTGCTCTACCAGAAATTTGGTTTCAAACCGGAGAGATTCGTCGTTGGTTTCTACGACCGTTACTATCCTTCTGAAGGACTGGATTCCAAGCATGCGTTCTTTCTTCGTCTTCAGAGATGAGGGTGATGACGCCACCGCGTCGGAACTCTCGTGTTGCTCGCAATCAATTAATGTAAATCGTTGGGTTGAATTATCAACTGTAAAGAATGTTTCTAAACACTTGTTATTTATTTTATGAAATATTAAATACCATTTTCAATTAAACGTGTGTGTGATTCTCTTTGAGCTTTCACAATATATTATCGTGAAATATACATTGTCGACTTGAAGATCAAACATTTTCGAAATAAGGACTTGTTGGAAACTTGAAAGGCTTTTAAATTTTCGAATGGTCAACTATATTAGCTTGCAATACGCAGCAGTTAAAAAGTTGTATTCAAAAACCACCGATTCATTACGAAATAAGGGTCTTCGCGCGATGAGACACTTTTTAAACTTTACCTTGTATACTCCACGAGAAATATTTTCTAAGCTTATATCGCTATTCATGAGAGATTTGACGCTATTTAAAACACAAGTACCTGTAAATTTTACGAATGCGTTGGGTATAATGTTGGGTGAACTTTGACTGTGTCTACACGTATGGATGACAACCTTTCGATTCTATATTTCATTCAACTACTATCGTAAGACAATTGCTTTGCAATTTAGAGTTCATATTTGCATTCTTATTTACAGTACTATACATTACAGGTATTGGGAATGGCTGATTTTGCTCCGGGGTATAACCACTCCTTGTTGTCTTAGTTCTTCTAAAACCGATAAAATAGCTTCGAGTTCAACTCGGAAGCGCTCGGTCTCTTCCGTTTTCTTCCGCAATAACTCCCGCCATTTCCTCAGCACTTCGTCTTTTTCTACGTCGGCAGAAAGTCGGAGGTTTTGAATGATCATTTGAAGTTCGTTTTCCCGTCGGGCGTACCGGGTTTCCATCGCTTTTATTTTGTCTTCCAGCTGAGAATAATGCTGCATCTCCGGAGTATGGAATTGTTTGGCTTTCTTGAGATCTATCTTGAGCTGTCTAATTTCTTGATTGAGCACTTCTTCGTGAACCTAACAAATGAGATCGATAAGACTAACGAAACCTTGAATTTGCATAGACTTCAGGGTAAAAGTATAATACTATGTGTGTCTCAACATAATACTAATGTTGACAAAGACTAGCATTACTGCTAATATGTATTTGATGGCAATGCACCCACTTTATCATTTGAAGCAATCTATTCTGAAGGAACTGCCTCAAGGTTTTGGCATTTTTCCCCTTGTAATTAATCAGTACCTTCTTTGAAGCAAGTTCGGCTTCAGTTTCCGCGCTTTTTGCCAACTTGTCTTTTAGTCGTTCAATTACAATTTCCAAACTGGCAATTTTGTTTGTCATCTCGGAAAGCTTGGAGCGGGAATGTTGAGCAGCGTAATCTTGTTTTATATTCTCGATCTCTTGTCTGTGTTGTGCTTTTAGAGAGGACAGCTCGTCGTGTGAGGCCTCCCGCTCCTGCCTCGCTATACGTTCAACCTCAGCAAGTGATGCTTGGTAACTACACATCGAGAAATAGAGAACAGAAATGAGATGGTCAAGATGATGCTTACTGGACCTCTAGGAAGAACAGTTTAGAACTGATAGAGCTATCCAGTATAAATAAAGTTAGTTTAGTTTAGGTTTCCTCCTGTAGTAACACTGGATCAATAAGAGATGATGCTTACTGGACCTCTAGGAAGAACAGTTTAGAACTGATAAAGCTATCCAGTATAAATAAAGTTAGTTTAGTTTAGGTTTCCTCCTATAGTAACACTGGATCAATAAGAGACGATCCTTACTGGACCTCTAGGAAGATCAGTTTAGAACTGATAGGGCTATCTAGTATAAATAAAGTTAGTTTAGTTTAGGTTTCCTCCTGTAGTAACACTGGATCAATAAATTGTTTCATTATAAGTTAAATGACTATATACTCACCGGACTCGTTGTTGGTCCATCTCAACGGTCACCTGCGAAAGCTGTTCTCGTAACTGGCGGTTCTCTGAACCAAGAACATCCAATTTTTCGTGCGAGTTTTCTTGGATCACTCTCCTGGACTCGACTAGTTCTTTCTCAACGAGCATCTCTTGTCTTTGGTGTTGAAGCTGAGCACAGGTCGTCCGTAGCTCCTCAATCATACGATCCTTCTGATCACACACTTCATGTAAGCTCGTTAAACGGGCTTCGAAGTTCTTGTCAGTATCTCTCTGACTCTGATGTTCGGTAATTTGAGCTTGATTATCTGTGAGCGCACCTCGTTTGCTTTTTCTCTTTTTAGACGCATTTTTAACTTCAAGCTGCATGGCCACGTTCTTCCTCGCGTGCAGCGCGTCACGCAAACTTTTTATCTCCGCGTTGAGTTCCTGCGTTTTCCGTTCGTAAGCTTCGTGCGTGCTTTTCATTTCCGCGCTATGCTTTTGCGTTTTTCGTTCATGCTTATCACGTAAGTTCTCCAACTCTTTCTCAAGCGAGGAGGTCCTCGCGCGGGTTCGTGTATATGACGTCACTTTCTCGCGTTCGTCTTCCAACTCGCGTCGTAATTCCGTCACGTGATTGTCGTACTCCAATTGCATCGCGTTGTATTTCTGTTCCAAAACCCGAAAACTTCGCGCCCAGTCTTCTTCTCGTTCCTCTAACTCTTGGTTCAATTTCTTCACGTGGTTTTCCAGAAATGCATACGAAGGTCCTTGCTTTTTCGGAGTGTCTTCGGGTTTGAACGGCTTCCCGTCGCCAGGTGCCGACGAAGCGGCATAGATTAACGCGGGAATAGAGTTCGGATAACGGCGCTTGATTATTTGTTCCATCTCACGGATCTGAAAGAGATTTTTATTAATACGTTTTTTCAAAAGCAGAAAGGAATAGCTCGCTAGGGAAATGTTGGCATATGTCTTTCGAAAGCATGTTTCTTTCGCTAAAAAACATACGGGTATGTCGCATTAAGCAAACCATTTTTCTACAATTGAAAATCTGTCCTTGTGGCATGCAAACTGTTTCGCTACAACTGGAAATCTTCCCTTATTTAACAATACCTGACGCTCAAGATCTTGAATTCGTTTGGCGTCTCCAGCTCTTTCTTTGTCTTTCTTGTCTTTTTCCATGTTTATATTCCCTCGTTCTTTTTCCATTCTTTCCACCAAACCTCTCAATTCTTTGATCTCTTCATTCTTTTCCTTCAATATCGCCGCATCTTTATCCAACAGCTCCTGGTTTTCGACGTACCATGCGAGCTTTCTGTTCAACCTTTGGATTTCGCTCGCATGACCTGACTCCATGTCCTGTAGTGTTTGCGAGTTCGTGCCTGAGGAATGCCATCGACATTAATTGATAAGAGACAGGTCATAAAGTAAGGACGGGGGGAGGTGTGGCTGGAAAAAAAGGGGGTGGACCACCATTTTGAGCTTAGTTAAAGGGGTTGGTTATCCAAAGTTAAGAGCAATCGTATGGGTGGGCCATGTGAAGATAAGCAGAATTTTTTTTAAAGGAACATATTTGTGTTTTTATAATCTTGAATTCAATCTGAAGTACTCCAAGCTCCAGGCTTATAAATGATAAACAATGAATATTTACCAATGGCTTGATCGACTCGCTGAACAGCCTCATCTTTTTCTCTTTCCAACTTCTTGAGATCTTTTTCTAACCTTCTTTTATCACTCTCTAAAGTGTCCATCTCTTTTTTCATTTCTTGTTCATTTGTCCTGAGTATCTTCAGCTGTGAATGAAGCTGATGGATCCTCTCTGCCCCCATCGCGGCCGTACCACTGAGTTCAAATGTACCTTCTTTCCTCTCCAGCTTTTCCTTCAACACTGCCACTTCACTGGCTAAAAATAACAAACAAAATTTTATTTATACTGGATAGCTCTATCAGTTCTAAACTGTTCTTCCTAGAGGTCCAGTAAGGATCATCTCTTATTGATCCAGTGTTACTACAGGAGGAAACCTGAACTAAACTAACTTTATTTTTACTGGATAGTTCTATCACTTCTTATCTGTTCTTTCTAGAGGTCCAGTAAAGATCATCTCTTATTGATCCAGTGTTTCTACAGAAGAAAATCCGAGTTCTGTTACTTATTTTTCTTGTCTATTTACCTAGTTTTTGATTTTCTTTAAACATCTGTGCTTCAGCCGTCTTGGCTTTGACCTGTGCTTGTTTCAAATCTTCATACAAACGCTCATTCTCTTGTTGATAACCGGTGAGCAATTGATCCTGATCGCAAATTTCCTTCTCCAATTTTCGCAATTCTTCGTCTGACATTGACTGAAAAGAAGTGAATTTTTGGGTCTTTCGTTCTAAAAGTCTTCTAAAAGTCTAAAAAACATCTCAATATCTCACCTTCAAATTGGCAGTTTTTGATGCCCGTTTCTTGTCGTCAACATCTTTCAATCGGCTTTCTAAAACAAATACTTTCTGTTTCAAATCATTGATCTCTTTCTTGTACTGCAAACCAAGTGTCTGTTCTCGTCTGTTCCATTCCTTGTCCTTTCGGTTTAACTCGTCAATCAGTTTATCCTTTTCGTTACGTTCATCCTGAAATTAATAAAACTGAAGTTTTATTATCAACAGAACAGTTTAAAACTGATAGAGCTATCCAGGATAAATAGAGCTAGTTTACCTAGTTTAGGTTTCCTCCTGTAGTAAAACTGGATCAATAAGAGATGATCCTTACTGGACCTCTAGGAAGAACAGCTTAGAACTGATAGAGCTATCCAGTATATCAAAAAAGTTCGTTTCGTTTAGGTTTCCTCCAGTATTAACACTGGATCAATAAGAAATTATCCTTACTGGACCTCTAGGAAGAACAGCTTAGAACTGATAGAGCTATCCAGTATATCAAAAAAGTTCGTTTAGTTTAGGTTTCCTCCAGTAGTAACACTGGATCAATAAGAGAAGACCCTTACTGGACCTCTAGGAAGAACAGCTCAGAGCTATCCAACATAAAGTTTAAATATAAAATATTTCTTTCCACCTGCCACATTGCTTGCCAATGTTCAACCTCTTTCCGCAATGCTTGCTCTCGTGATATTCGGTTGGTCCTCGTGTCCTCTTCGGAGCCATCCTCGTACTCCACGAGTGACGTGTGTCCCTCGTGATCCTCGCGGTGTACAAAACTATTGAGATAGCTAGCAAACGATTCGACGGAGGCTATCAATTGAGTTGGCGATTGTTCTTGTATGTTTGCTTGAGGTTTATTCGGCACCCTCCTGGACTACAAGAAAAAATTCTCGAAATTACATTAGATCTAGTTTCTATTAGAATTGATAGCATGAAACTTGCATGAAACTCCCTGATTATGTCAACTTTTGGTCGCTATCTTAATTCTTACCCTCTCTTTCTGGCCCTTCAAACTTCCCGCTTTTCTCTCGCGTGAGGAACTCAATCCAGTTTTATCCTTCCATCCAAAGCGATCATCGACAGCCACGTTCCTACGGTCCCCAGAAATCCCCTGCTTTGCCCTAACTCCTCCTAATCTTCCCACCTTATCCTCCGTCTTCTTCCTACTTCCCCCTGGCGTAGCGCTTCTTGGTACGACTTTTGGCGAAGTCTTCTTCGTCGTCTCTCGTCGTCTTCCGCTCGGAGGTTTCGCGCCGTTTTGAGCCTCCCGTCGCTTCTTCACAATAGACTTAATACTCTTTAAACTCTCAGGAGGGGGAGTGTCCTCATCACTGGTGACCTCCCCCGGGAAAACATCTTCTTTCTTGGCTCCCCCCGTCTTAGGAGTACCTATACTAATATTCCTAGAAAAAATATCCTCGACGATCGCCTCCTCCAAGGTCTGCACGATATTTATCCCCCCCGACTGTGATACGGGTTGAAGACTAAAACCATGCATTTCATTAACATCATGGCCTTGCAAACCGGGGGGTTGACGATTTTCGGTATGGAACTCGAAGTTCTCTGACACCAAGCCGCCTGTGTATACGGGCGGGTCCCTTTCGTTTGGCAGCTCAAAACCTGTCGATCGACCGGACGGAAATCCGGTGTGACGGGTTTCGACGATGTCGTCACGGCCAAGAACAGGTTTGAAGGGATCTCTGATATCAGCGTTTCGTGAAAGAATAATTCCCCGTTGCTCTTGGGCGGAGCTATGAATGTCAGGGGGGAGATGCAGAGTTTGATTTAGCAGGGGGACGGAGGTAGAAGTATTAGAGCTGAGTCCTTTTGACTCGTTTGTTGCTATGGACGTGGCAACAGGATGAGAGACGGTGACTTCTTGATCTAATGGATCTGGATGTGAACCAACGGAGGTCACGTTTGGGGGAACACTCTGTGGAATGGGTGGTTTATTCGTCACTTTTTCTGGACTTTCTTTCAGATCAGGTTGGATTTTAGATGTATCATCTAAAAGTTAAAAAAGTCAAAATGGTTTACGTCTTGACTATGGTGGGTTTCAGTAATCACAGTCGCATCTCTAAATCTATACACTGCTCTATTAAACATTTCCTCTCACATAGATAACCATAGTGTCTTCAACAATCTAAGATTCACTCCGCCCTCTATACATTGTTCTCATATCACTTCTTCAGAAATAACTAAACACAGTGTCTTCAACACCCCCATTGCGGTCCCTTCTCTAACCCTGAAGCTTTTCTTAGGAATACCCCACATACCTAGAGGGCGAGCACTATCCCCAGTACTCTCCAAATCAGCGGCCTGCAGCGCTTGCTGTAGAGCGGCCAATTCACCCACACCAGAAGTATTTAGCAACTCGCTTCCAGTCTTCATGGCAACCTCGGCTCTCTCCTCTTCGACATCACTTTCGAAGCTTTCAGAATACTCGTGGTCGCCATCTTTGAGGGCGTCATCATCACCAGGTTTGACTTCATCATCGCCCGACAGAGGTTCTAAATACAGTCAAAAGAAACTAAGTTTGATTCACATGTGCAATAAAGGTTCTGCCAGCCTTTCTGTGGAAAAGAACCTATATTACTAGTGGTGGAATTAGTAGAATTATTTAATGATTAAAGACATTCAACTACCTATGTCAAATCGTACAAAGTGGGTTTAAATTTTTATGCTAAAACAATAGTTATATTTACACGTATTAATAAGCTAAGATTGAATTACTTTGAACTATAATCTAAAAATAACCATAAAAAAAACTGAATGTGGACTTATAAATATTATCCAGTTAATAATCATAATGGTTTTAGGATAATTGATATTTCGACAAGACTTGCTCTACTACCCACCCGTGACTTCAGAAACAGGAACGTCGATGTGTTTTTGTCTGATCTGCTTTATCTTCTCGCGTTGAGCTGTTCCTACCGTGGAGTCGAGGGAGTCCATCAATGACACTAGAATCATCGCGATATAAACTTTAAATATTGAAACTCGGGGAGGAAAGTGGAAATTAGGTGTTCGCTTACCTTTTGATAGCATGGATGGTTTCAGTGAATTCTACAGAAATAATTATATATTTTTCTTATAATATTGCAAGCTTCGATCTTTACTTTGAGATGAAGAAGCCATATAATTACTGCATTATCCCAAGCATACCATGTACCATACCATGTACGATAACATACCATGTACGATACCGTACCGCACCATACCATCAAGATATGCCATACCATTTTACAACATACAAAATTATTTTACAAATTTTACAATATACACCATGGTATATACCATACAACATTACAGCACATCATATACCAAACAATTCCATCATACCAATACCATTCGAAAAACATCCATGTGAAAGCATACTCTATGGTATCATACCTTATCAACTGAAGGTTTAGCGAGTTCTTTACTAGGAGACATAACACCAGCAGCAGTTCCTGAAATGCAAAACAACCAGGGTTATAAATTAAGCCTAACCTGGTTTCTCCAGCCCTGCTATGGTCTCGCGGACAACAAATGCCGTGTCTGTATGAAACTTGATCATACCAATTTCATCGTTTGTGGTAATCTCGTCCACTTTTCTCCCTCCCCAGAGCCAGTTTGGCCAAAGATGTGACAAAAATGCAAACACCATGCTTATGAGACGACCATATGCACTGGTATTTAATGTTTCTTTTCACGATCGGAAATTCACGGTTGCGTTGTAATTAGCGAATTTAAATTGTTCTAATTGCAATAATGACGTCATCAAAAAAGTTCGTCGAAGCGCGAGCACGCGGGTGCTTCTCGCTAGCACGGTCAGGTCTACCAGCATGGATCTTTGGACACTTGGTATCTTAGAGATACAAACTACGACAGTTTGTCGTAGAATAATACCTACACTGGACTATCGTAAGAAATCGTTTTCAGACAAACCACGACATTTTATTGTAGAATACTACGTTTGAGATATCTTTTTTAGATAGGTGGTTCAGATACAACCCACAACAGCTGATTTTAGAATAATACTACCCACATGGGGACCATCAGGTTTAAGGTATTTCTAGGTAGTTCAGTGCATACATACAGTACAGTAATATGTACAATATAATGAGTATATATACACCTGTTGCATTGAAAATTGAGTCCCCTAACTCCACTCCAGTGGCTTGAAGATCATCGTCGGCTCTTACTTGATCAGTACCGGTAACGCTTGATTCTTCATCCAGCATTTCGTTCAATTTGCCATAATCTAGATTTGATTTCTCATCCTCAAGTTTTTTAAAAAACTCCAGTTTTTCTGCTAGTTCATTCTGGGTGTTCATGCCAGTCTCTGTGTTCAGGCTAGGATCATTGGCATCCAGCTTCTCCGGTAGTCTCTGAGAAGGTGATGATGTTGGAGAGCCAGAGGGTTCAGTGTAACTGAATTTCTCTTGGATCTCATCAATATTTTGGCTACAACATGGTTGGAAAGAGTTAATCCTCTGATCATGCAAAGCAAGGTTTTAAAAGTTCATGAAGACGGGTTGAAACTTGAAACAGGCTTGATACAACTGGTCCCTGGTGCATAGTTAACTGCCTTATTGGCGGGGGGTATGTTAATATATATTCATGTTTACTTACTGTTGTTCTAAACAGTTTTTTTAATGGGGATAAGATGAATTGAGCTTCTAGCTAAGGTGCTAAAAGAACCATTTCAAAACATATATAGTAACGTAGTAACCATTCACCTTTCAATGTCAGACAGTTTATCCACATCGTCATATTGCTTCCCACCTGCTGTGATTATAAAACAAGTGCACCTTACCAAAACAGAGCTTTTGAAAAAAATCAATGAAAAATATCTGATGACAACTAACCAACATCATCTAAGCTATCTTTGCTCATGGTCACTGAAACCCCAGGATCAACTGGTGGATCTTGCCTAAATCCTCCATAATCTTGATTACTTCCTGCGGTTTTTGCCTGCAACAAGTAAATAGGTTAAAAAACAAATGCCGTACATTGTATTAAACAACATTGGTTGTCTTAAAATGATCAACACATTCATGATCATACTTGGTGTAACTCTGGTTCATCATCCTCAGGGATCTCCACCTCTTCTTTGACTGTTGGTGTCTTAAACCAACTTTGGGCAACATCCGTGGATTTGGGGTCGTCCTCCACACTACTGTCCCACCAGGGCTTGGTGGATTTCAAGGGAGCTTTCTGTCCTCGATTGAGATCTTGCCTTTTTGTACCAGGGGATTTGGTTCGGGGTGAACTAAGGGACTCTTCAGAAAGGGACTGGAAAATACAGTTGACACTACTTTATTACACTAAGAATGAATTCATACATTACATTGAGGTTTATATACAACAACATATCAATAGGTAGATGAGAATTGGACATATTTCAAAGTAGTTTTTCTGCTGCTGCAGTGTCAGGAAACGAGACTAAAATTTAGTTTGAGAAGAATAAGTGTATGAGAATTAGACATATTCAGAGCAGTTTTTCTACCGCTACACAGGAAACGAGTCTAAAACTTGGTTTAAAATGAAATAACAAGTGCTCCCTAATGTCACTACATACATCACAAACCTCATTGAGAAATTGTTCAAATTCTTCGTCCAAATTTCTATTCGACTCACGGAGACGGTTTCTAAGATTGTCCCATTTGCTCATGCTTCAATTCTGCGAGCTTAGCGTACATTTAAAGCAAAAGAAATTGCAAAAAATACAATAAATTGTACGATATTTTTGTTCCTCAAAACTGAGCAAAAATACAAAACAATAAAAATATAAATATTCCGCGGCTTGGTAACCAGGCCAGCCTGTTTCGACCAATCAAATTCGTCCATTTCGACGAAGCTAAATCAAATATTTTCAAAATGGCGAACACTCGAACAGTAGAAGGGGTGGCTTTATCGGGAAAAACTAGGAAGAAAACCAGTGTATTTTGGAGTACTGTGCCTGAAAAGGAGCAGTTTATAAATGTTCAAGTACCGGGGGTTGCGATGGGTGGTTTTACGGATACAAGAAAGGATTCGCATGCGCAGAAATTTGCCCAAGTGGTGCAAAAGTCAAAGTCAGATAGCGCTATTTTGAATACACGTAATGACCCTCTGACCGTAAACAAACAAGAAAAAAGTTCCCAGAGAATTGCGACGAAGCAAAATGATTTTTTGGGTAAAAAGGATGCCTCTAGCCTTTTAAAAGGTATTTATGCTATAGAAACCGTGATTTTAAGGGCGTATTTTTGCGCCAAGTTGTGGGAATAATATTCGAGACCTATTTTATAATTGGTTCCTTCTTTGGCACTTGGTTATATTTCCTATGTTGTTTATGAAATCACATGTTTATTTACACGTTTATTTTTAGGCGCTACTTCGAGTGATCAACTTGCAAACATGTCAAGCTTGTCAGAGAGCGGCAATCCCAGACGAGCTTCGTTGAAGAACTTAAATGTTGAGGACAAGAAGAGAGTCGCGAATCTGATAAAGGAACTTGCAAAAACTGGCGAGGAGAGGGAACTCGCTCTTGAACGATTGCAGGAGGAACGAGTGTCCTTTGAAGAGCAGCTTGGTGCCATACAAGAGGAGCAAACAGTGTTGAAACAAGAAAGAGAATCGTTGAAACAGCGATTGGAAATTAGCGAAAAGCTTTTGAAGAAATATCAAAATGAGCTGAAGGATGTTAAGAGCGAGAAAGAAGAACAGGCGAAGATCTTTAAGAAAAGGCTTCAAGCACAACCACAGGGTACACAAACATCGCCTTCAGTTGAAGTATTAAGCAAAGATGTTACAGCCAAGTCCCGAAAGCGTCCTATGAAGAAAACCCACGATGATAGGAATTCTCATCGTGGTCGGATGCAATGGGGTGCCCCACAAGTACCAGTTTATTCTAACCGTCTTTTTGATGTAAAAGTCAGCGATATTGAATACGAACAGAATAGTGAATCACAAAACGTAAGTGGGGAGTATCAACGGTCCGGTGTTTCTGAGAATAGCGGCTTGCACGAGTTATATTTGAGAGAGTATTCCTTGCAACTACGATTACAAGAACAGCAGATCGAGATACAACGACAGCAGGTTCAGTTACAACAACAGTTGCAGCTACTGCAACAACAACAGCAGGTTCTACCATCACAGGGTACTGTTCAGCAAAGTCATCAACATCCTCAGCAACAGGCAGCAAAACAAGACCCAGATGAACACAAATATCCCAGCCGGAAGCCAGACCAATTCACAAGATCAGAAGATTGGTCAATGCATGCTGACCAACATGAAGAAGACGCCGAACAAAAACGATCGCCATTGACTCAGCCAGAACCACACGACCAGTTCACTAAGTTGCATCAACCAGATCCAAAAAATAACGAAACATTGACTATGCATTCTCCAAGTCAACAAACCAATTTGGTACAGAAACGAACATCGGATTCGAAATGCCGACATATTGAGGCAAATCATGAGGCAGATACTGTACCGCATGATCACTTAGATTCATTTTCACGATCACGACGAAATACCCCGAATCGCCATGTGCATGTGATGGAAAATTCGAGACACGAGAATGAAGCTGTACTTCACAAACATGGTGAACCACAAACTAAGGAGACATCATACAGAGGTGGTAGTCCACCTTCACATAACCACCACCATCACCTGGCACATAATGGTGGCACAAATTCATCTGTTGGAGGATATGATACCAGCAGGAATAAAGGAACTGAAACTCATCATTCGAAACATCGTCATGTGAGCAACAGGAGATCCAGTAGCGAACACAGAAAAATAGATCATATCAACCACATTGACCTCAACAATAATGAAGAGTTCAAGCCAAAATCTACGAAACAGGGGAATCATCTTCATGATGTGAATGGCAATATTGTTCAGGACCATTCACGAGTGTACGTATCTGATTCCTGCAGTGATACGGGTGATCAAACGGACATGGAGCATCACTGCAGGTCACATCAACCTTGCCATTGTGGATACTACCATGAACAAACCAAACAAGACTTACCAACCTCAGATTGTGATTATCCCGTGTCAAAGCACGTTCATTACCGAAGCATACCTCAGCACGATCTAAGCAAGACTTCATCTGATAATATCGACCACCACAAGGATAAGCCCCATCCGGCTCAGAAGAATTACCACACACGGAGACACCCCATTTCACCAAAAAGGAATAATAGTTACTATCAAAAATCAATACACTACACTGAGCATGAAGTAGTACCACCATTAGGTCACCACCACGACAGCGAGTATCTCCACCATCACCGTGGTACATGTGAGGAACATTCGTTACAACAAACTGCCCATCATACACCACACTATGGCAAACACAAGCATGCAAATGAAACAGCATTTGACGATGTTACTTACCAAGCCTCCCAGACAACCAGCAGTCAACATGAACCTACAGAACGCAGAGTCCACGTGCATCACCCATTAGACACCTCGAGAAACACCAAGCCACTGTCATCGGGACATGCCCAAGAGTACGATTACCTCCCTTCAGGCGGACTTCGCCAACAAAGAACACAAGAAAATCAGGATAAATCGAAGGATTTATTGGACGATTATATTCATAACTATCAAACTGCAGGTCAATATAACACAGAATCCAACCCAGATTATCCCAGAAAGAAGATCAACAAGAATCCGACAAAGAGGAAGACATCCAGATTGAAGAAAGTAGAAAACGATGATGTTTTTCCTCCGACAAATTATACTACCAGACGTCAACCTACATACGAAGGCAAGTATGAAGCGTATTCTCAGTCTGCATGAGCCGTGTCATGTGTTTGGTACATGGCGTGGCCGTTACTGTACAATATTTTCTGTCTTCTTTTCTCGACTGTCACTCCTGCTAGATAGTATTCAATTCTTCGTATTATGATCTCGGCTTGACTTCCCACTTGTGCAAGTTTATGCTTAGGTGAAGTTTGACTGTGCTTGAAATTTGCTGCCAAAGAGATGCAAAAGAGGCTGTCTTGAATGACCATGCACCCTTTGAGTAATTGGATGGTCATAACATTATCTGTTTCTCTTCATCTTTTTCTTTCACATTACTTTGTTCTTCAAGTTATTCATCCCTATCTTTGTGATTTGATGTAGAGGAGAACCCCAGACTTTTTTCTTCGACATTACTTTGTTCTTCAAGTTATTCATGCCATATCTTTGTGATTTGATGTAGAGGAGAACCCCAGTTACTCATTGTACAGGCCAAACATTCACGAGACAAAGTCCACAAGAAGCTATATCCAGGAACGGCATCGAGATTCGGCAAACGAGAGTTATCCCGATTCTTTAGTAGAGATCGTAGAGGATCTTGAGGTACACACAGGATATGAGGGATACTCAGGAGAGACGCGGGATATGTGCTCGACAGACGAGCGGGAATATGACAGTAACGAAGAAGAAAGCACTATACTTGATAATATATTTTTTCTTAAGAGATAGACTAATGTTGACCATAGTTCGGTCTGAAGAAAAATTTAACTTGGGGAATACAAGCAACGGAAACTGGTATCAACGGGTGTTATTAGCGAAGATGTGACTTACAGCGTTCATAGATTTTATTCTTTTGTAGAGATAATTTTAACCGCGCCGAAATCAACTTTTTTTGGTTTCAGATGGCTGCGTAGGTGGCTGGTGTTTGGGCCGTTATTTATTCAATGAGAGCGCTCACGAGTGGTCTTGGAAAATACTTGTCCCGACCACACAGCCTCTTAAACTGTACATCGACTCGACAAAACAGTCTATTCATTGCTGTAATTCCAAACTTACGTACAAACTAAAAACGTTTCAAGATTAAATTAAACCGCTTTATGTACACATATATTAGAATATGTTTAAACATTGCCGTCTGTTGACGTTGTACACTTGTACATGTTTATATATAGCTAATACTTAAACCACATGGCATATGCAAATTCAATTTACGTACGTAGACTAGTAGCGTTGTAAAAATAACCGATATTTCCAAACGTAGGCTTAAACTGATCTATTTTTAGCAGGATAAAGCGATATTTCGATTCTTAGATAAATATACGATTCTCATAACCGCTGGTGCGAGCGTTATCGATGAAAATACAGGAAATATTGTTACTTCTCAAATTGTTACAAATTTCGGGCACAGTTGGCTCGCTTGATTGGAGGCAAAGTGGCACTTGGCGCCAACACATTTGGGCCGCATTTCGAGCATATCAAATGCTTGATAAGATAAAAACCCACACGAAACTCTCGATTGATTTATTAATAAATATCTATTTACATTTTGATATTGAAAACAAAAACGGGGATCTGCTTATGTAAGGTCGATTTATAATGACAGGAAAATGTTGTGTAACCCTTTCAATGATGTCGAATTTACATAGGACCGGAAATCTTTTCTGTTCCCTCCCCGTTTCTTTTGAAACAATCCATGTATTTATTGGAAGATTGTCTGCAGTCACAGGCGGTATTGTCGAAAAAACCCGCATATTACGATGTCATTCGGTCGAAATTCACGATATATCTATCAAGTCTACTTCCTGAAGAATGTCCGTTTTTCTTGTTATTGCTGGGCTTGATGAAGGACTGGGCACAAAAGCTGGGTTCACAAACACTTTATTGAAGTCTACAATTCCCTTATCCACTTTGGGAGAAGAAACGGGACTCTCTGTCTTCGGACTACCAACTTGTCGCATGGCAGGACTGAGAGGTGAAGGCGATCCAGTGTCGCTCAGTTCTCCACGTGGAGATGAGTTGCTGTTCCTTCGTAGTCTGTTACTCGCTTTGAAAGACAGCCTGCGAAGGAGGCCTTTAGCCTCGCGACGGTCGATCGGCTTCGCCGAGCTCTCTGTTTCTAAATCTGGCGTGTTAAGACGGCCGACGGACGTTCCTCCGTCGGAGAAAGCACCACTCGATTCGAGCTCCGACTCATGCAGGCTTTCGGCGTCTGAGCTGAGCTGTGATTCAGAAGACAGCGTACGAGTGCGGTTGCTTTCTCTTGGGACGTTCAACTCCACAACACGGTCTTTCGAAGACGCCAACATGATTTGTGAAATCCATTGTTGTCGATGAAAGGCAGACGAGCATTTGAGCTTGTACAGAGAGTTTCCTCCCACGACTAACTTGAATCGAAAATGATAGTTTCTTCGTTGAAGCAGTTCACAACGTGTCTCGCTTGAAAGTTCGATGCTTTTCATAGCTTCTTCACCGCTTTCCTCGGAACACTCGTCGGAGTACAACAAAATACGATTGTCGCGAATGGCAACCCAATACTCAACCCAGTTATTCTTGCCTTCTTCCACCTTTAGATAGCCGGAATGCGAATTGTCGTTCGGTCCGTGGCCGTTCAACAACGATTCGTGCATTCTGGTTTTCAATAACAAGCTGTCTGTAATCACGCACAATAAGCTGTCAAACAAGCTACAATTTATTCAAATTTAACAAGATGAATGTTTGGGATCCACCGGTCACTATGTGTATCATTTGACAATCACATAAACACATGAATAACCAATCAGACTCGCTGTGGTTTCAAACCGTTGCTAAAATATTCCCTCTCGTTGCAGACGGCGGAGCTGGACAAATTCTTGTGCATTATTTTGGTCGGATAGTTACGTCATATGGCGGCGTTGAGCTCGAGTGGGTCTTTGTTTTTGTCAGCCCTGCTTTGAACAGTTCCGATGATGATAGGAAATGAGTTTGGCGCTCAGAAAAAAAACAAAGTGTTTTTGTACTTCTATATTTCTCTTGTATTTCTCATCAATCGTAAACCTCAAAGAGAAGTGTATATTTTCAGTAAATGATAAACTGATTGGGATGTGTGATAAAATATATTAAATGTATCCAAAATACGTGAATCGCAGGTGTGTTTCATCTGATTACAGCATAACGCAATATGAAATAATAAAGTGTAATAATCATTGTACAATACATGAGATCTACGCAGGACATTCTGGGACAAAAAGGTACAAGGCTAGTGGGGGCAAAACATAGCTATATAAATGCCCACTTACACTTGCGATTTTGGCTGCGATTTCCCCTTTTGATTGATGTGAACGAGTGAATTAGTTACCAATGCTCTGATGTATGAGCTCATATTTGAACATCAGTAACTAATTAACTCGTTCATGTCTATCAAAGAAGAAAATCGCACATAAAATGGCAAGTGTAAACGATCTAAAAAATCATTTTGCGTAAACACTAAAGTGTGTCAGTTTCTGACTAAACAGCTCGATCAAACGATTTTCGAAAGCAACAAGTTTAAATGGTAGAAATTTTATTTACGTTTCTTCGCTATAACTAGTGATAAGTACATATCGTGTCGAAGTGGCCAACGATAGAGCTCAGTATACAAATGAATATTTCATTTGAATGCATACATATATAGTTCACGGTTATAACGTCTTTATGTTCAAGTTTTCTATCAGGATATCGGTTCATTGTCTATTTGGGTGATGGATCTATGTGTTTGGAATATCCTATTTAGGTCCTCGAAACACGACGACATCTGGCGATTCTGCCTTCTTCCCGCCGGAGCAGCGTTTGTTTATGAAAAACGTCTGTCGTTTTTTTTTTACACTCGTTCTCCGATAACTACGAAGAGTTTTTCTCGGCCGCTTCATTTGCACGAGGACTATTTCGTTTCTGGGTTTGTCCACCGTGAAGAGGAGCTCGCGGGACAACAGCGTTGCCGATATCTTTGGCTGCAACTGTCTGTCTAACAACCGTCTCTTCTCCTGCGCTAGGCAGCAGCTTTAGCTCCGGGCTCATGGTCTTAACTAAACAGTTACCGTAGGAAAGTCTTTATAGGAAAGTCTTTTAATTTCACAAGAAACCCTTTACCACGACTTTCTGACTCTGCAACGGGCAAGCACGTCTAAATGAGCTCGTAGCAAGCCAGCCTGTAGGTCTTGACCATTTGAAAATGATATTTGTGTAAAGACTTCTTCGTGGTCTCGCTCGATTCTGCTTCGATGAAGACCCTTTTCTCGATTTCTCGACATATCGCATGGCGTCTACCGGATTGTCCGACGATCTCCAAAACCTCCAACTCTTTTGATTGCTTCGCGCGCTTCCCCCCAGAGCTCAGTTTTGTTTTGAACTTGAAGAAAAAGATCTTCGAGGTTTTGCACGTTGATAGTTCGCTATCGTTGCAAAGCTTCGTGTAGCGACCGGGTTCATTCTTCTTGCAAACGGCGCTCATTTTTCGTCCTTGACTGCACACAAAATGTAGTAACTCAAACCTTGGCGACTCTTATCAACTGACTGACTGCGTTGAATTACCGTAGGTTATATTGCCATCGGTCAACGGTGACGCGTCGTCAGCCACCTGTTTTGTCTGCGCGGGTCACGTTCCATCTTCGCATGGCTAAAATTACTCGCGTTAATGAGCGACGCTTACATAACTTCTGCATTGTCTACGTGCGAGGGCGTCGCAAGTGTATATTACAATAATCGTCATTTGGACAAATTGTTACATGGTTCACAATGAGTGATAATCATCTAATCCTTAATCTAATCCTCTAGGGTTAGTAGTTTGTTAGGGAGTATGGCCAGGATTAGGATTGAAGGTGAATTCGTGCGTGGATTCTGAAGACGGGATTACTACCCACAGGTTGCAGAACGTCTTCACTGAGACAATTCCACGCTGTACGAAGACCTAAAGGCCTGTTTACATGGAGCGAGTTATCCCGGCTAGGCGAGGTGAAAACTGCATATAATGAAAAACTAATGAGGTAAAGCCTTTGATGTGATGCGCTTTTTATCTCGTCTAGCCGGGATAACTCGCTCCATGTGAACAGATCGAACAGGCCTCGATATATTTTTAAGATAATTTATTTAACATATCGCTTCAGGAGCAAAGGAATCCTTCAACTTTGAGAACTATCTGCCATCGTGCACTTGCTCCCTAATTGAGGGCGCAAAAGATACGTCGAAGTTACTGCGTGGGGTTAATCTAGTTCTATTCAAGAATTGAGATTGAAAATTAAATGAAAATACTAAATTGAGCCTTGGTAAATAAAGAAAAAGCTTTCGTTGGCAAAACAAACATGCATTTATTCATCGTCTCGATGGGACACGTTTCGCCCTCAATATTTATTCTTACCAATACAACATCTTCATGTCAAAATACTGGCTCCGCCCCAGTGCTCAGAGCTATCAAACTGACCCATTTCCGAGCAGGGTTTCCACAACTTATATTTGCGTATACGTTTGACTTCATATAGAGGGATAACAATGACAAAAACGAGACACAAAGAACTTTTGAAGCCCGCATATATATAATTTATACTATTTATATGACTGATACCTCCTCCCTCCATCAGTTGTTATAAGAAAGAAAATTTTCTTCAATTGCGGGAGCCTGGAAGTTATTAATTACCTCCGCCAGCAGGTTATGTAATCATCTGAGTTTGTTGTATGTGTGTGTATGTGCGTGTGTTTGTCTGTGAGCACGATAACTTGAAAAATACCAAACATAGTCGTAAAAATTTTTTGGAATGCATGCATTTCCATTGGTCAAGGAAGAAGCGATTAAAATTTGGTTGAATTTGGGTAAAAATTGAACGAGAAATGAACAAATGTTTGTCTTCCTTTTCCTGATTACTATTCAAAAAAAATATGAAAGCATGTTCGTATTAAACAATAATAAACAATAATAACAACGAGTATCGCGGTGCATGGTGGAGGTATGCATGCAGTCTCTGAGAGCCCTCGAGCTCTAGTATATACCTATATATATATATAGTTTGATGCAGAAACTTTATTTGCAAAATGCTGGAAGATGTCGAAAACTAGCCGTGAAAACCTCGCAGAATATTTGTACGAAAAATAACCACTTTTAGCTCAAAAGGGCCTGTTTAAACTTTTCACGTTCGCGCGTATATAAAGAAATATATGCATGCAAACTTCACTAACTTTGCAGGCTTGCATTTTCTACATTTTACAGCATTTTGCAACGAAACTTTGCAGTCTTATTCATTTGAAGACTCTCCTTTCTATACGTGGTGTTAGATTACGTCATTTTGCCTAAATTGAAAGTTACTCCATAGTAGTATATAGCTGCATGGATTCTAGTAAATGCACGCACGTATCTAACAAGATTTTAACGTTTATTGGAAATGAATATTTACTTTCATATCGTTTTTGTTTGGTGAAGCAAAATGGCATATGCCATAATAATGCTCTTATAATGCAAATAATTTACCAAGAAACTCGGCGTTTAATCACGAGCCGAAAAATCAATACGTGCGCAACGCTAGCATGCATTAAAATCCGCTTGGACGAATGGGATTATTGGGATATACAATATACGATGTTTAGAAGGACCTCGACATGAAATTTATACACCAAATATAAATTTGCCTGAGAATTTGTTTGTTCATTGGTGATAATTAAGGATTCGTGGGTTGAATGACTTTTAACTAGTTTTCAAGAGGAGAGTGGGTGATGATGATGAAGTTTGCCTTTTGTAGTTTTTTCGGCCGACCGTAAATAATCAGACATGCAGATTTATCAATCTGGGATGCATGATCAAAGGGAAAATGCAATCAACAGAAAATGTAGTATAGGTGTACCTGTAGAACTATATACTGAAATATAGGGCAAGAGAAACCGCTACAACGGACGCGCGTCATTTAAAAGACGCCATTTTGTTTTTGCATTAGAAATATCAGACTGTATAGGTATATGCATTATTTGCAGCAGAATCTACAATCCCACTTTTCCCTTATAGATTATAAGAAAAAATGTATTTTTAGGTTTCAATGAACCTCTGAGAGTACTTTTTGCCACTATTGAAAAGTGTATTCAACGGATATGTGCTGTTGCAGTAATAAACAGCTATTGAATGTCTATTGTAGTTATAAACAGCTGGAATATGACATAACCGGAACCGGTTTTATCAAGCCCGTTTAGCTAAAACGGTGCCGGATAAGTTAACACTCTTACATCCCTCTTGAACGAGTCAACTTGAATATTATGCAATGAATATGTAGTTGTAAACAGTAGCTTTGTACTAAGGTAAAAAACATTTAGTTTGCTTCTTGAATAAAACGATAGACATAAGCTAAACGGGCTTGATGCAACCGGCCGCATACAGGGGCTAGAGATATTCCCCAGTTCATTATAAAGATCTTAAAAGATACACTTTGCCATGCATTGATTAACAAAAATAATGATGTGGTTAATAATGCATATATACAGCTGAGATATATCTGAAAAATAACCATCCTTCAGAAAGATACATAGTCTTTTCTTCAGTAAATATAAGACTTAATTAAGCTTTAAGACTGATTATAGCGAACTTAACTAGATTCAAGACAATTGAAGTAGCTTAATTAAGCTTTAAGACTGATTATAGCGAACTTAACTAGATTCAAGACAATTGAAGTAGCTATATTTATGCAGATATGCCATCGCAAAACTATAGATAGCGATGGATAAACGAAACTAGTTTTTAGTCAACAATTTAAACATCATAAAAATATATCTGAACAAGTGCGCCATTTATCGACCAGCACGATACGCAATCATACAAAACTGCATGGCTTTAGGTTTCCTAATAATCCTTACACTTTCCTGATGTAAGTTTAAGGTCAATTAGACCTATAGCGCAGCTGAAATATATATTAAAAAGCAGATATCAGTGCCATTGTTTTCTCTCGCACAAAACAATTCATCAGCTAGTTCACTGTATAAACATATCAAAGTATACGCTTTACCAGATATTTAAAAAACATCCCCACCTAGGTACAGATAAAATATATCCCGAGAAGCCATGCGCCCATGCCAGTGTTTAGCATACACTATACCACTGACCGAACAATATGAACTGGACTATACTGTTTTCACGTATCCAATATATAAAGTTGTGTATGTCATTATAGGGGACAAACACTATACTTTTGTTTCAGCTAGTTATACACCTACTGTACTCTTTAGTCATTCATTTCTTGTTTCGGCTTTTCCTCGCTCTGGGCGACAGCTTCATCGAGTGAACCTTTAGAGAATATAGAAAGAGTGAAGTTCTGAGAATTTGACACATAATAAAACATTCGGGGAGAAATTTTGCAAGAAATATTCTTATTTTGAAGATTATACAAACGGGGTTGAATAATGGGACCCTATGCGATTCATAGATCTTTATAAAACATGCAAATTGACGGGTAAGGATTAGCAATGACAACGAGTACGAGATTCGTCATTTTCGCGCCAAACTGGGTGCTGCATGCTTGCTGACGCCATCTGACGAATCACGTAGTTGTGAAGCTTTTGTCTACGAAGATATTTGTTTATTATTCATTGGACAGATTTAGATTCAGAACGGGGACGTCGTATAGATTGACGTGAAAATTGCATAGTTTTGACGGGACTACGTAAGTTTCACGCACGATGGCGTAAGCAAGCAACACTCTCGGAGGTGCAGATGATTCAGATACGGAAGTCACGTTTGGTGGTTTGTGACATCATCTGGAATCCTCTCATTCTTGGATAACAGCTGGAGCCTTTGACAGCCGCGTGGCCGTTACCCTGGCAACCCAACCTTACGGGAAAAATTCTTAAAATAAAATAAAATAAAATGACGTTGCATGACTATATTTAGTTAGAACCTTCTTCTGTCTTTTTCAAGTTGCCTTCGTTTTCACCTCCTGGAAGCATTCGGTCAATGTCTGCCTTGCTGAGAAGCTTCGAGGTGAGTGGTGGAAGTTTCTTTATGGTTTCTGTGATTTCTTCAACGCCTTTCCGTATTTCGATGACACGTTCCTTAAAAACACGAGAAAAGGTTAGCCCGAAAAATCTCACTACGGGACAAAACCTAAACTAAACTAACTTTATTTATACTGGATAGCTCTATCAGTTCTAAACTGTTCTTCCTAGAGGTCCAGTAAGGATAATCTCTTATTGATCCAGCGTTACTACAGGAGGAAACCTAAACTAAACTAACTTTATTTATACTGGATAGCTCTATCAGTTCTAAACTGTTCTTCCTAAAGGTCCAGTAAGAATCATCTCTTATTGATCAGGAGGAAACCTATAAACTATAGGACCATAGTCTATAGGACTATATATTTTATACTGTTATTTCATAATCTGTACCTGCAAGATTGTTTTATGTTCAATAACCAGTTCACAAACAGTGCTGAGAAACAGTTCATACTGACGCCTCTGATGTTCCATCTCAACCGTTTTCGTTTTCAACCTTAATCGCAGACGAAGAAAAAACTAAACACCTAGTTGCATTAGCACAAGACTTGTATGCGATTCTATAATAAAAATGAAGTTTGAAACCAAAATAAAGTAGATTTTTAAGAGACATTAAGTTGTTTCAACTGGTAAATAGATTTCTACTACTTCACGACTACTCTGAGTCATTTCTCGCAATAGACCTTATGCATAATGATGTATCAAGCCGTGACGCCTGCAGGGAGTTCTGGTTTTAGTAGTCACGGCGAAAAATTCAAACTTCAAAATTTCCCGCCGTGACTACCAAGACCAGAATTCCCTGCAGGTGTCACGGCTTGTTACGTCATTATGCATAAGGTCTATTCAGATCACCTGACTCTTATCATCATTTCACCCTCATTCACCCGGGTTTTAAGAAAGTCAAAAGTGATAATAATGATAGTTTTCGTCTTCAAAACAAACCTTTCCTTGGCTTCTTCCAGATGTCTTCTCTTATCCGAGACACTGATTTGGCTTTCCATTCTCAGCCTGTCTATTTTATTCTGCAATTCTTCCACCTCGCAAGAGAGTTTGTTATGCTGTTCGTCGTATTGCTGAAAAAAAGACATTCTGTGTTAAAGACACTTGTAATTTTTGCAGCGATTTTAGTCTTGTGATAGATGTGAAGATGTGAAAAAGTTACTTATGGTCAGAAAATGGCAATTATACATCAGCCGAAAGTAGACCAAAAGTAACAGCAAACATTGCAAGTTGTAAAACATATATCGATTAGACTTAAGGCTCTTTTCCATTCATCGTAAAATCAACTCGCAAGCTCGCTGCTGATCTTAGTGAACCTTAAATACAAACAAATTCGTCTTGCATGGTCTTGATCTTTCTACCTGTTTTCTCCACTGTATTTCCTTCTCCAAGACAACAATCTTCTCTTCAAAGACAGCAATGGCCTCCTCTTTTTCGGAAATTTGTTCCTGCAGCTGTTAAGAAATTGAGTTTACTGAGCAGTTGATGAAAACGGCTTTGTTGTCATGAGGGATAAAATGAGTTAAGTTAAGTTAAGTTACATGAGTTAAGACATTATATCATCATATTATAATCTGTAGTTTTTGTTGGCATATCGTCATATTATAATCTATGGTTTTAGAGGGTTGTACATACATATATGGACATATCAGATTAAACGTAAGATGATTAACGAGTCATACCACGTCGTGTTTCTCCTTGAGGTTGATCAGTTCTGATTCACATCGACAGGAGCATTCAGCAATCTGTTGTTTGAAGCGCAGCAGACTCGGCTAAACAAGACAATAAGAACTAGAATATAAAAACCATCAGGGCTTTACGAATGGTTCATTGATTTAACATGCACTACAAGTAACCCCAACAGAACACTAACTAATCTAACCAATCAAATGCGTTACGTCTACACGATTAACCAATCAAATGCGTTACGTCTACACGATTAACCAATCACATGCGTTATGTCTACACGATTAACCAATTACATGCGTTATGCCTACAAGATTAGCCAATCACATGCGTTATGCCTACAAGATTAGCCAATCACATGTGGTAGTTGTACTCGAGTAACCAACCACATACTTAATAGGTCGAAGTGATAACTTCACTCGTACCTTTAGCTGGTTTTTTATGTCCAAAGTCATTCTTCCAAGATGGCACCTGAGTTCGTAATCAACACCAGCGGCATTCTCAGCCGTACTTGGGATCAACTTTAGCTTGCGAGCTCTCTCATTGTAGTCTTGACATTGGACAAGAACCTGAACAGTGAGAGATAAATAGGGATGTATGCGTACACGAAGCGTCAGAACGATTACAGTCCTAAGTCTTTAAACTCTGTGATCAATTCCCGTACATGCATGACTTTTCATAAATGTTCCTGTCTTTCTATAAATGTTCCTGTTTGTTCATAAACATCCCGGTCTGTTCATAAATGTTCCTATCTGTCCATAAATGTTCCTGTATATATGTTCATAAATGTTCCTGTCTGTTCATAAATGTTCCTATCTGTCCATAAATGTTCCTGTGTATATGTTCATAAGTGTTCCTGTCTGTTCATACCTGTTCATGTCTTCTTGCATAACTCATTTCTTTCTCCCAGATTTCCTGATCCATACTATCGCTTGTCTCTTCAAGTTTTGTCAAGGTCTTTTTAAGCTCATCGCCTTCCTGTTTCATGCGCTGAACATCGGCAGCACTCAACTCCTGGTTTGCAAGAATTCTCTGAAAATCGCAAAATACACAGATTTGTTTCCGTCTCAAAACGAGAACGACTCCAGTAAGAAATTCGAAATTTGGAAACTTTCTAAATGGTGCATGTTGTTGTAAGCAAGTGGCATCACTAACCTGTAGTTTAGTTTTTTCTGCTGAAGTCGCCTCTTCCTCGAGTTCTAGAAGTTTTCAAGAATGAAAATTGAGTAAACGAAACAGAAATTTTATCATCGATGAATGCTCATGTCATGTGAACTAATATTTTCTTACTTGCAGTATTCAACGCTTCCTCCGATTGCAATCGTCGCTCGTCCAACTTGACACGATGGCGGCGCAGATCGGCGATATATACTTCAAACTTCGACCTAAATCAGGTTTGATGAGCCTTGTTAAGACCTCAAGTATTGAACGAGATATAAGACTTAGCTACAAGTATTGAATTTTTAGTAGAAAGCAACTGTTGTTATAAGAACAATAAATGCTTTAATTATCGACGGCAGCATGGAAGAGGGGTTCTTGTTTTCAATTGAATATTTGTTTTGAAGACAAATGTAACTTTAAGATCCTTGTTAAGACTTCAAGTGTCAAGGAAACGATCCTTGTTAAGACCTCAAGTGTATTAAACTTTTTGAATTATTGTGTAGAATACAACTGTCTTGTTGTAGAGTACTTGAAGCTTCGACCTACAACATGGCTTATTGTTGATTCTAATAAAGATTTGGAGTAATGATCGAGTGAAAATGTTTAGATCTTTCCTAGTAGTAGGCGATAATGATAATAAGAGCAATGATACTTGACGTGATATTTGGCCTATGGCATGCAGGCATATTGATCCTTATCAAGATCTCGAATAATGAGTGAAAATGTTTAGATCTTTCCTAGTAGTAGGCGATAATGATAATAAGAGCAATGATACTTGACGTGATATTTCAGCCTATGACAGGCATATTGATCCTTATCAAGATCTCGAATAATGAGTGAAAATGTTTAAATCTTTCCTAGTATAGAATGCAATTGTGGTGATAAAAGTAACGATACATGTATTGATCCTTATCAAGATCTCGAATAATGAGTGAAAATGTTTAGATCTTTCCTAGTATAGAATGCAATTGTGGTGATAAAAGTAACGATACATGTATTGATCCTTATCAGGATCTCACGTATCGAGTGGTAGAGGACAGCTGTTGATCATAAGTACTGCTTACTTATCAGTTTCAAGGGTTCCACGTTTTTCCATTAGCGCCTCGAGTCTTGACTGGATTGACATAAAAAAGACGAAGATGAATCGATTCAAATTCATCATCTCAGCATATCGTATATATACCGTACAACGGACATGTCGCAGCTCCCGGAAGCTTTCGTACAATTGGATAATGCTTTTCTATGCTTTCTAAAGAACGAAGCTATGCTATTTGTTGAAACAGAAATGTATTGTAAAGTTCAGCCAATGAAAATCGTTCTTGCGAGGAGCTGCGACACTACCCATATCGTACAACGGTTTTTGTCATTGCTGTGTTAACAGATCACACGCACCGGTTCATTTTCAAGCCTTTTCAATTCTTCCTCAAGCTGAATGTTTTCCTGAGATAACTGTTCCACTTCTACACGACAAGAGATCCATTGTTATTATGATATATAAAGGCCCGTTTACACCCTCCTAAGGAAGGTCCTTCGCCCCCCTTCTACCATCCTAAAATTGCTCGGGTTTCGCTGAGTATATGTCACGTATTCACATTACGCATGCATTTTTCCCACATGGAAAATGGTTTGAAATCCAACCTCACCTGAAGTCAATGGGTCATTTTGACTCCCTGTTAAAATAAAATTTGACTCAAATTAAAGCAGTCATCTCCAACTCTCCCCGGTGGGGGTGTGAGCTGTGGGGGACAGGGAGGGGCACGCCCTCTCCCCATTAACCCCTCTTCCCAAGGCACACACTCTTACTTAGTTCTTCTATAAGTGCGTCTGTATATTCTCCAAGATCCCTCAGGTCTCTTTTATCTTCTATGAATGCACTGTACGATCTCTCGAGAAAGTCAAAATAAACCTATATAAAAAATAGCGTCAAAAAGATTGCTGGGATAACATGTGAGGCATCTTTTATGTTAAGATTAGCTTTTAAGCGAGGGACCCCAACAGACGAATACTGTCACAGTTAGTACGTTTAAGTACGTCTGCAGTGTTTTGGACGAAACTTGGTAATAATAGACCTTTTCAGCTTGCATGCAAATTAACCTATTTCAGATGCTGTGACCATAGAATAGCCAATAAACTTAACCATTTCAGACCATATGACTTGAAATGGGTTAATTTGCATACATGCTGAAAAGGTCTATTTTCTAAAGCTATTTTTCGTGGTATTGGTATGTTGAGTAATTTAATCGTTTCTCACCTTCCTCATAGCGGCGAAATCTCCTTCATCATCTTCACCCTCGATCATCGGAAACAGACAATGTTCCACCTCGTCGTTCACCGCCATGGAAAACTATAAAATAGATTTGGCACATATAAATTGGACTGGTCAGAATAAAAATCTGTTTCCCGACACGATCCTGTCTAAATGATACTTTACGCTCATCGCAAAATCAACTCGCAAGTCAAAATCATTGCGGCATTTTGGACGAAACCTGGGACAATCGATGTCGCTGAACGTATTGGTATATTGAATGGTGGTATTAAACGAAATTTGATTGGCTCGTTTATAGTTCTGCGCGGCCAATCAGATTTCGTATATAACATTTGCATTTCGCGTTTGACGTCATTATTCAGATTTGGTATATATACTATAGTTTTTGAACGTATTTGAACGTTTATGTTTGTTTATTGTTTTGTTTATCTTTTATTCTTAACTACATTCAGATAGCGAACGAATTGAGGCAATTGTTTGTATGTGCATACTACATGTATGCATGATATGCAAGTATAGTGTTGTCTTCGAAAAATATCAAACCTTCAAATTAACGAATATCTTATTGCTTTACTCTTGGTTGGTAACTTAGATAATTAGCTCTGTAAAGAAGAGCGTAGAGACGACATAACTCACAAACAGGAAATTTACTTGCTTTACAGGGTTTCTGGTTTGAGTAAGGGCATGCAGTTCAATAGCTACACAACTCATTGATCAACTCTCGTTCCTGCATGCTCAGAGTCTGTGGTTTACCATGCTATGTACGGGTTGTTTCAATAAGGATTATTAGGTTTGACCTGGGGCAGGTTGTATGAAAGCCGGATAGCGCTATCCACCGGACAGTGGTTTTTTCAATCGCTTTTAAATCACTTGTTGTTAGGTATAGCTTTGATTAAATCTTAGTATTCCTAAGTCGAGGATCCTCTTTAAAAAAATTTAGTTCCATAGCTGAGATTTTATAGCTTTTCAAGCATTTTTAGAACGGTTGAAAAAATCATTATCCGGTGGATAGCGCTATCCGGCTTTCATACAACCGGCCCCTAGTTTTCAACTTTTTAACCCTTTCACTTAAATTTTATATAAAAAGTATATATAAACACTGTAGGTTTTAGTGTTATATAATCGATTCAAATTAGTTAATCTGTCAATAGAAACGGAAATTTGATATTAGCTTAGTTTATATAAATAACAGGAATGATAAATTCTCGTGTATACCATCTGAGATATCTTTTGTAAATACTGCATGCAAGATGAGATTTTAAAACTAAACACAAGAGAATTAATTATTAATCGTTTATACGTAAACGACAACACGTCGCACAGACAATTTTGCGAAATTGCAGTAAATTTCAACGTCGAAACTCGAAAGAAGCAATAAACTTATCGGAATTTCGGTTGCATTTTGGGCAGTATAAACGATTCGTACTCGAGATTCAACAAGGTCCATCTCAAGAAAGCGGCAAGTAATTGTCTGCATGTCAGAGTTCAAGCTTGTTTTTCCGGGATTCATATAGCGGATTATGCTGTAGCGAAGGTTAAGGTTTCTTTGTGATTCCAGGAAGCGTTTAAAACTATACCGAGAATAACATCTATATATACACGGGCAATGGTTGAAGGCAGTTTTCGAAGCGTCGATCCTCTAGCCTATTACGTGAACAGCCTTGACGACTTCGACAGAGAGGTTGTCGTAGCGTTTAAGGAGAAAAAAAGCGATGTTTTGAAAAGAATCACCTCGCAAGAAGGCAAAGGGGAGTACGATATATTTATTTGCGTGTCGAAGAGTTGGCATGGCTTCGTATTGTGTGTCCCTGCCGGAACCGATCCGCAATTTGCAGACATGATTGAAGACGTTATAAAGTCCCCATTCGACGTTCCAGATAAAATCCTATGTTTTGCCTACGAGTTGTGCTTCGAGAAGGAAAAGATGCGGACGTATAAGATCCGAAAGACCTTCACGCTTTTCGAAAACATCAAAGGAAGGATCGGTTCTCGGAGCTACTTCATTGGCCATTACAAAAACATTGGCCCGTTGAGTTTTCAGCTCGCCGCAATGAGAGCGGCGCCACATCGTTACGCCGTGCTTCTCAACGACTGTGTTGAGTTCTCCAAGGAGTTTTGTATCCAAGCGTTGGCTTACAGCTCCAATTGGCGAGAAATCGAGGAGGGGGTGAACGAGAACATCAAGAAAGCCACGGCTAGCGGCTACAGCGTCGAGTATCTCTCGCGAAAAGTGGAAAGCGCAGGTTTACTGGGGAACTTCTCGTTTGGAGGGACTGACGTGAGCAGCTTTTTGACGGAAAGAAGCAAGGCTCTCACGACTTTAGTCGTCATTGTGTTCATGCTGGTGTATCCCATTTTAGTGTTTGTTGTCTGTTTTAAACTCGCAAAATATATATCTTAGAATGACTTGGGAGTATTCTTGGAGCGTATTCAGTTACGAATTTGATATTTCAACGTAAAGCGACGTATATTTTGTAAACATATGTGAGTGAACTCATTTGAAAACCAGCAAGACGCCATAATGTCGTAAAACAAAAGTAAACTAAAACTCGGCATTGTCACTGATCATGTATGTTTCCATGGCTATTTTAACAAATTAAAGATTTTTAAAATATGATTTTTTGTCTTCCAGCCTCGTACACTACACTTACTGTCGTATACAGTACAAATAGTGGCTTTATAGTTAACTATAGAAACGCTTTATAACGGAAATGGACGTATTTATAATATGTAATCAAGGAGGCGTTTCGTGAAAGCCGGATTATAAGAGTCGGCAAGGCCAGGATGAAACCTCGCCACTGACCTATATATACTATGGTGGTACAGCTAGGACAGATGTATTAGCTAGGACAGATGTATGTACACACTTCAAATTCAAGCCAGGAACAGTTGATGGCAGGAGGACCTATAGTTGACTCATTTTTCCATCAACTGTTCCTGGCTTGAATTTGAAGTGTGTATAATTCCACTCGAAATTAAGACCTTTAAACCTCTAGAATATTCCTGCATCGAGTGAAGTGCCAAAAATCATTAACTATTGATTTACCCTCAGCTAGGACAGAGGTTTAACCTGGGTTTAACAAACGCGGGTTTACTGGTCCCAAATCAGAAATAAATGCGCAACGAAATGTACTCTCGAAAACCTTCAACTGTGCTGACGTCAGGAAATGCGGTGGAAAATTTGGCGCAGTATTCGCCGTAAAAATTACCGCCAGGCGGTGTTTCGTGAACTAAGCAGTCTTTAGACGAAACATAACTTAAGATTTATTTTTGATAACTTCCTTAGTTTAAATAATATATAACTAGGTGCATGATAATACAAAGGGTCATATCGCAGCTCTCGGAAGCTTTCGTCCAATTGGTTAAAACTTTTCTATGCTTTCTAAAGAACGGAGCTACGCTATTGGTTGAAACAGAAATGTATGGTAAAGTTCAGCCAATGAAAATCATTCTTGCGAGAAGCTGCGACACTGGCCAGGGGGGGAATACAAACCTTGACTAACTCCAGGAGCCAGTGCAGGGCACCGAGCAGGATCGGCCAGGCATGGGGCGAGGCAACATTTGATAGGGAGGTCTTGTGTATGGTAAATTGATAACCGATTTTCTTCATAACTTTTGGCAGTTCCTCTTCGGGTTTCACCATTGGTTCTGGACTGATTCGACTGTAGAGAAACTGAGAAATATTCATGCTTATTAATACAAATAAAACCTTGGGTGTATTTATATTTCCATAGTGATAATCTGAATTTACTAGCAATTTTGTAGAGCTAATTAATCGTGAAATTAATCCTAAATGATTAAACTCATTTCATCAACAAAGTTAGTCTAGGGATAACTAGTTATTAAAGACAGAATTGGCCAATCAGTGTTGTGTTTTTCTGAGTTAACTAGGATTTAACTATGCAAAATGTAGATATGAAAGCATACCGAAAAAACATTGATAAATTCTTTGTTGGTTGGTCTCATCATAGTTTTCATTGACATTGGATGCTCATAGTCATTCTCAGAGAGAAACTGTTGGTAAAAGAAAAGTAGAGAGTAAGGTACATTACCGGTAACTGAGGTAAGGGATCTCACTGAAATTATGCGAAGAAAACAAATTATATTGATTCAATAGGTTACCTGTAATATTTCCCTGATCTCTTGCTGTTGATAAGCTTGAAAAGGTAATCAGTGCTTTGATGAGTATGCTATTACCGAGGTCCTAACTAACTTTTCTACATGTGGATAGCTCTATCAGTTCTAAACTGGTCTTCCTAGAGATCCAGTAAGGATCATCTCTTGAAATATCTAACCTAAAATAATTTTATTTACACTTTTATTTACATACAGTCTGAAGGTAACTCACATTTATCACTAAGTGGTCTTGTATCTTTAATTTGTGTATAGGGATCTCCACGGCCATATTGACTTGATCGCCTAAATATAATGGGATTGGATTAGCTACAAATCTTATCAAAATTTCAGTTTCCCCCAAATATATTTTGCAATTTGGCTACAAATTTCAATTATTGGGAACGTATTTAAAACCATCTCTTGCAGTAATTCTAGCTGTAGTTATTTATTTAACACCTGAACACTGCTACATGCCATATATTGAATCAAATATAAACTAACCTGGACGAACCAAAAGATGTTTTAGGACGAGCACCTGATGTTCTAGGACCGGAGTTGGAGAAACGACCACCAAGTCCAAGCGACGATCGTGACCGCACTGCGCCCTTTTCTTTGGTGGGAATTCTTGTTTTGTTCCCTATATTCATCGTTCCCAATGTGGCCCGTCTCATTTTGATCTTTTAGCAACCAAAAGTCGTGAAAAACAGAGATATTTTCAGGTATTTCCAAATAAAATTTCAACCGTAAACAAAATATTCTCCTTCAATTTTGCAACTCCCGCCATTAGTTACCAGGTCGAGGCCGTGCGTCACTGATCTTCAACGTCTTACAACTGGACGGTTATATCTAAGATGGCGGTCAATCTAGGAGTGGGATCACGAGTATTGTGGCGATTTTTGCATAATCCTGGTGTTTCAAGACGGTTTTTCACCGCTGTTGAAGTAGAAATAAACCGCTGTGAGAAATGTTGCCGAAGTTTTGTAAGTTCTGTAGGCAAACTTCCGTTGATATGCCCATTCTAAAGTTTTCTAAATCTTTAATGGTAAGTTAGAGGGAACAACAACTCAATCTCTAATGCAGTGCGATTTCTCAACATATTTAGAGCACATATTCCAAGAGTTTTCAGCGTCGAAAACGAGTTGAAGATCAGTCAAATGGTAACTATTAAATGCAGTGTTTAGTATTTCAGAATCAGGCAACAAGTTTTTAATGGTAAATTGCTGTCATTGTAATTTTGTAGCTGAATTTATGGCAGAAGAGATCAAGAAATATGAAATGGGCAAACGGTGGTTGGCAAAAATGATGGGAGCTGACATTGAGACTTTCACTGACAGTGACGTTGAGGTACAAAGATTATATCAAAAACTATCTTTCAAGACACATCCGTCAATTATGTTTGTTTTCTGGGTACATTCACCTAAAATTTTTCAATCAAACTTTGTTTTAGGATTCACTAAGGTATCTTTTGCCTACAAAGCTGTTTGCCAAAGATGCTAGACCAATGATGAAGGTATCAGCTCATTAAGTAGAATTAACAACAAAATTCATACATTAGTAAAGTATTCTTACCTTTTTTGAAGAATCTTATTTTTTTGAACAATTTTTCATATTTCAGCATCCGTCAGAACTTTTCCCAGAAAGTAAAAGTAAGAATCTTTATAGTGACATCTAAACATATTATTTTATCAAAATTACAATTGGATTAAGAAATTAAAATGTTTCTATGTGAAAGGTACTTTGTCATCAGATGGCCGACCAATTCATCTTGCCTTCTACACAGGAGCAACTGCCTTTCATGACTTGATTTATGTAAGTCAGCGTTAATTTGATGTTATCTTAAAGTTTAGCTATTACAAATATCCACACTTCTCTTCACTTTTGACTGGCTTTCCTGCTACATACAGGATATATTTAGATACCAAAGATTATCTGCACAGAACCAGAAATCCATAGAAACTCAGTTCATGGAAACTCAAACAGATGAAAAAGATGAGAACATTGAATTTGGGTTTGTGATCTACAAATGATTGATGGCTATCAAGGTCAATGTTGTGTCAACTGTCTGGTTTCTGGTTTGTAGAGAACAAGACAAAGCAAAGGTTGTAAAACAAGGAAAGATGAGATGGCTCAACGAAAATGAATTCCAGGCTGTTTTGAAAGAGGAATTAAAACTAAAAGATGTGAGCTTGAAATTGACTGGATTTCACAGCTTTCTTACCAAAAATACATGCTTTAAATAAACTTCTTTTTTCTCTCCTGAAACAGTACGAAGTTCTCATTCATCGTCTTAAGAAGCTGGCCAGCGAAGGTGACAGCTCGGAGGAAATCAAAGCGTTTTTGCAAAGATTTCAAACACCCGTGAAACACGAGGCCTCTCAATTCACCGTCAAACAGGTCCGGTGCTCTCATGGTTTTGCGTCCTAAAAACAGAAGTACTTGAGTTGATAGGATTAGAGGAGAGTAGAAAATGCTTATCCGTTGCGAAAGCTTAAAATACCTTCACTAATGTAATAATATGATTAACGTCTTAATATTGAATGATCTAACATCTTAGGTCAGTTTCTGGTATTGAAGGAACTGCATGGATTCATTTTCGAGCTAATATCAAATTCTTATTTATTTTCAGCTTGATGAAAACGGAACGGCACATGGAAAAGGTAAGATTACATCCTGACGATTCTTTATGACTGCATTTTTTCAACTTTTCACATCGCATTCACATTGATTGTGTAACTTGCTTTCGCAGTCAATGAACACTAAATCTTAGCATAGCAGTACTAAATCGTCAGGCTCAGTATACGCCAGAGAATCTACGCTACGGTATATAATCTTAGGGGTAGTTAACATGATTCCTGTTAGCCGAAATTAAACGAAGCATGAAATGTCTTTGAGGTATTGAAATGAGTTGTTGTGGAACCAAACAAGCTCATGCGATTTATCGGGATGACCAGACAACCAACACAATGGCCTTAAACCATACTATCAGGATGTCTGGTCTGCCCCGATATATTGGGATGACCAGAACAACCCCTCAGTCTAAATGTCTAATTCACGGGAACTTTAGGTTATAGAAAGCGAGCCATGGCTGAGGTTTGGATTTCCAGTGGAACAGGAGAGATTGTTGTTAACGATACTCCTCTCATCGAATACTTTTGTAAACAAGAAGATAGGTGGGTTAAGAATTCTCTGGGATGTGAATGTGCGTGAGAGGGGGGGGAGGTGTACCCCTGGGCAAAAGTAGAATCTTGTTGGTAGTAGAATCTAAATGCTCCAGTGAGTGGGGTGGACTTATGTTTTTGCATTACCAACGGCGAGCCAAAGTAAATATGTATGCCCCTAGCAGTTTTGCTAATCTCATTATTACAACAACTTAACATGCAAGAATCCTACTTGAACACGGTTTTGTTTGTTTTAAAGAAATCAAGTGTCGCATCCTTTGATCACCCTTGACTGCATGGGAAAGTACGACATTGAATGCAATGTCATCGGTGGAGGATCCACAGGTAACCAGGCACGCCAAAGTGAAACGAAAGCAATAATCTTTATCTTAGAAGAATATGACTGTTAAAGGTCTGTAGGACCGAGCGATTCTTACTACAAAGTACAAGTGTTGCTGACTGAATGTAATGCGCGATAATTTGTGTTTTTTTTAGGTCAATCTGGAGCGATAAGACTCGCGATCAGTCGAGCTCTTACGAGCATCTCCTCCGACTTTCTACCTCGGTTGCATTCGGGTAGGCTTTTAAAATGTCTAAAAACTCCTAGCAAAAATCCAGTCAAAAAACAGCTTTATATATATTGCTTAAAACTGCAGCGATTGATAGCTATTAGCTATATATACACACGAGACGGAAAGTATTTAGGTAAAAAATTAAAATTAAACTGTTGTATTAATGCGTTTTTTATCTAAATTGTTTGAAAGTCATTTGCTGGGTTTGAATTGTCATGTATAAATTCAGCTATACGTTTTTTTTTTAATTTAGCTGGATTACTGACGAGAGACAGTCGCTTGGTTGAGCGCAAGAAACCGGGGCAGAAAAAAGCTAGAAAAAAGTTTGCATGGTTTGTTTATACACTGATACTTTTAATTTCACAGTTTCACTTACTTTAATTTAGTGTTTATAAACCCAGAGTTATTTTGTAGTTTGTACCGTTTTAGGTTAAAGTAAAAACAAGTTTCTGCATGCGGTTTTAATGAAAAATTAATAACATGTTTGCGGGTTTTGTTATTTTTAGGGACACCCTGCAGGTATATCTAGTTTAGCCCATAGGTCTATGCACGCGACTTTATGTATTCTATATTACATTAATCTTTATTTTAGGGTGAAGCGGTGATCCTGTATGGAAGTAAAGCTCGAGGAATGAGACTAAACTCGTATGCATCTGGGCGGCGAGAATGGATGGAAAAATTAATCTGGAAATATAATGTACATTAAAACTTCTACAAACATGCTGCAACTGTTTTTTAAGAATTTATATCACTGCAACCGTTTGAAAATAATATCGCTTGAAATAAAGTCAAAATATCTCGTAAAAATGCGTGTGATTCCTTTAGCTCAAACGAAATTGAAGTTTATAAGATAGCATTAGTACTGTGGCATTACAATCGAATTATCTATTTTTATATATTTTTCGGTAGGAAAGGTTTAAAAAGGTCCATGCATTGTTCTTGGTGTTGGGAAAAACAAGCTAGTATATAACATCAGTGAAGTCTATTATGTTCAGCCTCGTACCCAGGCGATTTACATTCAGTTATTTTATACAGGTCAACTGAAAAAAGGCGGGGAACTTGGGGCGCTCGCCTTCTTTCAGCTGACCCTTAGGTAATAACTGAATGCAATGTTATATATATTTTTTTTATATATACTACACAAGCACGCCCAGGGCCTCGGGCAGACCACAAGCTGACCATAGTCACCGCATCTTATTAAAACAAAAACGCAGAAGCGTTTTGATTGGATGAATGCATTCGCCAGCTGGACTGCAATTGGGTCATATTAATTGCGATGAGTAAAAGCGAACCATCTCAACTACAGATTAGATCCAATGTTTGTCAATGTGTCGTCTACCCAGTGAGACTTGGCCTACCTCAACTATGTATAAACACTATAGTGCGTTGTTAAATGCTTTAGATGTAAAGTTAGTGATATACAGTAGTTTTGCTGTGGTTTCTCCACCTGTTAACTATGTTTTCATGTAACTATATAAATAAACCGTAGAGGACATACTCTGGGTGTGTGAACATGATTGGAAGATGTATCGCTGTTTTTTTTTAACATCAATAATTAACGCCACATCCCAGAATGAGTCTGAAAATCGCACAAATCTTTGACACAAATCTCGAAAAACACGAAAAAGAGACATGGCCGTGATCTTCACTCGTGAAATATGAACTGAATTTTACTCCAAATGCTGGCATTTTCGAAATATTGTTCTATTTTACATGAACCCGCAGACCACAATATAATTTGTATGACTACAGTGTACAGACGTACCTGTCGGTTGCCTTGGGAGCCATCATTCGTGATTCAAACATGCCACGAGCTGTGAGCTACTTCTGTAAAGAAAGGCATACGAAAACAAGTTAAAAAAGTTCAATATGGGATTTTTGGTACCGACATCCACGGCTGTTTTCTTCATTGCATTTTTTGTGAACGGATTGGACGCCTTCTCGAGATCGTCTTGCACGCATACAGCAAGATTTGACAATCCTCAAAAAGGTAGGTTGGGTTAAAGTTTGCCCTATTAACTGAATCAAGTAATTCATTTAGTGGTCAGCTAGACCGTTTTTTATTACGTTCGCTTTGCCCTCGGGGTTGACGTTGCCTTCGAAAATCTCATTATTCAGCCGTGGCGGGATTCAAAAAATAAAGCGCGCTTCGCCAGCTCAGGTTGAAGGGACGTAATGGAAAATTCTCTTAAAAAAGTGTGCTGGACTGCTTGTGTGAACGTTCGGGATATGTTTATGATACTGCTTCTGTTTACGCTTCTGTGACTTCGAGCACTGAAGCTTCATCGCTATCAGCCAACCATAAATCTAATCCATGAGCTAATCCTAACTCTAATCTTAATCTAATCTACAGAAATAAATCGTGCATTTAGGATTTAATAAACATGAAATTATTACCTCAAACATATTACCTCTTGGTTAGCGTGCGTTGTTTCAAAGCTTTAGAGTATTTTTCAAATACGTTCAGATAAAAGCTTGGACGGTAACGTTATCGAGACTGTGAACGTGATAGACCAGACGAATTGCGTCATCATTTGCCTGGAGCATCCGGATTGCGAGTCCATCAACTATCACGTCGTCTCGTCCAGTCCTACGCACGTTTGTGAACTAAATAGCAAGAACGAGCATGACGTCAGTTTGACTGATAAAACTGACGTCATCCATTATGGACCAAACATCTCTCAACTGGTAGGTCGAGAATATTTACGATGCTGTACGTATATTACGTGCGGATTTGTTAGAGATATTTTGCATGAGTGCAATAATCATCACACTGCCTATTCTGTCCACGCAGCAAAGACATTGCAAGCACGTTACAAACACGTTGCAAACACGCTGCAAACAGGCTGCAAACACACTGCAAACACGCTGAAAACACGCTGCAAAGACATTGCAAGCACGTTGCAAACACGTTGCAAACACGCCGCAAACAGGCTGCAAACACACTGCAAACACGCTGAAAACACGCTGCAAAGACGTTGCAAACACGCTGCAAACACGCTGCAAACATGTTGCATGTTACGAACACGTTACGAACGCGTTACGAACACGTTGCGAACGCGTTACGAACACGTTGCAAACGCGTTGCAAACACGTTGCAAGCGCACTCTAATGTCGACAAAATTGAAGCGTTTAACATCGACCATGATGCGTTTCTCTTATTTTCAGCCAGACTGTGCTCAGAATGGACCGGGCGAGTGTCAAAATGGCGCACATTGTGCCTCGTCTTGTGCAAATGATCAAAAACTGATGTGTCATTGTCGAGAGGGGACAACTGGATCAACCTGCGCAGGTACGTTGATTATATTCCTAAATTTAGTTTCACATGCATGCATGATAGCTCTGTCCCCTTTCAAATCACCCGTAAATTCACCGCGGAAATTGATTTGCATTCATAACTACATTGCTGCAATTCTTCATGCTTACTTGGGCTTCAAATTTGGTAGGAAAAAATATTTAAAAATGCTCAACAAAATAAGTCTATAGCACTGAAGATATAAATCTTGCACATAGTAGAAAAAATGGTCCAAATTAATAACCTTGTGCAGTTTTGTGTATATAACTAAAGTCTCACAAAATGAAAAAATAGCCTTTACACAGCCGCCAGGGGCAGTTGTATAAAAGGCTAGTTAACCGTTTTAACTATAGTTAAGGACAGAATTGGCCAATCAGTGTCGTGTATTTCTGAGTTAACTAGGATTTAACTATGCAAAGTTGAGAGCAAAACAGAAATGCACAAATGTGAACCAGTGATGAGTTTAGTTTTTCGAGCAAAATTTCATAAACACCAATTTCTGCGGTGTCGTAAAACAGACAAATGTTTTTCGCACTTTTGCAGTTGTGTACAAGAATCAGGACTTCACGATGGTGTTTCCAACAAGGAGCGTTCAGAATTACATTTTGATAGACGACAGCAACGTACCGGAAATGGCTGCCTTCACTCTAATGTTTTGGGTCACCTACTTAAGAGAATCAGTTATGACAGTTTTGACATATGGCCTCGAAAATGAAGATATAAAATTGAACATTAAAACAGACGGGTTTTATTTCCGTGTTTTATCTGGAACTAAGTAAGTCAATGTGTATGCAAATATATATATAGCCAAGCCTGTGCATACAGCCAATCAGCGCTCAGAAAGGTGCCGGTCGAAATATAGAAATCCGTTTGTTGCGTTCGACGAAGAAGAACGCTTCCTAACCGCGTCATATCGAGATTTGCGATGTCAGATTTGCCTCGTTCTGATGTGTCGTCATAGTAACTGGAGACCATGTGCTCGCTCTATTTTGACATTTTGTTGTTAATTAAGGCATATGAGCCATCACTGTTGTTAAATTACTCATTTTACGGGTAACCTTTTGAATCACATACGCTGTGGCATTATAATGTTTACATTTTTGTTAATGATCGTTTACCGAAATCAACACATTCCGAACGCACATCACTAATCTGTGATCACTGCTAGTTATATCTTTTATATAGGACCGTTTACATGCACTTGGTATATCGAATGCCTGAGCTAGATGATATATTGATGAGTACACTGTATAGAGTTTTGAAATATCTATATGTGATTGCTTAGGGGAATAAGCACTCCTCCGATCTTTGATGGCTATTGGCATCACGTGGGAATCACATGGTCCCTGGGGGAATACGTCTTGTACATCGACGGTACGTTGATTGAAAGTGGAGAAGGCCTGGGTCCGACTACTCCAGTAACAGCGGGAGGAAAATTTCACATTGGTCAGAGGTATAAGTCCGAAAGAAGTTTCGACGAAACCAAGTCATTTGCGGGTAAACTGACGCAATTGAATATGTGGGACAAGATTTTCACTGAGGATGAAATCAAATCGACAAGTGGAAGTTGCATCAATGACGTTGGTACGATATTAGATTGGAGCACCGTGGTGAGTAAAGCACACGGAGCTGTATTCAAGGAAAGCCTGGGATTGTGTCGGACACTTCGTGATGGTAAGCAGACGAATTTTTATCTAATGTGATAATGAAATTAGGGAGAGGGTGGTTCTGTACGATTAGGAATCTTTGGGACAAAAATAATACTGAAGTAGACCTTGTTTAGTAACCTTTCCAGCAGCTAGTTGGAATTATAGATCGTAACTAAGGTAAACAGACGAATTTTTATCTAACATGATAATGAAATAAAGGAAAGGGTTAACGGGGGATAGTTCTGTACGATTAGGAATCTTTGGGACAAAAATAATACTGAAGTAGACCTTGATTGGTAACCTTTCCAGCAGCTAGTTCGAATTATAGATCGTAACTAAACAACCTTTTTCAGGGGGGCGCGATAGATCGTTTAGTTAGGAGGGGGCCAAATATTCATATATTCGTGTTATCAGACGGTGAAAACAATCACTGGGCAAATAAAAACAAACTGACAAGCTGAATGTGAATATATGAATATTAGCGAACATATATCCTTTCCACAGATCCTGTCTACGATGTAATGATGACGGCTGACGCTAGCAAGAGCACGCAAATAACAAGAATTGAAACATCTGTCAGCCTTACAACATTCAAGAATATTACAATCTCAACGTGGGCACAACATGACGAATACATGAGATATATTTCGTATAGGTCGTCTACTGGCGCAATACCATATCTCTCGTTTCGTCTCGAAAAAGATGTTCTCATTCTGGACATAGTAAACGTTGTTCGAAAGTATGTGCACTGAGCTATATTATATAAATCCCAAACTGGAGGTAGTCCTGCATGAATTATAAGATCTTAGTGCCTTCTCATGATGACGTCAAACGCGGAAAGTCTGATGTTACACGAAGTTTGATTGGCTCCACAAAACTAACGATCCAATAAAACTTCGTGTAACATCAGACTTTCCGCGTTTGACGTCATTTTGATGAGAGAGGTCTATTAAACCGAGATAAGTCAATCTATGGATCTGATCTTCAAATTCCAATACTTGAAAACCAGAACCTGCACTAATTGAAAGCACTAGACGTATATCGCATATCAAGAGTTGCCAGTGATTCGTTAGTACGTTTTTATGCCCTAAAGGTTTGCAAAGTTTTTTTAATGTTTTTTAATTTCCCATTAGCCTGCCCCTGTATTCATTTACATGCTACAGCTACTGTAGAATACTCTGAGGCCATGCATGTGCACACGGTAACGTTTTCGAGCGTTTTCACATTCGTTTTCATACCAAAACGGTTTCAAACACCGTCAATTTACAAGTTGAAGCTATTAAGCACATTTTGGACAGGGCGTCTAAACAATAAAATAGACAAAAACGATTTTGAAAACGCTCGAAAACGACGCTCGCTGGTACCACAATTAAACGACAGCTTACCTTATTTAGGGAAGCACGTGTTCCCAGATACTGGAAAGAGGACCCTGCGTTATGGCATCACGTTGCTACCACGTGGTCAGGCGATACGGGGGTCTGGCAGATCTTTTTGGATGGTTCACTGGTCTCTACCATGGAGAATGTGGCTGTTGGCCATGAGCTTCCTACGAAAGGGACTGCATTCATTGGTAAGGCAGTAAACGTTGCATGGTATAGTCTTCTCATCATCTGGGGTCAGTTATATCAAGCCCGTTTAGCTTAAAGGGTGGTTAAGTTCAAAATAGAAAGCAATTTTATAGTTTTATTTAAGAAGCAAACTAAATGTTTTCAACCTTAATACAAAGACACTGTTTACAACTACATATTCAGTGCATAATATTCAAATTGACTCATTCAAGAGAGATGTAAACGTGTCATTTAAATTTGACTTATCCACCGTTTAAGCTAAATGGGCTTGATACAACCGGCCCCTGATCTTCATGAGAACAACACAACATACTATTTTGGGGGACCCTAATCATATATTCTGCTATGCCTGGAAAACAAAATTATCTTTTTATTGAACAACTGAGCTGAAATATTTCGATGAAAATAGTTTACGTGTAATTGTCAATAAAAGTACATATGAAATGCATAAGATTCAGATTAGGTCATTCAGGTTCAGTCATTCACAAGATCTTCGAGAGTATTATTAAACTTTGGCTTATCTGCTGTTTAAGCTAAACGCCTTTCGAACACCGGCCCCAGGGGTGCAGCACACACTCTTCACTCCTGACGCGACAGCCTGTTCCATTTTTTGGCCGTGTAGGTGTCCCAGAACCCGGAGATCTATCTATGACAGGCAGTTTAACAAGATTCAACATATGGAATCTCATAATCGATGGGGGATCTATATCAATAATGGCAAGATCGCAACAATCGTTCCCCAACGGCAATGTATTCGCTTGGTCCGACGTGAAATCGAAGGTCACTGGAGATATGGAATTCGAGAAGACACCCAGTGGCGTGCGCAATAGACGTAAGTTCCCCCTAAATAAAATTTTAGGTTTCCTCCTGTAGTAACATTGAATCAATAAGAAATGATCCTTACTGGACATCTAGGAAGAACAGTTTAGAACTGATAGAGCTATCCAGTATAGATAAAGTTAGTTTAGTTTAGGTTTCTTCCTGTAGTAACACTGGATCAATAAGAGATGATCCTTACTGGACCTCTAGGAAGAACAGTTTAGAACTGATAGAGCTATCCAGTATAAATAAAGTTGGTTTAGGTTTCCTCCTGTAGTAACACTGGATCAATAAGAGATGATCCTCTAGGAAGAACAGTTTAGAACTGACAGAGCTATCCAGTATGGACTATCAATATTCACTGCAATCCAGCATTATATGTTTTAATCTTACCCGTGTAGAAAACCCAAGTTCAAAAATACAATAAACTTCTGTTTCAGGGTCAGGTGTAGAATATCAAATGAAGTTTCCAGCAGCATCGTCCTCTAATTACGCTCTGCTTTACAACGTATTTCCTGAACCAGTCACAGTATTCGCGGCATGTTTCTGGGCGAAAATTTTGGATGCGGGTGCTGCAGTCTATAGCTACTCGACTAAAAGTTACAGTGCTGAGATTCAATCCTATGTCTACTCTTATGAACTTGACCTTATCATCCAAGGCGTGGACCAATCTGGGTAAGCTCTATAAACTTGCATAAGGCACACTTCCACTATTTTCATTTTATATAGCTCTATCAGTTCTTGTAGTGTTCTTCCTTGAGGTCCAGTAATGATATTGATCAAGGAGGAAACCTAAACCAAACTACCTTTATTTATACTAGATAGCTCTGTCTGTTCTAAACTGTTCTTCCTAGAGGTCCAGTAAAGATCATCTCTTATTGATCCAGTGTTACTACAGGAGGAAACCTAAACTAAACTAACTTTATTTATACTGGATAGCTCTATCAGTTCTAAACTTTTCTTCCTAGAGGTCCAGTAAGGATCATCTCTTATTGATCCAGTGTTACTACAGGAAGAAAACCTAAACTAAACTAACTTTATTTATACTGGATAGCTCCATAAATTAAGGACGATAACAGATAGCTCTATTCTAGAGACTCCATTGTTACGCAAACCCAGTTAACATATTCGACTTGACTTGCCACATATTTATATTACCTTCATTCAACGATGGCTCCTCATTTCTATGTCCTAGGCCTGACCTTTCATCCCCGAGCAATTGGCATTTCTATTGCCAGCAGTGGCGCAGTTCGGACGGTCTCATCGAGACTTGGCAAGATGGTAAAAAACTTCAAAGCAAGACCCGCGCAACAGGCAAGGTTGTGGAACCAGGGGGAGCCATGATCATTGGCCAAGAACCGGACTCGTATGTCGGATCCTTTTCTAGTTCCCAGGCGTTTAAGGGCACCATCGCGGGATTAAACATGTGGACGGATTTCCTAACTTCTAACGAAATCCAAGGAATGTGTGGTGGGCTGATTAATGTCAACGGTAATCTATTCCGGTGGAGGGATATTAGTCTTCCTGAATACAGATATGGTGATGTCACAAAGGCATTGGCTGAACCGGCATTACCCGGTGAGTAACAAGGTGGAATTTCGTTGTAAACTAATCGGCATAATTGTTTACATTTTTCAAGTTAAGCCAATCAGAATGCCTAAATTTTTAATACTTGATGTAAAATGGCAAATAATGTACCCAGAGGTAGTCAGAATTTATGTGCATCCTGACTGGGTTACTGAAAATGTAACTGGACTGATCAGCTACGTACTCTCACGCATTTATTGCCGTCATCGCCAGCGTTATGACCAATATTGGCGGGAAAGGAATGGGGCTAGTGGTCAAATAAGAATCAATTTAATCAATATCTCTTGAAATATACTTTATTTCGGTCTCAAATTTATGTCAGAACTATAGTTCTTATAACTAAACATAATCACAAAATTTAGACCAGTTTCGTAACGAATAACAAAATATATAATCGATTAAATACAGCAGAATGGATTTCTATTTCGACGAGCTATTTGAGCGCTGATTGGCTGAAATATTTTCCTAGAGTTTCGTGTGCAGAAACTACGGGACGAATGGTGTATAAAGAATTACAATAGAAGAAACGCCAGATTTGTGCGGATTAAGAGTGGAGGATACAAGTGGAGGTGTATGAGTTCCGTTGCCTTGTTACCAGAGAACATGTGTTATGACATCGATGGGGCCAGTCCTTCATACAATACAAGAGACCCACAACTTTTAGCTATCGTATAATTAGTATATTTGTGTTATCTTATCTTGACAAACCCTATTACCATATCATACCATACCATACCATACCACACCACACTACACCATACCACAGCACACCATACCATACCATAGCATAGCATAGCATAGCATAGCATAGCATAGCATAGCATAGCATAGCATAGCATAGCATAGCATACCATACCATACCACATCACACCATACCATACCAATAAACTTTACTTATTACTCCTACCTTGCCACTCACCGTGGCATACCATATCACACCTCTTTACCTTACCACACCTCACTTTACTTTACGGATCTTCACCATAGCCTAAGTCATAGAAGTACCACACCGATATGTAGAACCATATTTGATGTTTTGATATCATATTAATAATTTACAGACTTTTTATAGACGTATTGACATTCGATGAAATACAACCCTCACCTGATGATATGTATATATCTCTGGGATATATCTTGCCTTGGGGGCAACATTTAATCGAATTCTCCTCGTCTATAAATAAATAAACTGATAATAATGTACCTATACTTAAACTAATTCCACGTAAGCAATAAAGTTAGTTTAAAATGTCAAATGCTGCACCAGGAAAACGGACGGCATCACCCCGCCATATTTGCCCAGAAAAGGGCCTGGGAAGGAGGTTGGACGACTTGCGCTTTAGACCCTGATTAAGCTTTTCATTCTATTTTGGTGGAGTGGGTCGGGTTGTAAACATCCTCGTTACCAGGTTTTAAACGAGGGTAGGTTGTAAATGGTGTGTAATAAGCTGTTCCGAATTAAATATTTAATATAATAAACAATTGTGTGCAGTTTTGAAATTCTCAATAAAACTACCCCTATTAGTTCAAAATATTGACGATTTTTAAAAATAACGTTTTTTCTCTTCCTGAAGTTGGACTTTTTAAGCTCTGCCAGACAATAGGTTCGTTGAACGTTTTCATCCCGGGCTTACCGTATTAGGTTTGGGACGAGTCGCCTTCATAAGTTTTCTTCGGCATTCAGTCATAAAATATCACCTTCACGTCTTTAACCTTTTGCTTCCAGATTTTCGGTACGAGTTGTCTTCAGCTTTCCGGTCTTTGTCGTATGACTTCCGATTTCCATCGGTCGATTTCCGGTAACCATCGTCAGACTTGTTGTAAGTATCAGCAGATTTCCGGTAACTATTGTCAGACTTTCGGTGACTTCCGTCAGATTTTCGACGACTCTCGTCAGATTTCCGGTAACTATCGTCGGACTTCCGGTGACTTTCGTCATACTTCCGGGAACTATTGTCAGACCGCCGGTGACTTTCGTCAGATTTTCGGTGGCTATCGTCGTGTCTTTGGCGGTTGTCGTCGGACTTCCGATGCTCAAGTTTGCGGTCACTCCGAGCAGGTTCTGTTCTCTGATATTTCGTCCTCGGACTGGGCTCCCTGTTCTGCTCATTCTTGCTACGGCGATCACTGTGTCTATGATGCTGGGCAGTTTTTCTGCATGAAAAATGAGAGCACACCAGAATAAAAAACAATTCGTGATGTTACTGCGGGCAAGGACAATCAGGGTGGGCATAAAATCACTGATCGCAGCGGGCATAAAACCCGCAAGCTTTGGTTGGTGGACTGTCCAATATTCGCAACCTCACCTGTCGTGTTCAGGACTGCTTTCTTCGCTAGACGAGTTACGTCGTTTCTATAAGATCAAAATAAACTTTAGCACGATTCAAACACAAACTTCCGTATAACATACTTTGAGCAAAATGTTTGCCCCTAAGTAGCTATCACCGTTTATCAAAACATATTTTGCTTTCTGGGACCGAAAAAGATAATCAAAGAATTTCTGCAAGTATTCGAGAGATAAAGGATGCTCGGATAGCAAGGAGTTGTTGAACTGTGTAACGTTTTGCGCTTGGGGAAGGTTTCACCATTTCTTTCGTCTTCCTCTCCTTATCTTTATTCTGCTAACTTAAAACTTCTGGAACGAATGACCCCGTGCGTGGCCCGCCGTCTTCTCACCCCTGTAAGGGAGAGCTTTAGTTTTCTTCCCTTTATCACTGTCAACGTTCCTGAAGATGATCGCCATCTTTCACTCTCCATCACGAGGTGAAACAATCGTTTCTTCAAACAAACTAAACCACATTATATTTACCTTACGTCTTTCTTTTCTTCTCTTGGACTGTCTCTCTCCATCACTCTTTTCCTCCTCGCTGTTACCCTCAAACACTAAATCATATTTGTCCTTCCTCGAGGAACCCTTGATTTCGAGTTTCGGTCCAGCTGGCTCTTTTTTGTTTTTCAACTCGTACACCGGCTTTGCCCCTGAAAGGTAATTTTACAAAAAATGTAAATAGAGTTTTGCATTAAGTTCTTGCATAGTACGAAGAGAAGCGTCTGGCATTACATAGAAAAGAATGGACATGTCGCAGCTCTCGGAAGCTTTCGTCCAATTGGATAATGTTTTTCTATGCTTTCTGAAGAACGAAGCTATGCTATTGGTTGAAACAGAAATGTATTGTGAAGTTCAGCCAATAAAAATCATTCTTGCGAGGAGCTGCGACACTACCCGAAAAGAATGCAAAAAAAGCCAATGGACATCATCATCAGTAAGAGTATAGTAAACACTAAACAGAAGTAAGGTACATATGGGTGCATTGCGAGGTAACGAGGGTTAACATGAGATACTGGTGGTTTCTCATGGGGATCACAAACGTGTGATGCTAGTACTTAGTGCTTAGTAGGTCTAAGGAACAAAACTAAGGCACGAACATCTAACCAAAAAGAGCAACGACTCACACACCAGGTTTGCTATAAACCAGTTTTGCTACAGATTGACTGAAGTCAACGTGAATTCGCCGATCATCGATAAGAACGTTGTCCATTTTGAAGTAAGCTCTCTCACAATCTTCCACCTGCAATGAAAATGGCAATTAATTCGATGGGGACTCACACACTAGAACTAAACGAAATCTGTAGTCTCCCTGATCTTGGTCCAATAGTCATACTTACGTTCTCATACTCAATGAAGGCGTACTGAAGAGACTCTTTGGAGACAGAATCTTTTATTATCTCACAGCTAAAAAGAGGAAAGAAGATTCCACGTCTCAATCCATACAGTGAGCTAACCTAAAAACTAAAAAGTTGTGTTCACGCTACAATGCTGACTTTAAATTTCTTGGTCGTCTGACCTCTCTAGACTTTAGACAAACCTGGATTACATCAGTCTCCTCTTAATTCTAATTTCTGCCTAACCTCAAACCACTCACTATCATGCATATTGAAATAGCCTGGCAATATGTTGGTTGAGCAATACATGGTCGAGATAATCTTAATACTGACCACACCTGTGGATCAACCAATTGGATTCGCTTTAGGTTTCCATTGTGACCACAAATGTCATAAATGACATAGGGTGTATTGCATGTGATAGAAACCAACTGGGTTATCCCAATGACGGTATCACAGTATCACTACATGTTCCCCATCAAGTCACCCACTGTCATCATCAACTGTTATCCACTGTTGTAACCTATCATTATCACTGTCTATCCACAATCATCAACTATCATCCACAATTGTCAACCATCATCCACAATTGTCAACCATCATCCACAATCGTCAACTATCATCCACAGTTATCAATTGTCATCAACTATCATCCATGTACCACCATGACCATTATATATATAAATCTTCACACAATGGATACTAAGCTCACCATTTTATGGGCCCAAACCGAGAAAATATAATTTCCAAATCCTCATCGGTTGTAACAGGATTTAATTTACAAACAAAGAGAACATTTTCCGGAGGCTTAACATCGGCATCTGGTATGTCTCCAACCTAAACCGTAGAAAGTGTTCAAGTTTCAGCACCTGTGAATTATCAGATGAATTCAAAAGAAGTCAGTTTGCGTAATGCCGTACCATTTCCAAGATCTGTGTACCAGCTTGAAACTCCCTTTGTTCAATCATTTCCTCGACCTCTTCCATTGTTTTGCCTTTGGTATCATCGATTTCTTCATCTGCACCAATACGGCCACTCTAAATTATGCACACAAGATTGCCTTGCTGCTTTACACAACCAGATCGAGATACTACCAGCAAGCATTATAGCATATATTATAAGCCACCACTAAAAGTATGGTAAACTCATTGCCAGGTAATGGTTCACAACTGTGACAAAATGACAAGAATCTTACATCAAGCTGTTCTTTGGTTGGTTCAGGTGACCTATCTGGTACTTGAAGTCCATCTGGATCATCAAAGGGGTCGTCCAATATGACTGTATGAGTTATCCTTCACACAGAAAAATATTGAAGTCAGAACATCTCTTTAATTTTAAATGCGCTAGCAAGAACTTATCTAAAAGAGTTGTTCTTAGCCACTGGATAAATCTGACCTAAGGCTTGAATATATAACTAAAAATGCCTCTAAAACTATACCCAAATATCAGCTTTTATGTAACAATTGCAAAACATTCAAGGCCCAATACACAATACCTACCTCACATCTTGAAATGGCCGATGGCCATCGTCACAAATGGTTTCATTTAGTTTTTCCAAGATATCGAATCCTTCAGCAACCTCACCAAACACTGTATGCTTGCCATCCAAGTAATCCAGATTTTCACCAAGAGTAACAAAGAACTGGAAATGCATAATTCCGAAGGTAAAGAAGGGTGATTCTCTGGTCACACACATGTGACAATGCTATTCTATTTGTTACATGCAAAATATGAAGCCTGAAGAAACAGCAATGTCACGTGTGTGACCAGAGAATCACCCAAAAGATTTTCAAGTAATATGTCTAGTTACACTGTGATATGGCAGAAATTGTAGTGTACATAACAGGAAGCATGAATATTTTTAATAACCTCCAGCTAAGCATTGGCTTGTAGCAGCAAAACCTGGTGTATGATTGACAAGCTTGTTTGTTGGTTAGAATTTGTGCCATCCATAGTATTTTATTCTGACCAAATGCAGATGATTTCACTAGGCGTTGCCTGGGTGATTCTTTGGTCACGCAGGTGACAATGCTATTCTATTTTGTTACATGCAAAATATGAAACCTGGAGATGTAGCAATGTCATGTGTGTGACCAGAGAATCACCCTGCTGCTATTAATTACAGGCTATATCAGAAGCATTAGATAGCATAAACCACCAACCTGGGAGCCATGCATGTCATCGCCATTATTCACCATGGACACAGTTCCTTTCTTGACATGCTTGATTCTTGGTTTGGTTTCCGCATCGAAGAATTTAGCTTGGTCACCATAAAGTGATCGAAATATAGACTCCCCACCTCGACCTGACCCAGTCGGGTCCCCAGTTTGAGCTAGAAAGTTTCTCTAAAAGGAGAACATTGTTTCTTTTGAAATATTGGGAGTTTTGGACCTCTGTTTAAAGTTTCCACCCAGGCCTGATGACAGTTTAGATATGGCTTGGGAAAGGTTAGGTTAGCTCAAAGCAAAATATTGCTCATTCATAGTCAAAGTATTTTTAATCGGTACACAAATCAAGGAACGTGTGCAAAGTATTAGTGAAGCTCCAGACTGCAGAGTGTGGCAACTGCGCACCCAATTTTTTTTTTCTGGAGCAAATTAGCGCACCAGGCAACAATAAGGGAAAAATTTCGCGCACCTTGTACTTCTAATTCTAAGTTTTATCACATATAATTCAATTTTTTTGGAGCAGCTTTTAAAATTCTGAGTCACTGATAATTTGTTATTGATAACAATTTATAAAAATATGATGGCGCCATCGCGCACCTAAGCATTTTAAAATTATTTGGCGCACCTGAGAAATTTTCATGGTGCACCTGAGAAGTTTTTGCGCACCCGCACCTAAATTCTGGTCGCTTGGCGCACCCAAGATCTTGACGAAAACTGCCACACTCTGCAGTCTGGGTGAAGCTACAGAAAGCATGTCTGCAAACATTTTACCTGAATAAAATGGAAAAGGCTGTAGTTATAAAACTTGACTTTACACAATTTCAGAAAATTCAGGCATGCTAAAAACAAGAAGAATCGATGATAAATAGCACGGAATAGCACACAATAATACAGTAGAAGTCTTCAAGAGAAAAGCAAGGCTGCAAGCATGATAGGTTTTGAATTTGAAAAATATTTAAAACGGCAAAGCTTACTTCTAGGTCTTTCCTCGGTAAAAAGGTCGATAACTAAATCCCCGATAGTTGTTTCAAGTATAACTGACATTATTTAAAATTTAAATGACTATTTGTGGCAACAAATTCAACAAGAAACCACTCTTATTTTCAGCCATATTGTTTCCTCCGATTCCTCTGGCGAATCGCGGGCTCGGGGAACGAGAAAACCTTGGGCACGAGGTTGGATTGATCCAGGATTGACCCTGACCACACCCTAAAGGAAAAAGCCCAAGCCTGTTCCAAGACGAAAACAAAGTGTCCTTCGACTTTCTTGACTTTGATGTCCTCGACATGACCATCTTGAAATAGTCCGTAGTCCTCAAACGCTTTGTAGGGAGCAATTTTGTGTCTGTCGTCGCTTGATTTAAATATCAAAAATATATCTTCGATGCCAAAATTGTCGTGATATCCATTGTTAGGCTTGTATTTTTGTAAAATATATTGTTTTCAATGTTTTTCTTGACCCAACTTTTTCGCGCGCTGCAAATTAGCCAATCAAATCCTTCCACGCAAAAGCCACGCGCCGCGGGCGGAGAGGTCTATTTAAAATTTGTGTGACAAACTAAATTAACTAATTACTCATTAGTCATTACTCATAGTCGAAAGACTTGTTCGATGACTTAAATCGTTGCTTCTCGCAGTTGATATTGACCGAATTCACCGAAAGTTAATTTCGTCGAGAAAGTGAAATGAAATAACGGGAACTACGTCGCTGGGTAAGTTTTATTTAAAAGTATACACTTCAAAAATCCTTAAATCCATTTCGATTCTTCATCGGTCTCTGACAGACCCTGCACGTGTCAAGTGCAAATGATCGCACAGGAACACGACTGGGAAATTTATCCTATTTAGAAAGAATATGCTTTGCCTTTGATACGGTTTTAATAAGATTAAGGTATAAACAAGTTTACATTGCATGTAGTATTGCCTATCAGATATATCCTTAGACTGTGTTAATTGTGAGATTGTTTGTCAGTGTGCAGTGCACGGATTTCAAAATTATTCATATTTTTTTGGCCTTTCACGCCCATTCTCGACGAATTTGTCATATAATAAGTACATTTATCAAGATCCTCTCGTATGTGATTAATTAAGTTGAGTATATATATCAGAGGGAAAAAAGTTTGAACCGTATACTGTTATTTCAAAGGTTGACATTGGACTTGATGTCCATCGCGGACGCTTGTCATACTGTTGGGTGTGGCTATAAGCGCAAGGCTTTGAGACATTTAAATTAGTTCCATACGTACCAACAATATCCTCCTGTGGGCCTCCGCACAAGCGTTTTCGATCTGACTACATGCATCTGGTGCATAATCCCTGAGCTCTCTGGGTGTTCGGTGAAATTGTAAGCGAAACTTCAACGCTAGTACCGTCTAATAAATTCCTTTGAGATTCACATTTTCCCTTAAAAATCACACTTCACTAGTTTTTTATAAGTGTTGGAACGCACAATGGTTCGATGGTATTTTGAAAAACGGTGCATAGTCCCATAAATCGTATTTGTGGCCAATCAGTGGTGAAAAGCATGGGACAGATTATTGGGCAATTCAGGGAATATATTAGATTTTGCCAATAAAAATGTTCCATTTTTTATTTAGGTTATAAAGCGGATTGCAATGTGGAACAACATGCTGAGATATTTACTGTGACAAAACTGGCTCAATGGTTAAGTAACTCATTTTTGTTTCTTGTTAAATTGTACCGCTAACTCTCAATTGTGTAACTGCAGCAGACTACATATTATAGTTTGCATGGCAAAAAGCTAGGGCAGTACAATTTCTTTTGGTTTAAAGTAAAACTAAAAGTAATTGCAGTTGGCTCCTTAAACAGTTGTGTTGTGAGACAATATGATTGGAGCCATTGGTTCCAACCATTTTGAAATGAATCGGTATATTCGTGAGGTACCACAAAAATTTTTGGGTGTAGACATTCACCATTCGAAATGTTACTCTATACATACATACATAATACTTTATTTAAACACGCTAGCCTCGTCAGCAATGCTGTTTTTCATCCTTCTCATAACTCCAATTCCAGTCCCAATCTTCGCATAGATCTTATCTATATGTTTTTCCCAATTAACACATGTCAAACATGTCAACACCCAAGCATGTATAGTTTTCCATTGTGGGAACTGGTGTGTTATTGATTAAGATTGGGGTCTGAGCAATTTTATTCTTTATGTTAAAAGATGATCCGGTAAACATGTGTTTCGTCTTCTTTTGGTGAATTTGGAGCTTATTTTGTAGCATCCATTTATGGACATTTTCATGATCGTGATTTATGTTATTAATCAAGCTCATAACAGCTGTCATTACCAGTTGCATATAGATGCTACTCTTACAAAATGAAATCCCATGCACCCACCCCCTTAATCTATCTACAATATACGTACGATACTTATAAACATATAATATAAACATGAAAGTGTAAACTATATTGTCTATATATATGAGATTAATAGAGAAAAAGTGTACTGTACTTTTAAAAATTAATTTACACAAGAGGATTTATAAATGGAAAGGTCGAGGAAGAAAGCTTTTCACAAAACGAATTATAAGATGACAACGTTCTTATGTCCTCCAGAATTTGGTTCCAGACATAAGCAAACTTTTTTTCAAGTAATCCGTCCTAGGCTTGGGAAGACATAACCTAGTTGAGGACCCTCTCAAATCATAATCATGCATCGTATTTGAATGTTGAGATAGATCTCTCAATCTTCTATGCTCGTTAATTGCGGTTTGCCTTAAATTTAAATTACGTTAAAATTTTGGTTTTCCTATTAATTGCCATCATTTTGTGATTGCAATAAATTTTATAAAGGCACTGCCATGACGTTAATGCTAAATATAATTCACTCAGGTGGTACAAATCGACCAACCTATAAGTTTACAGAAAATGAATAATAATTGCAGTTATTACATGCAAAGCCGGAGCATAAATTTGCGACATAAATTAAGAATATTTCACGGTTTTAAAGTTTCATTTACTTGTCAAGGAACGGTACCATCAAAAGCGAGAGGCTTATTGTTATCAGATGTATGCGATATTTGCCTACTTTTAGCAGCAAAATTGTGTTATTACAAACTACTAGCTGGCTTGTCTATAGGGATCCTGGCCCAAGTACAGCAATTGAAATAAGCTTTAAACGAATGATTAGCAGAAACTCCGTTAATTATATTGATTTTGATCATTTAGACTTCCAAAAAAAATATTCATTTTGTCAAAGTTAATAAAAATTTCTAACTCTTTTTTTTTAAAACATCCCCTATAACCATGAAATTATGTAATCGATAAGTTGCGTTACAATTGTAGATACTTTCGTGCAGCGATTTTCGATTCCGATACATAAAAATGGGAGGATTTTTCATCTTAATATGGATTATTAACAAATATTTATCAACTGAGAGCTTTGAGAAATATTCAAAATATTATTTTTTCGATTTTTTACACTGGAATGACAAATTACGGTGTTAATGTCATGAAGTGATCGCGTTTTGAAAAGGAAACAGTTGAAAATCCAGGCTAAAATGAAAATCCAGCCTTTTCCTTCTCTTTAAACAAAAATTTCTTATTGGTCCCAGTTCGTTCTTTGCCTGAATATTTCTTACGAGTTAAACTTTCTGCATGTGCATAAGTTTGTTGTATACGTTGTCTTTTTTTTATCTTCAAGTCATTGGCGTCTTCATGTTTTAATAACTAGCAATTGTATTGTGTTGTTTGTCTATCCTTTTGTACATGTATCCAATTTGTTAAGATACTTGTTCGTGTATTATTATTCGAAACTTCTGTTTGACTCGAGTCCCTTCCTCTCTTGTCCTGTAACAAGTATATGGTTCCTGTAACAAAGACGAAAGTTTAAAACGTTTGCAAATAAAGAACTGCTATTATACATCCTGCAGACAAAGAATGGAAAAATCGCATCGTCGACTCTTCCTGAATTCTGTAACAAAACTACATTGTGTTATTAGATAAAAGAAAAATTACTATTTCCATATGAAACATCAGTACTGCGAAGATTTAAATAGTGAAGTCAAAAGATTTTGGAATTATCGTGCAATAAAATATTTAGAACGCTTGAAGTTCTTGAAAGAAAAACAAGAGAACGAATTTGAAACCCATTAAAAAAAAACGACAATCAAAATTCTATGATGAACCTCTAATGTAACTGCTCGACTAATAAGACTGGTCCTGAGACATGAAGACACCCCTCCTGTGGGAGGATGTTGATAAATCAAACAATTAATATAATCAAGAGAGTTCTGGCTATATTCCATTTCAACAGGAGAAATTGTCTGGCCGCGGGACTGAAAGATATATAGTTCAATAATTACTGACTGGCGCACTCCCTGTTAAATCAACGTGTGGTGTACACATCATTGTAACCCAGCAGCAAGCTCACAGGTTTTTCAACCCATGGCATGCAGGAATAACTTCACCATCGAACACTACATCGACCTAAATCGAAATGCTTCTTCATATCAACATTGAATTATTTCTTGTTACAAACACCATCGACAATTACCAGTTTTTTAGATCACCCATCGTCGATCGACAAAGAAAGAAAGATTGGAAGAGATTTTTGAGTATGCCGCCACGGTCAGAATTCCAACTGTCTGTGTCGTTTGTAATTCATTGTAAACACTTACATGATTTGCTTACCGTGCAATACCTGGATTTGCAATTTTCTGACTTGTAACAGCTTGATTAAACAGCTGTACCATTTGACGGGAAAACATGCTCGATGTAAGATCGATGTAAAGCTTGGATTGAAAATCTGTTAGTATATCATATATTCCGAAAGTGGTGAATGAATTTGCACTGTGCAGTACCCAAGATTTCTGAAATATGTGACAATGGTTCAGTGTATTTCTTCTAAAACAGTATTTATCTTTACGGACACTGGTCAATATATGAACAAAGATTTGAATATCCCACTGAATTTACGCCTTATCGGAAATGGAAATTGAAAAATGTGAAACGAACTTTGGGCAAGTTATACGTGAATATCCCACTGCACGAATTTACGCGTTATCGAAAATGGAAATTTAAAAATGTGGAATGAACTTTGGGCAAGTTATACGTGAATATCCCACTGCACGAATTTACGCGTTATCGGAAATGGAAATGTAAAAATGTGAAATGAACTTCGGGCAAGTTACATGTTAAAATTGTCGATGTTGAGGAATCCAAGCAGAAGAGTTACAATGTATTTACCAAACTGAAAACACATTGTTGATTGTTTAACTTGTAGTATAACCTGAAAGTGTTTCCTCTCTCTCTTGGCGTTTGGCCTCAAGTCACACTGGAGAACATTCCTCAATTTAATGATAAATGGGGATGTTCGTATGATTCCAAAACCTTGTGCTTCACTGTGAGCAGTTATAAGGTTGGTGTGGCGTCTCTCCACATTTATAGTGGGTGATTCATTTTGAAAAGAGGCTCCTGGCTCTTCTAATTTTTGTTTTTTTGTCCTTTTTCTGCATTCTTTCTTGTGCTTACAATAACAAATTTCTCAAGTTTTCTGTATTAAATATGAATCAGGCAAAAATTTAAATTTACTGCTAGCAAAAGGTTATCTTAATTTGGAGTGAAAGAATCTACATTTGTAAAGCAGATTGCTGTAGCTATAAGCGCGTTGTGCATTTTGGTAAATTGGAAAGTTTATCATAACGAACGATCCACTCTTGCATTTGATAATTTTCAGTCTCTTATGATGGTACCAAACCAATAGATGTGTAGCGTAGATTTGAATACGTATAGATGTAAGTATAGTGCATAATCTCAGCAGTTATACGGCATGGCGGTTCGCATTGATGACGTACTTCTAGCAGCGCTAGAACACAGCTTAAACGGAAGTCAGAGGAACAACTATTGCGCTAGATGTAAAAGTAACGCAGCGCTGAAACAGCGCTTGAACACCGCGATAACTCGAACTAATGAATTGCCTTCTATGGTAATAGCAGTATCTTAGTTATCGGACGATCGGATTGTATTACCATAGTTTGCGCGCCAGTTACGTCAGATTTAATGAGGGCGACCGCTATATAAACGCTCGCACAATTACATATATAAGAGAGATATATACCAAAATGAGATATATACAAAACTGTACATAGAAGTACTCCTGAAGTACTCAATTACAAATTTGCTAATTGGTCCCTGGGACACGGACACACCCAGTTTTACAGTCCAACGTTACAGATGCAATTTACAAACTGTAATCGTACAGTATGTGCTTATTATGCTAAAGTAATATTTTCAATTTTTAAAAATCGTATTTTACGTGTATTTAAAATGAAAAATAAATGTTTCATTAAACTAAAACTTACATATGTCATAATACAAAATATGTGCGACACTGTTCTCCGTAATAGTTGTAAGACTACACTGTTAATTTGAAGGTATCAATAGACCTTTCTTATAATGACGTCAAACGTGGAAAGTATGATGTTACACGAAATTTGATTGGCTCCACTAAACTATCGAGCCAATCAAACTTCGTGTAACATCAGACTTTCCGCGTTTGACGTCATTATGAAAAAGGTCTATTTACCACCAAGAATTGCGTTTAAAATAAAAAATAAATAAATCATTAAACTAAAACTTACTTATGTCATGTCAAAGCAGGTCCAATTATTAGGCCTTATTTATGGCTTATTAACTCTGAATAATTATCAGTCTAAATTACTGAATATTTACATATAAAACAGCATAAAGGCCGCATAAACAAAATGATATTTCACCATTCAGCCACGTCAAAGCAACTGTAGGACATCCTGTTAATCTATACCACTTTTCAATCTACAATTATACATTTAATATTTTAACAAAATGTAATGATAATTATAAATAAAATGAAAATAAAAATTATAATTAAAAATAAGAATAAAATAAAAATTATATTTATAAATAAGAATTATTATTCGAATTATTACTCCGCCTGTGTATAACAGCGGGGTAAAGGCCTGAGTAGGCGTCTTGTTTTATATTTATTTCTTACCCATATCAGTTTCACATTTCAACATCGGAACAAGGTGGCTAATAATCCCTCCAGATAAATGGCACCAGAGGAGATGAATTGACCCATGCATTTGCGCCATTTGGAGGGCATATTTCCGTGTTATACAGTTCATACCCAGGTGAAGAGCAATGTTGGTAAATGGTCTTTTTCAGCAGGCTAGCCATCAGTACAATTTTAAGGTATCCTGCCTGTTTAATCAATTTATAAACACAAAACGAACGTGCAATGCACTTTCTACTGAGTATTGCCGTACATAAGAACATAATCTTTTTTAGTTTTTTATAGCTATGAATTTAGCAAAAAATTCTAGAAGAACATAATTTAAACAGTACAAAGTACAGTACGATTATCTCGGTTTTATATAAGTCTAAGGGGGGAAGGGGGTAAATGCCTCTACTGGCAAGCGATGCGCAGTGATGAATCGCTTACGCTTTTTAGTCAGAAGAGAGACATGGTTGTTAATCTGTGGTAGAGTCAACTGTCATTGCCATTAATAGCAGTCCTATTCGTTCTATTACCATTATTAATTGAATAAAAATAATATTCAGTTCAAACTGAATTCAGTTCAAACAAACAAATCACGACGCGGTATTTAGGTCAGACGTGCACGCTTGTAAACGGCGTATTTAAGATCAGAGAGTCATGTTATAGGGACATGTTTAGGAAAATTAAGTATACTAATTCAGGTTTTAATTGCATGTCATTAGCATGAGATTGTCCCTATGGGCAGTGAATACTATTAAGGACAAATAAATTCATTTTACAAGTACATGAAAATATTCGCAACTATTCGCATGTTTTTCGATTTTCGATAATTGAAATCTTTGCCTGAATGTCAAGACTTTTTTTCTCAAATTATTTCCCCAAAAAATTCCCCGAATTCCCCCCCCCCTCCCCACGGCTACTCCTTTACTTTCTTCATCAATCTTGCACTCCTGCGGATCTCCCTTGTCCTTACAATTTATGGGCACTTTGTTAATCTGTGGTAGAGTCAACTGTCATTGCCATTAATAGCAGTCCTATTCGTTCTATTACCATTATTAATTGCATGAATAAAAATAGTATTCAGTTCAACAGACAGTTAATTCTGGGTTTAAGATCATCAATTGTTTATATAACAATTAAAAATATAAATTAAAATGCAATTTGCAAGCATGGTAAGGTGCATCTAATAAATTTTGTCTGTGGATATACCTCTTAAACAGTTTGATGGTCCTTGTGATATGGCTTCAACAAAAGCTCTTCTCACCAGAGGGTTATTTGCAAAAGCTTTCAACTCTTCAGGACCTAAAAATAAATAAAATCTCTGTGTTTTTCTGTATTATTACGTCTCTCTATTAATCTCTGTATTTTACCAGAATCGTATTCTACATGAGAATCTTTTTTACAGCTATGAATATAGCAAAAACTTCTAGAAGAGCATAATTTAAACAGTACAAAGTACAGTGCGATTATTTCGTTTTTATAAGTCCGCACAAAATATCTAATAGCTAAAATTCACGTTCATAATTATTCCAAACACGAAACAGTGTGAATTTTACTAAAAATAAATTAATAAAAATGAAAAATTTGCTAAAAATACCACAATAACGACCATCCACTGAATCTTCATTATTTCACGCAGATAAGCAGAATTAACTTTTTCTCCAATGGTCATGCTATCATTCATCTTGCTGTAGATGTCATCGTCAGTTATTATATATTGTTTTATATTTATTTCTTACCCACATCAGTTTCATATTTCAACGTCGGAACAAGGTGACTAATAATCCCTCCAGATAAATGGCACCAGAGGAGATGAATTGACCCATTTTACGCCATTTGGAGGGCATATTTCCGTGTTATACAGTTCATACCCAGGTGAAGAGCAATGTTGGTAAATGGTCTTTTTCAGCAGGCTAGCCATCAGTACAATTTGAAGGTATCCTGCCTGTTTAATCAATTTATAAACACAAAACGAACGTGCAATGCACTTCCTAGTATTGCCGTACATAAGAAGATAATCTTTTTTATAGCTATGAATATAGCAAAAAATTCTAGAAGAGCATAATTTAAACAGTACAAAGTACAGTGCGATTATCTCGTTTTTATAAGTCCGCACAAAATATCTAATAGCCAAAATTCACGTTCATAATTATTCCAAACACGAAACAGTGTGAATTTTACTAAAAATAATTTAATAAAAATTAAAAATTTGCTAAAAATACCACAATAACGACCATCCACTGAAGTCTTCATGATTTCACGCAGATAAACAGAACTAACTTTTTCTTTAATGGTCATGCTATCATTCATCTTGCTGTAGATGTCATCGTCAGTTATTAATGAAAGGAAACCATCAATTTAATCTGCATCAGCAAGAAACTAAGACATAATAAAAAAATGAATGATACAATACATTCTTTTGTAGGGAATGTATGTGCAGTAGTACTAATTAAAACCTGTTTGATGTAAAAATGTTCCTTAAGACAGCCATGGACAACGCACCAAAGTCTTAGCCACTGATGCAGACGCTCTGTTCGTTCACCAGTTATGGCTACCGAAAGGGACCGTAACAGGCAATTTCCATCACCATGAACTTTGTATGGTTCCCAACCAGAGCGAAGCATATCATTTGGGGCTTGACATCTAACACCGAATAAAACGATTAAAAATATGTGAAAAAGACGAAAATGAAAAACAATGCAATCCACATAAAATAGTAGAATATATAAAGAGGCTGGCAAAGAATCAGTGCAGAACTTGGATATATGAATATTCACACCCCCACTCTCCAACTATCATTCTAGTTATGAACTTATGCCACTGGGTATGACTGAATCATGTTACACTCTCTAATACTATAACACATACCAGAAAACAGAGCTACACTAGCATCAGAAAGCACAACATAAAAAATACATGTAAAAAACTAACTTGACCTTACCCAATCTCCAAATCTTCAACTTTAACTTTACTAACCCGTGATGGATTCGAGTTGAACTGATGGAAAGGGGTGCTGAGGATCTTTAGTAAAACCCAATCTTTCTGCTGGCATACATCTCTTAAAACTCTGCCACTCTGGCAAAGTTCGTTGATTCTGGTGTTAAATTTTCCTTAAAATTAATGTTTCAATAAGAAGAATACAGTACATAATAAATAAATGAGCATAAAAATTGGCCACAAACGCTTCAAAATGATGTAATAAATTATTTAAAGGAATATATTGGAGCAGTTCTTACGATTAGGCTCACAAGTATTCTGTGAGCAGTGCTATCACAGTGCTGTTTTCACATGTAACTGATGGTGGCACTACAGCAGCTATTTCTAAGTCATCGTCATCACCCTTGTAATCTATAAATACACGAAATACTTTTAACATGTGTGGTCTTATCTACATTATCATCATCTCTAAGCCTAAGGTGCCGTCTTTATCAGTTCAATGCACTCGCACATCGTCTGCCTAACTTCCTTTCGTTATCTTATCTATGTTACATATCCACCAAAATGTTATCCTCATTATTTTCTCCATCATTACTTGGAACATTTCTATCACCATCACCACCACCATCATTGTCTCCATCACCATTACCATCATTGTCTCCATCACAATCACCATTACCATCATTGTCTCCATCACAATCACCATTACCATCATTGTCTCCATCACAATCACCATTACCATCGTTGTCTCCATCACCATTACCATCATTGTCTCCATCACAATCACCATTACCATCATTGTCTCCATCACCATCACCATTACCATCATTGTCTCCATCACCATCACCATTACCATCATTGTCTCCATCACAATCACCATTACCATCATTGTCTCCATCACAATCACCATTACCATCATTGTCTCCATCACAATCACCATTACCATCGTTGTCTCCATCACCATTACCATCATTGTCTCCATCACAATCACCATGTTTCGGCTTCACCTGCTGACAACTAGATGTAGATGCGACAACTGTAAAACTTCCTGACGCACTTTCATGGGAAGTACACATAACGATGGCACAATATTTGCAAAAGCACGAACGGTGTTAAGAACGAATTTTACTAGTATAGCACATAAAATAACTTGTACCGACATAAAGTCTACAAAATTAAGATCTGTAATATCACATAATATATTTTTATCAACTCCGTCTTGCTTTATCTCGTGTTCAACCTCTTCTCGTAGGCTTTCCATTGAAAACGCTGCACGTTTGGAAGACCGCTTTGACATGGTGGTATGGATGTAAAATAGTTTCTAAGTGGCTATGCATCATGTTTACATTGCCCGTGATCATAGCCGTGACGTATTATTGATATTATGCATGTATCACAAAAGAATGTAAGAGAATGCAAGAATGTAAGAATATTAGGTAGAGGCTACGGGTTGTTAAGGTTGTTCTTAACTTGAACGTATGCTGGCGTAATTTTTCGTTTTCCGAGATGTACATAATTTACATATATGTACGCGGCCACAGCGCGTCTAATAGGGAACTAACGGAAGCATGTACTCCGCCCTCCGGCACATAAGTACCCATAATTATTGCACAAGACACGCTTACTGACATCAGGTAACTGGCAAACAACTGTTTCATTTTAGCTTATCACTCACGTTGTTTAGCTTAGCGCAGGCTTAACCGGACTGTTATTAGTAACTATTATTTATACGTTATGGGTTTTTTGGTACATTTCCATGACCATACAAACATCGGTGATTCAGAGGGCTTGTATTATGTCATTTGGGGTCGTAAGGCACAATTCCTGATTCCGCGCCTGAAGCAAATACCGTAAATTAACTATATTACTTTAATAAAATAAAGGTTACTTCTCAGAAGAATTTGTTTTGAAACAGACGTTTATTTGAATGATATTAAAGTGTGCCACATTTCGTCGGGGACCACTTTTTTTGTCCACCCACTGTAAGAATAAAAATATTTACTTTGTACCTTTTTCTTGAGACTTTTAGCATTGCGAAGGTCATACCTTCGCTTGTACCTTGGCTCTGTTGCCTTCGCTATATCTTTATAACGTTTTCTCTGACTTTGCATTGCTGTAATCAGCGTTTGCCAGTAGACCTACCGTGGAACCAAATCTTTGGTGGAATCACTGATCTGGGTGGCAGCGTGAGCTATATATACCCACTTTCCCAGTCATCTCTATATATATAGAGCTCACTGTATATACCCAGTTATATATCTCTTAGGTTAATGTTTGTCTTAGACAGTGGTCTTAGATGGATAATTGTGTATTGATAAATGCTACAAATAGAAATAATGGGGGTTTTAAGAGTACAATGGGGGTTTCAAGAGTACAATGGGGGTTTCAAGAGTACAATGGGGGTTTCAAAGAGATTTGTAAAGGTGGCATTATAAATTTCCTATTAAAAGATGGCGGATGCAAATAGCTTGTCAGAAATGAACCAACAAGATTCCGTTGCAGAATATACTTCCGAAGCAAAAGTGAGTGGAATTTTTTGACAAATTTCTTTCGAAGCATCCGCTCTTACTATTACAATTTTCTTTCAGGAGATCGAGGGCGCCGAAAGCGAAGAAACGAAGCCAGACGCGAAGCCTACCAGCTCCAATCTCCAGGATGCGTTCAACGACGTATTGGACAACGCAGTTTCGAAGTTGTGGGACGAACGATCGCGGAATAAATCGAAGGGAAAGAGAAAAAGACTCTCGAAGGATGAAGAGAAAACCCTAAGTATGTACAATACCGGCGTATTAGTCACTGTAATGTACGTGTTTTCTAAATTTCTAAATAGTCGCTCTGCAGAGATGCCAGAGAACGCCTTTGCAGTTCGTCCTTTAGTATTTTTTTTGCTGGGAAACGATCAATTAATGTTTGAAAGAGACAATTTAATATGATGAAGTCGTGGAGAATTAATCCTTTTTGAAGTACATGATCTCACTCATATAATACTGATACACTTATAAAAATACAATTGTTTGTTTACAAACTTATAATCTAATTATCACGGTTAAAATTCCTACGTCCATTGCCTCTCTCATGCAGTTTTTCTTTTGTGTTTTGAACAAAAACCGATCACAAACATGTCAGTTTAGGGAAAGGACATAAGGAAATTTGAATGAATGGGCAAACTTAGCATGATGCAATCATGCGAAGTGATAAGGAATGCTGGAAAATGACAAGTGGTTTTCCTAATTGAAAGAAAATAGTTGGTTTCCTTTTACTTGATTTCTTTTTAACTGTATTACAGTCTAAGGTTTTGTTAAAGCATGAGTATGATTGCATGTGTAAAATTATGCATTTTATGAAACTTTTCACTATATACACACAGTTTGCAGATTTTTTATTAATCATACACTCAGGAACCTTCTCAGCTATTGGCATTTCTGCATATTCTTATTATTACCACAATGCATTAATCAACTTCATTATCTTCTTCTAAAGTTGGTCAGCTTATCGATGCTCTTAGTGATAGCCAAAATGAAACTGAGTCATTACAAGTTATGGCCAAGCGACTTGTTCAAATGGTTAGTAAATTGGTCTGTTAAATCAAACCCTATTCTCTTTGTACTTACTTCTACCCAATAAAACAGTCTCACATTTTCTAAATTTTTAGGTTGTTGAAAACAAAACTGGTGAATATAAAATCGATGAGCTTACAAAGCGATGTAGTTTGGTAGGTATTTTTGTGTGAAATTCAGCTGTTGTATTGCTGTAAATGTTCTTATTCTGTGTATCGTATGAAGTGTAACAATTGATATGTTTGTTTATTTTTAGCTTATGAAAGATAAGGAGGACCTTAATGGACAATACAAGAAATCAAAGCTTGCTCTTACCAAATTAGAAAGCCTTTGCCGTGAGCTGCAAAAACATAATAGGCTGATGAAGGTGAGTGTTGTTGTCAGAGTAAATTACTGTGTGTCTTGGGCAAGTCAAATCAGTATCGAAATTTTTTCCATTATTAGGAAGAATGTGATCACAGGACGAAGGTTGAGGAGGCCAAACGCCAAGAACTGTCAACAAAATTTCAATCATCCATTGGTGAAATAACCAATCAAATGCAGGATAATCATTCCAAGAACCAGCAGTTGAAAACTGACAATGCTGAGTATGTTTTATTGATAGTTATTACCATACATCATATTGGTCTGCCTACTGTACTGTAGTTTTTTGTTTTGTTAGTACCAAATCTGTTTGCAGTAGCAAATCCGTTTGCTATTCATTTGGTTAACTCTACATTATTGCATATAGATTGGCAGCAAAACTGAAAGGTCTGGTAGACCAATATGAAATGCGAGAACAGGTATGTCAAATAAGATATATTACTTACCAGAAATAGTTGATGTGCCTCATTTTGAAGTTTGCTTGTTGTTTAATATTGCAGTATGTTGATAAAGTCCTCAAACACAAACAAATTGAAAATCAATTGCTCGAGGCAAAATTGGCACAACAGACATTAATTCTCAATGAAGAAAGAGAGCAAGCATTAAAAGAGAAACAACAGCTACTGCAGGAGTCTCTGGAATATCAAAAGAAATGCGAGCAACTTCTGAAAGATGAGGCTGAATTAAAACTCCAAGTATGAAAAGTTTAACTAACCTAAAATGCTCTTAATGCACAGATTTAGACACATGATTTAATATATATTGCACTCAGTCAACATTTAGCAATTGATTACTGAGTTTGTCATAGAAATTAAGTCAGTGTATGTTTTGTCATTCTTTCGTGTTTCCAGCTGTCTATGTACACAGAAAAATTTGAGGAATTCCAAAAAACATTGACCAAGAGCAATGAAGTTTTTGGCACCTTTAAGAAGGAAATGGATAAGGTATTTTATGATTTCATAGCACATTTCACTGTGTGTGACTGTGTCAGCTGTCTCCCTCATCAGCACAGTGTATTGACACATTGTTAACAAAACTATTTGTCAGTGTGGTATAGCCTATAATGTTGAAAAGGAATTTTGGTTAAAGCCTATAGGGGAATTTTTCTCACCCCTAGATGACAAAGACAATAAAGAAATTGGAAAAAGAAACAATTATGTGGAAGCAGAAATGGGAGAAAAGTAATCAGTCACTACTGGAGTTAGCTGGTGATGTGAGTTGTTGCTCAGGTTTTTGTTCGTGGATCTCTAGAAAGAATTGAATTCTCTAGAAAGAAGTTTGTTAGGTTTTCTACAAGAGATGATCCTTCCAGGAAGAACAGTTTGAAACTGATAAAACTGTAACAGTAGCCAGTTTAAATAAAGTTAGTTTGGTTAGTTATTGAGTACAGTAAGTGTTTACTCTCTGTAAGTGTTGTTAACTGTTTCAGAATAAAAGGAAAAAAGAACAAATTGAAAAAACGACCATGAAAAACTTGAAGTTGGAAAATTTATGTCGTGCTTTGCAATTAGAAAGAAAGGAATTGAGTCAAAAATTGGAAAGTGGTCAATCATCTGGAGAGGTACAGTAAGAGAATTCAACCTCTAGAAAGAACAGTTTAGAACTGATAGAGCTATCCAGTATAAATAAAGTTAGTTTAGTTTAGGTTTCCTTCTGTAGTAACACTGGATCAATAAGAGATAATCCTTACTGGACCTCTAGGAAGAACAGTTTAGAACTGATAGGGGCGGATCTGGTATGCATTTTCAGGCGGTGAACAGTGTTGAAGAAACGTCTGATTCGCCAGTTCCTATGGAGAATGGCCACAGTTCGAGGGAAAGCGACCCGAAACCCGAGGCGGAACAAGCCCCGGGCGATACTTCGGATACCGGCGAAAATTCCAACTCAAATTCTCCCACAGAGAGCGAGAGTTGTATCGAGGTATCCTTAGCGCTGTCGCAGGAACAAGTTGATTGTTCAGAATGTAGGGAATGTGAGACGAAAGATTCGCCGTCGCCTACTGAGGGGGTTGGGGACGAACGTACCGAAGCGACCGAGGATGAATGGCATGCTGAGTCAGCACAAAATGAAGCTGATTCAGCAGAGAATGAAGCTAATGAGGAACAAGAGTGTTGTGAAGGTATCTTTCATCTCCGACGTAAAGTTTTAGTTAGCTGCTCACACGATCCAATTTTGTCCGATCCAATTCGCTTCTGACGTATGGAATGTAGTCTGTTATTAACAAAGCAGTACTGCATTGGCTTGAGTTAATTCGCTGTCCATATACATTGCAAGTCAACAGGCTATAAAACATCCATCAGAAGTGAATTGGATCTGACAAAATTGGATTGTGTCAACAGACCTTTAAAGGAAAAATCAGCTGAGACAAATCACTTATAATAATCCATTGTTTTTATGCCTTAGCATGTCAGAAATACTGTATTTCGTCTATCCAATTTAAAGTAAAGCTTTTTCTCGCTTCACAGACGATCAGCCGGAGAATGAAGCCGATGAAAGCGAGCAAACCGAAGCAAGTAACCTCGAATAGCGACATGACCGCACAGAGAATGACACGGTGTCTGATAATGCGGAAAACATTCAGTGAAGAAGTGCGAAAAACGAAAGAAAATATTATGAGAACTATACGATAATCATAACAGACAATATTATCTACAATAACTGAATGGATTTTGTAGTATAAGATATTAAATATAAATACATTTTTGTTACCGAGGGGTTGCTCTTGTTTGATTTGAACTAAAAAGTATTTATCAGATAGAGCTATCAGTTCTCAATTGGTCTTAGTATTGTGTTAATGCAGTGTTACTACGGGAGGAAACCTAACTAAACTAACTTTATTTATACTGGATAGCTCTATCAGTTCTAACCTGTTCTTCCTAGAGGTCCAGTAAGGAATCATCTCTTATTGATCCAGTGTTACTACAGGAGGAAACCTAAACTAAACTAACTCTATCTATACTGGATAGCTCTATCAGTTCTAAACTGTTTTTCCTAAAGGTCCAGTAAGGATCATCACTTGTGTTCCAATTCAATTTCATCCAATTCAATGTTGAAAGCGAAGAGGATAAAATAGAAGAATTATTACCTTACTTCTTCATTTCTTCTTCACTCTCCAATTCTCTCCAAGTGATCCATGTGAATCCCCCAGTGGTCCAGCAACGAGGAAATGACCCTAAATACCCCTCACAAAATCCAAGATGGCCGCAAGAAATGCTCTAAAAGATATAAAGTAATTTTTCTGTATTTTTTGGCTTTTTTCCATTAACAATTGCTTTACTCTCGAGCGAATCTAATATTTAAGATATATTTTACTATGCTGTAATAAATGGTACATCATTTTTTGGTATTTAGGCGGGCAAAAACCCATAAAGGAAGGCGCCTTTTGGATGCGAAGGAACCAAAGCTTGTTGAAAACAGCAAGACAACGATGTTTATTCGAGGTGGAAGAACGAGCGAAACAGTCACACAGGCGCTCAAAGACTTGGTGAGTAAAGAGACGATCTTATTCAGAGTTTGGTAGAGAAGATAATGTATGTTTTAAGCTTAAACTAATGTTACTGTTTTCAAATATAAATGTCGTATTGATGATTCACGATTTACTAATTACTAATATGAATGCCTATCGTGTTTGTCTAGTATGTCCTCAGAAAGCCTCATGCTGTCATTTTTAAAAGGTAATGTATATTCCCCTAGCCTCGTTAAAGCATTTCACATCATACGAATGATGAATAAGAATGAGTATTTTATCTATAATTTTTTTCTCCTTATCCAATGACCAATCAGGAAGAATATCATGAGACCGTTTGAAGATGAAACCTCTTTAGTGAGTTTGCTAATAAAATTTATCAAATATTATTGCTCATATCATTAAATCAATTTAGATTTTTAAATTCATGCAAATATACAAATTTTCATGTTTATCCAATGAAGCAGTTAAAAATCATCCCAAACATGAAAATTATTTTTTTCCAGGAATTTTTTTCAAACAAAAATGATGCGTCAACGTTTGTTTTTGGTTCTCATTCTAAGAAAAGACCTCACAATCTTGTGATTGGTAAGTAGAATGAACCGAAATGGCCTGTATGAAAATCCAAGTCAAACAACTTTGAGGTTTATCTTCCTAAATTACACATTTTAGGACGTTTTTTTGATGGTCATATCTTAGACATGGTAGAATTGGGCATTGAAAATTTTGCTTCTTTAAGGGATTTCCAGGTGAATTATAATTGTTTTTTGACATTCATAAGAGGTTGTTTTCTTTATTTACCATTTTCTATGTGTACTTTGAAGTTTTTTAAAGTACGTATTTCTTTTGACATTAGACTGAAAAATGTGCAGTAGGAACTAAGCCTTGTCTAGTGTTTGTTGGCGAGGCTTTTGACACAGAACCAGAATATGTCAGACTAAAGAATCTTTTAATAGGTACAGTAAATTGTATTCACTTACACCAATTACAGAGGATTTTTTCTATAATATGAAATCAATTTCTAAAGGAGAAATTGAAGATGTCTTTATGTTTCTTGGGCAGATGTATTTCGTGGTGCAAATGCTGAAAAAGTTAGGCTGCAAGGCTTGGAACATGTTATACAGTTTACAGAACTTGATGGAAAAATATTCCTAAGGAGTTATAGGTTTGTTTTATTTTTTAATCATACAGTACTCTGTCTGATTCAAGATGATTTTATAGTCCAGTGGTAGTGGAACACTGATGTTTTAATAATATATACACCGGTCATAAGTTTAATTTATGTTGGGGATTTTAGAGTTTTACTAAAGAAGTCAGGAACAAGAACACCTCGAGTTGAACTTGAAGAGATAGGTCCTTCTCTTGATCTGGTGAAACGACGAGTTAAACTGGCATCAGATGATCTGTGGAAGAGAGCAGTAAAGAAACCAAAAACGCTTAAGGTTTGTGTGAAGCTGTTTGGTTTACACTGAAAGAATTCTTAAACTAACTTATACTGTTCTTCTCTTGGTGATCCAGTGTTACCACAAGAAGAAATTTATACTAAACTAACTTTATTTATACTGGATAGCTATATCAGTTCTAAACTGTTCTTCCTAGAGGTCCAGTAAGGATCATCTCTTATTGATCATGTAGTACTACAGGAGGAAACCTTAACTAAACTAACATTATTCATTTTGGATAACTCTATCGGTTCTATAGTGTTCTTAGAGTTCCAGTAAGGATCATCTCTTAGACTCTTATTGATCCAGTGTTACTACTGGAGAAAACCTTAAGGACAAAACTAACGGCTTTATTTGGACAGACATTAATATACATTCTCTTTTGTACAGCCAAAGAAGACAAAGAACATATCCCACGATCCCTTCGGCTCTAAGCTTGCGAACATTCACATGCAACGTCAGGACTACAGCAAACTACAAACACGGAAGATGAAAGGATTGAAACGGAAAACGGAAAACCAAAAAGACAACAGCCGCGCAAAGAGACCAAGAAAGACAGCAAAGCAAAAATGACTCATTGATGAATCGATTTAACTTCACAGAGTGGAAGGGGAGGGAGGGTCTTGTCCCCCCTTACTGATATATGGTCGAGGATTATTGACTTGGATTACAAAAAGTGGAGCGATGGAACGGTGGAACGATGGATAATTGATTTAATTATCCATGGTGGAACAAAGAGAACAGTTTCAACTGAATTCACATTGTTGTATTAAATGACTGTACTTATATTACAAAATAAATTGGTTTTGTGTGATTTCATTGTTGAGTACTGATTTAAAAAATCGAAGGTAACAATGAGGATCATCTGGTTCAGTCAACAGTTTGTCTGCTCGGGAGACCGCTTGTTATCTTGTATCTAAGCTCTGTTTCGGATTCTACAGCGGGGTCAAAGTCGTTTCAGTAATCGAAAGTGTACAATTTCTCAGCGAAAGTTTGTAAAAGATAAATGCGAGTAAATTGTATGAGACTTTATGTACAAACGTTCATATTATATTTGGGGTTGTAAAGACTACTAGTGACAGGTGTTACTATGCTTGTGAGCAGTTTTCGAACCATTTTAAAACTCTTTTCGTGCCGCACATATCTAGTGGTATTATTTGAAGGCGTTTAAATTCTTGCTGTTTTAAATACGTGGATTTTCATCCAAGATTTCGATGAATTTTATTCTTTTTTAAGCGATATATGCAAACAATAGCAAGAATTGTTCCCCACCCTCCCCACCCTGAGACGTGGAGACGAAGCATGGAAACACTTGCTTTATATGACTACACATGTTTATAAAGTTTCATGCAAATATCACTTCATGTCGTCTTGCCTTTTGTTTTAAATGCCACTTCACTTTATCGTCAAGCAAAAGTATATTTTATGCCTGCTGTCCGCAAAGTTGCAGCCCATAAAAACAGCCAGTCGAGTCTGAGAAGTCAAGTTGATTCTCGTGCTAGCAATTTGAGGTAAGTCAAGATTCAACAACACTCGAGTTTTATTTATATGTCTCCGAAAATAGGGGAATTTCTGTTATGAATCCCTTGATATATTGGCGCACGAAAGGCTTTGTGTGTTGTATATGCGTGAAATATAGCCGTTGCTAAATTTGGCGTTTGTTTTGATGGCCCGTGCGCTCAAACAAAGCAATTATTGACGAGATAGCATTTGAGATGATATCTATATAAAGTTTCTTTCCTTCAGTTTTCATCATTGCAAGGCGATTTTAATCGCCAAACTGCCTAATTCTCTTGTTGTTTTTCTTCAATGCTGCAGGAATGGCCATTCAAACATAGCATCGCCGATCTCTGTTAGAGCAGGTGACAGTACACAGAATATCAAAGGCTTCATTTATCATCAAGACTGTCCAATGACTCCCATGTTTACAGCGATCGGCTTTGAACTGTTTTATTTATTCTACGGACTCCTTGCTTTGCTAACGCAATATGTGAACATTTACAAAACGGTAGGCATTGCTTTTCTTGCGGTAGCGTGCTTTTATATAACAAGGGCTGGTTAACTTTTAAGTGTAAATAGTATTTGTTATGGGGAGGCACTTCGGTATGATGCTGAATATCACTCATGTCTCATAATTGCTTGTTTTGGCTTTTGTGTTTTTGAATGAAGCAAAACGCTGCTTGATAAACATAAAGGCCTACGATAAGCATTCAAAACATCTAGAAATGAACCATTTCAGTGGTTAAACAGTCCACTATAAACATATTCACGTTCAATTGCGATAGGGTTTCAAAGTTTCAATGTTGTTTTTTTTTTGACAATCCTATTAATATTTAGGATTGGCACAAAACGTTTGAAAAAGAGTATTCTGGTTTCTCATTAACTTCTTAATATAATTTCCGGCCAACTTCCTGTATTCCTAATGAGGCTATCTGAGATGATTTTATTGCCCAAAAATTAACACATCCCTGTCATCCACACTTGTTTATGTAAACAAGTTTACTTGCCATGTAACACTAGGAATTTGTACATGAATTTGGTACACAGAATAAGCAGTGTTTAACCACAATTCACTTTTGTGTCCTGTGCATTCTGTAACCGGAAAACAAACCAAAACACATCAAATTAAGGACGCTCTTAGCAGTTTCTAAGCAAATAAAAAAGAAGACTACTTTTTGTTGAATTAGCTTGAAACTACGTTTAAAGACATGCTGTTTGTTAATACGTACTTTAGTTGGATTAGTAATATCATATTGCATCAGACAGAATAAAATAGTGATGTAAAGAATGTAAATTGCATCTAGGCACCATGCCAGTCTGTCTCTTTCTAAAAATATTCTCATTAGGGGTCCTCAAAATAGTTTATGGAAAGTTCTGTTATCCATTAACTTGTTGTGTTAATGTTCTGCTAGCAATTAAAATCATCTGGGGTGGGAAAAGCTGTTTGAAAACTAAATTAGTTTGCTTATCTGAAATTGTTATTTGTTGTATTACTAAAGGCATTGGGTAGACTAAATTCGAAAAATTTTAAATTTCAAAAGCTTGATAAATCTTGTAATATTCGAATAGAATTACCATTTGATTGACTACCAAGAGGTTCTGGTGATTGCTCTGTTTCTCATGAGAAGAATTGGATGGATTGTTTTCAAACAGGTTTGTGCTATAAATATTTAGCATGTTAAGTAATTTGCGAGGTAATTACTTTTAAAACAAAGCTAACTTGTTGGTCTATCAATGTCATCTAATCTTAACCTGAATGAAACATTTTATCCTCATTGAATATTTACCATGCTTAGGAAAGTTGCCTGTCTAACCACTAATGCCTTGATAAACTCATTTATTCACATTTTGATTGAACAAGATGCTATAACCCCCCTGCTTGAACATTTCATAGCTACTTAACCCCCCCCTGCAGTATTGCCAATTCCTATGCTCTTATATATAAAGCCAACTATGGAAGTCAAAGAAAAGGTTGATGAATTGATTTGTCTGATTGGCTAGCATAGGAGGGTGATATTGGAACCAGTCGCATGCCCCAAAGCACTGATCCCCAACTTTTCTCCCATCTGCTATTTCAACAAATTTTCTTCTTTCCCAGCTGAAACAGTAAGTAAGGTACCTTCTTTACTATAAAAGGTTTATAGTCATGAACAAGAACCAAATATCTGTGTAGTGTATATCAAGGAAATCACATCATTACGGATTGTTTTAGTTACATTGTTAAAAGGACTTGGACTTGTTGGTTTATTGGCTTGTTTTATCTGGCTAATACTTCAACTCTATCGAACACACAATCATGAGACATCCTGCGTTTCTGTATCCGTAAGTGCCTTCCTTACTCACGCGGAATGTCAACCCTTAGGGCTGCTTTCCACTTATGCGTTTTTTATATGCACGTACACGGGAAATTTGAAATGCTTCTAAATTTTTATTATTTAACATCCAGGTCTACAAGTGCATACTAAAATGTGCAGAAAACTAAGTTCTTTCGATTTATTTACTTCGTTCTTTCAAAGATAACATATATAAAGATTTAGACTTTTACGTGCGTGTACGTGCGTATGAAAAACGCATAAGTGGAAAGCAGCCTTAATACATATAAACTTTCTGCAAAAAAACATAAACTTTTTTCAGACATCACAATTTAGTCAAAAAGTTGTAAAACTTCTGGCTGTACACCACCACCAGTCTAACTAGGTGTTGATCCAGCTAACTCATTTTTGCACTGAGATCCATCGTTTTTTTTCTTAGAACGATGACGTATTTGTGGGTGTTTGGATTCACAATGGAACTGAAGCTGCAAAAAATTCAACCGAAAGTCACGCATCAAATCCCCCAGTCGTACAAGAAAAGTACGTTGCGAGATTCAGGCAACACGGACGGAGAGACATTGCCCAGGATGAGTCATTGTTCATTGTCACCAGATGTGGTACGATACGAGGCCGAGGGACACAGAGTAGATTTTAATTTTAAGATGAAGAGAGCGTTGTTTCAGTCGTTTATTTGCGCGTATTACGTGGGCTTCATTCCTATGAGATTTTCAAAAGTAAGTTTGTAAGAGAGCTGTTTTATGTAGGGACTGAGTTATCTAATGCAGAGAACTATAGAGGTGTTCAAAAGAACTCTTTTTCTCACTGGACCTCTAGGAAGAACAGTTTAGAACTGATAGAGTTATCCAGTATAAATAAAGTTAGTTTAGTTTAGGTTTCCTCCTGTAGTAACACTGGATCAATAAGAGATGATCCTTACTGGACCTCTAGGAAGAACAGTTTAGAACTGATGGAGTTATCCAGTATAAATAAAGTTAGTTTAGTTTAGGTTTCCTCCTGTAGTTACACTGGATCGATAAGAAATGATCCTTGCTGGACCTGTAACTATTACGTTTTCTCGTGTGGTAACAAAATTTCTGATTTTTCTTCGCAGCGTTTTTATGTGTATTATGATTTGTGGTGGTCATGTCAACATGTTGTATTTATATGGATTGGCTCCCTCATACTGCTCATGAAATACCTGGCTCCCCTATCCTACTGCGATACGCTCAGTAAATGTGCTGTTCATCTTGGTGGCTGGACTGAATGTGACGAGGAGGACGACATACCCGATAACCCCCGAGAGTAAGACACTTTCAAACACTTATGACGCTTCACCACCGAAATAAATTCCAATTTAACGAGCCCAGATTATTATATGCAATAACCTAAGTTCACAAGTTTAAAGTTTTCAGACAGAGCAAGCTTTATTTCATTAGCTTTTTTTAATATCGTTTGTAGTTGGTCAGCATTAACAAGCTGGCCTCAGGATGTCATCGTGAACTACAAAAATAAAGGATTCTTTAGATCATTAGGAATACAAAATGTCGCCGATCCGGGGGACACCCATCATTGGAGATTTTACGTAAGTTTTGTTGGGTTTTTCCTATTTTCCTGCCCGGGGGTGCACTGGTTACATCGGACATTCAGGCAATGCCTGCCTGCCTGCCTGCCTGCATGAGAGCCCAGGCAGTCTAAGGCCTGTTTTAGACGTCTCATTTTACGTGTGCCGAACATAATGTTAATGAGCTAAAGTCTTTAAATTCATTTGCATTCGATTCGGCACATGAGAAGTTCAACGTCTTAAACGGGCCTAAGGGTGTTGACTTGCGATATAAAAGGAAAGAGTTATTGCCAAAACTTCCAACTTCCCAAAGCCCGAAATCATAGCCAGTTCGCCCCTGTTCTTGCACAAGAATAAGCCAATAATGCAAACTGTCAATGGCACAATCTCCTCTCTTCAAATCTAGTGTGTGTTTCAATCGCCAGTACGATTGACGAATTGGCTTCTCGTTACGCTATGCATTCTAATCTTCTATCAACTGGTAATGCTATTCAACTCACCTCTATGGCACGAGGTCGTCTCATTGGCCTTCCCACTCCTTCTCAATTACGCCGTTCTTTTCAAGCTGCTTCGTGATCGCTGGGTTGCCATGGCATTGGAACTGAAGCCGACATGACGTGAGCACCGGTGTTCCTCGTGTCTAACAGACGAGTCAAATTTATTTAAAGATCTTTTTAAAAGGATAAATTGAAAAAAAAAAGAAATGCTAATGTAATTTTCTGTTTCTGTTTCTGTTTCTTGGTTCTTTAAAACCTCTGAAGTTGTAGGTTAGGTTCAAGGGTGGAGGGGGGCAAAACGGGTAAGTGCCGATCCAAGATTTTTGGCCCACCTACTACGGCAACGAGCCTGCGATGTAACACATGAAATTTGACCAGCGGTGTTTCGCTTTAATTTATGCGTCGTGTGACGTCAACAACCGACGCTAATTTCGAAAATTTCTTCTCTGTCAACATCACAAGAACAGCTGCTTTTACGACAGAAATTTGATTATTTTTTTGATCTTGCGATCGCTACAGCTCAGGTTCCCGACGGATGCTATGGAGAATGACTTTGAAACGGTAATGGTTTTGTCTGTTGTCGAAAACGTCGTTTATCCAATGGGTATTATAAGAGATTGGCTATGAGTGAAGTTGGGGTATTAAATGTGGGCATTATTAAGCTACTCCAAAGTTGTCGTATCATATCAGTCATCAGCATAAGAAGTCACAAAATGTTAAATTTGTAATTCAGTTATATCTTGCTACATCGCAAAACTATGATTAGACGAAGTAAAATGCTAGAAAAACTGTATATGAGTATATTTCACCTTAGCTTGTTACAAATGCCTTGGCTTGGAGGAAATAAATATAATGGAAATTACATCTTGATATAGTAAAAGAGATTGCCATTGTCAACAGCTGGAAAAGTACAATTGGCATTAAAGTTTTCTCTAAAAATGTCAATATACTTTTGATAGCATTTGGCAGCAATTATTGAGATCACTTGTGTAATTCTTTTAATAGTATTCAGACAGGCTGCCACAGTCAGCCTCCATGAGGGCTAGCCTGAGGTCAACAGGGTCGTTCCCTGGGGTCAATGGTTCGTTTGGCTCATATTATCGTTATCCTGAGGGTGACAGAGGAAAGGAAGATGGGAGACACAAAACAGAAGTGAATACCTTTCCGGAAAATAATAACAGAGGTAAGAAACTTTGCAAGATACAAATTACCTGGTTCTTGAACAGCAGCTGTAGGTTTTGAGAGACTTGGTTGGTTGGTGCACATTAGCTTTAAGCTCAATTGGAAATAAAAATATAGAAATCAAAATGATGTGATTGAACTCTTTTTAGCTGTTGTGACTGCATTGAAAAGTCTTCAGGAGAAGATACATAAATTAGAGTTAGATCGAAGTCAGGCAAAGGCAAATCTTGACCAGCTTTCATCAGAAGCAAAAAGATATCAGGAGAAACTTGAGGAAGAACGAAGAATGACAACACCAAGAAGTGGATCATCTTCACCACCAGGTATTGCAAGTGTAACTTGCTGTTGTGTCAGAAAATTAGTTATATACTGCCAGACCTCTTAATTAAAAGAACAGTTTAGAACTGATAGAGCTATCCAGTAAAAATAAAGTTAGTTAAGGTTTCCTCCTGTAGTAACACTGGATCAATAAGAGATGATCCTTACTGGACCTCTAGGAGGAACAGTTTAGAACTGTTGCAGCTATGCAAATAGTATATTTTTCTTATTAATTTAGTTGAGGTAAGCAATAACCTAGCCACAGCGGAAGCTAAGTGCGACCTCCTGGAGAGACAGTTGGAGTACATGCGCAAGATGCTGCAGTCTGCTGAAACTGATCGCAAGGACGCCATTCAACGATCGACAACTTTGGCACAGCAAGCCGCAAAGCAAGCGTCCGAGCATGTGCAGAGCAAACTCGAGAAGATCTCTGGACTGGAGAGACAACATATCCAACTGAATGCGGCACAGAATGTAGCTGAGGTAAACAAGGATCATTGGAAACTATTGGAGTGTGCTTTCCCAAATAGACAGCTTATCAGAACTGTGCAGGTAGCCTCTTAGAGTTAGATAGATAAATAGCTCATTTATCAATGTAGACATTGCAGCCAATTGGCTAAATTATGCCCATATTTACATGTCGGAAAATTATAATTATAATGTATATACATTAGCTACTTTACAAGGAATAGACTTGGTGAAAAATACAAACGTAACTTCCAAACTAGCTCTGCCAGCTCTTCTGAAAGTTAGCATGGGAGTGATATATGTCAATGACCTTGATCACTTGAATCTCTCTCTTCCCCCTTTTGTCACACATCTGTACTCTAGATGCATTCTAGTCCAGTCAGTTAATGCTAAGTTAATTTATAAAACAACTTTTAGCTCAAAACTGTTTGAAAGCATTTGTTCAATTCTTTTAACACTTTAGAGTAAAATTCGTGAACTGGAAGAAAAACTTCAAGAGGAAAGACACAAACGCAAGTTAATAGAAGATAAAACCGCCGAGGTACAAAATTTTCCCGAACTACATATACAGGGTGTCCCAAAAAAATGTCCCCTCTATTGAAATCAAGCCTTTGTTCGAATCTGATTGCCTTAATACTATGATAAACCCAATTGAAAGCAAGACGCTTTATTTGAATGCCTCAACCTAATAAATATGCTATTTACACACTACTGCGTTGATCATGCATTCAAATTCCAACAAAAGCTTCATTTCAATAGCGGGGACTTTTTTTTGGGACACCCTGTATTTCGTCCTAAACTTTGTCTAATTGCCTTAACCGTTTTGTTCTTTCCACCACCTCAAGCTTGCTACTTCGGCCGAAACGAACAGAATTCTGATGGGAATGGCAGCCGGTGACGAAGCGAAGAAAGTTAAAAGAAAGAAAAAGGTGAGTCACAAGTGTGAATCTGTTCGGTTTTTTACTTGATATACACTCAACGGTCGCCGTTGCTTTAATTCATTTAGGTCAAACGACAACCAAAAACTCCTGCCCCAATTCAACCTCACAGTCATTATCGCCTGAACATGGGTAATATTCCATTCATTGTCGGCACGGTAAGTTTAAAAGGAAATTTTTTTGCCATTAAAATTTCTGTGCATGGGCACAGTAGAAATTAGCAATGGTAAACTGACGTTTTGAAACTAAAAAGAGTACTGATTTTTTTATTACCATGGTCGAGTGTGCCATATTCAATATTTTTTATTACCATGGTCGAGTATACCATATACTGGTATTATATACCAATATACTTACAGTTAATATTCGATTCAATTGGATCTGACAAAATTGTATCGTTAAGTCTTAACATTCAAATTTCCACATTTATAGTGCTAACCATTGTGCCCATGTCACAGTGTCCTCACCTCGTTTCTTTTCAGTCCACAGCGAAGTCGCACAATGTTGGTGCGAATATTCAGGGAGCTTTGTCCTTATTGAAGACTCACAATCCAGTGTTGTGCAATGCCGCGACCAAAACGCGTCGAAAATATTGCCGCACCAGTTCCCTCGCCTCCGACTCGGATCACGCGGCGGACGTAAACGAAGTGCTTTTAGGTTTGCAGGACGAGTTTGGAAACATGGGATTGTAAGTACGAGAGAGAGGGTTATCTATTATTTGGTCTCTTGTATTGGCTTATGAAGAAGAGGAAAACGTATTGTCTGGACAAGTGGTCCTCTCTGGACCTCTTGCATGAACAATTACAAGACTATCGGTGTTACTACAGGAGGAAACCTAAACTAAACTAACTTTATTTATACTGGATAACTCTATCAGTTCTAAACTGTTCTTCCTAGAGGTCCAGTAAGGATCATCTCTTATTGATCCAGTGTTACTACAGGAGGAAACCTAAACTTAACTATCTTTATTTATACTGGATAGCTCTATCAGTTCTAAACTGCTCTTCCTAGAGATTCAGTAAGGATTATCCGTTCTAAACTTTGATATTTTTTATTTTCTAGCGAACACAAAGAGTTGCTCAAACAGATTCAAGATACGGAAGACGATGGTTTACGTGGAGACCTGGAACGCGAGCTCGATCAACTCGTGGCACGCATGGAAACGAAAGGGGAACAAATCGCCACGTTGAAACAACACCAAGAACGCTTAACACGGTCGGGAAAACGAAAAAAGAAACGGCCGACGTCCGCAAACGGAGCGCGCGAAATGCAATCGTTGTCGTTCAGAGGAGGGGAGGTTGAGGTCGTCACAACCGTGAAGGCTAAAAGTCTGCCGCGAAATCTTGAACGGGCAAAATCAAGACCAGCGACAGCGAGGCAGAATTTGGATGTTCTTCAGAGCATGAGAAAGCTGCAGACCTCCTTAAGGAAAGACGATCTAAGTTGGGACTAAATTGGGAAATTTTTTCGCAAACTAAAATATGAAAAACATTATAAATATATATTCATATAGCGTAACAAATGTAAATATAAATTATTCGAAGACATTCGCACGCATTTTGTCTAAAAGTCGTGGACTTTGTCTTAGGCTGATATATATTATAATTATCAATAAATTGTGAATTTGATGATTCATTGGAGGGCTATATACTGTGAATTTCCGTTACAAATGTCTTCCGTTTGGGTGACTGATAAACATTGACATTCTAAAGCAAATTGCTCGGTTTGTACTGTGCAAGTTTGTTGTGTTTGCAGTTAAAATTTTCCATGTTTTTAAACGTTTTTTTTAAAAATAGTCGCTACAAATATTTTAAACTAAGAAAGTGTTAGTAACACCGAGCTATTTCATCCCAATATTCGATGCAAATTCTTCGAAACTAAGAGCTTACCTGTGCACAAATTTGATTTGATATCACAGTCTATTGTCGGACAGTTTTGAACTTTTGAACGCGATGCGCGGAATGTGAAGAATAAATTGCGGCGGAATGTAGTCACGTGACAAACGTGATGAGTCTGATGACGTTGAATGACAACATTCATCCAAGATGGCTGTCGCTGTGTCAATGTTTCGTTGGATAGATTTACTTGAAAAAGAGTTTGACAAGGCTTTCGTAGATCTTGACCTACTTCTGGGCGAGATAGATCCCGACCAGAGTGAAATAACGTATGATGGTCGGCAAAGAATGACTTCCCTGTCGTCCGTTTTCGCCCAGATGGTCCACAAGGCACAAGCTATATTTCAAGCAAATGCCAAGTTGGAGGTAAAAATCGAAATCATTAGGTGTGATAATTCTCTTGAAGCCTGGTTGGCTGGGTAATGATATTTTGAATGATTCATCGGTGTCTATTGCGAGATGATCGCTTAAAATTTGTCCGTGTTTTATAGCATAAGAATGATAAGATAAATCAAATATTGTGTTTGTAATTTTTAATTATATATCCGATAATTAGATTAAAGATTGGCCACGTTAGCATATTGTGCAATCGGTGTGTGAAAACCATTTCTTGATCTGTCACATGAAGATAGGCCTGTACAATATTACGTTATGTACATATATGTACTGACTGTTCACTTGACAAAGTTGACTTAATGGCTTATTAACTTGACTTAAATAAACATGGATGCACTTTAATCTAAACAATTTTGTTGCCAGTAAAGGTAGATTCAGTGGAGATGTCAAGGGGTCCAAATACTACATGACATGATACAGGCATGATGTGTTATAAGAATTCTGATCAAATATAATATATCCTCCTACCCATGTGAAGAGCAAATTGTTGTAGCTCAACAAATACTGTGATTTCCAGTTTAGCGTGGAATTGTGTAAGTTTATTTGTTAAGTTTTTCAGTTTAATGTTTGTGACATCATCTAATAATGTTACTTGGTGATGCTAACCAAGATGTCAGGGGGAAAAATGTTAAGTTGATTGTTGTGACTAATCGCTATTAATAGACTGCGGTAGAAATAATCCCAAACTTGACAGTTTTTCCTTGGCAACTTGGTGAGCGTCACCTGGCACTAGATGACGTCACAAACATTGCTTTAAAACTACAAAACTTAACAAATAAACGTCTGCAATTCCAACTGGAAATCACTGTATTTGTGGTAGAAGAGAGCCATCATACATTCTGTTTCAGGCTGAGTTAGTATCAATGAGACATGATATCACAGAGGAACATGCAGCCAGAGAGGTCTTGGAGAAGGAGGTCTCCAGTTTATTGGTCCAGTTACATAGAGTCCAGTTACAATTACATTCAAACTCTGAGACAACTGACTCTGAAAGTATCCGAGAGAAACTGGTAAGATGGGACACAGAAGTGTTTCTTGATATTGTAAGAAAACCTTTCCTGTTGAACAAAATGGTTTGGTGTAAGAACAAGTAAATTACTGACAAGAGACACTTGCAGTTTTTCTTGTTAACCCATCAATTATAAATACTCTTCTGATAAATAAAATGATCTGGTATCAGTCTCACTGAAATTGAATCCTTTCCATTGTAACTTTGCACCATTTGAGGTTGGTTAACTCAAAAATCATATATTTTTCTTGCAACAGGAAAGTGAATTAAATAAACACAAGAAGGATTTAATGAAAGAGGCGAGAATTGCAGCAATGCTTAAACAGTATGAAAAAGAAAATATTGAATTAAGGAATCACATATTTAGTTTGCAAGGAGAGGTCTATGGAGCCAGACTGGCTGCTAAATATCTTGATAAAGAGTTGGCTGGCAGGTGTGTGTAGTTTGTTTTATGATAAATACGATAGCTCTATCAGTTCTAAACTGTTCTTCCTAGAGGTCTGACAGTAAGGATCATCTCTTATTGATCCAGTGTTACTACAGGAGGAAACCTAAACTAAACTAACTTTATTTATACTGGATAGTTCTATCAGTTCTAAACTGTTCTCCCTAGAGGTCCAGTAAGGATCATCTCTTATTGATCCAGTGTTACTACAGTGTTAATCCATCCATTATAGGATACAACAAATCCAGCTTCTAGGACGGGATTTACGTGGTGAGGAACACAATACTTTATGGAATCAAATCGAAGCCGAGATTCACCTTCACCGCCACAAGACCGTTATCCGAGCTTGTCGCGGGAGAAAGAACCCGTTTAAAAAGACACCTGCCCCCCCTGCAATCTCCGAACCAGAGGAAGGAGACACTGAGGCGAAGGCTCGTAGACGGAGGGGAATTGGTGACACGCGGACTGTAATGATAGCGAAGAACAAAAACGAAGGCCTGGGTATTTCAATTACCGTAAGTACCGGCCCGAAATCCTGCTTTTAAAACTGCCCGATGTTACACGAGATTTGATTGGTTCCGCAAAACTAACGAGCCAATCACACTTCGTGTAACATCAGGCTTTCCGCGTTTGACGCCATTGTGAGAAATGTCTGTGTTAAGACAATGCAGCTTGTTTTACTAAGTTTACGAGATGTATTTTTCAGAATTTCTGACCCATCTTGTTTTATACTGTATATCATCTCGTCTTTGAGTTGTTCTCTTCGCTGATGTTTATAAAATCTTGCTTATTCATCTTAAGCCGGTTGTATCAAGCCCGTTTAGCTTAAACGGTGGTTAAGTTCAAAACAGAAAGCAAGTCTATCGTTTTATTCAAGAAGCAAACTAAATGTTAACCTTAATACGAAGATACTGTTTACAACTACATATTCAGTGTATAATATTCAAGTTCACTCATTCAAGTACATATTAAATGCATAAGATGCAGGTTCAGTCATTCACAAGATTCATGAAAGTATTTTTAATTTTTGGCTTATCCACCGTTTAAGCTAAACGCCTTTCGAACAACCGGCTCCTGTTATTCTCACTTATTGCACTCAATGTACAAGAAGGTTAAATTTTGTGTGATTTTTCATTCAGGGTGGTAAGGAGCATGGCGTTCCGATCTTAATCTCGGAAATACACGCCGGGCTGCCGGCGGAGAGATGCCAGGGTCTGTACGTTGGTGACGCAATCCTCTCCTGCAATGGCATCGATCTTCAGGAAGCCAAACATTCCGAGGCAGTCAAGGTATTGTCCTCGTTGCATGGGGAGATAGTCATGGAGGTTCTCTATGTAGCTCCTGATGATTCCAGCGATGAAGACGAAACAGATTGGGAGAAGAAAGATGAGAAAAGGTAAAGGAAGGGTCTTTTATCCGGTCGAGTTTTAGGTGGGGGAGGTATTGTGGAAGATGGAGGGGAGGTTGTGATAGGAGTTCTCGACCTTTGGGGGAGGGGGCGTTTGTGTGAAAGCATTCCGCCATTAGAAGAGAGTGTATTTAGGTGGGGAAAGGATGTGTCTTCACACTTGTGGAAAAAGAGAAGCCCACGTTTGTTTGAAAAAGGGGGCATTTAGATGGGGGAGCCCTACCATTGAAAGAGAGGGAATTTTGGTGGGCGGTGAGCGGTGAGCGGGAGCATAGAGAGAGAGGGGCTGATCCTTACCTCTTACTGCAATGTCCATGTTCTTGAAATTTTTTGAAGAAACCAACCTATACTGCCTGTTTTTGATTTATCACAGATTTAGTTCTCTGGGTCGTGTTGAAGATCCCAAGGAACTCGCGAACGGCGAGGTCCACTTCACTAACTCGACGAGAGAGTCCGTTCGGTTTAAGAATGCCGACGAACGTGTTAAAGAAACGACGAGTGCTCAGGAAAACAGGTGATAGGATAATTGTGGTAATCCTTACCATAAAACGCGCCGCAAATATCCCGTTCTATGGAAATCCATAAGGCAGATTATATTAGGGAACTCGAATAAAGTGTGGGTGGACTTCTCCCCCCTTTCCCCATCCCCTTTGAGGTGATGCCCTTGTCCGCGAGGAGAAATCCCATGGTGGTTATTTATTTAATATTCATTTATTTTATATTCATTTATTTTTTTGCACTGTAGGCAAGAGATGAAGCTACCCATCGACACGGCTCTGCGCACGAAACAGTTGCCAAAACTGAACAGGTCTATCCCGGGGTTGGCCGTGGATCTTCGCTCGCCAAAAGCACACAACTCACAGCGCGAATCACATGAACATTCAGGTACACGTAAGGATCTTCTAAGTCCTACCTCTAGTACACAGACTCAGTCACCGGACTCGCTATCCCCGCGTTCCCCGCTATCCCCTGTTACCCCTGATCACCCTGACAACACAGCCAGGTGACGCAAACGGTGCGGATATCGTAATACGCGTGCGGTGTGCATTGACCTTGAATAATCTGGACTTTTGACGCAAAGAGGTCTGACTTTAAATCGCAAGTTAGTTGAGTTAGTTGAGCTATGCAATAGAACATTTGAAATAGTTAATTTATGACGATTGCAAAATAAGCGTATTTTGAATAGAATTCAGCGTTTAAATCGCGCCAATTTACCTCATTAATTGGAGTAGAAAATATGCATGTTTTGACTAACTTTGTCTTAGCAAAAAAAGTAGCATCTACGAAAGATTACAAATCTGCGCTATTTTGCACAATACATTTGGCAAAGGTCTGATTCGACTGTATCGTAATGTTGGAGTATTTCTGTTGTGCAGAATACAGACTCACTCAGTATCCTCAATTATTAGTTTTATATTTTCCTCCTAAAAATACATATGTCTATCTATTTATGATATACGGCTCGGGTTATTATCGCCATGTGGGGCTGGTCGAATGCATGCATGTATGTATATGTATCTGGCATGTATGTATTTGGCGTTAAGGTTTATAAAATTCTCTGTTAAAAAAACAGATTAATTCTTAGTGTTCTTAAAATATTCTACATTTTCCGTCGTTTAACATCGTTTTGTTCCATTCCACAATGGCTAACCACATTCGTAGAAAGTGCCACTAGTAGTGTTACCACATGTTACTGTATAGTCCGAAGTTCCTTGAACTCATAAAGGTCTACGGCAGTGACAGTAGATGGCGTGAACTGCCGAATGTTGATTTCACATCTTTCAATTATGTACATACAAGACGACTATATCATATATCTATTTTACACTTGCGATTTTTGCTGCGATTTTCTTCTTTTGAAAGATGTAAACGAGTAACTAGTTACGAATGCTCTGATGTATAAGAGCTCTTATTTAAACATCAGTAATTAATTCACTCGTTCACATCTATAAAAAGAAGAAGTGTAAACGGGCCTTACAAGTCTTCTTCGAAGTCTTAAGTCTCTGAATCTCTAAATCACATCGCTCACAAGGTTCATTCGCGGTATACTCTATCAGCATCCCACGGGCTTGCTCTCTTTCCACCAGTCATACGGGTAATGATATTTCTGCATTTCCAAGCCATCGTGAGGCACTGGCATAGCGATGCCCGCGAACGGCATCGTTGGAAGTGGCTTATGAACGAGCTCCGAGGGGAACGCGTGCATCTTCTTGTAATTGATGAAAAAGACGTACGATTCCACGCCAACCCTCTCCAGGTATCCGCTGTTGGCAAACGCATCGAATATCATAAGATCTGCGCGCGCATTGCCCATCGTGACGCGATAGAAGCCACCCCATGACGAGTAACGGATATCCATCCCCTTCCCTGCGAGACTCACTTCCAGTTTGTCCCACGGTAAATGCTCCAAATCGTTCCTTAAAACCCCGAAGTCCAAATCAGTGTCCCATGGAAGAGGCGCGTTGTACCGCAATGCTCCCCAAAGACTTGAAAAAATATGAAAATTAGCTGTTATTCAAAGCGAAATCTAATATACGTATCATTTTCTGTACGGTGCTCAGCTATCGTTCTAAGACAGGCGCTGTGTAATATATTCTACGCGGTGTTCAGCTGTTGAAGGCCTACGCCACATTCATAACGATGTTTTGCTGTTTTTCTAAGGCAGGTGCACATGCTAATATGCTATTTTCTATAAGGAGTTTTGCTCTTATTCCAACTCAAATGTCCCAATACTTGTATTAAAATGGTGTGAGGTAGCAGCTGAAAGAGAGATTATGCCTATTAATTCAAAACAAAGTGTTTAGCTGGCATTCTACGAAGTACATATAGCTACTATCTTGCTTCAAATAAGGTATATTTATAGCTGTGCGTTCTAAGAAAGATCCCGTATACTACTTTTATGATATGTTTAATAAAGCGGCAGTAACTCTAAGGAAGATGCAATGTTATATGCTCAAAATAAAGTGTTTAGCTGGCATTCTAAAAGATAGATTTTATCTCACGGACATTAGATAAGGTAAATTGAAGTGATAGCGCTACTAAAAAGCCTCTACTGTGCGTACGGCGCTATTCTTTTGTCAAGCATAAAACTAGCTTACTTATATTATTAAATATGTCGCATAAACACGCATTGTTAACGTTTTTGAATGGTACAATGCAATTTGATTAAAATATAGCTAATAAACAAAACTCGTAAGCCTATAGAGTCATAACCGTGCATCGAGCGACACATAGCAATATTAAAATCGCTAAACGCTCGATCATGTCAATCGGCAATTACACCTGCTAGTTAGAAACGGCTGCATTTTTAAATATCTGAGCAAATTTCGATTGATGTACTTTTTCATTCGTGCTGTTCTCCAGCCGAAACAAAGACGCATTGCCGTTAGCCGATTAAGCAATTAATGAAATTTAACATACCTTCCGTATGCGAGCCAATGTGTGACGTTCAGCGCGTTTAAAGCATCATGTAGGTCCTTTGAAAGTGTTATCAAAGCCGCCATATCTGCGGTCGCAGTGTTGCAGTGAAGAACAGACCTGTGTGCTCTGTTATACCAAGCGTAGTTCAACAAATTGAGTTTATAGTAGACATAGCAAAGCACAGGTATATTGCATAGAAAAAGAGAAAGTATGAAGTTTCTTCGAAAGGCAGTATTGAGCCTTAGTCCAAAAGGAAGCCTCATCATCACGATTCGTCAACATGTCCCTGCGTATAAAATTGTTTAATTTTCAATTTATGTTTACACAAGGTTTAGCGATCTTTATCGTTTTAATCCCGCTTGATGATGATCTTCCCCTGGCGGAAGTTTTCTTGCGGTATCGCGGCGATTCTCTCTAGAAAATTGCATCGGCTTGTGCCATCCCGAGTTCGTTATCATCGATCTGAAACCCGGTTACTGCAGCAGCGATAACATTCATTTGCCGTTCTTTGATGTATCTTAAGCGGCGACCTGCTAAATGATTCGCGTGCTTGCCCTCATCGTTGTTGTGGACAACGGGTAGCTAACGTCTTGTGGCAAGTGGCAATATTAAATCGAATTCGTTCTCGCTATGGGTGACCTGTAAATTTAATTGAAAACAATCTCTTTGCCTTTTGTTTCGCCGTTTCGTTTCGCGAGCCCGTCATTTTCGGCGATGTTAAATAGCCCGTGATTCTAGCTGTATTATACTAAGCAGGGCGCTTATATATAAGCGCTCTGATACTAAGTTTTTATTCCACGCAAACCTGCCTGCGTGCGTATTCACTGAAGCTATATATACAGCAACATTACATCGGCCAGCTTGATCGGATCGATCGAAAAGATTGTCGACTTTCGGTCTCTGATCTCAGGCCAATTTATGATAAAGACATTCATATTCTAATCGCGTCTCGACTATTTTCAGTTTTTTAAATTAGTATATATTTATATCGGCGTGTTTACCTTAAACAGCACATGTTAGTAAATAGATTAAGTATTCGTTTCCCCCTTATTTTAATGGTCCACAGGTTTCTAATCTGTGTTGTATTCATTTGTGTGACGGGCGTTCATTAATGAAATCCTTGTGTAAACACTAACTTTCAGTTATCATCAGCTTTCATCTGCTCGATTTCTCGAATCATCGAGCTTCATTCTTCTCGGAGAACCTGGCAAAAACACTTTAAAGCCCGTGAATTTTCTTCCTTTGGCACTGTTCACCTCGAATGCAATCGACGGCCTTCGTAAGTCAATCCAGTTTCTTTCTTTGAAGTGTTTTTTTGAGATCATTCGGCCATTCTTCGCGACATCTTCGGTGCTAGCTCGTTTAAAGCTCGAGGTTCGGGCCACTGGTTCGGGCTTGCCCGTATGATGCAACTTTGCTCGAATTTGGGCAATGAAGAAGCGGGAAAAAAACAATCGAAATATTTCAAGACTTTGCAAAGGGACGGACAGGAAAGCTAAAAAATGGCCAAAGTTGTAGCCTTACCGACTGAATGTAGTGGTAAGTTGTTTAATCACCACTATATTGCATGTCTCAATTACAAAATGTATCAAATTACTATTACATTGTAACAATGGTTGTTTTTATTTTCAAATTAACACGTAAATATTTGCTTATGTTTCAATAGTTACCGCAACGCTTTGTCTAGTTGAAAAATAAAATGAAACAAACTAGACGAAGCCACAATAGTTTTGCTAATGCATGTATTTAACTGTATAAGTTATAAAAGTTTGTACTGAATATAGTTTATAGTACAAAAAGAGTTTTGCAGTCCACGTTATTTCGACGTCTGAATTTCCTTTATAAGTGACAATACCAGTAATTTATTGAAACAAACCAATCCCTCAGACTCTCTATTGAAAATTCCAAGCAAAACAACTATGAATATTTTCAGGCGATAATCCACAATTGCAACAATGTGTCACTATGGCAGCAGCTGCCTTGAAGGAGGGCAAAGTGATTGCCCTGCCCACAGACACTGTCTATGGTATAGCTGCATTGGCACAGTCCTCTGATGCTGTACGGAGAATGTACGAAATTAAAGGCAGAAATTTCGAGAAGCCAATTGCAATATCTGTTGGGAATATTCAAGATGTGCATAAGCAAGTATTTCTTGATCAATATATAAGGCTATATACAGTATGATTTAACCAACTGAGCTGCACACAAAACATTAACTTCCTCGGATATTTTCTTCACAGGTGGGGAAAAAATACATTAGATGAAGACATACTCTCCCAGCTTCTCCCTGGAGCAGTGACTTTGGTGTTCGAGAGGACACCTGATCTCAATATAGAACTGAATCCGTACACATCCTTAGTCGGCATCAGAATACCGGATTATGAGTTTATTCGACAATTAGCAATATATTGTGATGCTCCTCTTGCACTGACAAGTGCAAACAAAAGCTCAACGAAAAGCAGTTTGGATGTTAAGGTAAATGACACATGCACAGGTTTGAACAGTATTGTGTAGTTAACTGCATGGCGAGTAAAAACTCTGCAGGCTGTATCTTGTGGTAAAAGAGTTACATCTTTTCTTTTCCTTGATAGGAATTTGAAGATCTATGGGAACATCTTGCAATTGTGTTTGATGGAGGTACACTGGGGGACACAGCAGAATGTCGAAAGGGATCAACAGTGGTAAATTTAGCCACGCCCGGGACATACAAGATAATTCGTGATGGAAGGTTAGTACAAGATCCCGATATCAGAAATAGTCTGAATACTCGGCAGGGCAGGTAGACTCACTACTAGTTACTAGATTGGTGACTTGACCTGTATTTTGATGAGATTCAAACAAGTTTTTCGTATATATTATCTAGTGCATTTTCAAAAACAACTCAAACGCTACAAGGGTTTGGTCTGAAAGAGGCTCAGTAATAGAGTAGAGAATTTGGTGCCAAACATCTAAACTCAAGGTAATTTGCTGTACTTTATCGAAATTGTGTACCATTGCAAGCTTGCGGTAACTGTCATATCAATTTGCAGTAATACAACAGTAGCTGTCACATCAATTACATCTGTCAGAGTTGCCCTTGTAAATTGTATATAGTTTATAGAATTTCCTGAAAATACTCAGTGGTTACTTCCAGACTGTTCCAGTAACTAGTATGAGGCAAAATCTAAACTCTTTTACTGTTTGTCCTTATAAACAAGAGCCTATGATTCACTTTTCATTCATACACTTGATTACTTTTAATAATAGTCTTTATAAATGAATAATGAATGGGTATGAAGAAGGGGTGACTAAGTTAAACACGACACAAAAGGCCATATTCTTTTATGCTCATGTAATCATACTAAAATCTATATACATTTTATCCCGGTATTACTTTACCCATGCCTGTGAAATGTTAAAAAAATTGTGTGAAAACTTTAAAAAAGCGCGGTTCTCGCTTCTTGTACGCGAGTTCACGAGCGACCTACTGTCCGTGGTATTTGAGGTAATAATTCCCTGTTCAATAAATCCCAAATAGACGAATTTAATTCGTACGATTTGGTTAAGATTTTGCTTGATTAGGATTAACTCTAATCTTAATCCTAAACGTATTTCAAGGATAAATTTCGAGTAATTAGGATTTTTTGAACTTGGGATTATTATCGTATTTGAGTCACACTTGGGTGAGGGAGGTGAGAGGGAGTTAACCCCAAACCCTGGTAAACACTTCGCGATCAACGTGCTGTACCGCAGTCTGCATTCAAAATTACCCCGAGTGATCGGTCGCATCTGCGAGTCTTGCTCAACATCTATGGCGTTTCCAGCACCATAGTGAACCGCATAGGAATCAGTCAGGCAAGTTATATATACAATATCTGGCATTACAGGATCGCCTTATTAGTATTACGCAGCGATTGCGATAAAAAAATGTCAATCGGCCCTGCCCCGTGCTTTCCCGTGAATTGGTTTCAAATATAAGGGGGTATCATTCCAGTTATATTCCAGTCCAGTGGCTTAATTTACAAAGTGCGAAAAGTCGTATTCGTTAACTTGTTCTAAAACCTGGAGTTCCAACGCTTGTTGCAGTCTTTGTTGCGCATTTTACAGCCGCGTTCGTTTGAGACGGTTCGTTGGTCTTTCTGTAATTGCAAATCATTCGTCTTTCATCGCCTGTCCAATCTTTGCCGTCTTTTGTTTGTTGTGATTTGACGCTCGGACGCAGGAGCCTGGGGCCTTCGACTGTTGGAACTTTAGTGGTTTGCTCGTTGGGCGAATTTTTTTTCGTATTTTCGACGATGTTATTCGAGTTTTTTGTTGAATTTCGGGACGCGTTGGACGCAAGACTTTCCTTTGCTGACTTCACCAGTGATGGCTTTCTGTCAGGTTGATCTGTTTAAAATCGGGTGAAGATAAAAATATGGTTACCTAACTGTATTCAAGCTGGATAGCTCTATCAGTTCCAAACTGTCCAGTAAGAACTCTTATTGATCCAGTTTTACTACAGGAGAAAACCTATCAGTAATGTCATTAATACAAACGTACCTTGAATTTTCGGCTGGTGCGGACTATTTCTTGTCTGTTCTATATTTTCAGTGGCGTTTTTTTCTTTCGTTCCATTACCATTTCCCACAACTTTTACTGTTTTCTCCTTGCAACCGAGTGATTTTGCATTTGCATCAACACTACGGCCTTTCTTCTCAAGACTCTTTCCTTTCTGGCTCGCGACTGTATTCGGAGTCTTTCCTGTGACCTTCTCACTCCATTTATTTCTGTTTAGTCCTGAATTATTGATACCTTTAACTTCCTTTCTCTTTGTATTACTTTCCTCTTTAGTCCGTTTATTTCCGGCAACTGTCGACATTTTGCCTTCGGAAGCCGAAGATTTCCCGGTAGCCTTGGAACTTTTGTCGTTTGTAGCCGAACCATCTTTTGCTCCCGTCGTATTTTCAGTATTGTTAGGCAAGCTTTTTTTGCCAGCATTCGGAACTTTGCTGACAATGACGGAACCTTTTCCGGGACTTTTGGAGCCTTTGTTATCAGTAGAGCTTTTGCCGGCATCCGACGAAGTTGTGCCGCCGTTAGCCGAACATTTTCCGGCAAGCTTCAAAGTTTTACCGTCAGTACGCAGACCGCTAACGACTGCTGTCGAGTTCTGATTATCTTTAGCCGACTTTTTCCCGACATCCTTCGAACGTTCCACGACCATTACCGAAACGCACTTGTCGTATTTGTCCGCTAACCTTGCGACATCGTTCTTTCTGGCCGCAGTGCCCGGGGTTCTGCTGTTGGCCGTAGATGTCCTGGGCGCCAGCCGTGTTTGTGAGAGCAGGGTCTGGCGAGAGTTTGAAGAGAGTTTCCCAGAAAGAACGGGGATTTTCGAAGAATTGTCCAATTTATAAGGGGATCTTCTGGGTGTGACAAGTTTTCTTTCCAGATGTTTTGGAAGGCATGCTCTGGTATTTTGTGAATTATTTCTGGGTGTTTGCAACGATGATGATACTTGGGTATTCGAGCCACTAGGGCACTTGTTTGGCGACTGAAATATAAAACCACTTCACCTCAAAAGCAAATCAGGGCTAGTATAACAAGGGGTTGAATAGCTGGATAGCTCTATCAGTTCTAAACTGTTCTTTCTAGAGATCCAGTAAGGATCATTTCTTATTGACCCAGTGTTACTACAGGAGGAAACCTAAACTAAACTAACTTTATTTATACTGGATAGCTCTATCAGTTCTAAACTGTTCTTTCTAGAGGTCCAGTAAGGATCATCTCTTATTGATCTAGTGTTACTACAGGAGGAAACCTAAACTAAACTAACTTTATTTATATACTGGATATCTCTATCAGTTCTAAATTGTTCTTCCCAGAGATCCAGTAAGGATAATCTCTTATTGATCCAGTGTTACTACAGGAGGAAACCTAAACTAAACTATCTTTATTTATACTGGATAGCTCTATCAGTTCTAAACTGTTCTTCCTAGAGGTCCAGTAAGGATCGTTGCTAGCTTGCATCGTAGTGCCTAGTATAACCCAGTTATGAGAAAAATTTATAACATCCATTTTCTTCGTAGTTGTGTAAACTTCCATAGACAATTTAAGGATTTACCTTTACAGTTTCAGCTGACTTTACTGGTATGGATGAAATTTTTGAGTTAACCACTTCCACTTCAGACAGCCAACTTTCAATTGTCCCTTGTTTGCTTTTAACCCCATCTATCCCTCGATTCACCTGTTTGTCTCTAAAATCTTCTGTGTTCCCCTTGCCTACACTGCTGTCTTTGAACACGTGATGTTGCATGCAAGCCTGTTCTCGTTCGTAATCAACCGTGCCGTTCCTTTCCGACGACGTGTCACGCTTCAACACAACACCTCTGTCCGTATATAAGTGGGTGATAGTTTCCGGTACCGGGTCCTTATCTCGCACGGCGATTCCATCCTCCGAGATATTTTCCAGCGTGTTACTACTGGCAAAATTCACAGATTTTAAATCTGAATTTTCGAGTGTTAATTTTCCTTCACCGACCGAAGTTTTTGAATTCTGACTATTTGGAAGCGTGTTGTTATTATTTTGATCATCAATACGCATGCGTTCTGTGTTTGCTGCCGCGTTGGCTGAACTGTCAATGCTTCTCCTTTTCGGAATGCTAGCGGTGCTCGAGAAACCGTCGTCGGGTTCCGCGTGTCGACGGCGAACCTTCGGTGATTTACGCCGCTGTTGAAGTCCCTCGAAACCGGCCTTTCTTCGGCCGGGCCTTGGACTGTTCGTAGAATTCCGTGAACAGCTCGTCAGCCCACGTAGGCTTCGGCGTACGGGCGAAAACTTCACGAGAGCCACTCGTTTGACTGCGCAGAGCTTGGGTTTGTGCGCTGGCTCGCCGGTAGTTGCCGAGTGTGGTTCCGGATTTGGCGTTTTTCCTCGTTTTGATTTCTCTTCATTCTTCGCCGCTTTTTTCTGTCTTATTAAAGCGACTTTTATGGTCTTAAATGGATTTTCCATGATGTGGGTTTTGGGTGTAGAGCGTTTCACCAAACCATTCTTTTGGGTTGTTGGCTGATGTTTGGTAGGCGTTGGTGTGTGTTCCGTACTCGGTGGTGATATTGGCTCTGTGATTTTGATGGTTGGTGCTGGTGATGCGGCCATTAGTTTCCTCTGCTCTCGTTCGTAGCGCTGAAGTCGACGTACAAGCAAATGATAGACACACGAGTTCTTTGTCGCCCTGTTGAAGATTATCTGTTAGTGATAGGTCGGTTCCTTGGTTGGTTGAATGTACTAATTTCAACTCTCTGGTGTATCAGGTTTTGTTTATTTTGGACGGTTTTATCAGTTCAGATCATTTCTTACTGATCCAGTGTCACTACAGGAGGAAACCTAAACTAAACTAACTTTATTTATACTGGATAGCTCTATCAGTTCTAAACTGTTCTTCCTATAGATCCAGTAAGGATCATCTCTTATTGATCCAGTGTTACTACAGGAGGAAACCTAAACTAAACTAACTTTATTTATTCTGGATAGCTCTATCAGTTCTAAACTGTTCTTCCTAGAGGGCCTAACTATCAATTAACTACAGGAGAAAACCTAAACTAAACTAACTTTATTTATACTGGATAGCTCTATCAGTTCTAAACTGTTCTTCCTAGAGCCTAAACTAAATTAACTTTATTTATACTGGATAGCTCTATCAGTTAGTAACTCTTCCTAGCGGTAATGGTCATCTATTACTAATCTAGAGGTGAACACATAACTCTTACTTGTTTTGAATTACGTCACGTATGACGTCATCACTGTTTAGTTTCAGCTTTTCTTCCACGTGATCTAAAATACGATCATCCAGATCCTCCTCGCAGAGGTAGTTAGGGCATGTAAGGAGCACCAGAGGATCTCTTTCATCCATGGTTATCCATCGATGTCTTACTGCCTCCAGTATGTGTAATCGTTCCTTCGGATCGGGGTTTAAGAGCTTGGAAATCATGTCTTTGCAGCCTGAAAAATTGTAGAGAAAGGAACTGATAAAGTTATCCAGTAAAAACTCTGGTTTATAATTAGGTCTCCTCCGGTTGTAACACTGGATCAATAAGAGGTGATTCTTTAGGAAGAACAGTTTAGAACTGATAGAGCTATCCGGTATCAATAAAGCTTAATCAGAAACTAACCATCTGATAAATGCTCGGGTATTACGTTCATCTGTCGTTTCAACATCTTGTTATACAACGTGCTGATATTGAACGGTTCTACTGTGTATGGAAGACGTCCTGTCAGCATCGCGTACAAATTAACGCCGCTGAAACAAGCAAGATTTAAAACAGTTAAGAACTGATAGAGCTATCCAGTATAAATAAAGTTAGTTTAGTTTAGATTTCCTCCTGTAGTAACACTGGATCAATAAGAGATGATCCTTACTGGACCTCTAGGAAGAACAGTTTAGAACTGATAGAGCTATCCAGTATAAAAAGAGTTAGTTTAGTTTAGGTTTCCTCCTGTAGTAATACGAGATTATCCTTACTGGAGCTCTAAGGAGAACAGTTGGCATATGATAGAGTTGCCTGAGTTTTTAATTGAATAATTGGTCCTATTCATGCCAATCACTACTTACATGCTCCAAACGTCAATCTGCGGGCCATAATCCTTTCGAACAAGAAGTTCAGGCGCAGCGTATGCAGGCGAGCCACATTGAGTTGTGCAGTGATTCTCGTTGTTATGGTCTGTTGCGTAGATCGTGTTACTGAGCCCAAAATCTATGAGGGAAAGTGGAGTGATACATTACACAAAAACCAATGAGATTTACGCAGTGAACACGGATTCTCACCTATTATCTTGATATTTTTGTTTGCGTCCAATAGAAGATTTTCTACCTTTAGATCTCTAGACAAGTGATAATGAAAAACGATAAGGGTTGCAATCGAGTCAATTTTTAACCATTAGAATGAACAATAAGGTACTGAAACGACTTAAGGAAAACTCCTGTCTATCTGCCTACTGAGGCCTGTATTTAAAAGTCACTCACACTCAAGTGTAGGAGATCTCAATCTTCTCATAAAGCTTCCGCTTCTATTTCCAGTCGAATAAGAGCTGGATTTTACCTTAAATTTTTCCATTGATTGGGAAAGAAATTTCTCCTTGATCAATAATGACAGAAATTATATGCCGCACTCAGTGGGTGTGAGTGGACTTTTTTAATCAGGGCGAAAGTTTAGGTTATCGATGTTTGTATAACGTGCACATTCCCCATGTCTTTCTTCTTCTGACAGATGCAAACGAGCGATTAGTTACAAATGCTTTAATGTATAGGTTCCTTTATCTGAACATTTGTAACCATTTCGCTCGTTCTCATCTATCAAAAGAAGAAATTATCCCGCACAAAATCCAACCATACCTATGCATGATACCCAGACGATGTAAGTACTCCACAGCGGATATGATTTGTCTGATAAACTTTCTCACTTCGTCTTCTTCCAGTTTCTTTCTTTTGCAAATGTGATCCATGAGATCCCCTCCATCAGCGAACTCGAACACGAGATAATAACTCTGAGAGGTCTCGACGATCTCTAACAGTTGCACGATGTGTGGATGGCGAATCATCTGCAGCAGGCGTGCCTCGCGACGCATGTTCTTCGACACGTAACGATCTTTTCGCGCACGATTTTTGTCGATGATTTTTATCGCAACCTGTAAACGAGTACACGGAACATTGAGGTTCATAATGTCACTCCACTGGAACATGTCGCAGTGCTCGGAAGCTTTCCTCCAATTGGATAATGCTTTTCTATGCTTTCTAAAGAACGAAGCTATCCTATTGGTTGAAACAGAAATGTATTGTAAAGTTCAGCCAATGAAAATCATTCTTGCGAGGAGCTGCGACACTACCCACTCCACTTCCTATGATATCAGTGGAGTATAGAATCACACCGCCTTCGTCAGTGTAATATCAATCCAGTATTTTCATTGACTAAAGTCAGCGTGCGCGGGAACTTATATCGGACACCTTAGTGAGAGCTATTAACAATATAATAGCACTCCAGTTCTACAATACGTATATCTTACTATAAGAACAGCTATGACCGGCATTTGATGATTATCTTAAGTACTAGACTACAAGATGGTGAAGATAGCCTCACAATTCTAACAATTTATCGATAAGCCTCGTAGTATGTTTATTTTAGCATCGGGGCTAATTAACAAACAGCGTCATCGCTCTTCCGTATCTTTATTGAAAAAGATTGCATTTTCACTATTTGACAGTTTTATGGATGTCCTAATCTGTGTGCTGAGTAACTAAATGATCAGGCATGCGCAGAATTTACCCTATGGCCTGTTTTTGTTTTCGTGTTTGTCTCAGCCAAGGACGCTGGAAAAAGAAGGCGCGAGTGGCATTCGCCCCTTTTCCCCTTGATCTCTACTCGTTCTTATTAATTTTCATCCCATAAGTGTCCCTGAAATTCGCCCCCGTAACAACGTGATCCTGATCTCAAACTACGCGCAGGCGCTCTTGATAGCTACACCCACTGGTTACACCCTAATAAATTTTTACGAATTTTTTTCCCTGATCGTGCACGAAACTTTGAGTCAAAATATGTCTGGTATGTGAAACCACTCGTTTGAAAGTACACTAGACTACACTGGTTTTCGTTTGGGGGGTATCAATTCCATCTACACTTATGTATCAAAGTAATTCCGAAAAGACAAGACATCTTCTGCATGAGTCAATATATGATTCGAACAAGACACAAGTTGAAACTGTAAATTTTCGACTCTATTTCAAAGTCATCATACTTTGTCGGCTGGTCATTGTTTCTACACTGCATATAGTTAGTTGAGACTAAATTTTCGACTCTATTTCAAAGTCATCATAAATTGTCGGCTGGTCATTGTTTTCTACACTGTATATGGTTATCTAAATTCGTTTCAGTTGCTTGTGGAATAATCGCCCTGTCACAGTTTTTTAAGCGTTTCCGTTATGTTTCTAACCAATCCCAGATGCCCGAAGCCTCTTAGATCACCTCCCTAATTTGACTCCATCTAATGCCAGATGATTTTACTTGTCAGCAAAACTTGTGCTGCCAGTCAAACTATGGCTTATTCACACACGATCCAATTTTGCCGGATCCAATCCACTTCTGATGGATGTTTTGTTGTGTTTTAGTCTGTTGACTTGCGATGCTTATATGGGCAGCAAATGAACTAGAGCCAATGCAGTATTGCTTTATCAATAACAGGCTAGATTCCATACGTCAGAAGTGCATTGGATCCGACAAAATTGGATCGCGCGAACGGACCTTGGATGCTCTTCTTGGAGCTGTGCATCTCAGAACCGATGAAGTTTCCTAGTTCAGAATTTAGTTTAATAGAGGGATTGTCTCTTAAGGGTTAAACAGAAGTATTCACGAAACCATAACAAACATCAGCCCGATAAAACACACAGCCTTATCTGAGCTTGAAATAACATGGAATTTAATAAAAAATCTTAGGAAGGCTCCTTATTTGAGGCTAGGTAATTGAGGTAATTAGACTCAATCTCGTTTCTCATCATTACAATAATATTAGCTATTCTCTTCATAGGTGATGCACGCCACGTTATATAACCACCCAGGGTAGAATAAACACAAAGTAACCGTCCAGAACGACACAAGGTCGGATTGCTCCGATTCACCTCTGTGGGATATCCTTTGAATTGTATTTCTCGTGCTGGGACTATGATGCGTGAATAAACAACTGAAAATCGACCAATTTAGACTGCATGTGGGTCTCCGTTGCGTTTTCTGTTGTTTATATCGACATATTTGGAACAATTCTTAGAGAATAGGGCTGTTCCTAGGTGGCCTTTGCCCTTTTGTACGCCACTGAAACACTGCATGCCATGTAGTTTGAATAAAACCCAAAACTTATTACTACTCGGATTTAATGTGTTCGTCCTTTCAATTAATCTAACACAATGTTTTAAGTAAATGGTTTTAAGTAAAGGTAACCAACCAGTTGCACATATCTCCCTAGGAATAACAGTCTAATAGAACTATCCAGCATAAGTTAGTTTAGGTTTCCTCCTGTAGTAACACTGGATCAATAAGAAATGATCCTTACTGGACCTCTAGGAAGAAAAGTTTAGAACTGATAGAGCTATCCAGTATAAATAAAGTTAGTTTAGTTTAGGTTTCCTCCTGTAGTAACACTGGATCAACAAGAGATGATCCTTACTGGACCTCTAGGAAGAACAGTTTAGAACTGATAGAGCTATCCAGTATAAAGATAGTTTAGTCAGGCTTCCTCCTGTAGGAAGATTGAATCACAGAGGTGATCCTTACTAGACCTCTAAAAGGAAAAGGTAAGATTGAAGCTAGCAATGTAAATTGATGTTAGTCTATTTGCTTGTATTTCTCATTCAAAACCTTTGCATTGACCTATAAGCACTAATGCAATGGTTTATGGAGTGCTGTGGTGTCACGCCATGTATAGTGACTGTAAATAATGACTTTGTGCTTAAATTAATTAGTTCTGTAGACAAGATTAGGAATTCGACAAATGGTAAACATAATTAGTTCACAACAACAACGTATATTGCACGATTGACATCAATTATGTTCCCAAATACGTGTTACAAAATAAGTGAAATTCAACAGGTCTGTACACAATTCTAGACTACACAGTAAAGTGATAAATCTCGCAAGAAGATGATTGATGTAAAAAAACGAGTCGCGTGTTCATTGCAATTAAAGTAATTGTTACCCCACTCTGGTCCGATTGAGAAGGACGCACCGCATGTAATGTTGTTTTCTTGACGCATTTTATGCGTAAATCTACGCATTACGCAGGCTGACCCCTGCAAGCTTTTAATAAGGTTTTAATTATCCCGAAGGCCGCGTATAGTGTAATTATAGCGCACGCGCTTGATAACCACCTCATGAACGTTTTCGTATATGAGATGAGTTTGCGCTGTTATCTACACCCTATCAACGATGCAGACAATTCCTGAGATTGGCTTCAGACTGCAGTTAGTTTATGGTCGAGGGAAGGCAAATAATCCACGACCCACGCGTGTGGTGTTCGCGACCCAACGTTTCGACACTCCAGTTTAATGGATAATCAAGGGATTTTTATGTCAATATGGCCGTTAAGCAACATAAGGTTGTGTTGTGTATGCAATGTATTGGAAAAACACATGGCAGCAAATGAGGATTAATCCTTGCGTTTTTCGAATATCTCAAACGCCAGGCGTAGAAAAGTGGTATGCTATGAAAAAAAACAAAAGGAAGGTGATCTTTGTTATTTTGGTACTGTAATATATCATGATCTTCAGTGGAGATAAGAAAGAAACAATATCGATGAAGAAGTAGGCCGTAGGAGGAATGATTGATCGTTTGCCGTCGACTTCAAAATGAAAAAGATCTTGGCTATTTTGGAACTGTGATGACATAACAAAAAAACAGTGAGCAGGTCACTGAACATATTAGCACGAATGGTTGCTTCTACTGCTTGCTTCTAAAAGGAAAGAGATCTTAGGTATTTTAGAATTGTGATAAAGCTATCGCGTGATCTTTTCGAGAGCAGAAAGCAAATTGTAAAGAAGAAAGCAGTTCATCAAAAGAAAAAAACGACTGCCTAAGCCGTTTGCCATCGTTGGCTTTAGGAGTTAAGTTTAAGCATTCCTTGCATTGATAATTTCTATCTGCTACGCACACAGACTTCTGCAAGGAGCAGAACAAATCATACAATATATTTCTGGTGGTGCATTGATGATGCAAAGGTTGCTCAATTTGGTCTTCCTTTATCCGTGAACGGGATCAATTTCCTTGAAATTGATCATTTGTAGTTTCTTTCCTGATCCAGCTATTGTTTCCTTTAACCTCACCCAGGTTTTACTGAAGAAAGATATAGTTTGCCCTGGCTTTAAGAGTATTTACCAGTTATCTTCGCAAGTCAGGGATGAGTTGGTGGTATCGTTGTATCAATTCAAAGGTCCTCCAAAAAACTTGCCAAAAATCTGGTGAAGGCAGCTCAATAACCGAGCCACTCAGCTGATCGTATCTCAAAATAAAATACGACAATTGCAGAGTCTTATCGGGTTATTATTTTTTATCGTCATGTGAGAATTCTCCGACCATCATATATGGTAACCTTTCTTCGTCCTTTGTTTGTTTAGCATCACATTAAGAAAATGCTCAGATGCTGTTAGAATTAAACATGGTCTAGAGAAAACTTGAGAACGTTTAACATACAAATACGAGATTGCTTGTGGACAGGTGAAAACCAATTCTCTCAAAAACTCTAAAAATGGTCACATTACGACTACATACATTTGTCGTAAATCGTAGATGACGTAAAAACGCATTTACACAATGGATTTAATCGTTAAGTCATTTCCCTTGAGCTTTTTAGGACATACCATGTCGCAGTATATACAGGGTGTAAACTTGCTATGCCATAATCCGGCTTAGCAAACCTTTTCATAAACTTCTTGATTTATAAGATAGGGCGTTAATAGACAGTGCAGCTGTTTGACATATCAGATTGTCTGGATGGAGAAGACTAGATTACGCCAGTATTGTCGACGTGTTGGCGGTATTTTGGTCGGTCGAGTTTTCGCGTCAAATGCGTGGTGTGGGTTTTTTTGGCGGCAGATTCAGATCTTCAAGAGTGGTGTTACTGCAGTCGTGTTATTCGTCTTATCCTAAAGCACGTGTTGTCATTCAGAGCTGATCAGTTTTTTCTGCAGTAAACGTTTTAATTACCGTGCGTTTAAGGTTTAATCCCTCACGAGTGTCAATGCCATCTATGTGAATACCCGCAGGGAAACTTGGCAACGAGAGAACGTTTTTGCAACTGATAAAGATTTCACATGAACATAGTTTCGCTGAAGGAGATTACCACACAGCTTGCGCGGAGGTATGTGTAATTTCGGTTCGTACCGCACTACCGTTGTCGTTTTTTGTACGAATTTTGGCAACCAGCCATCGTGGAACCGTTGGGTGTATGAACTTAAGTCATTTCATTGCCATTCAGTCATGACCTAACCTCATAATCGGTTAACCGTCCAAACAGCCGGAATATCTTCAACAACAAAGAGTTTTTGTTTTCTTCAACCCAACAAAACATTGGTTAGGTATATGCGCATCTACAGAATAAACCAGATTCAGATTGAGTTATTTTCATGCTTTCAAACCGAACTGATTTGCATTAAATGCAGTGCGCGTACATGGGACGATCCGATCCACAGTCCAGTTCATGCGAACGGTCGCATAAACCATCATCCATCACATGTCCCGGTGTTATGGATATTTTGTGATTTATTATCACTGCATGAACGCAGCAAAGACTGGAAGCACGAAGTCTGGAGTCTGGAATTGATGTTCGGACACTACGAAGTACGGAAGACGAAGTTGGAAGCCTGGAATTTTAATATTCAGACATTGCCTTTGGCAATTGAAACATTAAAACGACTAAAGTGGATGACTGAATTCCGAGATACAAAACCTTCACTTATGCCACCAATGTTTGTCAAGAAACGAGGGATTCTTTACAAACAAACAGACTGCTTTGATAAGATAACTTCATCGGGCGAAATGGCCAATATTATGTCTAAAGTTTACCCTTATCTGTACTTAGCATTGCACCATCATTTATACACAGACATCTTACATTCGCTTTTGACAGCCTACTCTATAGCCCAGGGGCAAGAACAGTGCACACGGAGCCCCACTATGAAACTGTGATATGCTGAGATACTATAATATTATACTCTGATAGTATCTATGATACTGTTTGACACTATGAAACTATGATGCTGACTGAGATACCATTCGTTAAGAATATAGCGGTAAAACTGCATTTCCCGTGCTTGGCAGATGTAAATAACGATATACTTGAATGCAGAGTTCTTGAAACATTCTAAAATACCAGTAATCTGCCTGTACCGAATACAACAGGACAGCCGTTTTTACCGTAAAAAGGAAAGCGCCCTATGAGACATGTTTCGTCAGTGCCTGCGAACTAAACAATCGCGCAAACCAGAGTCCACGTTTTCCACCATTCCGTTTAACACATTCATCAAGGATGGTGATGACATATGTAGATCTATGTCGGCACCTATTGCGTTTTTCTATTGAGATGTTTATACGGAACCCTCCCTCGATCTTGAGCAGTTGGCAATCTCGGCATATACATTTCGATTCCTTTCGTCTTCTTCCACCGGGGAATGGACCCCACGCCAGCATACCGCCTTTATATTCCTTCGCCAAGCGATGAAAAATATTCGCCCAAATTTCTTTGTTTACCTTGGTCGTATTTTTTTTCATCCAAATATTTAGCACATGTCAGATAGATATTTGATGGCTAACACACAGAGAGTCTAGTGTAAAAAATGCGCGTTCCACTGTTCGCCAAAGTCCTCACGAAGATGTGATTAATGATAACAATCATGTCTGGCCGAAAAATATGACAAGAACTCGCATGTTTTGAGCAAGACCTCTCGTGTGGATGAGAACTTCTGCTTGAAAAGTGTTGTCAATCTTGCTTAGCTGATCTGTCAAAACTCATCTTAGTTATTAATCGAGAAAGTTCATTCTCCGCTGGCTAAAGGTTAAGCTCATCCAGAATTTAATGGCAAACATGCAATGTTTAAAACGACCCTAACAATGTTTTCAATTAGGCAAACATACACTGGGCGGGCTTGATCGGGCACTATAAATATTGACATTTAACGAAGGTATATTAGTGTCCCTCAGATGATAAATAAAAGTTTGTCAGCTTTTCTGCTGACTCAGCTGAGTGACTCCTCATTTGCATAATCAATGGAAATAAACTTAGTCTATATGGACACGAGCGTCGTTTTCGAGCGTTTTCAAAATCGTTTTTCTCTATTTCACTGTTTAGACGCCCTGTCCACACGGTCCAAGGGAAAATATGCTCAATATGTTAAATTAGCTTCAACTTCTATTGTAAATTGACGGTGTTTGACACCATTTTGGTATGAAAACAAATGTGAAAACGCTCGAAAACGTTACCGTGTGTGCACATATAGCCTTAGTTTTATGCCAATATGCGCAATACGTTGTTATTTGGTTATAAAATGGTGATTGATATCTTAAAACGCAATTCTGGAACGGAAGGCTGATGCAAACGCTTAGCAACTGAAATTGGCATTTCGGAAAACCGCAAATTTACATGGTATTTTACGACGTCGGTTGAGGCAGCGTAAAAAATCGCAGTTGACGCATTTGTGAAAAATCAGAGCTCGTGACCACAACGTGATAAAATCATGCATATTCTGAGTACCTTTGAGGAATGTTAACTTCCTTTAAAAGGCGTTTCCGTGAAAAAAGGAAAGATTTCAATAATAGCGATCTCGATGGGAAAATGTGAGAAAATGAAAGATGCATTTTATTTCGACAGATAGTTTGCCTATGGAGTAGATTTGAGAGAACAGATTTGCCTACTCCATACCGAAGAATCAATGTTTCCCGAGTTGATCAATTTGCCACCGACTACGGGCCTAAATTACGCGATGAAACGCATGCATTCACAGCAAAATATACAGTACAACTTTAAGGATTAGGTGAAGAAACATGCTTAAGGCAAGCCTTCTGATTTCTCCTACTGCTTATGATGATGATGATGGTGGTGGCAAAACACGCACGAATGATACGAAATCTCTTCATGTTATCTGGTGCTCATTGTATTCCTAGTATTCAAATCGGAATATCCTCGTTTCAATGGATTCCTATCGTTTTTCTCAAGTGCTTAACGACATACGCTCTCTGCAATTAGAAGACCAATTCGGGGCAAACAGCTATGCATAAAAAAACACATGCCTGCATGCAAAACGCTGCATGGTATTTCTTGTCACGAATTTGATATGTGAGAACATAATCTCGCGTTCATCTCTTAATAACAAGATCTTTCAAAGACTTACGTGGTAGGTACTGACACAGCAATATACGCTCGGCAATGGCTTTGCGGAATTCGTAATATTTCGTCAATTCGCAGCGTACGCGTTCTCTCGCAAGTCAACATTTGTTCAAAATGATTTGTTCAAGATCTGTTCCTCTGCCAATGACATGAAATAAATAGCGCGGACGCGATTGTTGTGCACACGACCCAATCGTCTAAAAGAATTCGCGAATTGCTATTCAACGCTATTGATTCAATTCATTGAAACGAAAACTGTAATTTCCGTGTGAAAATTCCCACAAAGTATTCATTCAATGCGCGTGCAAAAGTATTTAATTTAGTTGAGTTATTTGGGACATCTAGGGCGCTTTCCTTTATACGGAAAAAACGGCCAGACCGGTCCTATTGTATTTCGATACAGACAGATTACTGGTATTTTAGAGTGTTTCAAGAACTCTGCATTCAAGTATATCGTTATTTACATCTATCTATAGCACGGAAAATATAGTTCAGCCACTGTATTCTTAACGAATTACTCTATTTCAATTTAAAACATGACCGGTCTGACCATTTTGGCCGCTTAATGGAAAGCGTCCCTAGTTTTCCAAATCATGTTTCCATAAACAATATCGTGGGCTCTGACAAAAAATTTATCCGTCTTCTACCATAATTAGTTTTTTTTAAGGCCTGCAGTATGCATTTAGAGAGAATTTCAATTTTAGGAAAAGAAATTTGTGGTATTCATTGCTATGGTTTCATGACAACAATTTGCGTTGTGTCCGTCAAAGATTTGGCAAGAAGTTGGTGAACTGTTGGTAATACGGCCTATGATTAGAGCTTAGTTGCGCGTTTAAATCCGGAAAGTATTTCATTTGAAGGCGTTTGCTTCGTGTGAAAAACGATAATCGACTAGCCGACCCACTGTGAGGAAAATCGATTTAGGGTTTACGATTTTGTGAGTTGGAGGACACGAAATTGGCACTGCGTTCGAGAATGATTGCAAATATTCGATCGTGGGCGATGATTATGATTGCGCATTTCCTATGGACTCGACCCGCAACAAATCCGGGAAGTCTCAATATTGCGCGCATCTCATGATCATGATTACCATCCAGCATTTTCGTGCGTCGACGCAGCGAAATTGCGCTGTCTTAAATTAACCTGGCCAGGAATGCGCTGCGCTGTTCGTTGATGCGCGACAAATGTGACAGCGACTCGTGCTCTTTAGGCAAACAATCACAGCGAAAACGAGTCGTGAATTTTGGTAAATTATCGCTGTCCGCTCGCACAATCGTCACTTGTTTTTGCCTTGTACACCGTATCAGGAATTCACTGCAGGAAATCGCCGTAATTTCTTGATCGCAAACAATAGTTACTAATCCGTAAACCCTCCCCGAATAAAGATAATGATAAGAAATCACGTAGCTCGTACCAAGAGTCCCCGTTTAGTATGAATGCCGTTTAGTATAAACCAGATAAACACATTGACAGCCAGCACAGAACCGAAACAAATCCGAAATACCGGACGCTCGAACCGACATGACAAAGTTTTCAATCGCGCGGTTAAAATAACTTGACAAAATCCTGGAGTAGTTGAAATATTTCACCGATAAACAGACAATTTCGCTAAGTGAAAGACTCCAGACTACAACATTGTATATTATGGCATACATCAGATTACCGAAAGCTTATTAATTTCCATATCATATATAGTCCCAGTACATGAAGACAGCCCTGAGTGGTTGTCCTACGTTGAGATATAACGCGTTCGCCCAGATCAATACAAAGCGATGCTAGCTTCTAGACATGGGAATATACATACGTATTGCATCAATAAATCTCTTACCTTTTCGCCTGTTAAAATATGAATAGCTTCCTTGACCTTTGCAAATGATCCTTCACCAACAGTTCGTCCGAGAAGAAAGTTGCCTACTCGCTTGCATTGCGCGTATCTTCGTAAATCCTCTCGCGAGACATTCGCCACTTGGGCAGGGAGTTCGACATCGTCCGATAACACCATTGTCTTACTTTGGGACTTATCTATCGCCTTCTTGGGCTTTTCAGACTGGTTGGACAGGGACATATAGAATCGCGGATCCAATCTCATCCTCTTTTAGCGGCGTATTAATGAACAGTAATAGGACTCTAATCAACAGTGACTGCTTGATCATCTGACACATGGGATCGCAAAGAAAACTGGACTCTCTCATTTCGCAGGACTCTCTTGAACCAGGAGCACCCTCAGGGGCTCTGGAACGACCAGGATTTCATTGACGTAGGAATATTGAATTTGATATATTATTGAATATTGAAGTTTTGAATTTGCAAACAGAATTAGGAACGTTAGAAACATTAGTTAAAAATGACCGCTTCTTTATTGAGTGCAAGAAGAGACAAATTTGACCAAAAGAACAGTTTCATCTGTATCTGCCCCTGACGTGGTATAAAATAATTCCGTTACAGAGCCATTATTATGTGGCATTGCTCTTATAGCTACTTATGAAAAGTTTGTGTTGTGACATTTTTGCGAACGAAGCCTATTTCTGATTGGCCAATGAGCCCAGTTGACGAATCAGGATCATAATTTACCCGCAAACTACGTCACAGCGAAGGCCTTCGGCAGGTACCTTTGCATTTGTTGCTTGTTTTCCAGTTTTGAGGATGGCTCTAAGTCTTTCTGAAGATTCTGAGGTACGAAAGGATATGATTACCAAAATGCAGAGAGCTTACACACTCATGAAAGACGATTTCACGGCCACCAATGTTCTGGTGAAGTTCCTCAACGAAAACGTTTCGCCATCGCCAAACATCGCCGAAATAGCAATCAACAATGATGCGACGTTTGGTGAAAATTTGAGCACAATGAAAAAAACAATGGATCAAATCCAAGAGGAGCGTTTGAACATAATCTTAGATCTCTCAAAGAAACTGGAGCGTGACCTGTACGAGAGACTAACAGATGGGCGCGAAGAATTTGAATCCAAGATCGAATTCATCAACGCTGAAAGAGAATCCGATGAGGCAGATCCGTCAGAAGACGCTCTAACAAAAACCATTCATAGCTATTTGTTTATCTCGGAGATCCTTGCTTCTGGTCGGCTTTCCGACGTCTCTTGTTCTGCTGAAGAAGTTGCGGTGGCGCATTTTGCACGTGAAGCTGGGTTATTAGCTTCTGGTAGTGCAAACATTCAAGTAACTCTTGAAACCGGCGAATTGAGCGACACGATAGATGAACTCAACGAAATGCTGGACGAGTTTGAGGAGCCATCTGTATGTTACTCGCGGGTTGTCCACGAGGTTCGGGAGAAACTGGACGCTATTTTGAACTGAATGATCTGGACAGCAACACTTACACTATAGCATTAGCATTTAGTCTTTGTAACTGTTATATATTATTTGCTATATTCAAGTTAGTCACTATAACGGGTATATATACTACTTGTGTCGGGTGTCGGGACTATGGGCTAATAATGAGGTTCAGTGATGATGAAACGCACTGCACAGAAATGGGAAGGTAGTTTTAGGGAACTTAGGGGATCTGCACGAAACTAGTTAGTGTGTTACAGCCTGTTGTAATTGAGACGAACGGTTAAATCGAGGATCTGCCACATATCGAAAAATGAACGAAGTATTAGTGACGTTAAACCTCCTGGTGAACATTTAGTCAAACTATTATACATTTTCTATTTTGTTATTTGGTAAAAATATATACTGTAAACTAAAAAGTTACAATGCATAGTTTAACATAATATACTTCATTTATTCCACAATCAATTTGTTGTTTTACACTTCTGAGTTATTTCAAGTCATATTATTATTGGACGTATAACTGAAGCGTTCTTAAACGTTCTCCCTGGCCCTAAGCATATCAGGTGTACGAGAGTTTCGTCATTCTTACATCGCACAAGAAGTATTCATAATAAGATTGACATTTGAACACGATTAACTAGTTATACGCATCATTGCCAAGCAAAAGTTCTTGGTACAAACGATATATAATCTGGATTGTATAATCCTTCGGAGATCACTGCTATCTTATCCTTAGGTTCAGGAACGACTGTCGCCAGTCCTGTTTCGTAAGCATACTCGGCAACTTTTGCCGCTATCTGAACGCTCACCTCACGGATGTCACTCAAGGGAGGATAGATACAGCCTTTCGACAGTTGTTCGTCCGTTACCTGGCTAGCGAGGCTCTGAAAAAAAAGGAGATTAAGACTATGTGCACTAATGTGCATGCACACGAACTTTTGTTTTCGAGAGTTTTCAAAATCGTTTTAGTTTATCGTTTTGACGCCTTGTCGGCTTGTCCACACGGTCCAAGGGAAAATATGCTTAATGTGTTAAATTAGCTTCAACTTCTATTGTAAATTGACGGTGTTTAAAACCGTTTTGGCATGAAAAGGAAAAAGAAAACGCTCGAAAACGTTACTGTGTGCATGACTTTAATGCTCGTAAATTCCTCCAGCATAAACGATTGCCTGATAATATTTGAATCCAGTAATTTACCTTTGCTGCTTCCAAGAAAATCCCTTCAGATACCCTTTGAGCCCCGCAAACTATGGTACCAAGTGCCACGCCTGGAAATATGTAACAGTTATTGCCCTGTCCCGGCGTAAACTGACGGCCATCGTGTAAGGTCACAGGAGAGAACGGACTTCCACTTGCAAACACACACCTTCCCTAAAAGACGAGACCCACAGAGCGATGAAGATAAATGAAAATACTAGAGGTGGATGTTTGGAGACAGTTGTGGTCGTAACTCGCATATCAATACTTATCAATGAATGTTTCATGTTATACCTCGGTCCACGTGTACGCCTGTTCGGCAGTACACTCTGATTTCGATGTGGGGTTACTCAAAGCCAAGATGACAGGGCGTTCGTTGTTTATCGCCATAGTTCGACAGACATCCTCGTTAAATGATCCAGGTACGGCGGCCACACCTGAACAGAAATGGCTATGCAGCGACTTCTTTTTCGGGTCTCAAATTATTGCTGGGCTTCATCTCTAGCTACAGGCCAACTGATGATCGCAACTTCAGAAATGTGAATACTTTTTGGAGGAAGAAAGATTTACTTAATCTCAATTTCATTAGAGATTAAGTAAATCTGAATGTAATAATTTGTGTGGTGAATCGTTAATGTAATCTTTGTGTGGTGATTACTTTCATTAATTAAACCAGAGTAGCGATAATTGCGATAGATTATATACTTGGTTAATTGTCGTAAACTTATTGACTTCATTTCGCTTCAATTCATTCATAAAAAGTGCCTAAATACCATTTCATTTCATGCGCTGTTGATCACCGTTCACCATCTATGGAAAAAGTCCCGGCTATGAAATCTTACCTATTAACACCGATGGCTTTAAGGATTTTACAACGTCCAACAAGTTGTCAATGTAACCAGTTTCCCGCGCATATTTCAGTTTAGTCTCCGTTAATCCTCCAACACTCCTATCCTATGATAAATACAATCGTTGTTATCCTAAAAAGTCATATGTTAGCCATGCGCCTTTACCCAGCACATATACTTCATGGATGTATTCACACTCAGAAATTAGGTGAAATTATATTCCCACCTTGACGACCAATCCTTTTGAATCAATTAATGATATTTTTCGTCTTGCATCGTTTTCCTCCAGACCTTCATTCTTCATAGCGAGGACCAGCAGGTCAGAAATACCGATTGCTGCCTGAAGCACAATTTAAAAGAATATCAAAAGGCCTTTCAACTGTTCAGCTTGAATCGTTGAATAGAGAAATCCCCCTGTACCTCCCCTGCACCCGGGGGTCCCCCTGAAGTCTCCCTGATTCCCTGAAGTCCCCCTGTACCTCGCCTGCACCCAGAAAGACAAACGTGTTGTCCGCTAAACGTTTCTTCTTAGATAACCTCAAACTTGCGATGATTCCTGCCACAGCCACAGCAGCCGTGCCTAAAAATTTGTGATTGACTTCATGTTACGGCTACTTCCAGTAACCTGAAATAAACTTTTGATGTATAATTGTGTTTATCATAACCTTGTATATCGTCGTTAAATGTGCAGATTTTTGAACGATATTTCTCCAAGAAATAAAACGCGTTGTGGTTTCCAAAATCCTCGAACTGAATGAGAGTGTTCTTCCCAAACCTTCAGAAATATTGGTTTAAAGTCTGAAAATCATCTCTAAGGCTAATGATCTCTGCTCTGATATTTACTGCAATTTCTATATTGCTCTGATTCTAAACTGAGTGCCATTCTCCTAAACAAACTATGAAACCCGTCTCCTGCAAGAAGAATAGCACTCCATCCTCCAGGAACATCAAAGGCCTACCTATCTCTCAATGCTTGAATAGTTTCATCAATCAACTCATAATATTCTTCTCCTCTCACTCGTTTTTCGCGAATACCAACATAAAAAGGATCGTCTAGCAATTCCTACAACGATATAAAAGGTTGATAGTTGATACCATTCGGATAAAGAACACCTGTATGCTCACCACAAAAGAAGAGGAGTAAATTTTGAACCTTATCTTTTAGTCTCTAGAAAGCAAAGTTTTTTACTCATGTCAACTCACATGGTTATTTGTTCCAACATCAATTTGTATTGGCAGACAGCGGGCTGGATCAATACCAGCACATGCCGTACATAGAGCCAACTTGCCGACCGGAATACCCATCCCTTGACAACCAAGATCCCCGAGACCCAGAATACGTTCACCATCAGTCATCACCACTAACTTTAACAGAAAGCAGATGGTTAGCAAAGAGTGGTCATCATTTCCTGGTAATTACTTCACAAGGTTGCAATATCGTTCCTTCTTTAAATCTTACCTTGACGTTCGGCTCAGGCCAATTGCTGACAAGCTGATCAACATGTCCCTTGTCTTTGATTGAAATAAACAAACCCCTAGAAAGTTAGTAAAACATGTACTTCGAAAGACTGGTTTTTGGAAGGTGTTTTTTTTGTGTTTAGGCCGGGAAGTACTCCTAGCAAAGGTGTGTGTGTCCTCAGAGATTGCGAGCACGCTCAGTTTGAAAGGTGCTTTTTATTATCTTAACAAATCGCTGTCTGGACCACATCGGTTCGCCTTCGAGAAACCACCACCCCTCGCCTATAGCTCTAACCTTGCCCCCACCAAATACAGGGTTGTGGTACCCCCTTTATTCAACTACGGCCAAAATGACCAGTGATTTGTCTAAATCACTGGTCTAAATACATTTGCAACATCCGCTTACTTTGGGCTTGTAAATATCTCTCCATATTTTTGACAGGCTTTTCCTACGGTGGGTGTGTAGACGATGGGCATTAAATCAACCAGGTTGTCCATGAGAACGCGATAGAACAACCGCTCGTTCCTCTGGATCAGAGCCATGAGGTCCAGGTACTTATGAAGATCAGAGTCCTTGCTTGATAGTTGCCGCATGATACGCTGCGCCTGCAATTCTTGATTTCCTAGTGTCGGCGGTAGCAAGCCATGTATGCCCAGAATTTGTCGTTCTTCAAGTGGAAAACCTGTTCCCTTGAGGATTAGATTTTCATCCATTCATGTTTGCAGTGAAATTACTCCATATTCGCTACACGGCTAAAAACGCTTAAGTTCTTCCTAAGTTGTTGATGAAACAATGTTTTGTTGCACCCGATGAACTTGGTTGTTATCAAGTTGCAGGGCCTGTTTTAGACTCCTGTAACACCACTGACGTCGTTTCTTTCACCAACAACTTGAGTGTTTTTAGCCGTGTAGCAATGGGGCCGAAAAGACTGGGTAGACCTGGACAATGGAGACAGTCCCCTATTGAATTTTCCATGAAACGATTTGAAACTACTGTCAATCAATAGCTAAGTAAGACCATTTGTAACTAATAGGCTAGCAAATGCCAGAATTTCCTGTTCACTAGCAATGCGCCCAGATGTCCCTGTCTACCTCAATATTCTACTTATTGCCAGAAGAATTCATTGATCAATATTTTAATGGCAGAAGACTTACTACTGCCAGTTGTATAATAGGTTAAAATTATTCTATTCAAACCTTGTTTAATCTTGGATCTCGCATGATATCCGCGGCTTGAATTGTGGGAATTTTTGAGACATATCGTTGCGCGGGTCGCGTACATTTTGATAAACAATTCCCCAGCACGGAACCACATTTCTTGTTCATATCTTCGCTTCTATCACAGGTAGACATTTTTATACAAATCACTGTAGAGCGTGGAACAAAAATTTGATGCTCTAAATAGCTTTTTATTAATTTTATAATCCCCTAAAGTCAGTATTAGGCCATGCGATAGTCACATGCTAATATTATGCAACACAGTCAGTTAATATGCAGTAAAACTTCATGCTGTGAAATAATCAGGAAGTCCGTCCCAGAATGTACCATGCAAAAATCGTCGTATATGTATACATACTGTTTATTCCAAAGAGGGGAAATGAATCATATTCTGTTTTCATTCTTTCTCGTGTTTTCCGAGGTCGTTCTAACAAAATTACGAAATACCAAAGGTTTTAAGCAGTTTATGATATATCTGCGTGTAATTCGTTTTTTGTTTTCTATTTTTTTCCACTGAAACTAGAAAATCTAGCCTGTGAAATGAAATAAAATAAAAGTTATAGTTGAAATTGCGATTCTTTTGTGACGTCAAGTAATTGACAGACTTTAAGACGATTAAATTCACGCAATCTAATAGGATTATTCTCCTCTTTTCTATAATAAAACTAAAATATATTTCCTCTCTCAGTCAGGGTACTATAGTTTTTCTTGAAGCTTTAAAATCAAGACAGTAAAACTTCTTGTTTGGCAACTTTATCAGCATGCGCCACCCTGTTGGAAAACTGGATGGATACATCACATATCTTTTATATCTAAATCACTGAGCTATATATGGATTGATCACTGATCTGCTTTAATAAACTTGATGCATAAATCACTGAACTCTTTCCGATGCTGACTGGATGAATGTATCACTGATCTTCGAGATATATTATGTAACTGGATTGTTCACTATCATTCTCTGAATTGCATCAGTGTTTATCATGTGACCTTCACAAGCTATGGTTGCAACATGGCTGCCAGCCTGCCAGAATAAATGAAGGTGAAAGTTTAATTTCTGGCACGAGGCAATGATGTAAAAGGAAAAGAAGCCTTTATTCATTGAAATTCACACAATGGATCCTTTAGGGGCAATTTCTCAGGTAGTAGAAGGCTATAGTTTACCGTCATGGAACGATTTGATACCACCAAGATATCCAGTACCGTCTGACATTCGACCCTCGAAGTTTCCAGTACGAAAAGACTTAAATAAGAAGGTCTCTTTATGGTGAGTTTAGATTCTTAAATTCAGTTAAAACGTGCTTTTGTGTGTGTTGCTAAACGTTTACATCTGATCGGGGTTTCGAAAAGTAATGAAACCAATAATTAAATAAAATGAATAAAAGTAATAATGAAACTCGATAATTCGGTCATAATTTGCTACATTCTGGCGCAAATTTGATACAAACAGCACGCAATCTCTTCGGCCTAGTTCCCCCACCTTTGTTCATAGTGAGTTATTTTTATAAAGTTTTTGTAATTCGTCTTGTACGTGTGATACCTAAATATTGATAATTTAACATTCATCACAATATAAGGCATCTTAGATTGTTGACCGGAACTCGCGTTTTTTTATGTAAACAACTGTAAACTGGTTGCCTTGAGTACTTGCAGACTTGTTTAACAGTTGCTTCAATCTCTTATGCCTTTCATTCCAATTTCGTTTTCTAATGTGTCTAAAAACCTGCCTGAAATGTTTTGTGTTTATTTTGTATATACTTGTGAAAAATCCAAAGCAGTTGAGTTCTTCTTTATTGGTAAAAGTTTATTTGTCAATAGGCTCCTGCTTCTGACCAGTTTTCATCTGTTATAACAAAGGAGCAGTATGGCAAAAACTTCTAACAATTTTGCCTCAAATGTGGTATACCAGCCTTCCAGGAGGATTGTTTTGTCTATTGTTGTACCACATTTGGGGCAATTTTCATCCAGTTTCATAGCTGCTAACTATATCCTAGGGACGGTGATATCACCAATCTTGGAGTCGATGCAATCGTTAACCCTACTAACGAAACTTTGGATGATAAAAATCCAGTCAGCAATAGGATACACAGTGTTGCTGGTCCAGAACTTATAAGTGTTTGCAAGAAAGAGCTTAAAGGTTTGAAACTGAGTATTTTGAGGTCATGTGAATGCAGGCAAAGTGAATGTAATGGGAAACAGCCTAGCATTAGGAATTTCACAATCGTGGCCACCATTTTGACTCTACCATTAATATAGTTTGTAGAACTGGTGAAGCTAAAGTTACAGAAGGTCTGAAATTGCCAGCAAGGTTTGTATCATATATGCTGGTTATATTACCAAACTTTACAATCCCAGTCATTTTACACAGCATAACTAGAGCATTTAAAAGTGCAGGAACTTTTCTGAACATGGCTTGGAACAGGAATGTTTACATTTACATTTTATTTATGTACCATCCAGATATGTTATCCACACAGTTGGCCCAAGGTACAATGTGAAATACCAAACAGCGGCAGACAGTGCATTGTATTTTTGCTACAGAAACAGCATGTTTATTGTGAGGTATGTGGGAACGTTCTCTCATTCTGTCATACCTATAGAGAACATGGCTTAGCATGTCTGGGCTTGCCTGGCCAAAATACAATTTAACCATTCTGGTAGTAAAGTTTGTTAACCCATTTTTTTTATCTCCTAAATAGAGAGTACAAGCTGGTTTCAATTGGATTCCCCATTGTGTATTTGTCTAAACGTGGCTTCCCACCTGAACCTGGTGCCCATCTTGCTATCCGTAAGTAGTGTTAAAGTTAAATAAGAGTATTACACTTGGAACCTTTTCTTGGAAATTGCATTTTAGTCCTTCTACGAACAGTCATGCTGATTTCTCAGAAAAATTGAGGGATTTAGGTATTTCTCTTTAGGTACAATTCGAAGATTTCTGGAGCACTATGGGGACACCATAGAACGAGTTGTGTTTGTTGTGGGTGGTACAAATGAGGTATAGTGTGTAGCGTTGTCTCTAAGTTGAGCACAATATATCTAACTGAGAATCATAAGCCAGAATTAACTTCTACGAATAATCTGTTGTGCTTTTAGGACATCTACAGAAAGGTGATGGCGCTTTATTTTCCAAGAAATGAAGCCGAAGAACAGTTTTGTATTGGCGAACTTCCAGAAAATATAGGTACCGGTATCAAAGATGCATGAATGCATTATGTTTGTAAATGCACACCATGCATGCGGTGTGCTTCTGCTGCTTGTTTCTGAGAATGTGTATGTGCTTCTGAGAATGTGTATGTGTTTCTGAGAATGTGTATGTGTTTCTGAGAATGTGTTTCTGAGAATGTGTATGTGTTTCTGAGAATGTGTATGTGTTTCTAGGAAATGAAATGGGTGAACCTGTTATCCAAGAGAGGGAAATAAGAATTTCAGATAAACCTTTAAATAAATCAAGAGGTAGGATGCTTGACCATGGTCATATCCATAGATACCTGTGTCATAAAGTCATTGCAACAATTTGTTGCTACCATTCTTAAACATTCTGGTCTGATAAACAGGCTGACTGTAGAGAAAACGCTTTAAGAAAAAACACTTCTCAAACTGTCTAAATTTGGCAGTTCAGTTGTACAGCATTTGCTGCACCTTAACAACTGGACACTGTTTACTGAACGAGTTGCCCGAAATTCTAACAAATTACAAGGGAGCAGCGTCTTCAAACAACTTAGCATCAAATGTAGTATAACAACTGCCTAAAATAGACAAACTCGACGTTTTGACCTAAGGGCCTTCGTAACAAATTTTAACTTTCAACATGGCCGGATTCTTTAACTTCATTTCATTGAACTTTATTTTACTGTCCTTGCTTGCAGTGAGCGACGAGGATGTCAGTTCAATTCGTGACACAGACGATAACATCATAGAAAGTGAAAACGTGGGTCGACACGCGTTTGCTCACATGAACGGCGACCACGATATTATCTCGCACGAAAGATTGCAAGGAAAATCTCAGGAGGAAATGAGAATTTATGAGCAGCAGAAAGTGTGAGTTTTTCAGCCTTGAAATACAGGGAGTGTAAAACCAAAGGTGGAGGAGACGTTGTTGCTAAGACATTCTTTCCCATAGAAATTATAAATATATCATTGTACGTTATAATTTCTATGTTCTTTCCAATAAGAAATTGTTTCCCAGTAGCAATGTTTCCTAGTTTATAATATACACTTAATGTATGCTTCCGAGGGAAATAGTGAGTTTTGTTTTCCCAAGAGTCTGAATGTTTCCCGAGACGAAGTCGAGGGAAACGTTGAGACTCGAGGGAAAACAAAACTCACTATTTCCCGAGGTGTAGCGAACATTAAGTGTTTTGTTATATAGGAACAAAAACATACATGTTACACGACAATTTCATTTCAAAAAACTTTGTTATGACAATATGCGGGCAACAATTTTTCACTTGTTTCCCTGGCGGGAAACATTGCATTTATTTAAAGTCATGTGACTACGAATGAACCAATCACATTTAAAATACACAGCACTTATATAACAATATCAAACATAACATTTCTGTTGATAGTTATGCCCGTTGGGTGAAGAGAGGCAAAAGCCAGGATTTTTCTGATCTGAAAAAGCTTCGAATGATATATCACTGTGGTGGGCATTTTCAGATGAATATTTTCTTCTGACAAAACTGTTAAATGACGAATTACTTAATAATTTTCCCGCCTTTTGATTGCTTTAGGCCATGATATCATCGGCCGGCCAGTTATTCTCATAATTGGGAAACGTTTTTCGGATACAACAATTGATTCAGATAGAGTAAGTAGCGTGTACTATGCACCATGCGAATACTGTGTGCAATTTTTCAAGAGAGACTGTTTGTCTAGCTTTATTGCTACGATAACGGAGTCGGAGTTACAGTAGTCAAACTTTAATCACAGAATACCTATCAGAAGAATAACTCTATACTATTTTTTCGTAAGTGTGATTCGTCATGATTCGTCACTTAGCAAGTGCATTTTTTTGAGGCTATCACCCCCCTGCCAATGTCTAAAATCAGCGCATTTTTAGTATTGGCAGGGAGGTGAGTACCTCAAAAAAATGCACTTGCTAAGTGACTAATCATGACGAATCACACTTACGAAAAAAGTACAGGAGTTCTACTTCTGGGGCCGGTTGTACGAAAGCCGGATAGCGCTATCCACCGGATAGCGAAATTTTCAGGCGTTGTAAAAATGCTTAAAAACCTACAAAACTACCGATATGAACTTGCCAATTAAGAGAAATATACTTTAATTTATAAATGCTAAGGTTTAATCTGGGTTATACCGATCAACGGACAATTTTAAGAAGGTTGAAAAACTCGCTATCCGGTGGATAGCGCTATCCGGCTTTCGTACAACCGGCCCCAGATAGGTATTCTGTGCTTTAATGGTCAGCTTGCCTCGAAACCATGCCCCCCACCTGATTTAGGGGCTCAGGTAACAAGCTTGAGATTTAGTTAGCAAATGAACACTTTTACAAGAGTCAGACTGAGAGTTCTTGTATAGGCCCCGTTTTACACCTGCAATTTCTGCTGCGATTTTCGGTGTCTTCTTTTGACAAATGGAAACGAGGAAGAAGTTATGAATGCTCTAATGTATAACTGTCCTTATTTGAACATCCGTAACTTATTCGCTCATTCACACTTGTCAAAAGGAGAAAATCGCACATAAAATCGCAGCAAAAATTGCAAGTGTAAACAGGCCGTAAGCTTCAATCTGCCTCCTTTTCCGCGACAAACGAGGCCGATTTCACCTTTCATTTTTGTTTCTCTCTCCACAATTGAAGAAAGTTAGTAGTAAAATTTGTGAGGTGTGCTAATCTCATAGAAACAGTAGACAAGCATTATTTCTGTGATTAACCTCCAACCCAACTCTTCTTTCAGCTTGTGGGATATGCTTGTGGCATCCTGGACAGATTAGTCAACGAAGAATATAACCTGATTTACTTCGACACAATGTGCCTAGCTGAAAACCATCCTTCAACGAGTTTTATTAAATATGTTTATAGAATGATAGATAATAAGTAAGTGGTGATAGTGTATCAGGTTTTCAGAGTAGACTTTATTACTGAACTGTCCTGAAACTGGAGTGAAATGTGCTGATTAATATGGACTGGACTGGAATATACTGAACTGAGATTAACTGGATAGAAATGAACTGAACTAAAATCTACTGGACTGAACTTGAATGAACTGGGTGGACTAAAATGAACTGAACTAAAATGAACTGGACTAAAATGAACTGACCTAAAATAAACTGGATTGAACTGAAATGAATAAAATGAACTGGACTGAAATAAACTTTACAAAAATGACGTAAACTAAAAAAACCGGACCCAAATGAAATGAACTAAAATGAATTGTACCGAATAAACTGGACTGAAATGAACTTAACGAAAATGCACTGCTCAGAAATGAACCCAAATGAACCTGTTTGAAACTTGATCTGATCTAAACTCTCACTTCTTTTCTCCTAGATACGTTAAGAATCTAAAAAGTTTACATATAGTTCACCCAACGTTTCGTTCAAAATTTATGACCTGGTGGTTCACGACGTTCTCGGCTCCGGAGGTGAAAGACAAAGTTCATTTCCTCAATGGCGTGGAGTTTCTTTACGACTTTATCAGTCCCGAGCAGTTGGATATTCCTCAGTTTATTTTGGACTGTGATGGCAAGGTCAGTCCAGTTTATCTAATATAGGCCTGTGGATCTAAATATTGCTCGCCCTTCCGGTAGACTGTTTTTCGAGTTTTTCACTTGTTTTGCGTCCGAACAAATTTATTCTTTCATCTTTGAAAAATTGCTCTTATATGGTTGTGTCTGAGAGCTCTCAGACAAAAAGAGTTTTTTGAACGCGTGAAAAATATCAATACAGTAGAAAATCCGTTTTAGTGGTCTTCTTCTGCAACGGGGATGAATTTTGTGCTAATATGGATTCAATATAGATCCAAGTATTGGATTGAACATGTTTGGCATTCATTAAACAAAAGCACAATATCGGACAAGTTCAAGTTCTTTGACCGTATCCGTGGGCAATTCTATATCTTTTTAAACATTTCTGACAATAGCCTGAATTGAATGATATTTTCAGTGGTGAAACAGTATAACCAGGAATAAAATCATCTTTCTACCCAAGCACACAGGTTTTTACGTTATAAGATTTCGTGACTTCATATCATCATGCACTTGAGATACTTCTATCATATTAATTGGGATGCAAGTGATGGTTATGTAACATCGTTATAGGTCATATATAAATATATATTTTTCTATTCGCTTCTTAATTGGGCAATACGGCGCATCGCAATTTTCCAAATCAACTTTATACACTTAAACGCGGAAGTACTTCAAAGTACTTCTCTTTAACTTTCTTAGCAACTGTTACAGGTTAGAAAGAATCTGGTGAATTATTCTTAAATCTCTATATGCATGATTCTAAACCTTTCGGTTGCAAACAGTCTTTCATCAATCTTTGTAGACAAGTTATCCAGTATGAATAAAGGTTAGTTTAGGTTCCTTCTGCATTAAAACTGGATCAATAAGAGATATTCCTTACTGAACCTCTAGGAAGAACGGTTTAGAACTGACAGAGCTATCCATGCAGTATAAATAAAGTTAGTTTAGTTTAGGTTTCTTTCTGTAGTAACACTAGATCAATAAGAGATGATCCTTACTGGACCTCTAGGAAGAACAGTTTAGAACTGATAGAGCTATCCAGTATAAATAAAGTTAGTTTAGTTTAGGTTTCCTCGTGTAGTAACACTGGATCAATAAGAGATGATCCTTACTGGACCTCTAGGAAGAACAGTATGGAACTGATAGAGCTATCCAGTATAAATAAAGTTAGTTTAGTTTAGGTTTCCTCGTGTAGTAACACATGATCAATAAGAGATGATCCTTACTGGACCTCTAGGAAGAATAATTTATTACTGATAGAGCTATATCCATCTCGGTCTTCTTTTTATACTAATCTGCTTGAAACGAGCTTGTGTTTGCAAGACGGTCAATCCTTCAATCAGTGTCATTTGTGATCGACAGTTCAATTATCCACCGTAGCTTTGTTTGGAGTTATTTGCTCAAACTTGCTGAACTCAAATAGATTTTGTTAAAACACTTTCTAAGCACGCTGTGCAAACAGTGGGATTGGAATGCAGTGAATTGGCAAAAAAAATTCAATACTAGAGATGATGGAGTAATGAAAAAAAAATCAAAGACAATTTCAAGATTAACTTGAAACATTTGAGATAAACTCGAGATGTCACGAAATCTTTCTTGTCTTGTTTAACCTGTGTTTTGGGTTTCAAGATGGTAAATCTTCGGTTTCAAGTAAATTTTGATGGAGCGTTGGACTGCTGAGTTAGTGACTGCCAAGTTAGTCTGTTTTTCTTCGAAAAATAATAATTTTTGTCCAAAATACACGAGTATCTGATTTCCTAAGCCTAATAACTGGATTAAGGTGTAGGTAGCATGAGGATTATAGGATAATAGTTTTTATATCAATTCCACCATCTTCGACCTGCGTTTCATCGCGGAGAAGTGATCATTCTAGCAATTTATTGAGTTCAGTGCATGATGGTAATAAAATATATTTACATTTCTGCGAAATACTTGGAAATCTAATTGCAGGTGCGCATCGAAAATTCATTCCGTGGTGTTGTTTTTTTACAGATGAATGGGGTCAATTACCACACGGACTGGAAACCGCAGGCCAACACGGATCTGTAGCGGGCTCAACAAACACGGTATCACAATTAAAATATTTTACTGACATCCCCGATAATTATTTTTTACATAAATGGGAGTTAATATAAAGAATAAAGGCGGACGCTTTCGAGTTGTCTTTATTAAAGAGATGACCGTGCGAATTTTGTTGGTTGAGGACGTTTCATGTAATTCGAGGCGTCGGGGCAGTGATTACATTTAAAAATACTAAATAGGTTAATGTGACGGGCCTTTTAACGCTCGGGAAAAAACAGAAATGATTCGCGGACCGAACTAATAAGGGTCACAGAAACCCTTTGTATACAATAATATTACGAATTCGCGCGGTGCAATAATATACCATAGTCTCATCGAAGACAATTCTAATTTTAGGTCTAATGTCAGTTTATTTGGGGCAAAACTCTTTTTATGATACAATTAAATATTAGTTCATTATATTACTGCAGTAAAATTTCATTTGCCGGACATAAACGTTGAATTCGAGACATACAGCATCGAAAGTTTCAACTTCCCAGATATGGAAAGGAGGGAATAGGCGTTTCGATGAAAAATCTATGAGAGCGAAATATAAAAATTGTCGTGTGGAAGGCGATTGACGCGATTCGTTTGTATTCATTTGCTGCAAAAGTGCATATTTGGTGTTATATATTTGTAAAAAGTCGATTTATTCCAGAATTCACATGTTTTGAATTATCCATGGCTCTTTTCAATGCCTCAAAAGTGACAACTTCCGATCAATGTTGTTTCGTTTAATCCGAACAAAACTTATTCCATCAGATTCTGTCGTTCTGAATGTCAGAACAATGCACATACAGATTTTCCGGGATCCTGCCAGTTTTGACCCACAAAACATCTCAATAGACATGAATAGTACCTACCAATTTACTCGAACGAAACGACCGCTTCTATTCTTACCAGCAGACATGCATGCTAGATGTTTGCCGAAGAGTCTGGTTTATCGCTCATTCAACTATTGACAAAAAACATCCTCGTTTTAATATATTATTTCCGATCCTTTTGCCTTCCTTCAGCTCCCGTTGACCTCGTGCTGTCACCGCTATTGTTTAAAGCAAGATTGAGTACATTGTTATCACAACAGATATCTCTAATTTGTCATAGATCAAAGAACAGCATTGACTGAATAATACATACGAATTGCGAAATTTTGAATAAGATCTGCTTTTTTAAGTTTTCAGCGGCAATGCCAATGGCGTATGACCTACTGTTTACATATGTTACTAATTTTTCCCCGTACAAAAACTACCATCGGCATGCGGTAATGCTTTGGAAATTATGAAAGGAACTTGATCCTGAAAGGAAGTTGCCAATAGACCGAAGATAGTTCAAAGAAACGAATCGTATTTGGCAAGAATATCATTTGAAAAAATCGCGTGTGATTGTGACTGTGTTTTGGATTTCTGTAAAAATTGGCTAGTATATTTTTTGCGGCTCTAGAATCTGAAGTTACATGCGGTCAACGGGGGCTTAAGGAAGGGGCTTAAGGAAGGCCAAAGATTAAGAATAATGTTTTAAAAACAATGGTTTTTATGTCAGAACTTGAATGAAATGCAATGGCTATAGTCACTTGTCAAACATTTGCCAACCTGCATGCGTGTTGCTTTTGCTATTATTTCTTTGAATTTCGAATCAAGTTCGTCGGAAAAAAGAGATTTGCAACGTCGTTTTGTCCCAGAGAAAAAGTAGTAACGATTCTTTTAAATCTTCACCACACGACTTCTCCTGACGTAGATTTGGGCCTATTATTCGTGTTGCGAATCGAAATACTCGCGTTGTGCGACATGTATATGCTTTCTATTTTCCACGCAAAAATACCAACCAAACACCACGGTTTTCAGTAAATACACAGTCGATGTTTTTAGCGATGTTTTAACCGGATAAAATTTGAGAGTCCGTAAAGATCTACATCTAATATGTAATCAGAAACTAAATGTCTTTCAGTCGTTGCCTGGTTGCCTGGTCTATTATCCGAAAGCGGACATTGATATATTGATTTTAGTAGTTGACATAGTTGTTATCATAGATTATTCCTTTGTCTCTTATCTTTTATCAGATGGCACACTTGTGAGCTTTTATATGTCTCTCTTGTATGAAGATTATATTCATATGTGATTTTTTGTGATTCTTTTGCCCTGAGGAGAAAACTGAAACTGAACTAGAACCACAAACTGGATAGCTCTAGTAGTTCTAGACTGCTGTTTCTAGAGGTCATTTCTTATTGATCCAGTGTTACTACAGGAGAAAACCTAAACTAAACTAACTTTATTTATACTAGATAGTTCTATCAGTTCTAAACTGTTCTTGCTAGAGGTCCAATAAGGATCATCTCTTATTGATTCATTGTTACTACCGGAAAAAACCTAAACTAAACTAACTTTATTTCTACTAGATGATTCTATCAGTTCTAAACTGTTCTTTCTTGAGGTCCTTTAAGGATCATCTCAAATTGATCCGCATAGAAATATAAACTAAACTAAAATTTTTGGACTAAAAGACAAACAAGCTATTAAGCGAATTTTCATTGTCCCTGCATGTGCTTATACGTCGTAATCACAGTCATTATTGAAAGCTTTTTTTCATATCCTGTGGCTGTTGTTTTCAGGAATTTCTGCTATATTTTGTCGAAAACAAATATCGTAGATCGGTTCCTTAATATTCAGAACGCCTTCACCCTTTACTGGGATGACGTTTCTCTACGTCAGTCTACGCTTATTTTCAAACCTTCATTTTACGAACGCTGTAAAACAACTTTTTTTCATCCATACGATAAGAATAAAAAAGTCGATTTGAAATGGCTTATCAGAGCGCAAGATCAAACTATGCTATCCAGCTTTTCTTCCATTTCCGTTTTGAATCTTGCGATAATAGTCGCGTTTGATATTATATTGAATGAAAATGCGGCGATATTTTTTAAAAATTTGAATTTAAAGTAAAGTGATTTTTTTATTTCCAGCTGAGATTTTCATTCAACTACCTAAACTGGTAAAATTATTAAAAGTTTACTCTAATATAAACATTTAAACGTGTATGTTTGCTATTTACATTAATTGTATTTTCAGTTGCCCTTAAATCAAGTATTAGTATATACATAGGCCATGTTTGTTTCTAATGTCGAAATGAAAGACCCTGCATCATCAAAGCATATATTATATCAATGTACTTCTTTGTGACAACTTTTTTCCCTATATATATTCGTACTGTTTTATACTATGAATATATATATCATCGTGTAAGATAACTTTTTCCGGCATAATCTTTCAGACCGGCTATGTGACAATTGTTTATTGTAGCCAAATATTATGAAATTGGATTTGTAACTTTAGTCTAATTATATATTCAGGCACGCCAAGGCTTCATACAGTTCGGTAAAAGAGTTTTTCATACATATGATGGATTTGGACAGAATATTCCCTTTTTTAATTTCCTCGGTTCAAATATAGTTTAATTTTCACACTTTGCCTATTTACGGATTGCAGCTGTCCCACCACCACCTACACACGCTGACGCCATCGATCTGTCTCGTTCGTGTCCCGAGCAGCTGGCGAATGACGCCGATTCGCAATTATTCCGCCTCCGAACAGCCCCCGAGCGACGAATATCTATCTGTTTCTATATCCGGATATCATATCGGCCATCTGCCGAGCGATACCGAACACAAACCCGCCCTCTCGGCAAACCACGGTGGTTTCTCACGCCGCCATGAATCGGGGGTGCCACCTTTCGGATACGAAAATGTAAACAGTTGAAACTAGACTTTCGATGACTGCAGTTCTCGTGCATTCATTTTGGTGAATTCAGTGAAAATAGCTTCGAAAAAGTTGGTCTTTTACATCGCTGTGATCTTAAAGATCATCGTTCGGTCCAAAAATAGCCCGATTTAAAATCGGCCCTCTATAGAGGCCCTTTCAATTCCGCGTGATGTTTATTTAACCCGAGGAATATTTGTGATCATTCTATTTCTTGGTCAAGTAAAACAAATAAGTTGAAACAACAATTTTAGTTATACGAAATTGCTTTCGTCGAGAATTTTCTTATTAATTTGAGATTCAACGGTTGAGTTTTAAAGTCATCAATTTTGTATATCATCCAGTTCACGTTTCCTGTTCCAAACTACGCATCGTTTAAGTTCCCTTTTATCATGAAATTGTAAGAGATTTTTATAAGTTTTAAACAGCGGGAAGTCTACATCGAGTTTGACATAAATCATTAACACTTCGAACTTCCGCAAAAAACACAGTCAGCAATATTTTACTCCTTTCACTTTTGCCCATTCGTGGTATTAAAAGAAAGCAAATCACTTCGCGTGACAAACTATTGTTATTAAAGCGCTTACTAACTTAGCAATACATACATTAGTACAAGTATAATCTAGTTATCTTTGAAACCGGCTTTTATGGAAATGCTATTTACCGAAGTCATCTTTGCTGGCATTTCTAGAGACTTATCGTCGATTATTTTGCATTTATACAACTTTTCTTCAAAGTTTGATTTCGGCACTTACAATTTATCGCCATGGCATGAGGATGTTTCGTGTGGCAAACGAAAGTCGGTCAGCCGCGCGATTTTGTGTTCATATAAATTAATAGCAATGTTAGCAAGGTTGCGGAGATGATACGAAGGACAATTGGAAGGCCAAGGCTTCACCTTCGCCGGCTTCGCGAACATTAACTGGATCAAAACATGCCCCAACTTGTGTTCAATCCTGACTCGTGTCTGTCATGATCAAGTCAGCAGTATTCTGCCTCACTGTTCGCTTAAATGAAAAACAACGGCTTGAACACAGGACTGTGCTGAACTAACCTAGCTGGCCCTTTGTTGATTGCGGGATACCATTACCTCGATATGATTATCCCACGCCATATATTCTATATTCAAATAAACTATAGGAAGTAATTTCAACACCTTATGAGTCCTTCATTGTAATTATCAAAAGAAGCTATTCGTCTCTTAAGTTCAATGTTATCCGCCTACGATAACCTTTTGATTAAAAAACAAATGAGAAATTATGTCGTTTATAAAAATAGGAAAATGATTCAAAAGTGTTTCTTTTCGTGTTCCGTGGCGATACTAAAATAGACGTTTTTCTCCAGCTGATATTTCAACATTAAGCGGTCAGTTTTCCTCCATTTAAAAGCGGTTATAATGTGAATTTATATAACAAACTGTTATATTAATTGTTGCTATTCTCGTTTTAAAAGAAATTTTCATCAGGCAGCGTTCAATTATTTAAAGTGTCGAATATTTGGAAGACAAAAAAGCGTGGGACGAAAGATGTTTCACTATCGCATACTAATTTTGACAGAGCAAGACGCCGTTTAACCGGAAGTCGCGAAGTGGCCTGACTTCCGGTGTATTATTTCGTCACGCGTTAATTGGTTGTTATTTGTTACTACGCAATAATCGTGCGCCTCGACCAATCACAGCGCAGCCATGTAAACAAGCAGTAAGCTCATAAGTGTAGAAAACTCGCTTCAGCACTTCTCCTGGCACTTCTCTGTAGAAGTTCAAATACCGCAGTTGTATAAAAACCTTATTCACCGAGCGTAGCGAACCGAACTCAACAAACACCACCGATTAAATACCACAAGCAAACCAAAAAACAGAGCAAAACCACGTCGAACTAACACCATGGAGCAATTTGCAACGATGCCAGAGAACGAAGCGAAGCGTTTCGCTGTGTTAACGTACGAGCAAGTCGTCCGTCTGGGAGAAGTGCTGAGTAGAAAAGTTGAGATACACGGCCGAGGCAATTTTCCTACCATCCAAGTTGTCCTCAAGGACCTTGTCGAAGCCGTGTCCTCTCGTCTGCGAGACAAAGGCGTGAAATTACGCGACATTCGTCTAAATGGAGGAGCCGCAAGTTTTGTGCTGTGTCAAGACAAAAATTATATATTCAATGACTTAGACTTAATATTCGGAGTCGATTTGTCATGTCCTCAACGAATTCACATGATTTTCGACGTCGTAATGGATGCTCTCACGGATTTCTTGCCCGAAGGAGTGAGCAAGAATCGAATGTGTAGCGCTACACTAAAAGATGCTTACGTCAAGAAATTGGTCAAAGTCACAGACGAGACGAACAGTTGGTCGCTCATTTCACTGTCAAACGACGACGGAAGGAATGTTGAGCTGAAGTTTGTCGATACAATGAAACGGCCATTTGAATTCTCAATCGATTCCTTTCAAATAAACTTGGACTCGCTTCTGAGCTTTTTTAAGCTTTCGACTTTGCCAATCAAGCCGAATTTCTTCCCGAGCGTTCTTGCGGAGTCCGTCTACGGGGATATCGGGGTTGCCCTACACCACTTGGACAATCGCTTAATTGCGACTCGAAACCCGGAGGAAATTCGTGGCGGTGGGCTCCTAAAGTACTGCTACCTGTTGGTGAAGAGGTACACTCCAGAAGATCGCAAGGAAATCAGGAGCATGGAACGCTATATGTGCAGTCGTTTCTTCATCGACTTCGGTGATCTCGATACACAAGTGAGGAAACTTCAGAAATACTTGCAAGACCACTTTCAGGGCGACGAACGCGTTAAATGCGAATACCTCCGAATCCTGTATCGCACCATCGCAAGCTCTACCGTGTGTCTCATGAACCACGAACGTAAACAGACATTGATGATCATTGAGCAAATGGCTAACAATATCGAACATGGTTTGCTCGAGATGAACTATTATTATAGGCCGATGCCAACGCGTTTCCCAGCCGGCAACTGCTACTACAAGGGTCCGGGATTTAGGAACCACCACCACACGCATCATCATCATCACAACCACAGTCGTTACAGATTTTACCCTACGTGTTCAGCGCTGGCCCCGATGGCCACCTAACTTTGGGTCTGTATTTTATAAGAAAAAAAAAATACACTGTATTAGTTGTGCGTCAACTTCGCGACGCCGAACAACTTAACTTCTCGATTGCCGCTACATTAGGCTTGGAAAGAGACGCTTGACTCCTGTAATAATAATGGGCCACCGTAACGTTGGGATTTATTGATTATATGTAACTATATTTCTGGCTTTTTTATTGCTGTGGTATATATACTGCATTGCTCAATACAAGCCGTAATGTAGAGTGTGTGCGCTGTTTATAGCGAACGATAATACACGGTTTGTTTACATTAGGATGAGAGAAAAGGGACTTTAAATTGCGTTCTGGTTTATTTTGGGTTTCTTGGCGCAAAGCCCTATTCAGTTGTCAGCCTCCGTAGCGCATTTTTAACCTGGGTCGCGCAGCCCTTGTTTTGACCGCTGTATCGTTACAGAAAAGCGAAATGTATCTGTATTTTGAGCGATGTGAAAATTGTGTAATTTCACTTCTTTCAACATATTAAACTTTGAAACCTAATACTACTGACCGCTTCAGCGCTTCGCTGCAAACGGGATAATAGCATTAATTTTGTAAAAAAGGCAACTGAAAATTTGTCATTATAAATATAAGTATATAAAACCCAAATAATTCTGTGTTTAATGCCGACCACAATGCGAGATTGTTTTGATATGGCTGGTGCAAAGCCTCGGGCTTTAAAATTGAAAGTTTTCGTTTTGTTCATGTCAAACTTTGATCACTCGTATCAAGGACGCCAGCTGATCGGGGTCGTCGCGTTTGTTTCTGGTAATTTCGCCTTCTACCCCTTTATTAGCCGGCCCAAAAGTAAAAGTTTATTAGATTAACACAAGTCGCCCGTATCTTAGTGTATATAGATCACCGAATATTTGTAAGGTACAATATTATCGAGTTATTTTAGGTTGCTAAGTGCACCATATCTGACAGGGAAGTTGAAATAATACCGCATAGTTTCCTCGCAATGATATCGCCATGGTTTTTCAATTGTACGCCAATGGGGCGAGAGTATTTTTAACTTCGCATATATAGAAGCTGTTCAATTCTAACGTACATGAACATTGACAAGTGTAACGTCACAAGGCTCTGCTATTTCCATGTTTTTATCACGTTTTGCCCCTAAACTGCGCTAAGTTTTCGTCATAAATAGCCAAAGTCACCGGAAAATAGCACTTCTCATGCAAACAATGCCTACTGCGACTAAAGATGGCTCCTTGACCTAATAGGCTTTGGAAGTGGCGTGACTCTTTAATTGAAACATGCGTTCTAGCCTCATTCAACTATCAACTGTGCTCGCTTTTCGACCCGTGAAGTCGAATGCGCGATTCGTCGTGGGCTTTCATGTTTCGTGCGAAAATGGACAACTCTGTTTAACATTAAAAGCTTTTTTGTTTTGTCTGCGCCCACCCAGATATCATATACTTATCAGAATCTAATCGGTCTATATTATTTATTATCATAAATTATTCATCGTTTTCATAAAGTTTTTCGACTCGGAGGAAGTCAAAGCCCAGGCGTTTGTTATTCTGGATTCGTTACACTCGCCATGAGTCCTGCTGTGATCTGACGCGCTTTTATTAGATGTGCGCATTGTAAACATGTTTACATTTTTGCACACTCCCGAGCCGAAAGTTATTATTAAAAATAAATTCGTTACCCTGCACTTAGTCTCCTCTTGTTCTATTATTGAGCGAAATTAAATTCAGGTGAAGATAAAGATGGCGAAATATGTGTTCGTGCAACAAAAGAACCGAGTTATCATCTATCTCGCATCATCATCTTCGTAATTCCTGTTTCCTTTTTTGAACTTCTGTATGACAGCAGCTTGATTCGTTTTATCAGATCTCTCGAAATTATACATACGCTTACAAAATTATGTATATCATTATATGTGATAGTGAAGTATAATATATCGGGGCATGTTTGAGTGTACTGTATACACAAAGCTATGAAGTTGCAGGTTGTTACAAAAAAGGGGAAGTTTTTGCCCCGCGTTACCATAATTAATGCGGACGTTGTAATGTAATTTAAGACACCAAAATCGCAAGCGCTCGAGTAAGCCTTTCAACACAAACGAGTGAACTTGTATAGAAAATCTTGCCTTGGCCAGCATTTCCGACACTTCGTGACCTTCTTCCAAGTAACCTTGTTTAACCGTTGGTCAAGCGTACACTGTCAGTATCATTGAGCGACCTGAATGCACTGTGAATATGAGATTTTGCTACGCAACCGACGCAACCGCTGGGCAACGGTTAAAGACCTAGTAACTTTCATGGACACACGCAATTTGTTTTTAAAATAAATTCACGGACCCAAACTGATGCCATATGATATAATGCCGTATCTAAAGAACCATAAGAGCCAAGACTATTTACCGGATGTCATATTATTATGCCTAGCACATGATTGTTATAAAATTGGGTCAGTTACGTAACATTTTCCTTTGAAAAGATGGTTATGCAAGATATATGTAACATTGAAGAGGTGGCATAGCGATGCAAGTGCCTACAGAGAAACCCTCAAACGACGTGGGTATCCTGGACAATTTGCGCCCATCGTTATAATAGAGTTACAGTATTTTCCAGTAATTTCTGTACCGAGCGAATTCGTGTCCCAAATCCCAATGAGCTGAGCTTGCCTGGCCGAGTAGATGACGTTTTGTTAGCGGTTGGTCCAATTGAGTGGGCAGAGTATTCAATTTCACTAATACCAAAATAATTGACCTCGAATAGGTTCTGCAAACAAAACTATTGTGTTGTTCCGCAGCGCTTGTACTAGGTACACAAGAGTGGCTTAACAATGTAGGTGGTTTATTAAGATAAAAACAATGTTTATTACAATTTACAAGGTAACTCTAACACGGGATTGCACATAATCCCCTTTATATAATCCTAATAGATTGCCTAAACTACCTTAACTGAACTTGGACGCTTATCATATAACCCCTGAAGCAATTTGTAAGGTATTTCAATCGTTGGTGTAATCTTGTTAAAGTGTTTTTCACAGTGAATCCCTTGCCAATGAAGCTGTATTTAATTTTCTACTTGACTTTGCAGCTTGACTTTTATACGAAGTTGTAATTTTTTAAGACATCTAACACTTGTCACTTTTCCTCAAAGCCTGTCTCAAAAGGAACAGAAAATTACCATTCACTGATCAGTTGTTTTTTTCAAGTTATTATAATGTGTATAAAAATAGCCTTGTAAGCCCGATGAGGAAAAAATTGGCGAAAAAAATGGCAAAGAAAAGAATAACAACGAAGGTAGTAATCTTATGCTTTTTACATCTGCCCTTCTAAGGATGTAAATCCTTTTTTAATGGTTTCCGGTTGCAAAATTCTGGTAAAATACGATGCCGTTCTTCCTTCAAGCCATCGAAAGATCGATTCTCCTTTTCGAAACAATAATTTGCATAATATTCGTCATTTATGATTAAAGTTAAAATCTCCCAACTACGAATTCGTTTTTCCGAGCGTCTGATTGGTTGGTTCCTACATTTAGCGGGAAAAATTGGGGGTGAAATTCCAGGAGTGAGCATTCGCGATTTCTGTTTCAATTTTCAAAGTCAAGAGATGAGAAGAAATTTATAGCAAGAAAAGACCCTCAGAAAGAACGACAAAAGCGCCTGGAAGAGTCACCAGACAGACGTACAGGTACCGCATTACATATGTTTGCCATTTTCTAGCTTTTTTGCGGAGAATTTCATCATAAATACTGCCCATAATTTTGCGATGGTTTTGCATCGAGTGGAGTGGCAAATTATTGCTTTAAACATACAATAGCAACCATTATTATTGACGATTTTTATTAGTATTCGCTCACAAAAGAACTTTATTACATCATATGGATTGTAATTGCGAACTACAATCCTCGAAATGTGAAATTTAAATCCAGGATTGCAAGTATAAGAATACCATAACAGGACGCCATCTTGTCTTTTAATGCAATGCGGTTTTGAATTTTGAATTTTCTTCGCACTTCTGCAAGATGGCATTTTTTATCTCAAGAGTGTCTATTGTAGTCTATAACACTTGACATATTAGAATATATGTTTAGTATTTTTATCGTGTCCTGAATCTAAATTTGCCCTATTTTCTAGAATTCATTTGTACGAAATTCTAAGAATTGCTATACTAAAAACTTGTAACTTTCTTGATTGCTTCAAAACACCTCCATTTATCAGGAATATAAAAAGGTTCAAATATATGAGGAAATGGCGTGTCCCAGCCACAAACACGTTGAATAGGAGCTTCTAGTGACAGGAAGCAATGTTCCTAAAAAAACCCAAAATAAAATATAAGCTATGTTTAATTTCAGATAAAATAGTTTTTTTGTTGTTTGAGTAGTTAATAGCAGACAGTTTTAGATTAGAATTGCAAGCCTGTTGATAATTCAAAGTGACCCGAGCAATGTTTTCATTAAGTTTAATTAAAACAGACTGTGTTAAAATAAAAAACAACAGTTGTCAATATGACATGGATTGTACTTTGTCTCTTCTTAATGTCATAGAAAATGATGTATTAAGTTCATTTGAGGTATAATTCATTTTGCATATACATTATATATCTTACACCAATATATTATAGATTTATAGCACCACTCCCAATTCAAAACCTAGCCACTTTCATTCATGCAACTCAGCAAGTTCCCACCTGTATTGTACTTGCTATTTCTGCACCAAAGCCACTTGTTTTTGGAGCTTCGTGAGCAATCATCAGCCTTCCAGTTTTGTTCACAGACTTAAGAGTAATTGCATAGAAAAAAAAGATTATAATATTTGCTTCCAGTGTGATATCTGTCATTCTGCCATTTTTTGTAAGCACAACAGACAGACTGTCTGTCTTCAACACACCTGCTCAACAGTGTCAATGTCCCAAGGTAATATTGTTCTCAGGTCTATCAATTCGCAGGAAACACCCAGCTCATCTTTTGCCATGTTTACAACCTCTCGTAGGATGTGGACTTGGGTTCCCCAACCAACAATCGTAACATCTGATCCTTGGGATAAAAAATAAGTACACTTGGAAAATTTATAGAACACATAAGTCTGTTAAGATCAGCTTTCTAGAATGCTTGAAGAATGTCCAACATGTAGTTTTATAATAATACAAACCCTCTATAAGAACTTCAGCTTCTGATAAAGGCAGTTCATAGTCACCAACTGGTACTTCCTCCACTATATTTCATGATAAAAGTAATTTTAAAGTTTAAATTGTTTAATTTTATACATTTGCAATATGTTCGATTCTTCATATTTTGCTTCATATTTTGCATGTAACAAAATAAAATAGCATTGTCACATGTGTGACCAAAGAATCACCTATTTCTCTTACCAGCCTGTCTGTATAAGACTTTTGGTTCTAAAAATAGCACTGGATTAGGGTCCCTGATAGCAGATAGTATCAGTCCTTTTCCTTGAATTGGTCCTCGAGGAATAACAACCTTGAAAAGAGAATAATTCTATATATTATAACACATACATTACTCTTTTATATGCACTTTGCGAGGTGATTGGATGAATTAAATGATAGTGTTACTGACCTTTAAACCAGGAATATGTGCGAAAAATGCTTCAACTGATTGTGAGTGATATAGTGCTCCATGGCCAACTGCCCCACAAGGGGCTCGGATTGTCAATTTCCCACAATCAAATAAGTTACCAGTCCGATATCTAAACTTTGCAGCTTCATTTGTTATCTAGTAGCAGGGAAATGATCACTGATCAGAAAAGCCTAAGATTGTAGAATTATGAACTTTCGACTGGTCACTCAACCTGGTCAAATGCCGGGAAAATGTAATCGGCAAACTGTATTTCTGCAATGGCTGTTGCTCCAGCAGTTGCCACACCTATTCCAAATCCAACAATTCCCTGTTCTGAGAGGGGAGTGTTAAATACTCTGTCTTCACCTAAAATGTACAATGTACAATTGTCCCTTTTGAATTGTATCTAGAAATATATTGGTACTTTACTTGGCTGGCATCTGCAATTGTGTCACCATAGTTAACTAACCATACTTATCTCTAAGACCAACTGTGCACCTGAAAACTCCTCCAAAAGCAACATCCTCACCAAATATAACTGTAATAAGTAATAAACGCCTTTAGTATTTTCATACAGTAGATGGCACACTATTGTGTGGTACTACAATTTGATGAACAATACCAGCAGATTCATCAGCAGCCAACACAATGTCCATTGCATCTGTTAAGGCCTGGAATAAATTCATCCTCTTGACCTCACCTGGTTATATAAAGAAAATGCTTTTGTCAATATTTCACCGATTAGCAAGGGTCATGCATTGTGTAGAAAAATAAATACCGGTATTATTTATTTAATCAACTAAGTAATAGTTTTTTATTTATAATCTGCGGAAAATACATAATATGGAAGGGGGTGAAATCTGCAATGGTGGAGGAATGTGGATAAACAGTGTCCTGTATCTAACCTGTATGTGAAGGGGGTTGGGGGAGATTGGTGGAGTTGACACCCCCAATTGGACAACGCTGCTCTAGGTGGAGGTATACCTTAGCTATTCATTGAGTCTGGCACACTGTTGAGAGGGAAATGCAATTGGAATCATAGGATCATTAGTTACCACATTATTAGTTAGTTTTATAATAGAACAATGAGTCTATACTCTATATTAGGATCATATAGTATATGTGAAAAGTGTGAAACAATATTTACCGTCAGTCTGTGCTGTTTCAGCAACATATGTAAATGTTGAACCATGCTTGTGTTGATTTTTTGTAATGAATGATGAAGAAACGTGTTTACAAAGCGTAGCTTTATTCAAGAACCGTTGCAATCGACACGTCGAAATTGCAGCCATGTTGTATAATAATATTGTTCATGCGAACTTTATGCCTGGGGTGTAACTTCCGATACTATTTCCTACGAGATTTGTGCTGGGGTCATATTTCGTAGGATTATATTTCGTATGGGTTATATTTTCCGGTGCTCTCGCGTGTACGCGTGGCATCCACGTAATCTGCTGTTGCATGGCAACATTGGCTGCCATGACGACCTGGAAAATAAACGACGGCCATTTTGATTTTGGAAAGAAGTGAAGTCGAAATGGGTCAAGATTACTACAGTATTCTTGAACTAACAAAAGGAGCGAGCGATGCAGATATAAAAAAAGCGTATGTTAATATTCTGGACAATACTCCGATGAGGTAGCAATGAAATAATAATGAAATTATACCCTTGTAGTTACAGAAAACTGTCGTTAAAATTCCATCCTGACAAAACCCAAGAACCTGGAGCTGACAGGAAATTCAAACAAGTTTCTGAATCATACGAGATACTGAGTGATCGTAAGCCATTTGTAGCATAATTCACACTTTTAATGGACAAGTCATAGCTTGTTTCATGATTAATGATTTTTATACGTTGATTTACGTTTATGATTTTTTTTAGCAAAAAAACGGGCCATTTATGACCAGTTTGGTGAAGAAGGATTGAGAAATGGAGTACCAGACAGTGATACAGGTTGGTTAGAATGTTCTGGATCGGTTTTGGTAACCAGAATGTATCTTGACGAAACTTACAGTTGAAAATTCTTTGATTCAATAATGAATATATTTCTGTGAATGTTAGGTGGATGGACACCTGGTTATACCTTTCATGGTGATTCATTAAGAGTTTTCAGAGAGTTCTTTGGTGGTGACAATCCATTTTCTGGTAAGTCATGCCCAGATATGGTTGGTGGATATGATATAGATATATTTCATGCCTGGAGAGTGATTCTAATGAACTGTACTTCTGATTTCCACAGAGTTATTTGATTCCTATGATCCAGAGATTGGATTTGGTGGTGCTCATGGGCGTGGCCGTCGGAAGCAGGATCCACCGATAGAAAGGGAATTGTATTTAACATTAGAAGAGGTGTTCAAGGGATGTACAAAGAAAATGAAGATATCGCGGAGAGTAAGTTATCAACTTCTAACAGTAAAGATATACCTGTCTGACAGATGCCCTTCCGATGACAAGTAAAACCAGGGAGCTTATATACATACTATATAGAAATACTATATAGTATATAAGTGCCCTGAATAAAACCATTTGACAGATTTGTGAAAAGCCAAAACTCCCTGAAAAAAGCAATTGGTAACTCATATTTTTGGATGTTTTTCTGTCTTTACAGGTGATGAATGAAGATGGCCATACCTCAAATATCCGTGATAAGATCCTCACAATAAATGTGAAACCAGGTTGGAAATCTGGTACAAAGATAACTTTCCCTAAAGAAGGTGATCAGGGCCCAAATAATATTCCAGGTATTATTTCACCACAGTTAGTAGGTAAACTTTTCTTCAGAAATTCCTTTGAAAGTTTCATTTGACTTTTTTACAGCTGACATTGTATTCATTGTGAAGGACAAATCACATTCAATATTCAAAAGAGAGGGCAAGGACCTTTTCTTCACTGCAACTGTTCCTCTAGGCAAGGTAGGTGACAATGTTAATCCATTGGTGTTTCTGTGACGCTTGAAGAGGTTCAAAAAGGTGTGGTTACGTGACTTTGCATGAATTGCCTGGCAAATTGGTTATCTTAGCCAGTGTTTAGTTGGAAGAGACCTAGTTATAAATAATATACTGGTTACTACTATACACTTTACTGTTAAAGACTGTACCATATACCAATTTCTGTGATTTATAACAGGCATTAACTGGTTGTACGGTAGATGTACCAACTCTGGATGGAAGGCTTATCAGTGTACCCATCAATGATATTATCAAGTAAGTTGCATACTCAGTGTCTGGCTGTAATTGTAATATTCAGTGTTAAGTCCCAAGGCTTGCACGACAAAACACCTTGCAGACCTGTGTTATTATCATCTTTACAAAATTGTTTTTAAAAAGGTTAGCTATTCATTAAAATACAGCAATTATGTCATTTACAAATTACTAATTTCATGCAGGTTGTTGAATAAAAGTACGAATCTGAAATCCACAAATATGATTCATGCAAGTTTTCTAAATTTGCACACGCTGAAACAGCGTCCTCATTCATTTTCTAAGGAAATTTCCTTAGAAAACCCTGTGCTCATCAGGGGAAAGAGGAACGATTGTCGTTCCTTCCTTTTTAGTTCTTTAAAGACTATTAAAATTGAGAGAGCACATCGCTATGAAACAAATGCCGTAACAAATACCATGATAAATATGTTATGAAGGCTTGTTTCAAATTCTCTTCAAAATGCTGGTATAATTGGCATTTTCAGCTCGCTTTTGAGGCCTCTAAATGTTTTTTTAATGAAAATTTTAAATTCTTGAAGATAAAGAGATTCGTACTGAGTACTTGTTGATAACGTTGGAAATTAATTGCGCCTCGTTTTCAGGCCTGGCTATACAAAACGTGTACCTGGCGAGGGAGTGCCAACGTCGAAAGATCCGAACATTCGCGGGGATCTTGTCATCAATTTTGATATCGTTTTCCCAAACAAACTGAACTCGGACCAAAAACGACTTTTGAAAGATGCCTTGCTGCAGTGACAGCTCTGCATTGTAGATCATAGATTTGCTGTGGTTCGTAGTCTTGGCGGAAGACTACATTGTTATATATTCTCATGTATTTTGTCATGATATTCCTTGTACATAAAAATCTGGACGAAATCATGCAAAATGGCTGCCGATTCAATTCCTTATTGGTGTGAGGTGCTTCTAGTGCTTAAAACGAATCCTTCTCAATGGTTCTTCTTGGATGCGGGGAAAACTCGGTGTTGGGTGCTCTCTATTCTATCACTGTACCGTTTGTGGTAATTAACTACTTCGCCTAGAATATGGGCAATACTTTCACACATTACTTGCTGATTGGACTATTTTGTTGTTCTTTATAATAAATATGGTTTTTTTGCACAAGTTTCTAGCCAGAATATAGTTTAATAGCTTTACGTTTGACGCGTTAATTAAAGTCTTAAAATACACTACATCTAACTAAACAATCACAATTGTTGTCAACGAAACATATTTGTTTTTTTAAACACATACAAGCCTATATATAGACTTATTAAACGCTATCTTTGTATAATAACGACATCAGTGGATTGTTATGTAAATAAAACTTTTCTGCTTGTAAATCAAAGGCACAAAGTCCTATACGTAGGCGTAGTCTTCATATACGGCTAAAAAGAAAAAGAATGAAGTTGGTGAATTGATTTAGAGATCGATCTTCTGCTTTATCACTTGCTCAAGCCAGCAATTCTAATTCATATATACAAAAGCCTCTTGACCACTGGACGTGAAAACGAGAATTGGTTGTTAAAAGTGCCCGATTTATGTATGGCAAGGCAGAATCATATGCTGCTGACACTTACCGCGAATGGAGCCATTGGACCAACACTGCTGCAGTATCGTCTCATTGCTTCACGTATATGCTCTGGCTGGAGACAATCTGAATATAAGTCGCTTGATACCATCGAACTCAACTACAGAAGAATCAAAACAGACACAGTTTATGAAGACGAATTTAGAATGCCGGTCAGAAATGGAAACAATTTGAATATAATTTTCTTGTATGATTGCATGGCGTCTTTAGTAATTATAATAACTTGTAGGTACACCACGTAAGTATTAAATACTGCAAAGCTTTCGGTCCGTTAACCCGGACCTTCATATTGCACTGATGAAGGTCCGGGTTAACGGACCGAAAGCTTTGCAGTATTTAATACTTACGTGGTGTACCTACAAGTTATTATAATTAATTTGAATATAATAGGTCACTTGAAACCATGGAACGCCAACAAAATTTTAAAAAGATTGCAAGGGTGTGTCATCAACTAAGGAATGAAAACAGACACAGTTCATCATGAAGATTTGATGCCATGATTAGAGCTCTGGTAAAGGGACAATCTGAATACAATCAGGTCATTTGAATTTAGAAAGATTGCAAGGATGTGTGTCTTAAATGCAGCTATGGAAAGGTAGTCTAAGGAGTACTAATAAGACCACGCAGTACCTTGGCTTTCTTTTTCTTGCTTTTCGACGATTTCGATGTCGTCACTAATGAACTAGAATTGATGCCAGTTGTGTTCGAGGACGTTACCGTTGCCCCACTTCCCGCTGCGCCACCTGTGTTTGGGAACGATGGAGGTGCGTTTCCGGTCGGTGTTGTGGGTGTACCTGGTGGGGTAGGGGTGGAACTCCTGCTCGTAGATAAGGACGGTGTGGATATGAATGGTAAATTGATCTTTGAAGCGTTGTTTTGTCGTAGTAAAGGCATTACTGCTGATAGTTCATCGCCTCTTTCCATGTCCTTCTTAACAAGCAGAGCTAAATCTACAATCTATTCAGAAGAATAACAGTGAATTGATCAACGAAATTCTAATATAAGACACATGCAGACATTTGAACATAAATTTTAATGGAAATTTGGAGCTATTCCAAAGGAGACCAATGCAAAAGATCTTTACTATTATAACTGCCAAAAATGAATTATCAGTCAACACAAACACGAGCTCCAAAACGAGTCTTCTCGTTTCACCAAAGAATTGACTGACTTTCCTCAATATGTGAATTGACTGAATTTCCTCGATATTGACTTAATATGTTGAAGTATTAAGAAGTCAATAGCTTTAGGTGGACTAACCTGTCCGACAGTCTCGTAGGCGAGGTAGCTGAACACTTCCATGACTGGTGAATTTGGCTTTAAATCTGTTAGGTTTGAATAGTCCAGCCATTCCTTGAACTTTCCGGCCTTTTTATCTGAAGTTAAAAAATACTTGTAAGTCCTCAAGGTCGCTGGTAGCTTCTGTGATGGTAATATTTGGAGAACTAACCGGGATGAAGATGATTGATCTCAGGAAGATACCTACAGTCAGTCTGATACTTACTAAAGTTAGCTTGACGACATTCAACGAATTCCAAATACTGCTGTGTGTCTAAGGTTCTGGACAGGCGCTCGGCTCTCTAAACACGTTTCAAAGCCCAATTCAACATATAGAATTGCTTCTACGATGATGCACATTGCTTGGCTATTGTGAAGGAAGTATGAAAAATACTTGCCTCTAGTCTGTCACGTCTATGATCGTAACTATCATCTCCCAAAAGACCCGAGTCATCTGTAGCGAAAAAATAATAAATTATACCAGAAATTAGCAAAACAGACGCCCGTGCATCCTCGATTTTTCCCGTGCGCCTTCGGGATGGTGTGAATCGACTAGTATACTCACCAACAGCAAGAACTGGTGCCGCTACCTTGCAATTCATTTATGATCTTATATATCCACGAGCTTATCTAGAAAGCTTACGTTTTCATCAAATTTCTGCAGAAAACACATCTCCTCAGTCTTGCAATACAAAACTGTACCTTTGAAATCGGATGTGCCTAGATCTGATAATCTTCTTCGTTTGTTTCCTGCCTTCGCGTCATTTCCAGCTGTTTAAAATGTGTCAAGGAAGTCATAAATAATCATTTTGTGGCGTGGTGATTTATTTCAAGCATTTAAATCAAACAATACTCCCGTACCAAACGATCCGAGAATTTCATCATCTTCTTGTGAAACTTGTTTAATCAATTTCTGTTTGCTTTCTTTGAAACTGAGGTATTGGTTCAGCTTTCTTAGCTTGTCCTACAAACGGAACAGCAGAGTTACAGACATCCATCATTCTGGTAAACATGAAAAAAAACCCAAATCTCTGACCTTGTCTTTTCGCATAAGAAATTTAATGTCTTCTGTGTGCATGAACTTGCCGCCTCTTAATGCTGTGACCTCGGCTGTTTGGACAACCTGATATAAACAAAGATTAAGCATATTAAAGGGATTACAGCACCTTTATCGCGTCGGTTGTATGCATGGTATAAAGCCATGAAAAGGACTCGAATTATTATCAAATTAATATCAAATCCAGTGTCTTTCCAATTTTTTGCAAAATATTCATAACAAACCCAACTGGGGTTAAATATTCCGACGATACATCATACTTGTGGAGAAATACAGCAATTCGAAATCGACAAAATACTTTGTTTACATTATGAGCTCCACTCCGCCTCTAATAACAATCGATATATTGGTGAATATTATTTAACAAATTGAAGAACAAATGGTAAAGAAAGCGTTTGTTTACATTATATGAACCACTTTTGAAATAACAATCGATATATATTGGAAAATGTTGTTGAGAGGAAGTAGGCAACTCGAGGCAAAAAAAAGGATAATGTGGAAAGTAGGATGATCTTAATTCCGGTAGCTGATTCTGTTTTAGGAATCCGATTACGAAAGCGTAATATTGGGTTGATTATATTATTAGAACATCAAAATGGAAAGTTCCAGCCGGTTTGAAATAGATACAGCATAAGCGAGCATACTCTCATTTTTTCACGACTTGTGTTTTGGAAGAGCTACGAGCGATGATATTTTTATGTCATGTCTTTATAATTCGTAATTTGACACGTGCAGAGCTGCTCCATCGTGAGTGGGAGTTATATAACCGGATGGCCTCAAGGGAAATTGCTACATACCAGTTTGGAAATCTGTTGGTGCACTATTCCTTCGATAAGCCGAGCAGACTCCGAGCTTGGTCGCCTCGCGTCACCGAATGCGTACCTGGAACGAATGTAAAGAAAAAACAGCATATAATTCATGATTCAGTGTGCGGGGTTTTTCCAAAAGAAATATTTCTGCTGCTCAATATATATGCTCTTTGTTCAAGTGAAATTAAATACTTCAATTTGCTCTAAGTGTTTCCCAAGTGTTCGTAGCAATGTGTCTAAACATAGCGCGGTTATTTCGGTGACCTTTACCACAGACAATTATGCAACTGTATCAACTTTTATTCCTGTGCGAAAAAATCCCCTAAATTCAATTCCCTGCAATTAGAGTTTCCTCGTTGGTTTACATTATCATTTTTTGTCAACAAATGTACACAAGAAGGACCTCTTATTACATGCAAACGTTGCTTTCTCAACAAATACTCGAAGCTGAAGATATGACCTCGCTCGACCCCGATAGAGAGAAAAGTTGAACAAACGGATGCTGCTTGAATATAAATATAAAGTTGAACTGAATGCTAAATATACAGCAGTTCTGGCGAGCGGGTAGCCCACGCTGAACACAAGAAACGGAAAATCGAAACAAACGAGTCTTTTCTCTTGCTGTGCTTTAAGAAATATCTGGAATGATCAGGAACAGCGCGTTTAACGAAGCTGAATTGACGTTCTTCAAGTGGCATTTAGAGTGTTTCTAAATTTACTTTAATAATTCTGACAGTATGGCTTATCGCCAGTGGTCCGATATATATATTTCGTATATTCACACCAATCAGGCGAGTTTGATTTCTGGCCAGAATGTCTGAGACGGAAGGTTTTTGATTTTTAGAAAGATTCACGCTAAAAAACTTCCTCCCACACGAAGACGTTTTGATAACGGCGCAATCGACACAACGCGCGATGACAGTTTTTTTGGAAAATTTGGCAGCAGTTGTATTATCTTAACCTGAGCGAAATTTTTCGCATCCTAGTACGATGTTATTAGGATGTGTGTACGGAAATTAGAAGTGAAGAAACTAAAGATATCCCATTTTCATTCGTTCCCCTTCTTCAGGAGAACTCCACCTCAAATCTGATATTTATAACCTACCATCAAGCAAGTGAAAATTTGCAACACATTCTGATATATTTTAGTCGAGCATTTTTATAAGAGGATCGTACAAGTACCTTCAGTCGCTCCAAATATAGAAGATACACTTAGAACCTCGATCATTAAAACTCTATATATTAAAAGTACTAAAAAAATTCTGTCTGCAATGAAAATAATAGGTGGTCTGTATTTTAACTGTAATAATTTTAATTGGTTAGCACCATAGTTGTTTATCACATTTTCAAGCAATACAATCGCACATGTTCCTGTCACGTGTAAAATCATGAATTAACATATGTTGAGCCCAGTAAAGGTTTCAACTTTCAATTTTACAGATAAGGACCGAATCGCTTGCTGCATGTTTGAAAACATTGAAGACCAACCATATTTACCAATCTTTAGTATTACTAAATAGATATGTGCGTATAAGTATAGGTATAATTGTATATCATAAATTTGCGGGGTCAGTTTTATGTCTTTCAAGCAATTAACTTCTAACACGCTCACAATTAAACTACTTAAAAAATTCTTTGTCTTCCTAAATTAATCTCTCCTAAGAAGATTTGGGCCCCCGTTAACAAAGTGCTTTCCAAAGAAGTGCTTAATTGGCTGTGGGTATGAATTATGAAAAGTGTATTGTCTTTAATTTCGAGTAAACAAAAAATACGTGAGAAAATACAACGTTCTCATAAGTAAAAATAATTTAAACATCGAATTCCCAAGGTAAATTGCCAACATCGATTCAGGCTCCTAATCTTTTGGTTATACCCAGCATTTCTCTTTCAGTCATAATGGCCTAAAAACTGTTCATCAATGCTTCTTGTTTGTAAAAACTTTTGCTTGCAAGGCATCCAAATGCTATTGTATTGACGCTCAATTTTAGTCTGTCTGCCTCTAGAGTGGTTCAGTTAATGGCTTCATGTATTTTCTACCTTAGTTATTAAATTTATTGAATCATTTTATATGTTTTGAATGTAACATTCCACTTGCCTATTAAATGAAGTCAAGTGTCTTTATTTTGTTTTAAATTTTTAGTGGCTTTCATCAGTTATTTGTTGATTTGTGTAGGGCAATAATATTAATATTGGCTTTTGTATTAGGAACTTTTACAGCATGTCTCATATGAAGTGAACAAATTTCAGGCATTCATCCAGAAGATATAGATAAAGACACAGGCATTCTATATTTGGTTATATGAAACTATTTTTAGTTAATGCAAATAGACCTTATATTTATATTTATAGCTATTGATCATTCTAGATTTTAAGGTAACTCAATTTCAAAGCACCAAGGTTATATTGAGAAGGGCGGAACTGAGGGTAACTGTTCGCATATATTATTAACATATTTGGTAGGTTAACAAGTCATTGTTTGGTAAAAATATTTGCTGAATTGAATGACAGAATGACAATGTTATATACAGAATGAGAAGGCTGGACTCCAGTCTGTCTCAAACATGACATGCAATATTAAAGATAAATTGTTTGTGCTATAGTTGTGATATATTAAGAATTCAACAAATATGTTTTTTGTTATAAAAACTAGAATAGATTTTTATGTAAATGGTAACCATATGCATTAGGAAAGGATGTGAACAGCATACTTGGATATCCTTTTTCACAGTTGAAAGCTATACTACAGGAAAAAACAAAACATTTCGCATTTTTTATCTGCACACACCTGTAAATTACCTCTCATCAATTCCGAGAAATTAACCTGATGGATAAGATTCCATGTTATTTTACCGCAGATGTATACTCATGATTTCCTTTTATCAATGGAGCTCCAGCAAAGTAATGGGTTAACAACATCTGTGAGTAATTCTCATTTGCCCATTTGATGGGAATTTTATTTCAGATATCCCTAAGGGGCTATTTCAGATTACATTAAATTTACTCTGTCAAACAAATTTATCCTTGGTGATATTGTAATACTAAAAGCATTCAAGTTGGTAGGTTGTATGTAATAACATAATTATCAATAGTGTGGCATTGTGTGGTCAAATGTTAATTGATCACAAGAAATATGTTACAGATAATAGTGTTGCTACAGAATATGTCAGTTTTTGTGTAATAAGCCTTGGTAACCAAATTCAGTAGTTTGTTTCTCAATTTACTGTTGGTCAGTTCAACTGTCATTAGGTATAACTTAGGCAAAACATTCTGTTCCTACTAAAGTAAGATATTCTGTGACCTAACTCGGTTCATCAACAAGCCTGGGCCAACATACATAAAACTCCTAAAACTTGCTATGCCTATGGACTTGTGCATCTATCATCTAGATTTTTTTGATGCAAAAATTCACATGCCAATATCACTTAAACAATGATCAAAATATTTTCCTTTCCTGTACAAACAACATGTACAATCAGAAGCTTGCTCAAAAACAAAATACTTAAATTCATTTGCATGCCTAACCTACACAAAATATACAAAGGTCACGAGAAGCTCAATTAGATGGCACAAAAAGCCAATAACGAATTCACGATAACACGCTTGTAAACAGGAAAATTACGCAAAACCTTGTGGTTTACCATATCCGGTGATTAATTACGAAGCTCAAGGTATAACCGGAAATAAATATTCAAACATTCATTCATTTTTATATCCATATTGTGTTTCGCAGGTGCTCTCTGTGCATTCTTGAGATTTTATCTTCTACACATGTGAAGATTCGTAAAATACGACACAATTTACCCGAGAACTTTGAAAGCATTTTACTTAGAACTCACATCATGCTTAGAATTTCGGTCTGAAACCATGGTTTGGCTGCTGTACTTCTCGAGTTCTGTGAAATTTGTGGTGGTTGGAATACTTCTGGTTGGTTGGTTGGTGCATTCGTTTCTAGGGCGTCGACAGCTTGCACCTTTTAGAGGAAGTTTGAACGGAAATTAGGCTCAGCAGTTCCGGTTACATGCATTAAAATCAAATCTAAAATCGCTGGCAAAATTGCCGACTCATCTCGAAACACGTGTACCTTGGTTTCGTTGTTTACAGACGTCTCTTCTTTCACTATAGCGGGCTTCTTAGGCTTTTGTTTAGCTTTCGTCATTGTAAATCGTGTTTACCTATCGAAATGCGCCTCTTGACATAGGACAGAACATCCAGAACGGCTTTGAAGTAAGTCGTTTAGGTCTTCGATAGATTTTGCGCATGTCCCTTACGCGAGCGAACGTTTCGTGTGACGTCAAACGCGTCATTTGACGCGTATCACAGCTTAGCTTCAAAGAAATAATTCAGACATACGTTGAATACATACATAAATCCGGTGAACTCTTCAACAATGCCAAACAACTTAACTATACAAAACACTTTTAATTTGAACGTAATTTGTTCATTTGTGCGTTACGTGCTATTTTACTTCGAAATCATCACAGATTTTGCACTAAACATCGCAACATACAAGCCATCTGTAGTTTGTGAACTAAAATTAGCCTGTAAACTGATCCCCTATCTCGGGAAGTTCAAGACCTAGCGAGTCTTTGTAATATTTCTGTATGTGACTTGTTTTTATGGGAAGCTTACTTACTGGGTTGATAGGATGTTTCATGTTGCGATATATAACTCAGACTTCCATGTTACGTCAGTTATACAGTTTAAAAATATCGCCGAAGTTTCTCCAACTGTGCTATATGGAAATACGTCCCAATATAACTAGGGAGTAGCGTGGCAGCGTCTTCCAACAACTTAGCATCAAATGTGGTATAACTGCCTGTGCTGTAACTCTCCTGACAAAGGCCCTCAGGTCGAAACGTCGAGACGTGTTTTGTCTATTTTAGGCAGTTGTTATACCACAGTTGATGCTGTGCTATATGGAATTACATCTCGACGTGAAGTGCGTCGTTAGTGAAAATTGACTTCGTCACATTTATCCAACACTTTCCCCCCTCGAAATTGTATTAATCATTTGACATCATAGGAGGGCAAGCACTCGACTCTCAAAACGCAAGCAACGGTTCGTTTGGCGTTCACTGCTAACCTTACGTAAGCCTACAAGCAAAAGTTATGCAACAATACGTACGATTTTAAACGTCTGCACGTGCAGGATAACTAGTTTATTGCTTCCTAGAGAAGTACTTGACGTCACGAAAACAAAACAGAAACTACTGAAAGCGATTGTCGTTGGCAAGGACGAAAGTGACTTCTTAGTTTTGACCGAAATTTCTCGTAGAATTTCCCGAAATCGTATAGTTTTGACTGCCAGGAAAGGTTGAAGAACTCTTTGTAGCCTTGTAAGTTGTAACCTTGGCCTTCATATACACCTCCGCGTATACCAAGTTATATGTACTTGCGGAAGCCCCGAATGCTTGCCGTAGGATGACGGAAAGGCTTGGTGTTAAAATGCCACCCAATTGTAAATAATATAGTTAATACTCTAAATAAGCCTTCTTTTCGCGCAGGCATTTCTCAAAGTTATGTAAGGTTCGATTGTTGCTAAATTCGGTCGAAATGTTCACTGAAACATTAAATATATCTTCATGTTGTATATATAGACAAGCGCATTCTTTACATGATATCCTTAGGGTGTAGAAATAAATGAAGGTTTGAGAATCGCAAAATGGATATACAGAGTTGTGGCAGAGAAGTTTCGAATTTTTGCGTTCCTGTTCGTATTTTTGGAAGGGTCATGCAGCATACGAAAGCGTGTGGTATAAATCCCGTCCTTCCTCGCCGCGCATGCAATTTTACCTGATGGCCGGACTAGTCCGCGGAAGACACTAAAACCATGCAGGCTCCGGTACGAACCTGCATGCTGTTTACCATGTACAGATGTCCGTAGCGCGCGAGGGAGGGGGTACCGGATTTGTTGAGTCAGTCGGTGCAATATATCCGCAGGAGAAGTCTGATGTCTACAATGCTCTCCCTACCCCTGGTACGCCTTAGTATTGTACTAACTTCACGGGGTATTCTTGGAACGAATTGCAGACATAGTTGAAATGCCATATGAAAGTCTTGTTATTCAGCTAAAGTTTGAACATTGACATAATTTTACAGCGCGAAGCTTTATTTCAACTGTGTACTGTATAACTGTGTACGATTTCAGATAGGGAGTCTTATATCCACGGATTGGGGACACTGTCTGTGATTGTGTCAATATTTTCTTTGTTAATCCCTCTTTTAGATCACTCACGTTTCTCTTAAGCGAATATGTTAACTGTTGGTTATGCTGTAGCAATAATTCTAAGAGATTTGGCGATCGGAATCCGATATGATGGCGCTGATTTTTCCCGCAAGCTGAAGTTACCTGCTTAGAATTTAATGCCGAGTTACGTTTATGAGAGATTAGAAAGATCTTTTAAGCTCATAGATTTGCATTCACAAATGCACTCGATACCACATGTGGTGCGAGATAACATCATGTAATGACACTGACAACAGTACGAGGCGAAACAATGCCATGTCAGGCTAAGTTTAGCCCATTCTCATGAATAATAGCAGAATATATTCATGTGTGCTAGTCTGTGATTTCAGACTAAGAGTAAGCGCGTGGAATGGTCCGTTCACAACACTGCGAGGCTTTCCAAGTCAGGAAATTCACATGGTGCCACGCGTTCATTAATTAGACTTGTATCAAACTCGGCAACAATGGTAAACTCTTTGTGTATGATTATATCAAGTTCCAAAATAGCTGACCTATTTATGATCTTTAATGAACTCTCATCGCTATCCATATCGGAAATGGCTCTTGAATTAGATATTTTTATTAACAACCGCAGTAAAACCACAGTACTGACAGTCTACAAAAACAAGACGAATCCAAGCTTATGTTTTTAATTCACAAGCACTCGGGAATACCCGAATGCACGAACGTTACCCAAATAGGAGAGACGAACCATCGTCTATTTTTACTGCGCGTCGAGAAAGTGCTTCGTCGGGTTTCGTAAGCCGTTCGATCACGGACGTCCTTTGTCCCGATCTTGAGGCGTGTGATGCCCGGCGCTTCGCGAACCTTCTCGACTTCTAGACGCTTCGAATTACCGCTGAACGATCGCAGCCGGTTTCTACTTGCCCGCACGCTGATTGGCTAATCGCCAATAGGCGTACTTAATACGTCACGATTAGGGGGAGTTGTTGTGATGTTAGCTAACGAAGCTCAAGCAATGTGAAATCCATATATATGCAAGGAGTTAAAGGCGACACATCATAGTACATTGACCGTCTTGTTGTGGTTACACATTCACTGCCACAGAACCCGAAACTATGACCGCGATTGAGACATCGGTTTTACCACGGAAGGTAAAAGGGGAAAGGTCTATGTGTGAGGCATTGGCTGAATACCCAGGTGAATTGGTTAAGACTGATTCACCGAATTTCGTGTGCAGCGTTTTACCGTCGCATTGGAGATGCAACAAGACTCTGCCGGTCGCTTTTAAAGTCGTCTCGCTCGGAGACATTCCGGATGGAACTACCGTTCACATTTCGGCCGGGAACGATGAGAATTTTGCCGCAGAACTACGAAATGCTACGGCGATGATGAAGAACCAAGTAGCGAGATTCAACGATTTACGCTTTGTTGGTCGTAGTGGACGAGGTTAGTAGGGAGATGTATATGTATATGCTTATATCTGAGGATATATACTTACTTATACACACATTACTATATAAACATACACAAAGCTACCTTTGGCATATGCATGTACACACAGTACGCTTGCATTTGACCTGGGAGTAATTAGCCAATGCCACCACAGCCGGCTTGTATAGCAGCGGAATGTATTCAGCTAATTTTGAGTCGTTTAATGTGATTTTCTAATCGACTATTTGGAGCTAAACTGGGATTTTTTTCGACTTGCAGGAAAGTCGTTCACGTTGACTATAACTGTTAACACCGAACCACCACAAGTTGCGACTTACGTGCGAGCTATCAAAGTCACCGTGGATGGACCGCGCGAACCTAGAAGTAAGGATTTGTTTATCTTGCATTTTAATATTAAAAATCTTCCTATATATTCTGAGGCAATTTGTGGTTTTCGCGAGGGCAAAACAATGCCGTGCACTATTTACATGCGGTTTCTTCCTGATTTAATTGAGTTTTAATATTCACGAGATTTTAAAAGGCGATCCAAAACGGTAGCAAGGTGTGCGCAAACAGTGCGCAAATTTGGCCAGAATTTTTCTATCGAATCGTTTTCTCGTCTTCGTGCAGAAACGCGAAAAAAATCGTCTGCATTTCGCGACGTTTGATATACCAGCAATTGTCTGCGATAGCAAACGTTGAGATCGCCACATAATGTAAACAAACGAGAGGAGCGGTGGCATAGAGTTCATTTTGTGCCCTGTTCAGTGTGAAATTTTGACAAGCACGTGTCCAATGACAGGCCTAGACCCGGCGAACGCTCGAACACCGGGCTCGTGGAGATACATTGGAGTAATTGTAAGCCCCGAAACATTGCCATTGCGATAACTGTATGCTTTCAATTCCGACCGCAAACAATCCATGTTTACTGAATTGATAATTTACTCACGCTGTGCAAGGACAGGTGATAAATACCACTAGGCCAATCGCGACTCATCTTCTCACTCTATTAAATAATAATCACGCGAACATAAATTTTTGATGCGAGTACGTCTTTGTGATTTACAAGCTGATAATAACCGGCATCTTTCCATTAGTGTGATGTTAATTGTGACCAATAGCGCTCCATTCTATATACACAGCCCATCTGGCATGACATATTTCAGCGCAGGTGCATTGTATAGGTGAAAACACTTGACATACATATTGATACATACGATGATTCGACACAACTCCCGACCGGTTATTGTCAGATATAAGGCCGAAAAAATTGCATCGTTTTTTACAAATTTCTGTTAACAATGTTTGAAAAAATTCGAGTTCGTTGAAGTGCCTCGAAAATTAATGCGTGTCACATTCCTCCAAAATGCTGACGGCGGAGAAAGTTTGCTCCCCTTAAAATTTATTGGTAGCTTTCCAAAATTTCACGCGCAATTTTGAGTCTGGACCAGGAATTTTTTTGCATATCTTTTCACGGATAAACCTGAGCGGATGGATATTATAGAAAGTGCATTTTACGGGATTAATTTTACATCGGGGGTAAAAATCGAAATGTCGCAGAAGATGTATGCGTGAAATTATTTGTCACATGAGATTGTCGACAATATCCCTTTAAAGTACACTTGTGAATTCAGTCATGCGTTTGTCTGACCAGAAATCTTCACGCGGTAAAATTTACAATTTACTGCATTCGAGGACACTCGAAAGTGTTTACACTCAGTGGAAACATAGGAAAATCTCACATTGGAGGAAAAAATTTGCGGAACCCGTTCTAGATTTTCGATATTTTCTTTCGTGACATCGCTAGCATTGTTTTGATTGTTCAAGGGTCCAGGGGAGAGAGCGTCCACTTGGAGTGATGTCTTTCAACAAGTGTGTAATATACGATGGCTCTTTACAAAATCTCCGAACGCTATTGTTGAAATTTTCTGTGATTGCACATCACAGGAGGCCATGTGCAACCTGCATATTCAGATGCGGCTTATCTTGTGAGAATTGCTTCAAGAGGTCTTAATAAGTTCCACTTTGCACGAACTGAAAATAAGCGTGTTTTTTTAAAATGCTGATGATTGAGTATATTGTAATATTCTTTCAACGCACAAACGTGCAGACGAACCGGCCGGCCGTGTGTTTGCCTTCGGGCTGTGTTTGAAAGGAAAAACAAGTTAGAATTTCGTATATATATGTATGCCTTTCGAAATATATATAGCTTCGGTGTTGGACTTTGCAAATTCTTTTGTGTTTTTTGTTTTGAATTCGAAAGGAAAACCCTTACCTAATGAGGACAAAAATACTTTAATAATTAATCGAGTTCACTCCACGACAGCATTATTATTGGATGGCATCTGGTTCACATATACGATATGCAAAAACAGATGCCGTACGATTATACCACTTGAATAGAATGGCATTTGCAATGTTTTATTAATCGCGCTGGCTTCGTATGCCATCGAATTCTTTGTGATAAACGGTATGAATATTTAATAAAAGCAAAGATGATTCATGAATCAAAGCTATATATACTCACTTGATTTTCTGCCAGCTTTTGCAATTATTGAAAGTGTCAAAGCAGTTTGAATGTCATCCTTCAATATTTTAATGTGACATTTCACCTGATGAATTCACAATCCCGGAAGAAAATCCCTTTTCTGTCAAAAGATTTTCGACTAATTGAATCCCCCTAAAAATATCTTAATCTCAACGCAGAGTTTTTAAGAAGCATGGGAATGAATGAGGAATGCATGCAGAATGGCCTGAAGAATTTGAAACTGTTGTTAATTTAAGAAACTAAAGTGATATATCCATTCCTGACTTTTATAATAATTATGATGATATATTATTGTGAGATTTTTTTATGCAGAACCTATACAAACTTCACGTCGAGTCAAAATATAAAAAATTACGCCCATATCAAATATTATATATTTGGCAATATAAAACTGAGACGTATAATACTCCATTTATAGACAAACTCTTTTCAAATACATTGAATTTTAATGACAACGTTAATAATTACTTTTCAAAGGAAATCTCGAAGCATGCTACTCGATGAAGCAGATAATTTCTCATTATTTATTTACGTAATAAAGAGTCTTCCGGAAAACAAGTGACGACTTTGGAAAAACGTTTCAATTTTTACGCCCTGAATGAATAATCCAACCGCGTCAAAGATTCTTGCGTGGAAAGGTTAATTTGAAGATGTTTCAAGAACTCCATGTCGAAGCTTCTTAATGCTGCGGAAAGGGATCGCCTTTTATGCTCGTGAAAACTCATCCCGATGCACGCTTTAGCCCTTAATTATAACGTTCTAGCATTTAAGTGCCTATATATATTCTTGTTTGTGTTTAAACAAACCGGATCGATTCGAAGACGACCATTACTGAATGTGGCTCTTTATTTTCATCACGAAATCATTTCAATATTATAAGATTAAACAAAATATAAGTTGGTGATGTATTCGCAACGTTCGCCTCGAATATATCCCCGACAAACTCCCATGTTCAATTCCCCGATTTCATGAATTTGCCTAATCTTAAAATGTATTTAATTTGGCTAAAATTTGACGACATTTTGTCAGACCGGATCCTGAATTAATATTATACCTGCGCCTGCGATTTTAATCGTTGAAACCGTCTACACGCCGTACTTGTTACTTCAAAGATAATTTAATGAACTTTTTAACCGCTTTTATAAAGAAAAATATATCTTTCACAAACACAAAGCCGAAAAATGTTGAAGAATTACGTTGATTTCACTAAAATGTGTTTGGCAATGTTTATTTCCGTTTGTTTGCAATTATCCTTCGTGAGCAAAAGTGCATGTTAACACTTCATTTTAATATTGTTATAAAAAATATTTTGGCACAAACTTGACAAATATTGATGATTATATTTTCTTGTTTAAAAAAAAGCAGTTTGGTTGCATGAGTCGATGAAAAAATTTACACGTTTGTGAGTCGAAAATATTTAGTCTTGGCAAAGAATTCAAACTACAAGATCAATCATTTAAAGTCGTCTGAAATTTGGGCGTAGAACCGGAACAATGCGTTGGTGGCCTTCGTAAAGTTTACTTTTTGCAAACGTCGAGAACTTTAATAGATATGGGATGTCTTTTTCCCATTCTCACATTCCAGAACATGCAGACTAATTTTGTTATCTCGTGAGCGATTGAGCGTATGCTCAATATTATCTTCAGCTTGCATCTCATTTTCAATTCAGACGTTCATACTCATAGTTACGTTCCACGCTAAAAAAGCGTTATCATGCGCTCCAAAACGGTGGTCGAACTGCGGTTGTCTGAGAGATAAAATATAATTGTGTTTTTTTCATTGTGTTAATGGTAGTCATGCCGATTTCAATCATTCGCCTTCAAAATCTTTCCTGCACGGGGAAATAACATAAGTGTAGAAGTATTTGTAACACTGTATGATTAGTCATGGTGTAAAAAAACTTTAGGTTTCAAAACACCCCGATCTTATTGTCTTTATACTTCTTCCAGGACATCGTGCAAGAAATGAAGAAAGGGAATTGCATCACTCATACGAGCCGTATGTTCCACCATTAGACAGACTAACAGAGTTGGACATGAGAAGAAACAACTTTGGGCCATTCACAGAATTGCAGCCAAACACTTTGCAGCCATTGCTACCGAGCAAGATGGCAACGGATACCTCGTCGTCTTTTGGTCTGCCCGGAGGTAATTATTCATGCCTATATCAACCTCAAAATACAAGCCTATGCAAGGATTTGCTTTAAAAAAACAAGCAAGCTGCTATTTCTCATGTCAATCAATTAATCGCTCTCCAAATACAAGATTAATACCGAAAGGGAAAAACGTCATTTGTGTACTTCGTACTCGTGCACCATCTGCTAGACACACCAGTTCTGTTTCCCGTATTTAAACCGCCAGCCCAAAATATCCACCCTTGTTTACTTGCGATAGCAACAGCGCGTAAAAACATAGGTCAATGATTCAGCACTTCTAAATAGCAAACAATATTTTTGTGATGCTTGAGATTTCTATCTTCTTTTCGGAATTACGCACTTCCTTGTGTAACTTTTTTTTCGAAACTCTGTCAAAAGGGATTTCACATGATCAATTATTGCACTTCACCATCTCCTGTTTACGGTTACCTTGTATTTCAAATTTTAATCTCAACTTGTTTTTCAATTGTTTTTCAGAGTTGCCCAGAGCGCAACCTTCGTGGCCAAGTTTTCATACCATTCAAAATCTAGTGAATCCTGCATCGATGAACAGCCATCACAACGTTCCTGACAACGGCTTAGTCTACAATAATCTACCACAAAACCTCATTCCTTCTCCCAAACAAACGCCGCTGATCTCGGCCATGAATGGCGATAATATGTCTCCACTTTTTCCACAAATGTTCACCTCGGACACGCGGTACCCGAGCTCTTCGCAGTACCCATACCGCGCGAATGCCACGTCATCTCCCGCGAGTACCGCGAATGTGACGTCACCATCCCTCGGGTTGTTCTCGAGCAACACGGGTCTGGATGCGAACCAGAATGTAGTGAACGGTGGACTAACGCACATGACCAACAATATGAACATGTTAAGCAATCAAGTGACATCATCCATGGTAAATAACGGCTTGTTCACGCCGACAACTTCTTTGGGGGACCAAGATCTTTTAAATCACGTGACATCGAGCACGCCGAAGGGCATGTACCAGAACCAGTCTCAGACCTCCGGTAACCCAATGCCGCTGACCCAGTCTACTGTGTACTCGAATATCGGTAACACGTACCCTCTTCTAAGACCAACGTCCTCTATTATGAACCCCGCCCTGGGACTACATGATGTCGGGGGGGTGAAACTGCCGCAAACCAACGGGGTTACGTATACGGACCTCACGAACTCGACTGCAAGCCTAAATGGGTATGCGTATTCACCAAAAGACGATAGTCACGGGGATCTGGGCAAGGTATCCGATGTTATGAATCATATTGAGGAACTCAGTCATGCGCGTATTAAACTTGAAACCGAGGCTGTACGGAGTAACTCGCCCAAGGTTTGGAGGCCATATTGACTAGCCGACATTCGTTGCGACACATTGAACTTCAACAACCAGACGCTACTTTGTGTGTGAAATACGTTTAAGACCATTTATAGAATGGGTTTTATTAAGTTCAATCGCTAGAAATCACTAGAATTATGGTAAAAAAGCAAAGGTAGACAAAAGCATGTCGATAATACTCACTTTAATTGCATTAAACTGTTGTGGTCTACTTGTTTTGAAGAAAAAGTTTCATTAAAAGAGCTCGTTTCAAACAGTTTCATCCTCAGAACTCTTATTCATGCATTCACAAAGTGGGCGATTTTATTCCCAGCTTGTGAGTTCAATGTGACGCGACGCGACGCGACGTGATATGCACGAAAAAAACGATTTAATTTATCGTAAATATTTATTTGTAACATAATTGCTGTAAATTATTCTACATTATATAAGAATTAAGAGTTTTTAAAACGCGTAAATATATGCAGTCCTTTGGACGATATTAGAATGTCAAGACATGAATTATAAAGAAGGTCGTCATATGAAATATAAACACGGCCTGTATTATATATTATTGTAAAGAGATCTCTATATATATAATTCTAGCATGCATCATTTTCAAATGTAAATTTCCTTTTACAAAACTCGTTCGAGTTAGACGATCTTTTTATTAAACTAGATCAAAAAAGAAACGCCTGAAGTTTGTTTGTTTGTTTTTGTTGCTCAAAGATTGCTGCAAGACGACTGTATTTGAACAGTTTCAAGAAATGAAAAGGGAATTGCAGTCCTAAATCTGTACATACACATTAATATACTGATATACATACCCGTACATACACCTTCATATATATGCAAATACCTATACTCATACTTCAACTAAATCAACACCTTATTACCCTCCTATACCAATGTTATTTTTGTTATTTTCTTTCTCAAAATTCTTATCAAAGCGATAAGATGATAAGGCAAAAATCACTTTACTGTGAGTGAAGCTTCCTACTGAAATATTGTTATAATAATAATATGCAGACTCCTAAGAAAGTTTTTTTTAAATGCGTTTATTTGTTATAATAAAGGTGGGCAGATGCAAGCAAAGTTAAACTTTCCTACTATTTTAAACCTAAAAAACATGCAGTCTATTCGATAAGAGATAAAATCAATATATTTCCTCCTGATAAATGTTGGTTTACATCAACGGCGCTATAGAGCACAGTTACACCAGAATTGCGATAAAACCCACTAGAATAACCATCAAATGAAATCTCGAAGGTAAAAAGCAGTGTCCATTATTTCGCTTGACTTCGGGAGGTTTCGTCGTGTCGTCGTTACTTCCCGGCTTCGTGGAGGAAACTGTGACCACACACTGTTATTTTCAGGGAGTTATTTTAACTCTCCCATTATCCTTTTTTAGTTGAGTTAAAAATTTAACTATAGTTTTGGAGTAAAAATAACTCTCTTTGAGGGGTTAATAATTTTTAGACCTTATTAACTATGCAGAATTAACTCCTTTTGGGGGAGTTAAGCAATCTAACCCTCTTTTATGTGTTATTTTGACTCACCTATTACCCTTTTTTGGGGGTGATAAAAATTCAACTCTCTTTTTGGAGTTAAATAAAATTCAAAATGGCGTGCACAAGAGGAGCGGGTTAATAGTTTATTATAAATTTTAGTCTTATAAACGTGAATTGATTTAACTCTGGAGTGAAAAAGGCGGAAAAGGCTTCAAAAATTACGAATGTTTGTGCCACTAATATAATTTGACTTCTAAACCCTATATTTTAACTTATATCGCTTTCTTCATCCCGATGTATAAAGTTTCTTCCTACGGCATTTAACTTTTAAGTTCAAGTTTATAAGGCTGTTCTGTTCATCTGTATATCAAAGCCATTCCCCCCATAAAATAGGGAAAAATGGCAGGGCTGACGATGATCTATTGATTATATATGTTATTTCTGGCTGTGAGGTCGTTATTTCCGTTTTCGAAACCGTCGGCACAGTTTTTTTGTATCCGGGCCGAAGCTGCCGGTAAAATATAATGTGTTTATTTTTTAACCTTTGCCGTAGGCCGAGGGAAGTTTTCGAGACCGAGAGCACAGATTTTTGCCTCCGGGCTGAAGCTGCGGTATATAACGTGTTTATTTTTTTACCTGTACATTATTGACTTCATGAAACACAAAAAAAGCAAAAAAATAGAAAATAATAAAATAACTATATAAAAACTATAATTTCTGCAATCTACAAGGCTACAAGCCATTTCAGAATTTTAATACGTCAACAACTCCTTGAAAGGATATCCTAGTCGGGAAACAGCCAATGAAATGACAGATATTGTTACCATAGCAACTAAATCACGGCAAATTCGGGCAAATCGAGTTAATCGACTAGAAAAACAACGTAAAATGCAGCGAAAAAAGGAGTAAAAAATCCAAACTAAGACGTTTTTCGGGTATGTTTTTTATTTCTAACATACTTTTAGCCTTTTCCGGAAAGGTTTTTACACATTTTAGTCTTACGTTGCTTTGGTTTGGCCGTTTTATTCACATTTCACACCGGGCCGGATGCATTTCAAGCGGGCCGGATGCAAAAATCAATATTAATTATAAATAGGTCATTTTATCACTTTAAAATTTACAGTAATCAAAGTCTTTCAGAAGTAATTCATAATTTAGGGTATAGGAAGAGTATTATTGAGGTTAAAAGCAACAACTGATGTTAGAATTATTTAAAAGTGGGCTATGAAAAGGTGATCCTTTCAGACAATTAATATAGCAATTCAGAGCTTTTGTATTGATCTGTCTTTTCAAATATACAACTCACAATATTACACAAATGCATGTGAATTGATAATAAGAAATTTTGTGAGATAAATTTACCAATATGACACTACGAGAACCTTTGGCTTTAATGTTTTTAGTTTAATAATCCAATACACAAACACAATTTGCATCAGAACTCTGAAAGTAGAAATAATATAACTCCGATAGTGGAGTTACCACTGCTTAACTCCTTTTTAAGAGTTACATTTTAACCCCTAAATGATAGTTATTCTGACTGCAAAAACGGAGTTAATATTTTACTCCAAATCTGGAGTTACTTTTAACTCCAAAAAGTGAGTTGTTCTGTACCTTTTTCCGTAACTCCTATTTTAGGAGTTAAAATAACTCCCTCAAAATAACAGTGCAGTGGTGCTTGTTTTTCGCGTGCCCATCTTGATGCCTTTCACGTTACTTGGAAGGCCTGACCTTGTCCTGGAAGTGTTGTGCTCAGGCTTCTGCGCGGTTGTGATAGGAGAGTCAGTGAGGAAGGTGGAATATGATGTTTTACGTTCTACGTTTTTGGGCGAAGTTCTTGGCATGTTGGTTGAGGGAATTTTCGTGGATGAAACTTGTTGGACAGACGGAAATCGCTTGCTTGTTAAGGCTGTTGTGGTCGTCGGTGAAGTGGGAGGAATCGTGGAGCACTTTGAGGGGGAAGAAACTACAAAAAAGAACACGAAGAGTTGTTTCAGGTTTAAAAGTTTAACAATCATCAAGCTTATGTCTTCACACGAGTTCAATAACCTGTGCACTGATCAAGGATAAAAAAAGGATACAAAACTTTGCATTGAAAAGTATACGAAGTAGATTTTATACAGATGATACATACCACAGGTGTAGAAAATCTGGACATACTTAAATGCCCTCTTACAATACGAGGATATCTCTGTGTCTCTGTAAAACACATTGCAACTGTCGCTCGCTCCATCGCATTTGTTCTTTACAAAGTCTTCCACAACTTCTTTAGTACAATTTTCGTTCTCCTTGGTATTTTGTATTCGGGGGCATATGAATTTACTTTTCTGGCCTATCTTTATGGAATCGATGCAAATTATGCTCCTGTTGTTACAGCTTAACGTATTCCCCGCAAAGTCGGCGCAGGCTATGAACACATTTGTTTGGTCTGCAATAAATATTAGACAAAATCAAAAGACAATTTCGTTCGTAGATTACATTTTAATATAGGCCAAACTATAGAGCAAAATCAAACACCACAGCTCAAGCACCACAGCTATAAAGAGTAAAGACCATCTGAGCATGACCATTTTTAAAATGCGAAGTCCGGTCGCAAAATGCTGTAAGAGTTCCAAGAAGAAATATAGCTCTTCACTTAACCATATGTACATGTTACTATATTTTTCCTCAAAGATGGTTATTTTGCCATAGTTAATTTTACCAAATCAATCAATCAGTTGAAACACACAAGTCGACAAGATATTAAGATGCCTGCATGCTCTGATTCAATTAGTCTGTGTATGCAACCGTGGATTTTTTAACCAAATTTTCATTTATTTTGCAAATTATTAATCACCTATATTTATATACTTACCATAGGTTGCATAAGTCGTTTGAATTGCACATAAAATCAACAGTATTTTATAGACATGAAACCGGGGAAAAATCTCAGCCTTCTTCATTTTGAACTCTCGGGAAATGAAGCAATATTAGAATACAGTAGACCATGTCAGCTTGCATGCAAATTAACCCATTTCAGATGTTGTGACCATGGAATAGCCAATAAAACTTAACCATTTCAGACCATGTGATTTGAAATTGGTTAATTTGCATACAAGCTGAGGGTCTATTGATTAAACAGCCAGAATAATTAACCTGTTTTAAATCACACTATTAAATAATCTGAACGGTTGATAGAAACAGAACCACTAAATAATAAAACGATACTTTAAAACTATATAAAGGTAAACATAACCAGTTTAAGATCTCTCGCAAAATACTGAAAATACACAAAATCAACTTTCTCTTATTTGAATCCAATATTAAATAATTATAGTCTCACTGACCAATGAATTGACTATGTCTATGTTATTTGTAGCGACATGCGTTTCAGCTTTAAGCTTTATGAAACGTTTTTCTGTCGATCAATTTGTTCAGACATTCATTCAAATCATGAAAAATACCTTTCAGGTTAATTATCATTAGTTTATTTGTGGTTGCGGCTACCTCTTTCTCCTATAGGTAGATACATTTTAATTAAGTTCTTTTTTGTTTCAATTGAGTATACAGTCTCACTGACTATGTCTATGATTACTGTACAATATGTGCGCGGGCTCGTTGCGTGCGTCTCGATACCAGACCGTCTCGGTACCAGACCGCGAGGTAAAATAACAGAGCTTATTAGGCCGGGTTCCAGAACTATGGCTGAGCAGGTCAGGTCATTCAGCACTTCATACCTAGTTAACAATTAGTCGTCGAAGGCCAGGTGATTACAAGGCTATATTCACAGCGCCGAAGGCGTTAGTATAAATTTTTAGGTGTTTACATATAATAATCAGCACAATTTCATAAAAAAATGTAATTCTTATTTGAAAATTCTTATTTGAAAAACGGCGACAGAAAGCTATAGTCACCTGACCGACTTGTGACTATGCTTCAGAGACAGTGAATCTTGACCAATCAGAATGCAGGAAAATCAACAGTCACGTTGAAATTTATACTAATTAAATTGAGTTGAGTTGACTATTCGCTCATAGACAACGAAGGCGAGTTGTCTAATTGTTTTAGTATACACCCTGTACTTAGAAATATTAATTTCGAGAAAATAATCAATACACCGCAATTACACCGAAAAGTAATTCAATTTTATACGGTCGCGCTAGCGAAATTTTCCCAACCGTGCACCATCACGAATAGACAATGGTTGAGTAGCCAATCAGAATGTAGGATTTGTAATAGACAATAGTCGGGTGTGCACTAATTGTATATATAGATATTAATAGGATTCCCCGCCATTTTACACATAAACAGGTCTATTCGATTAAAGATAGAATCAATATAATTTTTCCCTCCTGATAAATGTTGGTTTATATCAACGGGGCTATAGAGCATAGTTACACCCGAATTGCGATTAAACCCACTAGAATAACCATCAAATGAAATCTCCAAGGTAAAAAGCAGTGTCCATTACTTCGCTTGACATCGGGAGGTTTCGTAGTGTCGACGTTACTTCCCGGCTTCGTGGAGGAAATTGTGGCCACATTTGTGCTTGATTTTCGCGTGCACATTTTGATGCCTTGCACGGGACTTGGAAGACCTGACCTTGTCCTGGAAGTGTTGGGCTCAGGCTTCTGCGCGATTGTGATGGGAGAGTCAGTGAGGGAAATAGAATTTGATGTTTGATCTTCTACGTTTTTTGGCGAAGTTCTTGGCGAGGTGGTTGGGGGAATTTTCGTGGATGAAACTATTCTCTGGGCCATAACATGTTGGACAGACGGAAATCGCTTGCTAGTTGAGGCTTTTGTGGTCGTCGGTGAAGTGGGAGGAATCGTGGAGCACTTTGAGGGGGAAGAAACTACAAATCAGAACACGAAGAGTTGTTTCATACTCGAAGCTTTTGTCTTCATGAGTTTAATCAATATTGCCATGATGCCATTATGATCACGCCCCGTTAAGGACTGAAAACTTTGCATTAAAGATATACGTCATGTACCTACAAACTACTAATTGTGTTTTATAGATTATTCAGTACAGTTTTACCACTAAGTAGATTTATACAGATGATATACATACCACAGGCGAAGAAAATCTCGACATACTTAAATGCCCTCTTACAATACGAGGATATCTCTGTGTCTCTGTAAAACACATTGCAACTGTCGTTCGCTCCATTGCATTTGTTCTTTACAAAGTCTTCCACAACTTCTTTAGTACAATTTTCGTTCTCCTTGGCATTTTCTACTCGGGGGCATTTGAATTTAGGTTCCTGGCCTATCTTTATGGACTCGATGCAAATTATGCTCCTGTTGTTACAGCTTAACGTATTTCTCGCAAAGTCGGCGCAAGCCATGAACATATTTGTTTGGCCTGCAATAAATATTAGACAGAATCAATAGAAAATTTTGTTCGTAGATTACATTTTAATATAGGCCAAACTATAGAGCAAAATCAAACACCACAGCTGGAGAGTAAAGACCATCCTAAATTGACTCGAAAAAGCTCTAATCTAACAATATGTACCTAGATGTTTATATTTTTGCTTATGGATATATAGTTCTTTACCATGGGTAGCTAGTTTTACAAAATTTAGCTATAGGAACTTTGCACAGCTATACATTCCTCACTTCACAATATTTCTCGACCAAATATAAGATTCTCTTTCTAGCTGTGTTGTGGAATTCGTTCATGCTTAGAAAATTTAGTGGCTACGGAATTTCACTTAAATGGCTATTCTACCGATCCTATATGTGTAAAATTATTCTTTTAAGCACCTCACCAACTTTATTGTGACAATCGGAAAAAAGTTAGTAAAATCCTTTTCCTATTACTGCATGCAGAGGTCTTGGTGCCGAAGATACAAGCTCTGCAGAATGTACTGCAAAATACTCATTGTGGAAGCAAGTTGTTTTAAAAGTATCTTATCAGCAGTTTAGATATTATTGTTTTTCGTACGCAATTGCCTGAATATCATATAAAACGTTAATAATGTCAGCAAGCAAAAACATCCATCATAATGTGGTTAGTAGTTCAAGTAGACAAACTTTCTGATTTGTTTTTTTTTGTAAGATTTTTAGCAGAGAATCGCATGCATTTTCTTCGCGAAAAATAACGTATCAATCAGTTGAAAGACAGGATATTAAGATGCATCTCTGATTCAATTTAGTCTGTGTATGCAACCGTGGATTTTTCAAAACAAACCTATACCAGAATATTATAAACTTTCATTTATTTGCAAATTATTAATCACCTAATTTTACTGAAATACTTACCGTCAGTTGCATAGGTTGTTTGAATTGCACATAAAATCAATAGTATTTCATACACATGAAACCGTTGCGAAATCTCAGCCTTCTTCATTTTGGAATCTCGGTAAACGAAGCGCGGTGCAGTTCGTCTTGAAATCACCTCTGTTTCTCAAATTAAAAGACAAACACCAAGAACGTTTAACGCGTTTTAAATAGATCGCAACGGTTGATAGATACGGAACCACTAAATAATAAAACATTTTCATCGATACTTTGAAAGATAAAGGTAAACATAACGTTTGAGATCTCTCGCAAAATACTGAAAATACACAAAATCAGCTTTCTCTTCTTTAAATGCAAATTACGGCCGATATTTGTAGCGAAATGCGTTTGTTTTAAGCTTTGTGAAACGTTTTTCTGACGATCAATTTGTTCAGACAGTGTTTGTTCAAATCATGAATAATACCTTTCAGGTTATCATTGGTTTATGATTGTGGTTGCGGCTAGCCGGCTATACCACTTTCTTCTATAATGTAGATACATTTTAAGTTCATTTTTTGTTTCAATTGATTGCGCATGGACGATACGGTGCTCTTATCTCACACAAGAACCGTGCCTGGGTAGCATTGCACATTGTAATAAGACCGCGTGTGGTGGGAGTTTGTACTTATTGAAAAATCCTAATTGGCAGAACAAAATTGACTTTTGAGGATACATGCAGTCTCACTGACTATGTCTAGTGTGAGCGGGCGCGTCGCCAGGTGAACTATCCGGTGCTTATTAGGCCGTGTTCCAGGACTATGCCTGAGCAGTTCAGTGTATTATAACGATAATGTGTGTATTTAGATCAGGTGAACTATCCAGTCACTCCCTGACTTTCCCTCATTAATGAGTGAAGCCAAGATGGCGAATCATGAAGCCTTTCATGTAGGTATGATCCAGGCCTTTGGCACGGAAATTTCAAAGGAAAAATCATAATTGCCGCCATTTTATCTACAAAATTTCCGCGTGGAGGCCTGGATCATACCTACAAGAAAGGCTTCAGTGTCCGCCATCTTGGCTTCAAACTTCCGACAGAGTGAGCGTTCCAGTCTGATTTGAGATCACTGGTGCTTATTAGTGCGGGTTTCAGGACTATGCCTGAGCAGTTCAGTTCGTCATCTGATGATACACCAGCTCTGCTCTCGTGAGCCAATCGTCTTGCGTCTTTGCTATTGAAAGCGAGGCTAACGCGGCGGCTCCCAGGTCACCGACACGCGTATTCGTGGCGCAATTGTCGAAAAATGATTAATTGCCCGATCTGTCGTTTGGTAGTTTCTTACATCCTTTCGGCCTATTTGGTCTAGATATCAGGTTCACGTTCACGTTCACAACCTTCACGTTCACATACATTTACTAAGGCGAAGCGTGCATTTCCTATTTAAAGATAGCGCATCATTTTCATTTTTTTTCGCTAAAGCTTTTGTCATTCTTTATAATGAAAGGTCTTATATCACAAGACCATTTAAAATCACAATCAACCCGTTTAAACCAATTTATTTCATTCAATCACTCTACATTTAAGTGTTAACAGATACCCTATAGCTTCGTATACAAGCTAACGCAATGATTAACAATCAGTGTATATAATCCCCAAAAATACATTAACTATACATCTCTTAGAAGTAGAATTGCATTGCAAGTTGCAAGAAAAATTGCACCGTGTAACAGGGCCTTTAGGTCTGCTTCAGACGTCAAAGTTTACATGCGCCGAACCTAATGCAAATAAACTAAAGTCTTTGTTTAAGTTCATTTGCATTTCGATTCGAAACATGAAAAGTTCGACGTCTGAAACTGGCCTTAGCCTCTTATACCTAACTGTTATAAACAAAACTAATATTCAACTAGAAATTGTCATGCTGCATTCATTTTAATAATGTAATCTTGTTAATAAAAACCGCAAAAAATTGCCAACATTGTCACAAATAAAACGATGCTCTCCATGGATCGAGACCAGCTGGATCCATTCAACTCTTGTTTAAATTGTACGTCATTTGTTCTCGTCGTGTCGTCTTGGGTTGCAATAAATCTTGCTCCGTTTTTAGATATTTCCTCAACTTTTGGTCTCCGTGGTTTGTTGTCGTCTGGTTCTTCAGTTTTTACTAATCGCAAAAAGGAACTATGATGAAATTAGTCAGAACAGGTATTTTTATCCCTCCACAGTTCAAACTACCTCTTTCTAACCATTTCCTTTCGAGGTGACATGGCATAGTTGAGGGTCGGCAGAATCTCCTTCGTGCATGTTTATCATACCCAGTCAGTTTACCCACTACCCAAAGGTACACCTTCCCCCACAAAGGTGCACTTCCCCCCTTTTTGCCCACTACCCAAAGGTACACCTCCCCCCCACAAAGGTACACTTCCCCCCTTTTTGCCCACTACCCAAAGGTACACTTCCCCCCACAAAGGTACACTTCCCCTCTTTTTGCCCAGTACCAAAAGGTACACTTCCCCCGACAAAGGTACACTTCTCCCTTTTTTCCCACTACCCAAAGGTACACTTCCCCCCACAATGCGACAAACATGAACTTACTGCATCCAGTGAACATTTTTAAATATATGTTCACATGTTTGCACTTCTCAATCGTTCCCAGGTTCTCTCTGTTCACGATAAACGAATCGCATCTCTGCTTTCCTTCGCAAACCGGTCGGATTATGTCGTAGACATCGTGCATGCCACACATGGCACTGCTGTTGACACCCTCGCACATTATATCGCTGTCTCTTCCATACTTTGCCGTAGCGATATGAAGAACGTGGTTTTCTTCGCATTTCACCCAGCCTGAGAGATCATTGCCTTCGCAGAGCACTTGTAAGTCACTCGCATCTAGAAGAAATGTAAAAGTCACTCAAAAAAACGCAACTTTTGTCGATCGAATGCATTTGTTAGCTAGATGATCCTTTTTTATAAATATCCAGAGCTTCGTTGAATAGAATTAGCTGAATCGTTTTGCTGTTTATTCTTACTTAACTCTCGCGTTTTGCTTCGTTACCTTTCGCTTCATCGTTAACATCTTCAACATGCAGGATTTTTAATTCATGCAACTTAAGCTAACCTATTATTGATTTCCAAACTGTTCTTCCAACGAAAAAATACAACACAAGTTGTTTCCGGTTTATAAAGAGATGAAAGACCGAATCATGTTTGTTAAGCACAGGAAAACATTGTCTTTCCTTCATACACTGGGACATTTTTAGTATTTTTAGTTGTGTGCAGTGTCCTTTGGTTCAATATATATAGTTTGGCCGGTAAGACATGTAGACCGAACGAATTAATTTCATGCCAATACACTCTATAGCTCTATCCGAGTTCTTTGAGGTTCGTTCATAGCATAAAGGTCTATAACAAAGGGAATCGCTTGATAGAGCTGTACAAGGAACATGAAACACAAATCATTCCCGTCGGCTTATCTTCAAAACGCATTCCGTTTGAACGCAGCCGTGCGAATCTTCGGTTAAAATTCCGAAGCAAAGCTATTGCCGAAAAGAACCTCCCAAATTTATTAACGTTAAACCATTCTCTTTGAAATTCCGTCCTTTCTATTCTTTTCTGTCCGTGGGATGTTAAAATAAAATTTTTCTATATTCAGATAAGAGTATAAACAAAGCATATCCACAATATCTTGTCGAGTTTTACGCGTCGCAAGATAACTACTAAACCGCGGTCGAGTAACTCCGTCAGTTGGGATATCACTGTACAGCAGTTTATATTTCATTCCTCCCTGTGCCCAAGTTTCCGATTCCCCGATTCGTCAGTTTACCTGCGGGAAATGACACGAACGCTAGAACGATAAAAGCAAGCGCGAATCCTTCCATGTTTAACCAGAGTGGAGTCCTGTTTGCCGACTATAACCAAGTGATATCCACGTTGTGGTGCGGGCCAGTTGTATATGATGGGATTACCGCATTTTCATCTTTTAAATATTTATTGAAGGCCAGCCATCCTGTCGTTTTGCAATTTACACTTGATATGCCATTGTGTCAAACCAGCGTCTCTTCAAATGATGTTATTAAACGCGGCCCGATACGCCACTCACATCAGCTGCAATCAAATCGCGGTTAGTTTTTGAGTGCTCTGTTGTCAAAAAACAGAATTTGTTTTGGACAGAAATTATCGATCATATATTGGACGTTACAATGCATTAGTGGCAAAAATGTTTTCACTAAAACGCGTCGAAGAACACCTGATGACATACGTTCCACATTTCTACGAAATTCGAGGAGAATTTCACAAAGAAATTACCGCTTCTACGCTGTTAAAAGGAAAAATATTTATGCATTCATGACGATAAACCCGATTCTTTAAACGACACCGGTAATATATATTTAGACATAATTTGATTAATTTTGAATAAGGTTTAATTTTTAAACACACATATAGTTGTATTTAGAAACAGAATGCTGCTTCCTTCGCTATCAAATTGTTAATATGGTCGTAAAACGTGTTAAAATTAGAAAGAATATCCCAACGCGTCTATATTTGAACATTAAATTTTTTATAGGTTTGTTGCATGCATTCTGACAAAATGGATATGACCAATTAATTTTTGATTTGATAGTAGGCGTTAAAAAAATTAAATTTTCTTGATTGGTCATATAGTGTTTCCTTCATGCAGACAAAATGAGCAATTTCTGTTTCAAAATAGCACGGGAATAGTGAGGAATTCTAAGGGTTTTTTTGCCCAAAATACAATGGTTATCCTAGCTCTATTCCTGTATTCCAGCCTCGGCATTGTTGAGATCGATGCAGCGTGAAATATGTCAGATTATAGGCCTTTTAACTGATCATGTTTTATTTACCATTGTCCACAGTATTTGCTTTAAACAGCTTTGTTTATGCAGTATTGTTTTTCACTGAATGTATTTTAATGCTTACTGAAAGCTTTTGTCAAGGCAGATGGTCTGTCGAGTAACTGATTTGGCTTTGTCAGGATTATACCCTTCAACTTTTATGTTTTGAACATTTTTTTTCTTGTGAGATTTTCTTCTCTCCATCTCTGTGTCAATCTAAACCACATGTCGTGTGTATTAAATATTCAAAGTGTTAACTTCAGTGGTTTTTACTGAGCTACCACAAGGAATTCACTCGCTTGACTTTTCGTTAAATAAATCACGATGTTTGGGTGGAAACAGACAATCTGCATGCTTCAGTTTAGACCCATTCCTAAGATCAAACTTCATCCAGTCCTAGGACTTGATCAAACTTCATCCAGTCCTAAGACTTTATCAAACTTCATTCAGTCCTAGGACTTGATTAAACTTCATCCAGTCCTAAGACTTGGTCAAACTTCATTCAGTCCTAAGACTTGATCAAACTTCATTCAGTCCTAGGACTTGATTAAACTTCATTCAGTCCTAAGACTTGATCAAACTTCATCCACACCTAAGACTTGATCAAACTTCATCCACTCCTAAGACTTGATCAAACTTCATCCAATCCTAAGACTTCATCAAACGAAACGGTTTTATTTTTTATGTTGTGTATTTTGATATGTATTGGATATGTATATTCCTATATAGATAACTATTATAGGTGTTTCATTTTATTCTATTTTATTATTATATGTTCTGTATATTATATACATGTTTTTTATTTATATATATTTACTATTTCGACGATTTAAAGTGGACCTTTCTGCCTCCCGTCTTTGCAGGATTATTATTATTTTCCTCTTTGCTAGCTGGTCCACGATAACTACTCATACACATATGTGGTAGGGGTGAAATAGGGATCAGAGGGGGCGGAGGGGGTGGCAGAGGGGGTAGATCATCATCGCCATGAACAAGCATCTTTTGTTTTAAACTTGAATCTCTTTCAGCAGTTCTGTCGGCGATTCTGCCGGAGTTTTGTGAGTTAGTAATGTCCACAGGGCATTCCACTAACGGTGATGGGTTGTTGCTATAGTAACCAGAGCTTGCGCGACTGTCAGACGGTCGTTTCTTCGGTTTGGTGACAGGTAAATTTGATGGTATTTCACCTTGAACTTGAGAGCTTGGTTTATCATGTACTAAAGCATTTCGAGAAAGATTTGGATTGTTTCTTTTCTTTACAAACGGCGGCGGGGGGTTACTGTGGTTCTGTGTTGTGGGGCTACAAGCTGTGGGTATTCTGACACTAGGTATGTCTAAGGGCGCGTGTGTATGATGTAGGGATGCAATCCTCTGGGGAGAGTTTAGGTCGAGGCTTCGACATCGTAACGGTCGTGAACGAACCTTAAGTGTAGGGTTGGATCCCGGATTAGATGAATCTGGAAGATCTAAAAGAAAAGCAAGAAAAGTTCACTTCAGTTAATGAAATTTTTGTAAATCTAATGATCTGTCAACACAGAGAGTTTTCAGAGTTTGCAAACGCGGAAACAGTCGTCGGATGATGCGACCCAAATTATCTGTCAATCATTGCTTTAGTCAGAATCTTAAAGTGGAGCTCTACCAAGCTTTTTGTAGATATTTCTCAGGTAGTTCAGACGCACAGCCTGCAGAAGAACTGCAAAATGCTTCTTATATGTACTGAACCACCAATAATTTAAGATATCTTCAGGCTTTCCTAGGCAGTTCAGACACAAACCAAAAGAACTTATTGTGGAATACTTCCTACACCGGACCGCCATGTTAGAAATATATAATCTCATGTAGCTTAGAGGCAATCTTTGATATCTTGAAATACCGGCCACGCAGCATGGACAACCAGGTTTAAAATATTTATACAAACCTTGTTTCCCAGGTTCACTAATCTCTTCGTTGACGTCCTTAATGTACAGACACGGCGATGAAAGAGCAGTGTTACATGCGGGACCCATGTCTTCGCTATTTAAACCAAACTTTGACAAAAGTTTGTTGCCCGGCAATTTACAGTCGCCGCTAGAGCTAGAGCTTCTTGGTTTCTGCTCTTTTAATTCGTTGCCATCGTCCAGAAGCTCTGGTTTTGTGTTGCCGTCCGGTTGCCTTGCATTACTGGCTACTGGCTTTGGGTCATCGACTACCGGTTTTTCTGGTTTTGTTCGTGTTGGTTCCGTGTGGAAGATTTTTGAATCGGGGACTGGAAGCGAGGGGATCCCGACCGGTATAGCACCCGCCAAGTTATCGCTCTCGGCGTTGCTTCGTCTCTTGCTCGCGGATGCCCGTGACAGATCGGTGTCCGCTGGAAAAGATTTAATCTGCTCGGGGTTGATGTCAGGTGGTTCATTGTTCTTGGTGGTGCTGATGTCACTGCCACTGTTTCCATGACTACCAGTGTTTTCTTGGCTACCGCTGCCACTGATACTGCTGGTTCCGTTGCTTCCACCACTACCATGAACACCAGCAGGAGTTGTCTCTTCACCATCACCATGAACACCCTCCTCCGCCCCGTCCACAACTCCACTCAAATTCCACGGTTCTGATCGGCTCAACTCCCCCCAGTCATTTCGAGCCGTGTTCAACTCCTCCCCCCCGTCTAAACCCTGATATCCATCTCGGAAACCCCGCCATAATGGGTTGATGTACAGCGAAGTGTCCGTTTTCAAAAGGTCCGACCAGGAGCTCATTCCTGGGAAATGTTTACTCACTGGATTGCTTGTCGTACCACCTGAAACCTTTTCGCTGGCTTCCTGACGGCCGTTTACGGCGGGTGGTTCGGGAAACTGCGCAGTTGTGTGGATAGTCGGGCTTTGAATCTCGCTTTCGTCCGTGTCTAGCTGACTGAGACGGAAAAGTTTTTTGTTCTTAGGTTTTTTCCTCAGTCCTATGACAAGGAATACCATCGTGATTATGAAGAGGCCAAGGAGAATACCGATGAAGCACCACATCAATGCCATCGGCGGGTCTTCATTTGCTGCCTCTGAAGAAAACGAAATATTTCATTCTGTTTACATTCCTTTTATATCTGAAAATCGTATTTTGTTATGGTTGCTTTCTAATCAATGAAATCTGGGTGCAGTTTAGAACTAACAGAGCTGCTGAGTATAGATAAAATTAGCTTAGTTTCCTCCTGTAGCAACACTGGATCAATAAGAGATGATCCTTACTGGACTTCTAGGAAGAACAGTTTAGAACTGATAGAACTATCCAGTATAAATAAAGTTAGTTTAGTTTACGTTTCTTCTGTAGTAACACTGGATCAATAAGAGATGATCCTTACTGGACCTCTAGGAAGAACAGTTTAGAACTGATAGAGCTATCCATTATAATAGTTTTGTTTCGGTTTCCTAGCTGCTGTAATTAATAAGAGATGGTCCTTACTGAACCTCTAGGAAGAACAGCGCTAGCTTAAAGTAATAAAAAACAACAGTTTCTAACCATTGTAGATGGCGAACAGTTCAAGCAATATAAAGAAAACTGAGATTTTTCCACGTCCTCCACGCACAAACGATGTAAAATTTCTTAGACTTTCATTATTAGCCGAGATGGTGGATGTAACTATAAAAGACTGGGTCGAGGCAGTTGTGGTTGGTGTGATTGTCATTCCGATTGGTAGATGACTTGAGCTGGACACACTTTGAGAAATCGAGAGATTTTGCGCTATTGACTGATCAATTGCTGTGAGGGTTGGTGTGGGGTGTCTAAAAGTGTAGATGGATGACGTAATGCTTCGTTTCCTTGTTGTACACGTTGGCACAGTTGCTCTCGCCATTCTGGTTCGCTTTTCATGACAGTCTGTAAAAGAAATTGAACAATATTCAGTCTGAAAATGGATTTTCGTCACTCAGCCTTGGCGCCACATCTATCGCAGTTCTTAGGTTTTGTTTTGTCATATAGTTCGGGGTTTTCACGATTCATGGGAATTTCCTTCAAAATGAATATATTATGCATTCTTTTAACAAGTTTTTTCAGTATTCCTCTCTTTTGTTGCTGATTGGTGTTATAAAGGATTTTGTACTCAGGACGGAATGAAATTTGATCAGAAGCTGGCTTAGGACTATAGATGAACTATAAAACATGGTTGTTTTTTCAAAAGAATACTTACTACAACTAAAGCGGACCCATAAGTATTTGTACACACTAGGACAGGGGTCACCACGAAGCGTTGTATTATTCACTTTGAAAACACATGGTGTTCGGTAGTCGCAGATCTCCTCCACCGTTCCTGCTACGTTTAGAACGCAGTTTGGTGGCTCCAGCTTTGGGTGAAGATTCCCAGGCCTGAGGCACAGCTGTTCCTCGCTTAACGTTCGACCAAACCTCGCGCTTTCTACCGTCAGCCATGGCTGTCCTTTTGGACACGACAGGGTGATCTTATCTCCTTCGCATGAAACGTTACTGTACAACTTTCCTGTAAAATATTTGAGTCGAATTAAACGGTTAACACTTTCACTGCCAGTGGTCTAGACAGATCGATAAGTGATAATCGATCAAAAACGAAAATCTCCGTCTTTGGCGGTCAAAGTGTTAACAACAATTTAGCCGTTTTCCAGGGTACTGCATGGGTAGAGTCGCGAATCTCAAAGCATGTACGGTTTGTTTGGAGGGAGTGAAAATGTAAGTTTATGTGTAATGGCTAATTTGGCATTTAAAAAAGTCGAGATCATCAGTTATCTTTGCGCGAAGGCTAGGTTTCTTCAGGCGATGGAAGATTACTTTAATACGAAACGAACAATTAATAAAAGTAAACTCTTCCACTCTACCGATGGTTTAACCTCAGTTGCATCAAATTTCGGGGTATATTAAAGCGTCGATACTCTAAAAAGTGTTCTTATAAAACTCGTGAATTTATGGAATTTAAGACGTATTTTTTTGTCAGAATTATGGATGACAAGGAAATTTAGCGGTGAGTTATCGGCCGATTTCGCAAGATAAATCTGCGCTATATCCATTATCGATAGTATTTCTTTTTCTAAATTTTCCCAAAAATATCATTAGATAAAGATCATTATGACGTTATTCATAGATTAAAGATTGTTCACTTTCATTTTTCCGTATGATTCACACGCGAGACTCCTAGCTATCAGAAAATTACGCACTGCTGGAATCAAACGTACACACGACAGTCATAACTAATGCATGTCATCTTTTAAACTATGGACTAAATTTCGTTAGTGTCATTAACTATTTCGTTAGTGGAAACCGACGTCACGCTGTTTCCAACTCATTTTTTCACGGATTGAAAAACGTGCTAAATCTTATACGTATAGGTGCCTTCTTGGGTTCTCTTTCAAAATGCAAAGATCTTACCCTGTTTCGCTTCAAGACTTATTAGTCTGTCGTTCGTCGTTTTCCTGCCAAAATAATTCCGAACCTCAGCGGCAATATTATCTTTCATTATTCATCGCTTTGTGAGTTCTATTTCGTGGTATATATACGATGCGCAATAAGCAAAAATTATAGGATGGCCGTAATTCCAGTAAAGCCATTCCAACAATGAGTTAATTATTGTTTTAACTCAAAGGATATGTGTGTACATTGTCTTAATGAGTTTTTAATTCCCCTGAAACCCTGCTGGGTCGTAATTATCCTTCACTAACAACATGCATGAATAAAACGGAATAATCTCGATGCAGCACGGTGTGGAAAATATTAATAGCTGGCTGCCTAATTGGAGAAGTAGAGTATGTAGCTTGCGTCAAAATATATTTCATGCGAAAATCAGTTCTGTAAGATATTCATCAATTCTTGTAAACAGACTTGCATCAGGCAATATCTCAATATCCTAAAGCTAAAAAGATGCCCCCCATTGTACTTCTACGAGACACTAGACAATCTTTATGAGTTTTAAGAAAAAAGAACACTGGATTTTAAATCTTTTTTGACAGAGGTCGTTAGGCTAGGTATTTTAAACATTCAGGAGTCTTTGTGATGTTTGCTATGATCAAACTACTTCCACTTTTCATTTCTCCATATGGTCCGCGCTCGAGATTCCTATCAGAAAATTACGCACTGCTGGAGTCAAACGTACACACGTCAGTTCCACATAACTAATGCATGAATCTTTTAAACTGTGGACTAAATTTCGATCAGAAAATGAAATTAACACCACAGCTGGAAAGATCAACTTAAAATGAGAAAAACACGGCAAAGTTTGGTCGCAAAACGTTGAAAAATACTAACATTTTCACCCAAAATATGGGTATTTTCACCGCGAGTGATGTAAATACGTACAAAATGTAAATACATTTTTTTCGCTATAAAAAACACATTATTTCTTCGGATTTACTCCCAAAATATCGCAGAGCAAAATTGCTCTTTTCAGCTGCAACCGGTTGTTGGGTTTCATTTCCCAAGCCTAAAATTTTGTTTATAGCAGCAGCTGTAATCTTTCTTTTACAACGTACTACACGACTCTCATTACGAGCTATAAAGTTTGTTATGTCGAGAACCCACGTTCACACAAACGGTCCAGTTTTATGAGGTCAGACAGGGCCATTAGTAGTATATCAATGTTTTTAAACCACTTTCATCGAGTTTTTTAAAGTTACTTCAAAGCAATAATATTCCATATAGACACATATATTATTTATCGCACTGATATCCGACAGCAAGAATAATATGTCATTAGTGGACATGTAAACAAAACAGCGTGTGTTTATTAAAAAATTTCAAATCATTTTCGCCGTAATTTTTACATTATCCTAAAAGAGTTATACAGTTTGACTAATCAAATAAACGTAAACACATTTATTATACCGAGCGAAATAAGCAACTTTTGCCGTATTTCAAGCACGTTTTCACCTCGTAGTAAACATGCACGATTGCATGCATGAGGATTATGAACCGAATCAGCTGAGCACTACAAAATAAAGTCATTTAGCACTTAAATGACCACATAATGATAATTATAAGGACACACTATAGTTTTATGAACAACTCAAGTCAACGTTTTGCTCATATTTATTCAATGTGTCTTGGCGCTTAAAAGTTATCTGCGGGGCCCAAATTCTCATTTTTAAATCATTAAGTTTACTTCGTTATACTTAGAAATGTTGTATATTCAACACATATAGCTACATGCTGTTTTACACCGCTTCATTTCAGTCCGAAATCGCATAACATCTCTCCCCCTCCTTCCCCCCCTAGCTCTCAAAGGCTATATAACGTGCCCCAATACAATGCCCTATAGCAAAATAGTTAATCAGTTTGTCCTAATATTCAATGTTTTTTTAACTCTGATTGAATATGAGTCAGCCCTCCGTCTATATACGAGTTCTTCACTGAGAACTCTTCCAGAAATCGTGGTCAGCACTACAAAAGAAACTTTCTCGTGTGTTTTAATGATAAATCTGGTTAAAAGAGCTGTTTGCAACTTCAACCGAATCGTAGCAAAACTCAGCGTATTTTTTTTGTTAGAAAGTCATTTTCAGTCGATTTCCTAGTTAGGAAACAGTGGTACACATCTCGCTTCGACACAACCCGGTTCTTTGAAAGGCATTCGAAAGGACAAGATGCAAAATGGAAAACAAAATTATTATCTATTTTTGAAACAACTCAACCGAAATAACTTGATTTAAATAGTTTAATTTTCAGTGGAAGTACATATATTTAACGCATATAAGATGTAGGTTCGGTCTTTCACAAGATGTATAAGAGTATTTTTTATGAAACTTTGGCTTATCCACCGTTGAAGTGGAAGACTTAATATCTAAGTCTAGATGATGAAGTTTTTCAATACTATCCCATGCATGTAGTTATATTACAGCTGCACTTGGCTTAAATATTTTATACCGATAGTTTTACCGGCCTTTCTCGAATGCAAATTTTGTTGAGAGAGCGGGAGTAGGTTTGCGACGATTAAGGTTCATTGTGGACACCATGCAAACGATAATGGACACACACGAACGCTATCTGCCCGGTATTTTAAGTGTCCGTAGCTTGAGATGACCCGATTTTTACGAGCGCACGAACTTAGCGTGAAAATAGTGCAACCGCAGACGTGCTTAACGAGTCCCATGAAGATATTGTGAAGCCATTACACTGCATGTGCATGCATATGCCGATCTGATATCTTATAAAGTTATATTGAATCATTCTCAAATATGGGAAAAAAGTGTCTCAGTGATTTAAAGTGAATGTTCGTGAACACGAGAGGCTGTTTTGCGTATATATTTGAGCTTTGTTGTTTCTCAACTTTGAATCAACAATAGCTCAGTAAATTTCGGCGAATCATATTTGAAGCCAGCTGGCCCTTTCTAAATGTACAATTGAGCGCATTTCAGAGTTGAGTCCATGCACCGTAAAACAGAAGATGAAAACACCGAAAACTAACGCGGTTTATTCGTTACTTCAGCTTCATTTAAAATTCAAATTTTTACCTCATCTATATCTCATCTGCCCACGACAAACCCTTATCTTCGTTACTTGTTTGTGGAAGAAGTCGATATATGGCATCGTTCGTGTGTCAGACTAAAAATGTCACGCCCAGCATCGATAGAGAGCTCATATGCAATTTTGATTTCGCTAAACAGACAAATCGCTTTAGTTTGCCGGCGAGAAGAAAGTTGATAACGAATTGTGTCAGACGCGCGCGGTTTAACTGCAATACTATGCTCAATTACACGCGTACAAGCAAAATTGGGTTTTCTTAAACCATCTGCAGCCCACGAGAAACGCTTATCTTTGTTTATATACTTGTTCGTCCAAAGCGTCAATGCATGACATGCCTTATTCACGTGTAAGACTTTAGTATCACTGTGACTCGTGATTAAGTGGGAGACTGTACAATCGTCGCTACATGGTGTGTTATACTCAAAAGCATATAAATACTTGAATGTGTCAAGTTCTGATCGAGAGATGAGATTTCTGCACTCAAATACGCAAACAAAACTAATTTTTAAAAACAAATTGCCCACGGCAAACCCTTATCTCTGTCGTATATTTGTCCAAATGCTGCACAAGCATCACTCGTGCGTGTTCAGGAATTGAGATTGCTATGAATAGATTTCAATTTAAGCGACTATCTGTAAGATCTGATTTTTCGCGTTTGAACACCTGGTCTGTATAAGAACCACCCTATAATGCAAACAGTCTTCGTCATGATATATCTACGAGACTGCATGAGCTTCTTCCGGGTTGTCAGTTCCCAGATTTATCAGACAGAGTTTGTGAAGAAACCTATATATCGATCCTATCATGGTAACCAGTTTCAAAACTTCTTCTGTCTAAAATATTCGTGATCAATGTGGTCTGAAGTAGTCTAGTGATCTAACAAAAACCATGAACCCCAATTCACTTTTACTGATTTGTCAGCGGCGACAGCTCTTCTCCTCCGAGCTCAGCTAATCTATGAAATTGAATCTTTGATAAAGGGGAATTTGTATAGTTTCTTTTTTAACACCTTGCGGTAATCATGCTGTGAATACGTGACTCTGGAGAGTTTCCGCATGCATATGCTTCTTTTCATTCAGTGATATGTTTTACAATTTCGAAAAGCATTTGATTCACAACTTGCCAACGCCATACAATACATCTACTTGACAAGCATATCCCATTTCTTTGTGCTTTTTTTTGAAATAGCATTTTCAACTCGTGGGCAGCTGCATGGCTTCGCTCGCGTTGATCTTCCGGCAAAATATATATGAACAGTTCTACAGCAAGTTAAACAGGGAGGTCCGATAAAGATAGTACGTGTTTATATATGTTTTACAGGAATATCCTACTGCTCCATTTTACGTAAACTAAGTCTTTCCAACAAACGCCAGTTAAGGTTTAGCTTCTACGTTTTACTATTGCTCGAAGATTGCCTTTTGAAAATTTACCTCAACGAACAGTTTCGTCGAGGTAAAAACAACAGTTTATCATCGTCCAGCTACCGTCTTATACTACTTTGACCGCTCAATTGTGCACAAGTTTTCACGTTTTATACAAATTTTGCTGGCCTAATAACCCCTTATTCAAATTTGTGGTCCGCTGAAGTCCAAACAAATTATACCCTTTAACATTATTGCCAAGTAACAATACGCTTGAAACCGAGCTTTTGTCGTGGGAATTTTTCGCCTTCATGCACTACGCGTATTTTAAAATTTTAAAAGGCCGTTTTACGCGAGAATTTATGTACACCGCTTTAAAAAAAAACCGGAACAAAAAATGTTATAAACGTTTAAAAATTTCCTCGCGTCCTCGGCTTCTCGAAAATAGGCCCTACGGGTAAATGATTTGATGATAACAGTAAACTTAAGCCAACAACTTTGAGATATTATCAGCGAAAATTTTCATGCAAACGAATTTTGAAAGTTTTCAAAAGTAACCGGTTGTTGTGATAACTCAACTAACAGGTATATACGGTCTGTTAATAGACAGTTTTATAATGGCTTATATAGGATATAGCTTACCCGTATTCTTGCAACCGAGGCTGTCAGAGTTGTTGGCCACAAGACATCGACTTGACCATGCTAGGAAAAGAATCTGCAACGCAAATGACATACATGTCGTGCATACAAGCATCGCTTTGTGTAGTCTTGGACGAAATACGTCCAGAATTCGTTGGAAATTGTATAAAATGTTTACAAGTCAAGCTTGAAATTTGTTTAACGAGTATATATTCGACGTTTACTTGAAACAGATTAGCGCTGTCATACCTTGATTAGTGTGGACGGGCAGAGCAATTTAAACGATGATACGGCTTGCTCCGTATTATACATAGTTTCTTTCCTTCAACGCTTCGTAATGTCGCAATATCGACTACAGGAACCGTCCTTCGGTTCTGCGTGTGTAATGCATGTTTGCAAACCACGCTCCGTCGCTTTGTGAAGCAGCTTATCGGTTGATTAATGTTAATTTATATCACTCGCAATTTTCAAGTGGCTGCCCCTTCTGCTTGCTTCTGTAGTAACTACGAAACAAGAATACATTAGCATGTTTTAGCGGTTAAAATTTCGTCAGAAGCTCGGCGGTGCGTATTTTGACAAGCTAAATTCGCGCTCAAAGCCGTCCTGCTAGCGTGCGATTTAATAAAAAAATAACTTTGTTCTTGGCAAACACAAGCGCGAAATGCCTTTTCAGCCCCCCGTGTGGATTTTCATATTAACATTGTCTTCTTCTGTAGTCTCATTTTAACACAAATGCGGCAAATTGACTTGTATATTGCCGAGAGTAATGAAATTGATTGTATGAGCCTTTGTAACAACGACGCTAATCCCGAATATTGGAAAAACGGACGATATTGAGCCGATTGTTCGGCCGAAACCTCGTTGAATGATCGCAAATTTGTGCTCACAATAATACCTACGTTGAAGACTTTCAGACCTAAATGTTTTCGCTAAAAATGCCGAGGTCAAACTAACGTTGTTATTTAATAATGTGTTGGCATATGCCTCATAAACTCCATCTCATTTGATTGATCACCGAGTGATTGGTGTTTAAACAGTCGCAAATTGAGAAAAAGGCATTTTTCTCCTGACCTCTCCATTACACTGGATCAATCAACAAACGGGCATCATGCAAGTTCAAGATACAATTGCACGCTTGCCTCCCAAATGAACAACCAAAAGTTATCAGAGTATTTTGTTTACTAAATGGAACTCTTTTGTTGTCATTCTTGAAGTTATGAACTTGTAATTGCGAACCCACTTCGAGTTTCAAGTGAACTCACTCAAGGCAGTGAGTAGGCACGGCGCTGATGGCAGAGTTCTTACATCGTAAAATAAAAGGAAATTCATTTTTTTTCTTAACCATGCATGGACAATTCTAGTCTGACGCTTCATCAATCATTACACCCCATGCCTGCGTGGCTTCTGTTGTCATTCTGTTGTTTTTTAAATGGATCTGGTTTACGACTATGCTCGTTCGAAAACAAGGTTATCATGTAATGTACACTCGATTTTAGTCGATTTGGTGTTTTAAACGGGGCAAGATACTTAATTAAACATCGTTCAAGTTTCCCACTAAACTTCTCTCCAGTCTTCGCTGCGGTATATCACATTACAGATCCCGCAGAAGAGACTGTCCGTACGCTCTTCCATAAAATACAAGGTCTCTCACAGCGATTTGACACTTGAGTTTTGTGTTTATGGCAAGCCAGAATTAGCTTGCTTCTGTTAAGTGTTAATTATTTCGCAACGGCTCTCTATAACCTTTTAACGACAAAATCAGCGGGCGAGCTTCGCTGTAAGTGACCTCCACAGAGGGCTTTGAAATTCAACGAGTACATAGTAATTGTTTTCTAATTACCCAGCCAATGCCTCATGCACACGAAGCATTCATTTAAGAGCATGCATGAATCTTGTTTCACCGGCTTGTTTGAAAAGCACGGAGCTGATATATGCAGTTAGCCTATAGCTGGCCCACGACGTGGCGTCCCGGTTTTTTAGTTATGGCAAACGGCGTCGTGCCGAGATAGGGCATAAACATTGCCCCAGTTGAGATGTAAACGTTTCGCTGCTTTGGACCTTTGGTTATGAACTACCGAAAAAATTACACTTACATGCTTCGGAAAAAGTCTATTCTCTTTGCCAGCTCATTTGTGAGATGCGTCGTCAAAACACCGATTAAATTTACCATGACGATATATTGTGATTCGACTCTTAATAATGAAAAACTTAACTCAATAACGTGTTTATACATAATAATATTACCTTAACGTATGATTTGACGGCACTTATTATCTTACCGTTGGTATAGTGTCAAGTATTTAGTTACTATCATCATCTTTGTATATATTTGATTATAATTCGTTCACAACATCTCATGATTTCACGACACTTATAACTTTTTATCTTATTGTTGGTAGTCTCAAAAATTAACTATCATCTTTGTACATTCCAGTAGGCTATAATTCGTTTACAATATCTATAGTTTACGAGCTATTACATTTTAAACGTTCAAATTTTTCCGTTTGGCATTCAATGACACACAACTTGTATTAACATCTCGAGGTACTTGGATAGTTCTTCCTCAGTCTTGTGAAGAATATTACCCATTGTTATGACATCACGTGTCATTACTCTTAGCCCTGGCACGTTCACCCTCGTACCCAATCCAATGGCAACAACTTTCACTCCGGAAAGCTGAAAAAAAAGATAATCTGTTGTTGTCAAAATTTCCTTCCTTTGCAGTATGCACGGTCTGGTCTTCAAGATCGCATCTTTTTACCTTTGTTTTCCCGGAACCACATTCAACTTGAATTTGTCAATATGTGTGGCGTTGAAGGTCTGTTCACGCAAGCCAATTTTGCCGGATCCAATTCACTTCTTCTGATGGATGTTTTATAGTCTGTTGTCTTGCAAAGTATAAGGGCAGCAAATCGACCCAAGCCAATGCAGTGCTGCTTTATCAGTGACAGACTACATTCCATATGTCAGCAGTGAATTGGATCCGACAAAGTTGGATCGCGTGAACGGGCCTTAAGAAGACTGGAAATACAGTCTTATCTGGTTTATCACTAAAATGACACAATGGGAGATTTGGGCCCTCCCCTCAAATATACATACAGAGTGACATCCTCCCCTGCCAGCACTAGGACTACACTCCGAAGGCCAGTCGTGTAAAACATTTTTGCGTAGTTAACTCTAAACTACACGATTCCGATTGCCTAATTCAGCCACTTTCTATAGTTAAAGTTAATTATCTTTTTACACCACAGACCTCTGCCCATAGATTATTATTATACCTGTAATCTCAAGGATGGTAACTCTAAAGTTTCTACTCCACCATAGGTATACCCATCTGTCACAATGATTAAGATCTTCGTCGATGCTGCTCGCTCTCCGTATTGAGATTCAGAGAACACGCGAAACGCTTGATGTAAAGCTTTCTGAGTCAGTGTTGCTCCGCCAAGCAACGGTACTTGAAAGATGGCTCTTTGGACCGCGTCGATATTGTAAAAGAAAGGATCTTCAAACGTGAAGTCGGTATGTACGATGTGATTGTAGTGTAACAAGCCAAAATGAACCTCGTTTGTGTTTACTGGAAATCTCCCAACAAAATCAACCAGAAGTTTCTTTCTTTTTTCAAATTCGGGTAAAGAAATGCTCGAGGATACATCCAGCGCAATTAGGATCTCTGCAGTTTTCATGCAGTCTACACAAGGATCAAATGAAACAAGCATGGGATTTTACTCTATCCAACGCTGACGATTTTACTTATGTCAGTGAGCTGAAGTATTATCATTTGAAGAGCAAAAATCAGTCGTTTAATAGGTTGCATTTATCGCTTGGGGATGTTATCAAAGATGATTAGGTCATATACAGGATTCTGATACTTGGGATAGCAGGCATTGATTCGCAAAAGTCCATGATTATAAACTGCAGTATAAAACCAGCCACAAACCTCCAGAGATTATGGTTTGGTCAGAAAAAACATTCTGATGTTGTAAAGTGATTGAGAAGTATTGCTCTCTTTGATGAACTCTCGTGATTATTCTCAGAATATGTGGAGTTTCTCAACTTATTGTTGTTTAGAAATTCTTGAGACATGTAGGGATTTCAAATTACCTGGTTTCTTCGGGTCTTCCGTTCTGGTTACTGCAACTGGTGTTGTGGGTTTCGAAGCTTTTGTCGTAGTTGTCGGAGGTTTTGTCGTAGTTGTCGGAGGTTCTGTCGTAGTCGTCGGAGGTTTTGTCGTAGTTGTCGAAGCTTTTGTCGTTGTTGTCGGAGGTTTTGTCGTAGTTGTCGGAGGTTTTGTCGTAGTTGTCGGAGGTTCTGTCGTAGTCGTCGGAGGTTTTGTCGTAGTTGTCGAAGCTTTTGTCGTTGTTGTCGGAGGTTTTGTCGTAGTTGTCGAAGGTTTTGTCGTAGTTGTCGGAGGTTTTGTCGTAGTTGTCGGAGGTTTTGTCGTAATTGTTGGAGGCTTTGTCGTAGTCGTTGGAGGTTCTGTCGTAGTTGTCGGAGGCTTTGTCGTGGTTGTCGGAGGTTTTGTCGTAGTTTTTGGAGGTCGTGTTGTGACTGCAATAGGCTTCTTTGTGTCAGTTTTTGACCGGTCAGGCACATAATAGATCAAATTCATGTAATCAGCACCAGTGCAATGTTCGGAATCTTCCGAGCATATTCCAAATGAAGAATTTACACAAGATTTTGATGGATCCAATTGAGCAAAAGTCTCAGGTCCTGCCGTCCCACTCCAACATTCAGCATAGTACTGTATACCGAAATATTTATTACCGTTTGCGACCACGGCTTTGGCGCAGTCACAGATAAATCTGTAAGAGAGATATATCATAAATATGTGTTACAAATCCACGGCACAAAAATGTCCACAGATCTTTGGATCGATATATTCAGAGTTAATGTGATCCATCACTCGAAACTTTCCCTCTAAACCTGTTCTACCTATAGTGGTATTGTAAGAGCCATTTACAGTTTTTCCAGTGAAGTTTTTTCTTAATTCTGTTCTCTTTAAAAACCTACCTTGGTAAAAATGTTTGATATTTTTGAACATCCCAAGCAATCGTGTATCCAGGATTTTTTTTGGCCGCTGAATATCTCGCGTTCAATAACAGGTTGGGAAACGTCCGTGGGTTTTCCCAGTCATAGTAACATCCAACCTTATAGTACCGTATCTCGCATGCTGGAAATATATTTAAACATGTTTTAGACATATTTGGCGACTTACAAATGTATCGAAAAGGCTGTAGTTAAAGTCCCTTTTATTAACTCGTCTTATCTTCTTTCTGTGTCAATTTCACGCTAAAATTCGTAAGATTTTGGAATTACCTTTGGAGAAAAGAATAGCGCTTGTGAGAAACAGAAATGGCACTAGCTTTCCCGGATCCATCTTTACCAGTTCTCTTTACTACATAAAGCCAGAATGATTTGTTTTTTAGACCTTTTCGTCTCTTTAAATACTGTCATTTGTGTCGTTCAACATCGTCAAACAAAAGATGCTCTCGTGTCTTGAATGTAATCTCGCTTATCAAAAGAATATTGAGCTCAAAATCCAGGTGTTTACCGAGCGGCAATTAAGATTAACATAAGGTTATTCAATATTTTAATGGCTGAATAGAATCGTACAAAAAGAATATTTAAAATTCACTGCGTGCATCAATTGAGCGACCGTTCTTGAGCCAATATACCTGATATAAATTAACTGTTATGTGACAAGATATTGGGCTGACATATTGTGCTGTGTAACAAATAAAATATGCAATCATACTTTTACAATTCAATGCCACATTTTTTTGGAAGACAAAAATGAACATAAAGACATCAAATCATTTCTAAATTTTCTCTCTATTTTATTTTTTAAATATGTCACTATCTAGTAATACATTAACTATATTCTTATTAAGTGTAGACTATAGATCACATATAATATTCCCTACCATAATATAATTTACAAATGGACTAAATTTGTGAAATATAAGAATCTTTTTAAGGCCGACAAATTTCCAATCCAATAGTCATTTCGCGAATTTTTCGTCAGGCCTGCCTCGCTCTCAAATTGTTTCATGCACTATAAAGCAAGCTCGGGAAGTGTTCATGTCTTTTTAAATCAAGAATCTCTCACGTCAAACTGGATTTCTCTTGCATGGGAATTTCGTTATTTCGGGCAAATCATATACGCAACTTTATCAACATATCTATCGACTTTTCCCAGATCTTCCAAGGTTGGTATGATGAGCAAGTTGGATTGGTCCTTAGCGATCAGTAATAAGGCATAACGGTCCAGGTAATCCTTCCGGCCAACGGCCACAGCAATTACACGAACACCGCTCTAAATGAGAAATGTTTAAGAAAAGATTAAATGATTTGCAAGAGGAAACTGTTGTATTCTCAAACAGATAGTGACTCCCTTACTGGATAGTGGCTCCCTATTAACTCTCCTGCATGACGAAGGCCCTCAGGTCGAAACGTCGAGAAGTGTTTTGTCTATTTTAGGCAGTTGTTATACCACATTTGATGCTAAGACTAGATCAGTTCTATATTTTTCGATATTTTTGAAAATGGCAAAGCTTCACTACCCTTTGCAAACCACGGATAACCAAACACAACTAAAAGACACCTACATCGCGTAATTTCTTTAATGGTTCTCTCAAGGTCTTCTTCCCGCCATACGTTCTACCATCCGTGAACAGAACAAGTATTTTTTGCACATCGGAGTCACTTCTTGCACCTTCAACGAACAGCCTGTCTGCTGTCGTCAGAGCAGCTTGCGTCAGCGTTGCCTTATCCAGGTAACCCATGTCTCGAATGCGATTACGTAACGTCCTCGAGTTCGGAATCTGATCTTTGAGCGTCGCACTTTTTATGACTCTGTAGTTGTAATGAATTAGACCAAAATACGTTGGCTTGAAGCTTGTGAAACGTGTGGTCGTTTTGCTGACGAACGTTTTGATTCTGTTGTAAGGTCCCTTCATCACACTGCCGGACGAATCGATGGCTATCACGATATCCAGGGCTTTCTTACACTCTAAAACGAATGCACTTTGAAATTAAAATCGATTACATCATTGGATATTGACGAAAATGACAGCTCCTCCAATAATTTCTGAAAGACCTCAGCCTCGAAAAATGATGTACTCACCAAAACCAATCGGAATGTTTGGAGTCGGCGTCGGTACCGTCACTGATGGCGTCGCCGTTGAAGTCCGGCTGGGTGATGGTGGTGGTGTTTTAGGAGTGGTAGGGGATACTGTAAGCGCGGTCGTAGGAGCAGGAGGTGTCGAGCGAGTACTTACTGTTGAAATCGATGGACACGTAGGAAGCGCTTTATCAGCCCGTACAAATACGTAAACATTGCGTGGACTGTCGCCTGAACAGAGCATAGAGCTCTTGTCTGAACATGCGCTCTTCTTCTCGTTCATACAGCTCTTTGATTGGCCATATCTCTCGTACGTACACTGCGCCCTAGGCCCACTCCAACATTCGCCATAAAACTGAAGACCAAATACGGAGTAGCCTTTGGTGTCCACTTTGGAAATGCAATCACAGATGAATCTAGATTAAGAGAAGAATGACTCTTGGAATTCTTGGAAATCTCACGCAAACTCTAAATGGGCAAAGCTCATTCGAGCCCTAGGATAGCAAACTGTCTAGGGCACTTACATGAGCCCGGTTACCCGAGATTCAACGAAGCGTGAGATGATTTTGAGGTATTGAAATGAGCAGATGACATGATCCTGGCAGTCGTATAATCACCATAACAATAGCATGTGCTTGTTTGGTGTCATAAAGACTTATTTCAATACCTCAAAGTCCTCTTACGCTTCGTTGAATCTCGGGTAACCGGGCTCATGTAAACAGCCCCTAAACAGTATCTTCACAGCTAAGTGCTTGAGTCGTCTATATCATCAATATTAAAAGGGTGTAGCAGAGACGATTTGGCCTACTCGTTAAGAAATTGAGCATAATTCGTTGTGTCGATTTGATATCCAGCATAAACTTTGCTTTTTGAGTCTCGTGCGGTGAGCAGTAATTCTGGAATTGCCCTCGGCATGTCGTTGCTGCTTCTCTGAGACCAACATCCTAATTTTCTAAGTTTGTATTCAACGTTATTGCATTTTACGGTAGGGTTTGTTGGGGTCACTGAAGGTGTCGTGGGTGTTACTGATGATGTTCGTGGGGTAGCTGAGGATGTTGATGGGGTAACTGTGGATGTTGGAAGGATGACTGAGGGCGATGGCAAGGTAACTGAAGCTGTTGATGTTGTGGTAATAGGTGATGTCGTAGGACATGTAGCAGGCAGATTAGAGGGGACATAGACGTATATCTCTTGACTGCTGTGTCCAGAACATATCTGAGAACTTTTGTCTGAACACTGGTTGAGTTTCTCGTTAATGCAGCCGTTGGATTGACCAAATTTCTTGTAAGTACACGCGACTCGATCACCGCTCCAACATTCGCCGTAAAATTGAAGTCCAAACACCGAATAGCCTTTCTGTTTAACTTCTTTTACGCAATCACACGCAAACCTAGTGAAACAAGGAAGATAATTTCATTCTGTGTGTGGACTGGAAAACGTTTTCACTCCCCATTTTCATCAAATAATACAAATTTTGAAATTAAAACATATAAATGTACAATTTGGCTCACTTTTGAATAAAATCTTCAAAGTTCTGTTTATCAAAATCATATCCAGCATACACACTGCTCTTTTTATCTCTGGCAGTGAGAAGTAGCTCGTTTATTGCTCTGGGTGGCATTGTATCTCCCAACTCTTTCCAACAACCCAACTTGGTCAACTTATATTCAACATTTCCGCACTTTAATCTCGGAGGTCCGGGGGGAACTGGGGTGGAGACAGTAGTGATGGATGTAGGAGTAGTTGATGGACATAACTCGGATGGAGGTGGATAATAGGGTACATAGACGTACATCTCTTGACTGCTGTGGCCAGCACAGAAACGAGACGTGGTATCTGAGCACTGCCCCAATTTCTCATTCACGCATTCATTTGCTCGACCAAATTTCTTGAAAGTACAACCAACTTTGGGTCCACTCCAACACTCACCGTAAAATTGAAGACCAAAAACTGAATAGGATTTTTTCTGGACTTTTTTAACACAGTCGCATATGAACCTAGGAATATGTAATGATTAGTTTCATACAACTACATATTTCTTGTGTTTTATCACAATTAAACATTTTGTAAGGCACTCATTTGACATCACGAAACATGCAGACCTAAAATTGAATCCTTTTGGCACTCCACATATAAAAAGCAAAATTCTATAGACCTGACAAAACACCATAAGTGTTCACCTTTAACAACATAGGGAACGTCTACCTAAAGGCTAGTTTTCACTCAGGAAAATTCTCCTTTGGATCGGACTGGACAGGAAAGTTTCCTTTGTATAAACGTCGCCTGAGAACTCATCGACAAAGAACTGAGTGGAAACTAGCCTTAAGTATTTTCTAAGTTAGCCTAATGTAAACAGGTTCAGAAGCATACATTTTAATATCGCCTTACTTTTTGATAAATATATCATAGCCCATTTTGTGGTAATCATAACCTGCGTAAACACTGCTCCATTTATCTCTGGCCGTCAACAGTAACTCAGGCATTGCCCTAGGTGGGTTGATATCACCCAGGTCTTTCCAACATCCCAACTTGGTCAGCTTGTATTGAACGCTGCCACATTTTATTATTGGTGGACCTGTGGGAGTCGGCGTCGTAATCTTATCGGTGGGAGTCGTAATCTTCTTCGTTGGTGTCGTGATCTTCTTGGTAGGTGTCGTGATCTTAGGGGTTGTCGTTGGTGTTGTTGGGAGTGTTGTGGGACACATGAGGCCACCAGGTGTATCAGCAGGGATATATACATAAATATCCTCCTCGTTTTGTCCAGAACATAACCTCGAACTCTTGTCCAAGCATTTTCCAAGTTTTTCATTCACGCAGTTGTAGGATTTTCCAAACGTTTTGTAGGAGCAAGCAGCTCTGGGACCACTCCAACACTCTCCGTAGTACTGGACGCCAAACACTGAGTAACCTTTCCGTTTCACTTTGGAGACACAATCACAGACAAACCTAAATAGATCAGAGAACGTTGAGTATTCAGTTTAAAACAACTGATGTTATCTAAACCGATTGTGGACTTCTCACCTTTTGATGAAGTCTTCATATTTCTGTGTGTAAAATTCATATCCAGCATAGACACTGCTTGTCTTATCTTTTGCCGTAAGCAGGAGCTCTGGTAAGATTCTTGGTGGTCTGACGTGGCCAAATTCTTTCCAACATCCCAGTTTTGTCAACTTGTATTCGATATTCTTACATTTTATTCTCGCTGGCCCAGTAGGTATCGGCGTCGTCTTCGGAGTCGTGATCTTATCGGTGGGAGTCGTAATCTTCTTCGTTGGTGTCGTGATCTTCTTGGTAGGTGTCGTGATCTTAGGGGTTGTCGTTGGTGTTGTCGGGATTGTTGTGGGACACGTGAGGCCACCAGGTGTATCAGCAGGGATATATACATAAGTATCCTCCCTGTTTTCTCCTGAACATAACCTCGAACTCTTGTCCAAGCATTTTCCAAGTTTTTCATTCACGCATTTGTAGGATTTTCCAAACGTTTTGTAGGAGCAAGCAGCTCTAGGACCACTCCAACACTCTCCGTAGTACTGGACGCCAAACACTGAGTAACCTTTTCGTTTGACTTTGGAGACACAATCACAGAGAAACCTTAATAGATCAGAGAACGTTGAGTATTCAGTTTAACTGCTTAAGCAACAGATGCCATGTAAACTGATTGTGGACTTCTCACCTTTTGATGAAGTCTTCGTATTTCTGTGTGTAAAATTCATATCCAGCATAGACACTGCTTGTTTTATCTTTTGCCGTAAGCAGGAGCTCTGGTAAGATTCTTGGTGGTCTGACGTGGCCAAATTCTTTCCAACATCCCAGTTTTATCAACTTGTATTCGATATTCTTGCATTTTATTCTCGCTGGCCCAGTAGGAATCGGCGTCGTCTTCGGAGTCGTGATCTTATCGGTAGGAGTCGTGATCTTATCGGTGGGAGTCGTAATATTTTTCGTTGGTGTCGTGATCTTCTTGGTAAGTGTCGTGATCTTAGGGGTTGTCTTTGGTGTTGTAGGGAGTGTTGTGGGACACGTGAGGCCACCAGGTGTATCAGCAGGGATATATACATAAGTATCCTCCCTGTTTTCTCCTGAACATAACCTCGAACTCTTGTCCAAGCATTTTCCAAGTTTTTCATTCACGCATTTGTAGGATTTTCCAAACGTTTTGTAGGAGCAAGCAGCTCTAAGACCACTCCAACACTCTCCATAGTACTGGACGCCAAACACTGAGTAACCTTTTCGTTTCACTTTGGAGACACAATCACAGACAAACCTAAATATATCAGAGAACGTTGAGTATTCAGTTTAAAAGCAACTGATGTCATGTAAACTGATTGTAGACTTCTCACCTTTTGATGAAGTCTTCATATTTCTGTGTGTAAAATTCATATCCAGCGTAGACACTGCTTGTCTTATCTTTTGCAGTAAGCAGGAGCTCTGGTAAGATTCTTGGTGGTCTGACGTGGCCAAATTCTTTCCAACATCCCAGTTTTGTCAACTTGTATTCGATATTCCCACATTTTATTCTCGCTGGCCCAGTAGGAATCGGCGTCGTCTTCGGAGTCGTGATCTTATCGGTAGGAGTCGTGATCTTTTCGGTGGGAGTCGTAATCTTCTTCGTTGGAGTTGTGGTCCTAAGGGTTGTTCTTGGGGTTGTTATGACTTTAGGGGTTGTTTTGGGTTTTGTAATGATTTTTCGTGTTGTCTTAAACGTGACTTTAGGGGTTGTCTTGGGTTCTCCCGGGCATAATGCCGCATCGGGGGTATCAACAGGAGCATAAACGTATGCATGTTTCGCATTGTCTCCCGAGCACAGCATCGTGCTGTCGTCGGAGCATGTCGCCATATTTTGATTGACACATCCATCGGTTTGACCAAATTTCTGATAAGTACATCCAGCTTTCGGGCCGCTCCAACATTCGCCATAGAATTGAAGACCAAATATAGAATACCCCTTTTGGTTGATCTTCTTGACGCAGTCACATATAAACCTGGAAACGAGATGAAAGATAAACTTTGTTGAACCGAAAGAAAGTTTGGAAACTTTACAACAAAACCTAACTACAAGAATGACAAAAAAGAGTTCCATTTAGTAAACAAAATACTCTCATAACTTTTCGTTGTTCATCTGGGAGGCATGCGTGCAATTGTATCTGTAATTTACCTATCCTAAGATACTCTTTCTAGCTACCGTTGCTGTTGTATTTTGTTCGTAAATTAATCTGTTGCTAGAATTATCTGTTTCATAGAGAAGTTACAAAAGACGCATTGGCTGATCTCCAACAAAATCTTTTGAGTTAAACTAAGTGATAATTTTTAGAAAAACACTACGAACCTTTCCAAAAATGCGGCATAAGTGTGTCTGTTGAAGTCATATCCTACATAAGCTCTACTTTGTCTGTCTCGCGATGTAAGTATTAATTCTGGCATAGCTCGTGGTGGTTGAGAATCGCCCAGCTCATTCCAACATCCTAACTTTTTGAGTTTGTACTCAACATTTCCACATTTCACTACTGGCGGACCTTTGTGGAGTGGAGTTGTCACCTTGGGGCTAGTTGGGAATTTAGGGGTTGTCTGTGGAGAACTAGGAATTTTATGTGTGATTCGGGGGGTTACTTTGGGTGTACTGACAACTTTAGGGGTTGATTGTGGTTCACTTGGAGTATTGGTGGGACAGATGGCTTGATGATCATCAAGAACGTAGACATATGTATGTTTTGCATTGTTTCCCGAGCACAACATCGTGCTGTCGTCGGAGCATGTCGCCATATTTTGATTGACACAACCATTGATTTCACCAAATTTCTGATAAGTACAGCCAACTGTAGGGCCGCTCCAACACTCGCCGTAAAACTGCAGACCAAATACTGAATAACCTTTCTCCTTTATTTTGCTAACGCAGTCACAGATGAACCTTAACAGAAAGATGATCTTGATACGATTCTTTATGCTGGATAGCTCTATCAGTTCTAAACTGTTCTTTCTAGTCGTCCAGTAAAGATCATCTCTTATTGATCCAGTGTTACTACAGGGGAAACCTAAACTAAACTAACTTTAACTCAGTTTTAAAAGTTCCATCTCCAGTCTTACCTCTCCAGAAAAGCAGCGTAGTTATGCCTGTTAAACTCATATCCTGCGTACACTCTGCTGCTCTTATCTCGTGCTGTAAGTAATAGCTCAGGCATTGCTCTTGGCGGCGTAAAATCCCCTAATTCATTCCAACACCCTAACTTTACCAATTTGTATTTCAAATTCCCGCATGTCACCTGAGGCTTGCCTGTCGTCGCTGGTAGGGTCGTCCTGGAACTTGGGACTACTTTGGGGGTCGTCTTAGGTGTGGTAATTGGGGTCACCTTTTGTGTAGTCTGAGCTTCAGTGGTAGACTTTTCACCACATTGGGTATCGTCCTTGGAGTCAGCCAAAACAAAGGCGTACATTGATTGGGAGTTAGGGGAAGCACAAAGCATCGAACTGCTGTCAGAACACTTCCATTTCTTTTGGTTAATGCAATCGTTAGCCTTGCCGTGTTGGTGATACGTGCACGCGACCTTAGGACCGCTCCAACATTCTCCGTATTTGCGAACACCAAAGATAGAGTAACCTTTAGTCGATGTCTTTGATGCGCAGTCGCATACAAACCTGTAAAATTGATCAAGAGAACGAGTTTAGCTGACAGTTCTCGGTTTAACAATAACTACAAAGGCTATGCCTAGTCGCAGAGAATGAAAGATATCTTATCTATCACACCTTTATCAGGCCGCATCTCATTTCTTTTTGCAAGAATTTCACAGGTTTATTCCGCAGTTAAAATTACAATTTTGAAAGCTTTCACTGAAACTAGTGACTGTCTAGTTTCGATATATTTCTTATCTTAGGCTTAAGAAATTCAACTTTCTGTTCAGAATCTTCCATTATCAACCAACTTCAATTATCTTACTTAGTTCGTTTAAGAAATGACGTAAAAAATTCTGTTTTTTGAGGTTTTGCCAACTTTGCCAAGACTAACCTTTTTAGGAATGTTCCGTAGTCTTTGGTATCAAGATAGTATCCAGCGTATAACCGCTGATTGTAATGATCGACAGCCGTTAACATGAGCTCGGGAAATGCCTTTGTTTTATCTTTCTCGTTCCAACAGCCCAGCTTGCGTAATTTATATACGGTGTTACCACATTTCACCGAGAGACCAGAGAAAGGAGTGGCCAGTGTCGTTGTGGATTGGGTGACAATACTTGTCGTTATTGCAGTGGTTGTAAGTGCTGTGGGGTTGGGTGACTTCAGGGTGTACACGAAGTGTAAGCCTCCCGCGCCCGCACACAGCCCGAGATTATTTGTATCGCAGTGTCTTTTGTCCCCACGTACACAACCATCAGCAGGTTTATACAAGTCGTAGGTTTTACCCACGTTCTTGCCGCTCCAGCACTGGAAGTAGTTGGATATACTGAAATGGGTGAAGCCCTTGCCTCGGATTTTTTCCGCGCAGTCACAAATGAACCTAGATAATGAAAATACAGTTCTCTTCAATTGTTCGTTTTGAATGCCTGGTACTAAGTCCTTGGAGCAGTGATTTACTAATCCATATGAACTCAGGACACTCAGTTACTGGTATTTCTCAGTTTTCTCTAACTCAGTGACTGACAGTATTCTCTAGACTCTCTAATTATGAACGTTCTCTAATATATTAACTGACAGCACTTTAATTCATAAGACAGCAACTCATTAACTTTCAGCGCTGTGGTTCCTTCACCAGCAACCGTTTAATTCATTAACGCTCTTAATTCATTAAATAGCAACTCACTATTTCACTAACTAGCCGCAATTTAACTCAACTGACAACTCTTTATTTCATATTGTTGCCGTCTAACTTATTTATTGGCAACTCAGATCCCTATCAGTACTCGTTTACACTGGATAGCAACCCCAGCGCCATGTTCTACTAACTGATCTCAGAATATCATTCATTACTTCATATTAGCAAAGGATGCGGACTCATCTTTCATACACAGTATGATGCCTCTTACCTTGCTAAGAAATCATGATAGGAAGGAAACGTTGCTCTCTGGTATCCGACGTATTTCCCACTGCTGGAGTCCGTTGTTAGAATCAGCTCGGGGACAGCTCGGGGTAGATAGGGTTTACTAGGATCGCGTGCATTGTGACAGCCGAGTTTCGACAGATTATACTTAGGACATTTCACCATTCGCGCTTCCTTAGGGTCGTAGGGAGGATGAGCTTGACGAAAGAATAGATGAATATATAGGTTTGCAAGGGATAGATATAGTGCACTAGGGATAATAGACAGTGATTATTTTCTTACTTTGTGGCATGTACCAACCATAGACGCTGGGCATGAAGTACAGCACAACCAAACAAGCGTAAAGCATATCGTGATTTGCTACCAAATCTAAAATTACAAAAGACAATGAAAGAGTTACAAAATCTATATTTCTTCAAAAGTAAGTCAGGACATACTATATAAGGCCCCCTCAATCAGTGTCTAAGTTAATTTAATTTCGAATGAACTTCCCCTCAGAATGTGTACATACGTGGTTAGTTTTAAAAAACGTTAATTTTTATAATTCCCCAATACCAGTAACAAAATTTCACTACAGTAAGATATGCGATCTTCGGAGTTTTTGATATCGCGATTTGTAAGTTTAAAAGCGATTTTTTTGCTAAATTCAACTATTTTGATCGCTATCTATTAGCTAAAACTAGTGGAACAACATTATGATATCATAAACGTCACTCACCTCTGTTTAAACACTTTTTAGCCTTTGATTTGGCAACAAAAATACGATCTTTACTCGGCGAAAATTTCGTGTCAAACACCACTTCGATAGAATGACAATTCTCTTTATATAATGATAGCAAAACTAATCAATTACGATTCTGGTGTCAAGAGGTGCTATAAAATTTTGACAGTCACGGCAAAGCAAGATTGATGAGACGGCCTAAAGTTACTGAATGATTACTAGGAAGAGACTGTGAATAAGATATTACATGAATGAGCGATCATTCTATGACACTTGACGTCCAACAATAAAACCCAGGACATGTACCAATATAGTCAATATCCGATTTATTAAAACAGATTATATTATTGATTATCCAATAGTGTTGGTAACGTAGGATCTATAAGAGATGATCCTTACTGGACCTCTAGGAAGAACAGTTTAGAACTGATAGAGCTATCCAGTATAAATAAAGTTAGTTTAGTTTAGGTTTCCTCCTGTAGTAACACTGGATCAATAAGAGATGATCTTTACTGGACCTCTAGGAAGAACAGTTTAGAACTGATAGAGTTATCCAGTATAAATCATGCAACTTTTGTTAAAGAAGCCTGAAGGTTAATATAATTACCATTTTATTATTCATCAGTCGTTTCCATGATGAAGGAAGCAATTATAATAAAGAGGGTTTATTCTCACACGACCAATATACGTGGAAATTGAATTTTAATGAAAGGTGACAGATTCTCAAGTGTTGAGATCGAAGTCATTGATATATTCCAATTTGCGAGTAAATGCGTATTTTCTGTCATTTATTATCATTGAAATTTAAGGTCTTTTCTTAGAACACAACTCACAATACTCATAATCTTTTATTTTGTCCACTCATACCGTACTATTTCCAGATCGTTTTGACCCTTTTGAATTTACAGTGTATGGAGCATTTCACACAGAATATAATATAACAATAGAGTTGATGTTCGCGGGCAAACACACATTTATGCCCAAGAACATCAACTGTATGACTATTACTATTATCTTAACTTTGAAGGGCAATTTTTTTATATAAAAACTGAATTATATACTGATGCGTAAACACTTCATTCCTTCTTCTGATTGGCTTAGATCAGCGAGCTAAAATATATTTCAGCCCGGCAAATTTACAGTCATTTTAGCCCGCAAAATACACCGTAATGCCCGCCAAAGTTACTACAATACGTATTTTTTTCTAACAATAATAAGACAATTTTGAATAAGACAATTCATTTTAGCGATAGTTCTTCATTCATTTTTTTGAATCAGCTAAGAGTTAAAAGGCATTCAGGATCCTTCAATAGACCTTTTCAGCTTGCATGCAAATTAACCCATTTCAGATGTTGTGACCATGAAATAGCCAATAAAACTTAACCATTTCAGACCATGTGACTTGAGATGAGTTAATCTGCATACAAGTTCTACTCATCTTAAGGCAGCTATAATAGGTTTTGCGTGTTTAAATACATTTTTAAATATTTCTTTGTTTTCGATTTAGGATGCCGAAAAATTATTACTACAGTAATAGATCTATAACGAATATTGCAGCCCTTATTTCACTGTTTCCAATTAACATGCGCATGCTTTGAAATCAGATTTTGTTGCAGTGTTTGTGCAATTTCACTGCTCGTATTAATTCGCCATTAACCATCGCCTTTCAACCCTCGCTATGATGAACTTGAATTAGACGCTATAACCTTTCCGTATTCTGGAACATAAATATTTTGAATGTACACTCACATGATTCACAAAACCGTAATAATCTGAACCCGTTCAATCGATGACGAATCCTCTTGGAGAGAATCGATTTTTCTATTACTAACCAGTTCAAATTTCTCCGTTAATGATAACTTTCGAAAACTCGCGGATGTAAAGTCTGTCCTTGCTTTCTTTGAACAGCGAAGAAAAGCTTTGAAGCCCTGCGCAAACTCTTGATGAAGCGCTCCGTAGATTATAGGATGGGACGCACTTGTCGCGGTAAGAACGAGTACCGAGAATTTCTTTGCGAGAGCGTTTTTAATGCCGTACGTACTCATTTGCCAGGTGATGTGATAAGGTAGAGTCAGGGCTATGTAGACTATCACAATAATACAGATCATTCTTATGGTCTAAAAAAGAGCGGAGTTCCGCGTTAATGCATGGGTTACAAAACTATATTTGACATAGTTTCCGTTGGCCTAAAACCCTAAGATCTCAAGGATGGATCGGGTCTAATCTGTTGAGTTACATGAACTTACATAATATGTTCTGTTCAGTTACATTCACCTACCTTTTTATGTCTGTTCCTATTTTGCAACAGTCCTAGACGTCTTAGCTTGAAGCGAGTTGCCCTCAGTATCATCCCCACCTTAATATATAACACGACCATCACAATAGTCGGTAACAAAAACTGTATTATAAACAACCCCGTGAAATACGCCTTCTCCAGCGTCTCCGATGGCCAGACGTCCGTACACACCGGTCTTCCTTTGTGATGAACTACGTTCAGGAAAATATTCAACGGCAGGGTTATAACACATGATACAACCCAGAGGAGAACGACTTGTAGTTTTCGAGGCGTGCTCACCACCTCGCTAATGACCTTTACCGATCGTATTGTTCGGTATCGTTCGAACGATATCGCCACCAGCGTCAGCGAAGACGCGGTAAGAAAGAGATATGTGAACATGGGAATGACCTTGCAAAGAAATTGTCCGAACGGCCAAACGTAATCATTTTCCTGGTAGGCCAAGCGAAATGGCAGGTTTATGGACAGCAAGGCAATGTCCGCTGCGGCCAAATTGCAGAGCAGGATGTTATGAAATGTTCTGGCTTTCTTCTTTTTGAACATTATCCAAATGACAATGGAGTTGCCACCGAAGCCGATAATAAATACCAAAGCGTACAAAACAAATTTAATGATTTTCACAGCTAGGACTTCTTGAACAGGTGAACTTCGAGATGAAAACAAATGGAGTCCAATCAACGTGCTATTGTTACCTCCAAACTCCATGTTCTACTGATACGATTTTATTTTAGCTTGATCCTCTTGATTATTGAAACTATAAGATGGAATTCTAATTTTAGATATATGTAAATTTGCCGCGCGGTTGTTTGACAGGCGTTTCGCTTAACGGTGGATAAGCCGCCAAAGTTTAAAAATGCTTTCATAGATCTTGTAAATGATTGAACCTGCATCTTATGCATTTAATATGTACCGCTTTCATTGACAATTAAACTATTTAGATCGAAATATTTCAGCTCAGTTGTTCAATAAATAGCACCTGTTGGACTTTAATGGAGCGGAAGACTGAATAAGTTCAACTTTTCGATCAGCTGAAAAGGTAACAGCGAAACAGGGCAAAAAACCCAAAATAATTTGAAACAAATAAACCGGTTTTCTTATCCTTTACATCTGTTGTTCCGTGGGGTAAGTAAAGACCTTCAGCTTGGCGTTTCGTTCGACAAACTTCCAACTGTAAACTAAAATTTTTCTTCAAGCGGCCTATCTTCTGCATTCTATTTTTCTATCCTCCAATTCCTCCGCCATTGTGAATATAATAATTTTAGGCCTGTTTACACATGCAAATTTTGCTGTGATTTCTGTAGCAATTTTCCTCTTTTGGAGCCGGTGTATCAAGCCCGTTTAAACGGTGGTTACGTTTAAATAGAAAACAAGTCTATCGTTTTATTCAAACTAAATGTTTTTAATCTTAATACAAAGATACTGTTTACAACTACATATTCAGAGCATAATATTCAAGTTGACTCATTAAAGAGATTGTAAGAGTGTTATTTATCCACCGTTTAAGCTAGACCGGCTTGATACAACCGGTCCCAGATGAATACGAACGAGTGGATACTCTTTGAACGTTCGGCACATGAATGTCAAAGCATTTGAAACTACAATACCCTTCTTCGTATGTTAGTCCCCTTAAAATCGCAATAAACGCGGTTCTCCAGCTAATTCATTTAGGTGGGATGGGCAAAATGTATCGATTAACTTCTTAAGCCTTCACTAGTCACATTAGACTTTGTATATATACTACACTTTTTAAACAACGGCAAATCGTCTGACTTTTCCTGGAGTTACAACGGGTCGGTCATCTGTCTAGACCAACATTCGCATCCAACATTTAATTATTTGTCAGATAATCCTAGTCTTAGTGTCCAAGTACCGCTAAACAGACGCCGGCCATCAACTGTCAAAACACAATCTGCGCAGTTTGCTTGACATAATCATCCGACGAACTATCTTTTCTTTTTTGTCCAGGTTCGTCCAGGTAAATGAGTATCTTGTATATTATGTTATTAAGCTTTTAATCATATTTTTGTATACAAATGTCATATCTCAATCACTATATTTGTCGACTTACAATGACAACTTACAATGAATTACAGCATTAAGATTTTGGAATTAAAAGACGTGTCCTGTATACAAACCTTTGTCAAAATTTTTCCAGACTCTTCTCAGAATCCTGTTCGATGGCTGTTCTTTCGGCAAGTGACTTTACGAGACTCTGCGCGCAGTATTTAATGATATCAATTTCATAGCATCTTTCAGTCCGCGTATGGATCCAATGTATCTCGCTTGTAATTGCAAAGATCCACTCAACTTCAATCGACGACGCCTTCATGCAACAACAATCTTCGATAGCTTGTTGTTATCGCGCCTGCTGATCTTTTATAAACCGAGTTTGGCTGTAAAGGCAGTAGTTCAAAAAGCTTTGGGCATTAAACTTTCATTGAATAACAATGCAAATCCAATTTTAACACATTTCGTAGAGGTGGCGAAGTCATTAGTGCCACTTGCAACATATTCCTCAAGTCAAGAAAGAAATCGTTAGAGCAGATGGCGACGCTATTTCTTTGTGAATAGAAAATGTCCCGACGAAATAAAACTCCACACGCAAACCTTTTACCTGGCCAGCCGAGGCGGTACACAATAAAATACGATTACCCAGCTTTAACGAGCTGCTATTTATATTCAAACAGACGAAACAATGCACGGTGGTCATATTCGGCAAATTTTCTCCCAGTACAGAGGGCTCAGTCTTCTTCAGCAGTCTTCGCATCAAAATTAGAAAATTTTCGTTTTACGCACTGCTCTCAATTTTATGTAAGTTGTCCGCTGACAATATATGAGCCTGCACGAGTGGGGTGAAATTTAGTTAATTTGGACCAGCGTGATGGCTGTGCTAAATATTGGAACTGATTAATTTTTGTTCATTTGAACAATTTATGTGTATTACGTCGGTGTTATTATCTTAGGCTCTGGTTAATAGCGGATATTTTTATTTAGTAACTTTTATTTTGTATCCGTTTGTTTCGTGTTGCTCTCGCGTCGAGAACAACTTCTGTGGTTGTGTCAGTAGCTTCAATTAATTCTTGTTTTTTCGTTTCATTACAAACGTGTCATAATATAAACGTTTATGACTCTCTGTGACAAGTGGATGTAGGCAGCTAGGCGATTAATTTCATTTAGCGGGGGCTGAGGCTATTTGCTTCTAAATTTCCCCTCCTAAAGTCTCCCAGTATGCCTATAAGTCTACAGCATACTGCGTCGTCAAGACAAGGTAGTCAACCAACTAACCAGATTAATAGTTTTAAAAAACCCCAATAACTTACGCTGAATTTAATAGCGTTTTCAAATTTTTCATGCAATAATAAAAGGCAATATCCAGAAAGGTGACAATTCAGAGTCAGGTGAAACTGTAGTATTTCAAACATAATCATCTATAATTTCTTTGCATTTGTAAATGAAGTGAAGTGCGTGGTATAAGAAATGATGTTTTGACGCTGAATTCAATGGTGTTTTCACAGAAGTCCATGCATAATGTTTCACCGATTTTTGTTCCAGCTGACTTCTGCTGCCGGACTTCACCATTAATATTTCCACCATGTTTCATTTCCACCTTCACTTCACCGCCTTCACAGCAGTGAGAGGAAGTACTTCATTTAGCTTCAAACGAAAACGCGATTTTGAAACAAAATGGCTGAAAGTTTTTCAAGCTTGAGTGAAAATAAAAAAGTCCAAAGATTGTTTCGTCTCTCTCCTACGACCGTTGCAAGTGTGAAATGCCTTAGGCTGAATTCTGGAAGAAACATTGTGCTCTTTGCGACTGGAAATCACCTTCTGCATATCGTGGAAAATCGCAAAATAAATGTATGTATCAGAGTACAACTGTACAAGTTATTAAGGCAAAGTTTTAGCTTTCCTACATCCCCATTGAGAACTGCACAATTATCCAAGAAATGATTGCGAATTGCCGGTGTTTTCTAAAATCTTCGAGTTGTTTTTTTGCTCTAGTGCATCGTAGATGTGGGAAGTTGTGTATTGAAAATTCTGAATCATGTCAGTGAAAGAGATGAAATATGGATTGTTACCAAAGATGGTAAACTTTTGGCCATTTCAATACCATTACACCAAGAGAATAAACAGTTGAGTACATTAGTTACATAATTGTCTCATGTTAGACATGGCATTGCCTTTAATTACAAATTCCAATTGGCATTGTTTTTGCACGCTCCATTTTTGCACGCTCCATTTTTCCAATTCTCCCTCTGGCAGTATATATTGATTGTGGGTTGATTAATAGACCTACTATTATTGCTCATATTCCTAATATAATTGGGGGATTTTCAGAGTGAAACAAGAAGCAGATGAAGAAATATTCAAGGAACTTTTAGATGACAATAATCATATGTCCCTTGCTTCTGATAACCATTTCACAGCAACAGCTTCACTGTTTCCTGATGTTTGCAAATGCTCTGATGATTGGCTGGTACACTGGGAACCAGGCCTTTTTGACGTAGCCATAGACTTGCACCATGTCATAATATGTTCCAGTAATGATGACAATGTGAGACTTACTGTTTATCCCTGGATCAAGCAAAATGTTACAAAAAGATGCATAGCATCAAACTTTATACAGCAAACATTGCTGGCAAGTGACACGTACAACCACACCAAGAAAAACATAACAACATTGCTTTATCTGTCACCCAGTACTGAGCAACAATCATCAATGAATACCAACTGCACACTTAAAAATCACCTCTTTAGCATGCTATTCAGTAGTAGCCAATCAGATTGCAGCATTCCAGTTGTAGTTATTGGACTTCAAAATGGTTTTGTGGGACACATTGCTGTTGGCATGAAGAATTCAAACCTGGAAACATTGTATCATTTAGAGCAACCTATTATAGCCATATTTCCAGTCTGTCTGAAACCTCCGCTCCAGAAAGGTGCTGGAGATGCCCTAATGATTTTCGGAAGCCTAGGAAAACTTGTTCTAATTACCAAAGAAGATTCTAATGGAATCCCAGATGGTGTTCTGATTCGAGAATACTATGTACCAGGGCCAATAGTGTGTACAGCTATGAATTGGGAACTTAATGCATTGTTTTATTCAACATCGAAAAAGATTTATGCAGTCAAGTTTGAAATTGAAACTAGAGAAAACAACAAAGATAATACAAATTCAACATCTTCTCTTCCTAGCTCATTATCACCAATAGCTCTCCATATTCCTAAAGTACTAGCATTGACTCTGGATGAAGAAAATTGCTTAATTTGTTTAAAGGCTGAAGGATGGGTGTTACTTGTATCAAAGCCATTGGATACAGTAAAGTCAAAGTTTTCATCACCCAGTGGAGGTCAGATTAAGAAGCATTTAGGAGAAATCCAACAAAAAGCAGACCAAGTCAATAAACTTTTTACTGAAATCCACCAGCTTGATGACACCATTAAAGAATTGAACAAAGTAACACATATAGTACAAGAAATTCTAAGAAACTGTAACTCAACTTTCCAAGAAACTGGGATCTCTTTTACAGTTGGTGTTGACTATGAATCACTGGGGACGGATCTCAACCCAAATGTTATCTTAAGGTGCTACCTAAGAAATTCCACAAAGTTCTCCTTTTCACCAAATTGGTCTTTGGTAATCCAAGTTAGGACCACCCAGCCATGGTATAACAAAGACTGTTCCATTCATTCCACAACAAATCATTCAGTTTCATTGAGCACAGATTCAGTCCATCATGTTTCAATACCAATGGAGGATAGTTTTACTTTCCTTTTTCCCATACAAGTATCATGTTATGTCTGCTTTAGATTAAAGGACCTACTTCAGACATTCCCCAAGGAATCTGAGTTTTCTCTTTGTGAGGAGGGATTTAGTGTGCTGGTTTCACAAACACATTTGGATATATTGCATTTTTTAAGAAGACAGCTAGCACCACCTGGTAGTTATCTGCAGCAACACAGATTTCCAACTCGTTTGCTACAAAACACTTTAAAAGACCTAAATTCGACTTGGAAACCAAATGAACTACCTGATGACCATTCTAAACAGACTTCAGAATTTTCTTCATTTTCAATGCATCTTTCAAAAGATGCTGTGGATTTTATTGAAAAGAAAGTCTTACATTTTAATTCAAGTGAAACCACAGCAGATTCATGTGATAAACCTAACCAAGAAGAAAGCAACATGAAGCCAAATGTTGATGCAATATCCAAAAAGTCATGCCTGCTAAGGTTTATGCTCCATGACTCAAGAAGACATGTTTATTCTAGTGACATGAATTATCCAGAAGGTCACATGGTAGCAAGGACACCAAGTGAAGAAGTAATAAAGTTTCAGGTGGTTAAGTTCGATGGAGTAGCTTCCCCAGAGAGTATGGAAGGACAAGGACTTGACTTACATGTACATACATCATCCCAGGAGTTAGGATGCTCTGTTCACTCAGCATTGATGAAAGTATTTGAGGTATAGTAGATGTAGTAAGGCTGTTAATAAATAAAATAACCATTGCCCCACACAATGCTTTTTAAACTGTTGATGTCTCTATTTTCTAGCCAGTACTACAAAGAACATCAGGGCAGAATGCAAGCATTCCAGTTGTCGAATTACAGAAACAATTGATCAAGTTGAAAGTAAGTTCCAATAAGACAGCTTTAATAGGTCAATAAATTTCTGAGTCTGTAATAATTGGTGTAGCATTAATACTGTGTTTAATTATCATGTGTCAACTGCAGAAATTTATACACTGAGAAATTATTTTTGTTATGCTTGTATGTTACTCTTTTTAGGAATTGCAAACATCATTAGACCTACTAAGACCTCCATGTGGAAGCGAACAATCTTTGGAAAACAACAACTCACATAACAGAACCATACACAAATTGATAAGTATTTATTGTGACCTTCGCAGTATCTCCACTACTGTGCCGTAGATATTAGGAAATTGTTGGTCAGTCTACTGGAATTCATAAATCTTCAGTATGACGTTCTTTTATTCACCAGACATTTTGTAACAACTATGCTTGTTATCCAGAAATTTCAAGGGTATGTTAAGAGACCCCACTTTCACAAAATGCTTCAGGCAGATTTTGTTGTATTAATGGGGATTCCACATTATACGATATTTTAGACCCTGCATTTGTCAAACATTTTGTCATGTGGCAAGCATCTGAAGCAAAAATTACCTTGTGTGTCTTACAATTGCCTCAAGCCACAATCAAGATAATTAGATGCCACTTTATTATTAAAAGTAATATTATATTATACTAAATGATCTGGTTATACTGTATTGTTGTGTTATAAATTATATCATTCCTCTTACTAGTAATTAGGATATGGGCCCTGGTAGCTGGTTGGATATTGTCCTGATGCACTGTAATCATACCCCCCAGCAGGTGGTTGCTGAGGGTATGATGCGCCAGTTGCAGTTCTCGAATAAGGATTGCTACTTGAACTTCCAGTTGTATTACCTGGATATGCCCCTGATTGGTAACCTGGATCTCCCCCACCTATATACACCTGCGCCTGGCTTTGACCAGAGTAAGACTGTGTGGGTGCCGACACACTGGGGTTTCCACCACCACCATTATTGCTACTGCTACTTGGTTGGAAACTATACCCTTGAGAATATGCCTGGGATGTTGCTGCATAACTTGATTGATTGTATCCTGAACTTGGTTGAGTAGGAGGGGTCTGACTAGGTGGAACTTGTCCAGAGGGTGCCTGATTAGGTGCAGATTTATATGTTTGTGGAGGCGGGGTAGACCTTTGGGAAGGGTTGAATCCTGCGCTACTTGGATAAGGCGCTTGTGTTGTATTACCGAAATTTGAAGCTGAATATCCTTGAGTATTTGCAAGTCCTTTTTCACTTGTGGGTTGTGTCCCATTTAACATTGCTTGCTTGCCTAAAATGATGGGATTTAAAGTTATAATCTACCCTGCAATGACAATGAAACCGGTCATATCATGGAACCTGTCATAATTTGTCCATACCAATTTGATCAAACTGGTCAGCAGCTTTGCTATCCATTTGCTTTGACTGTTGTTGGTTTAGTGGATCAAACATTGCAGCGTGAACCCGGGCTTGTGGGTCCACAGGTTTGCTGACTTCCGGAATAGGAGCTATAGCTGCTAAAGAATAGATAATGAAGATGATGTGGTAAGTGCATCACAGTTTAACTGTCAAATTAAATTATACAAATCTTATTCATGTACAATGCTATGCATCAAATTCAGGGGTTTTGTTGATCTAGAGTTAATAAACATAATTAAACTACAGCTATGTGATAAGCCTTCCCTAATATTTTTCATTTTAAAGATAATTAAAGCATAGGTTACCTTTTTCAGGAGCTGCTGCCACTGGACCAGGTTTTGTAGGATATTGCTGTTTTCCAGCTTTATATTTATCTGCCTCTGTTTCTGCTGACTCAAGTCGATCGAATAAGAAATTGATTTTGTCTCGGATTTGCGCAAGCTCCTTTCGAAACTCCCTCACCATGTCATGCTCCATTGGACGTGGATATTGGTTCACTATCAAAAGTAGTAAGTTGTCTAATGGGTTGTCAAAGTAAGTTGTCAAATATGTCTTGTTTGATGGGACATTTAATCTCTCCTGTGTAGGGGTTCAACTTATCAACATAGGGTGAAAACAGAAAGCAATGGTTTACTTATGTTGGAATATTATTTATACTTCCCTGAAATAAGGTTTTAACTGATTGATGTTACTTTGTTTTTACAAATTATTTTTGTGAGTGTTTACATCATGCTTTAACTTCTTTTACATAAATTAGCACAAATCCTGGGTTAATATTTACCCAGCTATTTTTGTTCATGCATTCTGCACTATACAGGGTGTCTCAAAAAAAATGCAAACACTTGAATATGCAAGAATATTAATATTGTTGGGGTTTGCACCATAGTTCAGCTAAAATGACTTTTAGCATTGTAAATAAAGGACTAAGAGCCATTTTCAATTCCCAGAAGTGCGCATCTATTGCGCTTTAGAGCTGTATTAATGTTCTGCATATTTAAATGGTTGCGTTTTTTTTGAGACACCCTGTATGTGACTCAATAACATACATTGGAAAGAGGAAATTGGTAACAAAAATCACCTGTGTAGCCTATAGATTTGTGTTAACCTAGGATTGGTAATCCAAACAAGCATTGGAAAAACCAGCCTTGGGCTACAATTCTAATATATATGTTTAATTTTCTGCTTGTTAACCTACCAAATAACGTTATCCTGAGAATTCGACTAACGGATTTAGCATAGGAAAGCTCAGAACTATCGGATATGGTAATCAGATCCCCATCTAAATAGACAAAACCATACAAGTAAACTCATACAACTGATACAAGTAAACAAGAATGGTTTGCACAATGTCACTAGTGATTCATAAATATATAAATAAAAGTTATTAAAACACACGCTCTCGCCGTGATGTTTAGCCGTTTGAATACACAAAATAAAAGCCTAATGGTTAATACCTTCATCTTTATATTTTATAGTCACATCGTCGGAGTTAGTTAATTGGCCAGAGAATACTCGTTGCATCATAATCAACAAGTCATCGTAAGTTAAGTCTTCGTTGTGAATTGGAATTTGTCTAATATCGTTGCCAAGTTGAGCTTTAATAATCAATTTTCCACTCATATCCATTTGTGGGCTTGGAAAGAATGAACTATTGGGCTTCCCACTTGGCATTCTACGGATTTTCTTCGTTGTAAGCCGAGAAATTTGATATGTTTTGGTGAAAACTGATGCCTTCCGTCTTTGGATGACGTCCTTTTGGTAAATTTTAATCCAAGGCCAGTGCCAAGGCTCTTTGGAGTTCTCGCGCAGGCGGATTAGGCGTGGATTATCGGTCAAATGTAACCGGTTTTCGCAGGATAAACCATTAACTCCAAATCCTTTACACCATCTTACTATAAGTCCAATTAAATATTCCCCCCGGAACCACCGGAACTCGAAAGATAATGTGTTCTTCCCCATTCTAAATTATAGAAATTGGTCAATGCATGCAGGAGGGAAGGGGGGAGAGTTATTTTTTTGTGCCAAAATGGCTGAAAGAATTGAGAAAGACAGATTTGAGATTTCCTCGACAAATATACGAATATAATCTTTCGCTTTTACTTTGTGCAGACTGGTTGAAGGAAATGAAAGCATTCTAGCAACAAACCAGGTAACAAAAAACTTTTTAACTTTTTCAGTAGATAGATTCAGTGCATATTTTATGTTATGGTATAAGATGACTGCAATGTAAAGTCACATACTGAGTTTTTTCTGCTATTTAAGGCTTATGGTAATGACACAGTTGTCCATACAGACTGACTGCAATGGAAGAGACCCAGTTTTTTTCCTGCTAAAGCCTATAGCATGTTATTGCTGCCTTATAGACTGACAGCCATGGAAAATATTGATACTTAGTTTTTCTGCTAAAATTTAAAGCACCAATTGCTGTCCTTATAAACTGACAGCTATGAAAAAAAAAACATTGCAACCTGATTAAATTTCCAAAATAACTACAAATGTCTTCCAACCACCCAGCAAGACAAACAATGTATGTAAAAATAATTTTTGTGCCACTTCTTTGCACACACAAAGTTTGCTCGCTGAATAATTGGAAGCCTCATGCAGAGACCTTAGAAAAATTAGAAGAATGCAATGTCCACTGCCCTTGTAAATTGTTCACTAACCTGGTAATGCATTAATACATGTTTTTATTCATATCAAGTGTTATGTTTGGCATACTGCACAATGATCTCATATCCATAATGGAATTAAAGTGAACTTGTCTCTATGACGTTTCCCTGGTAATAATTCGAAAAGTTGCTAACAATCTTTAATTGAAACCTCATTGTGTTCAAGGCTGCTGTTCATCTTTAATGGGAGGCTTAATTACACAGGTAGTGCATGGCTCTAATTCCAGTGTCATTATTCTTTTCTTTGTTTTAATTCTTGGTTCCTTCTGCACACTATCCTGATTTGATATATTTATTATAAGTAATATCATGACATGAGGGAAATTAGTGATTAAATGCCCCGAAAGCGAGGGAGGTTTGTGTAATTCAAATGAATTACACAAACCTCCCGAGCCTGAGGGGGCATTTAATCACTAATTTCCCTCATGTCATGGTATTAGTTTGTAATATCATGATCAGCGAGGTTGACATAGCGTATAATTGGTTTTATGTATTGTTAAAAATTCATATGTGTGCATCTCATTTCTTGCATGCTTGCTCATGCTTACAGAAGCGGGCGAATTATAAATCGCCCGCTAGAGCGGGCGAATTAGGAGTTAAAGGCCCGCTCTAAACAATAGAACCCGAGCTGATCATGATATTATCTGTCTAATATACCTGTTTCTGAATCAAATTCTTTGCCATCATATTGACACAATACTGTTTGAAAATGAGTGCTTATGTACCATCCACTAAGTCTAATATTTGCTAGATATATTTCTGGAGCATGTAATTTGTTGCTCTACTATGTCTAAAATCTAATCTAAAAAGATGTATGCTGTAATCTAGTTTCTGTATTAATAAATTATAGGGAAAGAGCTAGGCAATTTAAAATAGACTATGTTACAATGATTTGGATATCCCAGAGCACATTTTCAGGAACACCAGGAACAATAAAAAATTCCAATGTATTAAAAAACCCTCCATATTTACACAATATTTGGCAAAACAAATCTCATTGCATTTGCAGGAAAAACACCATATTTAGAGTGTTAAACATTATATATCAATTCTGTCATATTTGTGAATTTGCCATTTTTTTTAAGTCATTCATGCTACTTTACAAAGTTTTATAGGTATTCAATACCGCTTTGGTATTCAATACCAACTTTAAGGTTTAGGGTATTTAGCAATGCTCACTATATATTTTCATGCAATTTTTCATCTACTGTGTAGGCACAATGTTCTAACTATACTTTTTATTTGTTTTTCCATAGGACATTGCAGAAAATATATAACCGAATTGTTCAATTCAGCTCATGCACATTTTACACCCAAACCAATTGGTAAGTTTTTAACCTATCAGATTTTTTATGGTATTTACATTAATTACCATGCACATAATCTGGCTGAATGTTCTTTATGGTACCATTAGTACCTTTCCTGGCTGAAAATCTCAACAAAACTTTGTCAAATATTATTGCCATACCTTATTAAATACACTTAACCACCAAGTTGTGCATGCATTGGTCAACAAAATAGAATAACAGAACTATTATGTAAAGAAAAACTTACAGTCTCCAATTGACATATCGCTGCTACCTGTACCCTCGCATGATCTATTAAGATGAATACCAACCCTGATCTTTTAACCAGTTTACCCTGACCTTTTAGGTAAAATGTCCATAAAATACCCTGATCTTTTATTTATCCATTCATTCCACATTAATTGGTTCATTTCCCACTGAGGACTCGAGCATATATTTTGGAAAGGAGGATATTGCTTTGAACATATATTTGCTACCAGTGTGAAGATACCATATTCACAAAGAAATTATATCCAGTGTATCCTAGAAACTATTGTTTGAGAGAAGCTAGCAGCAAAAAAGCCAATATCTTGCATATAGATATAGCAATTTTGTTGCCCATATAGAAACAACAGTGAAGAAGATTAAGTTTTTTTTTGCAAAATCTTATAACAATTAAGTATCAATTGCTGTTGTTATAGACTACACCAATAGAATATTAGTAACATACTGAGTTTTTTCTGCTAAAGCTTATAGCAATAGCGCAAATTGCTGTCTTTATAACTGACAGCCATGACATAAAACATTGCAACCTGATTAATTTTCCAAAATACCTTCAAAATACTTCCTACCAATTAGCAAGACAAACAATGCATGTAACAAGTGGCAAAATTAAATTTGCTTTAAGTATATCAATGACATCAATTGTTACTACTAAACACGTAAATTGTTGATCTAATTTAGTTCTAAATATGGTTTTACTGTTGCAAATTTATAAGAAGTATTCTTACTTAGATATAACTTATCTCATAAGCGAAAAAGTGCGAATCTTTTTTAAATATTCAACAAAAAATTATTGTCTTTAGTTATGAAAAGCAGGAAAAACTTTAAGGCATTTTGGCCCGAACATGAAAGCAGCACAAATTGACGCGCGCGTGGAAAGTATTTCGAAATGAACCCGCTCGAATTTTATCGAAATTTTGCTGGAAAAACAACTCAAATATCGTTGTGAGTTTGCTTTCGAGTTTCTTTCTTGCTTAGAGTCATTAGGTCTCGGATTAAAAGCGGAGAAATATCCTTATTTTGAAAGAAGTCAACCGCTCGAGTAAACACGCTCGGAAATCTTCGACATGCCGCCTCGAAATTCGACTAAAAATGCTCAAAAAATTCTTTAAAATCCTCTTCGGGTCTTTCTTTTTCCGATTGGAAAAAAATTGAAACGGAAAAGAAGAAAAAGTAAAGCCTTAAAGCGACGGAAACTTCTTCGGCCAATTTCAGTCCGCTTTTTTGTCTTGAAAACCTACGAGAAAACGCAAGAAACAAATACTGGTACTTGCCTTTCGCAGTTGAAGTCGTTTCTGGGATGATGAGACGTCGTGTTCCTATTTCTTTTTCCAATTTTTTTAGGGACGGAGTTCCTTGTTGAAAGAGGCCATCTTCCAAAATGCCCCAAAATGAATGGTGCAAATCTTATGTCTACGTCCCCTGTCAATCAATCCTATTCTTACTCGTGATTGGTGGAGATAGTTGGGAGAATATCTCTCGATCAAACTTTTGAAGATGATTGTTGGGAGAATATATTTTGATGGAAGCTTTAGTACTATCATGAGTCAACGATGAAAAGTGAAAATCTCTCAACGTATTTTTCAATTAAAACTGCTCTTTCCAACAGGTGGGCATTTTGTTCGCGCTTTGTTATTTTTTCTTCAATTTGCATTTTCGCATCGAAGAACTAAAAATACGGATTTTGGTGCAATATTTTTACTATTTACTCTAAAGCATGTTCATTAAAAATTCGCTATCGTTATTGAGAAAGAAAAGCGGTTTACGATTTAATCAATATTTGATGTTAATATTTACTAAATACATCCTCTTTGGACTGATTGAATTCTCTAAATATGCAAATTAGTGCCTCTAATCTTGGTTAAACTAACTTGAGTGACTGGGCTATTTTGTCTACCTTGGTGTAATTTACTTGATAATTACACAATACCTAATACAGGTACAATTGGTGTTAATATTCCCCAATTGCGTTAGGCAATTTACAAAGGCAATTTACAAAGGCAAAATGTACATCTCAATGAGAATCTGGAGAAAGATATGTAATGAAAGATGTGATAAATGTTAATTTTTTTATTTCCTCAATTCTTCCTCGCATGTTTGACTATCTATATCATAACTATATCAACTATTGTGTTTTTCATAACTTGTCCAACAGTGAAGAACGTCATCAACGTTCTTCTTTGGTCTAAGTTTTACAAGTCTCGGACGAATCAAATCAGTATCTAATTTAAGTTCCTTTTGAAATGATGGAAGTTGTGTTGGTCCAATGTCCATGTCAAATAGAAAATATCTGCAAAACAAATTTATTAAGGCACGTTTTCATTTTGTGATTTTTACCGCAAATTTGGGTAAAAATAAAGAGATGTAAGTTAGGGATTTTGTTCAGATAAAGGCACCTATACCATCAGAACATAACTATGAATATAACTTTTTTCCTTTTTGATCTGAGCCCATGGCAAGGAACCATTGCATGGTTGTGTTTTTCATATTATGTTTTCATTGATTCAAATATATTTTGTCAGCATGGCATGAGGCAAGAAAAGAAAGTCAAACATGGAAAGTCAAACTAAATTTGATTGGCTCATTACTATTGCAAAGCCAATCAAACTTTGTGTGACACTTGCATCCGACATTCGAGGTCATTACAAAAAAGGTCTAAATCCTTTTTTGATGGGGATATATTTGAAAGGGAAGATTTTGTAAATCATGCCTTTCTCAATTCATTGGAAGATGCCTACAAGGATGCTTTGGAACTTGGAAGGTTGCACCTGGCTCTTCTTAGACACTGATCGATATCTAGGGCTGTAGCCAGTCTGACAATTTAGTCCCGCTATATAAATTTTGATTGGTCTTTATAATTATTCAGTTCTCTAGAAATTGATTGTTCCTGTAGTCATTGAAACCAATATATTAGTATAGTAGGACTAAATCATTGGGGAGGTTACAGTACTGTATACATCAGTCGATGATGAGGCTTTGAAACTCACCTCCCCTGAGTGTGCCACTCATTATGAGCTCTCATCCTATACGGTAACTCCTGTTCGCCCAAATTTTCCATTTTACGGACAACCCCGCCCTGTTCCATAACAAGGGTGGCAACTCTTCTCAATATATTAGCCAGCCCCTCCTGCAAGAGTGATGGTTTTCTAAAAGCTCTATCATTTCCAGGGGGGTAAGACAATAGTTCCAAAGGTTTGTTTACGCCTGTTAATTTCTATTGCAGTGAAGTTAGTTTTAATATAATCAAATAACATACTTACATTACTTAATGCTCTTGTTATTAAAGACAACTCGTAACGTGGCATATTTCACACAATATTTGTAGATTTCCTTCACAAGATTATACTACATATTCGTCTCTTTGATATTGCCGCATAATGTACGGGACATATAGAGACAAAGCATGTCCTAGTCAGGTTTCCATGGGATTTAAGGGTGCAATTTATCCATAACTACTCAAATTTGTTTCCTTGTGATCAATTATGTATACATCCTGTTGCCTGCAATCGCGCATGCTCAAAGCTGTCAACAGTGGAATGCTTTCAAAATACCGAATTTGATGAAATTAGTGGTCTAAATAATTACAATATTTCAATTTTTTCGACAGTTTACAGTCATATTAGGAACATTACAGTCGCAAATAGATAAAGAAGAGTCCCTCAAAGCCCTTTTTCGCCGAATTCTTTGCGTGGAAAAGGTGTTGGCTGCACGATTTATAAACCTCATAGTGGCCTTGCAATTTTGTGGTCCAAATGGTGTTCTTCCTCGGATTGTGAATGGAACGGTGACTCAGGAAGCAGATGTCCACAGCGTGCCAAGTTTAGCATGACTATTAAATATGTCAGGTATTAATATATTCGTTATAAAGCAAATATTTCATTGCTGGATGACTGAGGAATTGAAATTATTTGCTTCCAACGATCTTGGAATTTTTTCCTGTTTTGTAACAATTGATAATCGTTGCTGATTGCCGAGTGATAGTTGCTTAGTTATCTTCAAAACGAGTATATCTTGATGATTTTATTGATTTTGATTTTGTGGTATGATTAACTCCAAGTTTTACTGATGAAATTACTTAATTCACGATTTCCAAAAACATTGCCAGCTCTAATGTGATTTTATCTAAGTATTTTCCTTGTAGTAAAACCAATTTATTTTCACAACTGCTTCTTTAATACACTCTTGGGGTGTGCTGCTTCTCTTCCAACATCGGTCTAGGGCAATCCAAAGTTATGAAAAAGATAGCAGGTGTACAATGTTTCATTTTATCAGAAATGAATGGTTACAATAGAAACAACTTGTGAGATGCAATTTTAACATAATGGAATAAATTACCACCCTTTTTGTTGTTTCTCCTTCAGAGAAGGAAATTTTTTCCAAGACAATTTTCAAATTCTGGTGAAACCTATTTCAGTCACTTTATAATCCTAGATTATAAGGTTAAAGGTGATTTATAGTCTGTAGTGTAAACAAATGCTTTCTTTACATTTTCGAACTGCTATTTTTTGAAATATTGTCTACTGTCTGAATATCTGATATGATATTGGTTTGCCATGCTTCTAAATGAATATTATTAACTTGAGTTCAGAAGATAAAACCCCATATTAATTGAAAATGATTGTGTAAGGGCGTATTTTTTTTGTGTAACAATAGAAAATATTACATTTCTAGTTTACCTAATATATGGAGTTTATTTTGCTACACTTATGTGCTAATTAGCAAATATTAGACATAAATATTAATTGCAAAGAGATGCAAAACTTTTCTAATAAGTGCATAGTTCTCTGCAGAGAAAAAAAACATGGGATAACTATTCATTTTCCATAGAATTGTGTAGGCCTGTTAATCCTTAACTAATCTTTGTTTGTACAAGCATGGAACGTTTTCTGGCATATTCAATGAAAGTCTGACACAAAATCAGAAATCTTAACAAATAAATAAAACTGTTATACTCATAGAGAGGGTGTCTCAAGATACTAAATTTGGATAACACTTGAAATTTATGCTCAATTTCACACTTGCTACTATACATGGAATGCCAGTGTTCTAATATTTTGCTTGATTTACACACAGGAAATACGTGGGTTGTAACAGCAGATGAGAGGCAAAAGCATGAGTCAACCTTCTTGTCTTTGAAACCAAAAAATGGACGGATAACAGGTAGACATTTCATCCTAGATTTGCATTTCAATAAACCGTTCGCACAATAACGTCAAACGCAAGACATAAAAAACACAGATTCTGGTTGGCTTTGCAAAACTAAGGAGGTTTAATCTTTGAAAAAGTGAACTAAAAATGTTTCATCAACCATTTTCCTAAAGGTGAACAAGCAAAGAAATTCTTCTTATCTTCAAACTTACCACCAGCAACATTGGGTCAGATATGGTAAGTGACGGTCAGATATGTGGACATTTGATATCATGAGTTTTTATATAGACTTTTGATCTGAACATCAACCAAAACAGTCTGAATTTTTTGTATGTTTCGCTTGTAAGGAATCTGTCAGATTTAGACAAGGATGGTCAGATGACCCAGCAGGAGTTCTCGATTGCAATGCACTTGATCCAGTGCAAACTAAAGGGCATCAACCTTCCAACATCTCTTCCCCTCAGCCTCAAAACCTCTTCCCGTGGGACTGTTGGAGCCTCACTCCTTAATCCTGTTGAAAATGGTTACAATTCCCAAACAGCCAATCAGGGCAGCGGTTGGTCATCGACATTGACCACTGGCCCACAGCAAGCACAACCAGCAACTGGGTGGTCGGTTGGGCTAGCCTCGAGTTTGCCCATGCCGCTACTCCCAGTTAACAGCCAAATGCAAACCTCAGCTGCCCCACCTACATCAAGACTTCCCACCTCATCATCACATAACTTTACGCCAAGTTTTGGGATGCCAACCTCCAATGGTCTCAACATCTCGTCCATTCCAATGTCAACGTCAAATTCACTGATCAACCCAGGCACATCACCAATGGGAATGCCTGCTTCAACAATGTCGGGCATAGGGCAGCCATTACGGCAACATCCAGCAGCAAGGACAGGATCATTCACAAGTATGGCTCCACAAGCTGGACCATCTTCGGATTCATCGATAACAGCAATTCCTGCAAACTCGAGGCTGAAATTCAATCAATTGTTCAAAGCCAACGACTATGACAAGACAGGGTTTTTAACAGGTAAATCACAAGCGTTTTACAAAGTAAATAGTAGCCTTACAGTAGGTAAAAGTGGCTTTTTTTATAAATTTGAGCAAACCAGAATATACAAGAAATAATGGACTTCCAGTTGGACTTTTGGTTGCTCGTATATCAAGAAAGAATTTAATAATTGTATAACTTGTCCTCACATAACAAGTCATTTCTGAGCAGATGAGATCATTTTGTGGTATTTTATATTTAGGGGAACAAGCCAGGAAGATATTCCTGCAGTCGCATTTACCTCCTCAAATTCTGGCCCAGATTTGGTGAGTTTATATATGTAATATTACAAAATTGATCCAAAGAAAAGCATGTTCCAGCTTTAAAGGGTTTGCAGCCATTGAGAGTGCTTGATTTCATCTTTACATTGAGCGTGTTTCATTTTCCAGGGATTTAAGTGATGTTGACAAAGATGGACAATTGAGCATGGAAGAGTTTGCAATAGGAATGCATCTTGTAGAGTCAGCAAAAAGTGGCAAACTTCTGCCTTCAGTGCTGCCCACAAGTTTACTACCTCAGCATTTCAAGAAAACTATGTCAGAGAGTATGGAGTCTGAGAGCATCGAAGGCATGCAGGGAGGACAGATAGCAAGGCAGAGGTCTGTCAGTACATCCAGTGGTAATGATGAACTGGCTTTTCTCAGATCAGGTAAAAATACTGGCATCGTATATGCAGTTTTACAGACATTTGATTAAACGAACTAAAATGCTATTGATTTTCAGAGTTACTATTGTTTTGTACTTTGTAAAAATAATCGGAGAGGCTTAAGAATTGTATTAGTTTTTGCTGAATCAAGTTGTGTTGGGGTCATTGTGTATTTAGTAGCAATTGCTTTGCAGTTGTAGAATACACCTCAGCCTAGCGTAAGAATAACATTTTCCCATTCAATTTTGCAGAGACATTTGAAGATAAGCGCAAGCAAAACTTCGAACGAGGAAGACTGGAACTGGAGAGGAGGCGTCAGGAAATGGAGGAACAAAGAAAGAAACAGAAAGAAGAACAGGAACGCAAGGAAAGGTTGGAAGAAGAAAGAAGGCAACGAGCCAAGTAAGAAACACAAGTGCATCTCTCGCGTTTGATCTCAGTAAAGTAGCTAACTTACTATTGTCAGACACAGAATGCGGTAGAGCAAAATATCTTGTTTAACGCTTCGTTTGTTGTGTCCCAAATTCTTTAGAATCGAGGCAGAACAGAAAAGACAAGCTGAGATCGAGAAACAACGTCAACAACAGGAAGAGATGGAGCGAGAACAAGAAGCATTGAGAAAGAAAATGATTCAACAACGTTTGGTATGGCTCTTGATTTTACACGAATTTTTGCTGCGATTATATGTGTTATTTTTTCTTCTGAAGGATGTGAACGAGTACATGAGTTATTGTGGTTCGGGCAAGGACATGCATTACATAAAAGCATTCTTAACTATTCGCTTATTTGCATCTGTCAAAAGCCGAACATCGCAGGCAAAATTGCAAGTGCAAGCTGGGGTTTGTATTGAGAATATTTTCTCTTGAATTCATTTCAGCAAGCCCAAATCGAGGCTGAACGACAGCGGCAGTTGGAATGGGAGAAAAGAAAGAAAGAGGAGTTGTTGAATCATAAAAGTTTAGAGAAAGATATCGTGACAGGATTGCAAGTTAGGAAAGATAAGATGGTCTTGGAGAGGGAGAACTTGGTGAGTCGTATTTGCTTGCCCAATGAGCCAGATGCAATAGTCTTTAACCAGTGTCTCGCCAATGTTTTCTTAGGAGAAAAAGATGGAGTCGCTACGCGAAGACTTGGCAAAGAAAAAGAACTTCTACTCGGATTGTATTGCCGCTACAGATGCTTTGATAAAAGCCAGGGAGAGAAAAATCGCCGAGATTGCTGACCTCGAGAATAAAAGAAAAGTGAGAAATGTGCTAGTGCTGACGTTGATAAATGCCCTGCGGCCGGTTGCACGAAACCTGGATAACCTGGATTTAAAGCCGCTAAAATTGCCCGTAGTTAGCTACTTAGTATAACCTGGATTAAACATTCGTATTCATGAAGTAGACTGTCTCTTTATATATCGTTATTACCCTTCACAGCATGTCAAGAACAACCGGTCTCTGTTCATTTTTGTTTCGATATCATCTTGCGCTTTTTCCTAGAGCACTTGTTTTGTTTACAAAAGTGCTATAACCAGTCACAACAAAATCCTAACTCATCTGTTTGTTTATGTCTAGCTTTGTAAACAACAGTTACCTGGTCTCAGCAGTGAGCAAGACAGACTGCAAAGGGAGGTAAACAAACGAGAATCTAGCATAATGGGTGAGTGTCGTGAATGAAACCTCTCAGTTTTTTCCATTTATGAGGTTGGACTCTGCCGCTGAACTCACTCTAATGTTTTTCCCTCGCAGACGAAGCGTATGGTAACGCACTCTCGAGTATTGAAGACACGACTTGTGGTATTCGTAGGCAGGTGTCGAATAAAAATAATCTCATCAGCGAACTTGAGACGAAACGAAAAATGATGATTCAGTTGAACGATCAATTGAAGGTAGGATGAAAAATAAATAGACATACTGTACATTCCTTTGTTGTGGGACATGCAAAAACACATATACAAACATAATATTCCCCTGATTACTAAAGATTTAGTTGAAGGTCGTATAGTAGACTTTGAAAGCACTAAGAACTCCGGCAACTCTAGTGAGGTTCAGATTCGACTTCTAGTCTTCCACCACTGCTGGCTGACTTTATGTTGACCTGTTGTGGTGCTCATGATTGGTTAATCTGAGAGACACATCGTATATGATTGGTTAATCTGATAGACACATCGTATATGATTGGTTAATCTGAGAGACACATCGTATCTGATTGGTTGATGTCTCCTCAAGGATAGCGGTAATGGTAATGCTGACCGTGCTGTAAATAAAACAAAAAATCTAGTTGTAGTAGGAAGGTTTTTGGTGCAATTTGATATTTTTCGGAAAAGTGTATCATTTGTGTTGGGTGGTTTCACAATTTTGCCGTTTTGTTTTCGTAGCATATTCGTGCAGAACTTCAGGGTCAAATGGACGAGAATAATTCACTACGCCAGTCGTTGGAAGTGAAGAAGAATGAATATCAGGCGATGAAACTGACGCAAGAGGAGGAAAGGAAGAGAAAACACGAGGAAGATCTGAGGTTGAAAAGAGAAGCTGAACAAAAGAGAAAGAAAGAAGAGGAACAAAGAAGACAGAAAGAACGAGAAATGGAAGGTGGGTCATCAAGGATCATCTCTTATTGATCCAGTTTTACTTGCAGGAGGAAACCTAAACTAAACTAACTTTATTTATACTGGATAGCTCTATCAGTTCTAAACTGTTCTTCCTACAGATCCAGTGAGGATCATCTCTTATTGATCCAGTGTTACTACAGGAGGAAACCTAAACTAAACTAACTTTATTTATACTGGATAGCTCTATCAGTTCTAAACTGTTCTTCTTAGAGTTGCGTGTAGTTGCCCTGGCTTTATTTAAAGAAAATAATTATCACCTTCATTATTGCAGTTTAAAAACGATTTGCCGCATGAAAGTGCTCAGTGCAAGCACATTCAGCTCCTTGAATGAAATACATTGCTATACAATCACAATACCAACATGTTCTTGTTGATGCTTGTTTTTTAGCGATGCATCTGGAGCGAGAAAGGCAACGTCAGGAGCAGGAACGGCGACAGAAACTGCAAGAACAGAAGGCAGAGGAGGAGAGACAGCAAAGACTGCGACAAGAACTCGAACGACAGCAAAGAGTTAAAGAACAACAACGTATCGATGAAGAAAACCGAAGAAAATTACAAGAGGAACAAAGGCTTGAGCAGGAAAGACAGAAACAGCAAGAACAACAGCAACAACAAGAACGGTAAGAATTATGCAAAAATTTAATGAAACAAGCATTATAAAAGAAAATTTATTATATCAGAGCATTCAATCAGTTCTAAACTGTTCTTCCTAGAGGTCCAGTAAGGATCATCTCTTACTCTTACAGTGTTACTACAGGAAAAAGCTTAAACCAAACTAGCTTTATTTGTACTGGATAGCTCAATCAGTTCTAAACTGTTCTTCCTAGAGGTCCAGTAAGGATCATCTGTTATTGATCCAGTGTTACTACTGGAGGAAACCTAAACTAAACTAACTTTATTTATACTGGATAGCTCTATCAGTTCTAAACTGTTCTTCCTAGAGGTCCAGTAAGGATCATCTCTTATTGATCCAGTGTTACTACAGGAGGAAACCTAAACTAAACTAACTTTATTTATACTGGATAGCTCTATCAGTTCTAAACTGTTCTTTCTAGAGGTCCAGTAAGGATCATCTCTTATTGATCCAGTGTTACTACAGGAGGAAACCTAAACTAAACTAACTTTATTTATACTGGATAGCTCTATCAGTCCTAAACTTTTCTTCCTAGAGGTCCAGTAAGGATCATCTCTTATTTATCCAGTGTTACTCCAATAACGTATCCTTTATCCTTTCATATCCCTAAAATGCACTCTTCTCTTTCCAAGGTTAAGACAACAGGAACAACAACGCGCTGAAAAAGAGCGCCAACGTAAACAGCAAGAAGCGAACGAGGCGAAGAAGCAGGTGCAGTTACGACAAGAAGACTTGGTGAATAAAGACAAGATCGTGCAGGAACAAGCGACATTGCTCGCCAAGCCATGGAAACCAACGAAACCACCACCTTACAATAAGGCTGAGAAAGAAGCTGAGGTTAGGAAAAAGGTTCAGGAAATGCAGAGAATACGAAACGAACAGAAAAAGGTGGGTTCACATGACCAGAATATCATGACTTTAACATTATTATAAACATGATTTATCATTGCCCAACCTGCAATAATAATACATCATCTCCCATGTCGAATCATTCCCTTGTTTACCAATCCTATACACTGTCAATTCATCTTCTATGTACGGTGATTTTTCTGCAGGAAAAAGAACCAGCTCCAGCCCCGCCAGCCTCCGAATCCTTCCGGAATAAGAAAGAATTTTACAAAGTTGTCTACCCGTTCGCGCCAAGAAATCCTGATGAACTGACGTTGAATGAAGGAGACCAAGTTACAGTAAGTTCATAGCAATCTCATCATGTACTTTATTAACACTGGATCAATAAGAGGTGATCCTTACTGGACCTCTATGAAGAACAGTTTAGAACTGATAGAGCTATCCAGTATAAATAAAGTTAGCTTAGTTTAGGTTTCCTAAATAGTTACACAGCATCAGCAAGCATCTATTCTTTTTTTATTCAAGGTTTTCCCGGATAGACCTAAAGTTCCACCAGGATGGTTATTTGGTTCATGCAAAGAAAAGGAAGGACTGTTTCCAGCAAATTACGCTGAAAAACTTCCTCCGAGTAAAGGAGATTATGTTGAACTTAATCCGGCCGCCACGAATACGGCGCAGCAGCCAGCTGCCGCTAGTGCTGGACGCTCAGTCAGCTCCATCATTGCAGCCTTGAACAGTCAAAAGGAGTTACCCATTGCCATGCCTGTCGTAGCTAAAGAAGACGTGCTTGACACCAAGGAGAGCAACCAAACTCCTGCAATTGTAAGTTTGAATGAGGCAAGGAATTAACTTAAAAGTTCTTGACACGATGGTTTCCTCGAGATGATCCTAACTGGACCTCTAGGAAGAACAGTTTAGAACTGATAGAACTATTCAGTATAAATAAAGTTTAGTTTAGTTTAGATTTCCTCCTTTAGTAACACTGGATCAATAAGAGATGATCCTTACTGAATCTCTAGGAAGAACAATTTAGAACATATTCTGCTTCTTTTTAGACACCGACGAACCAAAATTTGACGGTGTTTCCCGATGGATTACAAGCTGTTGCATTGTATCAGCATCGAGGCAAGAGCGATGATGAACTCAGCTTCAATAAAAATGATCTCATCACTTTAAAAGAACAGAAAGATATGTCTTGGTTAGGGGAATGTAATGGGAAGGTTTGTAGATACTATATACAAAAGTCCACTTTATGTCTCCTTAGGCTGAAGAATCCGGTGTATTTTTCAAATCAAGATCTCCTGCAATTTGCCCTTACAAGAAATTAACGAATGAGGTCTGATGGAGTATTTTGTTCTGAATAATGAGACTACACACTACAAGTTCCTTTTAAAGCCGATAGAATGTTTTATAAACAAGACAACATCTATGGCTATCGTTTCTTTTGTGTCTCGCAATATTTTCTGCTGTAATTCTTTCTTTTAATCTGAGTAATATGCTTTCGTTTCAGAGCGGTTGGTTTCCAAAATCGTACGCGAAGCTTGTGAGAGGACAGCGTCGGGGAGAGTAAGTATACTGGGTGAAAAGTTTACTTCGATTTTTGTGAAGATATTAAACTCTCGTGCTGGCTTTGTTCCAACAGAGGAAGCTCAAGCGAAGGCCCTGCTGACAAGTCTGCAGTTCAGATTCCCTCACCCGGATCGTCTGCCTTCAAGGAGGTGACGGAAAACCGAGCGAATGAACCTGCTGTAATAGGAGGTAATTGAAAAGAGAGTTCATTATTCAATTGTCAGGAAAAAGCAATGACGGTGGAGTTAAAAATTAACTGATTTCTCATTTTGACAACCAAGTTCACCGTCATTCGCCGGACCACAGTTCTGACTGAAAAAATTGGGACTCGGGTCTTTACTTGTGGTAATGTTTAATGATCGTCTATTATTCCTCCTTCCAGAATGCATAGCGTTGTACACGTATAATGGCGAATCGGGTGATCTGAGTTTCCAGGAAGGTGACGTCATCAGTATAACGAAGTCAGAAGGTGATTGGTGGGAAGGCACGGTTAACGGTCAGACGGGAATATTCCCGGCGAATTATGTGAAGATGAAAGAAAGTGAGGTGAAGATTTGTAGCCAAAAAATAATATTTATTATTATCAAAGAAAGAATGAAAGTTCTCGAAATTTTTGTCAATTGAGATGTGAAACCTGTGAAGTATCTTCATTCACCTTTGCTTTGTTACAGTGTCTGTGTTCTAGGGTTGGTTTTGCATCGCTCTCGATCAGAAACAATGACATGTTCTCTTGTTTTATAGGCGCAAAAATCGGCTTCGACAAAACGACCAGGTTAGTACAGGTCGGGACTACCCAAGGCTTGGGTGAATGTGGGGTGGAGGAAGTGGAAGACGAGGAAGTGCGGGTGGAAGGGTGAAACTGGCATCGTGAAGATGTGAATATGCAGGGACGGGGTAGAGGTGGAAGTGAAGAAGGCAAATTGAGTATGTGAAAGTGCAGGTAGGAGGGTATGGTGATGGGTATAAAGATGGGAGGGTGAATGTGAGATATGAAGATGAGAGGGTGAATGTGGGAGATGACGATGAGAGGCGGGCGAAGGTGAGAAATGAAGGTAGAGTGGGGTGGGGTGTATGTGGGAGATAAAGATGAGAGGGTGAACGTGGGAGATGAAGATGGGAGGGTTAACGTTGGACGTCAAGATGGAGGAGTGAATGTGGGAGATGAAGATAAGCGGGTGAAGCGGTAAATATTGCCCAATTATACTTCTTATTTATTAGAAATCGCGACAGTGACGACAGCCTACACAGCGACGGGTCCCGATCAACTGTCTTTAGTTCCCGGGCAATATATAGCAGTGAAAGCGAAGAATGCGAATGGTTGGTGGGAAGGTCAACTTCAGGTAACTTAACTTGCAACATCCTTTTTGGTTTCGGTAAGAAACCCTGTTTTTCATCGCAGAAATTTGCTGACGTGACGCGAATTCGGCAATGTGATTGGTCGTTTAGAGAATCTTGGTATCGTGATAGGCTCCTCTCCAGGGGCTCTTTGTAAAGACATTTTTATCATTTTCAGGCTCGTGGCAAGAAACGGCAGTCAGGCTTGTTCCCTGGAAACTGCGTCAAACTACTGAGCAGTGGTGGAACCTCAACAGCTGCAGATGGAACAGCATCGCGTGGTGCAGCAGTTGCATCGGCAACATCACAAGATGATGTAAGCCAATGTCCACTCTAATACTTTCTAGAACGATGAAGTTTCATCTCTTAAATCATGAGTTAATGCATCCTTGTATTTTCTAGATTTATTCCGTTCCAAGTTCAAATAAACGCGCAGGTAATTGCCTTTCATTGTGTTTGAGCTTTATCATTTGCTCCACTATAGTTGTATATAGTGCGGTGTTCTGCCCACTGATCTGTTTATACGCTGGATGAAGCAAATCTAGAGAAAACGAAGCCAAAATTAACGAACTTCTAGATCCCCAATTTAAATGTTTTATCAAAGTCATGATGCATTAAAAGCGACGCTTGTCAAGATCTGTTCCTACGATCCAATTCACTTCTGGCGTATGGAATGTACTATGTTACTGATTGAGCAGTACTGCATTGGCTTTAGTTGATTAGCCCATATACACATTACAAGTTAACTGACTATAAAGCATCCATCAGAAGTGAATTGGATCCAACAAAATTGGATCGTGTGAACAGACCCTAAGATAATATTTTCCTCGGTTTTGACTCCAAAAGTTCCGGCATTAATTTTCGGTCATCGATTCTCGGGTATAGTTGCTCTCAGGCATAGTTGTTCAATCCAGCTCAATATTATCAGATCAGTGGTTTTTTACTCAATGCTCTTGAAATACTTCAGTATTAAAGTCTGTCCTTTGTATTTTTCTCCGCTCAGAAACGTTGGATCAAGTGCTCGCGATGTTTTCATACACGGCGCAAAATGCGGACGAACTTACTTTCTACAAAGGAAGCGTTATAACCGTGCTCGACCGTAAAGGGGACTGGTGGCAAGGGGAATTGAATGGTCATGTTGGCGTGTTTCCAAATAATTACGTGCAGCCGCTGACCGATCTGCCGACGACAACGCAGTGTAAGTAAAACTGGTAACTATGAAGTACATTATCGCTATCCCAGGTGCTGTTCACATGATCCCGCTTAGACGAGCTTCAACGAAGCGTCAGATGATTTCGAGGTATTGAAATTAGTTTTCATGAAACCAAACAAGCACATGCTATTGTTAGGATGACTACACTTCTACCAGAATCATGTTATATACTCTTTTCAATACCTCAAAGTCAGTTCACATTTTGTTTTATCTCGGCTGAGCGGGATCATGTCAACATCCTCCTGCACGATTTTTTCCGAGGTTTTACCGTATTTTAGACAATGTAGGCTTATGAAGCTACTGTATCGCATGAAGGGCTCGCGTAAAATGATTGCACGTTTTGAAGAGGGGGCCTGAGTCGGTTGTTAATTTCCTCTTATCACAGAATGAACGAACTCTTCTTTTGAAAACTAAAAGTTCCATTTGCCATTTCTTTGTTCAGGACCATGTCGCCGTGACCAGAAATGCTTTGGGCCCGGAGTCCGCGTATTTCAACCTCGTGCAATTTTTACGAGCAGACTAGAAAACTTTTCAAAAATATTTTAGTTTTTCTATAGTTAATATATGTATCGCGCCAACCATAACTATATTGGGTTGTGAACTGCGACAAACGAAATAGATGCTGGTCATTTTAGTATGATTGAAACATTCATGTATATTTTATTCGGGTGCTACTGGCTTCGTTTATAACTGAACTAAGTGTTAAAAGTAAGTCGTAAAATGTTTCCACTCACAAAGCAAAAAAAATCGTTTTCTTCCTTGACTAATAATTCTGAGTCCGCGACCCTGTCTCAGAAAAATATTCAAGGCGGTCTTACCCGTGAAAACACAGCCTTATGAAACAAAGTACAACTTTGAGCCCGCTGTGCTGTTGCTCGAAAATATTTTCAGCGGTCTATGGTATCAGAATACGGCCCTATAAGGATGCATGCTTTTTACCGAAGTTCGTATATAGCGAGTCAGAAGCATCGAATTTTACACTTGTATAACTAGAAATTAGACTAATTGCACAACAATCAGAGGGTATTATTTGCCCCGTTCGCCAGCTCTTTGAATATGTATTTCAATGGTGAAGTGTATCACTAAAAATTGGAATAAATTTTTATATGTAGGAGCTCGCCACACGTAATCCACCTTCCTTTTAGTTCTGGACCCAAAGCATTTCTGCTCAGGAGAGTCGGCCTAATGCATCGGTAAATACCGGGATTATTAATTGACCTTAAAGTAAGATCAATTGATCTAATCAGTTAACACATTATGTACACGATGACACACTGTTAGTTATATATCGTTTGCCTCTTGAGAAAAATTAATCCTTGGATATAGTTTTGTCAAAATTAACGGGTAACCAATGCTTTAATTGTCTCATTCAAAGTAAACTTAACTGTTATTCCTAGCTCAGGTGACAAAACTAAGCCATTCTGACCGTACATCAAAGTAGTATGAAAAATATTCAAATTAGCTACTTTTTTAAATAACTTGCAAAGATATGAATTATTAACATTAACTAACCTGACCACCAACCGCGCTAGACACTGCGAGTTGTAAAATTTAATGTGCTTTATGCTCCCTTCTCTAAACCTAAATATGGCCTCAGTGTGCTAACATCAATCCACGCTATATAGCGTACAGAGTCGAGGTAACATAAGCGAAATATGTTTCCCGGAAATATAGTTTCCCTGACCGGCAGCTTTCTTATTTTAATCTCCTGAATAATAAGTTCTAATCCTTTTTAAACAATAAAATATTCACGATAATGTGCATAATTATGACACGTAAATAAGGAGATGAGAAATGATTTTGTCTGCGGGATAAAATATATAAAAATGAATCTTTTTAAATTACTTCTTTGCAAGTAAAAATAGACATAAGCGGTGCTAGACGATCTCTCCTGTTTCCGTGCAAATGCTTTGTAGTCCGCTGTTCAAATAAAACGCTGCTCGAGGGCGCTCTCGCTGTTATTTTAAGTCAGCCGAAAGTTGTCTATATGACAGCAATATTCAGCCTGTTTTTGACAGGTTCTTGAGCACGGGGCTATCAAATTTTACTAACGACGAGTGCTGTTTATCAAGTGTATTACGAGGGGGTGACTTGATTTAGAAACAAGTTCACATCAAAAACCTTCCTCCAAATATTCCCGGCAGACTAACTGACGATGTAAAACTGTCACATTTAAGATGGTTATCAATTATTCAAAACACTGATGGGAATATGTGTCGACGCAAATGAATAGATATATGTTATGTTATCTCGTGTTATCGTTCGACTAATTCCTCTTCAAATGCGTGTGTATAAAATAGATATTTTTAACCCTATTTCATATAATCGCGAACGTGCTTTTTCCTCGACGTTCTGGCAAGCAATTAATTCCATAGTAAGTAAAATTAAAGTTCTTAAAAACGGCCGCAAGTTCTAGAAAATGTTCATTGTGCAGTTGAAGCCATATTGAGGTCAAAAGGTACACAGTCATGTTTTGTATTACGGCTTGATTTGAAGTGCTGTAATTCCATCCCTCTACAAAGGTCGTGTTATACATGAAATTTCGACAATTAGTCTCCCATAAATTGTTGGTATACTGGAATTTGTGATGTGTTTGGGTGGTTTTCTTCAGAAGATAAAATTCGTAGGGAAGGACACTTTGAATTTTGCTGGGATCGTGGTCAGGTCTACTGTAGTTTCCTCTCATATTATTAAGTCAACTAAGCTTGTGTATTTTTCTAACGGCATAAAACATCTGCTTCTTAGGGACTGGGACATGGGATCGGAAATTGTTGGACTCCATGACTCTCGTAGAACGGGATAGACAGGTACAGCGAAGATTTTGATGTTAAACAGTTTTGTTTATCAAAATTAGATGTCCCAATTAGGGGTGGGAAGGTAATCCGTGTTACCGTCAACTTCACTGTCTTATTCACCGTCAACTTCACCGTCTTTTCGAACAGCGTTACAAGGAAGAGTCAGCAGAAAAATAACAGCTGAGATTTGCTTGATTTCCAAACTGCATGGAAAATCTGATTTATTTGCCAGCCGCAAATTACATTCTTAAATAAAACCGCAAAAATGAAATTTACCCTAATTTGTTGCGTGTTTTTCAGAACTGTATTTATGAACTTATCAATAGTGAACAAACATACGTGGACGACATGAGTCTAACGTTAGAGGTAAGATCTCGTCGCCTTAGCTCAGAATTTGGTGTTTGTAGCTTAGTTTGTTAGACCGCTGGGCTGGAATACGAGGGTCACAGGAGGGACTCGACCGATGCTTTTTGGTGACTAGGATTTTCCTGCGTGTTAGTTTTGAAACCGTTGGTAGTTTGTTTATCCACGAGGTGAACGAAAGCTAGCTAGCGGAAGTTTTAGCGCATGGAAGTCGAATGTAAACTTCGCTAATCTGGTCTCGTCTACCATACATGCATTATTTTTGCTCTAGGTATTTTACAATCCAATCGCCACATCAAATCTTCTTAGTGAGAATGAATTAAACACGATCTTCGTCAACTGGAGAGAGTTGATCTTTTGCAGCACGAAATTACTCAAGTAAGTCAAGTTTTGATATTTGAAGTGCTGGGGCCAGTTGTATAAAACTATTTAACTACATAGTTCAATAGTTAAATCCTAGTTAACTCAGAAATACACGACTCCGATTGGCCAAATTCGTCCCTAACTACAATTAAAAGTTCTAGCCTGTTATACAACTGACCTCTGGATATAGTTTGGAAGTGTTCATGCATTTCCTTAGCGCTGCATGAAGAGTGGCCACCGTGCAGGAGCTTTGTAACTTCAAGCTCTTTTGATGTGTCCACGGCACTTTTTGTTTGTTGAGTACAAACAAGAGTGTTCCCACTGAGCTATAATATAATTCCCACTGAGCTATAATAATATAGAGGAAATATATTATAGCTCAGTGAGTGTTCCGTGCATACGCCAGATGGCGTAGAAATGAATTATGCACTTCGGAAAGTCTCGGGTACAATATCAAACACTGATATGAAGGATTGATTTTACGGGTGGATTTTTTACACTGTGTTAAAAATGTGTGTTGCTGTGATTTTTAGAGCTTTTCTTGTAAGAAAGAAAATGAACAATGAAGGTCAAATTTATATCATTGGAGACGTTCTTTGTGAACAGGTTTGTCAAAGAACTTCTTTTATACAGTTTTAACTGCAGTTGTAAAGGGGAAAATATAGAAACTGTGTGGAAATGTCTGCACTGAACTAAAAATCTAAAAAAACTAATTGGCACTAGTGGAACTAGAACTGCATGGGAATAGTTTCCATTTGGGACTGTATAGATATGTATAATTGTATAGCACTAGGATATAAAACCATCATCATCAAGTAATTATATCACAATTACTATACCAAGAATTTTCAGCTTCTTCAATTTTTTCATTGGTAAAGAAGTTGTTAGGCACCCTGTATATGTCTAATGTTTTAATTCACCACATTATTCTTCCTTCAGCTTCCTCGGCTAACTCCGTACATCAGATTCTGCAGCTGTCAACTCAAAGCCTGCAAACTTCTTCAAAACAAAATCGAAACCGTACCAGAGTTCAAGGCTTTTGAAAAGGTATGATTTCCCTCTTCATTCCTTAGACAAGTACAAATTTCACGGGGTACCTAGCCTGGCTTTCTCAAAATCCATGACAAAGAAAATACTGAAACTCTTTCGAGTGTAAATCACTCGATAGCTGATCTTCTCCCTTGCTTGTGGCAGGATATATTATTGTAATATTTTTTATGATTTTTGAGCGTTCCTTTTGTAGAAATGCTGTCAGGACTCACGTGCTCGTGGCCTACCTCTCAGTAGTTATCTTTTAAAGCCTTTACAAAGAGTCACGAAGTATCCATTACTTATACGAAAGGTATGTATAAACTTAGTTTAGTTTAGGTTTCCTCCTGTAGTAACACTGGATCAATAAGAGATGATCTTTACTGGACCTCAAAGAAGAACAGTTTAGAACTGATAGAGCTATCCAGTATAAATAAAGTTAGTTTAGTTTAGGTTTCCTCCAGTAGTAACACTGGATCAATAAAAGATGATCCTTACTGGACCTCTAGGAAGGACAGTTTAGAACTGATAGAGCTATCCAGAATAAATAAAGTTAGTTTAGTTTAGGTTTCCTCCTGTAGTAACACTGGATCAATAAGAGATGATTCTTATTCTGTAATGTCTTACTAGATTCTTGAAGACACGCCTCAGATGCATTCGGATCGAGGAGATTTAGAAATTGCTTTAGAGAAGGCTGAAGATCTTTGTCGACAGGTTTGTGTTGAAGTACAATGAATATCCTAGTTGAGAAATTATTCAAACGAGTAAATCGCAAAACGGATTATCAACGTCATAATTCTCTTCTAGGTAAACGAAGGTGTGAGGTCACAAGAAGACACAGATCGTCTGGAGTTTATGCAAACTCACATCACTACTGAAGGATTAGACGAGGTATGACCATCAGACGAATATATACTATACTGTGATTGATTTAGATGGCACATTGCGCTACCCATGCAAGAAGCCCAAATAACCTTGCTTGGTGGTCTCACAATTTAAATATGCATACTCTTTACTGTGGGGGAGGTTGTTTTGAATAACCGGAGACAAAGAACATTTGAAAAGAATATATTAACTATATTCCTCCCTCCCCTCGATAGAGTCAAACTTTTCTAAGGAAATTTCCTTAGAAGTGAGAACGCTGGTGGTATATATTGATCAGTATGCCCTTGCAAATCAAGCAATTGTTTATCAGCGAGATGTAGAAGTTTATAGCTGCATCTATGAAGGAATTGGATGAAAACTTTTCAATGACATTTTCTAGAAACTTATTTTCAACTCGCAAACTAATTGTCTTGGTCAAAGAAAATTCGTCTACGAAGGAACACTGTACAAGGTAATCACGCTGGTAAAGTGTGGGTTTTTTCTTGTAATAAGAAATCTTATATGACCACTTCCTTCCGTTTTTCTCCAGCACAAAAGTGGTAAAGAACTTCAAGCGTTCCTCTGTAACGACTTTCTACTTCTTACCCGCGAAAACAGTTCTTTGGCAAAGAAAATTAGTAAAGATTCGGAAAAGCAATACGTCCTGTATCAGCCGGTATGTGGTTTGTGAACGACAGGGGCTGGTTGTTCGAAAGACGTTAGCTTAAACGGTGGATAAGTTCAAAATGAAAACAAAATTATCGATTTATTGAACAACCGAGCTGAAATATTTTGATGTAAAAAGTTTAATTTTCAATGGCAGTACAAATTAAACGCATAAGATGCAAGTTCAGTCATTCACAAGATCTATGAGAGTATTTTTAAATTTTGGCTTATCCACCGTTTAAGCTAAACGCCTTTCGAACAACCGGCCCCTGGATTTTAACCTATAAGTTGGCGCGTTGTCTCGTGTGCAGATTCGCCCAACTATATATAGAGTGTCTTGTCTATCACCGCATGATTTTACTCGTCAGTGTTGGGCGTACTGAAAGTTGAAGGTTGAATAGAACCGTTTGTTAGTCCTCGTGATCAGTTTCAGAGAGGATATCTGTCTCGATGTACGAGGCAGTTTGAGATTTTTTATAGAATACTTCCATTGAATTGGTTTGCAAAAGGATTTTTCGGGGACTCTTTGAAGCCTATCAGATGTAATGAGCCCATTTTGTTTAATTTACAAAGAAAATGATGTATTCAAATTCTTTGTTTCTTTAGCCAATCCGATTGAATGAGATTACGGTTAAAGTCCCTGACCAAAACAGTATGTTTACATTACTACCTTGTCACATTAGTCTATGTAGAGTTTCCTGAATAGCAGATTTGTTCGTAGTTCCTATGTGTTACCAACAAACTTTGTAGTGTCTTGTATTTCTACAGGTGAAGAAACTTTATTCCAAGTGTCGCACATTGATCGGGTTTATCTATTGCGAGCTGAGACTAAGAATGAAAGGTAAGCCTCTGGGGGTCCCGGTGAGGCACGTGTTGACTTCTATATGAAGTAACACGTGTACTTACCCTACCCAACCCTACCCTACCCTACCCTTGAGAAACAAGAGCCGTTCGCTTTTAAATCGTTCATTCAGCGGTCCATATTGAGGTTTAAACTGCTGAGTTATAGTCCGTTATAGTAGTTAGAATACGTACTTACCTCCCTAAGAGTTGGGGAACAATTTGAGCATTTTTTGTGCTTGTTTTGAAAGCGGCTCGTATTAAACCTTAAACCGCTGATTTAGAATAACGTGGGTGCGGAAACTGAAGAAAGCTTCTGAAGATTATATCGAAACAGAGAGGAACGAAAGACAGAAAGCTCATAGAGGTATGTGGTTCAAGTTGCAATCTCTTCTCTAAAGGCCCTGTTACACGGTGCGATTTTTCTTCAACTTGCAATGCAATTCTACTTTTGAGAATTACACTTCATGCACTTTTCTTCTGCACTGATTTACATCTCTTAGAAGTAGAATTGCATTGCAAGTTGCAAGAAAAATTGCACCGTGTAACAGGGCCTTAAGTATCATAACTTGCCATTTTAGATGATATCATCTTTAATCCGCAATTGCCAGCATTTTGGATGATTGTGCGTTATATTTATCGTTTCAGCGAGGTCCTTCCGCGCCGACAATATTGGCAAACTGGTTGTATTAATCATGGAAGGATCTGATCTTAAAGCTACTGATGTTAATGGTGTGTATAAATCCTCTTCATTTTAGAGATGATCCTTACTGCATGGACTTCTAGGAAGAACAGTTTAGAACTGATAGAGCTATCCAGTAAATAAAGTTAGTTTAGTTTAGGTTTCCTCCTGTAGTAACACTGGATGGGGCTGTATATTGTTTGTGTTTTTTATCATTTTTCAATTACTCTTCGCCTGACTTTCTAGGCCTGAGTGATCCTTATTGTGAAGTCAGTCTTGGAGGTCAGGAACACAAGACGAAAGTTATCACGAACTCTCTTAATCCAAAATGGAACTCATCGGTAGGAAATTCAGAATCGAGATATTCTCCGTGTTAGCATGATTAACAAGACGATTTTATTACTTATATCAACAATATTGTTCCAGATGCAATTTTCTCTACGAGATCTCAAACAAGACGTTCTGTGTATATCTGTGTTCGACCAAGATATGTACTCGCCTAACGGTTTGTACTACATGAAGTTTCCTTGAAGTCTTCCCTTTTAGTTCACACATGAATAAAAATCTTATTTCATTTACAGATTTTCTCGGTCGAACCGAGGTCCCTGTGGCGAGCTTGCTCAAGGACGGAAAGGGCCCCTGGGAAAAACGTCTACTGTTACATGAAGTAACCACTGGCGAACTGCTTGTAAGACTAGAACTTCAATTGTACAAAAGTGGGAAGTAGATAAACACAAGTCCTTCAAAATCGAGTGCATGGTTTTTGCCATACAACTTATACAACATTTGTCTTGGTCGCCCTGTGGGCCACTTTATATAATATATACATACAGTTCGCAGTTTGGCGTACGGCTTGTCAAAGTTTGACAACGCTACAATATCATTATATAGTTAAATTTGAAATTTTAATGAACGAAAATGGTAGGAATATTTTAGTGTAAACCTGAATGAAATAAATTTAAATTATTTAACGTGAATCTGAGCACGAGCATTCGTCAGCAAATACCACAAACCGAAATTCAAAACACAGAGACAGAGCTGTATATTTGATAGGACCAACACATACGCTGTGGTGATAAATTTTAAAGCATTAATCGATACATAAAAAAACATTTGAAATTCACCGTCGTTCAAATTTAGCGCCGTCGTCTATGGCTTACCATCATTTTGCAATTCACTTTACATGTATTGTGTTTTGATAATTTTCACTTTTATTTACTCCCGTTTTATGCTTTATTTTCTAATTTTATATGAATTATAGAACAGTAAATAGATTGAGGTCTGAGTCACAAACTTTTTTCCGTTTACTACATAATTTAGGAACTTCTCCTAAAGGTTTGTATTCATTGCCACGGCACGAGCCTTTTCTTAAAACGTCTTAAAATTCGAGGAAGAATGATGGACTTCACTCAAAGTCTGTATTCCTCTGACTGTATTGCATTCTACAAGCGCCTGAAGTGAAACAGAATATTTTAGGCCAAATCGATCGAGTTTTCAGAAGAAACTTCAGGAGGAAGTTCTATAGGCGGGGAGATTGTGATGCAAAGACAATTACTTCGAGCGGTCGGCATTGATAAAAAGAAATATGGTGTTTGGTTATGACGGCTGAAAGGTAAACATTTAGCAATTAAAGATGATTGACGTGTCGACGTCTCATTTTCAGCCCAGTAATTTTTCAATGGATAGTAATTTAACATGTACACTGTAAATTGCACATTTGCAGCTAATAGCTATAGTTTTGAAAGAGAACCCCCAAGTTGAGAATACTAAGGTTAGATCCAAATTATACCAATCAACACGTAATTCTAGAGCGATTGGAAAAAACACTAACCGATGGATAGCGCTATCCAGCTTTCGTGTCCAGAAACTGGACTCCATCACTGATGAGTGAACTATCAAACCAGAAACTGTTAAAAAACGTGGGAGAGCAAGTTACTTTTTGCATTAAATTTTCAAGATCTCCAGAAGGCAAAGTTGTAATTATAATTAAATCCTGATGAAAATTATGCCGTCAAATACGACTGTAATGAAATTGAAATCGGTACATCTTCATGGGCAACTGTGTCAACTAAATTACCTGATTAAAATGAAATAATGTCTTTACAGCAATTGCGATATTGACCCAACTGAAATCTGTGCAAACGAACCTCGTTTTATGAGTAAAATATGAGTGATTGAGGTGTTGAAGTGATTATATAATTCAGGTTCTTGTTGAAAGCAAAACCAGATCGCTGTATCGCTGATAGAAGACAGTTAAATTTGTTGAAGTTAAAGAAAACAGTATTTCATTGTTTGCAGCTACACAGAGGTATGTTGTACTGCTCCAGGTTTCAGAAAGGATCATCTAAACTAAACTAACTATATTTATACTGGATAACTCTATCAGTTCTAAACTGTTCTTCCTCGAGGTCCAGTAAGGATCATCTCTTATTGATCCAGTGTTACTACCGGAGGAAACCTCAACTAAACTAACTTTATTTATACTGGATAGATCTATCAGTTCTAAACTGTTCTTCCTAGAGGTCCAGTAAGGATCATCTCTTATTGATCCAGTGTTACTACCGGAGGAAACCTCAACTAAACTAACTTTATTTATTCTGGATAGCTCTATCAGTTCTAAACTGTTCTTCCTAGGGGTCCAGTAAGGATCATCTCTTATTGATCCAGTGTTACTACCGAAGGAAACCTCAACTAAACTAACTTTATTTATACTGGATAGATCTATCAGTTCTAAACTGTTCTTCCTAGAGGTCCAATAAGGATCATCTCTTATTGATCCAGTGTTACTACAAGAGGAAACCTAAACTAAACTAACTTTATTTATACTGGATAGCTCTATCAGTTCTAAACTGTTCTTCCTAGAGGTGCAGTAAGGATCATCTCTTATTGATCTAGTGTTACTACAGGAGGAAACCTAAACTAAACTAACTTTATTTATACTGGATAGCTCTATCAGTTCTAAACTGTTCTTCCTAGGGGTCCAGTAAGGATCATCTCTTATTGATCCAGTGTTACTACAGGAGGAAACCTAAACTAAACTAACTTTTTTTAGTAATGTGGTGTATTCAATGCATTTGCTTTCTGGCATTCTCATCTCTTGCACGGAGCGATGATACCTCGTATGAAGACGAGGCGAGTCTTCAAGCAGAGATCAAAAATATAAAACAGAACCAATTGAGCCTTCAAAAGACGATTGGTGCCGTTGCCCGTCAGCTCATGTTGCAGCAGCTGTTCGTGGAGGAACGCATCAGATCCGATGGACATTCTGGTTTGAAACAGGTGATTATTATCAGATGGATGTTTTGATAAAAAAGTATGCAATATTGACAGATTTTATCACCTGTTACAGAGGAAAGCAAAAAAATTATCTTTGCGATTTCTGTTCTATCTTCATAGGTACGTGTATACGGTTTGGGTGACCGGCCTTATCACACCAGTACACATACCGGAGGTTCAATCGCCGCTATACACGACCATGCAAACAACTTTCGTACCGTCGGTATGGGCGAGTATATCGCCGTCATGAATGGGGTCGAGTTTCGTACCCGGCACAACGACTACCGGCTATACATGCCTCACAGGACCGATACCCGGTATGGAAAATGGGAGCAAATTCCGTTCCCGCCTGTTCCACCGGAAGTGACGTCGTTGCCCACCACAGAAGAGCAGATCGTGGAGATGAGAGAGTGGTTCAAGGCTTGGCGTGACCAGGACACGTCAAAGAGAGACTACAGGAAGTACTTCAGGCCTGTGTTGTGTTACCTCGAGGGAGCGTGGACCAACCCCAGCACAAAAGGAGATATCGACGAGCCGTTTCCCAGCGACAGACATTTCGTTGATGCCAAGAACTGGTTTGAATTGCAAGAAAAGATCAGGTACCATAGCTTTTCAAACGACCAGGTCCAATACGAATTACCAGTGTTACAACAGAAGGAAGCTAAACTGAAATTACTTTATTTATACTGGATAGCTCTATCAGTTCTAAACTGTTCTTCCTAGAGCTCCAGTAAGGATCATCTCTTATTGATCCAGTGTTACTACAGGAGGAAACCTAAACTAAACTAACTTTATTTATACTGGATAGCTTTATCAGTTCTAAACTGTTCTTCCTAGAGGTCCAGTAAAGATCATCTCTTATTGATCCAGTGTTGCTACAGGAGGAAACCTAAACTAAACTAACTTCATTTATACTGGATAGCTCTATCAGTTCTAAACGGTTCATGAAAAGCATGTAAATTTATCTATTCAACTCCCAGGTTCACTTCGTACTCCGGACGAAAGAGTAATTTTGAGAACTACGCCTATCTTCCGACCACCATCATGAACGTGACGCACGGTACAACGCCTGTGTTCGCGCAATGGAACTACCGTATCATGTGTCATCCGATAAAGGGCGACCTGCCTACGAACCGGCTACGAGTCGTCGACGAGTTCGGGCGACGAATGAGGAGCCGATGGACCGTTGACGATCTTACTTGGACGAGGCAAGCACGGTTCCAGTTAAACATGAAGGACCAGGACAAATGGCACAGCCACTTCCCTCGTGGGGAATATGGATTACTGGATAAAATAATGGCGGAAATACCAGGCAAAGATAACTATCCTGGAGACTTGATTGACGATGCATTTGATTTGCCCGCAGTTAGACTGGACACCACTAGCGCTAACGACAAGGTAGGAAGAAGCATACAAATTAAATTCTGGAAGCAATTTTGGAGTATATATATGGATACCAGAGCTGTCAAAATGTATTACTTGTTAAGTAATCTACAAGAATATTATGATAGGTTAAATTTTTTTTTTTTGGAAAAGAACAAACGTTGAAAATTCGCACCGTGTTGCCAAATCGCGTCCTGTCTGCGTAGGCCTTTAGGAGAGCAGCTGAGTGAGTCCGCGATTTCATATGCTAGCTCTTTACTTTGTGTTAAACAGATTAACGCAGCCTACTATAACCGGGCATTCAGAGTGACACAGAGGGGCGCCATGGGATTGAGCAACAGACATCGTGGATTCTCTGACGAGAATCTATTCATGGCGATGACGACACAGGATAAAATTGCTGGCATGAATCTGAAGGATTGTCAGTACGTGAACCGTAAGCGAGTGTGCAAGTTGTACAATCAAAAATGGACGTACGCCATACCATTGGAGATCATCTACCTCACACCTCTGTCAAGGTGGAACCCTTACGATCTGCAGTTCAAAGGACATCCTAATTCAAAGGCAGGCCGCGAGGTTAATGAAGGTATTGAAACAATTAATAGACTTTTGCCGCTTAAACTCGCCAGCAAAGGTGGGCATCCTACTTAAGCGCTGTTTACATGATCCCGCTGAGCCAAGATTCAACGAAGCGTGAGGTGACTCTGAGGTATTGAACTGAGTAAATGGCATGATCTTGGCAGTCGTATAGTCCGCGTCCCAACGATAGCATGTGCTTGTTTTGTTTTGTTTCGTAAACACTTTTCACAACTTTTTTTGGTGAATCTCAGGTAACCAGGCTCATTCATGTAAACAGCCCCTCCCTTAGTCTAATTTGGCACTATTTACCTGGGGCCGGTTGTATCAAGCCCGTTTAGCTTAAACGGTGGCTAAGTCAAATTTAACATCTTACTTGAATGAGTCAACTTGAATATTATGCACTGAATATGTAGTTGTAACGAGTATCTTTGTATTAAGGTTAAAAACATTTAGTTCTTGAATAAAACGATAGACTTGCTTTCTATTTTGAACTTAACCACCGTTTAAACTAAACAGGCTTGATACAACCGTCCCCAGTGGAAGAGTGCCGGTTGTAGTTTATGGGTTAATAAGACTGCCATTACTCTAATGTCAGATTATCCTCTATGTCAGTAAAACATTCCTGCTAGTGAATGGCTTAAAAAGCGTCAAATAAAGCATACCTTTAGAATGTTAACACTCATAGGAGCATTAAATTTCAACTGCATCTCACTTATATAGTTTCATCAACTATCGCTTAATTCTAGCGAGAACAAGAGTTACAAGAAATTAAGCAAAAACTATAAGTTTGAACGAGCTCAAAGTTAGTTGAAAGTTTATGAAGGTTTTCATCACTTGAATTACTATAGTGACACTCGTGCATTCCACATTCAACAGGATTAGACTAACAAAACGATGCAAATGTTTTTAAAGGTGGAAAGCGTAATGGGGCTTCGCGCGAAAAAGCATACAATGGCACGAGCGAGACAGTTTACTATCAAACTCCACTGGCTTTCTTTAATGGTGATCTTAACGGAAAGGATCCCGCCGACACGGCCAGTAGTGCTGTCTGGGTCTTGAATAAAAATGGCGAAGCAAAACAAACATCAGCTTCAGGGATTCGTGTCTTTTTACCTTCCATACCAGGAGTCGGAGTTTTACGTCAAAGGTTAGTGTATTTTATTGCAAACGAACTCGACCGGTGTGACACAGAATTACACTGATCAATGAAAGAATTTTCCCTCAACCAATAATGGGCGAAAGATTGCAAGTAATAACATTCAAGATATAACTGCAGGTCATTTAAAAACACCGTCATGAAATAGTTAGCTGTTTAAGCGAGAGTTTTCTTTAAAATATACGCCGTATAAATATATAGATAAGTTCCAATATAACCAAGGAGCAGCGTGGCAGCGTCTTCAAACAGCTTGTGGTATAACAACTGCCTAAAATAGACAAAACACTTCTCGACGTTTCGACCTGAGGGCCTTCGTCAGGAGAGTTAGTATGGGAGAGTTAGTATGGTACTAACTCTCCTGAAGAAGGCCCTCAGGTCGAAACGTCGAGAAGTGTTTTGTCTAATATATTTTAACTTTCTAGGTATCCGATAATGCCGGTGCATGGCGAAGGTAGTTCAGTGTGGAAAGAGTTGTCAGCTGTGTCCGACGCTCTCTTGGACTCGCATAAACATCTCGCACTTTACCGTGAATCAATAAACACTAATCCTCTCCCTACTCTACCCCCGGTGCGGCGTGTCACACTTCATACTGGCCCATCGACATTCGAGAGGGTGACCAAACACACTCACGAAGTGGTTCTTGAGGCTTACCAGGTATTTATATTGGATAGTTCTATCAGTTCTAAACTGTTCTTCATAGAGATCCAGTAAGGATCATCTCTTATTGATCCAGTGGTACTACAGGAGGAAACCTAAACTAAACTAACTTTATTTATGCTGGATAACTCTATCAGTTCTAAACTGTTCTTTCTAGAGGTCCAGTAAGGATTATCTCTTGTTTATCCAGTGTTACTACAGGAGGAAACCTAAACTAAACTAACTTTATTTATACTGGATAGCTTTATCATGTCTAAACTGTTCTTCATAGAGATCCAGTAAGGATCATCTCTTATTGATCCAGTGGTACTACAGGAGGAAACCTAAACTAAACTAACTTTATTTATGCTGGATAACTCTATCAGTTCTAAACTGTTCTTTCTAGAGGTCCAGTAAGGATTATCTCTTATTTATCCAGTGTTACTACAGGAGGAAACCTAAACTAAACTAACTTTATTTATACTGGATAGCTTTATCATGTCTAAACTGTTCTTCCTAGAGGTCCAGTAAGGATCATCTCTTATTGATCCAGTGTTACTACAGGAGGAAACCTAAACTAAACCAACTTTATTTATACTGGATAACTTTATCAGTTCTAAACTGTTCTTCCTAGAGGTCCAGTAAGGATCATCTCTTATTGATCCAGTGTTACTACAGGAGGAAACCTAAACTAAACCAACTTTATTTATACTGGATAGCTTTATCAGTTCTAACCCTGCAATCGAATCCTGGGTCATATTGCCAAATATTGGACATTTCATTCCATCTTCCTCTTTTTTTTAGATTGCAGAACTCAACAAAGGCATGCATATTACGGTGACAACGAGTGAAAGCAATGGACACGAACATAAAGTCCAAATTCGTTATCAGAAACAACGCGACTTCTACTACGTTAATGTTTGCGACGGTAAATACAGCAAGTGGCCTTATCGTTGCTGGGACAAGCATCTTGCTAAGATGACTCAGATAACCATCGCTGCTTAAAAAAGGAGACTACGTGATGCATATTAAGACGTCTTATATCATATTATATAATATCAAAATACCTCATGATGATATATATAAGAGTGAGAGTAATAAAGTGCATTATAAAACGTAGTTAATGAATGGGGTGATCTGCATTCAGCAAACCTAAACTAAACTAACTTTATTTATACTGGATAGTTCTATCAGTTCAAAACTGTTCTTCCTAGAAGTCCAGTAAGGATCATCTCTTATTGATCCAGTGTTACAACAGGAGGAAACCTAAACTAACCTGTATAGCTGATAGAAGACAGTTAAACTTGTTGAAGTTAAAGAAAACAGTAATTCATTGTTTGAAGCTACACAGAGGTATGTTGTACTGCTCCAGGATCCAGTAAGGATCATCTAAACTAAACTAGCTATATTTATACTGGATAACTCTATCAGTTCTAAACTGTTCTTCCTAGAGGTTCAGTAAGGATCATCTCTTGTTGATCCAGTGTTACTACAGAAGGAAACCTAAACTAAACAAACTTTATTTACACTGGATAACTCTATCAGTTCTAAACTGTTCTTCCTAGAGGTCCAGTAAAGGCTAGTTTCCACTGAGGAAAAATCTCCTTTGAATCGGAACGGACAGGAAAATTCCTTTGTCGGTGAGTTCTCAGGCGGCGTTTGTACAAAGGAAACTTTCCTGTCCTGTCCGATCCAAAGGAGCATTTTCCTGAGTGGAAACTAGCCTTGAGCATAATCTCTTATTGATCTAGTGTTACTACAGGAGGAAACCTAAACTAAACTAACTTCATTTATACTGGATAGCTCTATCAGTTCTAAACTGTTCTTCCTAGAGGTCCAGTAAGGATCATCGCTTATTGATCCAGTGGTTAATTTACCGAAACTAAAGCAACTTAGTCTACTGCTGCTAGTGTTAGAGAAGACCCTACTCGTTACAAAGAACAGATCATTACTGGGGTCTGTTAATCATGCGTGAAGGCTTTGCCACTTAACTGAATGACTGAAGAGGATCTACGTCAATGGAAGGTGAGGTACTTTTGATTATGGAGTGGTTTCAGTCAATCATCTGAGTGCATTGTTCATTTCAGTTTCTGCTTCAATGGATGAAATAAATACAACTGGTCGTGTCGGCGAGAAAGACGATTATAAATAATGCCAGGAAAAAAAGAAAATATTGATTTGTGATATTGATTGTATATCTCATTTCCAGGCGAGGAAATGGTAAACATCACTTGAAGTCATTTCGTACAAAAAGCTTTGAAAGCACGGCTGTGGTTAGTAATGGATTGTTTGGTGTTCCTCCCATCAATGACCTAAAACAGTGGCGAATAATTAAGAATTTGATATTAAGCAACTCACAAACAAAGCATTTATACAAATCTGGATAGCTCTATCAGTCCAAAGTTCCACAAAGGATCGTCGCCTTTTTATCCAGTTTTACTACAAGAAGTCACTATAACTTGAACAAAAATTTAAACAAACTAACTTTATTTATACTGGATAGCTCTATCAGTTCTAAACTGTTCTTCCTAGAGGTCCAGTAAGGATCATCTTTTATTGATCCAGTGTTACTACAGAAGGAAACCTAAACTAAACTAACTTTATTTATACTGGATAGCTCTATCAGTTCTAAACTGTTCTTCCTAGAAGTCCAGTAAGGATTGTCTCTTATTGATCCAGTGTTACTACAGGAAGAAACCTAAACTAAACTAACTTTATTTATACTGGATAGCTCTATCAGTTCTAAACTGTTCTTCCTAGGGGTTCAGTAAAGATCATCTCTTATTGATCCAGTGTTACTACAGGAGGAAACCTAAACTAAACTAACTTTATTTATACTGGATAGCTCTATCAGTTCTAAACTGTTCTTCCTAGAAGTCCAGTAAGGATTGTCTCTTATTGATCCAGTGTTACTACAGGAAGAAACCTAAACTAAACTAACTTTATTTATACTGGATAGCTCTATCAGTTCTAAACTGTTCTTCCTAGGGGTTCAGTAAAGATCATCTCTTATTGATCCAGTGTTACTACAGGAGGAAACCTAAACTAAACTAACTTTATTTATACTGGATAGCTCTATCAGTTCTAAACTGTTCTTCCTAGGGGTCCAGTAAGGATCATCTCTTATTGATCCAGTGTTACTACAGGAGGAAACCTAAACTAAACTAACTTTATTTCTACTTGATAGCTCTATCAGTTCTAAACTGTTCAATAAGTCATCTCTAATGTATCAATGCAGTTCGATTCCAAGAGGAAACCTAGGTTGCACTACTTTTATTTCTGTTGTAACGAAATTCAAGTATATACTTATTATAAACCTGTCTTCCATTCAATAGGGACTGCCTGAATTTGGTCGGAAAGCGCAACCCAAATATGACCAAATATGACCACCTCGTTTTCAGGTTACTGTCTCGTGTCCAGTCAAGCAAGTGTATTGGCGGAACAGTATTTCAAATGTTTTAAAAGTCCTCATAATAGTATGTAGATTAGGATTCGGACCCTTCAGTGCTCTCGAGTTGTCAGTTTACCAATGCTCTGACCGTTCATGCGTTTTGAAGTGCTGTCCAGTGATTTCATTTTATAAAATCATGAAGCATCGAGATGCAGCTCATAGTTGCTTTGGTCGCTGTGCAGAGCAGACGAAGAAGGAAGGAAAAGACACAGAAGAACACATCAAAAGATCACAGAGAAATTTATATGTGAGTTTCTTGTGCATTGAGCTGTACTAGTTTGAAATGTTTCTTGAATTTTTGTCTTCTGCAACAGTGCATGCGTTTACCAGTAACACATTATCAAATTATCAAATTTTTGGGAGAGCCATAATTGCAAAACGTTTTTAACCTTCTTGCAAGAAGAGTCTGACGTTTTTCCAACCTTTTCAGTCCAACGTTGAAATAGAAATTATATACATGACTTGTAGGACTCTGGTTGACTTATCATATCTGCTTTCAATGTACTGTTGTTCTCATCTTCCACAAACTGTTCCTGCTGAAACTTGTTTCACTAGTCTAGTGCCTTGTGATGTTATGATCAAGATTTCACTTTAAACTTCCTCAAAGTCTAAAACATATTGTTGCTCTTAGTGCTTTGCAATGGTTTTTTTTAGTTTCCTTCTCAACCTTTCTTAAGGTCTGAAATTGACTGTTGCTACTAATACCAGGCTGACTAGTCTAGTAGTGTTGTAATGTTGTTTGCAACGTTCTATGTATTGTGTCCTTTTCAACCTTCCTTGAAGTCAGAAATTTACCGTTTTTGCTACTAATACAAGCCTGACTAAGTTAGTTCTCACCGCTTTCCAATCTTCTATTAAATAACGTTTATCCGGCCTCGTGACTGATTTCTTTACTGATACAACCCTTTCTTCTCTGGTGCGTTTTAATTGGCAATGTTTTGTTTAAAGGCTTTTCATTAGTTTGCTTTTGTCATGCATGATCAACCTTAGTCAGTCTGAAATACGGGCTTCAAATATCTATGATTTAAAATTCTATCTTGCTTTCTCTCCATGCAGTTGGAAAAAATGAGCACTGTTCTATTTTTGCTGGCCATATTGCTGACCTTCCATGGCGGATCATGCGCAGATATTTCGCTGCAAGAGATGATTGAAGAGATGTCCAGAAAACTTGATGAATCCGATAAACGCATAACAGATCTTTTACGTCATACCATGCAACTAGAGTTGTTTGTCGCCGAAAGATTCCGTTCGTCAGGTATGTTGTTAGAAGTTGTATGACAAGAAATCAAATCCAATAGCTGTTTCTTTCTAGAGGTCCAGTAAGGATCATCTCTTATTGATCCAGTGTTACTACAGGAGGAAACCTAAACTAAACTAACTTTATTTATACTGGATAGTTCTATCAGTTCCAAACTGTTCTTCCTAGAGGTCCAGTAAGGATCATCTCTTATTGATCCAGTGTTACTACAGGAGGAAACCTAAACTAAACTAACTTTATGTATACTGGATAGCTTTATTAGTTCCAAACAACGAGCTTTTATTTATCATTACTAATAATGATTTAGTTACAAATATTTTTCAATTTAAAACAAATCTTTCTAGGTCAAAGTGGTCTGAAAAAAGTGCGTCTCTCAAACGAAGGAACAAAGTCGTATCACGCCGACTCGTTCATCACCGGAAAACGTATTTCCTCGATTCACGATCACTCCAACAATGTCCGTACTGTTGGTATTGGCGAAATAATTGCTGTTATGAATGGGGTTGAATTCCGAACCCGGCACAATGACTACCGGCTATATATGCCTGCCAATACCCCGGGGTATCATGCCACTCAGGATATACCGTTTCCCGATGTACCACCGGAGGTTTTAGCCCTCGAGCCCGATATACCTGCAGCAGTTGATGAGATGATCGAATGGTTCAAAGCTTGGCGCGATCAGAACTACACAGTTCGTGATTATAGACCATACTTTAAGCCATTATTATGTTACATGGAAGGTAAGGAAGCGGCCTCCACAATAGATCGGTCTCTCACTGTGAGGTGCTAGGATGGAAAGGTGTTTGTGTTAGAGAGGTCTCTGTATTGGAAAGATCTCTGTAGTAGAGAGATGTCTGTATTAGAGAGATGTCTGTATTAGAGAGATGTCTGCATTAGAGAGTTGTCTGTATTAGAGAGGTGTCTGTATTAGAGAGTTGTCTGTATTAGAGAGTTGTCTGTATTAGAGAGATGTTTGTATTAGAGAGTTGTCTGTATTAGAGAGGTGTCTGTATTAGAGAGTTGTCTGTATTAGAGAGATGTCTGTATTAGAGAGTTGTCTGTATTAGAGAGGTGTTTGTATTAGAGAGTTGTCTGTATTAGAGAGATGTTTGTATTAGAGAGATGTTTGTATTAGAGAGTTGTCTGTATTAGAGAGTTGTCTGTATTAGAGAGTTGTCTGTATTAGAGAGATGTTTGTATTAAAGAGATGTCTGTATAAGAGAGGTGTCTGTATTAGAGAAGTATCTGTATTAGAGAGGTTTCTGTATTAGAGAAGTCTCTGTGTTGGAAAGATGACTGTGCTAAAGTGGTTTCTGTATTGGGGATGTGTCTGTGGTAGAGGGGTGTCTGTGTTATATAAAAAAGTTGTCTGTATTAGGGAGAAAAACCCAACAGCCTATTTCAATTCCATTTAAGGTTCCTGGATTCATGCAACAGATACAATCGAAGAGCCTTTCGAGAGCGACCGACATTTCGTAGATGCCACCAGCTGGTCTGATCTAGAGCGCAAAGTACGGTTCACGTCTTATGGAGGAAGGAAAGATAACCTGGAAAATTTCGCCTACCTACCTACTACAATCATTGATTTGGTGAATGACACTCATCCCGTTTTCGCCCAGTGGAATTATAGAATCATGTGCCACCCTTTGAGTAACGATCTGCCTCTCAATAGGTAGGAAGGTCACGCTGCTTGGCGATCGTGGTTTTGATCTGAACTGAGCGATTTCTACCGTTTTAGTATTTACTATAAACAGAGCTAAACCAAAACGTCTAGTTTAGTTTAAACAGAGTTTAGACCAAAAAGTCTACCTAATCTTCCTCTGGGAAAACTCCATTCATATGAGGATCATGAATTTTTTATACCATTATACTGTTGATATTTTCTTTGACAATATCCTTGCCTAAAATAGAGTTTTAGGCTGTTTCCTTACCGCTATTGCCCCGTATCTCCACAGTTCAGTTCTTGATCAGTGATTTTTCTCCTGTTCCACAGACTACGTAGTGTGGATGATCTGCAATCACGAATCACTTACAAGAGAACATTAGAAGAGCAGGCAGCGACACGAGCAGGAAGATTCCAGATTAATCCTGTTGATGATGACGAATGGAAGGATAGATTCTCGAGGTAAGTCATTAAGTTAATAGCTCTATCAGTTCTAAACTGTTCTTTATCTCTTATTCATCCAGTGTCACTACAGGAGGAAATCTAAACTAAACTAACTTTCTTTACTGGATAGCTCTATTAGTTCTAAACTGTTCTTCCTAGAGGTCCAGTAAGGATCATATGTTTTTTAATCCAATGTTACTACAGGAGGAAACCTAAACTTTAATCAACACTGGATAGCTTTAGCTGTGTATATTTCTATTCAGATTTGGTTTCTTGGACAAACTGATGGGTGAAATTCCAGGAAAAGATAACTATGGTGCATACATTGAAGACAATGCCCTGGGGCAGTTGGCAAGGTCTATGGACCCAGACCATGAGGGTGATGTATTAAACGCCGCCTACTATCACAGGTATTACAAAGTGAACGAGAGAGGTGCTATGGGACAACAGCTCAGACACAGAGGATTCTCCGATTCCAATTTATGGATGGCAATGACAACTCAAGAGGAAGTGGCAGGCAAGTACTTTGTTTAAGCAACGTTGTTAAGCAAAACATTTTGCGAAAAAATATTTTTTTCCTTGGAAGCTGAAAGAGTTTCCTATCAAATTTGAAAACACTTGAAGATGTTCTTTCTGGCTGTAGCAATATTTCCCATCAAGTGTGAAATGTTTCCTTCTTTCTGCCTATAAATTTTTTCCATCGAAAGTGAAACGTTTCCCATCATATTTGGAAAACAAACTATAAGATGCTGTTTCCGGCTGTGGCGTTGTTAAATTTTTCTTTCTTGTAAACTTCCTGCTTGACAACATGGCGACATGTCCCGGGCAACAATAGTAAAATAAATTATATTTCCCAGGCATGTCTCTTGAGCGCTGCAAGGGTTCGGGCAAAAGACTAACTTGCGAAACCGACAGTCAGAAATGGAGCTACGCTTTTCCTCTTGAAATCATCTATCTGACGCCACTGAATCGCTGGAACCCGTACAATCTTGAATACAAAGGCAAGTTCAATTCGGACGAGGGAAAGACAGTGAAAGAAGGCATCCGAAATGGTGGCTATGAGGTGGACACGGCATTCAACGGGCTCAACAGCAAAAACTACTACATCACGCCGACCGAAATGTTTGAAAGTGACGAGAAGAATAAAGACGAAGCTGACACCACCCAGGGTGAGGTAGGGGTACTCACTCCCGAGGGTCACGTTGCCCGGGTTCGAGCTTCTGGTATACGAGCTTTCTTCCCGAACATCCCGGGGGTTGGTGTCCTGCGTCAAAGGTACGTACATCGACGGTTTATGGTCTGTTAAAGTCTTTTAATCTATCGCGAGAGCTAGAAAACTCTTTTTATCAGTGGGAATTCGTGGGGACATCGTTTTGATGAGCTGCTATGACTTAGTAAACTGAATTAAGGTATAGCTGAATTCGGACTCAAATGACATAAGTAAAATGGTACTTCTACCATTTTCATCCGTGCTCGCATGTGCATTGGGCTGCTAGTTGTTCAAAGGCGGGTTAAATTTTACCTTCTGCACTGGCTCTCGTTTCAAAACTTTTCAAAATATGACTTCTATTTAACCAGAAAATACCCGTGGGAAAGGTATTCAACTTTGGTTATGTGCACACACGGTAAAGTTTTCGAGCGTTTTCACATTCGTTTTCGCGCCAAAACGATTTCCAAAACCGTCAACCATCTTTTGAACAACTGGCCTCATAATTAGTATGTTTCTTCCGAAATAGGGTCCTCCAATTTATATTAAGCCTTCATTCACAGATACCCAATAATGCCTGTGCATGACGAGGGATCTACAACTTGGAAAGAGTTGGAAGCACTTGAGGACATGATCATGGGCACCCAGACATTCGGAGCGTTGTTTAACGAGCCGCTAACACCAGCGTCGGACACAATGATTGCGATAAATAATCTGGACAAACCAATAACAATCAGGACTGGCCAGTCTTGGAGTAGAGACATCTTACATCACACCCACGACCTCGAGGTATGTCTTTCCTGTTGAAGAAAGGAAACTAAACTAACTTTATTTATACTGGATAGCTCTATCAGTTCTAAACTGTTCTTCCTAGAGGTCCAATAAGGAGCGCTTTTTAACCTGACAAGCACTCTTTCAGATGTCTGTCGTTAGACATAGCATGCTAATTTATTTTCTTTTCAAATAACAGCTAGAGGCGGATGAGGTTGAAAAAATCAAGGCAGGAGGTATTGTCACGAAATTTTCCTCGGAAATCCAGGGACACGCTCACGAGATCATGGTTGCTTGGCATGAAAACAACGCTGGCTTCTATATTTCGGCTTGTGACGGGGATATGGGTCCATGGGTTCTTGCGAAGAAGTGTTTTGACAAACATGAAGCAATGATGACAATCGTATGAGATCACTGAGTAGTTTTAGAAATGAATTCTCGAGGATCCAATTAGTTTTGTAGTGATTCACAATCAGCCTGAGAGCAGATTGAAAATTAGTAATTATGTGATTTAGAGGCAATGTTTTAAGATGGCGAGTGGCGACCATGCATTGTATGAGACCAGTAGTTTTATAGAAATGTTTTCTCGCGGGTCTAATTAGTTTTGTAATGAAGGGTTGTAGTTTTTCACAATCTGCCTAAGAGCAGATTGAAAATTAGTAATTATGTGATTTAGAGCAATGTTTCAAATGGTCTCTCGCGGGCTTAATTAGTTTTGTAATCTGTAGAACGAAGGGGGTGGTGATTCACAACGAGACACTGTAGTACTTTGTCATTTATGCTGGAAACAAATCATTAATTATAGACACTTTAGACTATTAGATGTTTCTCTAAGCTTGACTTTATTCTCTTTATTTAAGAATCCACCAAGCCCTCATATGAATGGTTGAAATGTATTGCCTTCTCTTTGCTTTCCTTCCGATCAATAATATAACTGCTATGGTAAACACTGTTCTTCATTCTTCGAAGGACTGCATACCTGACTTACTTTTTTCGGACTAATATCGATTAAACCCGAATAGTTGTTTTGGAAGGGATAAGAATCTTGCATGTGTTTGCCAGACGCCAATGCATTAGGAAGAATGAATTAGAGTTGGTTGGTCAGAAAAAACGCACGAAATCATCAACAGAAATCCAACTATATTTTATTATTAAAATTTATGTGCGTGTTACTTACAACAAAACGCAAAACACGCTCTAAGTCTATCATAAGCAATGTTGAGATAAGTTTCACTGCATAAATTGCTCGGTTTTGAGTAAAAGTCTATCCTAATTTTGTACAAGAAAGCGAGTTCGTGTTTTTTAAAGTACGAAGTGCGCAAATCTATTGACGTGCGTGCGCAGTCAACGCATGGTTTCCAATTTTCCCACAATCATTGAATATCATACAAACCACGATACAAACTCGCGCAGTCGCAGTGAGCGAGTAATAATCCCATAATCACCACATTAGGCAATGTTATATATACTAAGCCTTCCACTGATGGAGTGACTGGAGTCATACACACTGCGTTTAGCAATATTCCATCTTTTCCAAGAAAGGATAAAGTGAAATAAAAAGTCTTGACTTTTGCGACGAGCACTGATGGACCCCATTTGATAAGTTGTAGGATCGAATCTCTGCAATATTCCATCTTTTCCAGTCGAAGAAAAGATGAAAACCAATAAAAAACTTTGGTCTTTCACCAGCAGCAGCGGTGGCCGAGAAGGTTAGGACAATGGTCAGTCCATAAGCGGTGGTGGTTCAAGTCCTTCCAGTGTCAAAACATGAGTTACGAATTCTTATTTCATTCAAAGTCTCCAAAGAAAGGATTAAATGAAATAAAAAACTTTCGTCTTTCACCACAAGCAGCGGTGGCCGAGTGAGTTAGGACAGTGGTTCAAGCCCTTGCAGTGTCAAAAATTAAGTTGCAAATTCTTATTTAATTTTAAAGTCTCCAAAAAAAGGATTAAATGAAATAAAAAACTCTCGACTTTCACCACCAGCAGCGGTGGCCGAGTGGGTTAGGACAGTGGTTAGTCCATAAGCGGTGGTGGTTCAAGCCCTTGCAGTGTCAAAAATTTAATTTTTTATTTATAAAAAAATTACCTAATCAGAATTAGAATTCGCTGGTTACTGGTAAGATGGTGGTTCGAATCTTACCTTGGGAAAAATTTTTTGTCACGACTCAAAAAAAAAAGATTTAGGTGAGATAAAGAAAAACGAACCTGTGAATCGCAAGATCTCTCTTGGTTTATTGTTGAAAGCAATGTCTCGCAACGTTTAAGTCGGTGTTTCGGATCCTCGGAAGATTGTTTTTCGTTATGATCGTAAAAAAGGATTGCCGAGATAAAATAAATAAATGAAGGTAGCTCTGAACATGATGTATGCACGTGGTCATTCGTGCACTGTGTGGACTATTGCATGATGTCAAGAAAATTTTAAATGCCCTTAATTCACTTCATTCCTTGAAGAAATCGACCAGTTTTAGGTTGCAGTAAATGCAGTGAGTGAAAAAGAACACTTTACGTTTATGAAACATGCTTAAACGTTATTGGAAAACGAAAAAAAGCGAAATTCAGTGTTAGGAGACCTTACGCAGTCGCAGTAAACGAGTAATAATTCCACAATAACCGCATTGAGCATTGTCATATATACTAAGCCGTCAACTCTTGGATGCTTACCGATTTTCGGTACCCACTTTTTTGTTGGGTTTCGAGGGAGAATTTGGTGTTCTCGTGTCTGTTTATGGGATGGTTCGAATGCTGGAAGGAATGTTTTTCATTAGCATCTTGAAAAAAAAGATTTAAGTAAAATAAAAAACACCATCCATTATCGAAAGAGGGGTATAGTCGCTGGGTAACGACAATGGCTTAGCAACTGGTAAGTTGGTGGTTCGAATCCTGCATGGGGAAAATGTTTTTGTCACGACTCCAAAGAAAAGATTTAGGTGAGATAAAGAAAGAACCTGTGAATCACCCGATCTCTCTTGGTCTAGTGTTGAAAACAATGGTCTCTTTTCATTATGATCGTAAAAATGGATTGAGATAAAATAAATAAAGGTAGCTCTAAACATCAAGCGCTGGTGGTCTAGTGGTAAAGACAACTGTATGGTAAACCGTCAGACTATGGTCCGAAACGGAAATCGGCATGTTTTTTATTATTTTGTTAATTGACTCAGAGACATGGGAATTGCATGTAAGTGTATTGTCTTTAATTATCTACGCATATGATGTATGCATGTGGTCATTCGTGCACTGTGTGGACTATTGCATGATGTCAAGAAAATTTTAAATGCCCTTAATTCACTTCATTCCTTGAAGAAATCGACCAGTTTTAGGTTGCAGTAAATGCAGTGAGTGAAAAAGAACACTTTACGTTTATGAAACATGCTTAAACGTTATTGGAAAACGAAAAAAAGCCAAATTCAGTGTTAGGAAACCATACGCAGTCGCAGTAAACGAGTAATAATTCCACAATAACCGCATTGAGCAATGTCATATATACTAAGCCGTCGACTCTTGGACTGATACCGATTTTCGGTACCCACTTTTTTGTTGGGTTTCGAGGGAGAATTTGGTGTTCTCTTGTTTATTTAGGGAATGGTTCGAATGCTGGACGGAATGTTTTTCATTAGCATCTTCAAAAAAAAGATTTAAGTAAAATAAAAAATACCATTTATTATTGAAACAGGGAATAGTCGCGGGGTAACGACAATCGCCTCGCACTTGACAAGTTGGTGGTTCGAATCTTGCATGGGAAAAATTGTTTTCGTCACGACCCGAAAGAAAACATTATTTTTTATTAGGTTTCGAGGGAGAATTTCGTGTTACTGTTGGAAAGTTTTGGTAATTGGCTGCTTGAAAAAAGGGCTTAATTATGTCCAAGGCTTGATGAAAAATTGATTCAAAGTTCACAAGTATACATACGATGTAAGCACGTGCATGTTTTATAGGTACGCGTAATTTACTACATCTGCGACTTGTATGTACGCAGGCATATGATGTATGGACGTGCACGTTTTGGACGTTCGCGTACGTTCGCTATATATACACTATCCGCCGAAACGAAATTTTCAATTTTTCACTTTCCCTTTTTGAACAAATCTAAATGGTATTGCAAATGATAAAACCCAAATAGAATAGCAAAAAACGCCACGCAGTCGCAGTGAACTAATATGGTCATGCCTACGATTTCAGTGTCTATTATTTCTATGGGAACACTCCCACAATCAGCACACTGAGCTATGTCAGATATATACTAGACATTTTTAAAGGGATATTGTGAACCACTACCGCTTATATCAGTTATATGTCACATATAGTTATACAGGGTGTATAAAAAAAAAGGTAATCCAACTTCAACATGCTATTGTACGTACGTGAACTACTCAGTCACATTCGGGAAGATCAGGCTTTTAACTATCGGATGACATGTTTTTAATAACAAAAAGTGATCACATACGAGGCTGATAAAAAATGTTAGTCGCAATCGCATATTTTCACCTTTGAGCCTAATTAAAGCAGTGCATACCAAAAGAAAAAAACAATTAATCACGAACATGTCACAGCTTGCACAGCACTGGTTTTATGCCGCATTGCCCGAAATGTTCTCCTGATCTGATTTATTCCTACTTCATATGCATATGCGGGTAGTTTATTCAAAAGCAAAATTCTTCAATTAAGTCCCAAAGGGAGTTAATTTTCAATGGTTTTAGTGCCAACTCTCAGAGGCGAAAATATGCGATTTTGACTAACACTTTTTATCAGCCTCCTACTTGCTCATTTTTTCACCATTTGGTATCAAAAACATGTCACTCGATAGTTAAAAGCCTACACTTTTGGAATGTGAAAAAAGTTCGTTAATGAGTAGTTCACGTAAAATAACGCACCAAAGTTGGATTACCTTTTCTTTTTATACAGGGTGTATCAAAAAAAACGCAACCACTTAATATTCATGAATATCCTCTTTGTTCTACAACACAAAAGACGTTTGGCCCCTGGAATGCGAGAAAGCTTGTAATCATATTCTAGCGGCACAATCGTCGGTAAACAAAGTCGGGTGGGTAAACCAACGAGCTGAATTGAAAGTATCTAACGAGTAAAATTTTATTTACAATTTATTTTACAAGGTCGACAGTAAGCATTCAAGTTATCATGCACGACAATAAAAACTCGTTGTTCGGTTGTTAGCTGCACCATTATTTTAGCTGATTTGACTATTAGCAGTTGAATTGTACGATTAGAAGCCATTTTAAAATCCCAGGGGCATAAAATCTATTGAGCTTATGAACAATATGAATTTTAGAATATTAAGTGGTTGCGTTTTTTTTGATACACCCTGTACATCCTGTATATGTGATAAAATACGCTGTAGTGATAAAATACGGTGCAAGCAATCAGTGATAAAATACGGTGCAAGCAATCAGTGATAAAATACGCTGTAAGCCATCAGTGATAAAATACGCTGTAAGCCATCAGTGATAAAATACGCTGTAAGCCATCAGTGATAAAATACGCTCTAAGTCATCAGTGATAAAATACGCTGTAAGTCATCAGTGATAAAATACGCTGTAAGGCATCAGTGTTAAAATACGCTGTAAGCCATCAGTGATAAAATACGCTCTAAGTCATCAGTGATAAAATACGCTCTAAGCCATCAGTGTTAAAATACGCTGTAAAACATCAGTGATAAAATACGCTGTAAGGCATGAGTAGTGATAAAATACGCTGTAATGCATCAGTGATAAAATACGCTGTAATGCATCAGTGATAAAATACGCTGTAAGGCATCAGTGATAAAATTAACTGTAATGCATCAGTGATAAAATACGCTGTAAAGCATCAGTGATAAAATACGCTGTAAAGCATCAGTGATAAAATACGCTGTAAGGAATCAGTGATAAAATACGCTGTAAGGCATCAGTGATAAAATACGCTGAAAAGCATCAGTGATAAAATACGCTGTAAGGCATCAGTGATAAAATACGCTGTAAGTCATCAGTGATAAAATACGCTGTAAGTCATCAGTGATAAAATACGCTGTAAGTCATCAGTGATAAAATACGCTGTAAGTCATCAGTGATAAAATACGCTGTAAAGAATCAGTGATAAAATATGCTGTAAAGCACCAGTGATAAAATACGCCGTAAAACATCAGTGATAAAACACGCTGTAAAACATCAGTGATAAAATACGCTGTAAGCCATCAGTGATAAAATATGCTGTAAGGCATGAGTAGTGATAAAATACGCTGTAATGCATCAGTGATAAAATACGCTGTAATGCATCAGTGATAAAATACGCTGTAAGGCATCAGTGATAAAATTAACTGTAATGCATCAGTGATAAAATACGCTGTAAAGCATCAGTGATAAAATACGCTGTAAAGCATCAGTGATAAAATACGCTGTAAGTCATCAGTGATAAAATACGCTGTAAGTCATCAGTGATAAAATACGCTGTAAGACATCAGTGATAAAATACGCTGTAAGTCATCAGTGATAAAATACGCTGTAAGTCATCAGTGATAAAATACGCTGTAAGTCATCAGTGATAAAATACGCTGTAAAGCATCAGTGATAAAATACGCTGTAAAACATCAGTGATAAAATACGCTGTAAGCCATCAGTGATAAAATACGCTGTAAGCCATCAGTGATAAAATACACTCTAAGCCATCAGTGATAAAATACGCTGTAAGGCATCAGTGATAAAATAAGCTGTAAGGCATCAGTGATAAAATACGCTGTAAGCCATCAGTGATAAAATACGCTCTAAGCCATCAGTGATAAAATACGCTGTACGTCATCAGTGATAAAATACGCTGTAAGCCATCAGTGATAAAATACGCTCTAAGCCATCAGTGTTAAAATACGCTGTAAGACATCAGTGATAAAATACGCTCTAAGCCATCAGTGTTAAAATACGCTGTAAGTCATCAGTGATAAAATACGCTCTAAGCCATCAGTGTTAAAATACGCTGTAAGACATCAGTGATAAAATACGCTCTAAGCCATCAGTGTTAAAATACGCTGTAAGTCATCAGTGATAAAATACGCTCTAAGCCATCAGTGATAAAATACGCTGTAAGTCATCAGTGATAAAATACGCTCTAAGCCATCAGTGTTAAAATACGCTGTAAGTCATCAGTGATAAAATACGCTCTAAGCCATGAGTGATAAAATACGCTGTAAGGCATCAGTGATAAAATACGCTGTAAGGCATCAGTGATAAAATACGCTGTAAGGCATCAGTGATAAAATACGCTGTAAGCCATCAGTGATAAAATACGCTGTAAGTCATCAGTGATAAAATACGCTGTAAGTCATCAGTGATAAAATACGCTGTAAGTCATCAGTGATAAAATACGCTGTAAGTCATCAGTGATAAGATACGCTGTAAGTCATCAGTGATAAAATACGCTGTAAGTCATCAGTGATAAAATACGCTGTAAGCCATCAGTGATAAAATACGCTGTAAGCCATCAGTGATGAAATACGCTGTAAGCCATCAGTGATAAAATACGCTGTAAGCCATCAGTGATAAAATACGCTGTAAGTCATCAGTGTTAAAATAAGCTGTAAGTCATCAGTGATAAAATACGCTGTAAGTCATCAGTGATAAAATACGCTGTAAGCCATCAGTGATAAAATACGCTGTAAGCATCAGTGATAAAATACGCTGTAAGGCATCAGTGATAAAATACGCTGTAAGGCATCAGTGATAAAATACGCTGTAAGTCATCAGTGATAAAATACGCTGTAAGTCATCAGTGATAAAATACGCTGTAA